TTCACCAGTAGAGAACAGATCAGGTGTTGGGAGCGAGCAACAACAGGTTGCAAATGCATCAACCCTGATAGACTATAATCAGATGAGTGACGAGGAGTTAGCGTACCTAATGGAAGAACAGGACCGACTCATTGTTCAAGAGGAAGCGAAAAGAGAGAGGATTACACGTTTAATCGAGAACCAAAGACAATTACTAGTACTGAGAGGTCAGAATGAAGAATTGACAAGAGAATTGATCAAGATTAAGAAAGCAGAAAAGAGATCATATGGGAGCATAGAAGATGATAGTGATACAAATTCAGAGGCAAGCTCGAACAGAGGCACAACCTATCAGAGATCAAATAGATTGTCAACAAATGCTTCATCCTCCTCATCAATGCCTACGACAAACGTCGTAAACAACAATCAAACAACATCCTCGCCATCAACAACAGTGCTAGGGAATGAGCAGTTATTTGATCTCAGACAAGCACTGGATTGCATCAGAGAGGGAGCAGATCCACAAGTGATTGACCAAATTATCACTCAAAAGAAAAGATTGTCCAAAGAACAACTTATGATGGTACAAGACCAATCGATTAGATTCATACCCGATGAAATCAAAGATGTGGGTGCATACCTCAGATCGTTGAGAATGACAATGGAGATGTATGGATGGCCAGTGACACACATGTTATTTCTTGCAATGAAGATTACCTCACCAGAGGTGAATCAGGCAATGAAACTAGGAGAAAGACAGTCTCTCTCGTGGGAGGAATTCAGCCAAATGGCCCAGACATTGGCAACTCCCCACAACATCTCAAAGAAAAGGGAAGAGTTTGTTGGCCTACATCAAGCCAAGTCAGAGTCAGTGGCTCAATTCTCAAGTCGGTTCCAAACTCTAGTTGGATTTCAAGATCAACTATCGGATAAAGGAATAGTATTGGAATTTATCGTCAAACTAGTGGACGAACTAAAGAGTCACCCCAAGATTCAAGAGATTTGGAATGATTTGGACAAGAATATAAAAAAGTACGATTTAAAAGAAATCATCGGCCATGCACAAGGGGTCGAATCGATGATCGTACTGGTCAAAAAGAAGAATGGTACTCCTATCAACATTGAAAATGGTGACACCAGTAAAACTAGTACTAGTTCAACACAACAAGAGGATAAAGGAGACAAGCAAGGGAAGATGATTAGGGAAGAGAGATTAAAAAAGATTATGGAATTGACAAACAAGAAGAAGTACACAATTATTCAATTACACAAGGAAAGAAAGTGTTATGGTTGTGAAAAGCAATTGAAAGAATGTAGTTCAAGTTCATGCAAATTTCGCAAGGACCTGGAGACCATCTACCCACCCTCGGGTAATGGCTCCGGGTACCGTGCTAGCAAATAATTTAATTGATGATGGAAAAGAACTGCTATACATTGATGTGGAAATGTATAACAGTCGTATGAAAGCCGTCATCGACACTGGATCAACGATATCGTTAATCGATAGTAGATTGGTGTCGAGAGACGCAGTCGCACGGACACCCACAAAAATCGTCACGTTAGGCGGTAAATTGGAGATGAATCATAGCACGTTCGCGAGAGTGCAAATCGGTAGAGAAAAGATTGGGATTAGGTTACTCTTGGTAGAGAACCTAATCGAGTTGATTGGAACAGAAATACTCTTGGGGAACAATGATTTAAAGGAAGTGGTAATCAACAATATAAATAATAGTATACAATTTAGAAACCAAATCCTCCCCCTCAACAAAATTTCAACGATAAGAGAAACAATCAACATATTAAATAATATAATTAAAGAAAAGAAAGAGGACTTGGAAATTTTGGATTTACCAAGAGCAAATCTGAAAGAATCAGATTATATGAAACTGGACAACAACGTTAGAAGAGAGAGAAAGGAAGTAGATGAAAGTCGTCACCCAGAGGTGGAGCGACTATTGGAAAAGTACAGCATCATTTTCATAAATGATTATGCAGATTTTCCTCCAAAGAGAGAAGTGGAATTTAAAATTAACCTCATTCCAGGAAAGGAGATTGGAAAGATTTACATTCCACAACACTCTCAGAAAGAGATAGATACACTCAACCGATTTGTAGAAAAGATGGTAGAGAAAGGATTGATGGAGAAATCGTTGGCAACACATCCAATGCCGTCGCTGGTAGTCGATAATGGAGATAGAGTCGTTCATGATTACCGTACGTTGAATGCGATTACCGAGACCGACAACCACCCTATCCAATTCATCCCAGTACTCCTGACAAAGATGGCAGGTGCCAAGATATTTTCCAAGTTGGATGCCAAGAAAGGATTCTATCAAATTAGAATTAGAGAGGAAGATAAAGAGAAGACAGCGGTACAGACACCGATGGGTGTGTATCATTACAGAGTGATGCCAATGGGCGTCAGGAATGCACCGGCGACATTTTGTCGCCTGATGGACAAGATCATACAAGAGATCTATGAAGAGAACAAGGACGAAGAGATTTTCGTCATATGTTATATTGACGATATTTTGGTATTTTCAAAGAATGAAGAGGACCACAAGAGACATTTGGAAATCGTTTTAAAGAAAATGGAGGAACATTTGGTTTATTTAAATGGGAGCAAATGCGATTTGTTCAAAGTTGAAGTGGCATTTGTAGGCTACAAGATAAATGGAGAAGGCATAACAACAAACGAAGAAAAGACGAAACCGATCGTCGATTTGCCAATGCCAGAGAACGTAAAACAATTACGCCGATTTTTGGGAATGATATCGTTTTATCAAAGATTCATTCAAGGGTTCACAGAGCTTGTGGAACCAATGCGAGAAGCAATTGCCATCAAGGAGAAGACCAAGGCGGGTGAACTGCAAGATAATGGATGGAAACAAGCGGTACTAAAGTGTAAAGAAATCCTGACCAGTAAACCAGTCATGAAGATATTGGATGGAAACAAAGACTTTGTGATCCATACCGATGCCTCGAACTATGGAGTGGGATCAGTAGTTTCTCAATTGGATGAAGATGGAGAGTACCACCCGGTCATCTTTGAAAGTAGAAAGATGACACCGGCAGAAAGGAACTACTCAACGACTGACCGAGAGTTGCTCGCGGCAATTCATGTATTACAAAAGTACAGACATCACTTTCTCGGGCGAAAGGTAACGATTTACACAGATCACAACAATTTGACATATTGGGACAGCAAACATCAACTATCGGCAAGAGAAAGGAATTGGTTAGAAATACTGGGAGAATTTGATATCAAGTTTGAATATATCCCTGGAGAGACCAATACAGTGGCAGATGCACTGTCAAGAGATAGAAGATATAAAATAGTTTGGTCCGACGAATGGATCAAGGAAATTGTAGAGTCATACAAGGACTCAAGTGAAATTGTGGAGATTCAAAGAAACAAGAATAACAAAATCATTGAAGAGGAAGGTCTATTGTTCATTGTTGAACCAGACCTGTCGAAGCGTCTAATCTTGGTAGACAAGAAACACATTGCAAAAATACTGGATGAAAGTCATGCTGGTTATATTGGTGGTCATTTGGGTATCACCAAATCGTATATGAAGATACGATCAAATTATTTCTGGATTGGATTACATTCGTCGATCGTCAAGTTCATTGGTTCTTGTGATATTTGTCAACGTTCAAACAAATGCAAAGCGAAGGGTTTTCTGACGTCTCTAGAGATACCTCAAAGAAATTGGATGGACATATCGATGGACTTTATGTCCTTGCCGACGTCCAAGAATGGAATGGACAATTTATTGGTTGTTGTGGATAGACTAAGCAAGATGGTTCACTTAATGGCTTGCACTAAAGAGATTGATGCAGTAGGTACTGCAAAGTTATTATTTAACAATGTCTTTAGACTACACGGACTGCCATCGTCAATCGTGTCGGATAGAGATCCGAGATTCACGAGTGACCTTTGGAGTGAATTAATGACAGCTATTGGAACAAAATTAAAGATGTCAACACCGAATAGACCTCAAGGTGACGGTCAGACGGAAATCTACAACAAGACTATTAGAAAGATAATGGAAAAGTTTCAAGAGACACACAAGGAGAATTGGGATGAGCATCTGACAGCTGTAGAATTTGCTCTCAATTCATTTAAACAATCGTCAACCAAACTTTCACCATTCGAAATCAATTATGGATTTGAACCAACAACACCTTCCAACATATTCAACATTCATGCGATCAAAGATATGGACATCAAACAGATGATAGATTACTTCCAAAAGGTTGCGAGAGACAACATTCTGTCATCACAAGTCGAACAAGCAAGAAACTACAACAAGAATAGAAAGGAGAGTACTTTGAAAGAAGGGGATGAGATCCTGTTGAATCGTAACAAGATCAGCGACGCATTACTCAAACAAGTGGTAGACAGTAAAAAGTTGATTCAGGACAAGATTGGTCCATTCAAAATTGTAAAGAAGATTGGAGAGAATACATTTGAAGTCGATCTACCATCGACGAGCCGCACACATAGGGTATTCAATGCTGACTACATGGAATTGTACATCAAGAATGACAATGACCAATTCCCAGATAGAACCATTCAATTAGATAGACCACAAGCAGTATTGGTTGATGGAGAAGAGGAGTTTGTAGTAGAAAAGATACTTGCCAAGAAACTGGTTGGTAGAAACAAAAAGGTTCAATACTTTGTGTTGTGGAAAGGATACCCAATCGACGAAGGTTCATGGGTAGATCACGAACAAGTAGAAGATTGTGAAGCACTTGATATCTTCGAGCAAGAACAAGCAGCTGTCACGAAACAAGACAAAACAAACAAGGAAAAGAAATAATAACAATTTATATAGAAATAATAATAATAATATACAATCAGAATAATAACTATAAACAAACACAAAGAAAATGGGACATCCAGAGAAAAGAGGAGAGTGTCATATAAATGACTCACTGAAAATAAATAATAAAACGATGAATCGCTCTTTGCAAAACCGAGAGTTTTGCTTAGAGAGGATCATTATAGTATTTGTTCATCACCCAAATATCAAATATATTACAGCGATGGCAATCGTCAAAACATACTCGCTATCCAAGCTCACATACTTTTTGTACATCGAGTCACTAAATACAGAAGAGATTAGTGAACTGAACAGTTTAATTAATTGGTATCTCTACTCGCCGTCATCTTCTACTTACGTCAAAACAAATAAATACAAAAATAGCATAGCTCGCCCAAGGGCATCACTACATTGGACAAAGGGAGGCATCGGCCTCTGGGACATGGACGTCAGACAAGTTGCGCAAAAGGCATGGACGATGAATCGTTTCCTTGCCGACCCTTCCAACAACCCCATCTCGTACCGCAGGGTGTGGACCAACCATATACTCGGCGAGTACCTACGCCCAGGCACCCTCACCAACAGCTCCACATACTTCCAAACATGTTGGGAAGCATGGTTACAGCTGTATCGTGCCACGTACGACAAACCATTCACCGAGTTTGGTCCCTATCTTCCAAAGCACATCCCTGCCAAGGAGGGACCCGACCAGTCAAATACACCAATCGAATTAAAGCAAATCTACTCTGCTCTCCAAGAAACCAGACTACCAAAGGTCAACCAAAAGACCGTCGGTCAAAGAGAGATCGAGGCTCTCTTTGGTACCAACATCTAGCAAATATTTGCCGTCGTGGCAAGCGTCAAATGCACGACAGCAAGAGACACCCTCTTTCGTTTCTTTGCCAGAATAATGAAACGTACCCCAGCTGACACCAATACAATATGCTACGCATGCCACACTGTATTCGATGGGGATACACACACATCTCCAATCATACACCATTTGTTTGAATGTATACACGTTCAACCACGAGCTCCACTGTTTAGCAAGTTGATTCTCGACTGGACCGACAACAGAGTGCAGTGGAATGTCCACGCTCTCAACTTCACCAAGCAGAGAACACATCACAGACGCTATGTCAATGCTGTTGCTATACTCTTCCATCGCACATGGTGCCACCACCTGAATGTGCAATTCGACTTTGACGACACAGGAAAAATTTCGTCATGTACGATTTGTCCTTATTTAAGGTGAGACATTTTGTCCCCCATAGTCCGTCATACAATTTGTTTTGCAGAAAAAAATGAAAAACTTCATAGCAAAAGTCAACTAATGCTTGCTTTGGATCGTGCATTTGCTAAAAAAAAAATTAATATGGGTGGGTGCTCGTTGTCCAACTGACATTCACTTTTTTTCCTCCATACCCTCTACATATAATTTATAGAGATAATTCACAGGCTGATACAGAGAATAGTACATTAAAGGTAAGATCGATATATTACAGCATAGTACAGCATGATTTATTATAGCAAATATAGTGTATTAGAGATAAAATAGCAACAGATAGATAGTACTTTTGAATTGTGTACATTATGGAGTATTATAGTATTATTACTTATTTAAACAACACAAAAACAATACAACAGCTACTAAATAACAATAATATAAGTATATACAATATAGAGACATAGAAAGCGATACTTAAAAAATAATTGTACAATTATTAAAAGTACGTAGTTGTATTATTATTTTTTTTTATTTTTTTTATTGTTATATCTTATCTATCTATTCAATAGCTGTTGCAACACTTGTTATTGTTAAATATAATGAAATAAATTAAAAAGAATTAATATTATTAAACAAACTTTTGTCTTTATTCATTCATTATTTGAGGTGACTTTCTGAGCTGAAAAACTTTTAAAAATCTCTAAGTATGAATCGTACATGACGAAATTTTTCCTGTGATATGACTTCAGCGGTGATGAAGAGGTCAAAGATTTTATTAAAAAAAAAAAAAAAAAAAAAAAAATTATTTTAGTCAAAGTAGGATAATTAAGTGTATTTCTATCGTATATATCAGGAGTTAACTTGAAATGTAAAGTTCTAAAATTGAAAATTTATGAGGAAAATACTTAGTACTTAGAAATATTTTATGAAATCTAAAAATTAAATATCTCAGAATTCAATAATATTATTTAAAGTATACTTAAATAGGTGTATTACACCTAATAATAGTGTTTTCAGAATGTTTTAGATCAGATTTGATATCTTGACCTCTCACTAAAAATTTAGTATGAGACTAAATAATTGGTACTTTAAAGAATACCAATTCTGAAAAAAGTAGATTCCCTTTGATACCGTTTCATTAATACTTATATTCAAGCTATTTATGACTTATATAACCAAATCTGTGATTCAAAACAGTTTAAAAAAAAAATTGATTTTTAATTTAAAATTAAGTTGAAATACAAACCTGATATTTGATAATGGTCAATTTTACGGATTCTTTTTAAATACGATTTATTTATTACAAGCAGATTCTATTTTATTCCTAATATTATCCATTATTCTATTTGCGGCAAACAATTCCAAACCAAATAAACAAATCCCCAAAGTCAATGCCGTTTTTCCGCCAAAAGACTTTTGTGGAGAGCGATATCTATTATATAAACAAGTTGAAGCTGTTGCAATGGTTGGTGGTAAGAGTAATGAAGTGCCCAAAATAGCATGGTACCCATATTTTTCCACTGGACCTGGTGGATCAACTTCCTCCAAAGCCTTTCTTAATAGAATACCATCATATTGATTGTCCTCTTTGTAAAACCTTTCAATGCCATTGAGATGTGCAAGTCCAGTGACGGAAACGATGACTTGTTTCTTCTTTGTTCCATCTGATTGAGTAAATTTGAGAGAGGTGTCTCTGAGGTCCCTCAACTCTCTGAGGTTACTCGCCAAATATCTATCTCTTTCCTCTATGAGAATCTTGCTTACTTGAGGCAATGACTCTAGTAACTCTTGACCATACATAACCTTTTCATTTTCTGATCCATAATGTAATGATTGCTCTATTTGACTGTTTAGATTCTCGCGTATTTCTTGTGGTGACATTTGTGATAAACGCCACATACCAACAACAGACTTTAACGAGAGGGACAAGAGAGTGGAAAAACTGAGAGAATGAAGCATACGGTCGACCGTAGCACCAGAATCTCTATCACCAAGAAGAACTGGTATGTTGTTTGCCTTTGCTTTGCTCCATGCCGCTCTCATTTCCCATCCAGGAATAACTGGACGATCGAGAAGTCTGAAACAATAATATGTATAGGTCATTTGAAGCATGATCGTAATATCCTCTAGGTTACCAGTGAACCATGGGATCCTCGATATTGGATCCTTGTTGGGAGTGAATCCCGATCGAATGGTTGATTCTGGTAATTGTAATAATGGTTTTCTTTCATGCGATAATTCGATGAGAATATGAGAGGGTTTGACAACATCTATTACATGTTCAACCAGTTCACTCGATTCATTAAAAAGATGTGATGTTCCAACTAGATAGATTGTTGTATCTGATCCACTTTCATCTTTGTCTTGTATTACTCTTATTAAGTTCTCTACATTGAAATCTTTACTTCTACTCCATTTATCTCTTATTAATTTTATATTTTGTTCTATCATTATACTATCTAGATGAGTGAAAAAAAAAAAAAAAAAAAAAAACTACAATGATCATGTTGTTGTGATGTTCAAACAAATTTTAAATTAATTTGATTTAAAACAACAGAGTAGAGAGATAATTATAATATTAGTATTCATGTCATTCCTCAAAAATACTATAACTTCTCCTCATATAAAGAGATTGATAACAACCTCTACAACTATAAATAAATTGACAATCAACAATAGTACTATACTATCAACATTTAAAACTAAAGTTAATAATAATAAAAGTAATATTAATCAGAACCCTACTACTACGACTACTACAACTGTTAAATCAAAATTATTCAAGATAAATAATGAAAATACTTTTAGTAGATCATTTTATTCACAAAGACTAAAGATTATTGATCATGGCGATAAGAATCCCATGGACGATGGTGTACAAGAAATTGTATACAAAGAATTGGTTGAAATGGGTGATTATGAAACGTATGAGAAAATAACCATTATCTATATCTAAACTATATATTAGTATTTAAGCTAACTTTTTTTTATTTTAGTGTAATAAATAGATTTGAAACAATGGGATATGCAGCAAACGAAGAATGTGTTCGATACTATTTCAAATCATTGGTATTTTCAAATAAATTAGATCGAGCACACCTATCTTTATCTAAAATTAGCGAATCTGATATATTAAAGCATATCAAACAACTTGAAACTCCAACACAAGATCAACCATCATCATCATCATCATCATCATCACCACCAATTACATTACCACCATATAGTATATCATTTATATTACCAGATGCAGTTAAAGAAAAGATAAATCAAAAGCCAATGATACCTGTCATTAGAATTGGTGAATTTGGTCCAATGAGAATGTCAATGGGCGATCGTATATGGGGTATTCTTTGGATACCGGTTCTTGCGATTGGAATATTCCTCTTTATTCTAAAAGATGAAAATTCACCTACTGTATCTACATCAAGTGGTTCAAAGAATAAAACCGTCGCAAAAGAATACACAGACACGGCAAACAACAAAACAACTTTTGACGACATCAAAGGAATAGACGAGGTAAAGGCAGAGTTGATAGAAATTGTAGACTACCTCAAAAACCCTGAAAAGTATGACAGAATCGGTGCAAAGTTACCGCGTGGCATATTATTATCGGGTGAACCAGGCACTGGTAAAACTCTATTGGCTAGAGCTATCGCTGGTGAAGCTGGTGTTCCTTTTCTTTATACATCTGGATCAAGTTTTGATGAAAAATATATTGGTGTTGGAGCAAAAAGAGTCAGAGAATTATTTGGTAAATAATAATTTTAAAAGATTTAATTTATATTTATTTATTTATTTATTTATTTATTTTATTTTATTTTATTTTATTTTATTTATTTAGATTTGGCAAGATCACAACAACCATGTATTATTTTTATAGATGAGATTGATGCAGCTGGTAGAAATAGAATCTCGTCTAGATTCAATGAGACTCTTTTGCAATTATTGACAGAGATGGATGGATTTGCTCAAGAAAATAAAATTATGGTGATTGGTGCGACCAACTCACCGGAAAGTCTCGATGCAGCTTTAACAAGACCAGGTAGATTTGATAGACAAATTGCTGTACCAATCCCTGATTTTAAAGGAAGAAAAGAGGTAAGAAAAAAATTAAAAAAAAATATCTAAATATTTTTTATAAACTCTATTTTTTTATTTTTAGATTGTTGAATTTTATTTATCAAAAGTATCACATGATGAAGATAAGATTAAACCAGAAAAGATTGCAAGATCAATACCTGGTTTTACAGGAGCAGATATATCGAATCTTATCAACACTGCAGCAATCAAAGCCGTGTTAAATGGTCAAGACAAAGTTACCCTCAAAATGATTGATGAAGCAAGAGACGATATTTTAATGGGTAGAGAAAGGAAATCATCAATTATTAGCGAAGAGACGAAGAGAAACACTGCATACCATGAGGCAGGGCACGCTTTGGTAGCAGCTTTTACAGAGTCTTCAGACCCCATACACAAGGCCACCATTATTCAAAGGGGACATGCCCTTGGTATGGTTTCACAAGTACCAGAATCCGACCATCATCAATTCACACGTAAACAAATGATGGCTCGACTCGCCATTTGCCTAGCAGGTCGTGCAGCAGAAGAGGTTTTCTTTGGTCGCGAGATGGTAACAAGTGGAGCTTCTTCAGATTTCCAACAAGCATCAAAACTTGCAACAGCAATGGTCACCAAATGGGGCATGTCTGATAAATTAGGTTACACGTTTCATCATGATAAAATGTCTCAAGGTACTCTCAATACTGTAGATTTTGAAATTAAAAATTTATTAGATGTATGTAATTAAATTATTTAAATCAATCATCATCATTATTAATCCTCTTTCTTTCTTTTTAGAAACAATACGATCATGCGAAAACTCTTATTATCAAACATAAAGATAAAATGCATTTGTTGGTAAATGAATTATTAGACAAGGAAACACTTACCGGCGAAGAAATTTTAAATATTCTTGACATTCCACTAAAGAGTGATAAAGTTTCCCCTACTCTACAACATTTTTAAATAATAAGAAATACCAGAACTGTAAATAAACCAAAAAGACTAGATTAGAATGATAGACCAAGGTTTTTTTTTTGATTGGGATCTTCACAAGCCGTTTGAGATTAGAAAAAAAAAAAAAGAAAAAAAGTGTGATTTCGAAAGAGGATCTCTTAGGTTGGTTGGTCAGTTGCCATGGCAAGAGATCTGAAGAATACTCAAATTTTTTTATTTAAAAAAAAAAAATCCAACCGAAAAAAAAAAAAAACAAAACAAACAAACAAGCCTCAAATCTTTTTCCTTTTAAAAACGACAAATCTAATAATTATTATAAATATTATTATTATTATTATCTTTATTACTTTTGACAAAGAACTCAAAAAGTACACACTATTTTTTACCTAAAAAATATTATTAAAAACCCCTATACATATTCACACAATTAATCAACACCAATTAATTTATATATAGATGAAATTTAGAGAGATTAATAGTTCTTAAAAAAAACAACATCAACAAACAACTTTTTAAAAAGAGAAAGAAAAAAAAAGGATAGTTTTTGTAATTTTTTTCATATAATTGTACCATTTTTTGTATTTTAAAAAAAATATTTGTAGAATTTAACCCCACATTATAAAGACTATATAAAAGATAAAACAAAAGACTTTAGCAATAATAATAATAATAGATTTAGAGATAGAGAAAAAGATTTAAGGATTTTGATTTCCTTTTTAAAATCCGAAAATACCAAAACAATTTAAAAAGAAGAGAAAAACCATGGGTTATTATTCAGGCTCTCAACATCAACATAATAAATACCTAAATAACGCAAATAATAATAGTAATAATAATAACTCCCAACCTTCAACACCAGAACAACAGACTATGAATTATGACGACCAAACAAATGATGCTCTAACACAGGCAAAACTTTCGATAGCAACCGAAAACTTGGGACTCGTTTCACCCACATTATATTCACCTCTTAGTTCACCCACACCAGTATCACTTAAATCTCTATCAAATCCTCTCACAACCATATTATCTGACGAAAATTGGATTCATATTCTATCATTCCTAGATTCAAGATCACTTTTAAATCTATCAGAAACATGTCATTATTTTTACTATATATCAAATGATAAATTTTTATGGTAATCTATCTATCTATATATCTATATATACATATATCATCTATCTATCTATCTATAAGAAGATTTATTCCATCCTTTTTAAAATTATTAATAAATTTTTTGTTTTTTTATTTATTTTTTTATAGGGAAGAATTATTAAAAAATGAAAGAGGAGATGTATTAATCTTACCACCAAACTCTGAATTAAATAATGCAAAGTTTGTTTACAAGAATAGAAGAGATTTTACAACGATAACAGAGGCACTATCAAACTTGACAGACGACAAACGAGAGATCATTCTCATTAGACCCGGTACCTACAAGGAAAATTTAGTCATCAACAAACCAGTCGATATCATTGGCGAAGGATTAAACACTGATGTATTGATTGAATCTGGTACCTCGAATACTGTCTCAATCTCTGCACCCTATGGATCGTTGACAAATGTCTCTACCAAACAGACTGGCCATTGGTTTTGCATAGACATTGAAAAGGGAGGCTTTACAATCAACAAGTGTGACATTACCAATACCACATTGTCTGCCGTCAAGATTGGCAAAGAAGCATCACCATGGATCTCTGACAATATCATTCACGATTGCAAGGAAGCAGGTATAGCTATATTTGGTGGTGAAGGTACTATTATTGGAAATCGTTTTACTCGCAACCGTTATGGCTCGATCGAGGTCGTCTATTCAACTGCCAAGCCAACCATCAAATTGAATCGTATCTATCGCAACAAGGGATATGGTATTCATTGTCATACAAACTCTGCAGGTGTCATCTCTGAAAACATTATCGAGGAGAATGAAAGTGATGGTATTAGCTGTTGGGGTGGAGCCAGTCCTGTAGTATCAAACAACAAGATATGCAACAATTTGGAAGATGGTATCTACATTCACGAAGATGGAAAAGGTATCTATGAACACAACCAAATATTTGGCCAAAAACTCGATGGTATTCGTATCAGCAAGTCAAATCCTCAAATATCAAACAACACCATTCATCACAACCAAGGTGATGGTATTCGACTAGTCATCAAGGCCAACCCTGTCATCACAGAGAACCACATTTGCGAAAACAAACGTGTCGGCATCCACATTTACCGTGAGGGCATGGGTATCATCTCCAACAACTACATCTATGGCAATAGAAATGCAGGTATGCAAGTCTATAGTCGTGCCAATGCAACCATCACCAACAACAAAATTATACAAAACCGTTGCTCGGGTATTTATGTTTCTGACCACGCCATTGTCAACATTCGCTCAAACGAGATATCCAATAATGGAGAAGTTGGTATTGAAATTGTATCTGGTGCCAAGGCTCTTTGCTTTGACAACAATCTAATCAATCGTAATTGGGAAGCTGGTCTTGCCTACTACTCTGACTCGAAACCGTTGGGTTTTGAAACCAACAACAACTTTACTGGTAATGGTTCGGAAGGATCTCAACAATATGTTATGCGCGAGGGAAGAGAACTCATGTCAATTCAACAATATAACCGCGCCATTTCTCAGCCTCGTGGTCGTGGAAGCAACGAAGAACTGGAACCAATTTCATTTTTGGTAGAAAATGCTCTTCAAGTTGGTCTATGTACTTTGAGCTACACAAGAGAATATTACCACGCACAATATTGGTACGAATGCAGAACTTGTAGTGAACCAAGAAAGATCCTTGGTCGTAGCGAAATTGCGGTATGTGAAGAATGTGCAAAGAAATGTCATGCCGGTCACGACATTGGTCTCAGAAAATATGGACATTTCTATTGCGACTGTGGACAACAAGTAGCCAATCCATGTAAATGTATATCATACAAGAGTCGTCCAATGAATCCCCACAACAATCTATTGATTAACCCACATTCAAGCAACACTACAACAACAACAACAAACGGGCAAAACCAACAAGGACAACAAAACAACCCACTTACAAATTACCTTTCAAACAGCACAAATCCTTCTTTTAATACTCATAAACATGAAACGATTAATACTCCTATATAAATAAATAAAAAATAAAAAATAATAATAAAAATAATAATTATTTTTTATATTTTTTTATTTATTGATTTATAAATTCTCAGGTTCAACTTGTAATGATCGAGGTAAAGTTGTATTACTAGAAATTATACAAGAAGATGAATCACAAAATTTATCTGGTTTGGGCTCGATAGCTTCTCTTTGGTATTTGTTAAAGTCGACTGGTTTTAGATTGGCTGCTCTCTTGAGGTAAGTTTGGGCATCAATCTCTTCATATGGCATTTGTTCATAGATCATTTCGTCAGACATGGATGGTAAGAAACTAACACCCTTGAGTTGATATTGGAAGTAGTCCAAGGCAAAAGGTAATTGATGTCCCTCAAGTTTTGGGTCAAAGGTAACAGTGCAACTGACTTGATTGTCGGCCCAATACTTTTGGAGGAATGAAGCGAGTGATAATTGCTCCCACATTGTTAAACTCTTTGCTTTACGAATATTGGCTCCAGAGTGAATTGGAATTTCCACCACCACATTAAACTTGTTGTCGACTGCTGGTTCGATATGATAACCAGCCTCACGTAAAGAATCCAATAGGGAACTGCTACGTGGCAGACGAACTCTTCTAATGTAGTATTCAGAGATTGGATAGTGCATGCCTGGGGTTGCACCTGCCAACAATGAAACCGTTCCACTTGGTTTGATTGAAGTTGTCTTTATCGATTTGGGAATTGCCAGCCACTCTGAATATGCTCTGTCATGTTCTTGAATCATTTCATACCCGTCAGTGCACCATTGTTTGAGTTGATTTAATCCACGGTTGGTAATAAACTGGGCAATACCACTCATTGAACACCCAATTCTTCTATTTCGCAGTAGCACCTTGTTAGTGTCTGGCCATTGGGTTCTACCCAATGTAACAGTCTTTGCATAAAGAAAGGCATATTTCAGTGTCTCTTTGAAATCTTCAAAGTCGGTATGGTTATTTGGGAATGTTTCGACCAAACAACAAAGTTCAAAGGATTCAAGTGTTTGCTCCAAGCATGGATTTCCTCCCATTGCTCTCTTGTCTTTCCAATCTCCTACAGTACTGTCCATTCGACTGAATTGTTGCATATTCTCCAACCATGCGAATCCAGGCTCCCCATTATCTACAATTCTCTCACATATCGATTGGTAATCCATTCCCAATTTGGAAAATACAGAATTATTACTCGTCCATCCAAACTCTTGTCTATGTGGGTTCACTTTATAATTCTTTAAATTAATATATTCCTGACTTTCTGGATCTCCAAATGCAATCTCTGCTGTTTGTCTTGTCTAAATATATAAAAAAAAAAAAAAAAAATAGATTAATAATCAATCCATCTATGTATTAGTATGATTAATCCATCTTACATTTCCAGAAACAACACATTTTCCAATCAAATTCATTAAATCTACAATATTTGTAACAGTAATTGGTTTTCCAATCGATTTGTCCAAAGTTTCACAAATTGAATGATGAAGTAATTTTAATGACTCTGGTCCTGAACTATATCCTCCAAATCCTTTGATAGGTACTCCTTCTCCTCTAATTAAAGAATAATCAAAAACCTAAAAAAATAAAATAAAATAAATAAAAATGATTAGTTTTTCTTTTTATCCTTTTTATCTTTTTTTTTTGTTTTTACTTCTTACTTACTTGTTTTGGTTTATTTAAAAAATAAGAATCCAATGTTAATCTAACAGACTCTACCCAACCTTCTCTAGAGTCTGGAATTTTGAAAGAATTTGTTTTATCCAATTTTGGGCCTTTGACAATGAGGGTTCCTGCACCTTTGGTATCAAAACCAACGCCGACACCCAACATTGAAGCGTCCATGAGAAAGATGAATGGTTTGGATGGAAATTGTTTGATATTGTCGGTAGAGACAAAAGCACAATTGTTTAGTGAGGCATATAGACCTCTTTCCTCTGTCAATGGACTTCCCATTGCCCAAAGACCTCTACCTGGGGGTAAGAATTTCATTGTAAAGATTTTATCATACATTTTTTGTGCGGATTGTTGTGCCTTTGAGGTGTTCCAGTCTAATCCATGCTTTTCTATCCATTGCTTTTGCATATTATAAGTACCATTGACAACTCTCTCTACAGTTTCATACCACTGCTCATTTGTGCCAGTATCTGGTTTGATTCTTGAGTATGTTCGACGATAAACCAACTCTCCCAATACTCCAAACCCAAATGGGACTTGTTTTTGAGAATATCCATCTATAAATTGTTTTGATAGTTGAAACTTTCTTGCAGATCTACTTTCATAGAATGGTGTTTGGTGTGGTTGTTGTTGCTGCTGCTGCTGTTGTTGTAGCTCTTCACTAAACGATAATGATACTGCTGGTGATTCGTTTATATGGCTTTTCAATGTGGTTGTAGTTGTAAACATCGATGTTTTGTAATTCATTAAAGTTGTATTAAAAGTTGAAGTCAAAGTAGTAGTTGTTTGATGGGATAGATTAAATAAAGTATTTATGTTTGTAGAAGTAGTAGTAGTTGTAGTAGTAGGGAACCGTTTGGTCAAATAAAAGTAGTTGCTGCTTCTGCTGTGATGATGGTTCAGTAGTTTATTACTGTTCTGTGTAAGAACTCGAATATAACTACCTTTTAGTATTGATAATTTATTCTAACAATGAAAGAATGATAAGTCTGCATGAATTATGAATAAATATATATTTCTTTATACATACATTCATTATTATGTGTGTATGAATAGACAAAAAAAGAATACGGATGATGATCAAAATTTCCAAGAACATCAAGTATTGAACAGACAGATTATCCCAAAATTTTATTATTTGGGATAATATATTTTATTTTTTTTAGCCAACCTAATCGTTGGGATTGAGCAGACCAGGCTTTGGTGATAACGATGATGATGATGATGATGATGGCGATATTTCTGTTTGTTTAACCTCTGTAAACTTATTATTATTATTATTATTATTATTATTATTATTATTATTATTATTATTTTGGGATATATCACCATCCAAATCAAAAATGGGAGGATCAAAAGATGATTTTGTTATATTTCTTATTTGTTTGGACGACGATGCAGATGTTGTTAAAGAAGGTGTAATGATTAAAGGTGAATTGGTATGACTACTGCTCGTGCTACTGTGTCCACTATTAGAACTCCCACCACTGTTGCTATTGTTATCATTAAAATGCAAGTGATCTCTTTCCAGAGTCCTAGTCAACGATAAATCTGCTGCAAGTGAACCAATTCTAAGATGTGTCTTTCTATGTGATGGGCTCATCATTGATGACGATGTAGGTGACCCAACAATCATTGATGATGATGATGATGATGATGATGGTGGTGGGGTTCTACCACTTGTTGTAACAGGTGACATTATCATTGTAGAAGGTGTTTTGTTACCATATGAATCTGATTTTAATGAATCATCTTGTGTACATGTTTTTGTTGTTGATGTTGTTATTGATGGTAGTGGTGTTTGGTTTTGAATATCTACATTGTGAGTATGATGATCTGATGACGATGATGATGTTGTTTGAATTTGTGATGACAAAGTAGAAACCTCTTTATAAAGTGAGAGGTCTTTGAACGATGATTCTATAATTGGTTGGATAGAATCTTTACCAATAATAATATTATTATTATTTTGATTATTTTGATTATTTTGATTATTATTATTACAATTATCAATAATATTATTTTCACTAGTTTCTAAAGAGGAAGAAGATAAAGGAGGAGGTTGTACTGAATGCCTACGAGCACTTTTAAAACCAGATGGAGATGTTGGTGTGAGGAGTTGCTCACTACCAATAGAACAGATTCCACCAATTCCATCGAGCGAAAGTAGAGATAATTTTGGTGACGATGACAATGGTGATCCATTCAAGCTATTACTATTTCCAATGATTACTTTTCCTGTAATCTCTTCTTTTCTCTTTTCAATATTGCATAGTATTTTTTCCCTACAGAATGGAGTATTTCCAACAATCTAAATTAATAGCTATTAGTAAATAAAATAGGAATGCTATGATTATATGATCATCTTTTGTTTGTTTGTTTGTTTGTTTGTTTGTTTGTTTGTTTGTTTGTTTGTTTGTTTGTTTGTTTGTTTGTTTGTTTGTTTGTTTGTTTGTTTGTTTGTTGTTTTATAATTTACCTTTACCAATAATGTAACTTGATCTTTGTGTCGTATGTGTTCGAAATCAGAAAAGGAAAGAGGATCAATCATAATATTGTCATTGTGACTGAAAACTAGAGATGATGATTGAATAAGCAACTCTTCTGATAGCTTTTTCTTTGTAGACTGTACAGTGTCACCGTTGGATACTCGAAGGTGATATTTGAAATTATCGGGAAATTGAAGATAAAGATCCAATGGTTTGTGTATATTTGACTCTTGATCGTATGATAGAATATTAGATGGTACACCAGTGTTTGATGTGGGTGTGGTGGTCGAACCAGTACTACTACTACTACCCCTATTAATATGATCTGATATACGACTAATAGACAATAATCTCAATGATGAGAACTTGGTCATATTATCTTTATGTGACATCTTTTAAAAAGATTATTTCTATCGGTCTCTCTCTCTCTCTCTCTCTCTCTCTGTCTCTCTCTCTCTCTCTCTCTCTCTCTGTGTCTGTATGTTTGTGTTTTGTTGTTAAATACGATACTAATGTTGTCATGCAGTGCTTTACAATCAGTTTTAGAAAACCCTATCCAAAACCTCCAATGTTTAAAAAAAAAAAAAAAAAAAAAAAAAAAAAAAAAAAAAAAAGTTGGTTCAGGTAGCTCTGAACCACTCATAATTATATTAATATTATATATATATATATATTTATATATTTTTATGTTTTCTTAATTATAATTAGATTTGTGTGACTACAAAGTAGAATCTATAAAAAATAAAAATAAAAATAAAATATTGGATGACCTATTTAATGTTTGCAGACAAACAATGTTGATGGTGTGTACACAGAAAAAGTGGGGTGCAGCCTTCCTTTGTCAAAGATCTTTGCACCTCCTCGTTGTTGAATCATTCTTTCGTCAGATGACCCTCCAAAGATATCTTGGTGGTCTTGAATGAATTTTTCGTCCCAAGATCTTCTTTTTCTCTTTGCAGGCTTTTTTAAATTGAACAACCTTTTTTTTTTTTTTTTGGTTGTTGTTGATGTTGTCAGTGGTAGGTGTTGAGTCATTCTTTTTTTACTTTACTTTACTTTTAACTTTTACAACAGTTAATCATTCAAAGTAAGAACATTACAACAGTGTCTCTCTTGTAGTTACAACAACAACAACAACACATAGCATATGATTTTAGATAATCTCTACTACTCAACTTGAAATCATATTTCTTCTCCACAACAACAATATCGATATTTTTATTTATTTATTTTTAATTTATTTTTCTCGAGCTTCGCTTTATAGATTGCCAGTTTTAGAAATTTAACAATTGTTTTTGTCAATAATAATAATAAACAAAAGAGTTTTTTTTTTTTTTTTTTTTTTTTTTAATACAATTTAATTCCCAACATATATATTTTTAAATATTAGACAAATGTAATAAGACACAAAACATTCATTTAAATAGTTTGGAATTATTATTATTATTACTCTCATCACCATATTTCTTTTTATATAATATAGATCTCAGGTTTGTGAATACATTTAGAATAATTATATTTTTGTACAAAATTATTTGTTGTTCTCCTCTCCTCTCCTCCCACGCACCCCTTCTCTAGATTTAAATATGAAAAAATGCATATAATCAATATGTGCACATTTTAAGGGCAACAACCATATTATTGTTGTTGTTGTGGGTGGTCTGTGTTTGTGTGTATGTGGTAAATTTGGTGTAATAGTTGTCATCAAAAGAGAGAGAGAGAGAGAGAGAAAGAGAGAGTGAGAGTGAGTTGGGCAGCAATCTTACTCTTTATACCTCTTTTTCTCTCTACGTTACACCAAATTTCATTTATTATCTTTAAATCTTCTTTTCTCTATTCTTTTATTCCTTGTCTTGTTTTTAATAACCTTTTTCTCTTCCTTTGCATCATCACCAATAGCAGTAGACATTACACAAAAGATTGTTTTATAATCCTACCTTTGTCATTATTAACTTGACTTTATCTCTCTATCTTTTCCTCACTCTTTTTCTTTTATTTTCTATTTTTATAGAATACCAAAACTTGTATATAAAAACAACAACAACAACAACAACAACAACAACAACAACAACAACAACAACAACAACAACAACAACAACAACAATATATTAAAAAAGATGGAACCACTTAACAACAGCAGCAGTAGCACAACACCACCACCAAGCGATTTGATTAAAAAAGATGGATTAATTTCCGAATCATTAAGCTCTGATCAATTGATGAAATTGGAGGCTTCATATGCTGCTCACACCTATCATCCAATTCCAGTCGTATTTCAAGAAAGCACAAGGTGTCTATGTTTGGGACACTGAAGACAAGCGTTATTATGATTTCTTAAGTTCATATTCTGCTGTTCAATCAAGGTATGAATAATAATAATAAAACAACAGTGATACAATAACAAAATGTATATTGATTGATTGTGATACTAACAAACCAACCATTCATATAAATATATATCTATATCTCTCTCTCTCTCTCTCTCTATCTCTATCTCTATCTCTAGGTCATAGTCACCCAAAGATTGTTGAAGCTTTGATAAGCCAAGCTCAAAAGTGTGCATTGAGTTCAAGAGCTTTTTACAATGAAGTATTCCCACAATATGCCAAATACATTACCGATTTCTTTGGCTATGAAATGGTACTCCCAATGAACACTGGTGCCGAGGCTGTCGAAACTGGCATTAAATTGGCACGTAGATGGGGTTATGTTCACAAGCAAATTCCAGAAGATGAAGCTATTATAATTAGTTGCAAGGGATGTTTCCATGGTAGAACCATTGGTGTCATCTCCCTGAGTGACGATCCAACTTCATACTCCAACTATGGTCCACTCTTGAGTGGATTTGTAAAGATTGATTATAACAATACCGAGCAACTAGAACAAGTTTTAAAACAACACGGCAGTCGTATTTGTGGTTTCATTGTCGAACCAATTCAAGGAGAGGCTGGGTATGTACACAACAGGAATAATATTATTTTTTGATCATTTATTATTATATTTTTATTTATTCTAATTTTATTATTATTTATTTATTTCTTCTTTCTAGTGTCGTTGTACCAGATGAAGGATACTTGAAGAAATGCTATGAATTATGTAAAAAGTATAATGTTTTATTTATTGCCGACGAAATCCAAACTGGATTGTGCAGAACTGGCAAATTATTATGTTGCGATTGGGAGCAAGTAAAGCCAGATATTTTATTGCTTGGAAAGGCCATTTCAGGTGGTCTATTGCCAATCTCTGCCGTTTTATCATCAAAGAATGTCATGTTGACCATCAAGCCAGGTGAACATGGCTCAACATATGGTGGCAGTCCACTTGCCTCTGCTGTTGCCATGGCCGCATTGGAAGTACTAAAGGTAGAGAACCTTGCTGAAAAGTCACAAGAGTTGGGTGAACACTTTAGAAATCAAGTCTTAAAGATCAAGTCACCATTGATCCAACTCGTTAGAGGAAAGGGCTTACTCAATGCCATTGTCGTCGATCCAAATGCCAAGATCACTGCATGGGAAATTTGTCTAATGTTTGCTGAAAAGGGACTTCTTGCCAAACCAACTCATGACCACATTATTCGTATGGCTCCACCCCTTACCATTACTCGTGAACAATTGGATGAATGTATTGTCATTATCAGACAAGTATTTGAAGATGCTGATAAACAAAAGGATATCCCAGGAAAATAAATTAAATAAATAAAAAAAAGATATACATATATATAACTTACACACACTTGAATGGTATTCATATTGTTTTTTCATTTATTTAATACAATATCAAAAAGGAATAATAATAAAAAGGAATAATAAAAAAGGAATATCTTATCTCTCTTTTCCTTTTTTTTTTTTGGTTTTAATAAATAATATTATTTAGCTTTAGTTTTTGGGGGGAAAGTTTAAACAGTCTTTCTTTCAGAGATGGCTCTGACAACTGAACCGATACCACCCTTCTTGAGAGTAGCTTCGAACCACTTGAAAAAGATGGCAGAGTTATCACCAGTGGCAAGTCCACGGTAGATGTATTTCATCAAGATGTCCAATTGGTCGGCATCGAGACGTTCAACGCATGCATCAACATCCTTTTCCTTTACTTGTCCTAATAATCCAACAACAACTGCAGAATTTTGATCTTTGATAGCTTGTGATTTGGTGTAAATTGGTGGGTCTTGAAGAGCAATTGGGATGGCTTCAGATGGTTTTCCTCTAGTATTAAGTAAAATCGGAAATGATGATTAGAAGAGGAAGGAGAGAGAGAGAGAGAGAGAGAGAGAGAGAGAGAGAGAGAGGAGAGAGAGATTTAGCAGCTGCTATAAACTACTACTACATACTGATTCAAAAACTTTGCTACTTCCTTTTCACGAGCAGAGATATCTTGCTTGTATTCAGCGTCTGACTTGCCTGCTACTGAACCAGAATCGATGTTTTCTTCTTCGTAGTTGCTCATTGTTGTTTTGTTTTAGTATATAGATTACAGGTGTTAATAAAGAATAGAGAATGGATAATGTACAATTTTTAAATAATACAGAGGTTGATTGTTCAAATAGAGAAGAATAGATGTCATGGGTAGAGCCAGATTTTTTTTTTTTTTTTTTTTGAAAATTTATTGATTTTTTTTTTTGGTTCCGCGGCCCCTGTAATTTTTTTATCATAATTGTTTGATCAAACAATTCAATCATAAATCTTCTATATAAGAAGAACTGAATGAGTCCAACAACATGACAATGGAAATTAGAGGTTACATTCGATCATACAAAAGAAGTATTGTTGATCAAATTTATTATCAACAACAAATATATTTGGTATAGCAACAAGAATCGCGATTATTTGACCTAGCACAGTCAAACCTTTAATTTCATCTAAATATGTAAATGTTATTAGTAAGAATTAGTTCTATTATATGAAAGAGATATAACACATTCATAAATGACATAAAATAACAAATGAGATTCATCTAGAAAAACAAAAACCCAAAAGTGTTAAGTAATACAATCAAGTTTTCAAATAGAGTACAACAGATTGGGAACAGATGAAAATGACAGTTATTTTATATTATTTTTAATATTGCAATATCTATTTTCCATAATAATAATAATAATAATAATAATAATAATAATAATAATGGATATCAAAAGTCATTGTGATATTGGCAAAATATGGTCTAATTTATCCACTTTGGATTTATCCACTTTGGATTTTTTCCAAATAGTTTAAACTTGTTTTTTTATCTTATTGATCATACTATTATTATTTATTTATTATTAATATTAATTATTGTTATTATTTATTATTTATTTATTTATTTATTAATTTAATTATTAATTAATTATTTACATGTCAAATGGATTCAAAAGAATTACCAAAAATTCAAAAAAAAGTAATTACAATATAAAAGAATAGATATGTTTATAGAGCATTTTTACTGAACACACTTTTCTATTATATATTTTTAAATAGGATTTGATTGAACAATATAAAGTTTTTAGAAAAGAAATACAAGGACTATCAGGTTCAACAAAGTATTTTCAACCAACTGCTCATTTCTTGGGCCCAAAGGTAACCTATTTTGGTATAAAACTGTTTCAAAATGTGACTCATGCTAATTTTCTCTTTTTTTTTTTTCTTTCTTAGGCAGAGAATGCACAATTATTTAAAGAATTGGTCAATATTGCTTTAGAAACCCACTTTTCTTCAAGAAAATACAATTGTAGAGATGTATCTGTTTATAAAGAAGGATTTAAAGATACACCAGAGTTTATTGAGACTGCCGAACAAATGAGGCAAAAAACAACACAACTATCAAAATTGTTGACACGATCAATACCATTTACTTCATTGCGTTATATGGCACACATGCATGCAGATTTAACAATGGCATCGGTGGTTGGTTATATTGCTGGGATGTTATACAACCAAAATAATGTTACATCACAAGCCAGTCCGGTTACAACTTGGCTCGAAATGGCGGTAATCAACGATTTGTGCCGAATGATTGGATTTCAGTTTCCATCCGAATCACATAACCTCCTCCATCTACAGGACCACATATCCCCTAGTGGTCATTTGACAAGCGGAGGAACAGTGGCAAACGATGAAGCAATGTGGAGCGCATCATGTACCAAATTTATTCCATTGGCTTTGGCAGAGGCTATTAGAAATGAACCTCTCTTGGCTCCTGCATCGTCGTTTTCCGTTCAACTTTGCAATGGACAGTCCAAACAGCTTACCCTCCTCGATTCTTGGGAAGCACTAAATATATCTGTCGATGTTGCTGTGGGTCTTCCACACCGAGTGGCTTCTATTTGTGGTATTGGAGCATGTCAAGTTATTTACCTTGTCAAACAATATCACCTATCAACTCTTGGTATCCTTTCGTTTTTCCAACACCACAAGATCAATGAACCTCTCTTTATTGCATCGGGTCCCAGCCATTATTCTATACCAAAGGCATCGAACCTCCTTGGCTTTGGAACCAAGAGTACCAAAAAGGTTCCAGTCGACGAAAAGGGACACATGGACCTTGTCCTTTTCAGAGAAGAATTGCGACAGTGTCTTGTCAATCACACGCCAGTCATTGCAGTCATTGCAATACTCGGCACTACAGAAGAGAGCAGTGTGGATGATATAGATGGTATCCTAGGAATTCGAGAGGAATTTAGGCAAAGGGGACTGGATTTCACTATTCATGTAGACGCAGCACTCGGAGGTTATCTATTGTCGTGTATACGAAGTGACTATATCATTGAGCAAGATACATTTGAAGATGTTTTTTGTCCATCTGCCACTGTGATGATCCCAAACTCACCACACAACAACATGGATAAAGATGACCCAGAAATATATTGCAGTTTGTATCTAAGAAAACAACTTTATGCTTGTTCTCGAGTAGATACTATAACAATTGATCCTCACAAAGGTGGTTACGTACCCTATTCGGCTGGTGCAATCTGCTATCGCAACTCTCGACAAAGAGATACACTTGTTCACAGTGCCGTCTACATTGGTAGTTCTAAAGTGACAAGTGTCGGTATCTATGGTATCGAGGGAAGCAAACCAGGTGCAGCCGCCTCTGCAGTGTACCTTAGCCACTCTCTTATTCGTACATCAAAATCTGGATACGGTATGATTCATAAAAAGTGCCTATTGCTTACCAGACTCTTTTATCTTTCTCTGCTCTGGATGGCCGACGAGACCAATAACTTTGTCGTTCACTGCATAACAAATCCACCAAGTTTAGCCGAATTGAAATATTTAAAAGCAAAGATCACCCAAGACGATGGAAACTTGAAGCCATATCAAGATATTGCCAGCGACGACAAGGATCTGATTCAACGATTGGCAGAGGTTGGACCAGACCAAAATATCGTTTGCTACTCGTTCAACTTTAAAACTCTAGATGGCATTCAAAATACCGACTACCAACAGTTTTGTCAGTTTAATGATCGAATTTATTCAAGATTCAGTTCAATTCCTCAAGATTTGGACTCTAACAAGTATGACCTCATCCTATCAAATACCTCTATTAGTTCGACACATGGTACAACTTTTATAAATGCCTTTATCCAACGTGTTGGTCTTGTCAATGTGCCACAATCATTTGTTTCAATACCTGTTTTGCGTTCAACCATAATGGAGGTATTTATTGATGTTGCCCTGGCAGATATTATAAACACTCTCAAGGTTGAAATAACCAACATAGCAAAGGAATTTCAAACACAACCATTGTGTAATAATAAAGACTGAGCCCCTATCCTGGTTTGCAACAGATGTAGATGGGCCACACTGTTATTTTTGTAAGCCTCATTCTTTTTTAGTTTGAACGGTTTTTTGCCAATCTTTACCTAAAATCACACGTGTGTGTTCAATCAAAATCCATTTTTAAAAAACCCCTACAACATCTCCCCAATCAGAATTGAAAATTCCCTTTTTTAAAAAAGTTGCAACGGATTTGTAATCTGACATGTAAATCTTTCCATTGATTTTAAATTGCTTTGTTAACCATTAGATATAAATACCTTGACACCCAGCATACTTTAGGTTTTAATTCATTTCATTTATTTATCTATCATTTATCTATTAAATTATCATGAGCAATCCATACAACATACCAAAAGAATTTTTGGAGGAATTTATTCAGTTTGGAAAGGAACTACCAGGTTTATCTGGTTCTTCAGTTAAATACTGTCCACAATCACAATTTTTAGGACCAAAAGTAAATAATCCTACTCTTATTTTTTCATCCTATTTTTTTTCTAACTTATTTTCTTTTGTTTCTCTTTCTACTTTAGGCTGAAAACCAAGCATTATTTTCTGAACTGATCAACTCTGCTTTCAAGGCTCATATTGACTCTAGAAAGAATTTTAGAAAAGAAGACTCCCCAATCTTTAATCCAGATTTCCAATTGACTCCCGATTATCAAAATGCTGCCAAGGATATGAAGGAAAAGTCAGAGAGACTATTCAAGTTTTTGACAAAGTCACTTCCATACTCCTCGTTTAGATACATTGGTCATATGACATCAGATGTTACCATTGCCTCTGTAGTAGGATATATCAGTACTATTCTGTATAATCCCAACAATGTTACAATCCAAGCTAGTCCAGTAACCACTTATATCGAGTTGGCTGTTGGTATCGATCTTTGCAGAATGGTTGGTTTCCCTTTCCCCAAGCCCCTCGACCCTGTCCTCACTGAAACTGAAAAGGCCAGACTTTCAATCGATCAAATTACTCCACGTGGTCACCTGACAAGTGGTGGTACCGTAGCAAACGACGAAGCAATGTGGAGTGTCTACTGGGCCAAGTTCCTTCCATTGGCTTTGAATGAAGCTATCAAGTACCAACCCAAACTTGCCAAGGCTGTGGATCTGACTGTCAAACTTGCCAACGGTACAATCAAGAAGCTCAGCCAGTGTAGTACTTGGGAGGCCCTCAATCTCTCTGTCGATGATTGTGCTGGACTCCCCTATCGTGTTGGTATCATTTGCAACATTGAGCCATCAGAGATTACCTATCTCCTCAAGCAATACCATCCATCGAATCTCGGTATCCTTACCTTTTTTACTCAACACAATATTAGAGAACCATGTTTTCTTACTCCAGCCACTGGTCACTATTCAATTCCAAAAGCTGGTGCCCTTTTGGGTTTGGGATCTGATGCTGTCAAGATTCTCCCAGTGGATAAACATGGACGTATGGAGATGACTGTTCTAAGAGCTCACCTGGAAGCATGTCTTTTACACAAAATCCCAGTGATTGGTGCAGTTGGAGTCCTAGGTACTACCGAAGAGTCTGGTGTCGATCACATTGACGAAATCATTTCAATTCGTGATGAATTTAGAAAGAAAGGACTTAACTTTGCTGTGCATGTCGATGCTGCTTGGGGAGGATACTTTTTATCAATGATCCGTCCAGACTATTTGTTGGAGGATCCAATTGCCGATGTGTTCCATCCAACAACTACCAAAACCCCACCATCTCCATTTAACAATATGGATGAATCTGATCCAGCTTTGTACTGCTCTGACTATTTCAAGAAACAATTACATGCTTGTTCCCGTGCCGATACCATCACTATCGATCCTCACAAGAGTGGTTACATTCCATACCCAGCTGGCGCCATCTGTTACCGTAACTCTAGACTCAGAGATTCACTGGTCTACACTGGTGTCTACATTGGAGGTACTGGTGTAACAAGTGTCGGTATTTATGGTGTAGAAGGTAGTAAACCTGGTGCCGCTGCTTGCGCTGTCTACCTAAGTCACTCGGTGATTCGTACCTCAAAATCTGGCTATGGTACCTTGCTCAAGAGATGTATGTTGAATACCCGTCTTTTTTATCTCCGTCTCATCTGGATGTGTTCCCCAACCGATAATTTCGTTGTTCACGGTGTCCCAGTTCCACCATCTGCCCTTCAATTGGAATATTTCAAAAAGAATCTTATCCTTCCAAACGGACAATTCAAGAGTTCTGAAGAAATTTCAAAGAACAAGGAACTGATCAAACAATTGGCCGAAATAGGACCAGACCAAAACATCATCTGTTATGCTTTTAACCCAAAGATCAAGGGAGTAGTCAATACCGACTACAAGGTATTCTGTGACTTTAATGACAAAATTTACAAGAGATTCGACTATATTCCAGAACCCGATCTCAAGGAATATGATTTGGTGATTTCCAACACTGAATTTGGTCCATCTTATGGTAATACCTTTATCAACTCGTTTGCCAAACGAATTGGATTAAAGAACCTGCCTTATGAAGGATCAATTCCAGTCCTCCGTTCAACAATCATGGATGTCATGGCTAATGAAAGTGTAACTGGTAGTGCTTTTGATGAGTTGATCAAAATTCTTAAAACAGAAGTAACAAAATTCTCTGCTGAATTACAACCAAGAGAATCTGCTTAAATCAAAAATAATAAATAAATATATATATATATGTATTCAATTTGTAATATCAATTTTTTTTTTTTATATTTATATTTATCTTTATCTTTCTTTAATAAAGATATTTTGATTTATTTTCTTCTAACAATTTGGCAGAAGTTTTGGCATCATTAAATAAAGAACTAACTTCTTCAATGTCATCCTTGGTAATAGAAGTACGACCATTTGTTTTTGAAAGGATAGCTGAAGGAGTCAAAAGTTGGATAGCATAACGAAGTGATGATTTGTCACCAATCTCTGCCAAATAGGTAAGAGCATCGTCTTCAATCTTGTGACCTTCAACAGTGGCTCTGATCGTGAGAATTTGTACAATCTCGTTAAAAGAATAGGGTAAAGTGCGAATAATCATTAAACGATCCAATAAATCAACTGGGATACCATGTGGTGAGATGATATCTGTTCCTTTAATTGTACAATTTCCACGATTGGTAGCAAAAATAACAATCGGTGCCAATGTACTCTCTAGTGCTTTGTTTAAATATGAAAAACATTCAATATCCAACATATGAATTTCATCAATAAATAATACACCTGGTACCAATTCTGCTACTCCTTGTTCAATATATCTATTAACAATCTATTTAAATAAATAAATAAATAAAATAAATAATTAAATATAGAAATATTGTTTTTTTTTTTGTTTTTTTACCTTATTAATTTCCAAACGTAATTTTTCAGTGATTTCTGTTTTCTTTGGTTTCATCATTTGACCCATCATTGACATTATATCTTGTCCACCTTGTGGTTTGGCATTGGCAAGATCCAAATCGTGAAGAGTTACATCTTGAATGATTTCTTTCTTTTTGAAAACCTCTCCCTTTGGAAGTGGGACGTATTCCTCTGCTTCGAGATCGTGTTCTGTGGCATAGAAATCACTTCTACCGACTCTCTTTACGCTACCACTGTTGGCTTCGACATAGATGACATCTCCGACAGTGATACGTTCTTTTTGAATACTTTCATAGATGGTTGGATCTAGTTTGAGTTGTTTTGTACCCTTGGTAGTCTTGAGTCCAACAGTCACGTGAGCAATGGTTTTTCCATAACCACCCATAACATTATCAGTCTCTTCTGGTGTAATCTCTGTAACCTCACCTTCGTAGACATCTTTTGTCTCTTTGACACGAAGACCAATGGAACGACGGAAATTCTCCATCAATATCTCTGTCTTTTTAACCTCGCTACTGTATACCTCTGAACCAACCATTGGACAAAAAGGTACCTTTGTGCCGAGATCGTGTGCAATAGCAAGTGCCAAAGCAGTCTTTCCGGTGCCTGGTGGACCAGCCAAAAGTAAAGCTTTACCAGCCATCTTTTTAGATCTAATCAACTCTGCCACTATACCAGCAGCTTCTCTTGCTTTTGATTGACCAACCAAACCATCTCCTATTGTATTTGCGCTACCATCTACATTTAAACCCAAACCTTTAATGTGACTATGTGTTGCTACTCTTTGTGATTTTAGATTTGATTTAATCTCTTCAATCTTGTTTGTAGAAGAAGAAGAAGAAGTCGTTGTAGATGTTGTTGATGTTGTTGTATTTTGTTCATTCATATCTGTATCTGTCATTATTTCGAAATATTTCGATTATTACAGTAGCTGCTATGATCATACAATAGTTTACCTTTTTTGATCATCATCACACCAATGAATCGTTCACACTATTTAAATTATTTTTTGTTTTTTTTTTTTTTTATTCATTTTTTTGGTGTGTCGTTTCTATCACTCTCTCTTTCAAGCTTGAAAATCTGTTTGCAGATCACATAAGTGTAATATAAAAGAAAGATCTATCTAATAATGTCAAGAATCACTCAACTCCTCAGAAATACTTTCCTCGAACACCAAAAGATTGGTAAGAAGAAGAAGAAGATCATTGTGAAACCAATCAAAATAACATAAACTTACTCACCTTTTCATCATCATCATCATCAAACAGGTTTATACTATGCTGATCTTTACAACGAAACTCCAGTCGTAAAGGAAGTTCTCCGTAGATTACCAACAGCTACACTAGCTCAAAGAGACAGAAGACACAAGATTGCTTTCGACTTGAACGTCAAGAAGCAATATTTGGAAGGTAAATGATGAACAAACTAGTACTTCTTCTACTACTACTACTCGATACAACTTTTAAACCATGTTTATTAACTTTTCTTTCTCTTTTTTTTTAGAATCACAATGGTCAAATTCTGAAAAGGATCTCGAATACACTACTCTCTTTGAAACAATGATGAATGATGTCGAAAACGAGTTTGAAATTCGTAAAGCCTTCAGAGCCTAAACAACATTGTTAAAATTATATAAACATTACAGAAAAGATAAATTAACAAAAACATAAGTATATATATGATTCTACTCTTTTTATTTATTTATCAATTATTATTATTATTATTGTTATTATTATTATTATTATTATTATTATTATCAATTGATGGTAAAGCCAAATCTATTTGTTGATCTGAATCATGGTTTGAAAACATTCTACAATAACGACCCTTCATGTCCATCAATTCGGTATGAGTTCCTTGTTCGACTAGACAACCTTTTTCCAAAACAAAGATCTTGTCACAATCACGAACAGCAGCTATTTTGTGGGCCACAATGACAACAGTATGACCACGAGTCAATTTCTTGATTGAATTAGTGATAGCTTCTTCCGACTCTGGATCCAATTCGGCAGTGATTTCGTCGAGTAACATAATTGTACGTTTGGCACAGATGGCACGAGCAACGGCAATACGTTTCTTTTGACCACCAGACAACATACTACCTGCTTGTCCCAATTGAGTGTCGTATCCCAATGGAAGATCGATAATAAATTCGTGAGCATTGGCCATCTTGCTGGCCTCTATAATCTCTTCTCTAGTTGGCTTGTCCAATGCATATCCAATATTCTCGGCCACTGTACTATCAAAGAGGAATGGCTGTTGATTTACAACAGTGATGAATTTTCTAAGATCGATTGGCGATATCATCTTGGTGTTGTGTCCATCCAATATAATTTCACCTTGATTGATTTGATAAAAGTTGGCCATCAATTCGAGACAGGTAGATTTTCCTGATCCACTTGGACCTACTAGACCATAACATTTACCTTGTTCGAGTTTCAATGTGATATTGTTGAGAACAACAACATCGGGTCTGGATGGATATCTAAACGAGACATTCTTGAATTCGATATCTCCTTTGACGCGCTTCAACTTTACAAATGTGTTGGGAAGCTCTTGCAACTCGACAATGGAAATACCAGTCTCTTTGTATTTGGCCTTGTCTCTCTGCTTTGCCAATTGTTTCTCCTCTTTTTTACTGAGTGGAACTTGCGAAATATTGTCATCGGTCTGTGGTGGTGGTGGTACCACAGCGGCAGAGGAAACATCGTCGCTGTTGGGTGTTGTAGAGGGTGGTGAATCACCAACAAGTGCTGTGGGCGGCGGTGTCGTTTGTTGTCCAACCAGACTTGGAGTTGTTGAACTAATAAACGTACCATCGTTTAGCTGGCTTGGATCGATATACTTTTCCTTTCTTCTTCGAGGAACATTACGTAGAATAAGGAAGACTCTATGAGCACTGGCAAGAGATTGAACATAACTGATATAGATACCAAAGAGACTTTGTGAACTTTCAATGACATAACCAACATAAAGAGTAAAACTAACCAATAGACCGACAGAGAACTCCTTTCTAATGGAGAGATAGGCACCAAAATAGAGAATGATAAATGCCAATGTCTCGACCAAGAACCATTTGACCGATCCTGCAAATGTATTTACAACAATAAGACTTCTTGCTGTTTCATAAACGTCCATGGCGCTATTGTCAAATCTTTTGATTTCAGACTCTTGTTTGTTGTAGTTTAGGACAACTTGAACATTGACCATTGCTTCACTACCAGTTTTTGAGAGTTTAGAGGTAAAGAATAACAATTGACGAGTCAATCTCTTGGCAAACTGTGATTGTATCTTGGTGGTGATGGCAAGAATTGGAATGGTTGCAAAAAATGCCAATGACAACTTCCAACTGATCGAGAACAAGAATACCAAACTACCAACAAATTTACAAATACCAGTTGCAAATGTTAACAGTATACCTGTCAATGCTGATCTAAGCATTGGTGTATCGATAATCAATACATTGATAAGTGTTGGAGCATTGTTTCTACTAAAGAATCCCATCTCTTGTAACATAATTGTTTTAAATACTTTCTATTAAAAATAAAAATAAAAAATAAAATCAAAAATTAGAAATAAATTATAAATGTAGTATTTTTTTTTTTTTTTTTTTTTGTGTTACTTACTACTTGTAAACTTAAAGACATTAATTCATTTACTATACCAGAAACCCAACTACTAATAGTTGTAAAAACAAATTCTACCAAAGCCAACAAGAAAATATAGATAAATTGTTCACGTAGATCATTGATCGAGGTGGTAGTTGGGATGGCTTGAATGATGTTACCAATATAAAATGGTTGAAGGATTGCAGCGGCTGTTGAAATGAGGGAACAAGCGGCCGAAATCAATAGACGGAATATGAATGGCGAAATGAGGGAATAGAGATCTGGGATAGTGACTTTGGCCTTTTCGCTTTTGTGTTTTACATGAATACGTCTTACTTGACTCTTTCTTTTCTTTTTACCTATGATTGCTGCCGTTGCCCCACCCGCAACTATTATTGCTCCATTAGCGTCACCACCACCCCCTCCTCCGCCACCGTCTCCACCATTAATATTATCAACACCTTTTTCATTGACACGTTTTTCATTTCCATCTGTGGTTCCATCCAATTCAGACTCTTCCTTTTTCTTCTTCTTGTCGTCGTCGTCGTCATCTTCCATATCACTTTCATCGTCACTGTCATCGTGACTCTTTAGACATTCTATATCCTCTTTTCTATTTCTTTTTTCTTTTCTCTCCATATATTTGATGAGACCAATGATAGAAAAGAGAAGAATCATGGTTGCTCCAGCCACAATGATGACAATGTAATTGTAGGAAAGAAAGGCAGAGCAAGAGTTGGTAAGAGAGTTATAGTTGTAACCAGATGCACAACTGTTGACAATACACGTGTCCCACAATAATGTTTTGGAGTTACATTTCTGAGTACCCTCTCCGTTTGGCACGGTACACACACCAATATCACCGGCTCCACACTGAGGACAATAGCTCGTTTCATATTGACCGTTGATACCAGAAATGACAATAGAATATTTTTGTGGGCCAATGGGAATATTTTTGCCAATGACAGTGTATTTGTAAATGGTACCATCCTGAGTGGGTGTGATTGTAATCTGCTCGACGTTGTTGATGGAGTCGGCAAGGGCTCCAGTCACGGTGACAGACTCGGCTCCTTGATTTCCTAGTTCGATGACATTTCCATGCTGCACCCTTAGGTCAAGATTGTTTACCAAATCGTAAAAAGCTCCGGGATTGCTAGCTGGATCTGTCCACACTAGAGTTGCTCTGATTTGTGGGTCACCAACAATCGAGGGATCCTTTGTTACAAATTTGACACAATAGCTTGCTGTTTTGTTAAACTCGATGTCTGGCTCTCTCCAGCTAGGGATTGATTGACCTTCTCCTCCTAGGCCACCAATTAAGATCCATGGTTTCAAAGGGTTTGGTTGTGAATTGAAATTTAGCAAGTTGCCAAGTTTGACGGCTCCCCATCCATCGACATAGGATGCACCAGTTACTGTAGTACGAGTAGGCATTGGTGAACGACCAGTTGGAGAGGAATCAACAGGAACCTCCATCGTACCATTCAATCTGGTTGCAGAATTAATGATAAATGCCTTCATCAAAGCCGCAGGGGGTGATACAAATGCATTGGAGGGTGTGGCTTCACCTGTTGGATAATAACCTTGAACCAAGTATTGACGGAGGATGGTTGCTGCTGCCGCCACATGGGGTGTCGACATACTTGTACCTTCAAGTGCAAGTAGTGCATCGCTTGCAACTCCGGTTGCACATTGATTAGCATTATTTGGACCATTACTACGTGAAGATACAACAAAGAAACCGGGAGCTACTACATCTGGTTTGATACGACCATCGTGGGTAGGTCCTTTTGATGAAAAAGTTGCAATATTATTTTCATTTAAAATGTTCTGAGATGATGCATTGCCAAATACACTAATGAATTGACTTTTAATGCTCGCCAAGCAACAATTAGCCAACCCTCTAGCAGTGGCTTGTCCTGAGCAACACTGTGCATCGGTAAAGTTGCAATACTGTTGATCAAATTGACATGCTGTTTGTAATCCTCTATTTAAAAAAAAATTAAAAATTAAATTAGCCAATGAAATCTACTAGAATAATATAATATTTCCACCTACTGATTTTGTTCTGCTGAGAAACTTTTAAAATTGGATACTGCTGGTAGAAAACTATCAAAACGACTGTTTTGAGCTCCAACCGTTAAAACATTTTTTGCTACTGATTGTGATAATAAAGACATGGGTTGTCCATTATTACCTGCTGCTCTACAAATTAAAAAGTCCTAAAAAAAAAATAAAAAAAAAGAAAGAGAAAGATTGTTAGAGCAGTCTGAATATGTTGTGGGTTGGCAAGTTTAAGTTTAAAATTTTTTACATACTGGATGGTTTTGAATAAATCGATCAATATCACTTGAAGCAATACTATATGAGCCATCATAACCAGCTGTGCTAACAGATCCCCAGGAATCACCCTGGACACGAGCACCAGCATCATAAATAGCTTGATACATATCACCAATGTTGACCGGTGGGGTGGGTGCTCCTCCATTTGGAGAGGAGATATCTGCAAAAGCTACTTTGGCATCAAATGCTGTACCTCTGTACTCATTTATCACATCTGATGGTGTAGATGTTAAACCAACCATTGATCCAACCTAAATTAATAAAAATAATAATAATAATAATAATTAATATATATATTATTTTATATTTGTTATTTATATACTTACAACATGTGTACCATGACCATCAATATCATCTGTATTATCATTTTGATAATTAAATAGAGCTACAACCTTTCGATGTTTAAGATTTACGACAGGTGATGGAAGTGGCTCTGCGGGATCACTAAAGAAACAATGACTCATATCGAGACCGGTATCTGAACATCCGATGATTTGACCGGATCCACGAAGAGGGATCTTGGAAAGGTCATTGGGGGGCAACAATGAATCATTGACACGAGAAAACATGATGGTTGGTGCATACTTGTTGGAGGTTTGGTGGACTCCCTTTCTCTCTAGAAATAGACATTCTACTTGTCCAGATATCCAATCGTATGCCAACTTTTCACTTTCGTCGATATTGCAGTGTTGCTGATCGAGACACTCGACTTTGGCAACCAACTTTGAAACAAATCTTGATGTTTGTTGTTGTTGAAGAGTATTCGAGGAGGGGGTAATATAAGAGTCTGGAACGACTATACTAATCTTGGCCTTTTTAGTTGCCAACAAGAGATGATTGATAGCATTGCTCCATGATTCAACAAAAGCATCGACTGCTTGACGAGTGTTGAATAATCCATTCTCTACCAATTGAATAATGACAGATGATGATGGATGATCACGAGCAAGTAAAGGTGTGGTGGGATTAAAGGTAGACATGTGAACCTTGTGATGAGCATCGTACCGACCGATCCAAGATACCCAAAGACGAAGACGAAGCTTTTCAGCCTGTCTTGAAGTCATAACAATATGAAAAGAGTCATCTGGAATATAAAAGAGTATCATTGATCCCTCTACCTCTTGTAGAACCATATCCAATCTTTTACGTATATCTTTGGAAATAGTATCATGGAATTGTACTATGTATTGATTGAATTGTTGTTCTTTATAAAAGAGTGGTGGTGGTGAATCTGAAGAGGTTGTTGGAAATGATGCTGTTGATAGTGGACGATCATCATTGATTAACTTTGATGATCTCCATAACCACGAATACAATGAAGAATCTTGGTTTTGTTGTTGTTGCAGATTATTATTGATATCAAGATTTTGATCGAAAGAAGGTATCTTTGAGGTATCGATTTTATCTTTCTTGAGATGAATAAAACGAGGTTTGGTACTCTTGATCGATTCTATTCCAATGTCTAGAGGATGGAGTGATGAAGAATAGAAATAATTACTACATTCAATGTAAAGTAGCAAAAGGGAACATATAATCATAACACCAATCGATGAATATCTCATCCATTTGTTAAATTCAACAACTTTTTCAATTTTCATTGTTGGTTGAGCAACAAATTTTTTGAAATAAGCTGCTGGTATGTTGGATAGAAACTAGAAGATTAATTAAAGATTGAAAAGAAATAATAAAATGTAAATAAAAAATAACTTTGTACCAACAAAGACAAATATATATATTAAAAAAAAAAGGTCAGAAAAGAATATTTAAAATAAATATAAAAATTTGTATAAATATGAAGATGAATAAAAAGAAAGGTATGATAAAAAAAATGACTTCCTGATGCTCCTTTGGCGGCGTAAATTAGACTATGTGTGTGTGAGGAGTGTGAGAGGTAGTGGGTTGGTTCAATCCAAGCCTTTCAAAAATAGATAGATAGATGGGTTGTTGTTGTTTGGTTGGAATAAGAAACCCAAAATAAAAAAAACCAAAACTAGAATATGATTGGGCTCTTTTTAGTTTGTCGGCATTATCTATTTTCCAGTGTTGGCATTGATGATGATGGTGATAAGAACTAAAGTTGAAAACTATATTATATGTTACCCTTTTTATTTTTTTATCTGATCGGTTGTTCTTGAAGCAATTTTCTGTATAAAGAAGAGATTATGATTAAAAGTCGTCAAGGTTAATACAAATAAATAAAAAAAAGTAAATTAAATTATTATTATTATTTATTATTATTATTATTGTTTTTGATAATGATGTTGATGATGTTGTTGTTCTTGGTTATCTCTCATCACTACTAGTAGAGTAGAGTAGTTTGCTAATTGCTTGCTGTTTAAATTTTAATTTTGGTAATACTCTTTTCTTGATCAAGTAATCACATCTATCCAAAATAAATTAATAAATTAGGATGTTGGCTAGTTAAGCTGATCATGGTAGACAAGTAAGTAGGTAACACACAAACACACAAACACACACACACACTAGACAGATAGACGACGACGACGATGATGTCTTGTCATTATAATGAGGTAAAACTTTTAATAATCCAAGACGATGATCCAAAATAACATCATCTCTTTTGACCCCCACCCCATCGTTCTTACTGTATAGGATTGTAGTCGACCTAAAATAGGCGAAAGTGCAAATAGGTAACATGTTTGTTGATGATTAACGTTATTGGTTTGGATTGGATGATTTGAAACAACATCAAAACATCTCCCTAACCCCCCCAGTATCACTACCACTAACCCGATCCAACCCAACCACTTCAGCACAACAAGTGTTCCCAATAATCGATCATCCTATCACAATCTATCATTTTTCTTCTTCTTGTTGTTGTTGTTGTTGTAGTTGTTCTTTAAAAAGATTGTCTTTTTGACGCACAGGTTGATCTGAAACAATAAGAGACTAGACTAGACTAGATCTGCAGATGTATGGATGGGGTATTTATATAACCACCGTAGCAGGGACCAAGTAGCAAGATTTTGGTCCCACCAGCAAACCTACACAATCATTTGTTGACAGTCAGCGCTCAGAATATCTATATATCAGAGCGAAGATAGATAGTTTCTATAACTCTATAAACACTGTGCTTGGTCTACATCACACAATCATTCATTTTATCAAACAACTTTTGAATGAAAATGATTCAAGGATTGAAACTTTTTGAACAAAAATAGAAAAAAAAAAAAAAAAAAAAAACATGTGTTTCAAATAATCTGTTTTGCAGGACTGAGGCGCAGCTACGAAAAAATAGGTGATGAATATTTATTTGGATGATATACTTGTGTACATATAAATATATATATTTGCGAATCTAATCTTTTTTTTTTCTGCCGCCACCAACTCTCAAATTTAAATTAAAGAAAGGTATACAACAACAACAACATCAACAACAAAAAAAAAATCGCCTATTAGTGGCGACGACTCTTGTGCATTCAATGAACAGACGCGACGTTTATTTTTTCCAATTTTTTTGTGTTTTTCTTGTTGGATTGAGCAACAACAATGTCCTTGTTGTTTATCAAGCATCAATTTAATATCTATAAGTTCAAAGCAACAACAGCAGCAGCAGCAACAACAATAACAACAGCAACAGCAACAACAACAACAAGGTATATACTATAGGGTCAAATAGAACAATTCATCGTCTCACAACACCTCTATATCTTTATCGAGCTTGAAAAAAAACCAAAAAAAAAAAAAAAAAAAAAAAAAGCAAAAACAAAAACCAAAAAGAGAGATTCTCAACAAGAATTTTTTTAATTGTTCAAAAGTTCAAGTACAAGACAAAAAGTAGTAACAAACAGCAAAAAACAACAAAGACAACAACAACATAAACACATTATTGCGCTATAAATCAATTAGTTGATACATACTACCTTTGATTAAATAACAACAACAATAACAACAACAACAAAAAACAACAAAGACAAAGAATAGATTAATTCTTAAATAGTTCAGAGGGGGACTTTACAAAGCTTTGTATCCTCTAATACAACATAAAAAAAAAGATGATAGTGAACTAAAATCGTTGGTGTTGTTCACTACTCTTAGAGTTACAACAAAGGATACAACAATATCTTTTTACGATGAACAGAGGTTTTTTTTTTTTTTTTTTTTTTTTTTATGTCACCTCCATCTTGTTTCAATCTCACATTTTCGATCAGCATCAACAGCTGAGATCTTGACATACAGAACATATGATTAATAATAATAATAATAGTTATATATTATCACCTTTACTTTTTTTTTTTTTTTTAGATTCAAACTAACAACTTTTTGTCATTACCAATTATCTATTTAGGGTTATTTATTTATTTTTTGCAATTTCTATTTGCAATCTATTCACATATTTATTTTCAAGCAATCAACTTTTTCTTCTTCTTCTTCTTCTTCTTCTTCTTCCTCCTCCTTTTCAACCACCCTCTTAAATATAATATAAATAATGACATCCCCGGAAGTCATCAAATTGGTCGTCATTGGTGATGGTGCTGTCGGTAAGACTTGCTTATTGATCAGCTACGCCAATAACAGATTCCCAGAAGACTATATTCCAACAGTATTTGACAACTATGTAGTGAATCTCACTGCAGGTGAAAGAAACATAGAACTTGGATTGTGGGATACTGCAGGTCAAGAAGAATACGATAAACTCAGACCACTCAGTTACGCCAACGCCAATGTATTTCTAATTTGCTTCTCTATTACCAATCCCGTATCTTATGAAAATGTTTACACTAAAGTATGTTAACCATCAATCCATACAACCATCAATCCTTTTAAATCTATGGTTATTGACACTTTTTTTAATCTTTTTTTAGTGGTACCCAGAAGTTATGCATTTTTGTCCAGACGTTCCACAAATTTTAGTCGGAACCAAGTTGGATACACGTGAAGATAGAGGAATTGTTGAAAAGCTTGAGGCTCAACACCAAAAACCTGTCAGCATCGAACAAGGACAAGATTTGGCAAGAAAGATTAAAGCAGTCAAATACATGGAATGCTCAGCAAAGACTTCTTTAAATCTCAAACAGGTATTTGATGAAGCCATTAAATCTGTCTTGATGATGAAGAGAAAGAAGAGAAGAGGTTGCCTCCTCCAATAAACGTCGAAAGAAGAAAAAAAAAAAAAACAAAAGAGTCATAGTCTGTACTAATCTAACCAACTTTTATCAACAACAAACAATAACAACGACAACAATAACAAACAACAACAACAACAAAATAACAACCCATCAACAATTTCAGTCTAGTTTGTTTTCAACGACAAAATCCCAATAGTATCAATCATCGCAGTCCTTTTCATTCACTTGCTTTGTTTGGTAAAAAAAAAAAAAAAAGCAGCCAAGTCTAACCAAACAACAACTTGACAACCATTTTTCTCTTTTATTTTTTATTGTTTCTATTACAACAGCAATACTCAAAAAAAAAATAAAAAACTTCAATGTAATTATTATTCCAAATACTTTATATTTTTATACAAATAATTAATATGGAATTAGTCCATTGACATTTTATTTTCCGATTGTTGGGATGATTGATTGTTAAATAACTCTCTTCTAATCTCATTGGTAATTTGATGATGGAATTGATTACGGAGCAAAATTTTGAGATTCTCTTTGTGTTGTGGTTTAATATCATTCTTGTAACGTTGGACAAACATGAGGAGAGATTGGTGCCACAAGACAGGAAGGTCTCTACGTTCATCGACAAATGATATAAAGTGTTGGTAAAGAGAATCGACAACACGCAGTGGAAGAGAATACTTTTTATCACAGAGTGTCATGATAAAGAGAGAGGTGGCACCATTGTATTTGGGGATTTGTGCCAACTTTAACAAAGCAACACTCGAGTGAATCACTGGAACAGAGACCTTTTTTACGACAGATGCGATGATCTTTGCCTCGAGAAGAGTGGCATCACCTTCCTCGGCGAGTGGTAAAAAGATTGCCTTGTAAAAGGCTTGTGGACGATACAATGACTTTTTAAGTGCCATATAGAGATGGAAATTTAGTTTACGGAACTCGGCGATATTGTCACGGACACGAGGCAATAAGACTAGTGAGAGGAAACGTTGTGTTTGACGTGCATTTGATGACATGACAAAGATCTTGGTGGCTTCTCTGACTGCATGTGGAGTCCAGAGATCGGGACGTGTCAAATAGATGAGATCCTCCCAGTTTGTGAAATTTGGGAGAATACAAAAGGCACGTGGAACCTTTCCACTACGATAATGTGCTAGCATCTGTCCAACCTTTTTGTAGACTTCCAATACCTTTGGATTCATCTTTTGTCTTGGTTCTTTTACCATTGATTCCTTTTCTTCTTGTTCCTTGAGCTTGGCCTCGATCAATTGACCAAGAGTAAATCGTACACCTGCCTTGTGTCCAACACCACCTTCACCTTGACCTTGTCCCATGAACATTTGGAGGATACGTTCATCTTCTTCGTCCAATGCTTCTTCCTCTTCTGTACGCATATATTCACCGTATCTGCTTTCAGTGTCACTATCATCTCCAAAACCACCAACACTCTTTGAATCACCTTGGTCATAGAGATCTTCTTCCAAATCACCATCTTCATCTTCCAAATCGTCAAACGAGAGCAATGGTTTTTGATTCTTTACATTCTCTAACAATATTCTATCTTGATCATCAATGTCCTCTTCACCGTCGCGTCCTTCAACCATTCCTTGTTGGTCATCTCCTCTGCTGACAGCAGTTGAAAGACGATCACGACGATCTTCTTCTTCCACTTCGATTGCTTGTTGACGAATCTGAGAAAGAATCTTTTTAGAGAGTTGCTTTGAAATGACCTTTTCTTCTTCATCTACATATTCATCTTCTCTAATCTCTCCCAACTTCTTTTTGATTGCACCTTTTCCTGTACGATGTCTTTGTTGTTTATGTTGATTATCTGATTCTTGAATTTGTTTACCCAAAGGGTCATGTCTCTTACTTCCTTTTACTGTTTCTATTTTACCCATTTTGATATTAAATATATATATTTATATGTTAATAAAGTCACAAAACTCTTATCTTTTCTCAGTTTGCTCACAAAACATTCGTTCGTTTTGGCACAAAAAATTAAAATTAAAAAAAAAAAAAAAAACCGTGGTTGTTTGGGCTATGAATTAATGTGATTTATTTATTTACTAAATGGAATAAAACGAAGTTTTCCTCTTCTTAATCTTTCTCCTTCAAGACCTAGTTTTGATGATAATGTTTTTGGATTTGATAAAATGGATAAAATATTCTTTAGCTTTTGTATTTGGTTGGTGAGGACGAGAGCAGATTCTGTTTTTTCTTCAAATTCATTGCATTGGTTCATTTCCAGTTCTATTGACCTTAGTGTTTCTTTTTCCAATAGTATTCTGTTTGGATTATTAAATTCGTCATCTTTTTTAGTTGGAGGTTTAACTACCTTTGATGATAGTTTAAATAAAGGAGGTATTTCTACACTATCATACACCATTATTATATCAACTTGAATCTCGACTAAATATTTGAAATGAGTACAACGTATTAATATTTGTTTTGTTTTTGTTTTGTTTTGTTTAGTTTTTTTTCATACCATTTTGATTTTGAAATATTAATCTAAATGAGGAATGATCATATGAAGATTCAAATAATGTCAAATGGAAATTTAGATCATCAATTGAATGATTTGTTTTAACAACTTGTTTCTTGAGTTCATTAATTTGCCTAAACATTTTTTGTTTAGAGTGTATTCTTTTCTCGATTGAAGACATGATAACAGAAACCAAGGACCATCTGTTCATGCTAGAGTCTACCATGAGACCACCCAGTAATTGAGCCCACCTAAAAACCTTTCCAACAATATTTAGTGTACTATTTGATTGTTTTGGTCCATTAGTGTTGGTGGTCGTAAAAGATTGAATAAAATCATCTCCAATGTCATTTGGGAAAAGGTTTGATAAATAGGATTGATTATCAGTGTTTATACTACAAACAATAATATTTTCATCTGCCAAAAAATAGAATTGTATAGATACCAATTCTTTTGATATACGATATTCAAACTCTAGTGATAATGGATGAACTGTTAATGGTTGTTGATCAATTTGTTGTTGTTGTTGTTGTTGTTGTTGTTGTTGTTGTTGTTGTTGTTGTTGTTGTTGTTGTTGTTGTTGTTGTTGTTGATTAAATGTTGATGCTTTATCAATATCACCAATAATTTTAATATTAAAGTCTGGTTCTAAAAAAAAAGAAAAATTAAGTAATCTTTTTTTTAAAAGTTTTTTTTTTTTGAATAAATACTTTTACAAGATGATTGATAGGAGAGTATAGAACTATACATATAATATAATGGTTTTGAAAGATAAAATGCAGTTGGATTATAATTTGAAGTTGATGATCCAATTTGAGATAATTTCTAACAACAATAATAGTAAAATAAAAATGATCAGTTATATACATATGAATTTCTAGACCTTTTCTATGATAATGAATCTTACATTTGACAATGACGATAAGGATTTTGGTAAAGTAGATAAAAAGTTTTGTTTAGAGATATTAATCTCTGTATGTAGTTTCTTTTTTTGATTCAATTTGTTTAATTGATCCAACTTTTTAATTCTTTCATCGAGTTCAAATTGAAGTCTAGCCATTTTCTGATTGTGTTTTTGCGTTTCTTCATCCAACTCTGGTGATGATGATGATGATTGTTGCTCAGCAGTGATATCTTGTTGTTTTTTATCGTTGTAATACATTTCATCAACCAATATAGGTTCAAAAGCGCTTATACTATAAAGGTATAAAAATAAGTTAGTTTCATCATATGATCGAGGATAGAGGAACTACTAATACTTACTCAAAATCCGAGGTGGAATGTATTTCTTTCAAGAGATGATTCTTTTCATAGATAAAGTTTTCATAGAATAGGTTGAGATGATCCAACTTTTGTTTGTCTTTATCTACTTGTGTCTTCCAAGTCTCCATGTCAAATACAATAGATCTATTACTTTGTTTTACTTCTAAAAAGATTGACAACATCTTTTGATGATTTGAATTGATAATGTCAGCAGCAGCACTGCTGCTCTTTTGATTGTCTCCTGCGGCTGCTGATGCTGTATTATTGATCATAGCATTCAACATTTCACAACAAAGTGACTTTATTCTATCTGTTAGCTCATCAAAGCCATAGAATGATAAAGTTTCTTCTTCTTCTTCTTGTCGACTGTCAACAAGAATATTTCTGTTGTTGTTTAATACATCTGATACTGTTCCATCTACTTCCATATCTCTTTTTTAAAAGATCTATCTATCTGATGTGCTTTTAATATATGAATGAATGATCTTCATGAAAAAAAAGTATCAAAAAAATTTTTTGCAGTTTTTAACTATTTATTAAATAATATTAATTAATTTGATTTATTATTAAGAATTTGATTTAACCAATTTCTTTTTCTTTCTATCTCTTTTTATAAACTTTTGATAATTCTTTTCGGCATTTGAAATAAAAGATTGTTTCTTTTCTTTTTCCTTTTGTTTTGATAATAGTTTTGTACATGTTGAAAGTGCTTGTGATTTCAATTGATTGTTAATATTGACTTGATCTCTTAGTTGACTTTGAATATATCGTAGTTCTGCGCATATTTCATCGTCTTCAAAGCTATTTTGTTGTTGTTGTTGTGATGCCATCACTTGTAGGATGGTTTGAGATGATTGCTTATTTTTGGCACTACTACTCGCTGCAAGTTGATTTGGTTGGTGGTAATCGTCATAGAATCCTAAACTTAACAATTCCCTTTGAATTCTTTCCTCTATCGATAGTTGATTAGTTGTATTATAATCAATAATGATTGGGTCTGATGGTAACAATGGTTTCTTGGGTGTTGGAAAACTATTTCCACCACCACTATTGTTGCTTGAAGTGGTTGATAGAATATTTTCATCGATAAGACATGATAAAAGTCTAATCGATAGATCTCCAAGATTCAATTCACTTGAAGTGCCACCAGATTCTTCACGTTCAACTTCCATTGTATCTAGATTATTTGTGGACGAACGGTGTTGTTGTCTTGATATTGTGTTGTGACGAATTCTTTCTTGGTCTTCGTTTGTCCAAACTTCTGTGTAATGGCTTCCCAATTGTGGTGTTAGCAAATAGGTTGTATAATTTTCTTCGCCTTTTGGTGTTATCAATTCTAGGTCTGCATCTGTAATATTTCTAAAGTATGAATCCATTGCTGCCCAAAATACATTGGGTCCAACATAATGAACTTTTGGTTGTTGTTCATTTTCGTGGTGTGATTTTTTCTTGTGTTCGTGATCTTTTGGTCCTTTTCTCTTTGTATGATTACCTCTTTTCTTTCCAGACGTCTTTTTAGATTGTGCCGATGATGAAGTTGAAGTGGTTGGAAAAGAAGAGTCAGACTCGCTGGTTACCGTCTGATCATCGACCAAAAGGTCACTATTGTCCAATTCTGTTAGTTTCATCACTTTTGGTTTCTCTTGTGTTGCTACAAAAGATGATGGTACATTGTTAGACTGTTCATGCATAGTCCCAATATCTATATCATCTATTTCGTCGTGGTGTTTTGGTTTCTTTCTTAATCTTCCAGATAGATTAGGTGTTGTTTGACTTGAATTGTTTAATGTCAAAGGTTGTTGTTGTTGTTTTACCTCTTCCAATTGTTGTACAACACTTGTTGAGGAGGTATTAATATTATTATTTTGATTATTATTGGTTGTTGTAGAGGTAGGTGTGGTTACAGGGGGAGTAGGAGATGTATGTTGGATAGTTGGTGTTGATGGGGTTTGTATTTGTGGAGATTCTTCAATCGCCATTTTAGTATTTTGCTCGCCTCCTTCCACTGCCGCCGTCACTGCCAATGCAACTGGTGAATGTTCTTCTTCTTCTCCTTCTTCTTCTCCCTCTTCTTGGCTTTGTTCAGATATATCATCTTGTTCAGATGTAGTACTATTGATAACAGTTGTAGTGACATCGGTCATTGGTGTAGAAACATTTACTTTTTGATCGATTGTAGATTGATCATTTTGTTGTTGTTGTTGTTCTAGTGGCGACGATGTTGTTGTTGTAGTAGTAGTAGTTGTTGTTGGTTGTGTAGTAGTTTGAGGTAGTGATTTTAATTGTTTCTTTAATGTGTTGTATTTTAATCTTTGTACAACTATTGATAGATTGACATTGCGTTAATAATAATAATAATAATAATGGATTTTAAAATTAAATAAACTTACTAAATTCCTGTTGTTGATCTTTATATTGATTCAATTTATCGATTTGTTCGTTTAACAATAGTTTTGTATTTGTAATGTATTGTTTAAATGTATTTACATCTTTGATGGCAGCAGTCAAATCTGTTTCATCAATCATCATATTTGAGGTTGTATCATCACCATTGTCATTGTCATCTTTGTTGTGATTGTCATATTTGGTGATCAAGTTTTCAATATGTTTACTTGATATGATCTTTTTTAGTATATCTGTAGATGGTAATAATAGTTTAGGTAATGATTCATTTCTAAAACAAACAGAGTAGGGTCAGCAAAAAGTAAGTAAAGGTAGTAGACATCATCATCATCATCATCATCATCGTCTTACTTTGCAGTAGGTGATAAAGGAGGTACTTCATTTGCTGCTGGTTGTCGATCGCCTGTGTTTAATGGTTTATGTTTTGGTGGTCTACCTCTTTTACCTGCCATGATACTATATAGTATATTAATACTAAACAATAAACTAGTTAATTATCAATTTCAAATTTTGGTGAAAAAAAAGTATGTAGTTTTCAAGTGATTAGAGCAAATAATAGTTTAAATAATTTATTATCGTTGGGGTGTGTATAAACTATCACTACTAATATTATTATATGATGCTGAATGAACTTCATCATCATCTTCATCATCCCCAGTGATTGTCAATATTTTTGAATCTTCTTCTTCTTCTTCTTCTTGAATCATTCCCATCATCATACCATTGTTATTGTTGGCATTAAAAGTTATAGTACCTCCAATATTACCATGTGTATGACTAGTTGTTGTGGTTGAATTTGCTGGTACCAGCATCGGTGCTACTACTACTACTGGTGGTGGAATATATGGAGGATCTGATGGTTGGCGCTCTCTTGATATAAAGAAAGTTCTCATTTTTCTCTTTTTAATGATAGAGTCACCTCTATCTTCAAAGATGTATTTGTGATGCAATAGTGATGCAGTTGCTTCCGAGAGATGAATTCTATCGGGACAACCATTACTTTCCATTTGTTGGGTGACCTGAACCGAGTCACCCCACAATTGATAATGAACCATCTTGATGCCAGTTACACCAGTTACAACGGGACCAGTGTGTATTCCTATACGCATACGAACAGGAATATTGTCAACGGTTTTGATTGATTTGATAGCTTCCAACATGTCCATAGCCATGGCTACTACACGTTCTGCGTGATCCAATTTCTTTTCTGGACAACCACAGACACACAAATAAGCGTCTCCAATGGTTGCCACTTTTAGTACTCCATGTCTTTCAGCAAGATCATCAAAAGTACTGTAGATTTGGTTGAGTGTCTCGACGAGTTGACTCGGCGATAGACGAGTTGATATTTCAGTAAACCCGACAATATCAGAGAGGAATATGGTCACGTGTTCAAATTCGTCATAGATTAGTTGGATACCTTGCTTCATCTTTAAAACAACATACATGGGTAGAATGTCTGATACCAATTGTTCAGTTTCTCTTCGGTCCTTGTCTAATAGTTTTCCATGCACCCAATTTTGACGAAGGAATAGTTCATCGAGGTACGATGTACAAACATTGAGAAAAATGGCTGCCACCAAATAAAAGTTGTGACTCATCATGATTGATCGAGGTGTTTCTTTCCACAATAGTGAGATTTGAAAGAAAAATATACAAAATAAAGTGACAATGTTGGCATTTATAAATCTGATTCCAGAGAAATTATAACATATCGTTATGATAATCATAATTTCTGATACTAATAATCCATCAATTGGAACATCATTTAAAGGAGGTAAACTAGAGAAACAAAAAAAAAAAAAAAAAGATCAATATATATTTATATATTTATATATATTTTGTTTTTTTAATCAATATTTTTAATTTTCTTACCTAATCAAAACTATTAATAATGCCTGTATGATAATAAAATAAAAACTTGCCAATTGTTGAATATAATCTCTTAGAGTTTGAGATTTTGAAACCAATAAAATATAGAGTAATTGTAGAAATACAAGTCCAAATCGTATACAAGTGATACGAATGTACGCCTGATTATCTGAACCTTTTAAAGTAAAATAATCAGAAATGGCAGCCAAAGCAAAAATGACAGAAGAAAATAACATAGAGAGAAGTATTTTGTTAAAGACAACTTTGTTGTGATCCTTTAAAAACTCCATCTCTACTATATTGTCACGTGATTTGAATTGCAAAGCAATCTTGTCTAGTGTATAGTGTTTTCTTAAATCTCTTTCTACTTTGGCCAAGTTTAGAGTATTGGATTGATGAATAACATTGGATCCACTCACTCCCTTTCCAATGTTTGCAAGATTAATTCCATCAAAATCATCTTGCTGCGCTATATCGTCTTCTCCACCAAATGAAGAAGCTCTACTCCTTGAGGGACTGTTTGAAATCTGATCCGCTGCCTTTAAAAATGTGACTTGATTCTTTTTCATTGTAGATCGACCCAAGCTCTCGGTACCTGCCGATAGAGTTTGATGAAGTTGATTGACCATATTCTTTCCAGCCGATAAACCAACACTTGAGCTTCCTCCCTTTGTGTGTGGTATCACCGAAGAAAATATACTACCTTTTCTTGGTCGTGGTGTCGTAGTAGTAGTAGTCTCTTGATTAATTTCTGCATGATTGATTACATTTTCATTGATATGAACCTCTGATAAATCGACTTGAGGAATATAATCTAATTTGTAAAGTTTCTCTGGATCTCTTGGCAATGTGAAAATGGCAGTATAACGTTTGTCGAGTGTTTTTGTTTTGACGAGATAAAAGGTTCGCATGATACCCTTTCCTTTGACTTGAATTTTACCTCTGTCTTCGAGTAGGAACTTTGATCGAAGTAGTTGTTGTGATGCTTGACTGCATTGTATCTTTCCAATCGAACCGTGACTAGCCATTCTACTGGCAGTGTTGATTGTATCACCAAATAGATGCCATGACAATTTCTTTTTGCCTATAATGCCACCAATGACGGGTCCAGTATGCATACCAAAACGGACTTGTACCACCTCAAATCTCTGCACTATAGATAACATACCCAAACTCATATTGGCTACGCGATGTGCATGGTCGAGACAAGTCTCTGGACATCCACCCACTACCATGTATACATTTCCAATATGTTCCACTTTGGTGACACCATAGAGATCAGTCATTCTATCAAAAGAAGTATAAATCTCGTTCAACAATGTAATGACAACCTTGCTAGACATTCTATCGACCAATGCAACAAAGTTTACAATTTCGCAAAATAGTACCGTTACTTGTTCATATTTGTCAACTATTAGTTCTTCTCCAGAGTATTGACCTGGTTGAAGTGAGCTAGGTGATTGTGGATCAACAATATTTGGTTGTCTTCGTGTAGTGGTTGGTGTGTGAATCGATTCATTATCGCCGATGGGAGATGAATTACCACTACTACTGGAAGGTGATATATCGATGGCAATGATAGATGATGAAGGTGATGATGTTAATTCTCCTCTTGTTGAGCCTCTACTGCTACTACTATTGGAATATGATTCCGATGATGCAGAGGGTAATGTTGATTTTGTTGTTTCAGAAACAATAGATGATAGACTTTGTTCTTTTGACGATTGTAATCTTAATCTTTGAACTACCACTGTTGGTAACATTTGATTGATAACTTTTGCCGATCTTATTGATTGTAATTTTAAACTTTCCAAAATCCTAAACTTATCTCTAATCAATTGTTCTCTGAAAACATGGTAAATTGTCAATAAAATTGTGGTTAATTAAAGAAAGTTCTCTTTGTGAATTTTGATAGGTACCTATAACGAGATATTGACATTAAAAATACCAATGATACAAATAAGAGTGTTGAAATCAATAGCATGCTTTTATAATAGATTTCATTGTACAATAGAAAATAGAGGAAATAGAATATTGATAGGCCAATAGTTGAAATGGCCGCTGGTAAAAAGGTCTAAAATTAAAAAAAAAAAAAAAAGAATTAATAAAATATTCTATTCAATCATATGATATATAGATATAAATATTTATATATATTTGTTTAAACTTACTAATCCGGATGCAATTAAAATTGCTATATATAAAAATATCATTCGTTCTGGTATGGTTCGGAAATCACTTACAAATATTATAGTTATACAGGTTGCTAAAACGTGGGTTGAAATAATCGGTGATTTGTTAATAATAATATATAATAATAATAATTCTATTGATTATCTCAATTGTGTGTTACATACCAACAAAAGACATTGCACAACTGTAGAATTTCCATAGTTTTTTGAAACGTTCAGTAAAAGTGAATAGGAAAAAGGCACATAGACAACCAACTGTAGAGACTCTTATAATCATCGATCTGAGTGATTCATCGTCTATAATAGGAGGTTGAGATGGTGAAGGTGGTGAAGAAGATGTTGTTTCTTGATTGATAAAACTGAATGGGAGCAATGCAGGTAAAAGCCTAATATCCAATGGTGATACATAGTCTACTATCAATGCAAGTAACAAAACTGCAGTCAAGAATGATATTGCAATTCTTATTTGTACAACGTAGATGTGAAAGTAGTAAGATTGAAAGTGATGCTCTTCTTGTATACGTGGGAACCGTAAATCAAGAAACTTGACATACTTTTTCCATCCCCTGTACTTCCTTTTAACGTTTGGTAATTCAAACATGTTTCCTTTTTTTTCTTCTACCTCTACTCTGATGATTGTGATGTTATGTGATTGATCGATAGATCGATTGTTGATTGGTTCGAACCGAATCAACAATCAAGTACTTTGTAGGTTGATCAACTGCACAAGAGGAGGAGGAGGAGGACGAGGACGAGGAGGAGGAGGAGGATTGAGGAGGAATTCGAGATTCGTTTTACGTCGTTCTAACTCTCTCTCTATAAAGTACTACTACTACTACTACTACTACTACTACTACTACTACTACTACTACTACTATTATTATTATTATTATTATTATTATGATGATGGCAATGAATGATCTCCGATATTAATACGAGATTTCGTGTGTGGTAGGTTGATTCGATAACACCTTTTTTGGGGGAGAAAAAATAAAATAATAAAAATAATTTTTTTGCTTGGCCCAAAAATGGAAATATAAATATAATAGTTTTAAAATATTTACCACCCACACTCTACTCTCTCTCTCACTATTTTATCATATATTTTTCATTCTTTATATATTTACTTAATCCCAATGAATAATGAATAAACAAGAAGAGACATGCAAAACAACAACAACAACAACAATAGTTTGATTAGAAAAAGTAATATTAATTCTTCTGGATATAGAATATCGGGTGATCAAAGTATTGTGGATGAAAACAATTCAAACTCAGAGTTTGGAGTAAATACTTGTACCAAGAAAGATAATTTAAATTCTATTTCTATTCAGCTACAGCAGCAGCAACATAAACAAATTTCAACAGAGAATCCAGTGTCTCCTGACAACAATACAAAAAGCAGTCATGTCACCACTATAGCTACTTCTCCTCCTATTTTTATAGTTGATAAATATTCTGATGATCAAATTTATTCCCCTTCGACGGCATCTTACTTTTATATCAATAATAATAATAATAATAATAATAGTAGTAGTTCTCAACATAGCGATACAAAGGTTTTATCACCTTGGGTAAATAATCATATTCCAACAACAAAAACTATCCCCTCCTCTGGACATCCTACAACAACAACAACAACTATAGCAACTACAACAAAAACTAATCTTTCTGAAAAATCACTGCCATTATTGTTGGTAGAGTTGGTTGAAAATGTAAAAAGAGAAGAAATATTAAATGAGATTGTAAAAAGAAAAGATTTGCACCCTGAACTCCCTTCGCTACTATGGAATTCTCCTTGTACAATGGCAATATTACTTCAAGAAATTGTGAATGTCTACAAATTTATAACCCCTCCCAATCCAAAATTAAAGGCTCGGGCCTCCAATCGAGTGTGTAATACATTGATTTTATTTCAAACAATTGCCAATAACCCAGAATATAGAATACTTTTAGTCAATGGTAATTTAAATTTAAATATAACAAAAAAAAAAAAAAAACGGTATACTTTTAAAATCATCAAATTCACTCTGATTTCTTTTCAATTATTATAGCAAAAATATTTGTTTATATTTATCCATTTTTAAAAACAGTTGCAAAAACAAAACCTTTTGAATATCTTAGATTTTCTAGTTTGTCTGTTATTAGTTCCATCATCAAAGTTGAAATCAAGGATGTTTTGAAATTCCTTTTAGAAAGTGATATTTCGGTTCCTTGTTTGAAAATAATGGAGTTTGGTAGTGAATTGTCAAAAACAGGTAAAACATTAAAAAATCTATTTATCAAAAAAAACAATATCAATACTTAAAAATCAATCCTTTCTTTTTTTCTATCAAAAGTATCAACATTTATAATTCAAAAATTATTAAATGAAGATGAAGGATTAAACTACTTTTCAAATACACCAATTAGATTGAAAACAATATTTTGTTCATTAAATGCAATGGTTGAAGCAATGTTGCCAGACAAGATGTCATCAAGATTATTAAAGCATATTATAAGATGTTATCTTCGTCTCTCTGATAACTCTAGAGCTAGAGAAATGTTATCTTCTCAATTGCCCTTATGTTTTTCCAATGGACAATTAAATGACTTTCTCAACCAAGAAGGTGACATGATAGTAAAAAGATGGTTTCACCAATTAATGTCAAACGTTAATCCACCTCCACCTCATCCTCGTCATAGTGGTAGGTCATCTTCTTTTCATCAAAATAATAGAAATAATAATAATAATAGTTAAACGACACGATGAAAAGGTCTTTTAGAATTCACACACATCATATATTTCTACACAAAATATAAACAAAATTTATATCATATCTTAAGATGGTTTTATTATTCAATTAGTTTCAACAATGAAAATGAGAAAGATGAACCGATATTGTATAATTTAAAACTTCTTCTTTGGTATCGAGATATCTCGGAGAAAATTCTGTAGGACTTTGACCTATTTGAGGTAAAAGTATTGATATTGCTTGGTTGTATTGATTGACAATGACCGGTGTGATTAAATGTCCATATTTTGGTAGTTGTGCAAGTATTCGAAGATGGTCAGCTGCTACTATCTGTGAATCGGTATCTCTATAAAATCGTATAGCATATGGTTTGTTTGTATCTTGTTGTTGAGAACGGTTAATACCTTGTGGTTGGGTTTTGATGGGTTTATAAGAGTTGAAAATAAAAGTATATCTATCAAATGACAATGGTTCCTGTTGAAAGAGATGATTTTCGTTGATGAGAGTATGTTGAGAGTATGATGATTTGGGGGGTGCGTGATGAATGATTAAATTGTCATTGTCTTTGTAGAATATCAAATCTTTGATGGTTCTGGCATATGGTTCGTTTTGACCAACAGTTTGTATTTCTCGATAGAATTGATGATACTTTGCATGTTTGAACGGTACCCATTTCTCGGTAACACACATTGTCAATTGGTGCATTAGTCTGCCGCCAATAGCCACAGGTAGAGAATCAATTCGATTCCAAGGAATTCGAAGTAGTGGCATTCTTTTACCAGAATGATTTAAAACAATATCAGATGCCAATGTTTCAACTGTCGATCTGATATTATGTCTATACTGTTTAAATATCGATATTACATGACCAATTCCATTGATCAAATTTTGATTTTGAAGTTGTTGTTGATTATTATTATTATTATTTTGATTATTATTATTCATTTGTTGATCAAAATCTGTATTTTGTTGATCTGTAATAATATTATTATTATTATTATTATTCTTTTCAAACATCATAGGTCTATTTAATATAAACCTAATTCTATTTCTTTCAAAATCCAAACTATCATTTGCAGTATCATGATTAAATGATATTCCAAAATGATTGCATAGACCAAACAATGAATCTTTGGAGAATGTCAAAAGAGGACGATGTAGAGATATCGATGCTGACAAGGGTGAAATGGGTTCTATTGATGCGAGACCCTCTATTCCACTGGCAAATTGAATTCGATGGATAAATGTCTCTATATTGTCATCTTTGTTGGTTCCCATTAAAATGGCAGGTGAATTGAATTTCTTTGCAACACTTGTCAATAACTCTAATCTTTTATATCTACAAATCTCTTGAATGGCGGTCAATGGTTGACCCTCTTCTCCCCATTCTATCTTTTCTACTAAATGTATCATATCTTTTTTTGAAGATGAAGAGGAAGATGATGAAGAGAATCGATTGATGATATTATTAATTGATTGATTTATAGAACTGATATTCTCAGATGGTGGAGTTAAACTATGATCAATAGTAACTATAACCAATTGTACCTTGTTGTTGTTGTTGTTGTTGTTGTTGTTGTTGTTGTTAAAAAGTAGAAGAACCATTAAAACTATTTACGAATTCTCCAAGTAAATATAATAATGCCATACTATATACAAGAGAGATTATAAATAAACAGCAGTGATCTAATCAAAACAGATGATGATATCTATACATACCTATCAGCACCTCCAGATACAGCTACTACCAAAGTTGTTTTTGGATTTATAGAGAGCGATTGAATTGTGTTTATGAGAATCTTGTTGAATTGAAATGTAATAGCTTTGACATCACTATCAGATATCTTTGTATTTGATCTGGTAGCATTCATCTCTTTAAATTGTTCATGTTGGTTTCTTTGTTGTCTATTTATTGAACTTTTCTTTAAGTGTTCAATAGTCTGTACGTTGGGAATGGACGAGGGTAAACTAGTGATTAGAGGTGTCGATGATGACTTTGTTGTTGTTGTTGTTCGTTGTTGTGATCGTGTCGATGAAAACAATGATGCTGATTCATTGTTACTATCTTTTGATTGGAATGATTTCCAAAATGACTTTGAATCTTCTCTTTCTAATAGTCTCTTTTTGTTATTCTTTGTTGTCTGTTGTTGTTGTTGTTGTTGTTGTTGTTGTTGTTGTTGTTGTTGTTGTTGTTGTTGTTGTTGTTGTTGTTGTTGTTGTTGTTGTTGCTGTTGTTGATCATGATTTCTTTTACTAGTATTATTATTATTATTATTATTATTATTTTGATTATTATTATGACTGCTAATACTCCGTATTAACACATTTGAATTAGATCTAAATTGATGGTAAATCAACCTATTCATCTTTATATAATCAAATGAATTCATGAAAAGGTTAAGTTTTATTTGTTGTTTTTTTTTTTATTTTATTTTTTTCATTAATATTTTCCTCTTGTTTTAATTTATTCATTAATACTTTTATCAATCATCAATGTCACTTTGTTATATCTTATTATAAATTTTAATATCATTTATTTTAAAATAAAAATAATAAAAAAAAAAATAAAAAAAAATATGATTTTGCCATTTTTTTTTATTTTTTTTGATTCATCACACCTAAAGAAGTTCATCTTTGAGTCACAATTGACATTGTTTGTTTAAAAAGAAAGAAAGAGAGAGAGAAAGGAAAAGAAAAGAATGAACAAAATTGTATCATCTCTGTTAGTTGCATGCATAGTGTTGGCTTGTTTCTCATCAACATCGGATGCTCTCACTCAACAAATAGAACCAAAGTCACAAGAATGTTACTTTGAGTTTATCGAGTCTGGAAAGACATCTCTCATCTTGTATCAAGTTATTAGAGGTGGTCTTTTAGATATTGATTTTAGAGTAACTATCAACATCATCGCGAGCAATGCAGCATTCATCATCGCGTATCAACTAAATCATATTTATCTATATCAAACAACTAACTATATTTATATATATACAGTTATTCGATCCACGTGGCAATACTTTAGTTTCACGTTTACACTTTGATACAACCATGAAGGGTAGACAAACATTCACTGCAGCAGAATCTGGTGCCTACAAATTATGTTTCAACAATGAAATGTCTAGATTTACACCAAAGGTTGTTACTTTTACTTGGACACTTGAAGATTCTGATAAGGATTTTGTCAAGAGTGGTATGTTTGTTCTTCTTATATATCAATATAAATATATATCACACCCACCCTTTTTGAATAGATATCTAATCTCTATTCTCTATTTATACAGATACTTTAAATCCAATGGAACAATCAATTCACAAAATCGAAAGAACTCTTCAATCAATCTCTGTCGAACAAAAGAAGTTGAGATACAGAGAACAAACCAACAGAGATAGTATGTATAAATTAATCATCATATAAATGACTGATCATTATTAACAACAATACTTTCTTTTCTTTTTCTTTTTAGCCTCTGAAAACACAAACGGACGTGTTATTTGGTATTCAATCATTCAAGTATTTGTTTTAATCTCCATGGGTATCGGTCAAATTTGGTACCTTAGAAGATGGTTTGACAACAAGACCTCTCAAAGAGTCTAAAAAAACAAAATCAACAATAACAATGAATAATAATAATAATATATACCTATACTATATATATATGTTTGGTGTTGGGTGATGTTGAACCAACAATGTAAATTTATTTTATTGTTATTTATTTTACTTATAATTTTGATATTTGATTTGAAATCCATTCTGCCCAATTATTTACTGGAACAGATTTTTGTATTGCGTTCTCATAGAGCGATACTACATCAACGTTACTGTTTACACCAGCCAAACTTCTGTGCAATTTGATAGAGACTGCCAATGCTAAAAAGTATTCTTTTTTGATGTGATGGTTTTCGCTTTCCAATTTCTTGCAATAGTCGACAGAGCTGTTTGATTCAAACAATCCATCTCGGAGTTGTTCAAAGTTTAATATACCTTCGGCAAGCTGTAGTTGTAATTGTTTGATTGTTTCTTCCTTGATTTCAATCTTTAACATATTTTCAGATTCCAATCTCTTTATCTAAGTAATGGTCAAATAAATATAGTACTAATTAGTTTCTTTCAAAGATCTTAAGATTTTGTTTTGTTGACCAATTAATTATACATACCTCGGATATCAAGAAACTATTTTGTGTCTGATGAGCATACAAGGATTCTTTTAATTTATTTATATCTACATTTGAAGATGAAGATACATTTTTTTGTGTTGATTGATTACTCTATAAAAAAGTAAGGAACAAAAAAAAAAGGAGGTTAGAGTTTGTGTCTGAAAAAAGAGATTTTCTTTTTTTTTTTTTTTTTTTTTTGATTTTGTAACAAACCTTATTTCTTTCAATTAATTCGGTAATATATCTATCCTTCTTTTCAGTTTCCTCGCGGAGTATTTCATTCTCTCTTTTGATGACATGAACCGAGTTTTCTTTCAATTTCAATGATTCATCCAACTCTGTGATTCTACTTTGAAGATCCAAGCACTTTTTATCTCTTGATGCAATTTCGTGTGCCCATTTGAATTCTTTTGGGAAGGATTCTTTGTTTTCCAAGTGTTTCTTTTCAGATTCCAAAGTTGTAATACTATGATGCATCATGGATACTTCATTCTTTAATCGATCGATTTCACCATCACGTAATTGGAGTTCGAGACGAACATTACCGTTTGAATTGTTGGACTTTAGTTCTTCAATGGTTTGTTTAAGTTTTTTAACTTCATTGTCCAATGCTTCTCTTCTTTGTCTTTCAATATCCAACATTTGATCTTGTTGTTCCAACATTTTCTTTCTCATTTCATCTTCAATATATCTCTTTCGAAGTTGATCCTCTTCAATTGTATATTGAACATATTTTGTTGAATCAAATGAATTATTATTGGAATTATTATTACTTTCATTGATATTATTATTATTATTATTATTATTATTATTATTATTATTATTATTATTATTATTATTATTATTATTATTATTATTATTATCGTCGTTGATATCGTTGTTTTCTACTTTGGTAGAAGACAAGGAAGGAGAAGATTGTCCAACCAATATAGTTTCTTGTTGTTGTTGTTGTTGTTGCTGTGGTTGAAGGGTAGGTGAAAGTTGTGGTGATTGTAAGATTGGTGAATTTCTTTCTTCTTCTTCTTGTTTTTGTTTTCGTTGTAATTCAAAAAGTTGGTTTTGAAGTTCTTGATCCTTTTTAAGTTTTTCCTCTTCTTCTTGTTTTTCTTTGATCAATCTTTTTTCATCTTCTTCTTTTTGCAACTTTACTCTTTCAGCCTCTTGTAGCTTCAAGAGTTCCTCTTGTCTTTCCAACTCCTTTTTCTTTCGTTCTCTTTCTTCTTGTTCTAGTTGTTGTTGTTTTTTCTTTTGTTGCTCTTCGGCATGTTTTCTACGTAGTTCCTCTTCACGAGCCTTCAATCCATCATCAACAACAACTGTACCATTATTGGATGATTGTGATGGGGTGGTGTTGGATTGCAAAGTTGTTGTAGAGGAGGAAGGTGAATAGGTTTTTGACAATGAAGGACTACTGTTGGGAGAAGATGAATCAATGGCCATCGAGCGACGAGGTGGATAATTATTATCCTTTAAGTGATGATTTGATTCATCAAATGATAGTTGTGATGGATCAAGACTTCTAGCCATACTTTGATTTGAAATATTATTATTATTATTATTAATATTTTTAGTTGGTGTTATTGTGGATTGTGAAAGAGAGGAGGAGGAGGAGGAGGAGGATGAGGAAGAAGAAGGGTTTTTAAGAGATCTTTGTAGGGCTACATAGTATTTTTTATATTCATTGAGACCTTCAATCCAATAGGTCAAGTCTGAAGAATTTAATACTTGAAGGTTGTAGGTTCTACCGGGTGTTGCAAGTTCAAAACCAGAGTCAACAGTCTTTACACTCAACATGTCTGGAAGATTAATGAAACCAAAAGAGTTTTGATCTCCCTCTTTTTCATAGTAGTACAACTTTGTGTCCTTTTGAGCAAACCATCTCTTTTTGTAAGACTTTACAATACCCTTTTCACCCAACTTTTTTAAATATCCTTGTAGTGGACTTGGTTTGATTAATTCATTTGATTTCTGTTGTTGTTGTTGTTGCTGTTGAAGATATTGGGTTGATTCCTTTTGAAAAAAAAAAGAAAAAAAAAGAAAAAAAAAAGCAAAGATATTAACAATCTTGTACCAAAATAATATTGTTGTTATTATGATACTATACATTTTGTTCTTGAAGCTTTTTAGATTCATCTCTAATTTGAATGATTCTGTTTGTATGTTCAGTAAGTTTAACTTTAATCTCTCTCAACTGGTCATAGTTTTCAGGTAATCTACTATCTTCATTACTTGTAATAGTCTTGTACAATGGTAAGATTGATTTTACTAATAGAGTAAGAGTTAGGTAGCAGAGGTAGCAGGTAGTAATAATAAGGGATGTTAGAGAGTCTACAATCTATAGATGAACTTCAATAGCCCCTCCCCCCTTTGTATTGGTGTGTGGGGGGGTGTGTGTGCGTTGATATTGTTGTATGTGATTCATCACTACTGCTACATACATATAGTTGAAGCTTTAGCAACATCTGCTTGACTTGCACTATTAATAAGTGTATTAACTTGATCAAGTAATTGATTTACTTGATCGAATTGTTCTTTCAAAGACATTGTAATGGTGTTTGTTAGATCGAACAATAAATATCTCTCTGTCTCTCTATAGAGAGAAACTGGTTCAAGTTTGTGACTTTTTTGAATGATGTGGGGGGTTTTTTTTTTTTAATAATTATTATTTTTAATTAAATTAAAGGAGTAGGGGGAAAAGAAAGAAAGTGAATGAACCAAACTTATATGGGGCGATGATCAGAGTAGAAAATATTATACTATAATATTTTGTAAAGAATGAACTTTTTTAGTATTTATCAACAAATGTTTGTCAATATTTAATAGTTTACTTATACATTTTATTTTTATTTTTAGGTGCATCATACAATAGCAACCAGGATCTTTTAGATCATTTAAAGAGTAGAGGATTTTTAGAAAGTGAAACTGTCTATCAAGCAATGAAACTAATTCCTCGTGGTGATTTTTTACCTGTATATTTATCAAAACAATATTTAGCATTGCTTTAATTTAATGACCAATTTATTTTATAGGTTGAACTTTTAGATTCTGCATATCAAGATTCCCCTCTTCGATGTTCTAGATATGGATTTAATGCAAGTGCACCACATATCTATGGAAAATGTTTATCAGAGTTGGAAATTGAACAAGGTAATAGTGTATTGGATATTGGTACTGGTACTGGCCACTTTGCTGCCCTCGCAAGCTATCTTTGTGGATCACTAGGAAGAGTTCATGGGCTCGATATTAAAAGTGAAATTGTCAATTTTGCAAGATCCAACACTGAAACGTTCAAATCAAAATCTGGATTGAATATCAATGTTGAATACTTTGTTCGAAATTGTTTTTTGGCTGATCCAGATGACAATGTATATGATAGAATTGTATGTATAATAAAAATATTGAAATCAATTTTTTTCTTTTTCTAAATTTTCTCTCTCTCTCTTTCTCTAAAGTATGTAGGGGCTGCATGTCCAAAAGATTATGTTCACCAATTATTAAAAGCATTGTCCCCAAATGGGATAATGATAGTACCAGCTGGTGAAGAATTATTAAAGTATGTCAAGGTTGATGGAAAACTAAAAGTTCAGTATTTACTTGGAGTACGATACTCTGAATTAGAACTTCCTCATCAACATGAAATTCAAATTTCTTATATTCAACATGAAAGAGGTAACAAAAAAAAAACAAAGTTTTTAATCTCTAAAATTGATTTATTAATTTTGTTTGTATTTTTTTAGAAAAAAGTTTAAAAGTTTTAATTCCAAAGAATGGTATTGACCAATCATTTAGACTATTAATCAACGATCAAAAGTTTTCAGATGTCCAATTATATATTCTAGGTAACAAAACTCCAATCAATGTTCATAGTTTTATCTTTTATTGTAGAATTCCATCATTTTTCAAAGAATTTATTGAACCACAACAAATCAATCTTTCAGAATCACCTTTGGTATCTATTTTATTGCCAGATTTTGTGACAGAGAAAAACCTAATGATGGTTTTGGAATATGTTTATTGTGCCAAATTGATTGACCCAACCATTTTCGAATCTAATAATAGTTCTCCAGATCAAGTTAACCTCGAACTTGACAATCTGCATGAAACATTATTATATTTCAAGATTGACAGTTTAGTTGAGTATTTTGACAATGTTTCAACCATTTTACAAAATCCCCAACCATTCAACCTCTTTCAAGATTGTCAATCAAAACACTTACAAATGTTGGTTCAATCATTCAACAAAATTCCAGAAAATATTGGAACAGATTATACATTTCATTTTAAAGGGTAAATAATGAAATTCAAATCAACACTTATTTTGTTTTGAAAATATTCTAATACTATAATTATTCAAGAGAAACTATAAAGGTTCATAAAGTAATAATGGAAAATAGATCAACCTATTTTAAATCCTTTTTAAATTCAGGAATGAAAGAATCATTGACCAATCAAATTTCTATCCATAATAGATTTGAATTTCATTATTTCTCTTTATTTTTACAATTTTTATATAGGTAGGAAAAAATCATATCACTCAATAATCAGACAAAAATAATCATTCTAATTTTATATTCTATTATTATTAAAGTGGTGACATTGATATTATATCATCAGAGACAGTACCTCATCTTTTAGAAATATCAGATTTCTATGATGATCAATTCTTAAAGAGCCATTGCGAATCAATTTTGGCAAAGTCAGTGGAAATTGATAATGTTGTTTGTTTATATATTTTATCATCAAGACTCAATGCAAAACAATTATTTAGAATCTGTAAAGAATTTATTATTGAAAACTACCCAAAGGTTTCAAAAACTGCAAACTTTCAAGATTTGGATAAGGAACTATTGTGTCAATTGCTTCAAGATAGTTGTTCATACTTTCAATTACTATTTGATAGAAATGATTCAAAAATCAAATCTGTTGAATTAAATGAAACCCATAGCCAAAATCTTTGATTGTTTTAAATAAAAATAAATAAATAAAAGAATTCCTTTATTTTTTATTTTTTATTTTTTTGGGCTACTCTCATTTGATAACTAATGTCTTGATAAATTTGATTAGTATCTCTCATGAACCCCGAGAAGGTGTAAATTTGATTCGAGTTTGTTTTGACTTGGATTCCGCTGAATAATAAGGCAATTCTAACACGACTAATCTCTTGTATATCAACCAATGGCAAAGAAATCTTTCCACCAATTTTTACACCTATATGTTTTAAAAAGTTCTGGAAACCCAAAAACCTGCTTGATATTACCAATACTCCAATCTGTCCATTATAACTACATGTATATTCTAAAAAAAAAAAAGAATAAAAGTTAATGATAAATCTAAATATTTTTAAAATAAAAGTATTAATAAGATACTTACTATCTATAATAAATTCAGACTCTGGAACTACATTGATAACTTCTTCGACCATTTCCGTGTTGGTTGCTTGTTCCTCTGGGTCAATAATTCCCATGATTTTGTTGTAAAATACTCTGGCTTCTTTTTCTTCGGTTCTAGTGCTAATAACTCCCAATATATGCTCGACGGTTATGCTACTATGTACGGCTGACGATGAGGATGAAGATGATGAAGATGTCATTGATCCTTTGAGTTTGGCCTGTTGATTTTCTTTGATTTTGTAAATATCAATCAAATAGGTTGTATCCTTTATCGAAAGTTGTAATAGAGATTTAAAGGGAGCTGCTTTTTCATCTAAAATTGGACTTGGACACCCAGAGCCACCACGATGGAAAATCGTAGACATTTCCTTGATGCAACTATGAATAATATTAATCTGATCAACAGTTGTTACTTTTCTATCAACATGATATGATTTCTTTGATTCTATAGTTCTAGGTACAACTAAATAAAATAATTCCTTTAAAAAAAAAAGATTAATATTATTACCAAGCTTTTTTTTTTTTTTAATAACATACATCCATAGTTTCAATCCATAATTTTTTAACAAATAATTTAAAGATTGTATCTTTTAGTTTTCCAAACAATTGTTCAATCATTGGACAAATAAATTCTTTGATTGGAGTGAGGATTGCCTTTTCAAATTTGATATTTTCCTTTGTTCTATTCATGATTACATTATTGATGATGATTGCAGATGCCGCATTAGCACTGTTAATGGCAGCAGTTGTAGAAACAGGATCATAAAATGGTGAGTTTGTTCCACTGGTTTGAAGTTGAGGTTGTTGTTCAATTTCTTGTTGTTGTTGTTGTTGCTGTTGAATTTGATCATTTGATAATTGAATAAATTGTAATAATGCATCACTAAATAAAACATCTTGGAAACAATGGAAAATATAAACTTTAATCTAATACAAAGAATAAGTTAGTACTATATAATATCTATAGTTTCTTTGTTTGTTTGTTTGTTTCATACTCTAATTGATAGAAAATCCAAAGATTTATCAAAAAGTGAATTTACAATAGAGAGACTATCTTGATAACAAAGTTGTAGTGAAGATTCAACACATTGTCTGGTTGTTTCATCATTTGGTGAAGATGGTGTTGGCGAGGCAGTTGCTAATTCTCGTGTAAAATGTTTTGATAGGGATTCTGTTATCCTGGTAAAATATAATTCCAATCTTCCTTTGGTAGCATCAATATTATTGATCATTAGACAAGGTTCTGCGTTGAGTATAAATATGTTTGGCTTTGATCCGGTGGCATCTTCTATTTCAGTGTGTGAAATAAAATGTTCAAATTCTTGTTCTATAGTGGTTGCATATCTAACAATCTCTGATGACATTAATTCCAATAGTTGTACATAACTAAATGCATCTGGTAACCATAACAATGAATCAAAATCTTTAATTGCATTATCACATGCACTATAAAATTGTACATAGGAAGATGAATATCCTTTGGTTAAAGACATTTGAGTTTTCTAAAAAAATAAATAAATAAAAATATTAGTAAATTATTGATTATTTCTATTAATTTTGTTGTTTCTTACCTTGTCATCATTTTTAATTGAAACTGTAATGGTTGAATTTAAATTTGATTTAATTTCCTTTAATAACTTGTATACATAGGTAATAAATAATTGTTTAAGTGGTAGAGGTTTGAATCTTTCAGCCGACAATTTCTTTGTCATATCATAATAATCTAATAACTTTTTAACTAGAGGGAGGATATACTTGTTGAATGGTGCCCAACTACAGAAATCTTCAATTATTTCTACAATACATTTACCCCATGCATCAATGACATCACATGTGATCTTGATATCCATTGTAGGGAATGCTGATTCATAGACAAGAGTATTATTGATTTCATCTTGTATAATTGATAGCAATTCGATCAACATCTTTGTAATCTCTGGTGCATCTTTGATTTTTGATTTGACATCCAAACTCATAAATCCCATTTCTTGTACATTCTCTTTGAATTTTCTTCTAGATTCATCTTGGATACACTGTGATACTACCACTGCAAATTTTCTCTTTCCATTTCCATCTGGTAAAAATCTATTAAATGTAGTAATTATATTTTCAAATGATTTTACTAAACTATCTAAACATCCTCTTGGTTGATTCTAAAAATAAATAAAATAAAAAAATAACAAATGTTAGTTTTACTTTAAAAAAAAAAAGATAGAACTATCTAAAGTTTAACATACATTTGGAAAAGTTTCATAATATCTACCGATAGAATAATTCATTTTGTTGTAAATGGTTGATAGGATTGATTTTAGAGCAGTACTTTCAATTAGAGTAAAGTATTCAATCTTTACTTCAAAGATGGTATTAATGGTAGAGGTTAATTCTTCCAACTCTAACATGTCATTAATACTTGATGGGTCATATTTTTGTGTCAACTCTTCCAAATGCATTACAGTGACTGATGATTTACAAACTCCAAATCTAACACTGTACTGATTTAATAGATATCTTGCCAAAGAGTTATTAGTCCATGATCCTCCTACAACCGTTGTACAATATTGTGTTATAGATGCCAATAACTGTTTGTACATTACTACATGATTTGTTGGACATATCACTTTTTTAACAGCATTTTCAAATTCCTCCTTTTCCTCCTCATCTTCCTCCTCCTCTTTTGGATCAACATTTCTTTTTTGTTTAATATTATCCTTTTCAATTTTTTCTAAAATATTATTTAAAAATAGTTGATACTAGAAATGGAAAACAAAATGTTAATAAAATAGGTATATTTTTTGTTTTTTTTTTTTGACATACTTTATAAAATTGATAATGATATTCAAGTTGTAAATGAATTCTACCTCTAGAAGGAAGAGAGTACCAAGAATCTTTTAGTTGACAATCTTCCAAATCTTTGAGAGAAATTTCAATCTTTCCTAATAAACGATCATGTGGTTGATCGGGTTCATAACGCATTAAATATATATCCAATTTACCTCTTGGTTTTTTTTGTTTTCTATAGAAAATAATAATTAATTAATATTTTGATAGATTATTTTTGACTATATCATTTTTTTGACTTACAAATAAAAAGATTGATTATTCCATTGATTTTGATTTGATAGAGTTGATTTAATTTTATGAGAAACAGAATTTGAAATGATGCAATACATATTTTCAGAATCGGTTGAATCAAGACCATCAACTTGGAGAATAGAGACAAATAGGTCTGCATGGAAATAGTCTTCTCTAAATATAATAGATCTCATCATGTGTGCAATTTGATGACTTGCAGTATTTCTCCATGCCAAATATTGTTCGACAGAACCTCCAAATGCCTCTACGCTGTATGGATAATCACTTGTTGAAGTACCGCTGTACGTAGATGACGAGTGATTGTGGTTGGCCAATAATTCTAGTCTTTCTTTTAATTCAATCAATAGACCTTGATCGTGAAAGTTGTTATTGATCACATTTTTGGTAATTATCTTTTCCTCGAGATCGTCAATCGAGCACTGTTGTCGGAAATACTTTAAAAATTGATCTGGATTATTTCTTTCATCATATATAATAGATGATGACATCATCATATTTAAACTAGAAGGTAATGCATGAATCATACATGATTGAACCAATTCATAAAGTAAATTCTAGAAATTTAAATTAATATATGATAATTTATGTTTTTTTTTTTTTGATTTTGTCTTACCTTTTGTGACCTATCATAATTTACTCTAAACTTTTCTGAAAATGATTTATAGGTTGGGAAAGGTTTGAGTTGAATAGTATCATTGGGTACTATATGATATTCACGTAATGATCGTTCACCATCCAATACAATTCCTCTCTCTGCATTCTTTGGTACATAAAGAAAATGAGTTTCTTGAATATTTTTAGAAACTCTTAAAGATGATTGTTGTGGTTGTTGTAGGTTTGGTGCCAACTTTTCATAAATAGTTTCAATTTTACAATTTAAATCTAATTCTAAATAAATACATTTTGATTTCTAAAAATAAAAAAAAGAGATAAATTAATACTTTTTTTTTTTTTCCTTTTCTTTTGTTTTTTTTTTTTTTTGTTTTTTTTTTTACATACTTGATCAATAGTAATTAATTCAAAACAAATCTTTGCAAGTTTTATAAATCTTGGAGATTTTAGATAAATAATTTCTTGATTTGATAGGTTATAACTTGAAAGTTTCTTTTTAGTTTCCAAAATGATAAACTTTTTCTCCTTGTCTTGAATAATGGTTGTGGTAAGAGGAGGTGGAGAAGTTAATTGACCAGAACTATTAGACTTTGTATTGGATGATAATTTTGTTTGATTATTTCCTTTTTGTTGCGGTGATGGTTGTGGTGTTGGTTGTTGCTGCTGCTGCTGTTGAATTATCTTTTGTTTGTGATAAATGTTGACACTATTGGTTGGTATATTATTAATTTCCTTTGAAATGGTTGATAATTGAATATGTTGATGTTGCGTTGGATTGAATAATTGATCGATCGATATGTCAATTCCCGATGATTGTTTGAGTGAGTTTCTTTTATGTCTGTGTTTTGGCAATGCCAACACATAGTTTTCGAGAAAAGATGAATCATTTGGAGCAAATTTTGATTTCAATTTGTTGAGAAACTCTCCAACCGTACTATCTACAAGTATGTTTACTGAAAATGTATTATTGCATCCAAATTGTTCATAATCTTCAATGTCTACCACTAATTTCACAACATTTTTGTTATTGTCGTCGGTCACACCAATGGTCAAAGGTGACGATGAATTTGGTGGAGTAATTAATTTTGAAGAAGAGTTGGAGGAAGAATTTGTAATTACACTTGGACTATTTGATAGTCTTCTTTTACTTGTTGTTGTTGTTGAAGATCCAGAATTTGATAATGAACTAGAAAAAGAGGAAGTAGATGAAGTTGAATTGTTTAAATCCATAATAGAATCTAGAGGTCCGTTGTTTGGATAGATTGATTGAATATGTCGAAGTGGTGAAATTGGTCTTTGAGAACCACTATTTGCCAGTGATTGAATTCTTGGGTCTTGTTGCTGCTGATTGATTGATATCAACTCGGTATCATCAACCTCATCATCATCCTCTTCAGGTTGATTATTTGCATCTCCCAAGTTTGCAGGACCACCATGAACATTCCATTGATTGATTAATATAGAAAATGCCTTTGATCGATGAATAAAAGATGCAAATAAATATCTCTTTTGAGTTGTTCTAACTTCGATGGCATTTGGTAAATAAAATGATCCAATCTTTTTTTTAATCTTTAATATATCTTTAAAATGTATCATTGTCTAATAGTATACAAGAAATAAATATATTAGAAAATAACAGAGAGATTAGTCTGGATTTTTGAATCTTTGTTCTTTTTTTTTTGTTTTTTGACAAACCTTTTTATTCTTGGCAAGATGACTTGGACTTCTAAAACAAATAAAACTTTGAGTTATATACATTGTACCATTGTGTGACATTGATATTGTTTTTTTAGATTCTTTAGTACAATAAAATTCACTCATCACCGTTTCAATATGAGGTAGATCTGGAAACCATCTGAATAATAATGGTATAGATTTCTAAAGAGTTTAAAAAAAATATATTATTAATAACCAAATGTGTTAAAATATATCTATCTATATATTATATTTAAATCATACCAAAGAAGTAGTTTCTTGATCTGGAATCAATTCAAATGTTATAGTCAATTCAGAATTTGTGTCTTCACCTTTTTTGTTCTTCAAGACAAATGATTTTCTAATTGTCGACATTGATGTTGACAAGGTCAATGCTGATGAAGTTGATGATGTAGATATTAGAGGAGGTGTATCTATGGTAGTGGCAGTAGTAGTAGTAGTGTTAGTGGTAGTATTACTACTACTACTACTACTACTTGACATTGTCATATTTGATCTGATTTCATTTGTAATTGGTGATAGAGGTATTTGAAGAAAACAAAAACTTTCACCTTTTGATAACATCTCCCATGTCTTTACTTTTAATTCCAAATCACCAGCAGGGTATACATCTTCGTTAATTTCACTGTAGTAATTGATATCAATTATTAGTTGATCATCATCATCATCACCGTCATCAATATTATTGACCGCAACCAACTCAACATCAATACATACAATATAAAAGATTCTTTTTGAAATATTACATTATCTCCACCATTGACATATTTGGTTTTAAATTTGCTATCGTGATGATTGATTTTAACTATATATAGTAGTAGTAGTAATAGTAAGGTTAGTTATATATTGATTGGTTCATAGAAAAATATTTTTGTTTTTTTTTATTCATCAAAGGGTCTGATTGTCTGCTTGTGATGTACTGCATCTTTCAAGAAGAAGGTGACAATGTGATGCATAGAACCACTGTCGTACTACTACCACCACCGCTCTACAGGAGGAGACAACAACAACAACAACAACAACAAGATCTTCGTTAGATAGTTAGTGTTCATACCTAAGATCCAAGTCTTCTTTTTCTTTAAGTTTCTCCCGTTGGAGATTGATATTAATAACTTTTCTTTCATCGACTATAGATATAGATATCAATCAACCTAAATCTTCTATTGTGTTGTTGAACGTATATATTTATATATAATATGACTGTTTGTGAGTAGGTTGATCAACTTTAAAACATAACAATTTAGTGATCAAACTCTGTTTTTGTTTGAATAATAATAATGCAAAACCACCATCGTTTTTCAAATAATTTGGGGGTGTCTCGTGGTTGCCCCCAATAAATTTCCTTCGAACCTATATATATATTTATCTATTATATATATATATAATATATTTAACGATTTATTAAAATTTAGAATTATTTACAAGTAAAAAGATGATGATGATGATGATTAGAGTCTCTATTTTGGTTTGATTGAATCTTCTTGGGGAGGTGATGTATTGGGTGTTGGAATTGATTGAAAGTGGGATAGAGAAGGGTGACCATCCCAATCAATGTAAAACATCTTGTTTGACTTTGTGTTCTTTTTTACATAGGTATTATAAGGTTCCGATAAAAAGTATTGCTTCATCCTCTGTGAAATTGGTCTAGCTTGTTTATGGAATTCCCATTTGACTGGTAAATTGGTCTCTATCTCTTTTACACATCCAAATTCAAATGCCCATGCAACTGGTGACAATCCAAACTTTACAATCGCAGGTTCAAGGTCATTGAGAAGTGTGAGAAAGAATGATTGTTGTTTTGGATCTATAAAAAAGTATTCTCTTGCTTGGTACATAAATGCATTATAGAATCTATAATGATAGATAAAAAATATGTTAGTATACCTGCTCTGCTGGCCGTATCCTATATCATATCCTTTTCTTTTTTTTTTACCTATAAGGGGTATTTAATAGGCAGTCTCTTGAACTCTTTGATGCCATGAATACAAACAAATCATCCATTTGCTTTGCTATACCAAGACCTGGGAATCTTTGGGATGGCAGAGGTGGTCTAGAGTTGGTAAATGTTTGATGTGGATCTTGTAGTGATAGCCACTCAATGACACTTGCTTTGATTGGAAAGTTGATCAATGTCGATATGATCGTTAAACTATTATCATTGTCTTGTCCCCTCCATTGATAGTATTGTTGTTGTTCGATAGAGTTTTGAGTTGGGTTTGGTGTTGTTGTTGTTGGTGATGTAGTACTTGTTACTTGTATTCGATCAGAGATATCAGAAGAAATATTACTACCACCATTCTTTATATCGGATTCAATATCAGATAGATAGATATCTTTTCTTCTTACAAAACAATCGAGTAACAAATTATTGGGACCATAATCACCTGATAAACACAATGATTCATCGGTTATCTTGATACGATGAACAAATGAATCTGAGAAATCTGGTACAACTTGAATCCTTTTATATCCTTTGGCTTCCTATAGATTTTAAAAAATTAATATATATTAATATTGGTGATTGTTTTAAAACGATGATTTCCATTCTTTCTTTCTTTCTTACAAGAGCAGGTATAATTTTAAAACGATTTAAATATTCCTTTAATTCAGCTATTGTATAAGTGTTTAATAATCGATCACCCTCTACAGTATTATGGGGATAGAGTGAATCTTCATCTAGATCATCTATTGTTAGTGGTATGTCTATCATTATATTTGGTTGAGAATACTTTTGTAGAATGTCTTTTAGTTGTTGTAATCTTTCTCTCCATTTTAATGTTACATCATGTGCCCAATTCTTTAGATACTCTTCTATTTTATGATATGATATTAGAAATGTATGATGTTGATCGTCAGCTGCAGCAGCTGTAGTAGTAGTGGTGGTTGACTGCGGTGAAGGTTGTTGTTGTTCTACTACAGTACTGTCTTTTAATTTATCGATTGATTGTTGCTGATGCAATTCATGTTGTTGCTTATCTTGCTCTGACATGTTTGTTATATTAATGTATTATGAATAATCAAATTCACACAATTAAACAACTGTGAACCTCACAGTCACAATTTATTAAAATTATATTAAATTTTTTTATTAATTTATTAATTGCACATTAATTACTGGATTTTGAAATTCTTTATCATTGTTGGTTGTTTGATGAATAGATTCAATTGGCATTTCTATATTATCTTCTTCCACCTCCTCCTCCTCTTCCTCCTTACTATTATTATTATTATTATTATTATTATTATTATTATTATTATTATTATTATTATTAATATTATTATTATTATTATTATTATTATTAATATTATTATTATTATTATTATAAACTGTGGTGGAGGGGTGGATGTTCCAAACATAAAAAGACAGCATCCTAAATGCGATCAATGGCATTCTCTATTTCTTTTGGATTCACTGTTGATGTTGATACCATTGAATCATAATTTTCATTGTCATCATTATCATCACCATCATAGTCATTGTCATTATCAGTTGTCATTTTTGATAGTTGTTGATTTCTTTCTTTTGACAATAAATGAAGTAATAATTCATTTAATTGTACCAATTCTCTATTCTTGTCCCATAGTCTTTCTATTTGATGTTCTGAATCATAAAGATTGCCACTTAACTTTTCTATTTCATCTTCTTTTAATTTCAACAATATTTCCAGCATCGTGGCTTTATGTTTCTTGCCAATGACAGAGTGTTTACTATTACTACCAGTAGTAAAACTACGTGTAGATGAAGATAGTGATGGTACTTGCCAATGACTTTCAATATCATTATTATCAAAATGGAATGGTTGATCTAAATTATTTTCATTATTATTATTATTATTATTATTATTATTATAATTATTATTATTATTATTATTATTATTATTGTTGTTGTTGGAATGTACAAGTTGTTTGATTGATTTTAAATATTGAATAGATGATTGAAAAAACAATGCTATTGATTTTTTGTTGGGTGTTGAAGTGTCATTATCTGCGGGTGGTTTCAATGTTGACGTTGTTGATGATTGTAAATATGTAGAGTATATCTCTTCTTCTTCTTCTTCTTCTTCTTCTTCTTCTTCTTCTTCCTCCTCTTCTTTTTCTGGTTTCTTTTGTTGATTTTCTATTTCCTGTCCTGTTGATACAATTGGTTGATCATTTTTTTTAATTTTCTTTTTAATTGTATCTACAAAATGTAAACTCTTTTGATGAATAGAGTTGAATGATTTTGATCTCTTTGAAAATTCACCTCCGCTTTGGGATAATGGTGATGATGGTGAGGATAATGGATCAATTTTAACCATTATATTTTTTTGATTTAGAGATGGTGGGAATTGACTAATGGTTTGTGATCTTGGTGGTGATTTTGAAGATGGAATCCATTTTGGTTGTTTTGGTGGGGAATCACATTCAATTTCAAAAGACTTGTCAAGTTGCACTTTATCATCCTTGTTGGAAGATTGTTTTCTTTTAAAGATAAAGGCAAGACCTCTATGATGATTCTTTGAATCTAATGATCGCTGTTGTTGTTGTTGATTTTGATTACCAAGTTTAGTGGAATGGTGGAGGTTGTAGTGGTGGTGGTTGTCATTGATGTTGTCGAGGTTTGGTATAGCTAGACTTGGTGAACTCTTTCTTAAAGAATTATTATTATCATCTACAGAAAGTTTATGAGGTGTGAATTCAAGAGGAGCAATAGGTGGTGATGGATGAGGTTGAGGTGTTTTTCTGTTGAATATTTTGTTAAATGTTGTAGGGGAGGAAGAATTTGATTTATTCAAATGTTGGTCATGATAATAGTTGATGGCCTGATCATCCTTGAAACCATATTTCTTGATTATGCCAAACCACCATTTTTTATTCTTTGCTGTAGTAGTTGAAGTAGCTGTATTATTCATTTATAAAATTTAAATCATGTGGTTGTTGGAAACTATTATTGTTGTTTTAAACATTATTATTACTATTATTAATATGTTGTTATTATTATTGGGGTCGATGGAAGATGAGTATGGATGTATGTAAAAGAGGTAAAAATAATAATATTTAATTTTATAACAATGAGGTTTGTGGGGGATGATGGTTTGATTTTTTACCACCATCCATACACTACACGCTGGTCATCGATCAGCTTGTACTGTGGAGATCAACAAAAAATGTGTGATAAATGTTAATGGGAGGAGGGTTTAAACCACGTGATAATATTTTATTTTTCCTTGTGGACTAGATTGGTCATTTTTTTGGTGGTAAGTGTTTTTGTGAAGTAGCAACAACATTATTTTGATTGATATTTTTGTTGTTATTATTATTATTATTATTATTAATATTACTATTATTATTGGTTGTTGTTACTTGAGTTTGATAATTAACTTTTGTAAATTTATCTGGAACCAGAGGGAAATAAAGCCACATGGCATCACGGAAACGTATTTTGTATTGTTTTGGTGAAATGACTGTTGGAACTTTACCGCCACCTCCCATAATACCAGATTGTTTGACGTGCATTTCGACTGCCTTGTCCCAAGTAAATTTACGCATATAATCAATGATACCAACAACCAATTGGTTTTGAGAAGAATCGATACCAGTGAGCAACGAATAATCCATGACATTCAACGATGATAAAAAGGCAGTGTCATTCCAAACTGCCATAGAGAGACGTGTCTTGTCATACTCTCCGAGACAAATGGGAGAAGCAAAAGATGACTGGAGAAGATTCTCGTCCAATAATACTTCTGATTCGTTTTTCACCAATCTACTACGCAAAGATCCCTTGAGATCATAGGTCTTTGATATATTGTATCCATAGAAAAGATTCTCCATTACAATGAGATCCTTTTTGAGTGATCTACCATTGCTATCTTTCCATCTGACACTGTAAACACCGAGTATCTTACTGAGAGCTGTAGGAATTTGGTGAAGATAGGATTTGCACAGATACTCAAAGTAGAGAGGTGCAAAATCTAAAAACGATTCCAATTCTATTCTGCTAACTTGCTTGAGAATATAACGATCATCAAGAGTCTTGCTCCATGTAGATCCACTCTTTCCTCCTTTGGCTACCCATGCCTTGGATCGAGTAAGTGATTGAATAAATTGTTCATCACTACATACAACCTCTCTCAAAGCATGGAATTGAACTGGATAATATGTTGTACAAAATATATTTAATTCATATCCATTCTTTTCAAATTTAAATCCTTAAAATAAAAATAAAAATAATTAATAAATAAATAAAACTATATTAATTTTTTTTTGTTTTTTTAACATACTACTTCTAATTTCTCTTCTTTGATTTGAAACTAATAATTTTGATAATCTTAAAGTTTTGTCTTCATTTTCTACAATGGGTGGAGAAGTTGTTGAAGATGAAGAAGTATCCTCTGCTGCTTCTGCTTGATCTTCAATCTTTGGTTTCAGTTCATCATCAGAATCATCAATAAAACCATTGGTTGAAGAGGTAGATGATGATAAAGGTGTAGCTGATTGGGTGGTAGTTGCAGTGATGGATGGTTGCAATGGTGATGATGGATTCAAAGAAGAAGAATCATTGAGACTTCCAAGTATTGTACTACTACTGTCAATGATGGTGGGTGGAGAAGAGGATGCAGATTTTGCAATCGATGCAGTTGGAGGGGTAGGGGGATTCGATGAGTTGTCTCTGCTTTTACTGAGAAGAGATGAACCAAGAGATAATTTTCTTTCATGTTGTTTGTGTTGTTGGAGGTGATGAATATTACCAACAGAGTCTGAAAGATTTGGTTTCTTTTTGAGCTCGGTTGCACTCTTTTGCTTGAGAAAGTTTGTAATTTCTCTATCTTTGGCACTGGTTGGGATGTTTGTAGAAATATTTGGATTGGGATTATTCCCTACGACTTGATCATCTAAAATAGTTGATGGTTTGTTTAATTCTTCCTCCAGCAATTCATTAAAAGTAGATTTATACTCGGATGAAACCAAAGTATAGGCAATGGTGGTACTTGGTTCATTTTCATAGATAGCAATATTGTCTGATCCATCCAAAAGAAGGAATGGAATGGTTGGATCCAATACTTTGGTGCTTGCAATCGATGATACAATATTTGAGATGGTATTGATAATCTTGAGCTTGGGTTTTTGAGAATAAGAAGTGGATTGAGTTGAACTATTGTAGTTGGTGCTACTGCTGAGATTACTATTGTGTGATAAACTATAACTCAAATGAGATGTGTTGGGAGTGTTTGGAAGATCGCTCAAATGTGTCGGTGCAGAGATTGATGTTGGTAACTTTTCAGGTTGAGTATCCAAAGTAGATGGACATGGTGGTGGTGGATCATTATAATTTTCATTTGGACTAGAAATATATCCATTTGTTGTTGGTTGTGTAGTTGTAGTAGTCGTAGTTATTGTTGTTGTTGGTAAAGTTGAAAGTGAATTTGTTAAATTATTTAAAGTAATACCATTATTTACATCTGATGATAAGGAAGAAGAAGTTGGTGGAGGGGGAGGAGTAGAGAATGATGTTGATTGTTGATTTCTCTTTGATTTTTGAAAAGAATTACTTCCTACAAGACCATTTAATTGAGAATTCCAAGTTGAAAAGTTTGCATAGAGAATCTTGGTGAGATTGATAATTGGCTCATTGGTAATGGGACAAACATCTTGCATGAGTTGAGTGATTTTGGAAATGATGAGTGAACGTTCTTTGAGCAATGGAGGGATAAGATCTTTTACCGATTGATCTACAGCTTCTTCATCTAGTTCTACAAACTTTTCATAGATTGCATCATAGACTTGATTGGCAGTTTCACCGAGTAACTCTAGCTCCTTTAAAAGGACCATTCCCCTTTGACGACTATCAGATCGTTCAAAGTGTTTGGGTGGAAGAGTTAGTTGAAGTACAGCTAATGGGTCATATGAAAAGATGGCAACAAGATCGTTGTAATAGAAAAAGGTGATATGGTCCTTCATTGGTGCATGGCAACACTCGGTATAGTTTGTAATAAACGATGGGGGAGTGTAAAAAGTGAGTTCCAAATATTTGCCAAACGACATTTCCCAAGTCTCTGGTGACATTTGTTGCTCGGGACTAAAGTTTTTGCAAAGCTTACAACGATCAATCATATAGATACCATGTCTACTTGGATTGGTCAGTCCACATTTTTGTATACAGATATTGATACGTCCATTGTCTGCCAAAAATGTACGTTCGTGTTCTAGAAGCGATCGGTTACACTCTTTGGTTGTGCAAACGTGAGAGGTGTTGAAACAAAACTTGTGCAAAAATTCACCCAATGTTAAATCATTTTCGGAATAGAAATCAATCGTGTGCAATTCAAATGGAATGCATTGATTACTTCCACACAGCATTGAATGGGTATAGACGATGGATTGATGATCATAAATCGATTCTTTTTCAATTGAAAAAGTTTCGTTTGGATCTCGATCAAATGCATCCGAAGTACCAATACCCAATATTTCATCTTCATTGTAGTATTGTAAAACTGATTGTTGTTGTCCACTACTAGTACTATCAGAACATGGATAATAGAGACTTCTTAAAAGAGATTTCTTATTCTTGGCATGTTGTGCTGTAAATTTAAATTTCCACTCTATCGATGGGTATTTCTTTGGTACAGAGAATTTGTTTGATGGTGTTATCGATAGTAAATGATTTGATTTTACAATGGTTGTAGTATTTTGTTGATCTGTTGTGGTAGAGTTATGAGGTTGCATTGTAATTGATTTATCATTTAAAAATTTTAATTCCAAATAAGAGTGATGGGTAGAATAGATGGCAAATTGTAAGATTCTTTTTGCTGCTTGTAGTTTTTTACGAGAGGCACCACGTAAAATAATAGTAGCACCAAGTTCGGGCGAACATCTTTCAAAAAACATCAAAGTCTTTTTACCAATAATTCCTTCCTCTTTGAGTCCCACCTCGTTAAAAGATTGAACTCTAAATTGTCCACAAGTTCCCATATTCTTTTTAATGGTAGTGGTATTGGAGACTGTAGTGGTGGGTGCAGTAGAGGGTGAGGTGGAGGTAAGAGTCATGGTTGTAGTGGTAATCGTCGAGGTGGTCGTACCAGTGGTGATGGTAGATGTCGACGAGGAGGATGGAGTGTCTAAAAAAGTGTCCAACGTTGGAAAGATATCACCTTTGATACTTCTCGACACTCTTTCTAATACCTTTGGTTTGACGTTGAGTGCCAACGATATGCCAGACTCTAAAAGGAAATCTTGTGCAAGACGAGATACTGTCTTTTCCACCAATACAATGTCTGGTTTCTTTTCGGCAATTTTGTTTACCATCATTGAAAGATAATCCTTTTCTTGCAATAACAATTGATCGAAAAAGAGGAACTTGTTTTCAACTCTTTGGAATTCAACCGAACAACTAAGAAGCATAATCTTTGGACTATAGAAACGATCTCTCATCTTTTTGTGTGTCAATATTTTACTAATGACAACACCATCTACATAGATGAAATCTGGTTTCAAAGTTTGATTTGATTTTGGTGATGGTGACGAGGAGGAAGAAGAAGAGGATAATGGAGAAAATATATTGGTCAAACTAGTGTTTGTCATGCTATTGGAATGTGACAACAATGAACCGCCGCCGCCGCTAGTAAAAGTATTATGTTGATGACTACTACGACCATCACCATTACCTGGAACCTTTTTAACTTTGACATATTCATTTAGAGACATTTTATCACCTTCTCTAACAGACAATCTAACATTGGTCGATGCACGGTGTGCAAGATCGATAATAATTGACATCCATCTCATATCCAAATCCTCCTTTTCTACCAATCTCCCAACGATTTGTTTAATGTGGCTTGAATAGAATTCAAAACATGGGTGTTTTCGAATTTGATTCTTTTCCTCACTATTGTCGTTTTGGAGAATCGATGGTCTAAAGGTAAAGCTTTGCTCTTTTCTGAGTGGATACTTTTCCAAAAAGAGTTTTGATGTGTTTGTACTATTTTTAGGATGACTCTTGAGTGATACAATTGAAGGGTCACTAAAGAGAAGTGCTGAACTATTTGACAGTAAAAGTGGTGGTGCTGCTTTCTTTTGTGGAGTATTTGGTGGTTGTGAAAGTGATATGCCAGATGTTTTTAAAACCGACGAAGAAGGAGCTTGAGAATTAAAGGTTGGTGATATTAATGATGGTAAAAGTGATAATGAGTTTGATATATTTAAAACTCCTCCATTATTATTACTACTTGTACTACTACTACTGGTTCCATCTCTTGGTGAAGTTGATAAACTTGATACCTCTACAACATTGTTATTGTTTTGTGAACTGTCCCCTCCACTATTACTTAGAGTATTGGTTGAATTACTTAGTGGGGGTAATGAAGAAGTTGAGAATGATAACTGTTGTTGTTGTTGTTGTTGTTGCTGTTGTTGTTGTTTGTTTAACTTTGTATTATTTATAAATGTTGATATTGAAATGGCAGAAGAATTTGGTGATACAGATGAACTATGTTTGGAAAAATTACTATTATTATTTTGATTATTTTGATTATTTTGATTATTTTGATTATTGTTTACAAGGTTTAGATCTAAATTATTAAAATCATTAGAGATATGTTGTGATATTGGTAGGATGACTTCATCTTCACGATCATCTTCATCGTCAGATGACAAATCATCGTAGATTCTTTCTTGATTGGAAATCTCCATTACGAGATTGGTTAGATTCTTTTCATAGACTGCATTTGCATCTACAACAACATTTGTTGGATCTCCTCTATTGGTAAAAGATTTAAATGGTGATTGAATATTCATTAAATTGCCAAAAATTCCTCCAGCAAACTGTAGATTGGCAGGTGTTGATTGTGACAAGAGAGATGGTGGTGGAGATTGAGACATTGGACTTGTTTGTTGTGAAACTATTTGTTCAAATTGTAATTCAGTCTTTTGTGGTTGTCCATCAGTTTGTTGTTGTGATGATTGTTGTTGTTGTTGTTGTTGTTGTTGCAGCTGTTGTTGGTCAATTTGTAGTTGCTCGAGTTGTTGTTGTTCCAATAATTGTTGTTCAATTATAGTCTTGTTTAATAACTCTTGTGAATATAATGATTCATTTGTATCTTTTGGTGGTTCAATAATGAGTTCATCAATGTTGTGTGTAGAATTGATATGTCTGTCATAACAAAAATTACAAACTCTAATCTTTTCATTCTTATTATCAAACATAAATCTTTGTGAACATCTAAATTAAATTTAGTTGATTATTAATGTCATACATCTTTAATGATCATTTGGTGTATATTTAACTTACTTCCAACAAAATAACTGTCCACACAAACGACAATGATGTCTTCTTTTGAATGTTGAAAATGGAACATTACATTCATAACATACATTACTAGAATGATCTGGCATCCAAAATTTCTAAACACAACAACAAGTTAATATAATAGGATTCATAAATAATAATATTATTGGACCAACATACTTTTTCAGGTTTTGGAGGTTGGACAAACTTTTGTCTCAATGCATCAACTATAGAAGGACCAGTAGACGATGTAAATCCTATCGTTGTTTGTATTGGAGTCGTTGATGTTGTTGTATTATTGACAATTGTTGGTGTTGATGTTGTTGTTGGATGATTAAATGTGGTTGGAAGAGATGATGATAATATACTAGTATTATTTGTTGTGGTTGGCTTATCAATCCCGATAGCAAATGTACTAGTACTATTATCATTGGTGTGATGTCGGGAATGACCGGTACTAGTGTTTATGTTGATGTTGCTGCTGTTGTTATTATTATTATTATTATTATTATTGTGATTCAAAATATTAATAGTTTCATTATTGGTAGTAACAACATCACCAAAAGATAATGATGAAGAAGCACTAACATTATTATTATAATTATTATAATTACTATAATTACTATTACTATTACTATTATTGTTATTTAGATTAGAAGGATCAGCATATTCGATATTTGGTAATGGTCCAAAGTCTCTTTGACCATCGTCATTGTTGAATAGTTTAGAAAAGAATGTTCCTGCAACAAGTGAATTCAATGGTTGTTGTTGTATTTGTTGTTGTTGTTGCTGTTGTTGCTGCTGTTGTTGTAGTTGTTGCTGTTGCTCCCTAAAGTCTGTTCTTTTTTCTAATAAGAGGGTGGTATAATATGAAGAGTTAGACTAAGCTAGTCAGCAGCAGGTTGACTACTTCAGTCAGTAGTATGTTTGTTATTACCTTTAAGCATTCTTTTATTACAAACATTCAAAGAGGAGGGACTCTCCTTCTTTTGTTATCTCTATTCTATCAACTAGTTATAAAAAAAACAATTATATAAATAAACTAGGTTGTTGGTGATTTTTTTAAAAAGGAAGAAGCGAAAATATTTCTTGAGGTCAAGAAAAGATACACAACTTTTAATTATATATATCTTTACTCACTCAAATATGTCACAACAACAACATGTCGAAATTGCTGATATGCAAGTAAGTATCTACTTGACCTGCTGTTGGTTTAGGATGATCCAATTGAATCTAACCTCTTTCTCTTCCCTTTTTTTTACCTATATCTATCAAGGCATTTCAAGAGGTAAGAGAGAAACTCTTTACATTAAATAGAACATTGAATACAATTAGACAAAAGATACAAATAACAGATAAAGATAGACAAAGATGTGCAATTACACTTAGAGAATTAGAATCTATTCCAGAATCGACAAAGACATATAAATCAATTGGAAAGATGTTCTTGGTTTCTCCCATGAAACCTCTCAAACAAGAATTAAAGAAACAAATGGAAAAGGATGAAGATGATGTAAAAGGTTTAATGGTATGTTTTAAACTTCAAGTCTTATTGTTGATCAATCGCGATTGATATATACTAAACAAATATTACTCTTTTGATCATTTTATCTAGAATCAAGGTAAATTTGTTGACAATCAAATAGCAGACACTGAAAAGGCATTAAAAGAATTGATCATTAAAAAATAATAACCCTAACAACAACAATAACAACAACAACAATAATACAAACCATAGCGAATAATCTTTCTATATTTATATCTATCTCAAGTAAATCTCTTTATTTATTTTGGTACATTTTTTGGTTATTTGGTTTGATTTGGAATTGGATGATCCAAACGACGTCTTTGATTGGATATATTAAATTACAACAACAACAATTTGAAGGAGGTTGATTATTGGATATTATTACTTTAGACAGCATAGTAATCTTTAAAGTTCACCAACAATAACTTGATAAATCTTTCTAAGTTTGTTTACAAATCCAGTATCTCTCTCTGTGTTTAGACCTCTATACTTTCTTCTCTCCATGAGATCAACAAACTCTTGTTTTTCTAGATCACCATTCTTGTCGGTATCAAAGATTGTATAGATACTATCTACAATTTCTTGTGGCGGATCGAATTTACAAACCATCTTTGATACATATTTGAATTTACTCTTTGTGAATGATTGATTAATACCTTTGTATAAATCAATTGATAATGCTACATCATCTAATTTGTTTAATAATCTAAATATGTAAATATTAATTAAGTTAGAGTTAGTATACCTATGTTTTCTTTTGTTTGTTTTTGTTTTTTCTTTTATGTTTTCATACTCATTAAATTGAACAAATTGACCAAAACTAATACCTTTGTTTTTAGAATCAATAGTACTAGGTAATGATTGAACTTGAGAAAGATAGGTATCCAACTTTTTACCATCGGCATAACGAGCAATGATGTTTCCAAAGTCACGTTGAGAGATGTAACCAGTGTTGTTTGGGTCGTAGATGGCAAACTCTAGTTGGAGGACATCACGATGAAGTTGATCGAGTAGCTTTTGGAATTGTTCGACCGACATTTTCTTGTCACCATTCTTTCCAAACAGTTGATCGGACCAACCTTGTGCAACGATGCTTGGCTTTTGGGTGGTAGAGTTTTTGGCAATGTTGGATTGTGATTTGAGGATGTTGATCATACGTGAAAACTCTTGGATATCGATAGAGTTGTCGTGGTTGATATCCATAATCTTGAATGCAATACGTGCACTATTCTGTGGAATCGACAAGAGAGTAGAGAAAAAGATAAACTCGCTAAACGAAATGAGACCGTCACCATCGACATCGGCCATCTTGAACGACAGTGGAAGTGGTGCATTCTTGTTGATCAATGCTTTGGTCTTTGTTCCCTTGGTCGATTGAGCTTTGAATTGGTGTGGTAGAATGGCACTTACAAAGTCATCAAGAGTCATAAAGCTTTCACCATTCTTTGATATCGATGCAAACGTCTCAAATATCTTTTCTGGTGTACTAAATTCTCTGATACGATTCTGATAGTTGGTAATTATCTTTTCTCTCAATGTTGGTTGATGTTTTTCCACTTCTTGTTGGTCTGATTCTTTGAGGTACAATGCTGATGATACTCCCAATGCTACTGTGGTCAATGCTGCTGTTGCTCCAATCTTAAAGTACTCTTGCTTGTTGTTGTTGTTGTTCTTATTATTTTGTTTATAATCATTATTCTTCTTTTGATTATTATTATAATAGTTGTTATTAATCTTTTTAGAATTAAATGTTGTTGTTGAAGATGAGAATGAGGAGGAAGAAGAAGAAGAAGAGGAAGTGGTCAATGGTTTTGGACCAACAACAATGTATTTATAACTTTGTTTAATAAGTTGTCTGCTGATCATGTTGATATATATATATATAGATGGTTGTAGTATTATTATCTACTATTCTGTCTTTTTGTGAATGATCTTCAGGCTTTTTTCGATTGTGGTGTGAATCAAGAAAAAAAAAAAAAAAAAAAAGAAAAGATCTTCTTTTGTTTTTTTTTGTTAGAAAGCTTTTTTTTTTTTTTTTGGTTATTAATTAAAGAGTCTCTTTTATTATACTTTCAATAGTTATTTGAACAGTTCGTGTGTATGTTGTTGTTTTGATTAGTTATTATTATTATTATTATTATTTGTAATTGTTTGTGTTATTTTGTTGTTGTGTTATTAAAAAAAAAAAGTAGTTAATATTATAATTATTATTATTACATAATGTTACATTTACTTCCACAACACTTTGATTTCTTTGAATGAGAAAGAGATGATTTATGTTGTTGTTGTTGACTGCTGTTGTTGTTGTTGTTGTTGTTGCTTCCGCCGCTGACATTATGGTTACTCGTATTTAGTAATTGTGGTGTGTTGTTGTAGGATTCGTTGTGTTGATGTTTGCTTGTCGAAGCTTCAGCATCGCTGTGGTGATGGTTGTGATGTCCACTTTGGTTCAATGGTTTTTTGGTGGTTGTTGGTTTTTGTTGTGGTTCGCTCTTTTGATTCCATGATCCTCCTCCAGATTCCTTTCCTTCAGATGATGCTGCAATCACCGATGCACTGGCACTGTCTCGTCTCATTAATTGTACTGGATTGGAATCGGCATCGTTATCCATTAAATGACCTTTGTTATTTGATCCATTGGCTCCACCACCTCTACTATCATTATCCCCTCCTCCTCCTCTTGATCTACTTGCTTCAACTTCTATTGTTGATGGTGATGGAAGTCTAAAAAAAATAAATAAAAACATATTTGTTAGCCTTTGAATATATCTATGTGATAGATCTGAGATACTTACATTTTTTGTAATTGTGAAGCAGAAGAAGTAATAGGATTGAGAGATGCATTATTGTGATTTCCACCACTATTAAGTTCCCAATCAAAAGAAGTTTGATCATTACCACCGAGTGCAAGAAAACACTCATTGAGTAGGGATTGTAAATATACATAGTTGGGACGATCGTCATAGTTTAGCGATTTAAGATGTTTCATAAACAATGTAAATTGATTTGGCAAGTCTTTAACGAGATCGGGTGTATTCAACTTGACCTTCATATCACCGATTTGGTCTTTATCCTTGAGCTTACGCCATGGCAATTGACCTTCGGCAAATTCTATTAATACATAAAAAATGGACCAAAGGTCATCTCTTCGGCCCAAGTCTTTTGATAGATGTGAATTAATTGATGCATATCTAGCTGTGCCTCTAAATCCTGTTGAATCTCTTGCCTAAGATAATATTAAAAAATAAAATAAAAAGAGATAGAATATGAGTATGATAAAGGATAGGTAGGTAGGTAGGTAGGGTTGGTTGGTTGGTTGGTTGGTTGGATACATACAGGTCTGACTTCTCCAGAAGATAAAACATATCTTCTTGCTAAACCAAAATCAATCAAATAAGTAATATGTCTTTTATTGGGACCTAATCCAATGGCAAAATTTGACTAAAAAAAAAAAGTAAAGAAGAAGAAGAAAGAAGAAGAAGCAGTCGATTGTTGTTGTTGTTGTTGTTAATAATTTAATCAATTTTCTCTCTTCTCTCTTCTCTCTTTTTATTTCAACTTACTGGTTTGACATCCCTATGTAAATAACCTAAATCATGAACAGCTTCAAGTGATTGTATCATTTGTATACCCAACTTTAGTGTAGTGGTCATTGAAAACTTTCCATCTACTTGGCGTCTTCGAAGTTCAGACAAGTTGTCACCCAATAATTCCATAACCATATAGTTATAATCGTTATGTCTTCCACATGTTATGAACCTACATACATATGGACATGCTAATATATTATATAGATATATTGATATATATATAGATATAGATATATATATATATATATAGATATACAAGTATAGATAAGTTGATCAACATTTAAATTCATCTTTTCTTCTTGTTCTTCTTCTTCTTCTTCTTCTTCTTCTTTGTTCTTTGTTCTTTGTTCTTTGTTCTTTGTTCATACCTTGTAATTTTTTTAGAACGGCAACTTCCAACTTTAGTACTTGTTTCTTTGTATCAATCTTTTCAACCTTGATAGCAACCAATTCATTGTTTATGATGTTCTTGCCAGAGTAGATCTCACCAAAAGCACCTTGACCAATCTTTTTGACAATGGTCCATCTACCTTTGATCAAACTGTTTGTAGTAAATCCAACGCTTTGCTAAAGTTTGTAAAGGTTGTTTAGGTAGGTAGAGTATATAAAAATAAATAAATAATGAGTCAGTATATTGATGTGATGAGAGATTGATTGATATCTATATATCTGTATATTGATTGATTGATTGATTGAATTACCATTTTATTATATTTTTGATCAATGGTGAGGCTTTATATAAACAAGTAGAGAGAGAGAGAAAGCCTCCCCTTCTTCTCTTTTTTTTTCTATTGTGTTTTGAGAGAGAGAGAGAGAGAGAACTGATGATGATGATGATGATGATGATGATGTGATGAAAAATATCTATCTATCCTATCTCACTATCTATCTCACTATCTATCTAATCTATCTTATCTATTAATCTATTTCAATAGACTAATGTTAATGATGATGATGATGAATTGAAAGCAACAACAACGATGTTGATGTTGGTAATAATAATAAATAATATGGTTGTGTGCGTGAGCAGGCGAATCAAGACCTTTCACTCACTCAAAAAAAAGGATGAGGTTGTGTTGTTTTTTTTTGTTTGTTTTTTGTTTTTTTTTGGTTTGAAACAAAACCTTGCGAATTCAAGGAAGGTGTTTTTGATGGAAGATCTTTTAATCGAAATTTCCTTTGCTTCCACTAGCATCGAGTAACAGTAGTAGTATGAGTTGTTTAATTACATTTTATTTATATTTAATTAATAAAAATAGAATATAATAAAGATGAGATTTAGATCTCTCTCTCTCTCTCTCTTAGTGATAGATTTGATCACAACCCCCTCCCTTCATTGAAATATTTTATGTTATAATTTTTTAAAACTCGCGCAAAGACACTCCCCCGCAAAAAAAACGATTGTCTGATTCGAATGTCTTGGTGGTGCTTGGACAAAGAAAAGGGTCTTTATCTCTCTATCACAACAATAATAATAATAATAATAATAATCTAGAGGCCAATCTCAGCTGAGGAAAGAGAGAGAGAGAGAGAGAGAGAGATAGATAGGTAGAAGAGAGAGAGAGAGATATGGAGATTGGAAATCGATTGTGGATTTCAACACCTCAATCTACCAACAACAACAATAATAATAGCAGTAATAATAGTAATAATAATAGTAGCAATATAAATTGTATTAGTGCAATTGGTACACTACAATCAATCAACGGTAATACAGTCATAGTTAAAGATTTGATTAGTACTTGTAGTAGATTCAATCATCATTTAAATAGTATCAACAGTGACAATAGTAGTAATGGTAGTACGATAGAGATAAATAAACAATATGTACACCCATTTAATAGTTTAGATGATTGTGATTATAGTGATCTTGTTGGTATAGAAGATCTAACTGAATATAGTCTCATTCATCATCTCGGTAAGAGATATATAAAAGATTCTATCTATGTATGTACATCTTCTGCTGAAAATCGTGACTGTGACATGTGACATGTGACTAATTATAATTATAATGTATATAATCAAAATATTTGACAGACATGGATAGGTAATATTCTAGTATCTATCAATCCATTTAAAGATATTTCATCAAATAATGTCAATCTATCTACCTATGAACAACAACAACAACAACAAAATGCAAGTGGTGATAGCACCAATTCATCACCTATACCTCATGTCTATTCAGTAGCATCAAAAGCATATAATCAACTAATGAATGAATCTACCAATCAATCGATTGTTATTAGTGGTGAATCTGGTAGTGGAAAGACTGAATGCTCAAAATCAATCATTCAATATCTTGTAGCTAAAAGTAGTTCAAAACAACAACAACAACAACAACAACAACAACATCACAGTAATAATAATAATCAAAATAATAATAATAATAATAATAATAATAATAATAATAATAATAATAATAATAATAATAATAATAATAATAAGATTGAAAAAGATTTAATAACATCATCACCATTATTGGAAGCATTTGGTAATTCACAAACACCAAGAAACCAAAATAGTAGTAGATTTGGTAAATTTATAAAGATTGAAATCGATTCGACAAGTGGTATCATAAGAGGTGCACAGATAGAGACATATCTACTCGAAAAGAGTCGTATTTCACATCGTCCAGATAATATTAATCTAAACTATCATATCTTTTATTCAATGGTCTATGGAGCTTCAAAAGATGATCTATCTAAATGGTTTATGAATTCTACCAATTCAAATGCTAAATCTTTTAGATATTTAAATGCTCGTGATGATTTAATATCTATTGTTGAATCTAATTATTCAAACAAAAATAGTAATCATAGTAATAGTAATAATAATAATCATTACAATAACAAAACAGAATCAATTCATAATTTTCAAAATCTTAAACAATTAATGTTGGCTATAGATATGAATGTAAATGATTTGGATGCTATATTTAAATCTTTGGCTGCTATTCTTCATATTGGTAATATAGAGTTTGAAGAGGACTCTGATTCAAAATATGCATATGTTTGTGATAAAAGTACAGCATCACTAGAATCGGCTGCTCAATTGCTAGGTGTCATACCTTCCATGTTTAGTGTTGCTCTTTTAAATCGTAAACTAAAAGCATCTGGTAGAGGTTCTGTTTATGCTCGACCAAATGATATTGCTCAAGCAGAGGAAAGTCGTGATTCCTTATCAAAAAGTTTATATGCTCGTATCTTTAAATATCTTGTAGATTCTATAAATAGAAAATTTAATCAAAATAATCAACAGAATAATAATAACAAAAAGACAACAAAGTTTATTGGTATTTTGGATATTTTTGGATTTGAAAATCTATCAAATAATAGTTTGGAACAATTGTTGATCAATTTTACAAATGAAAAGTTACAAAATCAATTCAATCAGGCTGTATTTCATGAAGAACAAAAGGAATACATTTCAGAGGGAATACAATGGAGTAATAGTTCCTTTATTGATAACAAGGATTGTATAGATTGTATAGAACGAAAAGGTGATGGAATATTATCAATGTTGGACGATGAATCAATCATGCCAAAGGGTTCAGAACAATCCTATCTCGAAAAATGTAACCAAAAATATAAAACTTCTCCATCCCCGTCTACACCATCTCCATATCAAAGAACGCTTGGAAAGTTGACATTTGGTATTAAACATTTTGCAGGTGATGTGGTTTATCATGTTGATGGATGGTTGGAAAAGAATAGAGATTCTCTATATAGCGATATAGAGGATTTAATGTTACAAGGTAACAAGTTTATTAAATCTTTATATAGTCAACAACAAATAACATCAACAACAACAACCACTACTAGGACATCAGTTAATGGTAACCCATCAATCATGACAGGTAGATCATCTCCATTACCATCTTCACCAACATCAACACCAAAAAGACAGACAGGAGGTAATACAGTGTCTAGTCAATTTTTAGGACAACTATCACAACTTGTCCAAACACTCAATTCAACGACACTTCACTATATACGATGTATAAAACCAAACCAACAATTAGAAAACAAATACGATACTGTAGAGGTACTATCTCAATTACAAAGTGTAGGATTAATGAGCACCATTCAGGTAAGAAAGAATGGTTATTCCTATAGAAGAGATATAAACACATTTTTCAATAGATTCAAAGTGTTGGTCGATATGTATAATAGGAAAAATAATAATAACCCAAAATTGGCAAGTCAAGAAATATTACAAAATATTCAATCTAAATTAAAAACCATGGGTATATCAAACAACAAAAAAAAGAATAACAGTAACAGTAACAGTAACAGTAATAATGATAAACTTTTATGCGCAATTGGTAAAACCAAAGTATTTTTAACGGATCAAATATATAACGAATTGGAGAATGAAAGAAATTTGGTGGTGAAAAAGACGGTTCAAGTTATAGAGAGATATAGATTGGCAAAAAAACAACGTCAACTATTTTTGGAATCAAAGAAAAGATATCTCATATTACAATGCGCAATTAGATCTACTTTGGCTAGAAGAAATCTTGGTCTACTCGATACGGAAATGAAAAAGAAACAAAAATTAGAGCAAGAACAAAAGTTGGAAGCCGAGAGAAAATTACAAGAGGAAAATAGGAAAAAACAACAATTATTGTTGGAAGAGGAAAAGAAAAGAAAAGAAAAGGAAAAACAATTGGAAAAGGAAAGGGAGAAAGAAAAGGAAAGGGAAAAACAAAAGGAAAAGGAAAGAGAAAAGGAAAGACAAAAGGAATTGTTAAAAGAAAAAGAAATTCAAGATAAACAATTATTAATTAAAAAACAACAAGAGAAACAACAACAACAACAAGAAAAACAACAACAATCACTACAAGGTAAACAATTGGAAATTAAATCAGAGAGCAACATTGAAGAACAACAACAACAACAACCAACTACTATTTTTGAAAAGTGGAGAAGAAGAGAAGTTCAAGATCATCCAAACACTACTAATACGATCTACAACTAGTAGATTAAGGTTCCCAGGTATTGGAGTTAGAAAACCATCACCATCACAACCTATTCCCATTCCAGCTTTATCCAACAACAACAAACCTTTTAATTCTTTACAAACAAGTAACAGTAGTTTTGACAGTATCAATGAGACATTGTCATCACCTGCCTCTTCCCCACCCTCCTCTTTATCGTCTACATCTTCTTCTTTGCCTCAATCTTCACCACCAGAAATTCCAATCAATGGTAGTAGTACAGGACAAAGGATCTCTTCAACCAACAAATCCATTTCATTTGATCATGGAAAGAATCCAGCCACTCCAAATGCTCGTCGATCTAGACTTCTTGTTAAATCACCGTCGGCAGGAGAGAATGACCTTGTTCCATCCATGTCACCATCTTCACCTCATTTAGTACCATCAATGACACCACAACAATTTAGATCAAAGATTATTGTTGAAATCATGGAAACTGAAAGAGATTATTGTCGTGATTTACAAATGATGATTGAAGTATTCCTTGTACCAATAAGAGAAAGATCTCTATTAAATGCAAAGGATATTCAAACACTATTTGGTAATGTTGAGATTCTTTCAAATATTAATCAAACAATGTTGGAAGAATTGGAAAAGAAACCAACTTCAACAACATCAACAACAACAAATAACAATAATGATATTTCCAATTCATCATCAATTGTAGATGAATCATCTTCCAATAATGTTGGTCAAGCATTTTTAAAGATGGTAATTATTCACATCACATTTGAATCATATATCACATTAATATTAATATTTATTACATTTAGAGTCATTATTTAAAAATGTATACATTTTATTGTTCAAATCAACAACAAGCATTAAAATTATTAGAAGATGAAACGGTTAGGAATCAAGGGTTTAGAATATTTTTAGAGGATAGAATGACAGATGTCAGGTGTCGTGGTCTACCTCTACTATCATTCTTGATCAAACCAGTACAAAGAATATGTAAATATCCACTCTTGTTGAAAGAGATTTTAAAGTATACACCAGAGGGTCATCAAGAGAGAGAAGCTCTGGTAGAGGCTGATAAAAAGATTCAAGACGTTGTATCTTCCATCAATGAAGGAAAAAGAGATGTTGAAATGTTTCAAAAGATATTTGAAATTCAATCGTCTATTGAAAATATCGAATCAATCGGTGAAATTGTCATGCCCGGTCGAGTATTACTACAACAAGCACAGGTAACTGGTGTACGTGAACTTACAAACCCAGATGACACACTTCAAAGAACCATCTTTTTATTTAATGATCTCATTTTAATACTCGGGCCCACCTCTGCTAGGTCAATGGTCAACAATCTAATCACTAGCAATAACTATACGAGTGGTAATAGAACAAGATTTATTTATCGTGCCAAAGCTTCTATTCAAATTTCATCTGCTCGTATCATGTTTGTTTCAGATAGTGATTGTATGTATATTAAATATAGATTTATAATAATAATAATAATAATAATAATAATAATAATAATAATAATATTTATATTAATTTATATTATTTAATTTCCTTTTAGCTGTAAAATATGCAATTGAATTATCAAATACCAATTCAAAGAATCATGAATCATTTATTCTATGTTTCCAAAATGATCAACAAAGATCAACATGGTTGAAACAAATTAAATCAATGATTCAAGAATATAAATTTAATCAACTATCATCTCCTTCTTTGCTGTCCGTTGGTGGAGGTGGCGGTAGTAGTAGCAGTGGTGGTGGTGCAGGTTCAGTAGGTAGTGGTAGTGGCGGTGGTGGTGTTCAGTCTAGATTCTTTATTGGATCATCACCGAGCAGGATTAATCTACTACTAAGAGATCGATCATGGAAAAATTCAAGTACTGGTTCCTTACCAAATCATCCTCCTAATCCAAACACTCCTCCTCCTCCTTCTAATAATAATAAATAACAAATAACAATAATAAATTATAGTAGTTGTAATAATAATAATAATAATAGTATCATCACCATTTTAAAAATCATTAACTGCCATATCTGTATAGTAGTATAGTATGTATAGTACTCGGTATTCACACAATTGTGATTTATTATATAAATGTATCATTAAGACCGTCACCGTTTTATAATAATAAAAAGCAATGACCCCAACCTCTGCAAGCATAGCATGGTTCAACCGAAACTCTTTTGTTTTTTTTTTTTTTTATACCCCCTTGTATGATTGCTAGATAATAATAGCAATCGTCCCTAATCTGATTCTTATTCTAGAACAATAACTAACTAACTAATAATCAAAAAAAAAGACAAAACAACCCATATAGATAGATATAGATAGATATATAGATAGATATACAGTTCTTCTACTACTATTGTTATAAAAGTAGCGGCATTATTTTATTATGATCCCTGTTGTTGCCTCTAATGGCAACCATTCTCCAAAATGTATGACCCTTGAGGAATCTATTTATCTATAGTTTAGAGAGAGATCTCAATATTAATATATCTCTCTATCTCTACACTCCCTCTACAATGAACCTACACAATTATTATTATTATTATTTATTTATTTATTTATTTATTTATAGTGAATAATATAGGTCAATCATATCATCATCATCATCATCATCATACAACAAATAATATTGGAGGAGGAGTATTATATCTTTGGGGAGAAAAGTATACAACCAAACCATCATTTTGTTCATCGATTCCCAATATTCAATCTATTCATTGTGGTTTTAATCACACACTTGTTCTTACTGAACAAGGTCAAGTATATTCATTTGGTGACAATAGAAATCAACAACTTGGTCTATCCAATGAATCTATTCTTGAACAATTCAATCAAAATGCAATATCATCATCATCTTGTGGTGCATCATCATCCCCTTCATCACTATCAAGTCTATCACTATCCTCTTCTACTTCATTTAGATCATCGATGAATCTAAGAAACTCAAATACCAATTCATCGTCTCCATTTGCTCATTCTTCCATTCCACTATTGATCAGTGGTGTATTTAATGGTCTAAAGGTTAAAATGGTTGCTTCAGGTGGTTGTTTTTCAGCTGCTGTATTGGAAAATGGTTTACTCTATACTTGTATGTAGAAATAGTAGTAGTAGTAGTAACCAACTTGGCTTACTATATAATACTTATAATTTATTTTTTTTAATTTTCTTCTAGGGGGAACATTAGATGATATTGGTAAATCAACAACTATTCTACCAACCAAAGTAGATTTAATTAAAGGAGTTACAAGTGTATCTGTTGGACTTAATCATATAGCAGTGGTAGCAGAGAGTAATACACCTACTGAAAAGAGAGCAGTTTATACTTGGGGTAGCAACAAGAGAGGTCAACTTGGTGTTTTGGGTGATTCTATTACCAATGCACCAAGAAAGGTTACGCTGGGTGCAAAGGCACTGTCAGTGTGTTGTGGTGAAGAATTTACTGCTGCCATTGTCGAAGGAAATGAAGTATTTGTATGGGGAAACAACAAAGGCAGACAAATCTGTCCAAACAACACTGATGAAACCATTTCAATTCCAGTCAAACCATTCCTTGGTCGTGACATTGTCGAGTTGTCATGCTCGCGAAACTACATTGTCGCAAGAACAGGTGCAGGTAATCTCTATTGTTGGGGCAACAATGAGAGTGTCTGTCGAATTGCAGACTCTTCTACAATGGTACAGTTTCCACAAAAAATCAAACAAATATCGGCAGGTGTATCACATGTATTGGCACTCTCTGAAAAGGGTGAAGTATATACATGGGGACAAGGTGAAGATGGACAATTGGGTGGAGGCGATGTTCACAAGAAGAGTATGACCACCAACTTTAAGAAAATATCTCATCTCGAAAATCGTCAGGTGCTCTATGTGGTGGCTTGGGGAAGATGTAGTGGTGCAGTTGTCGAACCTGGCAACTCTAGAGTAGAAGTAGCCGAAACAATGAGAAGAGCAGAGAACAACAAGTCAATAGCACCACTCTACGTACGACGATTGACACACTTTATTAGAGGTGACTCGAGCAAGTTGGAGGGTATTTTTAGACTTTCTGGCTCCAAGGCCAGAGTCGACGAATTAGAGAGACGTCTTGAAAGCAATGAAGAATTTTCAATGTCAAAGTACGAGGCATTTGATGCTGCCGATGTACTCAAACGTTATTTCAAGAACCTACCAGAACCACTTCTCGTTCAAAGTCTTTGTAATCAATACGAAAAAGATATTCTCAATTGCAGCGATCTCAATCTACAAAAGCGTTTGGTCATGGAGTGGATATCTCAACTACCTCGGGAAAATAGAGAGTTGCTCATCTATCTATTGTCATTTTTGGATGAAATCGTTCACACTCAACTCGAACACCAAAAAGCAAATGCAATGGCTTCAAAGAATTTAGCACTTGTCTTTGCACCAAACCTATTGACCAAGGGTGAAATTGGAAACGATGAAATCATTGAAATAATGATCAACATGTTTAATGAAATCATTGGTGCACATTCATCACTAGAGACTAGTATCATCATTGATCATATTCAAGATGGTATTAAAGGTGCAAGAAAGATACCATACACTATCGATCTTTGGAAGCGTTGTAAAAATACACGTGAATCTGCAACCAAAGCTTTCCTAGAGCCACAAGTATTGATTGAAATTGTCGATCAAATTGTTTTAGATTTAACTTTGGCCTCTAATATGCAATCACCTCTTTCGCTAAGCAATAACATTATAAATAGTAATAGTAAATCAACTTCATCACTTCTCAATACAGTATCACCATTACAATCACCAAAACACAGATCCACCTCTATTAGTATTGTAAATCCAACCAATAACAACGGCGCTACCAACAACAATGCCTTTAACAAAAATATTGTCAATCCAATCTTTTTTGGATCTCTATCTAGTCCAACATTATCTAGTAGTATAAGTAATCTCCCTTTACCAGGAGCTCTATCTTCTTCCTCCTCTTCTATTCCTCCCAATAGTACTTTGGCAGAATATAGAGATGTACTTTTATTATTCCTTTCACCAATCCTTCAACCAACCAACATTCTCAAGGTTTTGCCTTCAATGTCACAAATTCAAGATGTAAATAATTTATTCATTCAACTATTGTTGTTAAACAAAGTATGTAGTAAAACAAAAAAAAAAAAAAAAAAAAGAAAATAGAAAAGAATTGGCTCTAATTGATTATTTATTTATTTAAGCTTGTAAAAACATTAAACTATGATATCTATCAAAAAGTTTTAAATGAAATCAATAATATTAAAACAATAGATTCAACAACTACTTTTCAAGATTCAATCATTGAAACTTGTAATTCATTTATTCATTTGACTTCTGTAAGGAAAACAAAAAACAAAAACAAATCCTTTCCCATCTCTCTAACTTTCTTTTTATCTTCTTGTAGGAAATATTATTAATTGAAACAAATCAAAATATTTGGAAAGGTATAACAAATAATTCAAAGATTTATTTATCAAATATAATGGAATATTTTAATTGGTGGAATAATTATTTACAAAAATCAATGAGTGATTTGGAGGATAAGATACTTAGATCAAAGAAAGATTTTGACAAGGTTGAAAACGAAAAGATGAAAAATGAAAAGTTGTTGGCTACAAATAGTAAAGCTCAATCCTCTTTTACAACTACACAAACAACAACAACGACAACAACAATCAATGTAGATGAATTAAAGAATGAATTTGAAAGATGGACATTGATGAACCAATCCAAAACGATTGCAGAAAAGACTGAAAACTTTAAAATACAAATGGAAAAATTGGAATGGGAAAAACAAGTTTTACAATTGGAATGCAACAAGTTTAAACCACATTTCAACTCTGTCAAGGATTTTGTTGATAGCAGTATAAAGTCATTCGATCAATATCTAGACCACCTTGAACAACAAAAACAACAGTGTCAATTAACCTTTTCACAATATTGTGGATCATTCTTTGATACTATATTTAAATTCCAAAATGATCAACCCGATAATATTTCAAACAAACTCTCTGAAACTATTCACGCTCTTTCTCGAGAATGGAATTCTCATCCACACCATTTAGTTTCTTTGGAAATTGAAACTAAATTAAATTCAATTAAAAAACAATTAAAATAAATTCATGTAACTATTATCTTAAAGGTAAAAAACTATATATATTAAAAGAAGGGAAGGAATTTATTTAGTTTTTTAGTGATTTTCCAATAGAATCACCAACTTTAATATAAGTTTCAATTGGTTTGTTACTGTTTACCAATAGATCCTTGTCAAATTCAATGGTATTTGGTGCAAAAAGTAGCAATATGGTTGACCCACCGAAGCTGAACCAACCAAATTCATCTCCCTTTTGTACCTTTTGATTCTCTGCTACAGAGACATTGATGGAACCAACCATGGTAGCACCAACAGCAATAAAGATGACTTGTCCAAATTCCTCAGATTGAACAATGGTGTAGGCTCTTTTGTTTTCAGTGTATACATCAATATCTTCTTGATTGACTGCAACGGGATTGACTGTGAAATAATTTCCATCAATGGGTGTAGTTGGTCCAGCAATACCATCAACGGGTGAATGGAATCTGTGATAGTCTTGTGGACTTAGACGGGCAATAACCAATGAACCACCTTGGTATTGTTCAGCCAATTGTTCATTTTGTAATAAACTAACTAAATTAAATCCTTTTCCTTTAATCCATAATTGTTTTGCAATATCAATTGATGAATAAACATTCATTCTACAATCTGCTGGTGATACACATATTTTCTAAAAGAAAATAAAAAATATTAATAAATAAATAAATGTATCATTTTGTTTCTTGATTATTTTTTTCTTACAGGATTCATTGGTTCAAAAATAGGTCTAGCACTAGTTTTTAATTTTCTAATAAAGAACTCATTAAAGTTATGGAATGTAATAATTGGATCCAATATTTCATCAATATTTAAGTTATGAAACTTGATAAATGGTGCAATTTCCTGAAAAAAAAAAAAAAAAAAATGGTTAGAAGGTTGGATATGAATAATTTGATTTAATCTATTTACTTACTTTAATACTTTCAGGTGAATTATATTTACGACCAGTCTTTGCAGTTAAATATTTTAACAACTTTTTAACTTGTTGCTTATTTACAGCAGATCTACCGGAAGAGGTAGCATACATAACTCTTAGAGCAACTTCAATATAATGAGGTACCTTTTCTTCTTCAAGTTTACCAGTCTCTCTATTGTGAACCAATATCACCTTTACCTTTCTATTTGGTTCATGTCCTGGAAGTGATTTCAATGAACCACTTGATTTGTAATGTAATATATTATCGGCAATGGTAGAATAACTGTCAGAGATTGCATAGACATCCCAAATCAAATTTGGATTACCAGACAATAAACGATTGGACAGATCTTCACCGGTAGAGGTATTGGTGAAAAAGTTTTCCAACTCGTTCAATTGAATCGAACCATCTCTATTGGTATCAGCTGCTTCAAAGAGCAAGTTAATATCTGGTTCTGGGAATGTTTCATCGACACTGGTTATAAGAGCAGTGAAATCGGTAATATTTAACTCTTCATTGTCCATGTGTGAGAAATGTCTACAAATACTAGACCAAAATGCAGTGTTTACTTCTTGGTGTGTTACAACTTTAAAGGTTAAATGTAATTCTCCTCTTTCTTTTTCCTTTTTAATAATATTGTACCAACTATCTTGTTGTTGTTGTTGTTGTTGTTGACTCTTTAGAATATTAGCTATTTCAATTTCTACATTTCCAATCAAATCTAAAAAAAAAAACAAAAAAAAAAGAGAGAGAAAGATGAGTTAGAGTTGATTAATTAATTAGGTTGTGATTGATGTAAATTTACCATTTTGAGTAGCTTTATCCCAATCCCAAACTGTAAAGGTCATAGTATAATTTGATTGAGATTCTCTAATGATAACATTGAATTGTTCATTCCAACTTGGTGATAGTGATTTCTTGATGGTAGCAGTCTTGTGAATCTTATTTCCACCAAAGGTAACAGAAACAAATGGGTCTGCAAACCCATTTAAATCCATTTTTGGTAGTCCTCTTGCTTCTGCAACTAAATATATAGTAAAGTAAGTATAATAATAATAATAATAAATCATATGTTGATGTTGATGATGATGATGGATGATGATTAAAAAACATACTACTGATACTTAGTATACCAATGATAGGATCATGTATATCCATTATTATATTACTTATGTATTTGATAAACTAAAAACTTTAAAACTTAACAAATAATGAATTGATATTGCTAATGAACGAACACTTTAATGTGTTTTTTGTTGTTAACATTCTTTCTTTTAAAAGAATGTAATGTAATGCTACCCTTGGTTGTAAAAAAATATCTGCAGATATGTCTTCTGAGAAGTTGTGCTAAGCAACCAAACAAAAAAAAAAAAAAAAAAAGACTCTCTCTATTTCTGTCAAACTCTCGCAAACATATTGACATCATCACCATCATTAGCAGCATCCATTACAATTGATAAAAGGGTTGCAATGGGGAACAATAATAGTACACCAAGCAACAGCAACAACAACAATAATAACAGTAACTCTAATCAACAACAAGATAATAATGTAGGTGGAGCATCGTCAGTGGGAGGAGCGACTGCAGCCAACAACAACGGTATCGTTGCCGATAAATACAAGATACAAGTTATCGATCTAGGAGGTAGATTCCATGTTGAATTTAGAAATAGAAACTTAAAGAGATTAAAGAAAAAGATATTTAGTAATATCTATACTAATGGCATAGAAATTGTCACTGCCGATACTCTAAACAATAGTGACTATATGAAAAATAGATCAAATATCAATCATAGTGTTGTTCGTAGTTCTTCTTCTTCCTCTTCCTCATCATCTCCATCATTGAAATCAAATAATACTTCAAATACCTCTACTACTACTGCTTCTGCCGCACCCACCAACAACACACCTTCTTGTCCATCTCCTTCTTCACTTCAAGAGAGAAGAAATACACTCGTTGATGAAGATGATTTCCAAGATGAATATCAAGATGAAGATAGAATTGACAATGAACCCGAAAATGAAACTATAAATGTTGATCAAGCTGCCGCCGCTGCAACTATAACCGTCGATGCCACCACCACCACCAATACTACTACTGCTACCACTACAACTAAACCTGAACAAGAAGAGTCAATCGCCACTACTACCAGTACTACTACAACCATTGAAACACCAACCTCTCCATCAACCTCTCCAACCACTCCAACAACCACAACTACAACTACTACAACTACTACTACAAGTAAAAAGAAAAGTAAATACCAACAATTAGTGATACCATTAGGAGCAGATGGTAAACCATTAATTATTCATTCATTGGATCTAAGTTTGAATAGATTGGAATATCTTCAAAATGAAATCAAACAAGTACTCTCTGATCTCAAAGTTGAAGACATCAATTTTACTTCAAACTTTTTCAATCATCTCCCAGATATCAGTCCCATTCGTTCACTTCATACCTTGAATTTCTCCAAGAACAAACTTACCAAATTCCCTGTCGATATTCTTGCCGATCTACCACACCTAAGTCATCTTACTCTTGACAAGAATAGGTAAATAATAATAATCAGAATAATCAGAATAATAATAATATATTTCACAATTCTAATATACCTCCCCTCTTCTTCCTATATTTATATAGTATATCAAGTATTCCAGAAGATATTGATAGATTAAAGAGTCTTTGTCATCTCTCAATGAGAAGTAATTCCATTGACTCTATCCCTGCCAATCTTTGTAATTTATCTCAATTAGTGTCAATCGACCTTTCACACAACAAAATCAAATCACTTCCAAAACATTTTGACAAACTTGTAAATTTAAGGTAAAACACATTAGCCAAACAACAATATATACTCTAATATTTAAATTAATATATTTTATTTATTTTTATTGTTTTTTTTTAGATCTATATGGATATCATCAAATAGTATTCATCAATTACCAAATATGAGAAATCTCACACAATTGGTATTACTAGATGTTTCCTCAAACAAACTATCATCAATTTCACGTGATTTTGCATTGATGACTAAAAATGCCAGTAATTTAATCGCCAAATACCATCAATTGAACGGTGAGGAGCCATACGAAGAAGACGACGAAGAAGATAAAGTAACTGGATGCTTCAAAGAACTAAATATCAAAGACAACAAAGAGTTGGTATCTCTTCCTGTGGAATATTTAATGGTAGAGGATGGTCTAGTTTTGTACACTAGTATACCATCAGAGATCATACCCAATCTCTACCTTGGAGGTTTGGATTGTGCCAGCAACAGTAGTATGCTCCAAGAACTTGGTATCACTCATGTTGTTTTGGCAATTGGTGATGTTGCACCAGCATTCCCCAAAAACTACAAATACTACACGATCGATGATGCACGTGATACCCCCAACTATGACTTGTCTGTCCATTTTGAACAAACAGCAGCATTTATCGACTGTGGTATCAGATCGGGAGGAGGTGTTTTAGTTCATTGTAGAGCAGGTATCTCTCGTAGTTCAACATTGATCATTGCCTATTTGATTAGATATCACGGTTTGGATTATATCAGCGCACTTAAAAAGGTTCAACAAAAAAGACCACAAATCATGCCAAATGCAGGATTCCAACTTCAACTTGTCCGTTATGAAAATAGGATCAATATTTTAAAATCTCAACAACAATCTAAATCTCAATAATAATAATAATAATCTAATCATCATTATAACCCCAACTCCCATCCCTCTAACCTCTCTCTCTATATATATTTATATATTTATATATTTATCTATCAATATTAATATTGTTTGTACTAAAACCAAATTTACGTACCTGCATTGTCGTCGTCCACACCCCCGAACGTTAAATTAATAAACCTTATTGGCCAATCCACTCAACTCCTTTAAGCAAATTTACGATAAACACCTATTGGACAGATTTTTTATGTTTTTTTTTCTCTATTAATTCTTTGAACAAAAGAAACCCATGGATTTTTTATTTTTTTTTTAATCACAAAAGAGACTTGTCAAATTTGATCACACCAAATTATTTCAAAGACAGAGAGAGAGAGCAAAGAGTAGACAGCCAGAGAGAGAACACCCAACACTCGAGTCGATTATTTATTTATTTATTTATTTATTAATTTATTTATTTATTGTATTTTTATAAAAAAAAGATTAAAGAAGAACTTCATCAGTCAGTCTATCAGATCAGCACCCCAACAGTAATAACCACTACGAATAACAACTAGTTGAGAGAAAGATCATAGATATAATAATATCATCACAACAACAACAACAACAACAACAATGGCTTACAAGACACAACATGGAGTCGATGATATGGTCATGTTATCAAAGATAGCAAATGATTCTATTTTGGATAACTTGAAAAAAAGATATGGTGGTGATGCTATCTATGTAAATATCACAGAAGAATATAGCAATGACAATAATCAATCGAATTTTTAACCTGATCATCTTTTATCGCTATTCTTTCTTTCTTTTCTCTCTCTCTTTTTCTTTTTTTTTTATCTAGACATATATTGGTAATGTATTGATTTCAGTCAATCCATTTAAACAAATTAAAGGTTTATATGCAGAAAGAAATTTACTTGAATACAGAGGTAAATTTAGATATGAACTTGCACCACATGTCTATGCTGTAGCAGATGATATGTATAGAAATATGTACGCAGAAGGTCAAAGTCAATGTGTTATCATTTCTGGTGAATCTGGTGCTGGAAAAGTAATATATCAAAATTGCAACTATATCATAATTATTGATCTCTAACATGCCTCCCCTTCCCTCATTTTATATATATATATATTTAGACTGAAGCAGCCAAATTAATTATGCAATATATTGCAGCAGTATCAGGTAAAGGTGTTGATGTAACCCGTGTCAAAGATGTAATTTTAGAATCAAATCCTTTACTTGAGGCTTTTGGTAATGCAAAGACCCTTAGAAATAATAATTCCAGTCGTTTTGTATGTAAAAATGATCAATATTTATAATACTAGTCTTTGTTGACATTTCTTTTTTTTTTGTTTTGCATCTCTTTAGGGTAAATATATGGAAGTTCAATTTGATGGTAAAGGTGATCCAGAAGGTGGAAGAGTTACAAATTGTATGTTTTATATAAAATATATTTCCCTTTTTCTCTCTCTCTCTCTAATTTATTTGTTTGTTTATTTCATTTTAGATTTATTAGAAAAATCACGTGTAGTATATCAAACCAAAGGTGAAAGAAATTTCCATATTTTCTACCAATTATTGGCAGGAGCTAACCAACAATTAAGAAGTGAATTAAAGTTGGAGAGTCCAGATAAATACAACTATCTCTCTGCAAGTGGTTGTTACAATGTCGATGGTGTTGACGATAATCAAGAATTCCAAGACGTTCTAAAGGCCATGAAAGTTATTGGTATTAGTGAACCAGAACAAAAAGAAGTATTCAGATTGGTTGCTGCTGTTTTAAATCTTGGTAACATTGGTTTCAAGAATAATAACAAAGATGAAGCTCAAATTGATCAATCTTCAAGAAAAGGTAAATCAAAACAAATCAATCAATCAATCAAACTCTTTCTTTTTTTACTTATATATTTCTTTTTCTTTTTTTTTTTTTTTTTTTTTTTTTAATTTTTTTAGCAATGGAAACATTTGCATATTTAATTCAAACAGATGTACAATCTGTAGAAAAAGCATTATGTTATCGTACAATTTCTACTGGTACTCAAGGTAGAAGTGCACGTGTTAGTACTTATGCATGTCCACAAAACTCTGAGGGCGCATACTATTCTAGAGATGCTTTGGCCAAGGCTCTTTACAGTCGTCTTTTTGATTGGATTGTCAACAAGGTCAATATTGCACTTGGTTACAAATCAAACTCACAAGCCTTGATGATTGGTATCCTTGATATCTATGGTTTTGAAATCTTTGAAAAGAATGGTTTCGAACAGATGGTCATCAACTATGTCAATGAACGTTTGCAACAAATCTTTATCGAGTTGACCCTCCGTGCTGAACAAGCCGAATACCACAACGAAGGTATCCCATGGGAGCAAATTGATTTCTTTAACAACAAGATTTGTTGTGATCTCATTGACTCGAAAAAGCCAGCCGGTATATTCACTGTTCTCGATGACGTTTGTAACTTCCCCAAGGGTGACGATGAAAAGTTCCTTCAGAGAATGAATGAAACGCTTGGAGGACATGCTCACTTCCAGTCTGCTCAACAAGCATCTCGTAACTTTACCATCAAGCATTATGCCGGTGATGTAGAATACTGTGCCGAAGGTTTTGTCGACAAGAACAAAGATCTACTCTTTAACGATCTCGTCGATCTTGCCGCTTGCACCAGCTCCAAGTTGATCCCACAACTCTTCCCAGAGATCAATGCTGAAAAGGACAAAAAGAAGCCAACCACTGCCGCCTTTAAGATCAAGGAATCGATTGGTGCTCTTGTCAATGCACTCTCTCAATGTACTCCACATTACATTCGTTGTATCAAACCCAATGGCAACAAGAGAGCCAATGACTTTGACACGTCACTCGTTATGCATCAAGTCAAGTACCTTGGTCTCCTCGAGAATGTACGTATCCGTCGTGCCGGTTATGCCTATCGTCAAACCTACGACAAGTTCTTTTACCGTTACCGTGTCTGTTGCAAGGAAACCTGGCCAAATTGGACTGGTGGTTTTGAACAAGGTTGTGAAGTCATCCTCAAGAATATGGAACTCGACCAAAAGCAATATTCCAAAGGAAAGACAAAAATCTTTATCCGTGCTCCAGAAACTGTCTTTAATTTGGAAGAGTTGCGTGAGAGAAAGGTATTCATCTATGCCAACAAGCTCCAAAGATTCTTCCTTCGTTTCACTCTCATGTCCTACTATTACTCGATTCAAAAGCAGGCCAATGACACGTTAAAGTCAAACAAGGAACGTCGTCGTCTCTCACTCGAACGTCCATTCCAATCAGACTATCTCAACTATCGTGAAAACTTCCCACTCAAAGACATTGTTCAAAAGAATGGCAACGAAAAGATCATGTTTACACATTCCATCAACAAGTATGATCGTCGTTCTCGTAGCCAACGTCGTGTTCTTCTCCTCACAGACACTGCCGTCTATTTCATTGCAATCGAAAAGAACAAGGACAAGGAAGACAGAAAGAAACGTCCATGGATCTATGTACAAAAACGTCGTCTATTGCTCACCAACATTGTCTCGGTCGAGTTGAGTAGATGGGCCGACGGTATGATCGTCCTAAAGACAATGAATGACCACGATCAAATGTTTGAATGTCGTAGAAAGACAGAGTTTATTGGCACTCTCCAAAAGGCTTTCAAGCCAGTCAAGGTTAACTTTTCAAACTCGATTGGTGTTGCCATTAAAGCATCGAAACAAGGTGGAAAGGGTAAGGAACGTGTCATCTCTTTTGAAAAGGGAACAAAGCCAGAGACTGCTTTCAAGGGAAGCAAGGTATTATCGCCAAATGACGGTCTCTCTGCCGACACTACTCCAAACCTCACTGCTCCAGAATCGTTGCCAGTTGTTCACACCCCAATCTATCGTCCAGCCATGAATGCCAAGGTTGCTGCCAACAACAACTCTTCACCCTTTGCTGCCAAAGTAACTGCCAAGGCACTCTATGATTTCGATGCAGAATCATCGATGGAATTGTCATTCCGTGAGGGTGACCAACTCACCATTATCGATCAAAGTGGTGGTGATTGGATCGATGCCGAATTACATGGAAAGAGAGGTAAAGTACCAGCCAACTACCTCCAAATTAACAAGGCCTCATCTGCACCTCCACCAAGAAGTGGTCCTCCACCAGCAGCAAGAGGTGGTGCTCCTCCAAGAGGTGGTGCTGTCTCTTCACCACCAGTCTCTGGTCCACCAAGAGGTGGTGCTCCAATGAGAGGTGGTCCTCCTCCAAGAGGTGGTGCCCCTCCAAGAGGTGGTGCTCCTCCAAGAGGTGGTGCCCCTCCAAGAGGTGGTGCTCCAATGAGAGGTGGTATGGCAAGATAAACAAAACAAAATCAAATCAAATCAAATCATAATTTATTATCCTTCTTTTTTTTTGTACAACTTGAATGCCCCTCCTATATCAATAAAATCAATAAATATTTATACTTTTAACAAACAAAACACATTTATCATTAAATATTCAAAGATTGATTTCTCCGATGTCGGTTCCATGAACCTCCGATCATTGCTTTGTCTCGCTGTTTCAATCAAAAAAACATAACCCAACAAACCCCCCCCCCCCCCCCCCCCATCAACAATCAATTTTACATTTTTTTAATAGTAATTCAAGTAATAAATATATATATATATATATATATATAGAGTAATAAGAATATTAATATCCCAATACAACAACAATTGTTATAATAGTAGTAGTAGTAGATATAAAAAATAAAGTCATTTTAACACAATTAAAAACAATAAGACATTGGTTACTCTTACTCATTCATTATTATTATTGGCTTGTTACTCATCAAATCATATCATACAATGACTACTAAACTATTAGCTAATCAACTAAAAGGTAATCTATCAAAAATCGTAGTAGTAGTAGTAGTAGTAGTAAACATTACAAAATAGAATAGTACAACACAAACAATACACATATATATATATATATGTTCGATCGATCACATGTATAATGATAACAAATGTACAACGAACGGATGGAAGGCACTCGAGGATATCAATAGTAATAGGGTAGAGAGAAAGAATAGGTTAGATTTCCCTTTGGTTGTTGTAATTATGCGATCGTTAATGGATTATTATTATTGGAAACTTTTATTCTACTCTTTAAAAAGAGAGAGACAGAGATAGACGAATGTAATCAAATTATAATAGGAATGAATAATTAACATGTTATATATTCCTTATATTATATTATATTAGGTTTAATGACCGATCCTGTTGAAGGTTTCACCGTTGAATTGGTCAATGAATCATCCTTGTTTGAGTGGAAGGTAAATATTATTATTATTATCTTTTTTTTTTATTTCCCTTTTGTCCCCTACCTATTATCTATTAAAACCAAATCGACCACTCTTCCTCATTCTCACACACAACACCACCCACAAACAAAACAACCTATTATTATTATTATTATCAACAACAAAGTAATGAATGATTAATCATTCATTCATTCACCACTTTATCACTTTTAAAATTATTTTGTGATTTCTCTTTATCTTTTCCATCTTTTATGTTTGTTTGTTGTTTGTTGTAAACACCTTAACCACATGTGATATATATATAAGTTCGTTCCAATCATTTCCATTTTTATCCATTTTCTATCTGTTATACATCATCACCATGAGAGCGTTGATACACCCCTCCTTTTTTTAATGTACATTGGTTGGTATTTATCACGGGCACTGACTATATTAAACGAGTGTTTTTACAAGCTACTATACTTAAAGTATGGGTAAAAGATGTAGAGAGTGAGAGAGAGAGAGAGATTGGTTAAACAATAACTGGTTGTGTGTAAAGGGTTTCGGTCACTCACACAGACTGCTGTGTTTACCAATGAATGGAATGAATCCAATTATCCGTCCAAATACCATTTCCAATTTATACTCTTGACCAATTTCATTTTTATTTCATTCAAACAAACAAACAAACAATCACCAATACCCACAAACAAAAAAACTAAATTTACAAGTTATATAAAACTCTAATTATTTCAAACAAAAAAATGAACAAATCCTCATCACAACAATTATCATCATCCACTTCATCACCAATCATTTATTATTATTCACCATCCATTGGATGCTCTACCATTCCACCATCGCCACCATCAACACCGATTTTCACAATCAACATCAATGGTTATTCTTCCAATAGAGATTTAATCCTACCAGGAAGTTATACTCCATCACCAACTCCAACAACCACTCCAAGAGACCATTTTGATATGTCTATTTCACTTTAAAACCAAAAATAACCTTTATTTTATTTATATATACACTCTTTATTTTTACCCATGTTTTCTTTTTCTTTTTTCATTTTAATTAATTTCAATCGAATCTCCATACCTATATATAGGTATACCTTGAAGGACCAAGAGATACATGTTATGAAGGTGGAGTTTTCCAACTCCTACTTTCATTTCCAAAGGACTATCCAATGAATCCACCATCATTAAGGTTTATTTCAGAGTTTTGGCATCCAAATGTCTATCAAAAGGAGGGTAAAGTTTGTATATCTATCCTTCATCCACCTGGAGATGATGTAATGTCGGGTGAATTACCATCTGAAAGATGGCTACCAACTCAAACTGTCTCGACTATTATCCTAAGTGTCATGTCTATTCTCAGTGATCCAAACTGCTCTTCTCCTGCCAATGTTGATGCTAGTGTTGAATGGAGATCCAATCGTGATTCATACAGAAAGAGGTGTATGAAATTGGTAGAAAAAGCAAACAAAGCGAAGCCAAGTCACATCGTTATACCACATCCAGATAGCAATCCAGAAGAACACAAAAAATCGGTTGAAAGAATTAAACAACAAGAAAAGGGAATGGACATTGACTATTTTACTGAAGACGATTATTATCAAGATGAAGAAGAAGACGAGGATTATGATGACCAAGATGAAGATGATAATAATATTGATGAAGATGATGAAGATGAAGATGAAGATATTGATGAAGAAGATGAAGAACAAGAACAACCAAAAGTAAACAATCAAATTGTTGTTGTTGAACAACAAGATGTTTCAAATGATTCCAAAAAACTAGATAGTTCCAATTATAATATATCGATTCAAGAAACTACTACCACTACATCTTCCCCCTCATCATCATCACCTCAACCAACTGAAAATATATTAACATTACCAACAACAACAACAACAATTGAAACCAACAATAACAACAACGAAACAACCACCTCGACCACCTCAACTACTACCACCACTGCCACAACTACTATAGTTGCTGACCCCAATCCTGTAACCATTAATAACAACACTAGTGAATTGACTAGTACTCTTATCGAAACAACAACATCATTGACACAACCACCAGCCAACAATAACAACAATCCAAACCAACAGAATAATAATATAAATAACAACGCCAATAACAATAACACTACTAATAATAATAATGTTAGAAGAAAAAAGAAATCCAAAAAATGTATAATTATGTAACAATGTACCATCCATCCATCAATCCAACCGCTTTGCTTGCTTTGGTTTTGTCAGCGAAAAAAAATAAAAATAAAAAAAATAAAACGACTCGTTTTTTTCTCTCGCTAGATTCACTATAATACTCACAGTCGACATTATCTATCTTTTTATTAATACGAATTACTAATTAATCAAATATATATATATCTATAAAAATGCATTTAATGTACTATGTTGGTGAAAACGGTGAGAGAAAGTACACCCTCAAGGTATGTTATCTGTTGTTGTTTATCACACGAATATATGATATCACGTGCTGACACACAATCATATGATCGATCGTATATACTAACTCTTTTTATCTATCTACTGTCCTATCTATAGAAACGTGGACCAAAGGGACAACCATCATTCTCTGCTCATCCAGGTATGTCACAATTCATTCTCATTCTCATTCATATATCATCATATTTAGATCTAAAGGCCTTTTATACTAATTCCTTTTATCTTTTTAACAAAACAAACAGCTCGTTTCTCTGTCGATGATAAATACTCTAGAGAAAGAATTACATTAAAGAAGAGATTCGGTTTATTACCAACTCAACAAGCTCCACTCAAGTATTAAAAATAAACCAAAACTAGAAATATATATTATATAAACAACAAACAATTATATGGACAAGCTGATAAAGAGAGACAGCCACACAAATTGAATCAACAAATAACCTTGATAACTACAATTCCGAACGAATACAAATCTAATTATTCTTGTCCCGAACAATCCAAACGATCTAAATTTTAAATAGGAAGACGTTGGAATAAATTAAATAGGACATGCCTGGAAACAAACAAATGATCGTGAGATAAAGTAAAACAACACAATGAAACGACACAATGAAACAAATATGAATGAACAATATCATGAATCAACTGCTCCTTCTTTGCATTGATCTTTCTTTGATTGTAGGGGTATTCTTTTTCAATTTAAGAAGCTTTGATAGGGTGATCCAATTTAAATTATCCATATTGGACTGAGCGATTGTTGTTAATCCACAAAATAAAGATGATGATCCAATTGACTAGAGAGTTGATTTGTTGGGGTTACATTTAAATTTTAAAGATCATAAGCTACGACTTTATTCATGGGAATTTAAGCCTTGACGTAGAAAACTCTCTTTGGGAAGTTTTCGAGGACCTTTTGGACCTTGAGTGGCTTGGCAGCCAATTGCTTTGGAGTCAAACGTTGTCTCATGGCACGGGTGATCTTGGTACGGAGGTCATATGGTCTCTTGGTGACTGGGGTGTCCTTGTAGTATTTACGGAGTTGTTCCTTTCTGGAGGTGTTGAACACAGTCAAAACACGAGCAATTGACTTACGGACTTCAGTGCTATAATAATAATAATAATAATAATATTTTGCGATAGTAGATAGTAGAGAAATTTGATGTGTTAAAAAACTATGTTGATTCATATCTCTCTTCTCCTCACTCTGTTGCTGTTTGATATATACATCTGGGAGAGCTTGTTTGGTTGGTTAGCCTTGACTTGACCGACTCTGAGAGTTGAGAGCTCGGTACGGAGTTCTTGTAACTTCTCGATGAGTTCGGTTCTCTTCAACTTTCTAAGTTCCTTGGCTTTGATCTTGTCAGCTGCATTGTTGTAAGTAGGTAGGTAGGTAGTAGAGTAAAAAGGTTAGATGTGATCTGTCATGTAATCTCTGTTTCTTTCTTTCTTTCTCTTAGCTGTACGTACACATTTTTGTTGGGGACACACAGTAATATCAGTAAGTAAGTGCGTGTCGATTATCAATGCCAATCTATGACGCTGTGCGAGAGCGAGCCGCCAGCTGTGAGACGAGCCTTGAAAAATGAAAAATTTTACCTAAAATTTGTTTAAAAATCGAAAATTAATTGCCTGTCTGAATTGTATCATTCATCAAGTACTTTACAGAACAACAACTACTTTTGAATAACAACAAATAAGATGAATAGTAATCAACAAAACAATGAAATAGAAATAGAAATAGATATATCAAAGTTAAAATTAAAACCACAGGATTGGAGTTATAAAGGGGAAGGTGCTTGTAATATAGTTGTTTATTATAATCCACAACCATCATCTTCATCTTCATCATCATCATCATCATCATATCACAATTATCTAGTATGTTTCAATATTATATCTAAATGACTTTTAATAACAGTTCTTTTTGTTTCTATATAGAAAGGAAAAGTATTAAGATTAAAGAAAAAGGTGTCATCATTATCACCTACATCTACTTCTACATCTCCTTCAACAGATGATAAAGATTATAGATTTGTACAAAATGTTATGCAACCATTGATAGGAAGTAAATATGTAAATAGTGGTGTTAGAGTATCAATAGACAAACAATTTATCAATGAATTGAATGCTATTATATTGGGTAGTCGTCCACAACATCGTATTCATCATCAATTGGACGATGAAATGACATCGGCCATATTGATTAGAGATATATCTCTTATTCACACTGCTGACGCATTACTACCTTCGATATGCGTAGAGATCAAACCAAAGTGTGGTTTTATAAGCACTTCAAAATATATATCAAAACAAAACATAGAGTTGAAACAACATGTTTGTCGATATTGTATGCATCAATTGTTAAAGTTAAAGGATGGTTCAGTCGATAGAATAAGTAAATATTGTCCAATCGATTTGTATAGTTTGGATAGATCAAGACAATTAAGAGCATTGGATTCTTTAATTGATTGTCCACAAAATAACTTAAAAGTATTTAAAGATGGTGTTTTATATTTTACTGGTCAACTTGGTGGTGGTGGAACTGGAAATGAAAATGGAACGTCAACATTGGATATCAAATCATTAGATTCTTTATTTAATAATAGTAATAATAATAATTTATCTCAACTTCATCATCCATTATCAATACTATTAGTAAATATATTGGAAAAAGAAAAACAATTATTAATTAATTTGGCACAAGTTCAAAGAGAATATGATCCATATGACATTGAAACCATTTATTATTTATATTGTAAATTACATAATCAAGCCTATCAAGAAGATGATGTGGAAAGATTCAAGGATCTTTCTCATTTGACAAACAAGGAGATGCAAGATATCATTGAACGATTTTTAATTGCAACAACAGCAAAGGATTGTTCGATAATGATTACATTTAAATTACCTTTGGCAAATCAAGATATTCAAAACATTGACTATATAGTTGGTGTAGTAGATTTGGATCCCAAAAAAGAATCATCAATACCAAACTATTTTAAAAATGATTTATCAATCATTAGTACATATAAAAACAATAATGACAGCAACTTTAAAAAGTCTAGTTGTATTTAAAATAAATTATGTATTTATTTCTTTGCTTTTGAAGGTAAAGCTTTAATTGGTACTTTTTTAGCAGATTGTTTGGCTTGAGCAGGTTTCTTTGGTTGTTTAGGGGTCTTTGGTTTTTCCAATAAAATTAAGTCTTGTTCTTCTTCTGGTTCTTGTTCTACTGCTGCTGCTACTTTTTCTTGTTTCTTTTGTTGTTGTTGCTTTTGTTTTTGTTCTTGTTGTTCCTTTTTTCTTTCTTCTTTATCTTGTTTTTCAATTTCCATCAAATTCTTGTTCATGATGGCTTCCCTTTGTTTTTGAATTTGTTGTTTATCATCACCCTTTGAAATTGAATCTTCAACCATTTGATCGACAAGTTTACGATTAAGTTTCTTTTGTTTATCCAATTCTTGTTTAAATCTATTAATCTCTTTTACCATATTTGCAATATTTTCTTCATTATTGGAAATATTATTATTATTGTTTGATTCTTCGGTAGATTCTTGTTGTTGAGTATTATTATTAATTGAAGGATTATATTGATTATTAAAAGTTAATGAAGATTCAATGAGTTGATTAAATTGATTGTTGATTGGTAGAGTTGATAATTTAATTGGAATATTTGAAGATGCCTTGTCTGAGGTATATTTTTCAAATGGTTGAAGTGGTTGATTGGATTGTTTACGGTTGCTGTCTTGGTTCATTGAAAGATTATCGATTGGATTAAAGAGTACTTGGATGGATGTGATTGCACCCTTGAGAGAGGCAATGGAACGGACAGTTTGTCTACTAAAGGTGTCCCATATATTACATTGACCATCCAAAGTACCAGAGATGAGGAGTGACCCATCGAATGATAGATTCAAGGCGGTAATGGATTTGCTGCTACTTGAAACAAATGTTTTTTTCAATTGTTGTTGGAGTTGATTGGAAACGTTGGTGACAAAGGATTGTTGTTGTTGGCTGTGTTGCATGTCCAACGATGTCTGACTGAGTGAAATCAAATCGGTTTGGTAGATAACTCCATCACCACCTCCTACATAGAGGACAGTCTCGCTGGCATCTACCACTACACTTGTCAAATTGGTTGGGAATACAATAGAGGTAATGGCTCTTTGTTGAACCAAATCCCATACTCTACAGGTACGATCATTTGATACACTATATACTCTAGAGTTACTACCACCATATCCACAATAAATCGATGTAATTCCCAATGAATGATCTGTAAATGATGTCTTTGTTCTCATTAAACTTTCTTCTTTATTTAATAAACTAAAAATATAAAAAAAAGAAATAGAAATAAATAAATATATTGATGATTAAAAGAATTATATTTGTCTTTTGTTTTTTTCTTTACCTTTCCAAAGTCCAAACATTGATTACACCATCATCACCACCAGATAAGAGGAAACAATCATCTCTTGTAAAAGTGATTGTAGTGATTTTGTTATAGTGAGCTTCCCATGTACGTACAAGAGCACCAGAAGCAGTCTCCCAAATGTAGATAGTTCCCGAAGCCGTACCCATACAACAGTAGAGACCGTCGGAAGTGGCACAAAGAGGACCTGTCTTTTCTTGCATTGGAATCTTATACATTGGTGAATCCTTGTTCCAAGAGTATAGATGTAACAATGCCTTGCCAGATTGTGAAACTGCAACATACTCTGTACCAATCAAACATACACCATTGTCGACAGCACTAGAGTTGGTCAAAGTTGTTTGTAATGTTCCGTTTCTAAGATCATACAAATAGATACCTGTATCATCCTTTGATGCTAATGTTATAACTTCTGATACTACCATTACTCTTAAATATATAAATTATAGATACACAAAAGATTAATAACCGTGTGAGCTGATAGGGATAATTCTGTTTGTCGCTCGTTTTTTTAGAGGTACCTTTTTTTGTTTTTTTTTTTTAATAATTTTTTGGGTCAATCGATTTTTTCACTCGGACTGATTCGCAATGATCATTGATAAAGAGACACATTCGTCTGTCCATCATCAACATCAATAACATTCACATTATATAGTATTATTTATAATTTCATATAAAGATGCAGAGATCATTTATGAGATTCTCTCAACCATTGTTGAGACAAACTTTATCAACACAATCTACTTGTACATTTACCGCCACCATGAAACCATCAACAACAACATCTACATCCTCTTCAAATAGTTTGCCTTCTTTGGCATCACCATCATCGACATCGAATTCAATGTCCACCGTTTCAAATAGTAATAGTAATAATTTAATAAAGAATAGGTATGATGATCATATGACGATGATGATGAACAGTTTAAACATGTTCTTATACTTATGTTGTTCCTCATTTCCCTCTTTTTGTAGTAGAATATTTGGAAATAGTTTAATCTTTTTGCATACTGCAATTTCATCTGACGATGGTGGGTGATTTTAATAATCAATAATAAACAACAACAATAATAATAACAAAATCATTTGGAAAATATTTATTTATTTATACATACATACATACATACATGTCCTGGTGGATTAACAAATCAAATGCAAGATTATTTCTTCATTATTATCCATTTAAAAATTGTTATCCCCCCCTCCTCTTCTCTTTACACACATTAATTAAATTTAAATGTATGTTGATATTATTTATTAATTGATTAATTAATTATTTTAAAATACTATATAGGTGGCTAACCAAACAAGATCATTATAAATTATAGATTTTTAATAACGATACGCGACGATTATTATTGAAATAAACTAAAACTTATGGATATATATAAAAAGGCAAACAGTTTTGGTTATTGTTGTTTATTGCTTTATATAGAATATAACCTCATCATCGTTGTTGTTGTTGTTGTTGTTGGGACATTTAAAGGATGATGTTTTTGTTGATTTGGAACAATTGCTATTGACTAGGAATGGTTTGGATCGTTTGTTCAACAAAACGATAAACACCAACCAACATGATACATTTAACCTTTATGTTGGTTAGGTTATTCCAATTGAATAGTACGAGTAGTATCTCTGGAATTGTACAATGGTTGTAGGTGTAGAGTTTGAAAGATTGCCATTCTCGGCAATTCCATTATAATCATCGACGCCCACTATGATTAATAACTTGAGCTGCCAAATTTGACAGTCATCTTTTTGGTCAAACAATCATTGATAATTTGTTCACCTTTTAATCCACATTTGTTGATAGCTTCAATACACTCTAATCTAAATCTAATGAATTCCTTTTCCTCTTCAAATTCCTTTTGAATCTTTTCATCTAAATTTGATTGTTGTTTTTGTTGTAGTTGTTGTTGTAGTTGATCATCTTGATTTGTTGTTGTTGTTGTTGTTGTTGTAGTTGAACATGACTCTAGAGTTGAACAACAAGAACTTTTTGTATTTTCTTCTTTTTCCTCAACTTGTTTACAACAACCATCATCATTTTGACTGCCACCACAACATCCATCAAAGTTTGAAGATTTCTTTGTCTTTGTTACTATAGTTGGTTGATCGATATGTTCATAAACCATAAACTTTTGTTTTAATACATCGACCGATGGAGAAGCCAACTTTGAATCAATAAGCACGCGAAGAGATGTAATTAAATCATCCAATTTAGAGGTATGCTCATTTGCAAAATGTTTGTTGTGATGAAAGAATACATCTACAGAACTAACAGCACCAAGCAACAGAGACCAATTATAACCATAAATGACACCTTCCTTTAATCCATCGTTAAACCCAATCTGTAATGTTTGATTCTTTCCATCTTCAAGACCATCTCTATATCCCATCTAAAAATATATAATCTATTAGAATGATGATCATGATGATGATGATGATCATGATGATGACCATGATGATCATGATGATGACCATGATGAATAAAAGGGTATTGTATATAGACATACAGGATAAATTTTTCCTTTTGATCTCTCTGCTTCTCTTGAACCATTATCTTTGTCTTTGTTGTTGTTGTTGTTGTTGACAATATCGTAATCATCACTACCATAGAAATCATCATCTAAATGTTTATTACTCATTTTTATCTTTTCTCTCTCTCTATCTATCTCTTTCTATAGGAAACAATCAATGTATGTTGAATAGTGAAGAATGTGTTTCGGTCGGTTTGATAAAGAGATAACTTTAATTTTAAGGACGGGCGACTATTTCATGATGGCGAATGAAATTTTTTTTTTTTTTTGCAATTTTCACAAGTCACGACATCCTTTCTGCTGCGGCAGAGCTCAGTCGGCGAATCCATCCATGGAGTATCAAAACTCTGCATACTAACAAACTAGATTCCCCTACTACGTTCACACACAGAGATGAAAGTTATCAAATCATCAAAGACTGTTAAGGTCCCAACTGGAGGTATGTGTGAATCCTTAACACAACGCAAGATAGAGAGAAAGAGTAAAAAGACGAGACTAACAACCTTAATCCTTACACTATACACAAATACGTATCTTTTTCACAATCTAATCTATCACAGTTACTGTCCAAATCAAGGGAAGAAAGGTCCAAGTCACCGGCCCACGTGGTACCTTGAACCGTGATCTCAGTCACATGCAAGTCGACATCTCCCTCGTCAAGACCAAGAAGGACACCACCGTCCTCCTCGAGTTATGGTTCGGTCTCCGTGATCAAATTGCTGCTCTCACCACCGCTTCATCACACATTGAGAACATGATCACTGGTGTCACCAAGGTACATACAATTCTCTATTCAAAACACAAAATAAGGAATCAAAACTAACATATCATCACTACTACTACTACCTACTATTTTAATTTTTTAGGGTTTCGAATACAAGATGAGATTCGTATATGCCCATTTCCCAATCAACGTCGTCGTCGTTGATGGTGGAAAGGTTGTTGAAATCCGTAACTTCTTCGGTGAAAAGATCGTTCGTCGTATTGAGTTACTCGAAGGTATCACCTGTGTCCGTTCTGAAAAGGTCAAGGATGAAATCGTCCTCGTTGGTAACTGTCTCGAAAGATTGTCTCAATCCTGTGCCACTATCCAACTCAGATCTCAAATCAAGTACAAAGATGTCAGAAAGTTCCTCGATGGTATTTATGTCTCTGAGAGAAACGTCATTGGCGAATAAGCTAATTAATAAAAGTCTACAAGAGTAGGGAACCTAAAATATATCATACATTGTATACACCTTTAAAACAAAAAGAAAAAGAAAAGAACTATATAAGTTTAGTCTTTATTTTTAGTTAAAAAAGGTTTATCTTAACTTCTTTTTATTTGTTTATTTAAAAGTTCTAATACCAGGATACCATAGTTTTGCCATTGACCATCTAGAAACACCTTCTACAGTGATTCCAGTAGCAACACCAAGACAAAAAGATGATAGTGCATTATTGAATGCAGTGAATGGAATAAGTGATCCAAATATAATATAATGGTGTATGTGAAGATAATGTGTCTTGGCAAGTATATAATTGATAGTTAAAACAATTGACAGTACAGTTCCATATACTATTAAATAATATTTCCATAATCCATTTATAGCCTAAAAAATAGAAATAGAAATAAAGATTGTCTGTTAGTAATAATAATTAATAAAAAGATTGTATTAATGTCATTACAATTAAATAAAGATGCCAAGTTAGGAGAGAAAGGACCAATAGAATCATTGGAACAATGGCAATAATCTCTTGGAAATTATATGTTTTCCAAAGTGATGGTGTACCCAATTTATGACCAGCTTTTCTTAGGACCAATAGATTATGATCCAAGTATGTGAAATGTATTGCAATAAAGTATGGAATAAAATAGGTTACATAGTTGTATATAAATGTTTGATTGGCAGTAGTAGTAGTGGTAGTAGTAGTAGTACTATCACCATTACTATTTCCCATTAATGCTTTACTTGGAGCAATAAAATACATCAATGTCAATATAATTAATAATTGTATAAAGTCCTACAGCACAACAAAAAAAGATGATAATTAGTCAAGGTATATAGATAGATCTATTTCTTTTTTTTATATACATACTCTATGAGTTTTATTTCTACAATAAAAAGGATAATCTCTAGATTCTGTAACAAGATTGACATAGGTGTATCCAATAATGATCGATGAAATCCAAAGTACATATTTACTTGTATCAAATAGATAATCAAATGATTCAATATAAAATGATGGTAGGTAATAACATAGATAACAAATAGGTATAAATATGATCAAATAGATCAAGTCTGATAATAGTACATTCTTCTTTTTCTTTTTCTTTTCTTTTTCTTTTTCTTTTTGTTGTTTATTGTTGTTTAGAGGAATAGATGATGATGATGGTATTGATGGTAAAGATGATACTATTGTTTGACTACTATAAGCTAAAAGATTACTATTCATTTTCTTTTAAAGAGTAATAATAATACAAAGATAAAAATAGAATGATATTACATATTGATCGATTTTTAACGATTTTTATTCTTTAAAGCTTAGACTTGTGATGAGTTGAGAGGTGGGAAGGTATATGAGTCATTACTTGTTGAAAAACCATTTGAAGTTGATTCAACTTTGAACTACTACTACTAGAGAGATATCATTTTCATTGAACTATGATCCAATATACTAAGAGTATGATGGTCTTCTCTTGGCTTGAGCAAGGACGATCCCGATTTACATGTGAAAATTCTTTTTTGTGTAAAAAAAGCTCCAGTATCTTGTGATTTAAATTGTATTGGCTTGACCAACATAAGCCCTGAATTGTTTATCCATTCTATCTAATAACGACATTGCTTCATTCATTGATTTTGGGTTTTCTAAAGGAAAGATGTTGATTAGAAACTTGAAAAAAAAAGTATTTAAATTAAATTAAAGTATCTACTTACTAGCAACAATAGGAGCTTGCGGTTCTTCGGTCTTGAGACCAGCAGAGGAGGAGGAGGAGGAGGAGGTGTTTGATACTAATTGATTTTCTATCATCTTGGAGAGAAGGCAGGCAAGCTTGGAAGAGTTTGATAATGAACTGAAAGAGCTCTGGAGAGCTCCTTATAAGCCATGGCATTCATACCGACTGACCATTTTTTTAGTGAGACAAACATTGGTCAGTCATGTCATGTCAAAGATTTTTACTTTTTAGGGCTCTCACCTCAATTAAATCGGTCAGTCGGTCTCTCACACCACTTATTTTTGTTTTAAAAGAAAAAGCTCATTGGTATGAGTTGATCACCCCTCACTTCTTCTTCACACTATAGGATGTTGTTTGATTGTGCAGAGGTAGTGGTATTAGCATCAGCATAGCACACACTAGGAGGAGGATGAGAGGAGAGAACAACTTGTCTGTCCTTCTCTCTTTCTCTCTCTCTCCCCATCACCTTGATTCAAGGTGGAGAAAGAGACTGATTCATTTATGTAGTATATAGCAATCAAAATACCTTTTTGGTTGATATTTTATTAGATAGATAGTAGATATAGATGAATAATAGATATACAATATTACAACATCATCGAAAAAAACAATATTATAACAATCATCATCATCATAACAATAATATAACTTTAGTAATAGTAATCATTATAGTAGTACTACTATCGATTGAGAATAGTAATAATAATAGTCATTTGTTTATTGTTGGTGATCCAACAACAACAACAACATCCTCTCTAGATTCAAATGTATCAACAATAATACCTCACAAGTCAAAAGATTGTTGTGAGAAAGGATCTTTGGACAATGGCACTGGAGAATGTTATAATCCAATGATATCAACCATCATATTCCAATATGATTGTGTAAATGATACTTCGAAAGACTTTGATAGATATCATCATTGTGATTTTTGTGGTACATATAAATATTTATACCAACAAAATAACCAAACCTATCATTTATTAATTAATTCTTCTTTAGATCAAAAACTATCAACCTTTTTTATTGGCATGTTGTTGTTAATGTCAATTTCATTGGTAGCTATTCTATTGTTGGTATTAAATATACATTATAAAGCCAATGCTGCTAGTCAAAACCAAGAACCAACTGAACAACATCACATTAACCATCATAATCATCATAAATCACCAACATCCATTTACAACTATTACCAATCTTTTGGTCATTCCACATTTTCTCCTTCTACTTCTCCTCCTCATACAAATAATTTATTTAATAATAATAATAATAGTAATAATAATCATAGTGAGACAACTTTATTGTTATCATCATCACCGACATCACCTCTATTGCAGGCGACGTCATCTATAACTTCGTCGTCATTTAACCATCATTATTATGATAATTCCATTACTATATAAAAAAATGGTGATTGATCATCAACATTTAGCGTCATTCGTAATTACCAAATGATAGTACAACCCCTCATATTGACATTTATTCATTTATTGTTGGCAGATGACAAGTAGTTGTTCCATAGATGAATGAAGATCTTGCTTGTCATGAATGATAAACAATTTTTCGAATATTAAAAAAAATACATATATATATATATATATATATGTTTGGTGGTGGTTGATGAAGTAGTGTTTGAGTAGTTTTTTCGAACGAAACAAAAATATCAACACATACTACTACCCCCAACATATACATATGAATATTAATCCTTAAGAGAAAAAACAGGATGAAATTGATTTCCGTCCGGTAAAACAGATAAGATACTACCATCCATCCATCCATCCATCCATCCAACCAACCAACTATACGATATTCTAAAGTGTATAAATCCCCAACACATATACATTCTCTCAACCACACTTCTCTCTCTTTCTATCTCTCTCTACCCACATAAAAATATTTAAAGGGATTGACTGATTTGGATATTATATTAAATTAATTTTAAAAATAATATTGTTGTTGTTGTTGTTGTTGGTTCACAAAATCTTTATTATTTTATTTTCATTTGTTATCTAAAAGAATTAATCAAATTTTAAAATAATATATATTCTGACCATTCATTTTAAAAAAAAAATGAACGAATCCTTACTCCAACCAAACCATGATGATTTATTTTTAGATACCAGCCCAAAGATGGAATCACCCAAAGTACAATCATTTTATCAACATAATAATAATAGCAACAACAAGATAAATCAAGGACAGTTGGACAAGAATAATCTAAGTTTGCCAGAACAATTATTTTTATTAATGTTGCAAGGACAACAAAGATGTAGACTTCCACCTTCAAATGTGCCCTTTTATCTTGGATTTATTGGAGTTGCATTGGGTGATTTACTGTTAAGAGGTAGATTGGCTGTTGAAAAGGGAGAAGTTAAAAAGTAAATAGATTAAAGAAAAACAAACAAATTAATTAAATTTTTAATACTTTATTTTTTATCAATATAGTTTAATATTAATAAAAGTAGTTGATATTACACCAACTGGAGATGGTGTATTGGATTATATTTTAAATAAATGTGATAAATTTTCGAGTAAAAGAAGTAAAACATTTGGAGGAATGATCATGTCAATTTCAAGAGGATTCAACTACCAAGTCCAAAGGAAAATAACTACAAAGATTGGTGAACAATTGGTTGAAAAGGGTATCCTAGCCAATGGTCCTGATTCATTTTTTGCAAAAACTTATCTTTGGAGAGATATGAATCAAAAAAGAAAACTTGAATCAACTTGTTCTTTATTGATTTCACCAGAGTTTGATATTGATAATGATTCAAGTATGTAATGAAAAAAAAAAGAATCAAAAAAAATATAATTAAATATTAACTTTATTTTTTATTTTAGTATTTGATGAATCAAGAATTAAAGAAATAATTTTATTATTAACAATGAAACAATATACAAATACAACAAGATATTCAATGGTCAAGGAATTTATGAAAAGAAACTTTAAAGATTCTGATCAAAAGTCGGCTCAAGACAATATCAAACATTTGGAACAAACTTTTAAAACTATAAATTATTCAACACCATACCACAAGATGGTTTATTGGATATTACAAGGTGTAAGATATAGTTTTGACTCAAACAGTTAAAAAAAAATAATAATGATCGAAAAAATAAAAAAAAAATTACCTGGTTTGTGTTTATACAGACTTTGTTTATTGCTTTGATTTCTTTTTAGCATAAGAATTTGGAGAAGGATCAGCCTTTTTAGCTCTCTTTTTCTTTGTTTTATCTTGATCACTTCCGTCTTCATCATCTGAGTCATCCAAACTAATAACTTGTGACCCAACTGGAGATCTGTAGGGAGTTCTTGGTGAAGAGGTGGTAGATGATGGTGTCTTTGGTGTTGCACTTTTCTTGGAGGCAGGTGTCTTTTTTGATTTTGGAGGGTCAGGTGTTTTAAACATATTGGAATTAAATAATTCATCTTCACTACTTGATTGATCACCATGATCATCTGCTCCATGATGATGATGGTCTCTATGTGAATCTTCTTCATCATCTTCATTTCCTTCAAATGCATCTGGATCAAATGGCATTGGTGGTGGTGACATTTGTAAACCACCTCTTTGTTGTTGTGTACTACTCTTTTGAGTTGATGATGGTGTAGAGGTTGTAGATGTTGATGTAGTGGAGTTTGATGGGTTAGTGATTTGATCATTACCAGATATACAATTAATTGGTAAATTCTCTTCAATCGTTTTGACTATATGGTCATGATGAGCATCTTTTGTTGCAACATTTCGTTTCAAGAATTGTGAAGATTTTGATATTGATAAATTTACAAGACTTTAAAAGTAAAAAAAAAAAAATTAATTAATAAATATCATATATTATTATTAATAATATTATTTTTTTATACATACTTTGAAATAGCATCACTTTCATCTTTATCAACAAAATTGTGAAGAGCAAAGTGAAGATCAGTTTCAGATAGAATATTTAAACGATCAGCAGGAGTATTACCTAAAAACTCTGATATGAAATCCTCTACCTTGATCTTGTCATCTGGTTTTGTTTTTTCAGAATCAAAAACATCTTGTTGTTGTTTTTTGGAAGAGGTTGGTTTCTTTCTGGTAAAGAGGAGGATATCGTTTGGATTGGCCACCTTTCCAGTAAAACGTTGACCAAATTTCTGTGGATTGATAGTACTGTAGCCTGTATAGTCTACTTTGAGTCGAATGAGTGGTAATAGATTCTCACTTGGCTTTCCAGCAGCCTTTTCCTTTGCCATAATAATCATTGCTTCCACCTTGTTTTCCAAAAATGTTGCTATTTCTTCGTTTTCAGTTGGATTGATTTTACTATCTGCCAATGTTATAGTATCCAATACAAATGGTCTAATTGTATTTAAAGGATATGGTTTAAATCTAAATTGATTCTTGTATACTTCTAAAAGTCCAACAAATCTAAAGAAAAAAGAAAATAAATTAATAACATAAAGAAGAATAAATATATATATTATTTAATATTTACTTTTCTTTTGATTCACCTTCACTTAGGGCAGTAGCAACTGAAGAACCAGGTTGGGTAATATGAAATTCACCAATTGATGAAGGTTGTGGATTGATAAGACATTCATGTTCATGACCCCAAAGAACAAAGTCGATGAAATTGTCAATCATTTGTTCGTGAACATAGTTTTTGGGGTTGTGTGCCACTCTGTTTTGATGGAGTACGAGGATATTGAACCATTCACCTTTGCTTTCAATTGGTTTCATTAGTTTGACTTGTTGTTTTTGGAATGTACGATAGAGACGCTCATCTCTAATGTTACCCAAACCATAGATTGCAATCTTTGTTTCACCCTTTCCAATGAGCAACGGGTATATTGTAATGTCATCAATATTCTCTGTCTTTCCAAAATAGTTTACAAGATTTGATACTGATAAAAGATCCAATGCTGCTAAACCACCTTCACCTGTTGGATCATCATGATTACCATGAATTGAAAATACTGGTAATGATATATTAAAGTTTGGATCTTCATAATTTACTGTATGAAATCTTAAATAGAAAAAGAAAAAGAAAAAGAAAAAGAAAAAGGTTAAAAAAAGGAACATATTATAAATATATATATTCTATCTCTATCTATTCTTACTTGTTAAAGAAATTGACAGCTTGATCAGAAAGAAATTGTAATTTGATTGGTGTATCACCTAAACAATACTTTCTAAACAACTCCATTGTACGATATAGACAACTTCTAGAAGGTTTGTTATCATGAAATAAATCACCACCCAACAAGACCATATCTACTTTTAACTTGTGTGCATATTGAAGAATCTCTTCAAATGAATTAAAAGAATCATCACCTCTAATAGGATCTTTTTCTAAATAACCCAAATGATTATCTGTTGCTACTAATATTCTCATAATCGATGATTTCTTTGTATCTTGTTGTTGTTGATCTGAATCTTTCTTTTGATCACCATCATTCATTTTAGATGATTCATCTTCATCGTTGTTATTATTTAATACATCTTCATCTTTTTCCTCTTCTTGTTGAGAGGTTTCTATATCTCCTTCATCACTATCCATTTATGTATAAATATATATTGTATTGGTTATCTATTTTGTTTGAAAAAACAAACAATAAAACTTTCGAAAAGATAAAAAACTAGTTTTCATAGTCCAATTTCTTGGATTTTATTGGTTTTAGAAAAAAAAAGTAATTATTGTTGTTTATTCAATTTTGATATCAAACTTTTCATTGAAGATTAGTTTGATTGAGGAAAAAAACCAATATTACTTGGTTGGTTAACGAGAGAGAGAGTGAGAGAGAAGGGAAAAAAATATTATTATGTTTGTTGTTGAGAGTTTTGTGTTTTCTTTGTGTTTTTGGTTGGAAAAAAATTATTATTATTATTATTATTATTATTATTATTTGTTTGTTGTTTGCGCGTTCGTCAATCTGGATTTAAATTTGTTATTTTAATTTAAATCCAGAATTTGAGTAGATGAGTTGGTTGGTTGGTAATTAATTAATCGGTTGGATTATTTGTTGTACATTTTTATCTTAGGGATTGGTGGCGGTGGTTGTTGATTGTTGTCCTTGACGATGTTGATGATGATGATGATGATGAGTTTGTATAGGTGACATGGAAAGAGGAGAAGAAGACTTTGGGGTTGCAACTTCTAATGAAACAATGGGATAAAAGTAGACATCGCGAGGAGCTCTTTTCTTTTGATCCTTTGTTTTCTTTTCAATCACAGAGAAACTAGTGCGCAAAAGTGAAGCATTCTTTAGTTCCAATTGAATCCACTTGAAATGTTGGTGAGAGGATTCTTCAGACTGTGTGATACTTTCATTGTTGGTGGATGAATTGCAAAAAGGTGTCGACGAAGGTTTCTTTAACAACAAAAGACTGAGTAACGTCTTTAATGTCAGTGAATGAGATACAACCAATATATGAAATTCTTTGTCATTAGTAGTAGTCGTACTACTACTACTACTATGATTTTTAGATGATTCACCATTCTGGTTGTTGTTGTTGTTATTTATATTTAATTCATTGAAATGATTGAGATGATTGAGATTTTCATTGTTGATTGATGATGATGACGACCATGAAGATGAAGATGAAGATGAAGATGAAGATGAAGATGAAGATGAAGATGAAAGCGTTGAATCATCGGATGATGTAGATGAAGATAATGGAGATGGTGTCATTGGAGCCGCCTCGCCTGGTGGTACCACTGAAGAGCCGAGTATATCGTTGAATTCAAATATAGTAGTAGTGCTATTGTTTACATATTTTTGAGGTACTTGATTGAGAATAAAATGGAATGCTTCTTTGGCTCTCTTGATTAATTTTTGTTTTGATTCTATTTTTAATTCCTTTTGAGGAAGGTGCTTGAGTGCATTATAATAACTAATTTGTGAATTTAAAAGTTTTGGTGCTTGTTCATTATTATTATTGTTATTTTGATTAGTTAATTGGATTGGTGGTGGTGTTGGTAATACTTCTACTTCTTGTTGTTGTTGTTGTTGTTTGGGTTGATCTTTATCTTGAATGATTGAAATTAAATTTGATTTTTGAGAGAGGAGATTTTGTAATTCCAACATTTTGTTTGGTTGTTCAGGGAGCTCTTCCCAAGTGACCAATTGTCGCATATCAACACCTTCCAGTTTACCAAGATATCTTTCTCTGAGAAGAGGTGTCGTTACGATGGGTTTGGATGGTTTGATCGATAGTTTATCAACAATGATGGCTGCAGTATCATAGGCACGGTCTAAATCCGATGAGATTACAAGATCAACGTTGCTGGTCAAAGTACTAGAGATATCATGATCAAGTTTCTTTCCAACTTGTTCAGCTTGATACCTCCCTTTGTTATTCAATGGAACATTTAAATGTCCTTGTAATATTCCATATTTGTTAAAATCCGTCTCTCCATGACTAATAATAATAATTGATAACAACAGTGTAAGAAGAAGTGGAAAAGTAAAAGTTTGTTTGGTCTATAGAGTTGTTGAAAAGAGAGAGAGAAAAAAAGAAAAGAGGGAGAAAAAAAAGAGGGAGAAGAGAAATTATACATATGACACAAACGACAACGACGACGACGATGACGAAGATCTCTAAATAAACAAACTCTCAAAAAAAACATTATAATAATTATCCTTTTTGTTGCCTATTCATTCCTCCTTTTTGTTTTTTTCCAACACAACTCTAGTCGTCGACATTCTAGAGTTACTACTATCTGTTTTATCATTCATTTGTTTGTATTGTTGATTTGTAGTTTGTTTGGGTTGGGAAGGGATTGAATAACAGAAGTATTTGTTTGTTTTATAGTCAAAAAAGAGGTAAGAAATCCAGGCGCCATGATTATAATAATCAATATTATGTGTAATTTGTTAGTTGTTCATTTGTTTTTATTGTTGTATAGTTTCTCTCTCCTTTCCTATCTCCTCTTTTACATACTCTACTTCTCATTCTCTCTTTTTTTTTACAACTATATCTATATAAATATAATTCTATAAATTGGATACTTACCGAATAAATGTAAGAATAACCATAGGTCAAACTATCAATAATAGGGAATTCTTCTGTAAATTGATCAAGTAGTGATGAATGTCGGCAATCGTTCTTTTTAATTGATAGACTCTATTTATATATATATATTTAATCTAGGTCTTTGGTGTAGGAAATATCTTCTCTCTCTATTGGTTATTATGATTATTATTATTTAAATTTGAAATTATGATGTTTCTGACTGAATGAATGAATGTTTATCTCTATCTTTTTACTAATATTTCTTTGTTTAATTTACAAAGGTTGTTGTGAAATAAATTATAATAATCGATTGTGTGTGTTTTGGTGAGAAATGTGGTAAACAGCAAACTATTGTACAGTGTGGTGTTTAAAGGGGGGGTGGGTAGAAGGAAGACGTTTTATATATATATAATTGTGTTTGCGATTTTTTGTTGTATTTATTTATTTGTTTGTTTTTAATTAAAAAGTTCTATGTGATGATGCGGGACTACAATGAACCCAAAACTCGAGACACTCTAACCCAACCCGCTCGCTTTTAGCCCAATTAAAATTGAATTTATTTAATTTTTATTTTTTAATCACAACAACAGAGAATCTCGAAAACAGAGAGTCTGATTTAAAAAGAGAGCCAAACCCAAACCTTTGCCCCCAGTATAGTTGAATCTCCCCAAAAAACAAAAAAAAAAGGTTTGGTATAATTACTACGTCAGACAGGGGGCTTTCCCCCCCAATAGTTTACGGCAAAGGAGATCTCTTCAATTTTAACCGGGTTGTTAAAACCGATAAATACTATACTTTGGTTCTTTATCTTTATCTTTTCTTTTCTTATTACTTTTATTTTTAATGATCTTTTAACATTTCACGAGAAGTAATGATTCTCATGACAGCATCAGAACCTTCAAGGATACGATGTACACGAAGATCACGAAGATATCTTTCGACTGGATAATCTTTGAGATAACCATAACCACCGTGCATTTGAAGGGCACCGTCGCAAATGTCAAAACAATTGTCGCATGCAAAGAGTTTGGCCATGGCAATATAGACCGATGCAGATGGGTCCTTGTCATCGAGCATTTTAGCGCCTTGACGAATCATAAGACGTGAGGCATATAGTTTGGTGGCAAGATCTGCCAATTGGAATTGTAGACTTTGGAATTGTGAAAGTGGTTTGCCAAATTGTTGACGTACTTTGAGATGATCACGAGCTGATACTAGACAGGCTTGAGCACCACCAAGACTGCATGCACCAATATTGAGACGACCACCATTCAATGCATTCATGGCAATATTGAATCCTTGACCTTCCTTTCCAATGAGGTTGGCGATGGGGACACGACAATCTTCAAAGATGAGTGCACGTGTTGGTTGAGTGTTCCAACCCAACTTTTCCTCTTTTTTGCCAAATGAAAGACCCGGTGTATCCTTTTCAACCAACAAACAAGAGATACCTTTAGCACCCTTGTCACCAGTACGAACCATCACCATATATACATCACTATCACCACCACCACTAATGAATGCCTTTGAACCATTGAGAATGTAATGATCACCACTCTTGACGGCAGTTGTCATTAATGATGCTGCATCACTACCTGCACCTGGTTCTGTCAAACAATATGATGCAAATAAATCCATCGATGTAAGTGATGGTAAAAATTTGTTTCTTTGTTCTTCATTTCCATATATATCAATTAATCCTGCACACATACTAGAGAGAGAAAATAATTAAGTAAATATATTATATCTATCTTTATATCTCTCTCTCTCTCTCTATTTCTTTTTACATACTTGTGAATACTTAAATAAGCAGTAGTACTAACATCAGCAGATGATAAAGCTTCAAAGATGATAGTAGCATCAACTCTTGATAGACCAGTACCACCTACATCATCCTTTACATATACACCACCGAAACCCAATTCAGCAGCCTTTTTCAATACATCCTTTGGGAAGAACTCTTCTTTGTCCCATTGAGCTGCATGAGGTAACATTTGTTCATTGGCAAAGGTTAATGCCATTTGTTGAAACTCTTTTTGTTCTTCACTTAAACCCATACTTGCTAAAGAATTAAAACATTACGATTAATGATTCGATTGATTGATTGATTCAAAGTAGTTGTATAGTATATATTATAATACCTACGATCAGGAACTATATTAAAGAAATGTCTCTTTGAAGTGATCGATGATGATGATGATTGTGTTGATACTAAAGAGGTGGTACATCTTGAAATTGATGTTGCTACAATATTCTTATTAATTAATCTTGATATCATCTTTTCTAGATTTATCTCTCTCTCTCTCTCTCTCTCTATATATAAAAATATATATATGTTGTGAATAATCAATAATTTTGAACTTGAATTACGCTTGTGCAGAAATATGAAATAGAATGAAAATTGGATTTTATTTTTTACTATTACTATTATTATTTTTTATTTACTTTGAATTTAATTTACTTTGATATATTATTTAATACTTTATAATTATTTAGTTTTCTTTTAAATAAATACTTTTTTTATCATAAAGGTATAATTGAATGGCTTGTTCTAATGTAAAACCATTTGATGGTGAATACTTTGATAGGTATAAAGCTCTGATAGTGGATTCATAGACACATTGTTTGGAAGCTTCATGGAGTGCATCCATACCTAAATAGGCATAGGTAATATCCGTTTCTTTATAGTGTCCTTTTGAGATTTCATATTTAATAGTGACTGTTGCTTCTTTGGTGATTTTTGGGAATTGATTCAGCTTTGATTCCAATCCAAGACAATGTGATTTGACATTTGATAGTACATGGACACACTCTTTTTGGTACTCTGAAAAGGTTCCTTCACAAGCTTGGTTGAAAAAGTTTTGAGAGACTCTGTACGTTTGAAAGGCATATGATTGTACCGTTGCATTAAATACAACTAGTCCTAGTGCCACAGCTAAAACACCCAAGATGATCTTGAATCTTTTGGCATCTTTTGCATTCTTTTCAATTTGTTGTTGTAAAAGTTTAACATATTCCAATTCTGATTCTTCTTTGGGACAATTTGGTTTTGGTGTTAATACTCTTGATGCTCTGTTTAATAAATTATTTAAATTATTATTATTTTGATTATTATTAATATTATTATGATTTTCTGCCATTCTTTAACAAATTAGATATCTTTTTTGAACAAAATAATAATAATGGATTGAGATATTTAATTGATAGAGGTCTGTCGGTCAGTCAATCAAAAAAATAAATATTTATATTTATATTTATATGTATTAAAAATCTAGGTCGCCACTTATTTGTTTATTATATTATTGGTTGTTGTTTTGGTGGGGTGGGATGGAAGAAGATCGTCTTCGCCATTATCATCACATAATCTATTTACAGTTTTCAATTGGGTTAAAATTTTAATTTGATCAACTCTTATTGAATGGTACAATAACGCCTGTCAGCCCCACCATAATAGGTTGCACTATTATTATTACTGTTGGTGGGTGTTGTATTTGTGCTGCTTTCTTGGGTTGTTGATACCGTTTCTGCTGCTTCTGGTTGTACAGATTCTTGATAATTATCAATAACCTCCATTGTTGATGAGATACATGAAAGTTGTGATGTAATCGTTTCATCTTGTTCTATTTGTTTTTCTGTTTGTTCCTTTTCTTCCATTTCTTCCTCTTGACCAACTTGTTTTCCTTCATCATTGGTAGTTTGGAATTGTGGTTTAATAGTTGGTGGTACTGATTGTTGTTGATGATGTTGACAACATTCCTTTTTGTTTGCATAGAGAGAAGGAGAGGTGGTTGGAGTTTTGGTAAAATTGACTTGTGGTTTCTCATTGAACCAATATTGTTTGATCCAATTCAATGTATCTGTGATATCGACATTGTTGGCGATTTCCTCGAGAAGTGGGATAAAGTTTGGTTGATCCAAATCAATGACCTTTGGGAGGAGTGGATCGACACGATGATAGTGACCACCGAGCAATTGAGCACATTGGAAATCAGAGATTTCTACGTTACTGTCCAACAACATGTTGATAAGAGTTGGAGCCCATTGAGCGAGACCCCAGTCACCTGCTCCATACTGTTCCGGTGACACAAACATTCCGTCACGACCAGTTGACAATGACAAGACGACAATCGAATCGAGTGGTACACCCGACGAGATGGCACTAGTGACTGCACAAAGCGATGGATTGTTGGCATAGACACCACCATCTACAAAACCTTGATAGATGGGGAAATAGGTGGGTGCGGCACTGGTACGCAAACCAACATCGACACATTTGTGATTCTTGGTCTTGGAGTGATGGAGGTTGTGGAAGAAACGTGGTGCCCAACGTCTGTGTTGTTGTTGTTTGCGTGGGGGTACGTGGTGAGGGATGATTTCGAAATCATCGTCATCGTCTTCATAGACACCCGATCCATCTGCATTTTTAACCTTGTCCTCTTCGGGAATGTGGGCGGTTGAGTGGTTGTCCAATTGGAAACTAGGAATCAATACCTTTTTGGGTAGATCTTTTAAACGAAGATCGCCAAACTCTTGTGCCAACACTTCTTTTAATTTGGCATTGGTGTAGGCAGGTGCAATGCAACTGTCGAGACTGGTGATCTCATGGAACCAGCTCTTGTGAAAAATGGCAGGTGCAAGCTTTTTGAAAAAATCTTGTGCCTCTATATTTGACTTGCCAGAAGCCAATACCAACGCCAATATACCTCCAGCACTCGCGCCTGTAATTAAATCAACACTGTCTAAAAAATTGGGATATACCATTATGATTCTAGATAGAATTGCTGTCTCTATTATCCCTCTAACTCCTCCTCCATCCAATGATAGTACACAATATGATCCTATAAAAAAAATATAAAACATAATTAATATCATTCATTGTGTAAATATATATTCTTTTCTTTCTTACCTTGTGACATTATTTTCTTCTTCTTTTTCTTTTTCTTCTTTGTTGTTTAAATTATTATATTATATAAGGGGGGATGATTACTGGAAGATGAATATTGATTGATATGTAAAGTAGTATATAAAAAAAGTAGTAGTAAATTTAAATAAATAAAGTTTGTTGTTGGTTTGGGTTTGTTGTTGTTTGTTTTGAAATTGAATGTGAATGTATATAAATTGGTGAAACTAAATAAAGGAGAGGATATGAGGTGGACAGTCAAGTATAAAAAAAAAAAATTACAAGGTGTGTGGTTTGGTTATTCTTGGTGTATTGTTTGTTGCCGAGCTTTATATATTATTATTACTGTAGCTGCTGCCTATCCCTTTTTTTTTTACTTTAATAGATATTGAAATAATTAAATTATTATTATTTTTATAATCTCTATCCTCTATCTGCTAATTATATTATTATATTATTTGTCTGTGATGTTTTATTATTTCTCTCTCTCTCTCTCGCCTACTATGTGTCACTATTATATATATATATATGTATATGTATATTTATATTTACAAGATGATTGTTGTTGATGTTGTTGATAATCTTTTTGATGTTGTTAAATTTACAGTGTGTGTGTGTATATGTTGCCTTTATCTATATGTACAAATGAAATGAATAACTATAAACAATGTATGAGAAAAAAAAAAAAGAGCAAGAAGTGAGTATTAAATTTTTATAGAGGCAAACGTGCAAAGATAATAATCATCGACAGTCGAGATTTCAAGAGTCCAATCTCATCGGAGACGACATTTTTTTTTATTATTATTAATATTAATATTGACGAGATAGGGGATGTGATCAATGAATGGTTTTATTCACTCTTTCTCCTTTTATCCTCTCTCTTGTTTGGTTGTTACTCACAAAGAAGGAATTATATGTTGTATTTGAATAATAAATAAAAAAAATAAAAAAGAAAAGAAAAGAAAGAAAGAAACAATGACAATCACTACAATAATTAATGATGGTTGTGATTCTTTCTTTGTTGCGATTTAAAGTTAATTACTTTTTTTTTTTTTTTTTGCAACAAAACAAGCAAGCATTGTATCTCTAGAGAGAAAGAGATAGAGTGGGAAATTGTGTTTTCACAACAACAGTGTGTGTATGAATGTGTGTGTGCTTGGTCATATATTTTTTAGGATAGAGAGGTAGAAGTAGAGATGAGATGAACGTATTTATTTGTATGACTTACATTTTTTTACTTTGGAAGAAATACGATAAACCTCCTTTGATGATGAATAATTATTCAATTTCAGGGGTGGTTTTGGTCTTTTATAAACTACTTTCTGTTTGGAAAAAAAAAACAAAATTAATATTAAAAATTCGTAAAAACCAAACTAAAAACTACCTACATTATTAGGTATTTAGGGGGCAGTAAAAATGGGTTATCGATGTTTATAAAAATATCTAGGCTTTGGTTTTCAAGCTTGAGATTCTTGAAAGAAGAAGTCTTTTGTTCGATCTCAAGACAAAAAGTAACCCCCCTTTACTCTCAATCACGTGGTAAACCTTTTATTGATCCTTCAAACTAATCACGTTTGTCATCTACCAACATCGACGATAAAGCAAACGCGTAGGCAGTTCCCAAGATTCAATGAATTCAAAACAACAACAATCACAAAGTAATAATAGCATCAATCATCATCAAAACAGTCATCAATACAACATCAATAATAATAATAATAATAATAATGATGATGATGATTCAAACAAACATATGAACAATCAAGATAGCTCTTCAACTTCAACATCTATACCTCCCCTGACCTTGATCATTGAATCATTAAAGAGTAGTGGTAGTAATGGTAGTAGTAGTCGTAATTTAACATCAATTATAACATCACTTGGTCATTTAAAACAATACTTTACAAGTCTATCTTCTTTGGATCAAAAAGTAACAATAACATACAATGTTATATTGGATCTATTATTGAATGATGTCTATCATCATTGGTATTATGCTTTAACTGATAGTGATAGGAATACATTTGATTGGATGTTTACAAGTAATGATCTGTATCTATTGGATTCATTTCTATTCCTTTCATTTAGTTTGTCAAAAAGAGATAGTAATCGTGATAGTAGTGATGATAGTGATAGAGGAGTAATCATCAATCAACAATTATACTATGAATATCTCTTAAGAATACTATCAACATTTAATCAAAAGAGATTATTACAAAAAGTATTCAATACGTTGGATCAAAGTGGTGGTGTTGGTGGTGGTGGTGGTAATTCTATAGAGTTGTTGGTACAATCTATATCTACCATTCCAGACAAAGTTAGAAATATTCAATTTAAATCAAAAGTTTCAAACAATGTACATTGTTTTCAACACTTTGAATCAAACCTTTATTTTGATAGATTATTTAAAGATATTATTAAAGAATTATCAATTATCAACAACAACAACAATAACAAGACAACCAACAATTCACAACAACCAATCATCATTATTGAACAATTCTTATCTTTATTGATTTCTAAATTATTAAATATTGGTTATATTGGTATGTATATAAAAGAAAAAGAAAAGAATTAGATACTAAATATATTATTGATTTAGATAATGTAATTGAATTATTTGTAATTCCATTTATTCAAGAAAAGAAAAATATACAATTATTTACAAAGATTATGATCAATATGTATGGTAGTCAAATTGATAAATTTCAAACAAAACTTGTCTATAATTTATATAAATGTAAATAACATTATAATCAAAATAGTAGAAAATAATTATTAACAAATATTTTTTTGTTTCTATCTATATAGATAATGAAAATGTATATAATAATTTAATAATTGTATTAAAGGAAATTTGGTATCAACAACCAACATCAATGATTATATTCCAATTAACAAACAAATTATTGGTAAAACAATATCCAAACAATTTAATGTCACATAATTATTTCCTAAATCTTTTATTTTCAATTTCAGAAAATGGTATGTAAACTTTATAAAAAAAAAAAGAAAAAGAATATTATTAGAAAATATTAATATTAATATTTATTTTCTATAGGTGATAATGAAAAATCAATTTATAAAACATGTTTAACAAATTTATTAAAATATTGGTCAGATTCTTATTCAATTAGACATATTGATGAAATTCATCATACTTGTAAGAAGAGAGAGAAAATTTATATAAAATACTTTTTCTTTCCAATACTAATAATTCCAATCTATTTAATTTAGATTTATCAAGATCAATTTATTATTTTTTAGAAAAATTAAATATTGAAACGGTTAGAGAATTTAATTTATCATCATTATTTGTAAAAGGAATAGAAACTCATTTAAAGAGTACTATTCCACTTGTAAATATTCAAGGAATGGTATTGTCTGAAAAAATATCTAAATTTTTAACTGTATCTGGTGATTCAAATGGTTTGGTTTTTGATCATCTTTCAAAAAAAGATAGAGAATCTATTAATTTAGATTTTAATTTGGTATATCAAGAAGAAGAAGAACAAAAGAAGAAAGAATCAGAAATCATGATTACACCTATAGATAAGAAAATACAATATCAATTAGAATTGGAAAAAGAATTTAGTCAATATGATGATCCAAATATGTTGGTTAGTTTAGATAATCAAGATGATGAAGAAGAAGAAGAAGAAATAGGAAGACCTAAAATTGAAGAAATCAATGATGATGATGAAAAAGAAATCAATGATCCAGATTATCTTAAACCATATAATCTAAATGATGATGAATCTGATCTTAAACAAGTAAAAAAGAAATTGTAAGAAGAAAGAGCAAAAAGAAAAGAAATAGAACAAATATTAATAATAATAATTTTCTTTTCCTTTTTATTTTAGATATTTAATGGATTGTTTAATGGAATTTCAAACAAATAAACATACACCAGAATCATGGGAAAGTGCACTTACATCGATATCATCAATTGTTTGGAATAGTAAACCAGATGATTTGGATGAATTTAGTGTACCATTGACACGATCATTGTTGCATCTTGCCAATGAATATGGTTTGGAGAATTTTGAAGTGATTGTCCAAGAATCAATAGTGGCATTGGCAATTCATTCTACTGGTCCAGTGGTAGATTATTTAACTAGTACATTTAGTAAACCAAACTATAGTATTGGTCAAAGATTAACTATTCTATCAACATTGATAGATACTGCCAAATATCTATCAAATTATGATAGTAGAGTTGTAAACCAATTAGATCAACAAAGAAAACAATTACAACAAGATTTACAATCATCAAACAAATTTATAATTGACCCAAATAATAACAGTAATAATAATAATAATAACGTGATTGGAACAATAATTAGAAAAAGAGAAATTAGTAAAAAGGTAGAGACTAGGGTGAATAGATTTCATGAATTGGCAACAACATTTTTCTATCCTCTGTTAAAAGGATCGGATAGAGTGACAAAATGTAGTACAATGGATTTAATTGGTTTGGATCATCATTTATTCTCTCGGTTAATACATGCACTTGGATTGTTTATTGATTGTGCAGGTAATTCACCAAGTACAAGATCAATGTCTAGAGAATTGATTCATTTTATTTGGCCCTATCGTTATCAAGAGGATCAATCCATTAAAAGAGCTATTTTATTTTCAATCTCTAGAGTATTTTATTTACTAGACAAGGATATAATAACTTCTGATTATCAAGATGAATTGGAAGAAATTATTCAATATTTAATTTGTATGTAAAAAAAAATGGAAAAAAGAAATGATTTATTAATTAATTCCTATTTTTTTTTTTAATTATTAGTAATATCTAAAAATGATTCTGATAAAGAATCTAGAATAATGTCAATTGGCATTTTATCTAAAATCTTTGAATAAATAATATAAATTATATATGTCGCCTATTTTCTTTTTGGTTTCTATTAATTTGTATTTGAACCAGTTTGAGTATGTTGAGTATGTTCTAATCTTTTTAAAATTGGTTTTAAACATTGAGTATCTATTCGATTTGCCAAAAGGTTGATTGAAAAGAGAGTATGATTTTTAGAGAGGTTTCGGACAATATGTTTGGCACCGTCGGTACCAATTTTGTTATTATACAGTGATAATCGTTGAAGGGTAGTATTGATTGGGAAAATATCTGCAATGGCTGTTGCTCCTTCGTCGCCCAAAGAGTTTGACGATAGGTCCAACGAAGTGATTGTTTTGTTTTGTAATAATGCACGACTTAGTTCTTGTGCACCCCTTGATCCAATAATGTTGTAACTTAGATCGAGATATCGTATAGTAGTATTGACTGACATTAATTCTACAATGTGTTGTATACCTTCGTAGGATAGTAGACTTTGACTGAGTGATATGGATTTGATAGAAACGTTGGTCAAGAGTGCACGTGATAGGTATTTGACACCCTCATTACCAATGAGATTGGCAGATAGTTCGATAGAGGTAATGGAAGTATTAGTGGCAAGTGCTTTACTTAATTCAAATGCTCCTTCAGTCTCTATATAATTACTAAATAGATTGATGTGATGCAGTGATGAATCTGGATGCATTAATGCTTCGGCGAGATGTTTGGCACCTAGTGGACAAATGGTATTACATGACAGGTTGATCGAGGTAATGGGGGATTTTGGATTTTCAAGAAAAGCTTGAGCTAGTCTAATGACACCATTACTATCAATCCAATTGACAGATAGATCCAATGTTGTTACTGATTGATTGTAAATGATTACATTGGCAAAAGCAGCTGCACCTTGATCCTCTATACAATTACTAGATAGATCCAACTCTTTGATTGCTGAACCCTTGTTTATAGCCAATGCTTTTGATATCGATGTTGAACCTTGATTACCAAGTTTGTTGCTTGAAAAGTTGATACTAGTCAAAGACTGATTGTTTGCCAATCCATTGGCAATGTATTGACATCCAATAGGGTCGATCATATTCCTAAGAAGGTTGAGTGACTTTAATGTAGTGTTTTTAGAAAGTGCCAATGTAATGGTTGGAGTATTTGAAAAGGTTATCTTGTTGGCAGATAAGTTGAGATGTGTCAGTGATTTGTTATAGATTAACATTTCTGAAAATGCCATTGTACCTTGTTCACCAAGTAGATTATAAGAATAGTTTAACAATGTAATACTCTTGTTTACTTTTAGAGCATTGGCCAAAGATACTGAACCATCTTGTCTTATTTCATTAACAGATAAATTAAGTGATAGCAAAGTATCATTTGTCTCTAGTGACTCTGCTAATATCTTGGCAGCAGAATCTGATATCTGACTTGATGAAAGATCCAAAGATGTTAAACTATGATTAAGTTTTAGTACATCACTAAATACCATCAATGAATTGGTTTCTCTACCAATCTTGCTCTTGTTTAGATTAAGTGATTTGATGACCGACTGATTAGTTTTCATAATCTCACAAATCACATCTATTCCATTGGTATACATTAGATTGACAGTTAAATTGATATTAAAATGATTCGGTACCGTAGATAGACAAAGTAATTCTTGTGTCATCCTAGTATCCAAATGATTAAATGATAAATAAAGTCTTTCCAAAGATTTATGATCAATTAATGAAAATAGAAAATTTGATAATCCTATATCAATAGATGAAGAATTGGAGGAATGAGAGGAAGATGAAGAATTGGAAGGAGAAAATAAAAGTTGATCATAACTTTGATTTGTTGTAGAAGGTGATAAGGTTGAAGTCGAAGTTGAAGAAGAAGAAGAAGATAATGATAAAGTTGATAATTGATCCAAAGGTGATGATGATATAGATATATCATTTGGTTGTTGTTGTTGTTGTTGAGATGATAATAATTTACAAAATGAAATGTCTACTTCTTCTAGACATGTATAATATTCAAATAGGAGTGATAGTTGAGATAGTTCGAGTGTACATTGTTTGAGACGTAGTGTTACAAGTGATGTAAATTGTTGAAGGAATCTATTAACGATTGGATAGTTTGGTATCTCTATATCTTGAAACTCTATTGTATTGATACTCTGACTTGTACGTTTTCTCCAAAGTTTACAAACTGCCGATAATTGAAAATAACTATTTCCCAATACATTACCATTACAATATGACAATATCTTCAATATTATTGTAAATGGTAATTTGTTTAAATTTAGTTGTTGATTGTTATTATTATTATTATTACTATTATTGCTACAACAACAATTACTATTCATTTTTTAAAAAAGACAAGTATGTATATCTAAAAGATAATAATAGTAGAAGTAGTAGTAGTGGTATGATGATTATATATATATGATGATGATGGTTTGTGTGTTGTTAACATGTTTTTTACTACTCTCTGATGAATAAAATATAGAAACACATAAAAGTTGTTTTTTTACCACTGTTGTTCTTTTTTTTTTAAAAACACCATCAAAAAAAATAAAGACGATCGGGTTCAACCGTCATAGTCATTTTACATATATCTATCTGTGTTTTATAACATTTATTTATATATCTATATATTAAACAACTTAAGAGAGAAAGATGAGTACTCATCTATCTGAACCATCATCATCAACAACGACCGTTGATGAAACAATAAGTAATACAACAACTACAACAACAACAAAGAGAAAAAGAAATAAAGGTGTATTTACATTTAAGAATTATTCAATTCATCAAGGTATATAAATACAATATGATATCTATTATATAAGTTTTATTTATACTTTGTTTTTATATTTAGAACATTCAGGACAAAAAGTTGGTACGGATGCATTATTAGTAGTTGGATATACATCTATAGCTAAATTTAAACAAACCAATATTGATAATAGTGAAACTGCAAATAATAAGTTGGATGAATTAGTTTGGAGTAATAAGACATATGATTATAATATTGGTTTAAATAATATTAGACAACATGTTGATGAACCAGGCGAACAATGGCCAAGAGAGATTTTGGATATTGGTACTGGCTCTGGTGTTTTGTCTATAATGTTGGCCGATAGATTCAAACATTCGCTTGTAAACTCTATCGATATCGATGAGTCTGCCATTAAACAAGCATCGATCAACGTCGACAATATCTATCAACAACAACAGGAAAAGTTAAAATCTGATGAATATTCATCGGTCGATGACAAGGAAGAAGAAAATTGGGCAAAGAATATTTATCTATTTCATACTCCTATTCAACAATTTATGCCAGACACTACAAAAACCGTTGAATTGGAGAAAAATAATTTGGAAAAGACTAAAGATTCAAATGTTTTATCGGTACCAAACGATGGTAAATACGATCTAATCATTAGTGCTCCACCCTATTTCCCAACCGATGTTAAAATTGATCATTTTGTATCAAATATGCCAACCAATAGAAGAATAGCTCGTCACACTCATACTCTAACAATGGATGAATTGGTTGAAAATGTTAAACGACTATTAAGATCGGAACAAAGTATCTTTAATACTATTGTTTCTGTTCCTCATCCATCACAAGAATTGGAAGAGGCTGCCATTAAACATGGTTTTCATTGTTTGGAAAGAATTGATGTTACAGATTGTCCTGGTAGTAAAATTATTAGAAAAATGTATACTTTTAAATTAATCAAAAAAGAAAATGAAAAGGTAGAAGAAAAAGATGAAAAGGAAGAAGTAAAAGAGGAAGAAAAGAAAGAAGAAGTAAAAGAAAAAGAGAAAGAAGAAATAATAGTATTACCAGAAACAATAATTAGAAGTATGTCAATTTATGAAACATCACAAAAAGATTCAACATTGGTCAATCATAGAAAACATAGTGAACCTTATAAATGGATGTTGAGTGATTTTTGTAATCACTTTTTAAAAGAAAAAGAAATGGAAAAGAAAATACACCTCCAAACACAAGCTTTGGAAACAAAAGGTGAACAACAACAAGAAGAAGAAGAACAACAATTAAAAAAACAAAAATCAACAGACAATTAAAAGTAATAATCTAGATTTATTTATAATAAAGTTGGAAAATGAATTTGATTTAAATATGATTGTTTATATTTAAATAAATTAATTAAATCATTTAATAACCAAGCAAGACCAGTTAAACCTTCAAATAAAGAGTATGGATTATCAGGTTGTGATTGTTGTTTGAGAATTGATTGAGAGGTTGCCAATTTAATAAATTCTATTGTTTTCCAAAGATATGAAATATCCTTTTCATCTTTGGATTCCTTGTATATTAAAAGGAATGAATAAGCATTACCAGAAATACCATGACATAACCCTGTACCTTTGGTTAATAATCCATACTTCCAAATTACATCTGATGATATCTTGGCACACTCTAAATATTTTGAATCTTTGAAAAAGGAATGTGCCTTTAATAATGTTGGAATGACACCAGGAGCACCATGGCAAAATTGAACTAAACGATCATTTGTATTATCTGGTCTAGTTGGAAAATTACCAGATTCCAATCTAGTTGACATTAAATAATCCAATGATCCTTTAATATCATTTGATATATTTAACTTTTTATCTGATTCATCATCAATCAATTCCAAACAATTCATTAAAATGTATAATATACCAGCTAGACCATGAACACCACCCAAATATTGTGAATGATGCCATTCATACATTAATGGTGAAGATATTGAATTTTGTTTTGAATATAATCTACCTTGTTCTACAATATGATCAACTAAATCATAAATACATTTATCTAACCTTAATAATTGATTAGTTGATACCAAAGTATCAAAACAATATTTTCTAATAAATAATAGATTTTGAATATATCCACATTTTCCATATAATAATTCAAATGGATATGATTCAAATAAAGAGTTATAGTTATCTATAATTATTTCATTTAATAATTTTATCCTAAATAATGTCAAAGGTTAGTTATAATTATAATTATAGATAAGTGTTATATATATGTAAATGCATACCATTGATTTTTTAAATCTATATTATTATTATTATCATTAATTAAATCAATTGAACCAAGTATGATACCAATTGTCAATAAACCATTTTCACCTTCAAGAAATGTAATTCTTTTCTTTTTTTCACTATTACTACTAGTCTTTTTCTTGTTATTGTTTAAATGATTATATAATTCTTTACAACGATTTAATGATTGAATTAATGAATCTGTTTGTGGATATTTACAACTTGTAGGTACCAAATATTGAATTAAATAAAATAAACATAATCCAGGTGCACCTGTATAAATACTATTATCATCTCTTTTTGAAAATATGAAGAACAAAGTAAGTATACTATAGTATATTTGATTGATAGATGTAGTATACTATACTTATTCTTCTCTCTCTTCTTACATACTTTATATTTGGTTGATTCACTAATAATTGTTTATCAATTGATTGAAATGATTCAATGAATTGTGTCTCTGCTAGTAATTGTAATGATTGAAATGTAATTTGGTGATGATCAACAACAACAACTTTATCCAATAAAGGATTATCTATGTATCTACCTTGCATCATCACTTAATGATCAAATGGTTTCATTGAAGATGAAAAATACTTTTCGATTATCACTAAGTATCGATTATCTTATTTATTATGATGAAAAAGGTTAGGAAATTCACTTCATCATTTGTTTTATTTACTCCTTTCACGGAATTGGTGATCGTGATCGTACAAAGGAGATCTCTGTACATTCCATTCTGTGCATACTACATTGATGTCGTGTACTATTTTAGATCAATGCAAACAAAAATAAAAGGTTCAAATAAATATGAAAAAAAAACAAAAATAAATTTTCTTTCAACTGATGGGTTCAATGAAAAAGAAGGAGTGATTCAAGCAGCTGCTCCTTGTCGGCATAGCACCACCATGGTTACAGCTTAAACAAAATTGTTGTCCTAGGACCAGATCTAGTCCCTTTGTCTTTATGTTTAGATCAGCAGGGGTACCCCCCTATACGATCATTATGTAGGGGTTTGTTTGATTGTTGACACTGTTTTCAAATAAAAAATGTACCTTTTAGCCACGAAACGAGACAGGAGCGAGTTAATTAATTAAACTCCCTTTGGACAAAACAATAACCTTTAAATATCCATCCAAAACATCGTTGTTGAAATCAAATCATTCACATAGCGCTCTCTCTACAGATAATCTAATCAAAAGTTTATCTCTCTCTATCTTTATTTATTTATTTATTTAATTAATTAATTGTATTATACACAACAAACACCCTTTATATTTATTTTAAAAAATTACAACATATATTTTAAGAAAAGATGAAATTAAAAATTGGAATTGGATTGCAAGTTTTAGTTTTAGTTGGTTGTATCATTGGATTTGCGTTGCCATGGTATCAAATCAAAAGATCGTCATATGAAATTGGACTTTCTAATATCGATGAAGCAGTCACTTACTTTAGATGGAAAGATGTACAATGTGTAGTTGGCGGTGAAGAGGTATGTAAATCGATCATGTAAATCAATCAAATAAGAATGTATATCCATCAATCAAATTCTTATTTAATCTATTTTTTTTTTAATTTCCTTCATTTCTCTAGGAATCCAAAGAAAGTTATTCTGATGCATCAAGTTGTCCACTATTTTTAACGACCAAACCAATTTATGTTACTAATGAATTTGATGATGTTGCCAAGATTCTAAATACATGTCTATCATTCTTGGTGATTGGTGCCGCTTTGGCTCTTGGAACTGCTCTCTTGCAACTCATTCTCTTACTGTCACCAAAGTTGTGTCGTTCAATCATCTGGAAGATTCTTTGTATCGGTTGTTCTATGGCCACTATTGCCATCTTGTTTGTTTCCTTTTTCACATTATTCGGTATGCCAAAGGCTTTGGATGACGATATCGTCTTTTGTCTAGACGACGCCTGGTGTGACAAGATCTATGGTAGCTCTGATGGATACTCTTGGATGCCTGGAGGTGGTTGGTGGGCTACCCTCGCCGCTTGTTTCACTGCTCTTTGTGCTGGTTTATTCACTCTTGTTAGTAGTAGATAAAATAAATTCAAAATAAACAAATTAATTATAAATATTACGTTTGAAAAAAAAAAATTTGTCTATTTTTTTTTTTTTGATTTTGGCGCCATTATTTTTAAAAAAAAACCAAAGAGACTCTTACATTTACCTCCTTTTTTTTCTTCATTGTCCATCTTTATTAGAGAGTTTTTTTATATAGATAGATAAGGTTTATAACTAGGTTTATCTACTTAAGCTATGGCAAGAGAGCAAAGAGCTAAAAAGACAGCTGCTTCTTTACAAGCACTTAGAAGAGCTAAATCTGGTGAAGAAAAAAGATCTGAACAAGTATGTAAAAAAGATAATGAATAAGATATATATTTATATTTATTAATACTACTATTATTTATTATTTAGATTCAAGAAGAAGAAGAAGAAGAATTAAATGAATCATCAGATGATGAAAAGGGAGAAAAGAATACAATTACAAATATTGAAGAGGAATTGGAAAAGAAGAGAAAGATTAGAGATTTTGTTGTAGATGATGATGAATATGGTTACAGAGAAAGAAGTGATGGTGAGGAGGATCATGACAATGATGATGATGATGATTATTCTGGGGAAGAAGCAAAAGAATCAAAATCATCATCAAAGGTTGTAAAAAGAAAGAAAAAGGATAATAGTAGTAGTAGTAAAAAGGATGAAAAGAAACAAGAAGAGAAAGAGAAAAAGAAAAAGGTTGATGTAGTTCCAATTGCAAATAGAATGGATCAATTTTTAAACAAAACTGTTAGTAGTAGTAGTAGTAGTAGTAGTAATACTACTTCTTCATCGACATCAATGGTAAATTAAATTTTAATCAAATAATCATCTATATATCTAACCATTTTATTTATTTATTTTTAGTCATTGGCAGAAAGAATGCAAAAATCAAATCAATCAACAACAACAGCGACGACAAAGAGTAAAACCAATGATGATATGATGGAACTTTATTTAAAAGATCTTCAAGAAAATCCAGATCAAGAAATGGATATTGATTTTATTGAACAACAAAAACGTGCTCTTGAAGAACAAGAAAGAATTGAAAAGGAAAAAGAAAAAGAAAAGGAAGAACAATCAACCTCTACAACTTCTACTAATACAACTACAACTACAACTATCAAGAATGATGAAGATTTAAATCTTGAAGATTTTGAAAAAGATGAAGAATCATTTGAATTTGATTTTAATGAAGATGAACCAAAAGTTCCAACAGTTACTTTTACTGCTTCTGCTCCTGTACTACAGACAAAAACTCCAACCATTTCATTGGTATCACCAAAAACAACAAATGATTGGTGGAAAAAAGCAGAAGATTCTGTCATTTCAATTGGTGAATTTGAAAACCTTTGTGTTAAAGATGGTAAATAGAAAATAGCAAAAGAAAAGAAAAAAAAAGATAATATATTAAATTTACTTTTTTTCTATTTTTTTTTAGTTTCAAGTATACCAATGATAACAATTCAAAATCAAAAAGGATTAGAATTCTTTTTTTTGACAGCAGAAGAAGAAACACAAGGAACATTTGTAGGAAAGATTTATTTATTTGGTAAAGTAAAACAACAAGTAGGAACTGTAACTAGGTTTGTTAGTTGTTGTATTGTAGTAGAGAATCTGCAAAGAAATGTATTTTTATTGCCAAGATCCTATTGTGTCGATGCCAAGGGTGAACCTACCACTATACAACCAACCGATGAAATGATTGAAAAGGAAATTAAATCAATCATGGATGCCAACAAGATTAAGAATTGGACTTGTAAAAAGGTTTCTCGTTCTATTTGTTTTGATTATAAAGAAGAAAACAAATCTACAAATATTTCAAAATATGATAATCTTTGGAAAATTTCTTATCCTTCAAATTGTCAGTATAAAATGGAAACAAAAAATATAATGATTTTTTTTATTTACTCTTTTTCTTTTTCTTTTTCTTTTTCTTTTTCTTTTTCTTTTTCTTTTTCTTTTTTATTTTAGTTGCACCATTAAAAAATGATATTCAAGGATTAACATTTAAATGTGGATATGGTATAACATCATCACCATTGGAATTATTTTTATTAAAAACAAGAATAATGGGACCATGTTGGATGGTATTGAGAAATGTTAAACCAGTTTTGGATGTTTCACAAAAAATATCATATTGTCGTTTTGAAGCAAGAGTACCAAGTTTTAAAGATGTTGCACCATTTGACAAGGTAAAATTGGCACCACAACCATCACCACCCATTGTAGTAATGGCTCTATCTGTAAAGACTACATCTACCAAGGATTCAAATGAAATTTTAATGATAAGTAGTGTAGTCAATGAACATATTAGTTGTGATGGTGGTACTATTCAATCGGCACGTGAAAATGTAAAGTATATGACTTCAATTCGTCCACTCACTGGTCAAACATTACCAATGGATTTTAAACAACAAGGTCAAAGTCGTCAAAATCTTTCTGTCCAAAACAATGAACGTTTGGTATTGACTCAATTGGCCAATACTATCATGTCGGTAGACCCCGATATGTTGGCAGGTCACAATATCATTGGTTATGATTTGGATGTTATCATTCATCGTATGAAGGAATTGAAAGTTCAAAATTGGAGTTATCTTGGTAAACTTCGTCGTACACAATTTCCAAGATTGTCTGGTGGTATTGGTTCTGCTGAAAATTCCTATCAAGAAAAACAAGTCCTCATTGGTCGTCTTGTCTGTGATACCTATCTCTTGTCTAAAGAATTTCTTCAAAAAGAAAAAAATTATTCACTCGTAGAATTAAGTAAAACTCAATTACAAATTGAAAAACAATCAATTAATCTTTTAGCTGTTGATAGTTATTTTAATAATTCAAAGAGGCAAGTAAAAATAGATAATAGAAAATAATTAAAAATATTAATATCTTTTTTTTTCTATTTTTAGGATAAATTTAATAATTGAATTAAATGAAAATGATTGTAATATAATATTACAATTAATGTTTAAATTAATGTTGATACCATTAACAAAACAATTGACAAATTTGGCAGGAAATTTATGGAACAAGTCGCTGACTGGTAATAGAGCTGAACGTATAGAATATTTATTGTTGCATAATTTCTATCAGAAAAAGTATATTTTACCAGATAAACAATCAAGACGTGATAGTTTGGCAGCATCAAACAAACGTGCCAAGGCAGCTTTTAGTGGTGGTTTGGTTTTAGAACCAAAAAGAGCCTATTATGATAAATATGTTGTATTGTTGGATTTTAATTCACTTTATCCATCTATTATTCAAGAGTATAATGTTTGCTTTACAACTATTCCTCGTATTAAAAAGGATCTTGGTGATCAATCAAAATTTGCTGGTGTTGATGAAGTTGATAAACCTGCAACAAGTACTCGATCACTCGGTAGTAAAGGATGGGAATTGGCTGTACCACCAAGTAATACAGTTGCAAAAGGTATTTTACCACAGGTATTAAATTATCTTGTCAATCGTAGAAAGGATGTTAGAAAAAAGATGGAAGTTGAAAAGGACGCAACCATCAAGCAACAACTTGATATCAAACAACAAGCAATCAAATTGGTAGCCAATTCAATGTATGGATGTCTTGGTTTTACTAGTTCTCGTTTTTATGCTCTCCCATTGGCAGAATTGGTTACTCGCAAGGGTAGAGAGAATTTGGAAAAATCGGCAGATATTACTGAAAGAATGAATCATAGTGTTATCTATGGTGATACAGATTCTATTATGGTTTATACTGGTGTATCTACTTATAATGAAGCTCAAGATATTGGTCGTCAAATTAAAACAAAAATTAATAATCAATTTAAAAATTCTGTAATGGAAATTGGTTTGGATGGTGTCTTTAAAAGATTATTATTATTGAAAAAGAAGAAATATGCTGCTCTGATTGAAACAAAATTATCAGACAATACATTCAAAACTGTTATTCAAAATAAGGGTTTGGATATTGTTCGTCGTGATTGGTGTGATCTAACAAAAACTATTGGTAACAAAATATTGGAAATGTTATTATCTGGAGAAGAAAAAGAAAGTAGTAAATTATTGGAAGAAATTAAATCTTTTTTGGAACAAATTAGAAAAGATATAAATGAAGGTCTTGTTTCAATTGATCAATTTATTATTACAAAGACATTATCTGCAAATCCAGAAGCTTACAATGATGGTGAACATCCTCCACATGTAAATGTTGCTTTGGAAATGAAAAGAAAAGGTTTAATTGCTCAACAAGGTGATGCAATCCCATATGTTATTACTCTTGGAAATGGTAATAATAATAGTAATTTGGAATCTTGGTCAAAACGTGCACTTCATCCATCAGATATAACATCATTTGAACAAATTGATTTGGATTGGTATCTTGCTCAACAAATTCTACCACCAACCTATCGTATCACTGAACTTTTGGGTATTGAAGAACAAAAATTGGCTAGTTGGTTGGGTATGTCAAATATTAAATACAAATCAAAGTCAAATCAACAAAATCAAGGAGGATTTGATAATCGTTTACAACAACAACAAGTTGAAGATACAAGATTCAAGGATTGTGAAAAACCAGAATTTAATTGTCCATCTTGTCGTAAAATGACAGTCTTTTCTGGTATAAAGAGAATTACTTTGGGTCCAGAAGATGATAGAGAAGTGATAGAATCTGGTACTACTTGTCAACATTGTCAAAAACAATTTGGTTTGGCTGTCTTGTTGAATCAATTGACAATGCAAACTAGAAGTTTTATCAAACAACATCAAGATTGGAATTTGAAATGTGTTGAATGTAGTCATGTTTCAAAACATTATTCTGATAAATCTTTTAAATGTACTAGAAGTTGTAATGGTAAATTAATTCAAATTGTATGTAAAAAAATTGAAAAAAAAATAGAAATATATATATATAGTTTATTAATTTTTTTGTTTCTAGATGAATTGTCAAAAATTACTGAGACAATTATATTTTATGAAAAAAGTATTTGTTTTGGAACATTCAAACAAGAAAAGTGACGAAGAACTAGAGAATAGAAGATTGGTAAAATGTTGTGAAATGTTGATTGGTTCAGTGTTGGAAAAGATTAGCAACTTTGGTTACAATTTTAATATGCTTGTTCCCGCTGAGCAAATGGAAAAGTCTTTGTTCCTTGCTAATAAACCTTGGTTGAAAAAATAATTAATTAATTAAATTAAATAAATTGATAGATAGATCGATATATTAAAGTAGGAATGAATGACAATAAAGGTCATGGAGCGTGATATCGGATAGATATAGGTCACAAGCCATCTCTTTTAAATCACTCCAAGAATCATTTTATTCGTTATCTCTTTGTTTTTCGTCATTTAAAACACTCAAAGAAGCAATTCTAGGTGGAGTGTACCATTGTGTTGCACATATTCATAACCAAATATCAATTCCTTATGCTTTAGAAGATTATACCTACACTGATCAAGCAACTCTATTAAAATATATTAGTTATACTTATATCACAGTATGGAATGCAAAGGTCGAGACTGAGCAAACTTCATAGCTCGTCATGTTGGTTTCGGGGTACGCCTCGAGGCATAGTTTACATAGGTGTCTATCGAACGCTGGGGTCTGGGTTGGTTTCAACGCTCTTGCGAGAATGGACACTATAATTTTTTTGGGAGGTGACCCTAACCCCTAACCCGAAACAATCAACGCCCTCGGTTCGCCATTCAACGAGGAAGAAATCAAGCGAGCGATCAAGCAAAGTAAAAGAAACTCAGCACCAGGACAAGATGGATTGCCGTTTGAACTTTTCAAACTCCAGACAAAAAGGTTCACTCCCCTCCTCCTCAACCACTACAACACACTCCTCAACAACCCACAAGCCGTCCCCCAAGAACTCAAGGATGGTGTAATCATATCATTGATGAAAAAGGGGACCCAAAAGATATTGCCAAAAGGCGTCCCATCACACTCCTCAACACGGATTACAAGCTGTTGTCGTCATCATCATCATCAACAATCGTCTACTGTCATTCCACTCCACAATCATCAACCCCAACCAAACAGGGTTCGTCCCTAACAGAAACATTCACGACAATATACTGAATATCAATGAGGTCATCGACCACAACAACAAAACAAACCAAAATGGATTCATTACATTGTATGACTTTCAAAAGGCGTTCGACTCGATATCGCACAAGGCTATAGAAAACACGCTAATCCACATTGGTCTACCCCCCAACCTCAAAGACCTCATCATCAACCTCCTGAAAGGGTCCCGTGTGCGTGCCTCTGTCAATGGCCGATTGTCAAAAGAGTTGGCCATCAACAGGGGCACAAAACAAGGCGACCCCATCTCCCAACCATCTTCGATGAGATTAGTGAACTGAACAGTTTAATTAATTGGTATCTCTACTCGCCGTCATCTTCTACTTAAGTCAAAACAAATAAATACAGAGGAGGACATTTTTTTTTAAAGTAATTCTTTTCCTGTTCTCTCCTATCGGGAAGAGTAGTACTCAGAAGTTACAAAGTTTTATTAATTATACTTTTTAATTGACCAGCAAGAAATAATAAGATTATCTCAAGAAGAATTAAAGTTAATTTGTTCTGGGGAGAGGAGAGGACATTTTTTTTTTTAAAGTAATTCTTTTCCTGTTCTCTCCTATCGGGAAGAGTAGTACTCAGAAGTTACAAAGTTTTATTAATTTTACTTTTTAATTGACCAGCAAGAAATAAAGATTATCTCAAGAAGAATTAAAGTTAATTTGTTCTGGGGGTTTGTCCATGTCTATGATACATGTTGTATGGACGTTGATCATGTATCTTTTTGTATAGTGTCAAGCATGTTGGATTGTTTTGGATTGTTGCTTGTTCTAAAAATAAATTGGTTAAAGATATCGCTATTATTTTTTTTTTTTTTTTTTTTTTTTCTCACTAGCACTATAGGCTATAATACTGGGTTGATATAATTATTATTATTCTTATTATTTAGTGAATTATTATATTATTAATATTATTATTGATAGTTGTAGAGAGAATAGAAGAGGATGGCGGTGGTGACGCAAATATGGCACCCATCTTCTTCTAATTTTAGTACCATACTTGCGGTGAAACCTTAAGCCTTGGGTGCTTCCAAGACCGACTGCCGCTCTCAACTCTCGCGCCGATTTACTCCCCATTGTGGACACTCGTCTTTACGTGTTGCATATTGTATTTGAGATGTCAGATGGCTTTCTATCGCGACGGCCCAGTAGGTCCTCCACTACCTTCCCGTTACTTGTTGCAGTCTGGCTACCCAATCTCCTACTGAGAAGGGGAAACTAACCCGGTCATCCTTCCGTGGGGGTGTCCTGTCTCTAGATCCCTAGAGTCGGATGGTTTTTCTCCTCAATCCCCCCAATTGTGGTCAAGTTAAACGTTGGCGCCAAAAGTAAAGTTCGAGGGCAGGATTCGAACCTATGACCTTTACGTTCCCGGGGTAGCACGAGAGGAGAGGACACTATAAAATGGTCAAAATCCTTTCCGAATTTTTCAATCTCATCGTGATTGTAACTCAGCCGGTAGAGTGTTGTACTTATATAACAGTATGGAATGCAAAGGTCGAGAGTTCGATCCTCTCCTATCACATGATTTTTCCCTTTTTTCGTGACTTTTTGAAGTGGCAGAACTCTAATCCCTGAATTGCATTCCGGTAAAAGAATCCAAGTAAATCTACCAGTTGTGTTGTTTCGTGTATCTGTTCAAACATACATCATTATATATTTATATAAACAAAACCATTCAAGCACAACTTATTATTCGTTTCACTCATTACAGAGTAGAGACAGCTCATGCAACCTCTGCATCCCCAAAGTGAACGTTTCGATATATATATATTTGAATAAAAATTAAAAATGATTTATTTTCAATTTAAAATTGAGAGAGGAATGTAGGTAGTGTTGTTGTTGTTGTTATCGTTGTTATTGTTGTTAATATTTTGAATGACTTTTTTTAAAATTCACCCAACAATTGCAAAAGTTTTCTAGTTCTCCAATCCAACACGGAAGGGAAATCGTAGGGAGTCGAATTATAGCCCTTTGCCTTTTTAACAAAAGCCTTTGCGTCTGACTTTTTGTCGTCGGCAAAAGCAATCTCTGCCAAACCAATATACGAATAGGGAATACAAAAGTGGTCGTACGACAAGCTCTTTTCATTGGCAATCGATTGTTGATAGTGACGACGAGCCTCTTCACGCTGACCCAATTGTTGACAATTGGCACCACCCAAATACTCTGCCACTGCCGATTCTTCCTTGGTCAAATTACCAATAGCCAATGCCTGTTTGATGTATTCATAGGAACGTTGGAATTGATGAGCCTCGTTTAAAAGACTAGCTTGAATGTAGAGTTGATCAAACATGGACCAACCATCCTTTTGCTTGAGATAACGAGCAGCCTTTTTCTGTGAAAAGTCGTCAAAGTCGTAACCTTTTCTTACCCATGGTTCCAAAGATTTAAAGGTGGCACGAGCCTCTTCCTTTTTACCCAACATGTCATAACAACAACCCAATTGGTAAGCTACAAATGCCTTGAAACCACTACTAGTCGTTTCATTGAGAAACTTGGCCAAATGAACCGAGGCAGCCTCCCAATTTAGATTTAAAAATTCATTATATCCCAATTCGGAATCTACAAACAATTGTAATTGCTTCAATTGTCCAGAAGTATCATATGATCTTTGATAACTAACCGATGATTCTTTAATCTTGCCTTGTTTTCTTAAAATGGCACCAGACATGTAATAAATTAATGATCCATTTTCATATTTTGTCATCAATTCTTTTATCAATGGTTCTGGTGTATTATAATCTTCAAAAAAGAATACATTTAATAGTATTATTGCTATTTTTGCCATATTTGCTAAAAATAAAAAAAATAAAAAAAATAAATAAATAAATATTCTTTTTTTTGATTTTTTATTTTAATTTTACTTACATCTAATACCATTAGAATCAGAAGATAATTGAATTTCTTTTAAACCTTCCATTCTATTTCCTTTAAAACCAATACCTTCAACCAACCAAATATATTGAGGTGGAACAACAGAGACAAGGAAATGAAAGAAACCAACACCATAATAGGCACAACTAAGAATATGTTTGTAAATGGGAAAGGTAGTTGGTAGAGTCTTTACCAATTCAAAAGCTTGAGAATATTGTTTCCAACTCTTTCTAAATGCCAAACCTGCCTTTAAATTATTTTGTGCCTTGAATTCAATAATCGCCTTCATCACCAATGTTTCAGCATAAATTAATTTTGAAATTAAATATTCTGCTTTTACATAATTACTTGAATCTGCTCCATCCTTGGTATTAGAATCTTTTGATTTCTTTTCTTCTTTTTCTAATTTTAAATATAATGGTTTCTAGAAAAAAAGATAGATATTTTTTTTAGAAAAAAAACGAACGTTCCACGTCATATGATTTCTTTTTGTTTTTTATACATACTTGAGATAATTGTAATGATCTAGCCAAAGATTTACATTCACTAATTCTTTTTGAAGCTTCAGACATGTCTTCCTTTGTTTCTGTCAATACTGCCTTTATAAAACTAATATCGGTATATAATAATGAAAATAATGGTACTTTGGTCTTTTCATTTGATAATAAATTTTCACATTCTAAATGAAATGGAATAGAAAAAAAAGGTTAATCAAAAGATCTGTCTTTCTATAACTATCTTGTTGACAAGTCTCTAGTTGTATTACCTGTTAGTTCAAAATTCCAAAACAATTCAATTGCTTTATCTAATGTTTCAATATGATCATTATTCATTTTTTCTAAACAACTTTATAAAATGAAATAAAAAATGAAATGATTTAAAATATAAAAAGAGTGTGGTGGTTGTACAACAATAATGATAACACTAAAAAAGAAAAAAGATATATATCTGTTTTTATCTTATCTCTCTATCTATGATGAATGAAATATTTTTAACAAAAAAATCAAAATTTTAAAAAAAAAGACTTTTTGGTGTGAGTCGCCGAACGATTCCAAAGAGGCGAGGGAGGTTTGACCTTTCAACTGACCTATTTCAAAAAAAAATTATAATATATCTTTTTTTTTTTTTTTTTTTCTTAGATTTTTTATTCGGAACTCCATTTGGTAACAACAATGGTGAAAAAAGTGGATACATACGAGGAGGTGAAAAAAATTGCACCATGATGTGATGGTGGTTTTTTTTAAAAGGGAGAGAGAACCCTACAACTAAAAAACATTGTTCAAAGTTTTTAAAAAGAGAGAGAGATAAGATAGATTAGATAGATAAAAAGAATAATAATAATTATTTATATATATAAAAAATACTTTTTTTTTTTTTTAGCTTTATTATTTATATATAAGATATCATTATGGTTGATTTATATACAGATAGAGCATTATTAAGAATTAATTAAAAAAAGGGAAAGGAGAATGATTATACAATATTATTTAATTGATATAATAATTTTAATATTTAAAAGTTTTAAAGTATTGACAAGAGGAATAGGACAAATATTTTTACAATGTAATTCAATGACTGGTATCATTTTTTGTATTGCCATGTTTTATGGTAATGCTGAAATGGCATATACCATGATTATTTGTACCATTGTATCAAGTGCCACGGCAGTCCTATTACAATTAAATCAAGATCATATAGATAATGGTCTTTATGGTTTTAATTCTGCTCTGATTGGATGTGCAATGATATTTTATTTTGGTTTAAATGCAGCAGTAGTTTTGGCATATATTATTGGTAGTATTGCCTCTACACTATTGATGCACCTATTCCTCTTGTTTGACATTAGAGCCTATACCTTTCCCTTTATAGCCATTACTTGGTTACTCAAATTAATCCTACAATCAAATGGAATTGATGGTTTTCCATTGGCCAAATCAAGATTACCAGGTCCAACCATTGATTATAATGGATTCGATTATGTTGGTAATGGTTTGGTTATTCCAAGTCATGCTTTTGGTCAAGTTTTATTTCAAGGTGACTTTATTAGTGGATTATTAATGATTATTGCAATTTTTATCAATTCCCCAATACAAAGTCTTTATGGTATTATTGCAACTCATCTTTCAGTCATTATTATTAATCTATATTATCCAAATACAGATGATAAAATAATCATTTCAACATTAAATGGTGGATTATATAGTTTTAATGCTGTATTGTCTGGTATTGCATCAAGCGGTAATGGTCCATTTTATTTAATTAAAATGACAATTACTGTAATCATTTCAACAACTTTTTTCCTACATTTAAAATTACAAAATTTTACAACTCTTACATTTCCTTTTGTACTTTCACTTTGGTCTATAAATTTAATTCAATTCTTTATAGAAAATTATAACAACAAATCATTTTATAAAAATATTCCAATTTTTAAAAAATTCAATCAATCAAAACAACCAAATATAAAAAAAAATCAACCAATAGAATTAAATAATTTAAACAACGATAATAATGATATAATAATACCAATTAATAAACTTGCAACTGCTGCGTAGAAAAAAATACTTTTTACTTTTTTTATTTATTATTTTTTTTATCAGATAACCATTGATTGATTTGATTTTTTAATTCAATATTTGGAATTAACATATCTTCAGTTAATTTTGAACGATTAAAAGGATCAGTTTGATCAGATAATAAATGACGTTGAATGGTTTGACGATCAAGAGTAATTTTACTACTAGGTAAAATAACTGGATCAGTCATGAGGGTACTTAGGAGTGGATCCAAATAGTCATCTGGAATATCACCAAGATCTTCTTCCAATAAATTATTTTGTTGACTGACTTGAACCAATTTAACGATTAGGTTATGGAATCTTTCAATATCTTCAAGACTTTTTAATTGTTCACGAGCCAAAATCTTTTCAACTTGTTCAAAGATACCAATTTTAAAAGAACGCTCATCACGAACAATAGAGTCTAAAAACTTTTCATCAACAGAAAGGTTACAATAGATATCGGTGAGTTGAACCAATAAATGACGTGGATTAAAGTTGTAACGTTCTGGGTCACGAACTCTTAATTCCATACACTTGGGTCCAAGCAACTTGACAAGATAACTATTCAACATTTCAGCCAAACGATCTACAATACCACTTTGCATAAATGGTGTCAATTCCTTTACAGAAATTAATTGCATCATTTTAAAGTTTTGATCGGCCAACGACAATGAATTACGAGCAATCGATTGATAACGTTCATACGTTTCCAATAATTCTCTACGTTGATCTTCTGGTTTTTGTTCCCATTCACCAGCTTCTTGTTGAGCTTGCATTCCCTTGATATCTTTTAATTTCTCCAAAGCATCATCCAATAAAAAGATACTGTCATTGATGACCATGTTGATAAAACGTAAAAAGGATTCTGGACGACGACATTCCATAATAATTCTTTGTTGGAAATAAAGATTCGATTCCCATAGATACGTCATGATACGTGCACTATCATAACGATAACTAAACTTTTCATAAAATTGATTATGTCTTCCTGTAGATTCAATATCTACATAAAATTTCATCAATGATGGTATTAAATTTTGTTTTACAATTTCACTTGAAGAAAATAATCCTGTCATATCTTTTTGATATCCTCTTTGTTCTTTAATTGGTACAAATGATCCAAATATCTAAAAAATAGAAAAATAAAAAAGTATAAATATTTCTTTCATTTTTTTTTTTTGTTTTCTTTTTGTTTCTCTATTTACTTGAATAATTTTAGCAGTTAAATAAGGATTATTAATATAATCTGGAGAAGCTAAAAGAGTAACAAAAAATGTAACCATTGGACCTAGTTGATTAGTTTCAACCTTGTCTGGATAGAAACGAGTAAGATGACTAAAGAATTGAACAATATCTTCGATACAATATTCTGGCAATAGAGCAAATTGACGATTGGGTGGTGTTGGAAGTGGTACAGGTGCATTGGTTGGATTAATTACTCTGGTCAACCAATTGACTGTAAAGGCTAGAAAACTTTGTAATCTACCTACAAACATTGGTTCATACATTTGTGAAACATGAATATAAATATAAGTTTTACATGAATCAACTTGTGCTTTTAATTGTTTTAATCTTGCTTCATTTATATTTGCTTGTGGAGTCTAGAGATAAAAATTTAAATAAATATATGATATCTTTTTTTTTACTTTTTTTAATTTCTTCTTACAATTGACCATTGAGGTTGAGTTGATTGTAAAACTCGAAGTTCAGCAGAAATTCTTTCAGAACTATTACTAACATTATCAATTTGTTCAAAAGTAGGGTTAATACCAATATGAATACATCTAAGAGTAACAAAGAAACATTCAGTAATAAAATTGACTGGTACAATTGGATGAATATCTTTGTTCCATTCTTGAATATTTTCAACATTGGCAGCCAATCTAGTATCTTGAGAGATATCGTGACGAGAACTATTGAGTAAAAAGTTGGTATCAACCATGGTGGTTTTTGAAAACGAGGCATCGATAAATGATTCACACAATAATGTCATGACTGCACAAAGGTTCATACAAAAACCACTTGTTGCTACAGTGGCTGGATCATAACGTAGTTTGGTACGATTGGCATTGTGATCCAAAACTGAACATATCCAAACTAAAAATGCTTCCTTGTTTTCTGGACTAACCTTTAGGAATGTTCTAACCAATTGATGTAAATAATTATGATATCCTTTGGTTAAAATTCTAATATTTTCAAATGCTTCATGAATATTTTGATTTGTCATTTCTGATGCATTTTTAAAATATTGATCAGCTATATCTCTCTATAGAGTAAAGTAAATTAAAATAAATATTATTTCTTTTTTTTGTTTCTATTTGTTTCTATTTTACCGATTTAGAAGCAGCACTAAGAGAAAAATAAGGACCAAGTAAAGAGAATCTTTCAAATTGAGCACCATTTAATTGTTTTGGATTAAATGCTGGCATTGAAATAAAGATATCAGATAATTCTTTAAATTGAATTAAACTTGAAAATGCTTTAAATATTGCCATATAATTACCCAATAATGTAATTTGTCCCATTTGTCCTGTTAATTGTAAAAATAATGGTTCAAATAACTAAAAGGAAAAATAAAAATAAAAATAATTAATACTTTTTATACTTCTTCTTCTTCTTCTTCTTCTTCTTCTTCTTTTTCTTTTTTTTTTTTACTTACTGATTTCTTATCATCAACTTGAGAAATAAATAATTGTAAAAATTCAAAAGATAATTCATCAATCATTTCACCTTTTAAAAATGGTAAAAGTTGACCAATACCTTGACCATAAAGTTGAGAAGAGGTGTTTGGGAACATGTCTGGAATGGAAATGACCACACCAAAATAACGAATGATAAGGTTTGATAGATCATTTAATAATTTGGCATTGGTAACAATCACTTGTTTGGTTCCAACCTTTCTCTTTACTTCTTGTAATCTATTAAAACATCCAATTAAATAATCTACCAATGGTATTCTAACTTGTCCATATGATAATCTTTCAACCAATATTCTATCCATTAAATCTTCATCCAATTTTAATATATTCTTTCCTGCTAAAAATAAAATTTTAATAAAGATTCTATATTTTTTCTTTTTTTTTTTTTTTTACTTACCAACTTCTTTAATTAATTCATTTGTCAAAGATTCAAGATAAACTTCATTTTTAAGACTTGTTTGATTGAAATAGATTAAAAAGATCTTTTCAAGAATGAAATAATCCATTTCATTCATTGGAATGACAGCACCACTTCTAATTCTATCGTAGCTTGATGAAACGAGGGGTGGTGATCTTGGTTGTTGCAATTTCTTCTTTTCTTCATCTTCCTTTTTTCTTTTCTCTTCTTCTTGTTTTTGTTTAAGTAATTGTAATTGATATTGTTCTTGTTGTTGTTGAATTACTTGTCTTTTTCTTTTTTGTTCTTCTTCTTGTAATAATTGTTGTTGTCTCTTTTGTTCTTCTTCTTGTTGTTGTTGATCATCAAGTTGCATTTCTAATCTTTCTAATCTTTTTCTTCTCATTTCTTCTGCACTATCATTATTTTGTTTGTTATTCTCAACATTATTATTATTATTATTGTTGTTGGAAGGACCTTCACCTCCTTCTCCTCCTCCTTCACCTCCATCTTTACCATCTTTACCAGTAAACTTTAAAAATAAATTCTTCATTTATGTACTCTCTACTCTTTCTTTATTTATTTAAATATTAACTAGTTTATTACTTTTTACTTTTGAGTGTTGATGAATCACACACAAGAACCTCACACAAAAAAAAAAAACAAAATTAATTAAATTTTAAATCATAAAGTTCACATACTCACTTATAAAATTCAATGAAATCATTTAGAAATCATAGATCTATAAATAAATCTCTTGAAATTTCAAAAAGAATTCATTATATATATATATTTGTGTATATATATTTTATTGATTATTTAAACCTTCAACATTGGCAACATTAAAAAGAAAAGTATCCATACCAGGTGGTAATTTACGTTCTTGTAAACTCTTTAGAGTGACCATTGATTTTCCATCGTCACCTTCGACTTTGAGTGATTCCAATTTAACGAGTAATTCTTTTACTTTGATGGTCAATGCTTTCATGACTGCTTGATCACTCATTGGTTCTTCCACTTCTTCATCAATCGATGTTAATAATAATTTCAATATATCTTTATGTATTGATGATAATAAAAATTGATCTTTTGCATGTGATGCTACTGTTATTTCTTTTGATGGTACTAAAGGATGAATAAGAAATGGTTATTAAATATAAATATATTCTTTTTCTTTTCTTTCTTTTAATTTCCTCTTACAATCAACTAATAAATCATATAAATCTTCTCGAGATTTAATTGAAGGATCAGTAAACCCGGCAACATAGACACCATTATTTACCAATTCTTTAATTTCATCTTCATCAACTGTTACATATGGTCTTAATAAACTCCAATTTTGTCTATGAAATACAAATAATGGAAATCCTCTAAAAAATAAAAATAAAAAGAAAAAAGATAATTATTAATAAATGAATAATAAATATATATATATATTTGTTTTTAATTTTAGTTTACCTAATAACCTTTAATAAAGGAGAAATTTTATCAGAATAAATAACGATTCTTTTCTTTAACATCATTGCATTCCAAATTAAAATGGATTGTTCATCAAACAATTTAATGATATCTTTGATACTAGTGGCAAGATAGGAACGACGAATATCATAATCGGCATCAACAAATTTACCCAATGCACCAACATCAAATTGTCCACGATTGACAGCTCTTAGATGACATTCCAATAATTTACTTGGATCACCAGTCTTTAAATAAATATTTGACATTATCTGTGCAAGTGTTCCATACTTTTCTGGATTATATACCTAACAAGAGAAAAAAAGAAAGAAGGAAGAGTTTTAGTTTAATTGATCAATAGTTAGCTATGTCTTTTTTTTTGATTTGATACATACATTACGAATGATACAAATAGTAAATAATACAACTTTCTTTAATGTATCTGGTATGACTATAGATTCATCTTTATCTTTTTGAGCAGGTATAGATATAGTGTATAGATAGATCCAAGAATTCTTGTATTTACTGAAATTGAATTGTGCATTGACTGAATCATTCTTTAAACCACTTCTATTCAATACTACATTTCTTATTGAATCTTCAATCGTTGGAAAACACCTAGAAATAGAAAAAGAAAAAGTATAAGTAAGAGTTACTACTGAATATATATATATAGATAAAGAGAGAGTTGCTTTATAGTGTGTGTATGTGTGTGTACTAGTGTTCAATCATACCAAGTCATTAAAACATCATTATTTGTATCCTTTTCAAAGATACATATTGAATCATCTAATGATATATCACTCATCTTGGTTGATTATATCTCTATCTATCTATCTATTAAATATAGTAATGTGTAATAAATAATAATATTTAAAGTGCAATGAATGCAAAATTTGAGTATTCATCAGAAAAATCTTTTTTTTTATTTCTTTTTTTGCACAAGCAAAGATCAACAACATCAATGGGACTGTGGGTTTGTCCGATGAAGACAATACTTTACTTGCTCGTCAGATAATCATTACTAACTGTATAATAATAATGGTATCACAATGATCTCTAGATAATAGTAGATAATATATATGACTATGTCAGATTTGAAGACACATCATCTCTTTCTTTAAAATTATATATATAATCTCACTACTTTGTATTTACATTATATGTGTATATATTTACATACCTCGTCGTCTTTTGGTATTAAACACGTCACAGTGGTTCAGAAGGTGACATTCCCTACCTGTGAAGTTCATCACCTGATTTTTTTTAAAAATAAATTTAATTTAGGCTTTGAACCTCCCTCTTCCTCCTCTCGGGAAAAGCAATTGACCATCGTCTTTATATATTTGTAGGGATTAGTTAGATTATAGTTTGTTTAAAAAGAAGATATATAACGTGCGTATGTGAAAAAGAAGAAGTTCAATCAAAAAAAATCAACTACCAACCAACCCCCACAAAAAGATTAAGATATTTCATTTATAAAGGGCTGTCATAGCTAGCCCCACACATTCAACTTGAAGACTCACCCCCACCTTCCTTCAATTTCATTTAAATTTAATTTATCTTCCTCCTCCCTCATCCTTTATCGCACCACACACAAACTTACTTTTCCTTTTTATTTAATCTTCTTTTTTTTTTCCTTCCTTCTTTACTCTATATATCTTTTTTTAATTAGTTAATCGTCATCACCAAAAAAGCAAACATGTTATCATTATCAATCAAGAAATTAACATCAAATACTTTTCAATCATCTGTAAAGTATGGTACTTTTGTTAGAAATTGTAAGTCAAACAAACAAACAAACAAACTTTTCAAATCATATGATTATTTATTTGTTTTATTTTATTTTGTTTATTTAGATCAAAAGATCAAGGTTACAGGACCAGTAGTTGAAATGGATGGTGATGAAATGACTAGAATCATTTGGGATATGATCAAGAAAAAGTTGGTCTTTCCATTCCTCGACGTCAAGCCATTATATTTTGATCTTGGTCTTCCACATCGTGATGCTACCAATGATCAAGTTACCATTGATGCTGCCAATGCCATCAAGGAAGCCAAAGTTGGTATTAAATGTGCTACCATTACTCCTGATGAAGCTAGAGTTGAAGGTATAGATAAAAAAAAAGAAAAAAGAAAAAATATTTGGATATATTTATAAATATTAATCATTCAAACTCAAACTATTTCTATATATATATATTTATATAACCTATTCTATAGAATTTAAATTAAAGGAAATGTGGAAATCACCAAATGGTACTATTCGTAATATTCTTGGTGGTACTGTATTCCGTGAACCAATTGTTTGTACAAACATTCCAAGATTAGTTCCACGTTGGAATAAACCAATTATTATTGGTAGACATGCTTTTGGTGATCAAGTATGTTACACATACACATACACACTCATACACACATTTAAATATTAAATATTTATTTAATTATTGAATTTTTTTTTTTTTTTTCTAATCTAGTACAAGGCAACAGACTTTTTAGTTGAAGAAGCAGGTAAATTGGAAATGGTATTCACACCAAAGAATGGAGGATCTGCTTCAAAGAGAACAGTATTTGAATTTAAGGATGCTGGTGTTGCCATGGGTATGTACAACACTGACAAGTCCATTACTGAATTCGCACACAGTTGCTTTGCCTATGCTTTGGATAGAAAGCTCCCACTTTACTTGTCAACCAAGAACACTATTTTGAAAAAGTATGATGGTCGTTTCAAGGACATCTTTGAACAATTGTACCAAGAGAAATATAAAAAGGAAATGGAAAAAAAGGAAAAAGAAAGAGGAGAGGGAGAAAAAGGAGAAAAGATGCAATACGAACATCGTCTCATAGATGACATGGTCGCCTATGCCATCAAGAGTAATGGTGGATACGTATGGGCCTGCAAAAACTATGATGGTGATGTCCAGTCGGATATTGTTGCCCAAGGTTTTGGTTCTTTGGGTCTCATGACATCGGTCCTTGTCGCACCAGCCGATGGTATTGTTGAAAGTGAAGCTGCTCACGGTACTGTCACTCGTCACTACCGTCAACACCAAAAGGGTCAAGAGACTAGCACCAACTCGGTTGCCTCCATCTTTGCCTGGACCCGTGGTCTTGCTCACCGTGCCAAGTTGGACAAGAATGCCGATTTGCTCAAATTCACAGACACACTTGAAAAGGCTTGTATCCAAACCATCGAGAATGGTTTCATGACCAAGGATCTTGCTCTTTGCATCTATGACGACAAGCAACTCACTCGTGATAAATATTTGAATACCGAACAATTCATTGACAAGGTTGCTGAAACTTTAAAGAAATCATTGTAATTGTAATTCACACAACACAACACAAACAAACAAATAATGTTTTCAATAAAACATTTCTTTCTTTCTGATTAATTGTACAACAACATCAACTACTACAAGGTCACTCTTTCAAAGACAAGTATAAAAAAAAAAAAAGGATTTATTTTTATATTTATTTTTTTATTTCACTGGTGTGACCCTTTCTGTGATCGAATATATATATGATTGAATAAAGATGATCTTGGAATGACTTGATTGAATAGTTTCAACAGTTAAACTATTCAGTTAGTGTTCATTAGGCGTGCGGCGGCGATGGGTATTCTAATATTACTCCCACTAGTTATTAAATAATTTAAATTCTTTACTCAACATCTATTCCTGGATAATATTTACAAGATACTATAATAAATTTTATCGATAGTTACTCCACCACCTGCAATATTGAATTGAGCTGATTGATTTGCACCAGTACCACTTTGTTGCATTGGAAATGAGAATGGGTAATCCATGTGATAACTTAGAGGTAAGATCTTCAACTATTTTTATTTTAATACAATGTTATATTGCTGAAGAATGGTATATAATGGGCGAATAGATAAGGAACAATGTTAGGTCCTCCTGCTGCTGGTACTGTTAAATTAAATTGTAACCAACTTTTTGATTATGCGATACCAGTACCAATATCTATAGTGGTAACAGTACAGGCCGCATTATAAGTTGAGAGAAAAAAAATATATAAATATTAAATTAGGCATCTTGGTGCCTACCCCTCTCCGGGAAGTTTGTTGCCTGCCTCTTGTGAAATCGAATGCATCATATACTCTTTATGCATATCATAATAATTATTCATCCTGAAGAAAATAATTGTTAAACAGTTAAATCTACACCATTAAAACTATTTTTGTTACTATTTGTTAGTTTCTTACAGTAAGCTTCAACTCTTGGATTACTCCAATAAATATAAGAATAATCTGCATACTTTACTCTTGTCGAATTAGACCCAAATAATAACGCCATCCCGCCCACTAATATTCAGTCTATCATTGGAGTTTATTAAGATTGATTTATTCTTTGGTATTTTTTGTAGGAAATCTATTTCTTAAAATATTCCCTTGGTCCATGCTATGATTTGTCTGGTGATTACTATCCAGGTTTTGACTCCTTGGTCGAGTAACTTCTGTATCCAACCCTAAATAAGATAAAAAAGATTGAAAATAGGACTAGGTCAAAACGTAAGCAATAAACTAATGCATTGTTAATATAATTAAATGTCATACATACCCTTGGAGGTTCTCTTCGATCCAAAGCCCCAAGAATAGCACTTTCTATTGTTTGGTTTAAGCTTGAAAAATCGACTACTGTATCGCTAGCTTCGACCTCAACATAGAGGTGAACACCATCGGCTAGAGTGACAGCAGCAAGGGGATCAAGGGGTACACGAGCAGGGGCATTGTTGTCATTTGATGGTGGCTCGGCAAAGAGAAGCATAGTACCACGAGGAATAACGAACTCTGGATTGGCTCGAATGATGGGACGGAGATCGTCGTGGTCGGCAACATTGTTAAAACTGATCTTGGTTACATCATTACGGTAGTGAACAAAGAGAGTGAGGTCACGACGTTGTGGAGCGACTGGGCCGGTTGATGATGTCGAAGTTGTCATATGAATAATAGAAGGAATAAAGAATGAATGATTCAACTAATAATGTAATGATTAAGACTACATAGAATACGATGCATCGTATTTATAGCTAACTATTGTTCAATTAATGTATGACACCCGTCTCTATTTTTTCTATCGATTTTATTACATTATGCATCGTATTTCAGAGTCATGCATAATGCGCACTCTGAAACCACACCTCTCTTCCAACCAACCCCTTTTTTTATTTTAATTTTAATTATTTTAATTATTTTCTACCTAATCATAAACACATAATGAACTTGCGACCATACCGCATAAGAAAAGACAAAAAAGGGAGAAGATACGTGATTAAGAAAGGTAAGAAGTATTACATTAAGTCAAAGAAGACCGACAAGGAAATCATGAGATCATTAATCAAAGAACTCAAGCGTGCTTCCACTTCCCACACACCTATCATTAGAGATTCATCAATAAGGTCAATCTCACCTGATAGTGCTGGAGCGACGTTACGCTCTGACTATATCAGAAACATACAAGATTCAAACTTTAAAGAATCATTGATGAAAGAATCAAAGGTTGCAGCAGAGAATCTGCGCTTCGCACCAATGGCAATTTTAGATAAACACCCCCTTCTACAACAGCGTGGCGTGCAACAAGAGGCACTTGAACAACAAATACCTCAACACTTATTAAAATACTTGACCAATCAATTTGATGATATTAAAGGTGCAATGATAAGGAAATTAAAAGAAGATGAAAGTGACAAGATATCTTGAAAGGATTACTCGTCGTGCAGACAAACAGAAACAACATGATGAATTATTAGTAAATATGGCATTGACTGAAAAGAGAATGGCAAATATGGATGCTAATTTAATCAAATCACAACTAGAGCGTTTTATGGAGGAAAACCAACTGCGTGGCGTGCAGCAAGATGCACTAGAGCAGCAACGTCAACTTGAAGAACAACTAAATCAAGAGATCAACAAGGTAAGAGAAGCAGAGGAGAAGATCATTTCATTAAAGGAGAAATCAGAGGAAGATCAACAAAGATTCAATCAAGATATTGAAAAGGTAAGAAGAGAGGCGAAAGAAAGAATGTAAAAGATTTGATTGATAAATTCATAGGGGATAAGAAGATTAATATCAGCTTTTTACCACCAAGATCAAGAGCAACAATAGATTTGTATCCTTTGACGATGGAATTACACCAACACAGAAGAATAAAATAATTAAAAAGAACAATGAAGAATTTGGTCAACAATTGTACAACTTAAGAGATCATTTAACATCAGCAGATACAACTAAATTGTTACAAGATTATAAAAAGATGGAATACAAACCTGCAGAAAGAAATGATATACTCAATGGCATCCACACAAGAATTACAGAATTAACATCGTTACCCAGGATAAACAAACTAGAGCGTCTTGCCGCTTCCCACGCTAAAGAATCGGTCTTGGCCGATTTGCCGCTTGAGGATAGATGGTGGATGCAAATGTGAGAGCGTCTTGGCGCTTACCCCGCTACAAGATGTGCCAGAGTCGGGTGGAGAGCGTGGCGTGCAGCAAGAGAACTTTCCAAAGTTCACAAAGGAGCAGTCACCTGGGCTATACGATTATGAAATAGAGAAACTAATGAAGCCTTACAAGAAATATGGATGGAGTGGTGTATTCTCCGCCGATGAAGTCGATCTTGCTCGACCAACGCTTGACGGAAAGCTCTCTTTTATTATGAATTTGGACAAGTCAACAGAACCTGGTAGTCATTGGGTTGCATGTTACATCGATACAATTGGTAGTAAATCATTAGAGTATTACGATTCATTTGGCGAGGATCCATCAGAACAATTCATGATTGATATAAAGAAGGTAATAGACGCGATTGACCCTGGGTCAATATTATCTTAAATTTAAAGTAAATAAAATAGTTGAACTAGCAGCAGACAGTAATAATTGTGGATTCCATTGCATTAGATTCTTAATTAATAGATATAATGGTGTGCCTTTTGTGGAAGGCTCAGGGTAAAAAGATTTAAAAGAAAAGGATGCTGATAAAATGAGAAAAAAATACAACAAGTTTGGGTATATATAGCGTACTTGGCGCTTACCCCGCTGGTGTTCCTTATTTAAATTATTATTATCAAGAACAAGTTTATTCATTATCATTACGAATGACAATAACAGATCTAAATCTTGCATTTCCAATGTTTTCAAAACATTCATTGACTTGATCCAATTTGTATTTTTGGATCATTGGATGAACACCTTGAATCTTTGAAAAGTGTAAACAATCCTCTGAATCTCTTGAATCACCCGAATATCTGCCACAGACCGATTGATTCATTGATAACATTCGAATGGGATTGATCTTGAGTTCAGGGATTGCAGCAACAATGACAATCGACCCTCCTGCACCCAATGCACCTTCGATCTTTTCAACAACCGATTGAGATGGTGCAGTGCAAACAATCAACTTGGCACCTCCCATTGCTTGAATCTGAGTGTTGGCTGTTTCAGATGACACAAAGTAATGATGTGCTCCCAACTCTTTTGCCAACTTTTCCTTATCCATATTCGATGATACTGCTATCACTTCATATCCCATTTTTTCTTGCATACTATAAATCAAAAAAAAAAAAGATTAATAAATAATATAATAAATATAATTATTTAATAATATATATTTTTTTTTTAACATACTTGAATAGCAAGATGACCTAAACCACCAATACCTTGGATGATAACTTTTTCACCTGGTCTGATACCCATTGAACGAATGGAATTGAATGTAGTGACACCGGCACACATTAAAGGTCCGGCTTCTGCAAACGATATTTCCTCTGGTATAACAGAAACAGCGTCACATGGAGCAATCATGTATTCTGCCATGCCACCTCTAAACGAAATACCAGTGGTTCCAACCTTTTCACAAGTTGTCCATTGATTTTGTTTACATTGTTTGCATTCGTGACAACTTCCTCCAAAATAGCCAACTCCTACTTTATCTCCTTTTTTAAAACATGTTACACCTTCACCAACTTCATCAATTCTACCTGCTACTTCATGTCCCCTAATAAAAATAATAAAATAATTAAATATAATTAAAAGTTGATATTGAATGATGGTTAACATACGGTACAACTGGGAATGGTAAACCTGGAAACGCTCCCTTTGCCATCATTATATCAGTATGACATACTCCACAAGAATATACTTTAATTCTTACCCTATAAAATAAATATAATAAATTAAGTTTAATAATGATTCTCTTTACTCTATTTTCCTCTCTTTTTTTTACATTACCATCCTTTACCAGGGTTTGGGATTGGGCTTTCAGCAATTTCTATTTTTGCTCCTGCCTTTGGTACAATAGCTGTTTTCATCATTTTTTAAATCTTGATCGTTATTCCTCTAGAATCTAAACTAAAAAAAAAAAGAAATTGTAAATGAATTAAATGGAATGAAAAGAGATAGATGAGAGAAAGAAAGAGAGAGATGTTCATTGTTTTTTTTTTATCCAATAAGCAATGGTGTGTTAGATACATTTACAAGTTGATTGGTGTGTGTGTGAGCCCACACAATTGTCGCGCGAGAGATGGGGGTGTGAACTTGTAATCAAATAATAATACTTCTTCTCTACGCAAATTGTTTGTTAAATAATTGTTGGTTTATTATTATTATTATTATTATTATTATTGAGGAGGTGGAAAGGTTTTAGCTTGACTTTTCACTCTTTTTTGGTATTCTGCAATATCATTTCTATGATTTGGTATAAACACAACAAATTACATTAATAAAATTGTAATTACTTTCATGAATTATATTAAAATTATTATTATTATTAATAATTTATACATACATAAACAAGGTAATAGGAAGTTGTTGAGCAGGACTTTTTGGATTGGGAGCATTTAATAAATCTTGAATACCACATAGAATTTGTTTTACAGAGATTGATGGTTTCCAATCACCATCGTCATTGACTATAGAGAGACACACTGTTCCCGATGGATATACGTTTGGATGGAAAAAGTCTTTTGGAAATCTACATTTTGGGGGACGACTTGGGTAGTCTTCTGAAAATTCAATAGTCATAGGATAGACGCCTCCCTCCCAAATAGTCTTTTCTACTCCTGGTATACCACATTGCCAAATAAACATATTTGTTGTTCCATCTGGGTTGGTTAATGGTCTAGCATAAAATCCCTGTGAATTCATATATATTTATATTTGTTAACATCTTATTGTGTCATATTCTCTTCTCTATTATCTGTTCAAACTATATATCATATAAAGAACTTACATATGGGTGATCTTTTCTCCACTGTATATGAGATAACAACAAAGTGATAAAGAGAGAGAGAGGTTGAACGTTTGTTAGTTTTGTAGAAGTTTGATTTTTTGCATTGATCTTCCTCTTTCTGAAAAACTTACCAGCTTTCTTTCTTCTGTCAATCTTGATAATGCTATTCCTGACATATCTCTACACTCACTCTCTCTTTCTAAAAGTAATAATCTAATCTAATACTACTTTACTATTCTTTGCAAAGTACTCAATTACTTCGAAGTTTCGACTGTTGAGAATTGCGCGCAAAAAAAAAAATAATTATTTAAAAATAATTTTAAAAATGATTTTAGATTGAGCGATGAAAGATTCACTGCGCAGCTCTAGGCATACTAATTCAGTTGAAGTTCAATCGATCCAAGCAAGAGTTGTAAAGAAAGAGTTATTATCATTTATCTCACCTACTACAGAAAACAATATTGATATTAGGTTAGACTCTCATATAGAGGAGGAGAAGGAGCAAGACAAGATACTCGAATAATAATAATAATGTCACATTATTATCATACAACACCTATTGTTAGAGGTAGTGCCACACCAACTCTATCAGGTACACCAACTTTTATTGGAGGAGGTTTAACATCATCAAATACACCTACACCTACTTTATTATCATCTGACCCAACATCTACAACATCGACATCTACAACACCTACTACATCAACACCATCATCATCTACTACACCAACATTGACAAATCAACACTTACCACCATCAACTGTATTGGTACCAGATCTAAGTAATGTTAAAGATTTCAAGAGTGTATTATCAAGACATTTAGCTGCTCATCAACAAGATTGGCCTGTTTTATTGGGTAAAATATTTGGTTCAGATCCTAGAGGTATCATTCGTATATGTACAGAGGATGAAGTACCAGAACTATTACATCTTCTCAATCACAAATCTGACGTATTTCGTTTTCTCATGTCTCATTTCTCAAGTAACATGAATTCATATAACTTTCCAATGGATAGAGTTCCTGTATGTAAAAAAAGAGAAAATAATCAATAATTGTTATTTTATTATTAATCATTTATTTATCTTTTTTAGAAATCAATTATACAAAAATTATATTCAAATCAATTATTGACACCAAAAATATTAGAAGGATGGGATACAATTGATAAAACTAGGTTCATTACTGTTAATATATTTCAACTTTATTTCTTTGCTTTTGGTTTATTTGGTGATTATTGGGTATGAAAGATCTTTCTAAAATATTTATATATATATATATGAATTAATATTTATTTATTTATTTTAGAAACCAAATGGATCATCATCAAGATCAGTTTTTGGAGTTCCAACAATTAGTATTAGTAGTAATAATTTAAACAAATCATCATCATCATCAACACCATCAAGATCTCAACCATCAAGTGATCGTCAAAAAGTTATTTATCACAAGTTGTTGGTTGATTATTTAAACTATTTCTTTCCACTTGGAGGACAAGTCAATTACGAATCGATTGATCAATCACTATGTTTTTTTAAAATACTTTGTGAATGTTACCTTGGTCATAATATTACAAATCTTTTAATTTCAAAATCTCCAAATATTAAATCATTATTAGATACTGTAAGTAAAAAGTAAAGTAAATTTTGATCATTTAAAAAAATATTAATATTTCTCTCCATTTTAGTTTAAAAAACCAACATCATTTAATTTAGAAGCAACATTGTTAATGTTATCACATTTCCAAAAATTTATAAAGTATTGTACAAATGGTCAATACTCTATTTATAACAATTACAACTATAATAATATAAAAATACTTTCACCTACTGAAAATGACAATAATAATAGTAATAATAATAATAATAATAATAATAATTCAGGATCAAAAAATAATTCACCAACTCCAACAAGTCCAAAACAAACAAACATTAATATTGGATTCCTGAATCAAGCATATGATATTATAAGGTATCCATTATTTGTATACTTGGTTTCTTATTTTGAAAAATTCGATATCAGCGACAATTCATTACCAACAGAATATGTTACAAGATTATGGATCAACTATTTAACACCTTGGAGACACAATAGTCAACTTGAAAAACAAAAATCTTCTAGTTTCTTTTCATCTTTTCAAGGGAATAACAATAATCAAGATCAACAAAAATCAATCTCGTAAGTCAAATGAAAAGTATAAAAGATATCATATAATCATATATCTTACCAACCTATCTCTTTATTTTATTATAGGGAAAATTTTATAATTGAAAATTATTACATGTATAGTTATGTATTTTCAAATTTTATATTTAGAGCTTTATTTTCTTTGGATTTATCCCAAGAGAATAATTTTAATACATTGAAAAAAATATTGGATTTTTTTATGGATACACCATTACTTCAATGTTTACAATCAATTGATAAACATGATAGATTTTTAATGAAACAAACTCAAGGTGAAGCTTTATCAAGTGAAAGTAAGAAAAAAAAAAAAAAAAAGAAAGCGAGAAAATCAAAAATGGATCATATTTGCTAATTATCTTTATTTTATTTTTTGTTAGTAATTTTATGTTTAGAAAAACAATTAATTTATTATGGTATTATTGAAAACCAAGAAAGATTCTCAATGTTTTCAAATTCAATGAGTCAATATGTCAATGCATTGATTCAAAATTTATTCAAGAAACAAAATGTTCCCATAAAATACAAGGAATATATTTATCAAAAATTATCCTTAATTTATATTGTATGAAAAATATATATATATAGAATATATATTCTCTAATTAATTTAATTATCTTTTTATTTTATTTTTTTTAGATTGAAGAACCAAAAATACAAGAAATTGCAAATGAATTAAGATCTAGAACAAATAAGACTACTACTACAACACCAACCGAATCCCATCAACAACCACCACAACAACATGAAATAGTACAACTAAAACAATTGGGTTATATAGTATCACCAAAACGCAATCAAGATGGAACATTGACAGATGAAGGAAGACGTCAACTACAAAAAGGAATAAGAACTTGTAACCCCATCTTTGATCAATACCAATATCCAATCTCACATTTGGAGAATAGACCAATCACCTCTGAAGAATTAGGTCTACCAATTAAATTGGCCTATTACTATTCTGACAACCACCAAATTAGAATGTGGTCAAGAAAAATATTTAGAAAAGATATTGCAATCTTTTCATCAATTGGATTGATTGTTTTTTATATCTTTATTAAATTAATTAGTTTAATATTCTTTAGGTAATAAAAATAAAGAATATTAACTAAACTTATACTCTTTTATTTGAAATAAATTGTTTAATTTCTTCAATATTACAATTGGCAGTATTGACATTTAATTTTGATTGCTTCTTTTCCAACAATTGTTTGGTAGCTTGGTATTGATTTTCAATATCAACATTGGTAGCCAATTTAACAGTGTCACCAAATTTAGCAGGGTGAGCAGTTGATAAACAAATTAAAGGATTGTCTGTAAATTTGTTGAGATTCTTTAGTCCATGAGACTTGGAACCTGCAATACCAATGGCAGTATGGGGATCGACAAGGTAGTTAAATGTTTGATAATAAGTTTTAATGGTATCTAAAATCTCTTGATGTCCGACAGATGATGAAAGGAACCCATCCAAAGAGTGGACTTGGTTTGCGAGAATGTCAGGGGAAATTGAGAGAACTCCATCTCTGTTGAAATCTTCCATCAATTGTCTCAGCTTCGAGGCATCCTCTTGACATACATAATAAAGATATCTTTCAAAATTACTTGCAATCTTTATATCCATGGATGGTGCAACGGTTGGGATTACATCGCCACATGATTTATCATATCTTCCAGTCTTGAAGAACTTGTCGAGAATATCATTTTGGTTGGTTGATACAATAAGATTACGAATGGGTAATCCCATCTTTTTTGCATAGAATCCAGCCAATACATCACCAAAATTACCAGTAGGTACTGAAAATACAACCTCTTTGTTTGTAGTTTGTTGTTTCTTTTGAACCAAAAAATAACTATAAAAATAGTAAACAATTTGAACTAGGATACGAGCCCAATTGATACTATTTACAGCTGCCAAATTGTATTTAGACTTGAATGGTAGGTCAGAGAATATTTGTTTGACCAGAGTTTGGCAATCGTCAAAAGAAGAGTTGGTGATAGTGATGGGATGGACATTGGCGTCTTGTACAGTGACCATTTGCAGTTCTTGAACGGGACTAACTCTACCTTGAGGGTAGAGTACAAAGACATTGACACCCTTTTTGTTGGCCAAACCGTGAATGGCAGCACTTCCAGTATCACCACTGGTAGCCACCAATACAGACATGGTTTGTTTTCTTCTTTCCAATACAAATTCAAATAGACTACCCAACATTTGCAGTGCTACATCCTTAAAGGAAAAGGTAGGTCCATGAAACAGTTCCAATATATACAAGTTTTCTTCACCAATACAAACGACAGGACACACCAGAGGATCGTCAAACTTTTGAAATGAAGTTTGTGCCAGTTCTGTTAGTTGACTGCGACTAATCTCTTCTTTATCTATATACATTGACATTATTTCAACAGTCAACTCTACAAATGACATTGATGACATCTTTGCTAGTCTATCCTTGTCAACAATAGGTATTGATTCTGGTACTATCAATCCACCATCATCAGCCAAACCCATCATAAATGCATCTATAAATGATAGATTCTTTACATTTCCTCTTGTACTTTTATATTTCATTTCTTTCTATTTCTATTCTTTCTATTTCTATCTGTATTGTACAATGAATGAATGAGCAAGCCCACAAATGATTGAAAATCATAACCCACCCTCTAAAAAAAAACAAAAAAGATTGTAAATAGTTTTAAAAAAAGTCTATAGATTATAAAAGCAGATCTACACATCTATCTTGAATCTTGTACAAATGATGATCATAAATAACTGTTATAATAATGATTATCTCTATCTACAACGTAGATATAAGTGAGAGAAAAAAAATGAAAAAAAAAAATTAAAAAAAAAGACTCTTGGATGTGATCATTCTCTCACTCTGTGTGAATCTTTATTAGTTGCTTCATTGCTTATCCTCTCTTTGTGTACAATAGATTAGTAGTAGTAGATTAGATAGAAAAGATGTTGAAGAACGTATTTTATCTTGTTGGTGATGCCGTCCGTTCAACCGGAAAGGCCTTGGATGTCGTCGGTAGAAATATGCAAGGAAACTATGCATACGTCGAACAATGTATGATCATATACACGAATGATAGATTAGATTAGATAGTAGATAGATAGATTAGATAGATAGATACATTTATGATGATTTGGTTACTTGGTCAAACAATCATCATATTCGAGAAGAGAGAGATGATGAACGAATGAAAGTATAGTAGTGATATTTACATATTAATATGTTTTTTTTATCATTTATATAGTAAATAGACAAAGTAGAGTTACACCATTAAGAGGAAAGCTTGCACATTTGGGTAAGGATTCATTTGTTGCACCAAACTCTTCTGTGATTGGACAAGTTACAATTGGAAATAATAGCGCATTGTGGTACAACACAGTTGTTCGTGGTGATGTCAATCAAATCACTGTCGGTAACGAAACTTCGATTGGTGATCGTACCGTTATCCACGCTTCATCCAAGAACGGTCCAAAGGGCGAACAAGCCACTCAAATTGGTTCACGTGTTTTGGTTGGTTCTGGTGCCATCCTCCATGGTTGCGTCATTGAAGACGGAGCCAACATTGGATCAGGTTCCATTGTCTACGACGGTGCTGTCGTTGAAAAAGGTGCTCACCTCGAAGCCGGTTCATTGGTTGCCTCTGGCAAGCGTGTCCCAGCCGGTCAATTGTGGGGTGGCTCACCAGCTCGTTTCATTCGCGATGTCACTGCCCAAGAAAAGAGTCACCATGACACTATCTTGCAAGACACCATCACCCTCTCGGCTGAACATGAGGCTCAACACGCCAAATCTGCCAAACAACAACATATGGAATACTTGGACTATTTGGAAGGTATCGAAGATGATATTAGAGCTCCAAGAAATAAATATCAAGAGCCACAATAAACTTTAATCTCTCTCTAGGTTCCCTATATATCCAAACTATAACAAAATGATATAATAATAATAATAATAATACAATTTTCCAAAACACCCAAAATAAAATAATTAATTAAAAAATTAAATCCAAGTAATAATATTATTATTATTATTTGTTTATTTATTTATTTATCTTCTAAGAGTAAAGCCAACATCTTGAGAATCATCATCTTCATCAAAATTTAAACTATAATCCAATTCTTCTTCAATTTCAGTCATATCAAATGCTGAATAATCATTATGCATCAGTCCAAAGAAATCTTCATCACTAAAATGGTTGGTCGATACTAATATACTTGTATTTGTTGTTGTTGTCGGGTTTCTATTCTTTTTAACATTACTACCATAATGATTAATCGTAGTTAATGGTTTTGAATTTCTATCATTATAAATATTTAAATCATTATATGTGTTCATTAAATCACATAAATCTATTACTCCTTGATCTTCATATGATTTAAATTCTCCCTAAAATAAATAAAAGTAATATTAATACAATTATTGGATAATTTCTTGATGATTAATAATTATTTACCATTTCCATTTCAATATCATTAATTTGTAATGGTTTAGATTTATATTTTGAGGAACCTTTGAATGCATTCATTGTTTCTGTAAACATGTCTCGTTGACTGACTGAATTAATTACACTTTTAAATAATGTTCCCATTTGTACATTATGAACCAATGGAGTTGTACTAAATGATCTAACCCTATACAATTCATATGGAAATGCATATAAATGTAAAAATGATACACAAAACATTTCAAAACATATTAAAAAGTTCTAAAGAAAATAAATTATTAAATTAATTCTATTTCTCTCTATTCTATTTCTTTTTCTTTTTTTCTTTTCTAATTACATTTAAAACATAAGAAACTTGAGAAATAGAATATTCACCATCAATCGAAGGTAACCAACTCATTTTTTCTAAAAAGAATATAATGATTGATTGCCAGAAACAAAAAAATATAACTATTTTGATAGAGGTGAATTTAAGTAATGGTTTGTAAGGTGACAGTTCTTCAATGGTAGCTTGATAGAATAATAATAAGATGAATAATGCTACTGTCACTGATAGATTATTTAAAACAAAACTATAAACATAGAATCGCTTAACAGCAAAATGACTTTCATCATATAATCCATTGATCTCTAAAATGGCAGATACCAATGCTACTATTGGTCTAACTATAACATATTGTAAAATTCCCATTCTACATATTTGTAAAAATGATCTAGGGAAAAAAAGGAATTAATAATAATTAATTAATGAGTTTAAACTCCAAGTATTTACTCATTTGGTTTAAAGTGGATACAAGAAAATGGAAATATACATTTCATCGGTGGACTAGATATAAAATGGATGATTAGATTCTTATCACCTCCACAATATCTAACACATAATGCAAAAAACATATATAATGCATATGATTCATAACTAAATAAATAAAAACAATTAATTATTAATATCAGGAGTTTCCTTGATTATAATTTTGAATGTATATATACACATACCAATCTCTAAATAAAGAAAAATAAACAACATAATCATATAGACCTAGACATAAAAGAGAATAGATTCCGTATAAAGGGATCATAAATACTATTCTGACTATATATCTTTGATGTTCTGGTTGAGTATAGTATTTTAAATGTTGATAGATTAAATAGATTGATAGTGCTGTTGCGATGGTTACAAATATTGCTGCCATGATAAACAGTGCATATATAGTTGGTATATTATTTGGTATTATGATCTGCTGTGGCTGCAGTTCATTTGAACTTTTATCTATTATAACATCACTTTGATCAAATTTATCCATTCTTTAAGGCTAGAGATCATAATCTATTATGATTACAAAAGACTATATATATATATATATAACACAATGAAAGATACATACATGTAATTACTTCTATCTAAAGCAAAACATTTCTTTCATTGTGTGTGTGTGTGCGTAGTGGGTAGGTACCAAGGCACAAATAATATAGTGGTAGTACACCTATACCTTTACAGGTACCAATCGAAATTCGAATAAATAGATAGATATCAACCAAACCAAGCCAACAGCTACAAATGACTCTCTATTGATTACTTGTGATACTAATAAGGGGAATAGATGGATTCCAATCGATTGAGATGGTGGAATAAGCTAATCGCTAGTAAGCACAGCAATGAATAGTTTGTATTGACCCATCATATATTGTAGAAACTAAACTACAACTACAACTACTGATCTGATTTTGAAACAAAGAAAAGAAGGAATGACAACAAACATCCTTGTCATCATCAATCATCAAAATTTAAATTAAATTTAAATTAAATCATCACTAGTCGAAAAATAACAAACGATCAAAGTTAATCTTTGTCTGTTCTGACTGCAAAGATAGATAGATATATTCATGAATTATAGATTATTAAAAAGATTATTTGTATTATTGATATCTGTATATTTCATTTATTATTTATTATCTATATTTACCAACAACAAAAATAACAATACAACAACAATGGATATTAAAAAGTCGATATCATCGTTTATCTATGGAGAAGAGACTTGTTTTCAAGTATATGGTTTTAAATCATGTATGTATATATGTCTAGATTAATCTAGATTCAATGAACCTATCTACGTCGTAAACTAACGAATAACTAATTGTTTTTTTGTATAGGTCCATATTATCAAAAAGCAGTATCGTTGGGAGAATCATTGGAAAAGAATCATGGTAATATTACAGTGGATATTGTACCAATCGATAGAAACGAATGGAGTGATGTATTGGAACAAAGAACTCAAGATTTGGGTGGAAAGGCTGTCTATCATAGAACATGTCCTCTTGTTCAAGAAGGTTGTGATGTCAATGCTAGAAAGTTTGTTGGAGGATACTCTGACTTTTTAAATGAAGCAAGAAAGAGAAAATACAAATATGAAAGAAAGAAGGATTAATTTTATACCTATATACTATATATGAATCAATGGAATGGTGTTATCATTTATTGCGTGCGATTAAGAAATTGCTTTTCTTTTTGTCACGATAGGATGATGGGGAATGACAAAAGATCATCTTTGTTGTTGTTGTGGAGGAATGTTGATGAATCGGATATCCATGACAATGAATGAATCTTTGGATATCTCTTTTATTTAATTAATATATTGATTGAGGAACACGTTGTCACATTGCACATTGGTCAACGGTCAATACTTGAGGCAATCTTCTCGAGGGAAGAAAAATACTTGTTTTTGATAGTCTTGAGCAGCAGTATGAATGCGTTCTGCTCCTCGGCGCTATCTGAAAGAATGGTCGGGGCAACTTGGTTGTATTTTTGGTTGGTCTTGTTAGTATCTAACTCTCATCTGGTACAATGTTGCAGACACCTAGTAGAGATAATCCTTATCGATGGCAAAAAATAATATTGGTTGTACATACGCTGCAGATACACACATGCAAGAAATGGATGAATTTTCCAATAAATAAGATTATTATTTTATTTATTGTCCGATTGGGAAATTGATAAACAAAGAGTAACAACAATTCAATCAAATTGTTGGATTTGATTTGATTTGATCGATTGGTGAGTGAAAAATGATATCAAAAAAAATAAAAAAAATACATTTATTTTTGATCAATCGATTTAATTAAATGCCTGCCATTATTAATGCTACTATTATTATTATTATTACAAATCCATTCTATTATAAAATGAAGGATGATTTCGATTAAGATAATTATTACCTTTTTTCTGTTGTTCTAGATATTGATTGCCATGACTCAGATATCCTAGTTTATAGGCAATCAAAAATATGATCAATGAAATTATTAATATATACCATTTTAAATTACCATTGGTGCGGTTATTAATATTATTATTATTATTATTAGATGTTGTGATACTTGATCTTGTTGATGGTGTCGTTGTAGTAGTAGTCGTAGCATTAGTTGAAATAGTAGTATTCTTTATAATAGTTGGTGTTGTTAAAACAGAAGAGGAATCTTTAAATAATAAAAGATATTTCACTCTAATGTGTGATCCAGATTTACAAAGTATATAATGATCTGGTAGTTTTCTATCATTATCATTATGATGATATGGTATTGGTGGTGTTGAACTAAAAGAAGAAGAAGAAGAAGAAGAAGAGGATGATATTGAATTAGGTTCAAGATGAACTTTTAATCCTCTTGATGTATGTTGAGTATTTAATATTGTACAAGCTGATAGACAACCAACTCTATCACCCATCATTGAATTCTTCCACCAAGCACCAGTCTTTACAAAAGAGTGAGAGACATTACTATCATTTGAAAAATAGAATCCTGGTCCAAAGATACATTCAGATGATATGTATTTATCGGCAAATCCCATACCTTTGATAATACTATTCCAACTGTCATTAGAACTACCATGATAACCAAACAATTCACCATTCTTGTTTGCCATTTGATCATATTCTTTACATTTGGTTTTAAGATATGATGATTCAATTATTTCTCTTTTTGTTGGTAATGTGGATGATGATGAAGATGAGGAAGGATCATCGTGTTGTTGTTGAGAGTCATGTACTTGATCATAAATCAATTCAAATACTTGATTTGGTAATTGACTTGTTTGTAGATGGCTAAGTACATCTTTTAAATAATGTGTTCTATTTACAAACTATAAAACAAAACAACAAGTTAGTATGTATCATAGAACAATGATTGATAGATTTATATATATATGTACATACAGTATTATAATCTAGTGATTTAACTTGAAAAGGGTATTTTGAATTGATGATATAATCGATCAAGTAGATAGTGTCTGATGGTAATCGATGCAATAGTTGTTTATCATTCTTTATTGATTGCAAGTGAGGGATGTGGTTGAGAGCTTCTAATAATCGATCAAACTGTTTGTTCAGTGTGACAGTATCCTTGAATCGAAAAGGAAATGGTTCACAAACCGCTGTTCTTCTTTGTGATGATGCAGATGTGTAAAACAATGATATCATCAGATCACATTCTGTTAAACTCTTTTGTATTCTATCGTATATATTATCTATAATGATTATAAATCTCTTTTGTTCTTCTTCATCTTGTTTTATATGTTGTTGTTGTTGTTGTTGTTGATTCATTAGCAATAATGTGTGTATAAATGAGAGAGTTAGCTAAAAAGAAAGACTTGTAAATGTCCTTGAAGTACTCTATGAGAAAATTAAAAAAAAAATAATAATTAAAAACTGTATTTACCAATAATGTCTTCAATTAAGTTCTATTGTTTCAATCCCGCATTTGGGAAGATAGTATCATGTCCAAATGGCATAGACGTTATTTGGAAATATTTTGTTTACCTCGTATATTGGTATTTGGTACAATGGTTCCCAACTTGATATGTCTTTTTTTTTTTGATTGATTATTTTAGTTTATTTATTTACAATTGAGGAATAGTTCTATTAATTGATAGGTATCTTTCCATAAGATCTAATATCATTTGAAACCATTTTTTGATCCATCTTTTCATTAAATAGTATTCTCCAAGACTGGAAATTACTTTCTAAATCTTCTGTAGTCGATTGATTTAATTTATTATTATTATTATTATTATTATTATTATTATTATTATTATTATTATTATTATTATTATTATTATTATTATTATTATTATTATTATTATTATTATTATTTATATTACTATTAATTTCATATGAATCATCATCATCATTATTATTATTATTATTGTTATTAGTAGTTACCAGGTTTGGTGATAATGATCCAACTTGTTGTTGTTGTTGTTGTTGTTGTGAATGTTGTGAATGTTGAGATGAAGGAGACAATAGTATTTGAGGAGATGATACAGTTGATGGTGATAATTTGGTTGGTGTATTATGATAGTAGTTGTACAGTTGTCCAATTCCACTACTAGTAGGTGTAACATCCAAACTTGGTGAAAGAAAGAGTGGTTGGTTGTTGTTGGATTGTCGATGAAAGAGTTGTACTCTCTCTGGGAGTGCATTTGTGAATTGCACAGCCGACTCTTCTACATCTGAATGAATATCTATTTGCCATTGCTTGACACGTCTCTTTAACAAATCTGAACCCAATGGATGAAGTGTTCTCTGACCTTTTGAATCGATAAAATAGATTTGATTCGATGATTCAGTTGTTGTCAAATTCTGTTCACTATCTATAGTTGTTGAATTGTTGTTGTTGTTTGTTGATGATAGTCCTCCTCTTGTATTTTGTTGTTTTGAAGTTGATCTCTTGCTGCTATTGCAATTGTCCTTGTACTCTAAATCTTGGTAAAAGTCTTGTCTCCAATTATCCAATTGTTCTCTTAATAGATCGGTATCTCTATTATTCTTTTGTGTTCCTTTGACCAGTTCATCTTCTGGTTTGTGTATTGTTAGTATTGTATTTGTTGTTGAGGTAGTTGTTGTTGTTGAAGTAGATGTTGTTGTTGGAGATGATGATGATTCGTTTTGTGTATTTGATCTTGAAGGAGGATGAATCAAATCTAGCAATCCTCCTCTTTCTCTTCCTCCTGTGTTGTTGTTGTTATTATTATTATTATTGATTCTTTCTTGCTGTAGTTGTTGAGATAGCTGATATAATGGATCAAACATGTTCTCTATTATTATTATTATTATTATTATTATCTGTTATTATTAATAATAATTATAATAATAAATTGAAATTTCCAAAAGTCGAATGAAAATAGATTTGAAAATAATCAACTACTGTCAATATTGCGGTGATCTATTAAAGATTAATTAATTATATTTATTTGATTTATTAATTTGATTTAGTTTGTTTTTTGTTTGATAATTTATGAGCAAGATCAACAGCCATTGCAGAGATGAATAATGTTGGATTCCAAGAGCCACAATTTGGCAAGAGACCTGCACCTGTGAGATAGACATTTGGTACACCTTTGAGTTGATAGTCTGTACCAACTGGACATTCATCATCACTGATTGTGTAGGCTTTGTTGTTGTTGTTAATGGGAATTTTGTTTCCAATTGGATGAAGACAAGCTTCATGAACAAATCCAGTTGAAGCAAACTTGTCATATCGATGAGTGCGAATATCTCCTGCTACCTTTTTAAAATCGTCCGAGTTAGTATCGTATTCATTCCATTCACCAGTCTCCTTGTTTCTAAGACCAACGATGGTATTTGGGAACCAACGAGAAATGAATGAAAATGGAATGGCAGTCATCTCACCCCATGATTCATTATCAGTTTTACAAATATCCAAATCCAATACTGTATTTGGTAATCCCTTTTCAGGTTGATCCAAATAATTGTATCTTGCTACCTTTTCTTTATCCTCTTTTGCAACATCTAATCCAGCCCAAACACGATAATGACGAGTCAATAATTCACCAAGCATTGAGAAATTGAAATAATAGTATTCTGGGTCAGAAGTGCTGGCAAGAGAGTCAGGACCACCAGGTAGGATACGACGTAGTGTGTTTTCAGTACGAATACCTTGCTTTCCTGGATAAATGACTGATAGTTGGGCATGCCATTCATTCAGTGCCTTATTCTCTTTGTCCTTGATACACCCAGCAATATAAATAGCTTCAGCATAATCCTTTCCATTGAAATTTGATGATGCAGTGATAGAGTTGATGTACTCTTTGAGGTTGGTGGGTACTTTTGGTGGTGGAGCTTGTGGTTGAGAATTTCCTCCTTTACCTTTCTTTTGGGGTTCATTGGTAGTAGTAGGCTTGGGTTGATCCTTTTTCACACGGAATACAACCGATGAACAGAAATGAGCTGAGAAATCATTACCAATCTTGTCAACCAATCCTACATCCTTTCCTTTGAACGATTTCAAGAGTAAATTGGATGCTGGGAATGGTCCAGTTGCCAATACAAGATTGGTAGTGCTAGAAAGATTGATGGTTAAATTATCATCATTATTGATTTGAACTGACAATCCATCATCCTTGTTATCCTTTTTGATTTGTGTAAGTTTACTAACTTCAGTACCAGCATAGAGAAGGAATTGTCTCTTTGGTAAATGGTCAATGATGACACCTTCAATCACCTTTTCTTCATCGGTAAGATTCTTTTGAGCATGAATAAGGGAACCAAAGAACTTGATGATCTGTTCAAAGATTGGCTTTTTGGCGTCACTTGGTCCACCCTCGGGAGTGTAATTGTTTAGCTTTCCAACAATTTCGGTTAGTTCGGACAACATGAATTGACTCTTGTCCGTTTCTGCTGGGTATTTACGAACGAGCTCGATGAAACGGAATACAGATGCTCTTGATTGACGACTCTTGTAATCTATCTTGAGGAATGGATTACCATGCTTTCTTGACACCATCTTTAATATTCTTTCAACCGATACCTCTACATCTTGTCCAACAAGATCTTTGAGTCTGGTATTCTCCTTGAGTTCTTTTATTTCATTTGTAATCCCATTCATCAATGCTTGGTAGATGGAAATGACCTTATCAGAGGAAAACTTTGGTTTGTGTTCACTAACCTTGAAACTAGTCTCTACCATTTGTTTGACCAATCCAATGATTTTATAGGAGAGGATGTACAAAAAGTTGGCACCAGTATCTTCTTTGAACGCCAATGCCAGTTTAAGGATTGGAGAGACAGTTGTAAACTTGCCATAGTTGCTTGCATATTCTGATCTAACAGCTGCAATCGATGCAAACTTGGCTGTATGCCACACGACATTTTCATTTTGGCTTTTGTTGAAAACACTGGTTTTGTCTTTTGTGGTCTTTGGTAAATCCTTTTTAATGATATTAAGAATATCATTGGAGTACTTGAGAAGGTCTGGATCTGAAATAGTGACATTTGACGTGTCATCACAACAAAGTAGTTTCTTGGCCTCTGGAAGATGTTGTTTGATTTCATTAAAGAGGGTTGGGTCAAATCCTCTTAGTTCATCCTTGAGTGGATCATCTGCACAAAGCTCTGGATCTGGACACCAACAAGTCCAAGTAACACTACGACCACCGATATTGTAAAGATTACCGTGTTGATAGATCTTGTCCAATGGAACAACTTGTGATGGGTCAACAACACCTTGATTGACTTGACCTAGTAACTGAGTAGCTTCTTCTTTCTTCTTTTCTTGTTCTTGTCTTTCTTTTTTAGCTTGATCAACTTCTCTTGGAAGAGCAAAGTCCATAACTTCACTTGGACCAATCAAACCAGAATAGACAGGATCCAATGTTTGAAAGTGATCTTGAAGGAATAGACCACCCTTTGTCAACCATACCAACCTTCAAGTCATTGTAACCATTCAACAAGACATGATGAAGGAATGAATAACCACATGGACCAGATCCAACAATCACATGTTTACATTGTTCCAACAGAGAGTATTTATCATTTGATGTGAAAAAGGCATTTGAGATGACTACTTCATCTTTTTGATATTGATGATTAATTTTAATATCTCTTGGCCTAAATACAAAATAAATAGAAAAATAAATAAATTAATTTTAAATCATACATGATATTAAATGAACAGTAGATAGATTCTTACATGATGATAATATATTTGATAAATATAATAGATTTATCTTTTGATTGTGTATACAATAAAGGAGATGAAATGAAATGAGGTGTGAGAGGTGGTTGGGGAGGAAAGGAAGAAGCAATGACCAACCACCAGGATATTTAAACATTAAATTGAATAATAATATCCTATATCGGGCTGTTGTGTTGTTGACACATGATCATCAGAATTGTAAAATTTTGATTGGTTTGTGGATGAGACGAGACCTTGTCCTGTCGATCATCTGCGTCGAAAAGTGTTTGTTTGTTGAAACATTGCCTTTCTTAGCAAAGATCGACAGGTCAAACGGTCATAGCCAGCCGATTATATAAACGGCTGTCAACCGAACCAAACCCATTAATGCATACAGCTGCAAACGAAGTGTTCTTTTGGGTTGGTTGGTTAGTTGGTTTGGTGTGTCTTGATTCAGGTGATGATTGTAGAGTACACTCTTGTTATTTCTATTACTTATATAACTATAATATAATAATATTATCTCTTTTTTTATAAATATACAAAAAAAAAACAAATGATCGCAACAACTTCAAGTACAACAAGTTCGGATTCCAAAGAGGACAAAGAAATAATTGGAGATTATAAATTATTTTTAGATTTATTGTTTCAAGGTATTAAAGGATTAGGAATTAATGTAGATGGATTAGAGCTGGATCATCTATGTTATAGAGTATCACTTGAAGAATACTATGATGTTAAAAAGAATGAAATCCTATCAAGTGGTCATGAAATGTTGACAGAGGTTAATTACAATGGTCGTCGTATATCTTCTTTTAAACTTACTCAACCTATTCTATACGAGTACCAAAGTAACAATGGAACTAGTGAAACCAAAGTAATCCCACTACTAGAATTACCATCACACAAACCATCAAAACCACAACTAGACGGCTTGGAACACTTTTATTTTGTGACATCTCAGTCATTCCAAGATATCAAACATCAACATGACCAAGCTGTAAAGGCATCGAATGGTAGATTCACATGGGTTGAAATTGATATTGCCAACAAATTCAATCCCAACATTGAATTGGAAATGGAATTAAGTAAGGATGAAAAGATAGCTCTCAACACTCCAAAAGAAGTTATTGATAATCGTAGATCTATTTCTGTTAAATTTCATCCAAAATCCCTTCAAGATATGATTGATGAAGAGAAAAAGAAAGAAGTAGAAAAATAATTAAATAAATATTTCTTTTTTCCTAAATAGTTTATACTTCCAAGTTTACTCTTGATTAGTTTGTTTATTGACAATTATAAACCAAAGCAATCAATAAATTATCTATCTATCTATGTTCTTTCTTCAAGAATGATATATATACACTTCTACCAGAAATGAAATATCATCAAGAGTTGATATTCGAGAATAAGGAAGATTGATTACAATTCGTACAATCATCCTTCCAAATAAATTATTATACAATTACTTCATTTCAACATCTGTATTATTATTATTATTATTATTATTATTGATTGGTGGTGTTTGTTGTTGTTGTTGATCAGTAAATAATTTATGATTCTTTAACTTTTCAATTAAATCTCTATAGAACGAATATCAATCAATGAATGATTAGAACAATGATGATCTATTCTTTCTTTCCTTCATTTATACATTACAATTTCTTTTCTAATTTCAACTTTAAAGAATCTCTCAAATTCTCTTGTTCAAGAGGAGAACGATGAACACCTGGGAGAGTGTTTAAAAGTTTGAGAGCTTCACTTGCACGTTCATTGAATGTGTTTACAGCACGAGACACCTCTAATTCATCATCTTTGAGTCTAGAGATAATATCCAATAAAAGAGGAAACAATTGAAACTCTTCCAAGATAGCTTCAATCGGTTTGGTTGGTTCTTGTTCGATTGGTTGTTGTGGTTGTTGTTGTTGTTGAACCGGTTGAGCTGGTTGTTGTTGTTGTTGTTGTTGTTGTTGTGTAGGTGTTGTAATTGGTGTTGAAGGTGTTACATTCATTATCTTGTTTAGAATTCTTCTTTTATCTCTTGTCTCTAACAACACATACTTGGAATCAAAGTAAACAAAGAAATGAAGATCACACCATCTGAGCAAAAGTTCATGTTTTTCAAAGTACTCAAAATTAAAATCATTTAATACAAAAATACACAGATAATATATACATATATACATACAAATAGATAGATAGATAGAATGAAGAAGATAGTTTGTGTAGCAGTCGTTGGTAAAGTGGTATGTTTTGAATCAACATAGATGATGATAAAGATAAGAAAAAGTGATGACTTACACTAACTGTGATGTATGTTGTTTAGAACGACCCTTTATTTATACACGATTACTCAGGAGGATCAGAAGAGAATAGATTGAAATTAAACTATATAGTACATTGTTCATTGGATATTATTGAGGAAAAGCGTATGTAATTCAATCATCTATAGATGATCAATATAAGTATCATCTATACTTTGTTATTAACTTTGATTTGATTTCAATTATGATAAACAATATTCAGCTGGAGCAAAGAAAGTTGGAAATGATATGTATTTAGGATTATTATATCCAACAGAAGATTATAAAGTGTATGGATACTTGACAAACACCAAGATCAAATTTATCATTGTTGTCATGGATTCAACAGACATCAAAGACAATGATATTAGACAATTTTTCAAGAAACTACATGTACTTTACGTACAAACTACTAGCAGTACATTCTATAAACCAAATAGTAAAATAGAATCTAATAAATTCTTAAACAATGTAACAACAATTGTACAAACTTTATAATCCCAACGTAATACAAATAACATTCCAACTTTGTAATCCTATAATTATAGGATCAAATTCCGATATTATTATTATTAATATAAATATTTACAATCATTCTAATTAAATAACTAATTAAATAATCTTTAATTAATTAACCTTTAGTGATTGAATTACTTTATTGATATCATCAAAAGTAGCCAATAATTGATCCAAATCCTTTTTAGTTAATTCTACAAGTAGTTGTTGTAATTTTTGGTCAGAGTTGACAGTGTTGGTAGTTTGATTATCTTGATTATTGATAGACAAATTTAATTGTAATACATTCTCTTGAACACTATTCATCTTGTCACTTGCCAATACCAAATTTACTTTCCAATCGAAATCTTTTAGATGTGATGATGAGATGGCTGACAACTTTTCAGTCAACTCTCTCTTGATATCTTGATAACGTGAAATGATACAATCAGTAATAACAATTGCAATTTCATCATTTAATCCTGCTGTCTTTAAATCTTGTAATATCTAAATAGATTGATAAAAGTATTGTTAATAACAAATTTGATCAATCATTCATCTATTCTATTATTTACTTGATCCTTTTTCAATTCTTTACCAACAACTCTATTGATAAAAGATATATAATTATTTATGATTGATTGTAAAGTAGGAGAGATAGGTTGATCATCATCTGCAGGTTGTTTATCGTTTCCACAGATACGGTCTATACAAGTGTGTATCAACAATGATACCTTTTCCTTTTCCTTTAACTTTTCTATTAATATCAATTCATTGTATACTTTGATTACACTATTCAATGGTGATTCTTCTGTTATACTATTATATTTCTTTGCAACCATTATTAATCCTATCTATCTATCTACTAATTTAGTCAAAACACACAAGTACCTCAAATTAGAGTTCTGCACAGAAAGAAAGTATCTTTGATCAAAATATTAAAATGAAATTAATTCGAACTTTTCCTTGTTGTTCTATTATTATTAATAATAATATCAACCAACCCCTTTGAACAGAGAGAGAGGGTATACCTTTGGTCAAAGACCTATCGATCTTTATTTCTTTTATTCTTTCTTTTTTTAAAACATCATTCTTTACAATTATCAAATTATCATATGATGTTCATCAATCTTATTAATTAATTGGATTTCATATCTATTATCTATCTATCTATCTATCTATAATCTATCCTACACTTCAATAGTGTAAGATATAAGCATCGTAATGTTGATTCATCAAAATTCGAATCATCTTTGAAAACCACCCCTCTCACACTTCCCTCGCTACTCCAAGCAAGATATTAGTTTGCACTCGTGTGCACGCAATTTAAATTATTATTTATTTATTCATTTTCATAGAGATAAGAGAGATTAATACTCTGGTATAATTATACTCGTCTGTTAATTTATGCTTGTACTATCAGATTATATTATAGCTCAAATCATATCTGTTATAAATGATGATATAGACAAGATATGCTTTTTGATCACGTGCAAGCGATTGATACAACTGAGACGGTTGACTAGGTTCAAGACATCTGACAACCGTTCAAACTTTGTCATTGACAATACAAAGTTTAATAATAATATTGCTTTAAATACTAGTAGTAGAGGTGTAAATAATAATAACAGTAATAACAATAATAATAGAGCTGTATTACAAGAGAGTGACAGTAGTAGTAGTAATAGTATTAATAGTAATAGTATAGGTAATAATAATAATAATAATAATGAACATTTATTATTATTCTTACCATTTAATAATCAAGAACAAATTATACAACGATCAAATTATTTAATATCAACTTCAACTTCACCTCCTACTCCATCATCACCGTCTGTTCAACCAGTGACAACGACATCATCAACGACAAAGAGAAATTCATTGGCATCATCTTCTTCATCATCAAATGAGATTGTTGAAGGATGTGATAGTGGTAGTTCAACACCATTCATATATATTGTAGACAAGGATAAAGTGGAAGTGTCACCATCACTATCATCAATGATCAATGGAGATTCAACGTTGGAAGTAGAGAATGAATTGAAATCATTGTATGATCAACACTATCAACAATACCAACAATCATTTACACATTTAAAGTTTATGGTTGCACCTTTAACCATTAAACCTTCAATGATACCATCGTCTGTAACCCATCTAAATCTTGGAAAATTACAATCTACCGATTCAATCATTGAAGGTTGTTTACCAGATACTTTAATTTATTTAAATCTTGGGTATGATTAAAATACTAAATACTAAATACTAAATATTATTTATATTAATATATTCTTTGTTTCTTTTTCTTTCTATCTTTATAGAGTAAATTTTAATAAAACAATAACAAAAGGAATATTACCAAAACAATTAAAACAATTAATATTTGGATATAGATATGATAGTTTGATAACACCAAATTCATTACCCAATTCGATCACGTTGATTAAATTTGGATACTATTTTAACAAAAAGTTGGTGGTTGGATCATTGCCAAGTCAATTGGTGTCATTGACTTTTGGAAGAAGGTTTAATCAGCCGATTGATCCAGGTGTCTTGCCACAGACATTGGCTAAACTGTCGTTTGGATATGTATTCAATACACAGTTGCAACCTGGGTCGTTACCAGGTCACCTGACACATCTTCGATTTGGTATGCGGTATGACCGTCCCATTGTACAAGACGTGTTGCCACGCAGCTTGACACATTTATTCTTTAGTTTTCTTTTCGACCAACCTCTTGGTCCCGACATTCTCCCACCGCGTCTCACACATCTCTCCTTTGGCGCCAACTTTCAATCACCTACCCTATGTCTTCCACAATCCATCACGCATCTTAGATTGGGGTCATCCTACTCTCACTCGATCCAACTACCAACACGAATCAAAGAGTTGTGTCTGTTGTACCAACCAAACTCAACCATTCAATTCCCACAATCCATTACGCATCTGACATGGTTTATTGAAAACATTGAACAGTTTCTACTGACCAATGACATCATGTCCATCAAACCAAACCACGTCACTCATCTTTGTCTCGCATCAAACTATAATTACCCTTTGCCGTGTAGTCTCAACCCTCTCTTTTCCGAGCGTGATCGGTTTGGTTATTGGCTAAGTCAGTCCAACACCAACAAACTCATCGATCAATACCACTTTTATTTCACTGGTGACAATCCATTTGTACATTTATCACTGGCCACTGATATCATCCAAAGCCGTCCACTCCCAACCATCATCAAGTCACTGTCAACCGATCGGTCAAAGTCATTCCAACAATTGAATCGTAACCTGATTGGAAACCTTGATGATTTTGGTTGTTTTGTCAATCACCACAGCATAGCATTATCACTCATCACCAATATGAAGCGGTTCTCTGTATCTACTCTATGGGGTGAAGATCATCCCATTCTTGGCACGATCACCTATCATCTACGTAAAATAGACAATTGGTTATTGGTAGTCTCTGGTATCGACGGTACTGGTGGTTTTATAGAATTGACAGATAATAATCTAAATAGTATAGATTCTGTTAAATTATTATCAACCATATTTTTAAATAAATATAAATCAAGAAATCCTTCTTTATTTTAAATTTAAAACAAGAATAATAATAATTAATACATTCATCCTACAGGTATTTATACCACTTATATATATCAACATTCTTGTATTCCCATTCTGGACTATCAATAAATATATTATTTATTCCATATTTATTTCATAATCAATTTCTTTTTCTTTTTCTTTTTCTTTTACTTTTTGTTTGTTATTTTCCCTTGGTTTATAATTTGTTCCTTGATTTCTTTCTTTTTTAATCTTTTTCTTATTTTCTATTTGTTTTACTTGTTTTTCTTTTTGTTTTTGGTTCTTTTCATGGTTTGGATCGGTGGCAGGGTCATAGAGTGGTTTGGTAAAAGAGAATACTTCCTTTCCACATTTTTGAGTGACACGTGCCGGTATATTTTTGTTTAATTGTTTGCTTGATCGAGATCCAAATTGAATTGCCTTTTTGATAAGTGAGGCAGACTTTGTCAATCCAATACAGTCACGACCCAAACATCTGAGGATACGTTTGTCACCTGTTCCTTGTGGAAGTACCATGTCACAGACATAGGACAACGGCACACTATTTAAATAGGCAATAACATTTTCATCGAGATAGGGAAACCTAGCCTCTCTCTGACAACTGCTCATCACACGATCATCACGTCCTAAATTTCTTTTCCATATTCTATTAAAATCCTTGTTCAACTCTGATTGTAGTACTTCCCATGACCCTCTATTAAATGCACTTCTATGTCTTCCATATCCTGCCAATTGTTCATCTGCACCAGCTCCAACTATTAATACTCTACTTGTTGATATTATCCATGTTGAAGATGATGTTGATGTCGATGAAGATTCACTAGTTTGATAACTATTTAAATTTAAACTATCAATATTATCTTCGTTACCATGAATAACACCTTCGGCACGAGCAGCAAACCAAAGTGCAAGTGAAATAGTCATATCCATGATAGTTATGGCTGGAAATGAGAGTTGGTAGACTATACGTTTAGCCCATTCCATTCTCTGATTTGATACATTTGCTTTTATGAGATACCAAGGTCTTTGAGGATTGATAGCTTGGAGTTCAGCCAATCCTGTAATGGCAGCTATTCTATCGGGTACTTTATCATATTCCTTCCAATCATCACCTTCTCCAAATGCAACATTGATTAAATGGATTGGTTCACCTTGTGCCAAGTTTCGATCGACCATTCCTGCCAACACCATCGAATCTAATCCACCACTAAACAACACACCAACTCTTCCAGGTAGTGGTATTGATGCATTTGGTTGTGACTCTGGTCTAACAAGATTAGGTGCACTAATTGACAATGGTGGTAAATTACATATTCTTCTAACAATTGAATCATTCAATTCTTTTAATAATCCATTTCTATAACCAATAAATTCATCTTCCTTGTAATTAAATTCTAAACTACTATTTGTCTTTTCTTGTCCAATCGTATAATTTGGTGTCATTTTAATTCTTCTACCAAATGGATAAAACTAAATAAACAAATAAATAATTTAAATATTTCAAAATAGAATATGGTTATTATTTACAAACATACATGTAATTGATCTATTTCATCATTTTCTTTGTTCTTATTATTATTATTATTATTGTTATTATTATTTGATTGATCTTCAGTAATATTTGTTGTGGTTGTTGTTGTTGTTGCATTTTCATCTTCATCATTATCATTGTCATAATCCAATGTTGTTAAACCAATGTTTAATTTATCTTTACTGTTATCCCATGAATGTCTTTCCAAATAAACTATATTATTATTTATTTCCTAAACAAAAGAAATGTTAGTATCAAACAAATTGAGAGTGTCAATGTGATTTACATACAGATGGTAATTGAATTGAATAGAGACCAAAAGTATTGACTTCATCCCATTTTGGTAATGATTTACTGTCATCAATACCTTGTGGAAATGAACCAATTGATGAAAGGATGAATCGATCATTTGAACGATTGACCAACAATGATCTTCTACCCAATACGTCACGTCCAAACCATAGACGTCTAGATTTGCTGTTCCAATAGACAAATGCAAATGGTCCTTGTATCTTGACAAGTGTATTTACAATCTCTCTAATATTATTACTATTACTTTCAATGTTGTCGGTGTCATTTTCGTTGTTGTTGATATGATGATGATGATCTATACGATTCAATCTATCAATTAAAAGAGATGTATCATTATCATTGACTCCAATATCATAACCACCAAATATCTCTCCATTCCACATTAATATATTTCCATCATCATCGACTACAGGTTGAATAGTCAATGGTCCTCTCATTCCCAATACTGATGATATCATTGTTATTTCAACATTATTATTATTACAGTCTTTGTTGTTGTTGTTGATTGATAGATTGAATTGATGTATCTTTAATGAATCAGGTCCACGATTATATAAACGACCTTTTAAATCTTCAATTAGTTGCTCGGTTGTAAGTTGTTTATTACTGTTGTTGTTGTTGATACTATCATCTCCTGTAGTAGTCGTGATGCTATGTTGTTGTTGATCATCTTCATTTGCATCTATCACTTGCACACCATTAATTATCAGTGATATTCCACACATGTTCTCCTTCTTTGGTTCCTATCTATCTATTTATTATTAACACAAATCAATCTACCAATCACGACTTTAATCAGAATATATTCTTAAGACAAAGACAATGAAAAACTAAAAGAAAACTGTAGGATGAGATTATTTAATTAATTTATATTTGATTTATATATAATAATTTAATAGTTGAATAGTTGATAATTATCATTGACAAGCATGTTGTCTATCAGCTTCAGCCAATTGTTGGTGATAGTGTTGTACGAGATTCTTTTCAGTTGGACCAGTTCCATTGAAATAAGCATCGATGAGTTCATTGGTGGTGTAGGTTTTTGGTGCTTGATCAATTGGAATAAAGAATGTATCCTTTCTATGTACCGATGTGATGGCTTGAATCAACAAATGATTCTTTCTCCATCCAAATTGGGAACCTTGTACTAGTTTGGGATCTGGTTTTGGTAGGCTGTAGCAATACATCATGCTCGTTTGATACACTCCATAGGTTCCAGAGGGGAGGGTAGTTGGTACTTTGTAGGGTGTTTTGGTTTGATTTGGAATAGATGATCCATAGTCAAAGAGATTGGTGATTGGCTGTTGCGAATCACTCGACTCTATAGTGTTGCTAGCAGCCGATCTACAATCTTGGTTGGCAGGTGCACACTCTACATTGAATCCTTTTAATTGATTGACATCTGGTACTGGTGATGTTCCAACTGTAATCTCATCGATTTTGGTAGAGTACACAAATACAGGAAACATAAAAGTATTCACCTTGATAGACCCTTCTTCATAAACTACTGTTTTCCATCCCAAGTCCTATAACAAATAAGCATTCGGTTAGTTTATAATTTAATATAGCTAATTAAATAATACTATTATTATTATTATTATTATTATTATTATTATTATTATTATTATTATTTAAACATACACATTTAACAACACCTAAAGGATTCTTTTGAACTTGTAAATATTGTTTAACCTCTTGTTGAGTTTTAACATATTGAAAATCTCCCATCGTAATAGTTTATAATAATAATATTAATAATATTGTTTGTTTAGATTTGGAATACTTTAATTATTTAATTATTTGATTGTTGTTGTTTTCTAATTGTTGAAATGATTAATTGTATCAATCAACACATTGATTTATACTAAACATATCAATTGATAGACAAGTTACGATGTGTCCAAACTACACTCACTACATTGTTGAACAAATGATGTATGTGATGGCAATGGAATGGGTCCTTGTTGTAAATTGTGGAGTGGTGATCACATTTTGATTGACCACCAAAATTGCAAACCCTCATGGTTGATTGTAAATAGAACCAACCAACACACCACTAACAATGCATGCTGCTGTTCGAACCACCAAACTCTAATTGCCATGATATTAAAGATCTTCAACAACTCAAGAACAACACAATCTATTACGCTTACACTGAACAAACAAAAAAAATAAATAAAAAAATATTCAAAAATAATATTAATATTATTTTTGCAAGACCTCTCCCAACCCACTTTTTCTTTCACCCCATCTCTCTTTTTCATTAACAAAATCAATCAATCAATCAATGAGAGCATCAGAACCAACATCTGTCACAAATACAGGAGGCTTGGGTTTGACCGATCACAAACCAATGTTCAAATAGGTTTGACTGAGCCTCAACCCAATATTTGCCCTTTACAAAACTGACTCATCCCAGTTTGTAGTATTGGGTCTCGCAAATGATCAGTCATCGCATCTCTTATTGTTGGTTTTCTCTTTAGACGGGGTTGGTTCTCTTGGTCATCACCCCTTTAGTATTTAAACCATCCTCATGGTCCACCACCATCAATCATTATCATCAATTATTAAATTCAATATTTGTGCAATAATAGTAATAATAATAATAATAATAGTTATAATGTAAGCACATATATATATTCATGTATAATTTAGAATCAAATTAATTAATTAATATTTGATTATTTATTTCTATTTATTTTGTATTATTTCTAGGCCAAGAGATATTAAAATTAATCATCAATATCAAAAAGATGAAGTAGTCATCTCAAATACCTTTTTCACATCAAATGATAAATACTCTCTGTTGGAACAATGTAAACATGTGATTGTTGGATCTGGTCCATGTGGTTATTCATTCCTTCATCATGTCTTGTTGAATGGTTACAATGACTTGAAGGTTGGTATGGTTGACAAGGGTGGTCTATTCCTTCAAGATCACTTTCAAACATTGGATCCTGTCTATTCTGGTTTGATTGGTCCAAGTGAAGTTATGGACTTTGCTCTTCCAAGAGAAGTCGATCAAGCTAAAAAAGAAAGAGAAGAACAAGAAGGAAAGAAGAAAGAAGAAGATGATCTAGATGTTCAAGATGAAGCTACTCAGTTACTAGGTCAAGTTAATCAAGGTGTTGTTGACCCATCACAAGTTGTTCCATTGGACAAGATCTATCAACACGGTAATCTTTACAATATCGGTGGTCGTAGTGTAACTTGGACTTGTTGGTGTCCAGATCCAGAGCTTTGTGCAGATGATCCACTCAAGGATGAACTAAGAGGTTTTGACCCAACACTCTTTAATGAAATCAAACAACATCTTCCAGAAGCCAAGAAACTACTGTGTTGTGATGAAAAGTCAAATGTCACTATTTCAGATCCAGACCTTCTCAAGTACTCCAATGATATCCTTAATATCATTAAAAAGGATTTACCAGTCAACACAAACACCCAATCAAAGTTGTTGAATGAAAATGTTGTCTGGCATACAGCCAAGTTTGCATCGATTGCAGCTGTTAGATCAGAATCTGCAAGCAACTATGGCAAGTTTACAACTGTCTCTCCAATCCTGAAATTGGCATCTTCGTTCAAGGAAGATACTGGTGCCAACTTTTTGTACATCCTCTCCTATAAAATCATCGGGTTGGTCAAACAAATGGTAGAGACTAGTTTCAAGGTCAAAGAGTATAAAATCAAGTTTACATCTGATCAAGTGGTTGCAAGTTTCAAAGGATTGATGGATACTATTCAACAAGAGATAAACATGCTCAAACGAAATACCAAACTTAAAGATCTTGTTGGACAAGATGTAGATGGTGTAGAGGTATCGGTTGAAAGAATATTAAAGATGGTTTCTAGAAAACATGGTAATCCATTCCTCAAGATTACAAGTGTCGTAATTCTAGAACTGCCATCTTTTTATTCATCGAGCTAGTTCGTAAATACTCGACTGTAGAGTATCAACAAGACCAATTCATGTCTCAACTCAAGGAAATAACACTAAAGTTAAACAATTATTCAGTTGAACCTCAAGACCCGACCGATGAATCTAAACAAACGTTTGTAAAAGTCATAAAGTTTTTTGAATCATTTGTTCTTGCTCAAAAGGCTCCAACCAACGACCAAGACAAAAAGATTGAAAGTCTCATCATTGACCATTTACCAAAGAGACAATTCCTTCTCTATGCTGGTACTGAAGTTTGTAAGCTTGCACAAATCGAGAATAGTAATAATAAGTTGTCAGTTTACATCAATAATGACGAACAACCAACCATCCAGCTTGGATCAAGCACCAACCTTGTATTGGCAACTGGACCATTCCCAGCATCTAATTTATTGTTGAAATCGTTCAAAGGAAAGAATGTAGGATTGGTTGACAAGATTGGTAAAGATTTCTCAGCTCATTTCTGTTCATCGGTTGTATTCCGTGTGAAAAAGGATCAACCTCTAGACATTTGTCCCATACCATTATCGATGGGTGTTATTAGTAGTCCAGATCTGGTCGACCAACGAACATGTCCAGCTCTACCTTTGGGTGTAGAATACAACAATCTCAAAGAGTATATGAATGCAATCAATTCAACATCACATTTCAATGGAAAGGATTATGCTGAAGCTATTTATATTTCTGGGTGTGTAAAAGACAAGCAAACTCAAAAGGCATTGAATGAATGGCATGCTCAACTATCAGTCATTTATCCAGGTGAAAAGGGTATTCGTACTGAAAACACACTACGTCGTATCCTACCTGGTGGTCCTGACTCTCTTGCCAACACTTCTGATCCAGAATACTATTATTTCAATTTCTCAATGCTTGGTGAATTATTGACTCGTCATTATCGTGTTTGGGCTGGACTAGATGATGCAAAAGAGGATAAAGAAAAGGTAGCAAGATACAATTATTTGGATCAACCTGAAAAGGGATTACCAAATACAGTATTGGATTTGGATATTTGTAAAACTGATAATGAATCATGGGGTGAGATGACTGCCATTCCATTTTCATTCATTTCTCGTTGGTTCCCAAATACAATTGTTGGTCTTAGAAACAAGAGTGGTGAATGGGAAGAACTAGAGACTTGTACCAAAGAGTTTGAAAAGGTAACAGAAGATATTCGTACACACAGTTATGACAAGTTTGCTTCAACTGGATTTGTTCATGAGGCTAGTCTTCATCCAATTGGAAAGAAATCAAATACCACCCTATCCAACAACATACCCAATATCACTATCAACAATGCCTACACAATCAGTGATGAAGAGTGTCCAGTTGGTACAGACTATCAACTCAAAGGTGTACCAAATGTCTATCTCACAGGTGCAGGTCTCTTGCCAAATTGTGGCTCTTGGAATCCAACATTATTCATCTCTGCAATGGCTGTTGATCTTGCTCATAAATTATCAAACAAAATAAATCAAATCAAATCAAATTAATAAATCAAATCATTCAAATTAATTTAATAATATTTATATTGATATTTATTTAATTTTTTAATAATTTAATTTTAATATATATTTTGTTGTTAAATTTGTTTTATATTTGTATGAATCGTTCGTTTGTCTGTATATGTTTATATTTAAAATATTTAAATGACCTATTTAAAATTCAAAAATATAAAGGCGATAGTGATGGTGAGGGTTATAAATTATTGTTGGGTATATATATATATAATTTTTGTTTGTTTGTTTGCGTTTAGTTGATAACAATTGAACCATCTGAAGCACCTGATTTTGTCTTGTCGGTGGTAGTCATCTCTCTTCTTGATTTAGTAGTGCCTCTACGGGATCTTGAGATACTTCTGTTGTATCTGAGTGGACTGGCTCTGAACTTTCCTTCTTCATCACCATACTCAATGTCATGGACCTTGACTTGAGTGCCATAGTAGAAGCTTAAAAAGAAAATGGTGCCTTCGAAAAGTGGGACGACAGCAAAACTGGCAAAGGCCATCCAATTGAATGGTGGGGCAAAGACCAACGAAATGACAGAGCAAGTACCACCGGTAAAGTCCATAGCAACAAAGATACGACTGAGACCTTCTGCAGTCTTGGTCTTGACAATTTCATAAACAGCCGGGACGAAACCTACGCCCATAAAAAAGGCAGAGACAATATTGATGGTCAAACCAAATTGGAAATCATGTTCTGGATAGGCTACCAATAATTCATAGATACCATAATCTAAAAGGATTGCAACACCAAAAATAGAAAAAAATATAGCACATAAAATTCTTTTTTTCATTTTTCTAAAAGAAATAATTGATTGATTGTTAGGATTATTCTTGAAATGATATAGTTATGTATTATTATATATACCTATCATAAAAACAATGTTGGGCAACAATGAAAAGAATTAAACCTGGGAAGAAAGCAATTTGAAGGATAAGAGGGAGCGCACTTTTCGTCGCTATAAGATAAGGACAAAAGATCCAACCTCCTATAAACCAACTACTAAAACATAGAATAGATACACCTTCTGTACTCTTTCTAACAAAATTGTATCTGATTTGTTCAAGTAATTGAACACTCCAAATGATTAGGCCCGCATAACCAAAAATATTTGAAACAATTGGAACATCCATCTTATATATATTTATCTTTTTATCTCTATCTTCTTTTTTATCTATATAAATTTAAAGTTTTTCTTTTAAAAAGAAGAGGCCATTTCTATTTATAACCGAGCAGTAAGACTTATCATCTCTGTATTTTGGTCGGGATGATGATATCGGTACAAAAATTAATTGTTTTAAAATAAAAATCCGTCATCAAATGGTAATATCTATGAATCCCTTCTTGGTGACGACTTACTTTTTGTGAAGATCAAAATAGTCACGGTCATGCTGGTGTCGGGGGGCTCTAGTCATTGATCAGTGGACAAAGACAGTCCATTTTATGAAAAATTCTATGAACAAAATATCTTTCCTACCACGAGCCATCACATATTTTAGATATTTTCGAGTGTCCTTTGGATTAAAACTCGAGTCATTTTATTCTGGGTTGGTGAAGCCAATGGAAGACACATTACGTCATGAAACCTTTTTTAGATCATCGTCCACTGTTCAAAAGATGAAGATATCGGGTATGGTAATGTAAAAAATCTGCAAAGAATAAAATGGTTTTATTCAGTGTAGAATTGAGGTGAGGGTATTCGGTTAAAAATATTAATCCAATAGTTTGCATTAGCGCTCGTACGCCCAAACATTCCAAACAAGGTAATTAAAGTGGACACACGAGTCAGAAACAGAAGAAGAATATATCTTACTAATGTTGTTACTTTTGGATAATGAAAATGGATGACCATTAAAATATACACAAATATTAAATAAATAATAAATAATATGATTGCTAGAAACCTCGCTTATGAAAAAAAAAAATAGAGAGAACCAAGATTCTCAAATATTACCGTTGCTCAATAATCTTCTCGGCTACGATTAAAATAAATAAATGTACCACTTTAAATATATAAAGATACCTAGCGAGGTAGATAGATAATAGATAGACAAAGAATTCTAGAAAGAAATGTGGTTGTTTAAAACAAAAAGTACAACAACAATCATCAAGATTAATAATAATCAACTTGGTCTACCAGATTATATTGTAAAGAGAATCATAAAGTGGTTACAACATTCTATTCCTCCATGTTCAAATGATTCAGAAGAGGATGAGAGTACAACAACAACAACAACAGATATGAATCGTAATGCATATACACTTTATGATGATAGGATGAGTGTACAAGCAAATATTTTGTATCTGTCATTGGTGTGTAGCTATTGGTTTAAAAACATCATCCCATCTTCAATGGATAGATATACTTATATCCTTCCATCGGTAGCTATTCAACAACAAGACAACATAAAGATATTTGGAAGAAATGTAATTGCCAGATACAAAAGATCACCATTACAACAACTTCAATCAATCATTACAACGATATTTAAAAGATAATAATAATAATAATAACAATATAAAAGATAATAATCATAATGAACAACATACATGTAACAAAGTAGAAACATTAAAGATATATATTCCAATTGAATATAGAAAGATTCAAGATTCACAGACTGTTAGTATCAACTCTGTAATGGATTATGATTCATCGTTGGCTGCATTGTCATTGAATCTGCGTCGGTTGACTTTGTATAATGTCGAGTTAAATGATACTATTTTAAACTTGGCACAATGTAGGTTGGAGAGACTTGTTATCTATCCGGTTGGAGTGTGGCGGTCACCCGACAACGACCTTTTGTTGAAACTACTCAGGCAAACACCAACACTCAAAGATTTGGGTATTAAATTCAGATCGACTCAAATGACAGCATGTGCACCACTGGATACCAGTGCGTTGGGTCAGTTACAAAAGTTTACATTTATCGGACCACATTGCGATAATCTCAGAGGTTTGATTACAAAGACTGCCTTTACCTCTCTCATCAACGTGACTGACCTCAAACTTAAATTCAATGAATTGATAGCCGGTCACTCACGATTACGACCATCCGAGATGATTCAAGCTCTGCCATCACTCTCTAAAATCGGGCGTCTAAGATTAGAAAACTTTATCAGTCCGGCCGAAGTACATGATAAGCGTCCCGAGGACGAGGGATTCACCTATCTTCCATGGCAGTCGTTGACCAGTCTCACTCACCTCTACATTGAAAGACTGCTCGGTGCCTACACTCGTCGCCAAGTCAACCATCTTTTGCATGATGTGCGACTCATCCCCACTCTGCAATCGCTCGCTATCAAGTCAATTACGATGATTGACCCACCTACACTCATTGCCACACTCGACGCTCTTCCACGCCTAACCTACTTTAAATACGCAACTACTCCTCGAATGGACTGTGAACAAGATTTTGGTACATCGGTCATCCACTCGTCCGAAACTTCTATTAGTCTTGCTATCCTCCAGTACCTTGAAACCAACCCAACCATCAAGCGTTTCTCGTTCACCTTGGACAATGAGTTTGGTGCCTCAGTGTATCCATTTAGAAAATTATTCAGTCACTTTGAAGATAATAGTATTAGTCAATTGCACACTAGTCCATTTTATCTTTCAGATGAATTAACACCATTGGAAAACAAAATCAAGGATCTACAAAATGAACTCACCAATCTCATCCAAAACTCTGAATCGATGCAATGTATATCACTATCTTCAAACATTGGTAAAATTACAACAAATAATACAGAGGACCGAGCAAAGATTGGACCCAATTTAGAATTATTATCTACACAATTCTTAAATACCCTCGATTCTAAAATCAATCCAAAATCAAAATTATCATTTATTAAAATTGATAAATGTTTAATTCATCATGATCCCAATAATAATAATAATAATAATAATAATCATACTCATAATAATAATGATAATAATAATAATTTTTATTTCAAGTATAATAATAATAATAGTAATAATAATAGTAATAAGATTATAATAGTATCAAAGAAAAAAATACATAAATCAAATAGTATTTGGAAGTGGGAGATGAAAAGAATGTTAAAAGAGGACGCTAATCAATTTAAAAGATCCAATCCGCACCATGGGTTGATTATTTAAAAGAAGAGTTTCAACCCAATCCATAGAACCATATTGGCCAACTGTTTGCCATGGAGTAAATTCTGTCACTTCAAAAGGAATACCAAGATCTACCACACATTTTATCAACTCGATATCCAATCTTTTTATGGCACTGTCAATTGGTATTATAAAACTCTTTAAAAAACCTCCACCACCAGATTTTGAATTTTGTTTTAAATAATGGTCGATGTATTCGATCACTGGAAGATAGTGACTATTCTTTGATAGATCATTGATAAAACTAGGAAATTCGAAATGAGGCTCTTCCAAGTGTCGGTCAAGAAAGTATTTGGTCAATGTAATATTCTTTTGGTTGTCTTGTGAGAGTTGAGGTCTTGTTTTTTGAAAGTAGGTTGCCATTTCAACACTATTGACCGATACTATAGAGGAATTTAATGTTTGTGGTAGGTATGGATTGGTTTCAAGTAGTCGATCAGCCACTAAAAAGTACCCATTTGATAGAGCATCTTGGAGTAGACGTGGACTTGATCGAAAAGAAATATCAGTCTCTAATACTAAAAACTCTACAATATCCCATCTCCAAGTGACCATTGATTCAAATAAACCACTTTGATCCAATAATTTGTGTTTTATCAACAAGTTGTCTGATTTTACTTTGTCTTGATCAACTCGTATCTTGTTTTTGATTAGATTGTAAGATTCTTTTACCAATTTTAAATCACCATACCAATAAATCATTTCAAATCCGAATCGCTCCAATATATAATCTAATAGTTTCATCCATTGATCCAATACTTCTACCAGTTGATCAAAATGATTATTTATAAATCTAATTATTTGTTGTTGACTAGATTGAATTCTATCTGATATGATTTTAAAAGTTGATTTGTGTAATTTGAGAAATTTGTAGTGTGCCTCTACCAACCAAAATAAATAATAATTAAATTCATCTTCTTTGGCTTGAATTACACTGTCAATTGATTTAATATCAATATTTAATTTATCTTGATAGTGAGTCAAGAGAAGGGATAGAGTGGTATGTTGCATTTTAACCTCGTCAAGGTTGGTGTCTTGATAAAGATGATTGTAAAAGAAATAACATTCTGCATAATACACTGGATCCTTGTCAAAATAGTAAAAGAGGATGTTTGTATTATTGGACATGACAACAAGTGGTGATTCATCGACTATCTTGTAAAATAGTTGGTTTGGTAGATTGACATAGAGGTACTCTAAAATAGTCTTTATCTTGTTTCTCGATTCTAGGTTGGGTGGTGGATAAAAGACAGAGTCTGATTGGTCATAGAGACCTACTGGCATTTGACCGTTGATACTACTAGACATTGGAGAAAAGACTGACCGGTCTTTAAGGGACGTGATGATATCGTCTAGTATTTCAAGTCGACCTTTGACAATACATTGGTGAATGAGACGTTTAATGTCACCATCCTTTAAATGGTAGAGTACAGATGGTAGTCGACTTTTAATTGTTTTCATTGTTGGGAAGCAATCTGAAACAAAACCGATCATTGATTTCCAAATGTCAATGTTACCATGTGATTGAATGATGGTACCGAGGTAGGTAGGTATAACGTTATCAAGACTCTTTTTAAGTTTTAAACCAACCAGATAGTCTTTTAATCGATTGTAAAAGGTTTTAAACAATAGATTGTATACTACACTATCACCAACAGTTGCGATGGATTGAAAGAATGAATGTACATATTCCAATGTAAACAATGAATCAGTATCAATCTTTTGATGATGTAATAGAAGAATCTCTTTTAATACACCATAGTGTCTATGTGATATAAGCCATTTTATATCATTTTGAAGATGACTATATTTCTTTGCTACTAAAGTTGTAGTTGTTATAAACTCACTATGTTTCTCTAAATATATTCTCCTACTTGGTATTTCAACACCGAGATATGAAACCTCCTCAATTCTAATTCTCTTTAATATTGATTCTTGAATACACTTGTTATTAAATGATTATTATTATTATTATTATTATACATTTACTAAATATAATGTTATAATTATTAAAAATAGATGACCATAGGCCATTAAATTTTACATTTTACATCAGATCAGAGAGCGGAAAAGTTATTATAAATATAAATTTATATTTATATTATTAAAATATAAAATTACTAGTAGTAGCCAAACCAAGATACAAACTTTCTTAATTCAAATATTATTAAAAATAATAAATAATAATCATAATTATTATTATAAAAATAAGAGTAGTGGTAAGTGTGGTGTGAAAATAGATAGTCGATAAACGAACTACTACATACCTCCTCTTTGCACAATGACTCTTTTCATTATTACTATTATATAATATTATTACTACAACTATAATTATTCCTCTTATTATTACACTTACTATTACTAGTTTCAATTATGTCATATCAGGTACTTATCCCTTAACCCTTATGATTGAATGGATAATTTAATTATTAATAAATTTATTTGATTTGTTCTGCTGTTATTTTAGATTTATGTAGATCATTTAATAGGATCAAAGGATTTAAATAGTGCATGTATCATTGATTTCAATGGGATACCTCATGCTAAATCCACTCCATGTAATTTGACATACGACGAATCCAATCAAATCATACAAATGTTTAATGACACTGAGTCATTTACCAGCTGTGGATTGATGATTGGAGGTATTCATTATTCATATGTCCTTAAAGAAGGACAATTAATTATGCTCAAAGCAGATGAAGAAAAAAAAGGTGGATCATGTCTTTACAAGACAAAACAGAATATCGTCATTGGAGTATATGATTCATCAAAAGATCCAAAAAAGGTTTATACAACTATGGAAAAATTAGGGTAATAATATATCACTACTATTATTGATTATGATTATTAATATTTGTTGTATTTATAGAAAATATTTAGTTGAAAATAGTTATTAGTTGGATTGGATTGGATAGGATAGGATTCTTTTAAATCTTCACAAAACAATTGTCATCATCACAACAATCAATACAATTTTAATATTTACATAATTATTTTTTGGTTTATTCTATTCTATTTTCTTTTCTTGGATCTTTATATATATTTCTATTTATATCTTTATGGATGGTTGATTAATCGTGAATCCCTAGAAAGAAATCTTATTTTGTTGGTTTTATTATTATTTCTAAAGTTATTATTATTATTATTTTTTGTTTCTAAACCATATATCGTTTCGTTATATTTTTGTTTGTTTGTTTACCTATATATAATAATTTAAACCTTTTTATGAGAATACATATATTTTGAAAGGTTTTGAATATCAGTATTGGTATTGTTTGTTAATTTCGATACGTAGAAACAACCCATTAAAAAGACAGAATTGACACCAAGTGTCCAAAGACTAGTAAACAATGAACCGGTTGCAATGTAGAGAAGGAAACTACCAATAAAGGTGAAACCACTGCAAACCAACATGATCCATCTACGAATGAAACCCTTTACCAAACCGGGAAACATTGCAATAGCACCAGCTATAAATGCACTGGCAGACATCCATTCCAACCAAAATATAATGAATCCAGAAAAGTATTTACCCATTACAAGATGTGCTTCATTTTCAAATGGTAATATATTAAATGGTAATACTGCTACCAACATTTTCAAGAATCCAAATATAAATCCAATTGTACTTATTAATTTCTACTCATCATCAAGAATAATAAAACAAAAACAAAAACTTTTGTTAATATCATCTTATGATTCCTCATGATCTTCATCATCTTCAATCAATTTATCACACATACTAAATAGAAATTATTTAAACCTTGATCTGTATCTAATAGAGTTGAAATTAAATCTTTTTGTTCTAAATATATTATATAATATATAAAGGTAAGTCAAGTGTTAGGTTAGGTTGGGTTGGTTCATCTTCTATCTATCTCTCTTTATCTTAATCATACCTTGTTCATCAAGATACTCTCCATCTAATTCTGGTCTGTTTTGTCTTCTACTCATTGTTGTTGTTGTTGTTTTGTTTCTCTGTGTATTGTATCTATCTATGTAATCTAAAAGTATGTACAATGAATGACTCACCTTATCCTTAATATATTATATGGAGGGTAGGAACTTCAAATTTAATTCAAAAAATTTCTTTTTTTTGTGACCGTTGATGTTGGTGTGAAAGATTCCTCATCATCATCATACCCATCAGAACACCCTAGATAGTACAGTAATCTATGTTGGCTTAAACATAGTAGATAGATAGATAGATAGAATAGATAGTTGGTTTAAGCACATATGATAACAAGAAGAAGAATAGGAAGAGGAAGAGATTAGATAGCTAGCTATATTTTGTATATAATATTATATTTATTTAAAAAGTAGATAGAGGAGTAAGAGAGAAAGTTGTTCGAGAGAGAGAGAGGGAGGATGGCAACAAAAGAAGAAAAACAATACTTGTTGGATGAGATCAATCAAGAAAAGGAGTCTCATGGCAAGACGATAGACGCATTCAACAATGAACGTGCAAAGAATAATCAGCTGATTGCAACACTCAAAGAGATGATTGACCACAAGGACAAGGCTATGAAGGGGTTGGAAGAAGCTCAAAAGAATCTATTATCGTGTCAGAAAAAGTTGATGGATGAACGAAAGAACTGTGTGCAGGCTAATGACCGTCTTACAACGGCCGAAGACGAGAAACAAAAGTTGCAAGACAACTCGGAGCAACAGACACACCGTATCAACGAATTGCAAATCAAGCTCAATGAAAAGGAAGATATTATCAACTTGATGAAAGACTCTAGTAACGATCCGGCACAGGAAGGCTCAGCCCACCAAAAATCGGCCGTTCTCAATACAATACTAGAGTTGCAACAAAAGTTGGAATCTGCAGATCGAAGTGTACAAGATGCACGATTAGAAAATGATCGACTCAAATCGGATAATCAAAAGTTACAAACTGACATTCAACAACTGAATGATAGAATACAAGTTCTGAATAGAACTATAACTGAACACCAATCAAACGATACACGTGATCAAGACATTAACCAAAAGTACAGTCAAACATTATTAAAATTGGATGAAGAAAAGATTAATTTGGAAATTGCAAATGAAACAATTCAAGAATTAAATGAAAAGTTACATCAAATTGAAGATAGTAATAGTAATACTGCTAATAATAGTAGAAAGATTAATGAAAATGGAGAAGAACAAGATGAAGACGATGACGGTATAATGGAAGAATTAAAAAAGGAATTGGAATTAATTAAAAGTGATTCAAATCAAAGTAAAGAGGTAAAATATTAATTAATTAATTAATAATAAAATTTGTATATATATTATAACTAAATATATTAATCAATTATATTTTTTTTGAAAATATATATATTTAGATAATTTTGGAATTAACAAAAGAAAAAGATTCATACAAGGAACAATTAATAAATACTGAAACTAAATTGGATCGTGTTACAAGACAATTAAATACTCTTCGTAGTTCAATGGAAACTGAAGCTAAAAAGAGTCATACAATAGTTCAAGAATTGGAATCAAAATTAACCACTGCAAATCAAACTATATTATCTTTTGAACAACAACTACAACAATCATCATCATCATCAACTAACGAATCATCAACCTCAACAACTTCAACAACATTGACAACTCAAGATCAAGAAAAATATAAGGAAGCTTTGGATTCAATTGATTCACTTCAAAATGTAATTATCAATATCAGTATTATTGTTTTAACTTACTGACTTTACTTTAATCAATTGTAGGAATTATTAAAAGAAAGAGAATTTATATTAAATTTGAAATTGGAATTGGAGGAAAGTGAAAAAAAAAAAATGATCCTAGAGGAAGAGATTGAAAAAATGAAATTGGAAAATGAAGAGTTGGTGGAAGAGTTTGAAGAGGAGAAGAAACAATGGGCAAAACAAAGAGACGATACGATAAAGACGGAAAAGGACCAGTTGGTGCAATACTATGTCAAGGACAAGAAGGCTTTGATTGACAGCTTTGCAAGAGAGCGTCAAGAGTTGTTGGATTCACATGTCCAGGAACTCGAAGAGTTGAATGGTCAGTTGGACATTTACCGTGAAAACTTTTCAAAGTCTGAGGATATGTATGCCAAGTACGATACGTTGGACCAAGAGTACAACAAGATGATCGATGATCTCAAAGACAAACAGATACAAATCAACGAGTTGATGGTCGAGTCACAAACATTCCATCGTGTCTCTGATGAAGCTAACCAAAAGATACAACAACTTAACAAAGAGATAGAGACATTGCAACAGACTTTGGCCAACACAACTGCGCAGTCATCCAAACAAATTGAACAGTATATTGCCCAAATCAAAGAACTCACCGTTCAACTTGACGCCAAACAAAAGGAGAATGACAAGTACCGTTTCAATGAAAAATTATATTCTTTTAAAGAAGACAAGGATAAGGACAGAATAGTCGATGAGCTCAGACGACAATTAAACGATACCAAGGAACAATTGGAAATCTCGCATCAAAATATCGACGAGTTGGAAAAAGAGTTTAACAAGTCACAAACCTTTAAGAAAGAGTTGGACAAGCGTTCCAACGAACTAGCACTTCTCAAAGAAGAGTTGGCAATGACCAAGGAAGAGTACCAAGTCACCAAAGAAGGGTACGCAGCTTTGGAAGAGAGTGAAAGGGAAGCTGCAGAATCACTCGAATCAATGGAACAATTATTACAAGACACTGAAGATAAATTGGATCAAAGTCAAAAAGATAGAGTCGAATTATTAGAATCACTTCAAAAACATGAACATGATATTCAATCTTTACAACAACAATTATTAGATTCTCAAAAGAAATTACAAGCAGCCGGAGGAGGAGGAGCCAAATCTCATCGTCGTGAAAATAGTCTAACTCTTCAAACTAGTGATCTTGCTGGCTTAAAGGCAGAGTTGGATAAACAACAAGTTTCATCAGTTCCAGCAGTTCAACAATCTCCATCACCACCAACTCCTTCAATTTCACAACAACAACATGATCAAGATGACAAGGATACAAGATTAGCAGAATTACAAAAGAGTTATGACCGAAAGGCAAAGGAAGTAGCAACAGCTCGAAAGGACTTTGGGTTACTTCAAATCAAAAACAATGAACTCATTATTTACTGTAAAGAAATTGAAAAACGATCAGGTGAAATGCAAGAAATGGTAGATGCCTATGACAGTCTTAGAAAAGATTACCTTCATTCTAAAGTTACCATTACTCAACTTGAAAAACAAATCAGTGAAAATAGTGTTGGAAGTAGTGTTGGTAGTGGAAGTGGAAGCGGTGGATTCCCATCATCATTTAATAGTGGTAGTGGTAGTAGTAAACGTCATGTCAACTTTAATTCATCTGTTAAATATTCAGATTGCAAACATGTTGAAGTCATCTCTTTAAATGATTTAACTGAAGAGGAATTACAGCAACAACAACAACAACAACAACTCAGTGGTGACAAGGGATCCATTATTAAATCAAGTTTACATCATACAGGTGAGAAATTATATATTGATCATTCTCAACTTGGTGCTGGTGAAAATGGATTATTAGATGATGAATTTGATGATGAAGATGATGATGAATATTATCAAGATGATGATGAAGAAGAAGAAGAACAAGAGGAAGAAGAAGAAGAGGAAGAAGATGTTGATGCAGAATTGGAAAGTGAAATCATTATTCATTCTGATCAAGATGAAGAAGAAGAGGATGTAGATGCAGAATTGGAAAGTGAAATTATTATTCATTCTGATCAAGATGAAGAAGAAGAAGAAGATGTAGATGCAGAATTGGAAAGTGAAATTGTTATGAATCCAGAAGATGATGAAGACGATCTCGATCAACTTGCAAATGAAGAATTGGAAAGTGAAATTATTATGAATGATAGTGACTTGGAATTGGATAATTCTACTGGATCGAGAGTTCATGAAATTCAAGATGATGAAGATGAAGATTTAATATTGTCATCTGACCAATTGGATGTTGATTTGGATCAAGATTCTATTCATCGACAACAAGGAAATAATCTTGGAAATCAAAGAAAATTACAACTACAACAACAACAAGAAATGTTAGAAACTATTGAAACATATAGACAAGAATTACAAAGTTTGGAAGAATCACTTACACAGTTGACAACTGAAAAGGAGTATTATGAAACTGTGATTCGTGAAACAAACCAAAATGTTTGTATCTTTGTTGATCATATCATCCAACAAACCAATATGGTCGATTTCCCATTAAAAGAAAATAAGGATGAAGATGAACAACTCGAGGAAGACCAAGAAGAGACAGAAGAAGGAGTTGAAAAGGATTATACCCCTGCATTCATCTTTAATCTTCAAGCCAATGTTGAATCTTTACAATTACTTTTTGAAGCTGTCAAAGTTAAACCTATCGATCAAGATCAAACCGAAAATGAAGAAGAAGAGGAAGATGATGAAAAGGAGACAAAGACAAGAACAGAGAAGGAATATCAAGAATTACATTCAATATATTCAACAACTAGACAAGATTTAGAGCTACTTCAAGAAGAGAATATTTCATTGCATTCTGATTTGAACCAAGTTCAAAAGAGTAGTCAGGAAAAGATCGATGAGAGAAACCAAACCATTCAACAGTTGGAAAAGAGTGTTCAAGAACTACAAGAAAAGGAAAAGGAGTTTGAACCAATCCTAGCCGAGGTAGAGACACTACTTGCCAACAAACAAGACAATGCCAAGGTGCTCGAAGAACAAGTTGCCAAACTCAAAGATGAAAATCAAAAGGTTAACCAGGTTCTGGAAAAGATTAAAGCAGAGTACCAAGAAATGTACAAAAACTATAACATTAATGCAGAACAATTGGAGAAATTACACGACGAGTCTGATAAATCATCATCACTCCAAGAAACTATCACCAAACACGAGGAAACCATTAAACAACAATCAGAAACCATCAAACAACACCAAAATAATCTAAAGCTTCAACAAGACACCAACAAACAACAACAAAAGAAAATTGATGAATTACAAAAAACTATTCAATCTCTTGAAAAGGAAATTGAGTCATACAAGAATCGTATTAATCATTTGGAATTGGAATTGGAAAAGAGAAATGAAAAGAATGAAGAAGAAAATGAAGATGAAGAGGATGAAGAAGAAAAAGATAGAGAAGATAGAGAAGAAATTACAAAGATTATTAGAGAAAAGGAAGTAGAAGAAGAGAAATTAAAAATGAGAATTGAAGAATTACAAGTATCACTTAGAGATTTGGAAATTGAAAGAGATGAATTAAAACAACAAAATGTAGATAAACAACAACAACAACAACAAAAGAAGAAATATGAATATAATGAAGAGATGAATGGAAATGGAATTGGAAATGGAAATGTAAATGGAAAACCAATACCAACATTTAGTACTCCACAAAAAGATCAAAAACAATCATCAGAATATATTTCTAAATATATTAGTAGTAGTGATGGAGGTGGAGCAAGACCTAGATCTTCATCAACATCATATATGAATAATCATCATCAATCAAGTAGCTCAGAAAATCATAATAATATTAATAATAATAATAATTTATTCAATAATCATAATACTAACCATAATCAACAAACATCGGCATCATCATCAACATCATCATCGACTCTTCATCATAATAATAATAATCATCATTATAGTTATAACTTTTCACCATCCAATAATGATTATAATCATTATCATCACCTTTACAACCATCACCACTCAACAGATTTGCCAACTACACCAGCGGCACCACCATCAACACCATATGTACCAAACTCAACCTACCGCCCAAACACCAGACTATCATCTTCACCATCTAATTATGGATATTATAACGTTGCACCTCCTGCTCCTCCATCCTCCTCCAGTTCATCATCAGGATTCTATGATAGATATAAAAGTGGTGGAATGTCTGGAGTTGGACACTTTTCAGCCCCATCAAGTCCATTTAAGAATTATAGAGTTTACCAATCCCCATATGTTGTCATTGACCCATCATCGGTACCAATACCTACTACTCCCACCACAACGACAGTAGTATCAACAGCCAATCAACATCAATTAGAAGAACTCTACCAACAATTTATCGATCGACTACAAGACCGAATCGAGAGAGATAAATATGACTTTAACCACAATCTAGAGGACGAACGTTTACTACTTGAAAAGAAAGAATTATTATTATTACAAGAACAATTAAAAGATTTGAAATATGTTTTAGCAAATGCTAAAAATATTTAATAAATAAATAATAAATAATAAATATTATATATATGTCATCTTTATCGTGATGAAACCTTGTAATTTCTTATGCTAGTCTTTCGACCTATCGCATCACAGTCCCACTTTTGAAACCCAGGTTTCAGCTGAACTCACCCAAGATGGTTTCGAGTTGCGACGAGAACAAGAACTCTGAGATTTTTCATTAGAGGCTCAAGTGTTGTCTATTGAGATAATTGAAGATAGATAGATAGTTTAAGTGCTGGTGAGAATAGTCGATGCATCGATCAACCTTCTCAAATTAATGACTAATATGCCGAGTCTTAAGACACTTAATCTTCAAGATGACAAGACCATCACTTCATATCCACCAACATTGTCATTCCCAAACATAACAACCATCACTCTCACCGATTTACCTCTAAAAATATCTTGGCAGTTTTGTGTTGCTTGCCCAAATCTTCATCAATTACATCTGAGTGCTAGTGGCGTATCCAATATATAGTCAACTCTGATTGGAGTTTACCATCGGTCGAATCTTTGTATTTTTCATTCAAACAATCCAACTGTTCTGTACCAAGTGATGGACTTGCTTCGATTTCAGTGATTGTGGATTCCAACCTATTTAATAGAACTGATGGCATCTATTTTAAATCAAATTCAAATAGTTCAGGTCAAAAAGATAAATGTATTCAAGATACAAAGAACTGCTATGGAAATGGTCAATGTGTTGATAATAATGGAGTTTGTGGTGATCAAGGTTATGATCCTGCTGATAATTGTAGAACCAAATGTATGTCATTTAAAATCAAAAAATGAAACAAGTATTGATTATTCTCTTCTTTTTAATTATTTTTAATAGTTGCACCAATTAAACCAAATATAAATAATACATCGCCAACAGCTTCATTTGACATGGATGGAATTGATTTTGAATTAGAAATGGTTTCAATTCAAGAATTGGATTTGGAACAAGCAGTATTAAAAGAAATAGCAACACTAGAATGGACGTCTACCATTATTGAAAAAACAACAACACTGACCAATGTATATTATCAACTTGATACAACAACCAGTTTGATAAATTCACCACCATTGGTCACAGCCAACATATCATTCTCAACAATTGCAAGATCAATAGCATTTGGACTTCAACAATTAACGATCAACCCCAACTCTATTAAATTGGCAGTCAATATTTCATCTTGGACATTTGAAAGTAATCTTTCCTATTTGCGAGTTGTATTTAAAACAAAAATCAACAACAAACAATCCTATACTTTTGATTGTGAAGAACATTCAATTGATGCTTTGTCATTTGATTAATTTGGATCGACCATTCAATACCTCAGAATCGTCAAAGAAGGAGTTCAATTCAATGGTAGATTTATCGATTACTCACTGGCAGATGGTAGACCAACCTATTCAAAGACTCCAGTTGATATCAACCACACCTTCATCCGATCATGACGATTGTATTGATTGGTATCACATTGGCTCAATGTCAATCGACCCAGACTTTACACCATTACTAACTCCCTCCTCTGGTGACGACTGCAACAAAGCAGACCAAAAGTGGAAAATTATTGTTGGAGTTGTGGTTGGTGTAATCGGAGGAGCAGCCGTTGCATTTATATTGGTTGTTAGTGCTAAAAGAGCTAGATGGTATTATATTAGAAACAGATCAGCAACTATTAAAATGAAACAAACACATTAATAATAATAAATAATAAATGTAATATAATCCCCCAACGATAAAGCAACGAGTTGGCTCTCGAGAAAATTTGATGATGAGGACGAATAATAATAAGTATTTAATTTTATTGACTGACTGGTTGAATCAAGTTAACTTTAGAGTTACATCACTTATTAGAGAAATGATAAATAACCCTCGGGGTGGGGGGTGGGTGTATAGGTTTTGAGATGATTTTGAAAGGGAAAAAGACAAATTAATTTCCAAAAGATTATAATCACAAACCTTGTTCATTCCCTTTCTAGTTATTGTATATTTTATTTATTTATTTTATATTTAGTTTGTAATTTTTTCAAATAATGTGTTGTCGTATTTTTTATTCTTTCTTGGTGAGAATTTTAACCAAGCTTTTTAGTTCAAAAGAATTTGAAGAAAGTAAATATAATAGTTTGTTAATATGACAGATAATTTAACAGACGATATTAATGAAGAGGATCAAGATTCTATCGAATTTTTTATTTCATTCAGTGGTCATGGTTTTGAACCCAGTGTGCTAAACAATGCTGGTCGTTTATTGGTCCTCAACATATTTGCCAATTACCGGAACTCAACTCTGCAGAATCTTCATCATCATGGTCAGAACCTTCAAGTTTCCAACCCCCCATTTTTCGGACCAGGTACCCGTGTTGATAATGAACGCCATTTTCACTATGCTTCACCAACAGGATTGTTCATAGTTTTGTCATTTTTTCAATTTAATCGTAAGTGTGAATCATCATCAATTGATTCAACACGACAATTCATCTAACCTTATTTTTCTTGTATCTAGAATTTGTTAATCAACCAGAACTTGAAGAAAATGATGTTCTGTTCCACTTGAAAGTCAAAAATGATGTTTGGCGTCCAATCCGCTGTGAGCTTAATTAAAGTCTCCCTTTTATTTGACATCTTATTATTATTATTATAACAATTTTCATTGCCCATTTAAATATTATAATAAAATGATTTGTTCTGACATTATTATTTATAGATGATTTATTGTGTTGTTAATTGTAGTTATTATTATTATTAAGTTAATTTAATGAATGTAATATTTAATTTATATCCTATGTATTTAAATTTGTATGATGGTTTTCCCTCTTTTTTTCTTGAAAAAAATTAAAAAAGAAGTGAGTAGATCTTCAAACTCATCATCATAGTCATTCTTTTCTAATTTTCATTCACAATCAATTTAATTGATAGATAAGAAAAGATAGATAGAGATAGAGATAGATAGGTGGAAGATGAATAGTATGATGTCGATGATGATGATGTCATCAGCTACATCACAATATCATCCTCATCCACTTGCTTCATCGGCAGCATCATCAATGTTTGATATGATGTCTAAATCAACAACAACAACAACAACAACAACTGCGAATAATCATTATAATCATCAATCAACTTCTACTACTCCTACAACATTATTATCATCATCACCATCATTACCAATAATGAAACAGATATTAGAACAATGTATACTAGACAGTTTAAATAATCATCAACCAACCAACGCAATGTTTTTGGCAGAGAGACTGTGTGCATTGGAACCATCACCATCAAACTACTACACATTGGCATCTATCTATTATCGATTGGGTAAACCAAAACAATGCTACAATCTATTACTTTTACATGATTCTAGTAGTAGTAATATATCATTATCGCCTTCATCCGCTTCATCCTCTTCATCCTTCCCCACCTCTGTCAATATTAAACAATTACTAGGACAATGTTGTTATGATTTGGATAAATTACTTGAGGCTGAAATATATCTTAAAGAATGTTGTGATATCATTGATGATCATAATCAACTTGTTGAACAACAACAACAACAACAACAAAATAATAATAATAACAATACCAACAACAATATCTCACCATGTACAATTGCATCGATTTATTATTTACTTGCAATGACATATAAAAAGAATAATCAAAAGGTCAAGACTGTCGAATACTTGAAAAAGAGTGTATTGGCCTACCCATATCTATGGATAGCATATGAGCAATTATGTAACATGGGTCAAGACATTAATCCTTCCCAATTCTTTTATTTTCAACCTTCTCTATATCAACAACAACAAAATAATATTGGATCAGCTGGAAATATTAATATTAATCAAAATAATAATAATAGAGATAATAATAATGAAGAATTTACTATTAATCATTTATCAACTATTCATAATAATAATAATAATTATATAAATTCAATGTACGCATCATCTATTATTGAACCTCCATCACCATTTCCAACAACATCTTCATCGATACCATTAAATTTAAATAGTCCCATTTCAAATACTTCAACTGCTTCAACTGCCGTTTCATCAAACAAGACAGTTGTCGCATCGACTCCATCATCCTTTACTCCTCATACTACTACTAAACCGAGCAAGCACGAAAAGACAACCAATAACGCAATGTCTCAATCTGTAACATCAGCACCTGTCAAACAACCAAAACAACATCACCAGAACCATCATCACGGCGGCCAACAACAACATCATCACAATCAAACTTTAGCAACACCTGGAGGACCATACCAACAATTTTTGGCAACTACACCAACCTCTACCTATGGTGGTACGTCATTCTCATCTTCGATTGGTGGGATGGGTGAATTGAATTTCAATGATATCCCAATGACACCTCAAACACCTTCAGTCATGGCTATGACTCCAATTGTACCACCAGCTGTTAAAAAACAACAACAACAACAACAATCACAACCACATCAATATGCTGCCAACAATCATTCTACACCAGCAGTTACACCAGGTCCTCCAATTGGACTACCACATGGTATTTTGAAAATGTCTAGTATGCCAGAATCACCCATTCCAATGTCACTTTTACAAACACCTGGAAATAACAATAATAATAATAATATGACTACAACAACAAACTATCCATCGGCAACACCATCACCTGCATATCATCATCACCATCAAAATCCTTCAATCATGGCTGCACCAACTAAACAAATCTCTGCACCCATTAAAAAGAAAAATAATGATCTCAACAACAAAAAGAAGGATAACAATTTATCAATTCCACTATCATTGATGGAACCAGTACTAGAACCACCAATGATGGAAAAGAAAAAATCAAAAAAACATGTTCATATTGGAGGTATCGAAGAGATTCTAATGGATCAATATCATACTCAAAAACAACCACAACAATTATTCAAACCATTAACTGAAAGTGATTTAATTGTTACTTCAAAACCAAATCAAAAATCAAACAATATTCAAAATAATAACAATAACAATAATAATAATTACAATAATAATAATCAAGAACAAATGAAACAAGCACATACTGAATTATTAAATTTATTATTAATATTGGCAAATTCTTATAGATTACTTTGCTTGTAAGTTGAATAATATTGATAAGATCAATATCTATTTATATATTAATATTTACCATTTTTTTGTTTTTAGGTATTCATGTAAAGAATCAATTGAAAGTTTTAAAAAATTACCATGGTCACAATATAATACAGGATGGGTATTGACAAGAGTAGGAAAAGCATATTTTGAATTGGTAGAATATCATGAGGCCAATAGAATTTTTGAACAAATTCGATCATTGGAACCATATCGATTGGAAGGATCTGAAATTCATTCTACCATTCTTTGGCATTTAAAGAGAGAAATTGAATTAAGTTATTTGGCTCATGAATTAATTGAATTTGATCGTTTATCACCTCATGCTTGGTGTGTAGTTGGTAATTGTTTTTCTTTACAAAAAGATCATGAATCTGCATTAAAAATATTTAAAAGAGTAAATATTAAATACTTATTTAAAGAGACCATCTAATTAACTAATTTTTATTTTTATTATATTTTATATTTTTAGGCAATTCAATTAGATAATTCATTTACATATGCATATACATTATGTGGACATGAATATTTATCAAATGATGATTTGGATAATGCACAAAATTATTATAGGTCAGCATTAAAGATTGATGCTAGACATTATAATGCATGGTATGGATTGGGTTTGATCTATTTCCGTTTGGAAAAGTATGATTTGGCAGAATATCATTTTAGAAAGGCATTGACGATCAATCCCTTTAGTTCGGTACTCTACTGTCACATTGGTATCACGCTACAAGCTAATCGTAAGCATTTGGAGGCTTTGAGCATGTTGCAACAGGCCATCGACCTCCAACCACGTAATACATTGGCCAAATTCAAAAAGGCATCGATTCTATACCAACTCGGTCAGTACCAAGAGGCATTGACAGAATTGGATCAATTCAAAGAGTTGGCTCCCAAGGAAACACCCCTCTACATTCTCATGGGTAAGATCTATAAGAAGCTGGGTCAATTGGATATGGCTCTCAATTGTCTAACCACTGCCTTGGACATGGATAACAAAAATTCAACCAATTCAAATTATATTCGTTCCATTATTGATCATCTATATGTTGATGATGATGATGATGAAAATGATAATAAATAATTAATAATAATAATAATAATAATTAATTATTTTTTTGGAATACTTTTTACAAAACAAAATATATTTGTATTTATTTATTTATTGTTTTTATTTTTTTAGAAAAAGATATAAATTAAGATTAAAATGATAAATGGATAATTTGGTAATAGATAAGAGGATGAAGATTCTTTTTCGGGTGGTGGTGAAGCAAATTTGGCTACTTCAAGGTTACCAACATAGAGTGTGCCTTGAGTAGAGGTAGGGTCCCAACCATCAGTGACAAGTTTGAAACCAGTTACTTTGGCACCATCCCAGAGACCAAGATCTTCAAATGGAACTGTAAAGGAGACCCAAGTGTGAGCAGGCAAGTCACCACCCAAATATTCAACAATACCAAATGGATTGGTCATGTCTTCTCCTGCAGAGGTTAGGACCATACTGATTTTAGGTTGTTTACGTATCTTTGAAACATCATACGTGTCGATTTTGAGTTGACGTTGTGGAATATAGTAGATAGAGATTCGTAGACCATTCTTGTCGACTAGATCCAATGCACCTTCTTCAAATCCAATATTGACATCATACTCGTGAGTCAGATACCATTGGAGAGTACGGTTACGTTGGTAATGGACGACTGACGATTCCAAGTTGGTGCCATCAGAGTAGATTTTGAGACCTGGTCCAAGTTTACCTTCACCATACAAGGGGACTGGTTCGGTCATACAAATGGTTCCATTGTTGAGTTGGACATCGTCTAGAACAACCGACCCCATAAAAGTACGAGTGGCCGATGAAAAGAGGATACCATGGAAATGAGTGACATTGTTTTGAGCAAATGTAAATCTGCTCAATGGGAGATTGACTCTGTACCAAGTATCAGGTTTCTTTAGACCCTTTATAAACTCGCTGACATTGATGGATGCAATTTTGGATTTACCATTGACCAATGAAACAACAATTTGTTGATTGGGAGAGAACCCAGCACCATACATCCAGAAACTAACATACTTGAATTCATGTTTTCCAAATCCACCATCCTTTTCCAAATAGAAAAATGTGTCCGCATCGAGATTAAAAAAGAGTGCACGAGGACCACGGTGAACATGTTGAGTATAGTTAAAGTATCTAAAAGCTGATGACTTGTCGGACCAACCTTCTTCAAGAGTGTCGTTGAAAATCCAAATGGGACGATACAATGTGCATTGGGTAGTGTAAAAATGGAGTGGTGAGCCGGCAAATCTTTCAGTGCTGATGTTTCCATTTTCGTCGGTCTGATCTGTTACAGTGTTGACAGCGGGTGGCTTGTTGGTAGCGCAATAGGGGGTGTAAGAATAACTGAGGATGGTAGCATCGGCAACTCGAGCAATCTTTTTTCCAGTGTCTGTTACAAACACACTGATTTGAGATTGGAGTGGGACTGGAACCTTGGAGTGACCACCAGCTTGATAAATCAATACACCGTCGACATAGAAATTGATCAATTGGAAGTCCCAGACAATGGTAAAGTTGGTGTATTGATGGGTCATGTCTGCAGAGATGATTCTGTAAACAGATTGAGCGGGACTGTATTCATCGGCACCACGTGGATGGATGTATCCAACACGAAGGAGTGTCGTATTTTGGATGAGGAAGAAGATTTCATGAGCGGAACTTCCACTACCAGACGTCAAGGCCATCTTGGTAGCAGTGTGTTTGAGCTTGGACCCACGGACCTTCCAAGTGTGAACTCCATACGATACTTCGTGACCCAGTTGGACAGAGGCACAGGTATTCTTTTTGGCACAACTTGGACATGGCACGGCAGAGAGTGAGAGACCTCCTTCATAGGCAGAGACTACATTGTTACTATCGACTTGGCAACCTGGGAATGGATCGTAATCCAATGATTCGTCGAGTGAATAAGCAGTGGCAACAGTCGAGTTGTCACCAAAATCATGGAGAATTGGTTCGTAACAAGTTGGTTCATTCAAGGATGAATCTTCTTCAATGGGACCCCCATTTGGAATTTGTGGTGGTTCAGTTACGACTGGTCCATGTTTACGACGTTCTTCTTCGGCATCTTCATCACTTGAGCTGAATGTTTCTGGTGGCAATGTATGAGATAGTGCTATAGGGATGTAATGTGGTTTTGGAGTTTCATCTGGAATATCAGATTGTACTGGTAATGCTTCAGTACTACCAGAGGCAGCAGCAGCAGCAGCAGCAGCAGCGGTTGATCCAGCAGTTAAATTACCAGCCAATGGTGATACAGTTCCATTAACAACGGTTGGAAGAGGTGTGGTTGCAATGATTGGACTACCACCTATGGGAGGTTGAGTTAAAGGAATGATGTTTGGTTTTTGCTCACCTCTGACTCTTGATACTGGTGGAGGTGGTATTCTTCCTCCTGGCATACCTTCTTCCTCTTCTTCAATTGGTTCAAACTCTTCTTCTTCTTCTTGTACCTCTTCTTCTTCTTCTTCATCGTCACCATCAAAAGTATCATTACTCTTTGGTGGTTTGGTTGGTCCACCTTTTTTTGGTTTGGTGGTGGAAATGGAATCATCCTCTTCTTCATCTTCAAAACTATACTCTGCATTATAATCATAATCCTTTGGATCTGATTGTTTTGGTTGTTTAGTTGTTGATAATGATTCTTGACTATCAATATTATCACCGTTATTTGTTGCTGATTGGACATTTTCCTCGTCTACTTCTTCATCATCATAATTTGCATTATAATCATAATCTTTTGGATCATTGACCTTTGGTGGAAGGGTTGTTGGAGGAAGGGTTGTTGGAGGGAGTGTTGGTGGCTTGGTTGGAGCAAAAGTACTAGGAGCAAAAGTTGGTGGAAGGGTTGTTGGAGGAAGGGTTGTTGGAGGAAGTGTTGGTGGCTTGGTTGGAGAGAATGTTGGTGGCTTGGTTGGAGCAAAAGTACTAGGAGCAAATGTTGAAGGAGGAGAGGTAAATGGGGCCACTGTTTGGGCTGGTATATAGGTAGGTGCAAATGTTGGAGGAGGAGTAGTTGGTTTGAATGTTGGAGGATTGGTGTAGGTATATTCCTCTTCATCATCCTCTTGATTAAAATCTTCATCTTCAAATTGTTCATCTTGAAATCTTTGTTGATCATCGTCATTGTATTGATTTCCAATTGGATTCGATGGAGAGTTCAACTCTTCATCTTGAGTGTAATCTGCGTTGTAGTCAGAGTACAAGTTATCATCATCTTGACCAATGGCATGAATTTCTTTTGGTACACATAATAATAAAATAATTGTTACAAAGTATAATACTAATAGTATTTTAAGTTTCATCTAGAGATATATATTAAAAAAAGTATAATTAATATCTTGACAGCTGGAATCTGTGTTTCCTTTGTTTGTTTAATTGAATAAATACCTTTTTTTGAGATGATAGATTTTAAATTATTACAATTCCAATAATGTCAAATAATATTACTCTTTACTTAAACTCTGGCTATAGATAATTATACATAAATATATGATAATAGATAGATATTATAAATTAATATTTAATATTTAAATAATGGTAGAAATAATAATAATAATAAGATATAAGATATATTTACACACCATTGAATATGAACCAAACACACAAGGTGGGGGTAGTAGGGTCATGTGGCTCTATGAGAGAATTGACAAGAATTCATAGCTATCAATTCTTGCCAATTCTCTTGTCATAGAGTCCACAGAATGTTCTATTCTTAATTTAGATAAATTGGTGGTGATTCTGAAATCCAATTTCCTTAATTCTTTGTAAACTTCCATATTCATTCGCACACTTTTTGAAAATTTTGAAAATTATCTCTTTGTTCAAAGAGATAAACACACACACAACCAAAAAAATAATAATAAAAAAATAGTGTCTGACTTTGAAAAGGTGGTTTGATTTAAAGTTATTTTTTTATTTATTTTTATTTATTTAATTTTTTATAATTTTTGAGGTTTGTTCGATACCTCAACACAGCTGTGGAAGTGTAAAGTTATTTACCAATCTTCAAACTTATCTTTATTTATTATTATCCTTTTTACGGTCCAACTACCCATCATATTGAATTAAATATTTATCTTAACCCTAAACAACATTCCAATGTTTCTAGTCAAAGGAAATATTGTAATACCTTTTCAATAGATTTCCTTTGATGACACAACATGATATGATACCGATGGTCAGTAAACCTATGTGATTTGGAATTCTTTTTTTTCCATTATTAAATATGATTAGAGGGAAAATAAATATCAATAAACATTATATTATTTACATCCTATACATGTATATTAGAAATAAAAACATTATTTAGTTTTTAATTTATTTCTTGATAACAATTGATTGAACATCAACCAATTCTTTGATGGGTTCATAATCTTCGTAGAGATCCTTTTGATCGATATCTTCACAAATGTTACGCTTGGCTCTTTCAGCGGCATGAGATTGGTATTCCTTTTCGTTACGTTGGACAAGACCGAGGAACTCCTTCATCAATTGGTCGAGACGACGGTTCTCTTCTTCAACCTTGGCACGGTGATCACGTTCGTCCATCTCCTTGAACTTGTCGGCAAAGGTCTTGAGACTCGACTTGATGTTACCGATTTGAGCGTCGGTGAGGATGAGTTGTGGACGTGGACGCCAGACAAACTGGTAGAAACGATCCTTGAGCATGGCATAGACTGGCTCACCGGCAAATGTCCAGATCTTGTACCCGGCATCGGTAGTGACCTTCCAATGCGATACATAGGTGGTGACAAAACGACCAGATGGATTCCAATCGACACCGGTGCATTGCAAGTGTTCTTGGGTGGACATGGTCTCGAGATCGTTGACGTTAAAGAACTCGAGTTCACCGGTATCTCCGACGGTGGCAAGGAGGACATAGTTGCCATGTGGAGACCAAAAGATGGTGTTGAGCTTACGATGTTCGAGCTTGGTCAAAAAGTTTACCTTTTTCTTGGTGATTTCGAAAAAGGAGACGGTCATGTCGTGACGATGTTCACCGTGGATGACGGCGATACGCTTGCCGCGTGGCTCCCAGGCAAAGGCCTTGACTTGGGCCGACACTTCAAAGTTCTCAATTGGCACGTTGGACTCGTGCATACGGAAGAGTTCGAAATTGGTGGCGGGGGCGGTTGGTTGATTCTTTTTGAGCTTCTTGTCAACCTTTACGCAGAGGTAGTCACCGGCATTTTGCCAATGGAAACGGGCGTCCAAAGCCTCCCAGATGGGCTTCTCGGCGAGCACCTTTTTCGATGGCACTTCGAGGACGGTGATCTTGGCGGGCAAACCATCGGTACATGGCACAAAGTAGGCGAGAGCGAGATCGCTTGGTGACCACGAAAAGTCCTTGACACGTGGGATGGGGACGGTCTTGTTGTCGAGCAAGTTGCAAGATGGTGCTTCGTAGATGTCGATGCCCTTGTCGGCTTGTTGACGAGCAAAGTAACGGTCCTTGGCCGACCAGTGGAAAGCGGGCCACGAGAAGTGTTCCTTGGGTGGGGCAACAAAGCCACGGAGCTTCTTGCCGCTACGAATGTCCCAGACAATGATCGACTTGGGGTCCTTTGGATCGTCGTTGGTGACTGGTGCAAAGGTGACCAAGTACTTGTCCTCTGGTGAAAAGTCGATCAATTGGACGCCACGGTGCTTAAACTCGGCGATTTGTGTCCAGTTTTCACCGCCAAACAAGACGATACGGTCGGGGTGGAAGGTGACCAAGTAGGTGCCGCTGTTGGACCATTGGACGTAGGAGCTGGTCCATTGGGTCTTGGCAATCTCAGAGGTTGGCTTGCCAAGGTTCATTTCGTTCCAACAAATCTCGGTCGTGTCACCATAACGGAGAACAAACTCGTCGTAACCCTTGAGTGACTTTTCATTGTACAACCAGTTGTTGTTGTTTTCTTTGATGACAAACTCTTCGGCCTTTGGTTCAGTGTACACTGCTGGGAAGTTCATCAACTTCTTGTGATCGTCCAACAAATTGACACGCAATGTATGTTTGGTATCCAATGCATAATTGTTAATATTGTTAAAAGCATCAATTGCTCCTTCCTTTTTAACATATTCAATAAAACAATAACTAGAAAAGTAAAGTATAGTAAAGTATAAAGTAAAAGTATAAAGAAAGTAACAAAAGTTAGAATTGATTGATTGATTGAGTTTGTTTGATCATATGATATATATGTTTTATGTAGATTACAATACCCTTTAGTTAACTTCTTTTCAGTTAATGGCATGTAGAAACCATTTGGAGCAATTTCAAAGTTCTTTGAGTAGACTCTGTGTAATACAGCCTTTAACTTGTCATGCTTTGATTCTACAACTTCATTTGGGATATTGTCAATGATGATGTAGTTGGCAAATGAGGTGTTGAGTTGAACTGGTGGTTCCATATCATCGAGTTTGATGTTATTGATTTCTTCCTCATCGATGAGATAATCTTCATCTTCATCTTCATAATTATTATTGTTATTATGTGTCATCTTTTCTTCTTCTTCTTTCCTTTCTTTCTACGTATAGAGATAGATAGAGATAGGTGTAAAAAAAAAAGTTGTGGAGATACAAAGATAAAGATAAGTTTTTTTGTAATCTTCAAGCAGAGAGTTCACGAAAAAAAAAAAGATGAAAAAAAGGATTAAAAAAAAATTGAGAAAAAAACGAACGATCAAAATGGAGATAGTAAAGTTTATAATTTATATTATATATTTATTTTGGGATACTATTATTGATATCTTTTTTAGATAGATAACGAGCAAATAACTCATGGATTAGTGTACCACCTTGATAGTTACCAGCGGGTGGTACCATATCAATGAATGTTTGTGACATGTGGGATACTAAAAACTCGGCGATATGGGGATACCCATAGGATTGATGGATAAGATGAGGATGACATCCTTCGGATGAGTTGAAATGAAGGAATCTAAGTGCATCCATAGTATTGGTAGTGACTACACTTTGCATTAGTGTTTTGGTAAATGCGAATCCACTAGCATGCAAATTGATCAAATTCTGTAAAAGTGATAGACCATGGTGTTGAGGTATGTGGTCGACCCTGTATTCTTTGGGTGCCATAGTCATCATATTTTTATCGGCAATGTAATCCAACAGTGGCTTGGAATTCTCCTTTGACAACAACGCTGAAATAGAGTTGGGAGGGAAGGTCATGGTGATGGGTGATCGACTTGGGTCAGCTGCCACTAGATCTTGATTTAATCGTGTGATCAAGACGTCCCATACAAATTTGAACATTTCAAATCTATTTTGTTCTGTCAATTTTGACATGTGGATCGATAATTCCAATACTATATCTTTAAAGATTGGTTTAAAGACTTGATAAATCTCGTCGTCTGTAAGGTCTGGTTCATACCTCATAATCTCTTCCAATGATGTAGTTGTTTGATATCCGTTGTCGAGTTGGATATCAGTCATCATTTGTTGTTGGAATTTGTAGGCACGAACTAGATAACGTAACAATTTGACTGAACCAGATGTTATGGAGAGCAGGAGATTATGGTGTGTGATGGTAACCTTTACTTGTTCCACTAGATATTTGATGTTTTGTATAGTACCTTCGATAGCGACTGACATATTGTTGTTAGAGGTAATGTTGGATGCTCTGGTCAGTTCACGTTCCAATGCGTGTTGTTCGAGATGTCCATTCTTGCTCTTGTACTTGTTACCTCTTGCATTGAGCAGTTTATACATTTCGAGAGGACTGTCAAAGTTACAAGCAACTAGATAAAACAACCCTTTGCTTTGATTGGCAAACACGTTTGAACCAAACAACCCACCAGTAGGTTGCGGACCAAACGGGTTGGTAAAGAGAGTTTGTGGTGGTGGTGGTGGTGGAGAAGGAGATAATTCAGCATTGGGAATGATGACATCATATCCATGCTCATCCAACCACTTGAACACAGTTATTGAACGCAATACAATGGCACGTTCATACAAATCATAATAATTGTCCTTTTTTTTTCTAAAGGATAGCAGTTTCTCTAGAAACGCCATTTCATTTTGTTGGATGGCCAATGAATAGATGTTGCTGTTGTTGTCTGGAATATCGATATCACCATGTTCATCAATATACTTTGTAATCATGTGTTTGGCGAAATTAGTGTACTTGTTCTTTGTCAGAATATCATCGACCACTTGCGTCATTGTAATGATTCCACGTTCGATAAACAAATCCATTGTCTCTTTATGGTAGATATTGTCCATCATTGATGGCGAGTATCCCTCTGATCGATTATTCAACAAAAATCTAATAATATCAACCTTGTTGTTTCGGATGGCTCCTTCAAGAGCCTTCATTGTACATCCCTCCGTTCTATTTTCATGTAATAATCTTATCATCTCCAAATTGCCATTCTGAGCAGCAGTATCCATTGCATTTGATGTTGCACTAGTATTCTTTTTATCAAGTAAATACTAAAAATAAAATAAGAAAATAAGAAATAATTAAGAATTAATATATATTTTGATTATTTTGAATATATATAAATTATATTTTTTTTACATACATTAAATAAGATTATATTATTTGATTGAATTGCCCAATCAAGTAAAGAGGCTGAACAAGATTCATTTCTATTTTCATGAATGAATTTGGCGCCCTTGACAAACCCTCTTTGACAGACATGTTGCATTAAGGGAGGTTCAAATATCTCGTCGAATCTAGAGTCTTCCAAACTCATCTTGTGCATTCTAACCAATATCTTGTAGCATTTCTCATTTTCACCGCCTCCCATTGCAATCAAAATACTTTTCTTTAAATTTGTAATTAATGTTGGTATTTTCAAGTCACCAATATTATTAAAATCATGATTTCCAGTATTATTCAATTTAGATTCATCTTCTAATTCTGGTGACTTTCTTTTTAAATTATTATTATTATTATTATGATTATTATACATATTATTATTATTATTATTATTATTTTGATTATTTTGATTATTATTATTATTTTCTTTGTTGTTTTGTTGTTGTTGTTTAATTTTTTTAATTTCTTTAAATGATTTAAAAATGTTGAATGATTGAACTTGATAATTTTGAGTTTGATCTTTATACAATTTAACCTTTGATAGGTAGGTTTCATAAACATGACTGTACAACTCTGGTTCAAAGTATTGTGATGCAGCCGACTCTAAATAGTAATATACCTCTTTCATATATTTCCCATAACGTTGCATAATGAAATCAATCAATTCCTTTGCCAATTTAAATGGCATTTGTCCTACATTTGGTGAGTTGTTCCAATTCTGAGAATGCCAAAAATTGTATCTCTTTGTACAAATTGTCTTTAAAATTAATTGTAAATTTGGTATAAATGGTGGTGATGACGACGACGACGATACTGTATCCGATGATGGCGAATCAGATTCCGACAACAAGGTAGGTTTAACCTTTTTAAATTCTCTACCACCATCTTGATCTTGCACTTGCAACACTTGACCATTGGTTGATTCACCTTCTTCAATGGAAGGTTTAGTAGTATCGAACCACTTGAATTTAGAGTACCTTTGTTCTTCTCTAAAGATTGATTTCTTGAATTCTTCATAATAGTCGTATCTGATCAACATCAAGGGATAGTCTAACATCTCATTCCAAGTGATCGACTTGAGAATTGGGTTACCCCATTGATGCAACATCATCAGTCGATTGATCACCTTGACATCGTCAAACACCTTTCTTCGCAGCGATGAGTTGTGAATCACAAACTTGAGGCAACGCATCAGATCATCTTTACGTTGTTGATGCTCTCTTTTGTTCTTTGCCTTTTCTGCTTCTGATTTCTCCTCTACTGCTGCTGCTGCACCATTTGGTTGAAAGAATCCAAACATAATTTACAATAAATAAATATTAAAATGATGATATTTAAAAAAAAAATGAAGTATAGTATAGTATTTGTAAAATAAAAATAATAATAATAATAAGTCCGAAGTGTCTTTACAAAGTGGAATCTTCTCAGAAATGGCACTTTTTTTTTTTACCATCGACCTCACAACAAGAAAGGAATCAGTTCGTTACCACGTCTCTATTCTTTAAAGTGCTTGACCAATCATATTTATATAAATATATATATATTATATCTGAAAGCTATATCAACCAATCTAAATATTTTGTTTCCAACAGCAACTGTGAGAGATGAGCAAACACTTTGTTTGTTAATGGTTTTGGGTGATAAGTAACACACCCCTGCATATATCATGATGCGACATCGCAGACATAAATGGATGATGGACTGATGTGATGTAATCGAATACGTCAACGATATCGTATTCATTCATTATCTCCTGTACTACTACTATTACTATTATTATTATTATTATATATATCTAGATATATTTAAATAGAATAGAATAGAATAGAATGATTAGAGTTGCCAATATTGTTATATTTACTATGTTTGCTTGCTCATGGTATGTAATTACGATAATGCAGATGGGAAGAAGATATACAGTAATTAATTAATGTTTGATTTAAATTTAGGGTATTACTTATTATATCATTTGGTACATATTGGTATAAAGAAGTAATATATGGGTTATCAGATGATGATAAGACTATTTACTTTACATCATATAAAGATATAAAGGTTATAACAAAACACAATGAATATACTAGTGATATTCAATCACCATCAAAACACCAAAAAGAAATATTAAGATCATCATTTGCTTTGGCCATTACTACATGGTTAACTGTATCTTTATTATTGACATTTATCATATTCTCATTCTTGGGTGTATTACATAAATCTCCCATTCCACTTGCAAGACTAACCAAATACATACTTGCACCAATTGCATTTACAATGGGATTTACCTCTATATTTGTTTTTGTTCATCTTGGTGTTGCTAAACATAGGTATGTTAAACAATCAATCAATCACAATCAATCAATCACATCAATCAATCAATCAAAAATATAAATATATATTTATTTACTATTATTTAGGGATTGTTTAACAGTTTATGGTCACAATGAAACCTCATGCCAAGATGAGGAAATGGAACAAAAATTCATATTTAATCATATTCGAAATGGTACTAGTGATGATACAAGTTATAGAGTAACCGGTGATCCATACATTGGATGGATCACTTTAGTTATGAGTACATGTTTTATTTTTATTGGTGGTATCATCTCTATATTTTTGGCCAATTATAATGATTCTAATAATATTAATAATAATAAGAATAAGAATAATAATAATAAGAATCAATCTTCATCCTCTTCCTTTACCCAGGCTACAGTTTCGAAAGTATAATAATAATAATAATAATAATAATATTAATTATTCTGATAAACATTAATGGATCTGATTAAATTCAAATTTAACATTTTTGTTTATAATTTATATTATTTCAATCTTATTATTATTATTATTATTATTTATGATAAAGTAAATTCAAACTTGTTAACAACTTTTAAAAAAAGCAACCTTGCCAAGATCTTTAATTATGATTTTCAAATGGTGTCATCTTAATCTAACCAGAATATTGCAACTTGTAAATGACAACAAGATAAAAAGTCAAGTCAAAGTTTGGTTTTCCAAAGATGGATTGATGGTGGGTGAGTGGTATTAGTATAGTGATCGATCGTTCAAAAATACTACTACTATTTTTGATCACCCACACCACTCCACCACCCACCCTCCTATTCTCCAGAATTCGCTCTAGCTACAACGTTGTTGCGAATCAGGAAATGTAAATTCGTCCAATTGGACGACGTTCTATTGCCAAATGCTACTACTTTCTACTTCTACTATGTATGCATCACGGTGATGGAATGTATTTTTACCAGAATATATATATATATATATATATGTGGGTTCATAGAATGGATCAAGAAGGGTATAAACTAAATAATCTATCATTTTTAGCATACAGTCCATCCATCCATCCGTCCATCCATAAAACACAAACAACACATTCAGTCGGCCATCTTGGCAATGAATATGACACCATTGGATTATTATTATTATTATTATTATTATTCGTGATCGATATCGTACATAATTAATATTCTATTAATATATTCCTACAAAACTACATTTATTTATTTATTTCCCTAAACTGAATCGACTATTATAGAAAAAATGAAACTTAGATTAGGAAATATAACTGTTTTCTTTGTATTTGCAATAGCATGGTACGTAAACAAAATAAAATAAAATAATTAATAATCTAAAATATATATTAATTTTTAAAATATTTTTAATTTATAAAGGGTATTATTAATGGGATCATTTGGATGTTATTGGTATAAACAGGTAAAAGGAGATACTGAAACTTTAATATCATATAATCATGTCAAGATAATATCACCTTCTGGTCAAGAAGAAGATCACACACATATAGAAGCTCCAAGTCGTAGACAAACAGCAATATTCCAAGCAGCTTTTGGAATGGCAATCCTATCATGGGTAGTTTTAGGATTTATTTTAACATTTAATATGTTGGCCACCCTACATATGCTTCATAAAATAAGTCCTAAATTATCAACTTTTACAAAATGTTTTTTACCATCTATATCATTTGTTCTTGGTATAATGTCTGTTTTAATATTTGTTGGTTTAGGTGAAGCTAGAAAAAGGTAAATATCTTTAAAAAAAATATCCATATATATTACCAAAAATATTTAATATTAATTACCATTTAATTTAAATTAGAGATTATTGTTGGGAAAAATATGATACTGAAAATTGTGATGGTTCCGAGGACCCAACATCATTTAACCGAATCTCACCAACATTTAAATTTGTGTATGATGTTGATAAAGGGGATCCTTATGATCATCGTTATGGTGGTCCGTATACTGGATGGATCTGTGTACTTATCAGTTCAGCCCTTATATTTGTTGGAGGTATATTCTCTTATACATGGGCTGGATATCATGGTCCTCCAGCCCGTCGCTCATCGCCAACAATATCCACCCCCTCCACCTCATCCACTCATCCATCATCATCTTCACGACCAATTGCCGATCAAATAGATAAAAAACCACTTCCACCAACTCCAACTCCGACACATAATAAAATAGAAATAGGAAACTCAAATTATGTTTAATAATAGTAATATTTAAATATTTAAATAAAACCAAGAGATACAGCTTGTATTTACTAGTTTCGCGCCAATTTTTCAAAAATTTAAAAAACTTTGTGTTACTTCTTACCGGAATTTGGTCACAAGACATTCTTTATCTTGCACAGTATATAGTGTACACTAATATAATATAAGACGATCAGTCAGTAGTCTCTATTCATTCATTTTAATAGAGATATTATTATTATTCGGTCGGTCGGTCGTGTGTGTGGCGATATATTTATGGTTGTTAAAAGATGATTACAGGAGCATCTATACATAATCAAATCAATAATAATAGTACATCTAAAAAGGAGGAGAAAAAGTCTGTACAAAATGTTCAAGCGTTTGTTCGTGTACGTCCACTCTCACCGCTAGAGTTACAATCAAAGGAAGCTTCACCATTGGATTGCATATCAAATAAAGATATAGTATGTACATATAAAGGATCAACTAGACAATATCAATTTGATCATGTATTTCCTCAAGGTATGTAGTTGTAATGGTTGATTGATTATTATACTTAAGATTGACTGACTCTCTGACTTTACTTTTTTAAGATTCAAGACAACAAGATTTATTTGATGTTGGAGTTAGACCAATTGCAGATGAAGTATTAAATGGATTTAATGGGACTATATTTGTGTATGGTCAAACTGGTACTGGAAAGACATATACAATGGAAGGAAAGATGGATATGCAAGAAGAATATGGTATCATTCCACGAACTATTCATTATATCTTTCAAACTTTGGAAAAAGCTGGATCAGATTATAATGTGCGAGTCAGTCATTTGGAAATATACAAAGAAGAGATCTATGATTTATTGGCTTGTAATAGTTCAAATGAACATAAATCTTTAAATGTTTATGGTAAATATATAAATAGAAAGAAAAAGAATGATAGAGAGATGAAAGATGGTAATTAACTTTAATTTAATTTTTAGATTCTAGAAAAGGAACAACTGTACCAGATTTAGAAGAGATAGTAGTAAGTGATACACAATCTATCATGTCTATATTATCAAAGAGTTGTAAGAGAAGACAGACTGCTGAAACACTGTATAATAAACAGTCGTCTCGATCTCATTGTATATTTTCAGTTACCATTCACATTAAAGAGACTACGTTGGGTGGTGAAGACCTCATCAAGATTGGAAAGTTGAATTTGGTCGATTTGGCTGGTTCTGAAAATGCACAGAAATCAGGTAGCAATAATGAACGTCTGAGAGAGGCATCGGTCATTAACCAGAGTCTTCTTACACTTGGAAGAGTTATCTCGGCATTGACTAGTGACACTAATAGTCATATACCATACCGTGACAGTAAATTGACTAGACTACTTCAAGATTCACTCGGTGGTAAAACAAAGACATCTATTATTGCAACAGTGTCTCCATCATCAATCAACTTGGAAGAGACTGTCAATACATTGGATTACGCATTCAAGGCTAAAAACATTAAAAACACTCCACAAATCAATCAGAAAATGTCTAAAAACTCGTTACTCAAAGAACAAGCAGCAGAAATTGGTCGTCTCAAACAATTGTTACAAGCTGCCTATGACAAGAATGGTGTCTATCTTACAATGGATGTCTATAAAACAATGGAACAAACTATCGATGAACAAAAGGCTAAATTATCAAACATGGATTTACAATATCACAATGACACTAAACAAATTCAATATCTAAGACAAAGTTTAATTGGTTTTAATGTATTGTATCAACAAAAAAGGGAAAAGATTGAAAGAGAATGAATATTAATATCAATATTAATAATATTCTTTTTTTATTTAGACAAAATTTAATAACATGGAAAAAGAAAATATTTTAATTAAAGAGGAATACCAACAACAATCAAATAGATTGGAGGAATGGAAAAATGATGATTCAATATTAAGAGATACTATTGAATTGGCAATTAATGATTTATCTCATCTTCATATGAAAATTGGTAAGAACAAAAGAAGTTTCAAAAAAAAAGAAAGTATAAATATTTAGGAATGTTATTAATAACTTTATTATTTATTTTGGTGTTTAGATAAAATGAAATCAAATGAAATAGAAAATCAAAAAAATAATACAAAGTCAAAGAAAGAGTTGGTGGAAAAGATTGGAGAATTAAATGAAATTCAAACCAATGTATTATTAACAAATATTAATTTATATCAATCTATTAAATCGGATTTATTGGATTTTCAATCAACTCAACAAACTGTAACTATATAGATTAAAAATATATTTATATATATATATACATATGATAGCTGATACTTACTAATTTATATTTAAATTTAAATTTCGTTTAGGAAACAAATAATTTAACAAATAATGTAAATAGAATGAATGTATTAATGAATGGAGTATCTGAGAAAATATCTATGATTTCAAATAGTTTATTAGATTCAACATTACCACTCTCTAAATTACCAGGAGAGAATAGTTCATTGGTGTCAACGTTGGACAAGACATTGACAAGTCTAAAGCATCAATTTGAACAGTTTGTGGGTGACTTGGAGAGTAAGATGGCTGGTAATGGCGACAAGATTAAAGAGTTGATTGATGGTTGTATCGATTCGTTTGACATTGTTGCTGAAAAGAATAGAGTGGCCACAGAGCAACAACACGAAGAGTTGCAAAAGGTGATTGACGTACTCAACAAAACACTGGAGGAAAAGAATGCATTGATAGCCACACAAAAACAACAACACCAAGAATTGTTGGATAAACAGGTCAAGGCAAAGTTGGCGTGGGAAAAGAAATTGGTGACCAAGATGACACAGGTCATTACACAGATGAGCGACAGTTTGTACCAGACACAATCAAGTGTCTATGAACAAGCTATGAATGACCAGATTGCTAGTTTGACAAATAGCAACGATCAATTTAAAGAGACCATGTCAAATAGTTTGACTAGTTTGCACGACACGATTGATAACCAACAATTAATGTCTACTACTGCACAGACCAAGACTAGTCTCGAGGCATTAAAGGAGAGTATCTATGAAGCACAACAAGATAGAGACAATATAATCGATCGAGGAATGATCAAAAAGATTGAAAAGACTACCAACATGTGCACGGCAACCAACAACAAACACAAACAGTCAATGAGTAATCTGACACCTGTTATTCAGTCGATTAACAAATCAATGATTGATCAACAAGAGGTGGTCTCAATGGTCAAAGAATGTGAATCGATATTGGTCACCAACAACACCACTGCCAAGACCCACCAACAACACCTTGACAAACATGTCACCAAAGCAGTATCGTCTATTGACAATCAACTCGAACAACTTGGTCAACACTCTAAAAGTCTTAGAATGTTATCCGATCCCAACCAATTATTAAATTCCATTCCAACTTTATTCCAGTCAAAGACAACCGAACAAACTGGAACCACCCCAAATAGGAAATCATTTGTATATCCTTCCAAAAAGGAATTTAAAATCAATTCAATTAATCAATTGGTCAAGAGCAATAATATTAATCAAAAAGAAGAAGAAGAAGAAGAAAGACAAGTAGAAGAAGAAAATATTATTACTGAAAAGGTACCTTTGGATGAAAATGAAAATGAAAATGAAACAACAATGCTAGATGATGATAATGATATTGAAAATCATTTAATGAATCAATTTGGACAACAACAACAGACAAGACCAAAAACACCAACCACTCCAATTCGAGCTATATTTGATAAATTCAATAGTCCATTTGTAAATCAACCTTCTTTATTGAACAATAATAATAATAATAATAATATATCACCATCATCTAATAATAATAATAATAATAATAATACAAAACCACTATTCCAATTTATGGCATCACAAACTAAAAAGAATATAGCGACAAGGAAATCAATGATGGGATCACCATCATCTTCTCCATCATCCAACAATAATATTAATAATATTAATAATAGTCCATCATCTTCTAATAATAATAATAATTTATCACCAATGATTTTTAATAATAATAATAATAATAATACTGGAAATCATTTAAAGAGAAAGAATGCTGAACCTCCATCTTCTTCCTCTTCTACTGGCGGCAGTAGTTTATCCTCATCAGGGTTATCAGGTTCAACTTTATCCATTTTGTCGTCATCGACATCCTCCAATCTTAGTGTCAGTGATATTGATTCAATATCAACATCCTCCTCCTCAACCATTTCACAACAACCTTTAAAAAAGAGTAAAGGCGCTTCAAGTACTATCCCTATTACCACCACTACAAGTAGTAGTAGTAGGTCAACCATTGGTGGTGGTGTAAAAACCAGTAGTACCAGAAAACCTCCAACATCAGCAGCTTCTATTAAAAAGAAACCATCATCAGCTGCCACTACCACAGCGACCTGGAGAAACAAACAAACTACAGCAACTACCAATCCACCAACAACAATACCATCTCAACGTTCATCATCATCTTTAAAATCATCAACTTTGACCAAAGGAAAGGAAAATATCTTATTCTCTAATTAATTATTCAAATATATAAATTGTATATCAACCAATCTTTTCTTATTTTAACAAAAGACAACCTATCATATATATATATTTAGAAGAGATCGCTATCCTCCTTTCTGATAAATAATGGAGCTTGGGTTTGTTTCTAATTAGACATTTGAATATTTTAGTAGTTGTGAATTAAATAAAATATAAATAGTGATATGTATATTTGATTTCTGTGTGTTTGAAACTGAGATGAGAATACCTATATTTTTAATAGTTACCGAGGTTTGAAGATGGCTTGGCACAATATTGGTGGCATTTATTTAGTATTATCGTAATTGAACGATCTACGCACTAGATAAAAGTATAGTAGCTCTTTGAATTACGATAATACTAAATAGCCTGTTGGTCGGCTTCCTTGTGTTAATAGCTTGGCCGCTCCTCACAAAAACTTGATTGTTTAGTTAGGCGTTTGTTGGTTTTGAATATAAAGTTTTGAGTTTAAATGAAAGAATAGTATTTAAAATGTGTTGAAATCAACATTGAATTAACATACAAAGGAAAACTCCATATTGTGACGAACCAGGATGTCAATCAACCATTCTTTTAAGTTTGTCATCAAAATTGCAATTGGATTCAGATCTGGGTCAAGGAGTGCAAAACGGAGGATTTGATAATTTGCAACCATCTCGTCTACCTTGAGTTTGGCAAATGTTCTCGATAGCATTTTGTTATCGAGAAAATCTCTTTTGCTTGGACATCTTGTGCAGAATTCTGTATAGAGTAAACAAAGAATAAAATAAAAATTAATTTATTATTACACATCATAACTGTCACAGACTGTTATACATACATAATCTCTTGGACTATTACTGCTTTTGCGTGTGTCTATGTCCATCACCTTTGAGATGATGGCCTCCACGATTAGAGAATCCCATCGAATCGGCGAAGTCAACCGATTTTCCATTTTTTCAACTCGAAAAAGTAATACCAAAGTATTACGACATGAGTGTTCTTTCAAAGAACAAAACAAATGGTAAAATACATGAAATCGATCAATTAGTTCATGAACTTATCTGAATGATTCATGTTCAAAAAAAAAAAGGTTGATGATATCTTACTGTTATTAAAGTCGTATACAAATATTAAAAAAAATTGGCCTACTAACCTCTTAACAGAGTGATAGTATCTTGCATATTGGCCGAGATGTGTCACAAACAAGTTTTGTTCGTTATTCCACTTCTTACCCATGAGACGATCGAGAGGGTATTGAGTTGTTCTTGTCTCTGTTGTGGATGGAAGTGGGCCATTCATGATGACCACTGTGCGATATATACTATAGTGAACCTCAATTAGAAGACAAATGTTCAAACCTCGCAATGTACAGTACTGACCTAACTAAGGCACGCAAAAAGATCGCACTATCAAATGAGAAAAAAAAAAAAAAAAAAAAAAAAAAAAAAAAAAAAAAAAAAAAAAAAAAAAAATGTAGCATCAAAAACTGCCAACACCATGCATATAGCGTTGAAGATCCAAAGCACTTACACCTCTTGTGTTGTGCTTGTCTTTTTATTTTGATTAATCGTGATCCGAAGGTATCGTCCACTGCACACATTGTTTTGTCGAAATACTATGAGATAGGTATTGAAGAATACTATTTTTTTTGTTTGAATAATCTTTGAATAGAAGAACCAATGTCACCAATAGATACATCTTTTTGTTCTCTTTCTGATTATATCATTTGTTTTTCCATACAATGCTTTCCAGACCTCATCCTAGCCCATGGCTAAAGGCGACTTTAAGGAAAGTACATTTTAGCAGGGTGACCCTCTCGCAAATTTTTTTCAACACCATTTGATAGATAATGTAAAGATCTATCGATTGGTAAAAGAATGATTAAAAATAAAGAAGACCATAGAGAGAAATAAATTTCACAAATAAATAGATTCTGAGGCGGTCCACCAACCAAAAATTTCATAACCCCTATAAAAAAAATAAATATTCATTTTAATTTAATTTTTCATTTTTTCTTAATATAAGAGAGGTACGAACTAGTAATTAAATTAATTGTATATTAGTTGAAGGATCTGATATATATAATATATATATATATATATGGCGACACCGATAGAGAATCAAATGGCTATGGGTGTTGATACACCAACCAATTCAAATGAAGAGTGGAGATCACAAATACAGACCTATGAACGTGAGAATATGATCACAAACATGTATGTACTATATATATATATAGTACAACCAATCATCATCATCAACTGTTGAATGAGTTGTTATTGACCGTTGTTATCTTCTCTATCTCTATCTCTAGAGCTACATTATGTCAGAAACAGTATCCTAGTAAAACACCTGATGAACTTCGTTCGATTGCTAGTAATCTTGAACAAAAAGTATTCAATAATCCTGCTCATGATACTGTATGTATTGTATATTATATATATCTTTCTATCAAAGTAATACACAATCATCTAATCAATCTATCTAATGCTTGTCTCCTCTCCCTAGAAACAAAAATACATTAACCAAATTGCAACCATCATCTTCAAATTGCAAAGTGCAGGAGGTGGTGCCACAACACCTCAACAAACTCTACCATCCCCAATACAAACAACTCCTATTCAAGTACAGAACAATAATAATCAAATGTTACAACAACAACAACAACAACAACAACAACTACAACAGCAACAATTACAACAACAACAATTACAGCAACAACAATTACAACAGCAACAATTACAATTACAACAACAGCAACAATTACAACAACAACAACAAGGAGGAGGAATGAACCCTAACCAACAAATTGCAAGACCACAGCAGCAACAACAACCTACTCAACAACAACAACCAGTTGTTAATAATCCTCAACCAAATGGTGGTGTACCAAGATCAAATTACTCTACCAATGCACCACCACCTCAACCTTTTGGTGTTGGAGGTAATCCTCAGACCAACACCAACAATGTCCCAACCAACAATAATAACATGCAACCTCAACAAACACCAACAATTGGGTCGTTGTATGGATATACAACAGGAAATCCACATACTGATGCTCTTTTTGCTCAATTGGTGGTACCAAAATTTGAGCAACATAGAACGGCAGAAAAGAATGAAGAGATTAGAGCAGAAATAAGTCTGTTGGGACCAAAGTTTGGAGGACAAGACCGATTATATCAACATATTACTGGTTGGGGTCAGGCAAAGCAAAGACTCCAACAATTGTATCAACAAAGAATGGCTGCTGCCGCTGCTGCCGCTGCAGGAGGAGGAGGAGGAGGAGGAGGAGGAGGAGCAGCAGGAGGGGGTACCGCATCTACAACTGCTAGTGGAGTTGGTCAACCACAAATCCCTACTTCCAAACCAATGGCAGTCAATTCTCCCGTTACATCCCAAATAATGGGTCCAAATAATACTAATACAATTACTACACCTGTCAACAACAACAACAATATGCAATCACCCGTAGTTATTAATAATACAACTACTCCAACTCAACCCAATAATATGATCCAACAACCTCAACAACCTCAACAACAACAACCTCAACCTCAACAACCACTTCAACAACAAAATAATCAAACCTCAACCATTACATCAATACCAGCATCAAGTATTGGTCAAATGGCACAAAATCCAGCATTATATAAAATGTTTTGGGACAAGATTAAAACATTAAGAAACTATGTTCCAGCCATTGAAAATATGATCAAAACATCACCAAATCAAGAACAAAATCAACGTGTTGCTAGTGCCAAAAAGAGAATTCAAGAGTATATTGCTTTTGTAAGACAATCAGATTACTCCATCCTCATCACCCAAGCAAAAATGGAAGAACTTTTAACAATTGAAAAACAATTTTCAACCATATTCTCTGGAAATGATGAAGATCAATTAAAGAAAATACTTGAATATATTTCAAAATTACATGAAGGTAAATAATAATATTTAAATAATAATTATATTACCTTTTTTTTTTAACACTTTTTATTTTATTTATTTTTTAGAATCATTATTATCATGTGAAAAAGATATGTTGATGGTATTTGAAAAATCAAGAAAAGTGGTACCACAATCAATTATGGATAGAGCAGGTGGAGTAACCAATCGATCATCAATGTTGTGGTTCAAGAATCCAACCATTTTCAATACATTTTCAAAATCAAAACCAAGTACTGAGATTGTAGCTGAAAAGAAACATGCCATTTCAAAAGATGTCAATAGCGACTATGTAAATTTAAAGAAACAAAAATTATCAAAACAAATCAAATCATTGGATATTCAAAATCAACAACCTCCTCTTAATAATCAAATCAATACTGAAGAGTAAATATAAATAAGAAAAAAAAAAACCTATAGAAGAAGAAGAAGAAGAAGAGTATTAACAATTAGTTGTCTTTTTAGATTAAAAAAACAATTTATTTTATTGGCAAAGATTGATGATTCATTATCAAATATTCAAGAGGTTGATAATAATACCATTGTCATTTCAGAAATCACAGATAGTAGTAAAAAGAATTTATATATACATTTTCAAAATTCAATTTCTAATATTTGGAATGGCAATGACAATGGTGATGATCAACAAGAAGAAGAAGAATCCAACAAACCATTATTTATTAAACAAACACCATATATACAAATTTCAACCGATGGAGATATAGTACAAATTCAACCATTATGTAACTTTGATTTATGGTACAATGCAAAAAGTGTCATTTCTTCATTCAAGCAATCAATCTTTCGTTTTGATTGTATAAAGAGTGAATTGGAAAAGGCAAAGACATTTAAACAACTCAATGTCTCTAACAAACTAGATGAAAAGTCAATGAAATTATTGATCACTGTAACTCATCAACTTCCATCTTTATCCTTAATCATTGAAGTTCCAGATAAATATCCTTTAGAATCAATTAATTTTAATTATCCTCCAGAATATGGTAATGAAAAAACAAAAAAGATCAACTATATGTGTGAATATAATCAAACTAATATTGTATATTTATTTATTTTAGATTTATCACCATCAATTAAACAATTATTTAATAATGTTAGAAATGAATTTAACAAATTATTGTTGACACAAAATACCAGTATTCCAATAACAAATAATGGTAATAATAATTCACCAACAACTACTCCACAATTGGGACCACAACAACAACAAACGCAACCACAAATGAACATAAATAATAACAATTCAAGTACTATTAATAGTTTGGGTAGTCATGGTTATGGTGATAATATTTACAATTTAATCAAAGTTTATCAAAATGTTTTAAATTCAACTTTAAAGTTAAAATAAAGAAGAAGGATTCTTTTTGATTATTTATTATTTAGATCCAAGAATAATAAATAAACTTTCAAATTGTATTGTATTTTGTGTAGATGATATTGGATAATTATTTTCTTGAGTGGTTTCTACATAAATATGGTCATTCTCGAGAGCATATGTATGATTATTAATGACTGTATACTGTTGATTGGGGTAAATTGAAATATAAGCAGTTTCCTCTAATCTATAGAAATTAATATAATTGGCTGGATAAGATGAGTGTACATGTTTACGACTAGTACTGTTGAAACTTGTTGTTGTTGGTACTGTTGAGGAAAGAGGAGGAGTTTGAAAGTTAAATTTATGAATAGACCTAGGTTTACTATTATTCAAGAATCTATTAATTGGTAATTCAAATTTAAGGTAATCTCCTTTATCCCAAAATATTTGTTGTATCTTTATCACCATTATACTATTAATATTATTATTATTATTACCGTGTTGGTTGTTAAAATTTGTTGGATAGAATTGAATTGCTACACCTGAAGGTACCATAGTTTGAAACATTTTAAAATGTTGATTGTTTGGAACATTCAAATTAAAAGGTATTCCACTACCAAGATCAACCACATTACCATCTCCCATTGTCATTTCCAAATGACATTGTTCTTCTTCCACATTAATGTTTGTGTTGTTGTTGTTGTTGTTGTTTGATATATCTTGTTGTTCGAAATGTACCAATACATTGAATTGAATAAATGAAGAGAATGAATTATCACAGAATAAAACTCCAGGCCACCATTCCAATGATTGACAAATAGGAAGAACTCTAAAGAATTCAATGTCTCTTACAATTGTTGTAGAATCTGTTTGTGATTGTATATCCTTTAAAAATTGGTATTTATCTACTACTGGTTGTATGGATCTATCTCTACTACTACCACTACTATCTTTTTTTGATGTAGTACTACCATCCAAATCCTTTACATACTCTGTTAATAGATTATTTTGTTTAAATTCAATTGGATGAATAATATTTTTATAATCTATATCATTTAAATAAATAATCTAAAAAAAAAGAATACAAAATAAATAAATATATGATATCATATATGTCTATATTAATTATTTACCTTTGTTAAATCATTTGTAGTAAAAGTGATTGGATATTTGAATGATTTAAATGAGCATTGATCAATTAATAGTGTACCATCAATTAATTCTATCGCATGGGAATCTTCTTCTTCTTCTTGATGACTTCCAATAAAACGAGAGTTTGATATGATTTGAATGATGGAAGGAGATGATGTAGAGAATAGATGATTACTTAGAAGCATATCACCTTTGATTAATACACCCATTCCATTATGAATAAATGATGAATCCAATATTGATACATTTCTAATTTTAGACCATACTCCAATCTTGTTTGAGATACATAATAGTCCTCTTAGTACTATTGATGTCATTGGTTCAATAAATAATTGTTGTTGTTGGTTGTTTGGTGAATAATAATCTACAACTACTCCATATTTGTTATGAATAGATGTATTATTTGTAAATGAATTCAATACATTACTATTATCATTTTGATTTATAAATAATAATTTAAATCCAATAGTCGTCACTACGTCATTATCAAACGATGATGATAATGATGATGACAACTTTGATTTTAAATAATTAAATGATATATTATTATTATAACCTCCTTTCATTTCAATAAATGTAATATTGGCAGAAGTAGTAGATTCATTATTATTAATATTATTATTGATTTTGGTGTTATTAAATATAATAGTATTACCAATAATATTGGATGATGAAATATTATTTAGTTGAATGATGGTTGTTGATGTTGTATTATTGTTGTTGTTGTTGGTCATATTATTATTATTTTGATGATGATTACAAATGATTAAATTGTTTAAGACATTTAACTTTATAGTTTGTTCTTCTGCAATAATAGCATTACAAGAATGAATAATACTATTGGATATTGATAGTCTTCCACCACCTCCACCATTATTTGCACCTTTACCTCCAACTCGAAAGGTTGGACCTGATATAACAACATTTCTCTTTTCTAATCCTATCCGTGGCTGTTTTTTTAGTAGTTGTTGTCCTCTAATTATCAATTCACCTCCATTATCAATAGTAATAGTACCACTTGATTTTAAATAAAAGGTTGATCCAGGAGAAGAAGAGGAAGAAGAAGATATAATCATAGTAGCATTATTTGTGATTACAATTGATCCAACATAAAGTAAACTTGAACCATGGGTAGTATGTTTACATTGAAAAAGACCATCTTCACCATCAATTGTCAACGATGATAGAAATGGTGGGTTTATATCTAGTAATACACAAGTTGATATGACCACATTATCACCATCAATTGGTAATCTCTTGTTACTCCATGTATTGATATCTGACCATCGATTTAAATCGCTATGTTTATTATTACTACTAGTAGTTGTTGTTGTTGTTGTTTCTGTTCCATTACAACTATTGTCTTGGGTTAGTAGTAATGATACAAAGATTAATAGTAAAGATATCAAATGAATGATTCTACCTTTAAAACAATTAATCATCTTGATCAGTAGTAGTAACAATGAATCAATCAACACTCCATTTATCATTATTATGAATGGTTGGTGGTTAGGGTTTATACCACATTTTCGGAACAAACATTATCCATTATCCATTATCTCCCACTACGACTGAGTATCTATTTGTTTGGAAAGACATTACAATGTACTCAAAGGTGTGAAGTACTTCGAAGGGAAGATTTTTTCATTAATTTTTTTTTGCAAATTCGGAGAGAGTTTTGAACTCTGTCTTAAGCTTCTTGTACTGTTAAAGTATTAGTATTTTAGTATATTTTATATATAATATAATATAGAAAATGTCAAACTCAAAGCCAACCACTATTGTCGATGCATTCACTTCATGGTACATGAAGAGACTCAAATCTAACCCAATCCAAACAAAGGTATATAGATAGATAGACAGAGTAGAATAGATAGATAGATAGACAGATCTAAAATAGTACAACATATGATATCTATCTTCAACTTGACTCTTATTACTACATCTTTTACACGTACATATTGTATTAGAGATAGGGATAGAGATAGATAAGAGAACAAAAGAGAGAGACACATGAAGATGATTAAACGATATCGGCATTAATATTTACATATCATATGATTTACTATATATATATTATTTATTATTTATTATTATTAGGCTCTTACATCTGCTACATTGTCACTTGCTAGCAATGTTATTGCTCAAGGTTTGATTGAAAGAAGAAAGATTGATTGGTCACGTGTCATCAAGTTCACCATTTGGGGTTCAATCTCTTCACCATTGGTTCATTTCTGGCATATCATTCTTGATCGTCTCTTTAGAAACGTCAAGTCACAATACGCTGCTTGGGGCAAGGTATGTAATCTAAAAACAAAGTATTATTATCAATCATTGATTCTTACACCTCTTTTTAATCCCTAATCGTATTTAGTTAATCGTTGATCAATTGATTTTCGCACCATTTATCAATATTTGTTTCTATGTTGCTTTGGCATTGTTGGATCGTAAACCAAACTCTATTCTCATTAAGCTTTACCTTGATCTCTGGCCAACTCTTCTTGCCAGTTGGAAGGTATGGCCAATTGCCCAATTCATCAACTTCTCCTTTGTTCCAGCTCAACTCCGTGTCTTATTCGGTAACTTTGTTGGTTTCATGTGGTCCATCTATCTCACTATCTTGACCTCAAAAAAGAACAGAATCAACTAAACAAACAATACAATACAATACCCTAACCACCCAAATAGACTAAATTATATAAATGATTAATATTTACACATTGAAATATATATATTTTATAAACGAAACGAAAACCAACTCAAATAATAATTAATAATAATATTAATAATAATATGTAATATTTGTTTGTTTGTTTCAACTTTTAAAAAAGATTAATTGTTTATTCATATCAAAGTTGATTTTAATAATGGTATGGTTTGTTGTTTTTGGTTTGTTTTGGGTTTAGTTTTAATAATTTGAAATATTTCTACCAGGTCTCCAATCTTTACCGATTGGATGAGTTTCTTCTGTTGCATTTTCAATTTCCTTGTAGACTTTGATTGTTTTATCGGCTTCGGCGGTGATGAGTCTGGTACCGGTACGATCAAATGTGCAGGCAAAGATACCGGCTTCGGCATCGAGTGAACCTGGTTGAACGATGGTTTGGAGTTTTTGGAAACAGTATCCAGACTTCCAATCCCAAAACTGCATCGATCCATTGTCGGCGGCCGAGACGAGCACGTTGTCTTGGTTGAGGGCCATAGCGTTGACAATGGCGTTGTGGCCAGAGAGGTTCTTGATGAACCGACCCTCGGGGCACTTCCACTGCTTGATATTGTCAGCTGCACCAGTGGCAAATGAGAACTCCTTGTCGTGCATGACCATGGCACGCACTGCCTTTTTGTGGTTGGTCAACGTCGACACTTTGGTGCCTGTGGCTATATCCCAGAGACAGACGGTCGAGTCTTGCGAGCCCGAGATGAGCTGGGGGTTGGGAGCCTGTGAAAGCAGCGATCTCACCGGGCCGGCATGACCACGCAGTTGAAAGATAGCGGCCTTGGTACGCATGTCCCACACGTTGATGGTGCGGTCTCGTCCACCAGTGAATAAAATGTCCAGAGTCGGATGCAAAGCGACCGAATAGACACCGTTCTTGTGACCAAAGTAGTTACGTATTCTCTTGTTGTTTTCGAGGTCCCAACAAAACACCTTGTTGTCTTCGGCCACTGAAAAGAGGTATGGGTGGCGATTGGATATCTCCAACCCCCTCACGGCACCAATATGGCCCACCAGCGACAACTTGAGTTCTCCGCTTGCCAAATCCCACACCTTGATGATATTGTCATTGCCACCACTCACAAAGAATTGGTTGCTTACATCCACCGACAAACATCTCACCCATCCAGTGTGTCCACTCACCACTCTCATCAATTTCCATGGTGCATGCCATTCTGGTTTAACAAATTGTAATCCTTGTTGTTGTCCTTGTCCTTGTCCTTCTATATTCATTAATGATCTACTATTATTATTATTATTATTCTGTTTATTTGATAATACTAAACTATTATCAGGTTCAAGTTTTCTTCTCTTTTCATCATGTATATTATTTGAACTAGTTGATGTAGTTGCTGAAGTTGTCGAAGTTGAAGTTGAAGATAGATTATTACTTGTATCATCCAACAACATTGAATCTTGAGTTGATATTGGTAAATCTCTGTATTCATCGTATATCTTTGAATGTAATTTCAAACGTTTCGATTCAGCGTCGTCTAGTGCAAGAGTATATTGTATAGGGTTGCCAGGGTAAAAGTCAGATCTCGTCGTTCTGATAGATTGCAAACAAAACTGATTCACCATTCTATCAATAGATTCATCCCATCCTTGACTGTTAGTTCCTCCACTCTGACCAACTACCATTGTTTGTTTGGTATTGTCTATATATATATAAATAACTTTTCTCTATTATTAACTTCCTCCTCCTCCTTTCTTTCTTCAAATATATACAGTTATACTAAGTTGTTGGTGTTGCTGTTGTTGTTGTTTGTGTTCTCCTATGAGTGTTATTATTATTACTATTACTATTACTATTATTTACAAATACGAGGAGATCTCATTTGAACAAACTAAATAAATGAAAAACCTTCCCTCCCTCTTCGCTCTCTCTCATCCTTCAAACCCAATTTATTTTAGTTTATCCCCTTTTGACGAAATTCTATCTATCTATCTATTCTATTCTATTCTATCTAGAACTGTGAACACAATGATCAATCAGAAACAGAGAGAGATAATGTTGGGGTTGGGTTGTTTGTTAGACAAGACAATCACAGTTGGTATCCATCAAAGTAAAGAAGATATTATAATATTTTTCGATCTGTGTTTGATACAGGGGTGGTTCGACGAGATGCAAAGTCAATGAAACAAGAAACGGTTTACTCTACTCTATAATATCCAACTTGCTTTGCTTGGTACTACTAATACTACTTTACTAGCTAGCTAGTCGCCTGCCTTACAAGGTATACCTACCTAATAAAGGCAATCGATGAATCCAATTTTCAATAATCGAATCCAATTTATTTGAAGTTGACTTCACTCTCTTTCAACACCCCCATCTACGACACTTTAAAGCAGTGCAGCTGCTTACCCAAGATCATGCAAACAACAACAACTCTCCTCGCTCCTTACTTTCTGCATCCTCTCGGTTGAAGAGTATGATAAACAACAGCAACCAAGTTCTAATTAAATTCACAATTGTGATATTAATATTATTAAACTTGTGTAAACATTACTACTCTACTTTTAATAATACCAAATATTAATATTATTATTATTATTATATTTAGGAGGACCATAACTTTATTTATTTTACTTTACTCTTGCTTATACATTTCAATCAATATCTTTCCTCTTCTTTATCTGTACATACCCTCCATCCCATCCCTCTTGCTTCAACCTTCTGTTTCATATGACCATTCTCAGAGTACACACTATGATGAATGAATGAATGAAGGCACTCTTATCTTACAACAACAGCAACAACAACAATATTATTTATCCGTTCTGTGATTCATTATCAACACAACAACAACAAGTAGTGGCCACAACAACGACATAAGGAAAGAAAGAAAGAAATATAACAAGTAATCTTTCCTACCAACCAAATTTATCTTGTAAATAATTTGTAAGTGGTAGTAGGCATTGGCGTACCTATGACCACTACTTTTAAATATCAATTTTGTAAAAAAGGTATGGAAAGTATGATTATTATTATTATTTTGATCACCCCTTCAATTGAAAGATATTGATCACAACTACCAACCCAAGAGGATCACACACACACCATTATCATCATGATCACCCAAGTGTGTGTATATAACAGGAGTTTAATTAATTAATTGCTTTGTTGCCAACACCAACAACAACAACAACAACAACAACAACAACAACAACAACAACAACAACAACAACAACAACAACAACAACAACAACAACAACAACAACAACAACCAAAACACAGTAACTATGGTGATTACCCTCTCTCCTTGATGATAAATCCCATTCGTTTACCACCAACCCACTTTCTTTTGCTCCCCTACCTACATACATACTTGGGTCGATGTAAATAATAATAACTTTATTCAATCAAAATCGCATCTGAGATGGATCATCATCCATCTCTCTCTCTCTCTCTCTCTCTCTCTCTCTCTCTCTCTCTCTCTCTCTCATCTTGATTCCTCATCCATCCAATGTGGGTGCATGATCATGATTTGGGTGACGATGGAAACAACACAACAACAACAAAACAACAAAACATCACAACACTACAAACAACACAACAACAACAACAATGATGGTTGATTGTTATTGTTATTCACCACCCCCCAAGGATTTTGTTTTCTTACACCAAGTGATGGATGTGGTTTTTTCATACCTTTGCTTGTCAATCTTCAACTTTCCTTCACCCCTAACCCTCCTCCTCTCTACTTTGCTTACTACGACTTTACCAATATATATATATCTGGGTGAAGATAAAAATGAAGAGACACATTCTAACCCCTAACCCTAACCCTAACCCCATTACCCCCCCCCCCCCCTAATCACATAATGTTATTATGGTGTCTTCTGGTGGATTTGAAGCATAATAATAATAATAATAATAATAATAATAATAATAATAATAATAATAATAATAATAATAATAATAATAATAATGATCATTGGAGAGAGACTCTGCTTGATGCGCCGTACTACTACTCTAGTGCGAGAAAAAGGAGAGAGACTTTATTATTATTAAATCATATATATTATATCAGTTAGCTAGCTAGTTTATTATTGGTCATGTGCTCGTTTATTAATTTAATAATAATAATAATAATATATTAAAAATTGGTAAAGACATCAATTTAGCTATCAGCAGCCATATAGTAGCTAGCAGCAGTGGTGGCAATATCGATTTCTTCTCACTCACATACATACATCATTATTTATTCATACACACATATATACTAACTAGCACAACATACAGACAGACAGCACCGACATCAACAACATCATCAAATTGAATAATATTTCCATCTTGGAGGAAATTTGTTTGTTTCAATCAGTCAACTAGTACCTGTCTGTATAGTATGATCTTGTTGCCAACCCAACCAACCATCATATTCATCATCACTACTATACCCTGTCTAACACTATTGATATATAAATCATCCTTTCATCGTACATATTTTATCACAATCAACAATCACTACAGTATAATTATAATTATCATTATAATTTATTATTATTATTATTTTTATTGACAATACACGATAACAACTTACTACTTTACACTCACACACACACATATATATATCCATTTGGATTTGACAGACAACAGAGCTGGCTGGCTGTTAGATAGATATTAATATTTATATATATTGGCATAGCATATAGCGTGTTTGCGGTGGGTATATTATTATTGTAGTAGTAGTAGTAGTAGTAGTAGTTGTGTGGGTGTCATCTTATTTGCATCTCTCCAAGTTAGTTTCCTCTCAAACAAATAATAAAAATTCACACCACAAAATAAACAAAAAGAGAGAGAGAGAGAAAGAGATAGAACAGAAAAGAAGAGATAGAGAAGAGATAGAGAGAGAAAAAGAGAATTGAATTGGGAGTGCTTTTAGTTCAAGTTTTAAATCTTTACAAAGATTAATATTTTTTGTTCCTATTACCTTTTGTTTTCCTCTTTCATCCTTACTTGTTGTTCCATTCCAATTATCATTATTATAAATTGAGCAAAGCATCGTAGTAGTAGTAGTAAGGAACACAAACCAACCAAACAAACAAACAAAACAAAACAAACATACATACCAACCACACGCTCACTAACACATATATACCAACAACCACACTCGCATACTAGTAGTAGGTAGAGTAGGTAGGAGTATTATTCCCTTCAAATTTATAAATTTATTTGTTTGTTTTTGTTAGTGGCAGAGCTAGTGCAGTAGGTAGAATAAGAAAAGGAAAGCAGAAGAGAAATCATCCACTTAATGATAACAATAAAATAATAATAATAATAATAATAATAATAGATTGAATGAGAGAGACAAAACAAAAACACTAACATATAAATCATTTTTTGTTTTTTTTTTAAACATATAACAATAATAGACGCCAACCATACTCTCTCGACCACCCCTCCTCTTCCTCCTCCTCTTGGACAGAGTATACGATAAACGACGACCATAATTAATAATTACAACAAACAAATAATAATAATAATAATAATAATAACAACCTGACTGAACCAACAACTGTACAAAATATTCTTTTCTAGTTTTTTTTTTTTTTTTTTTGGATTCCATTTCCATTTCCATTTCCTGTTTGTCATTATTTTTTTTTTTGTATATATCATTTTCTCTCCAATAGCACTAGCTTCCTTTTTCCATTTTATGTATATATATCACAATCTTCATAATAATATCTCGACAATATCCTGCCAATCCAACAATATATATAACCTTTTTGAACAAGAACATAATAATAATTCATCCCTACTAAACACATCAAGATAAAAGATATTTTTGTAAGTAAAAACCGTATTCAGTATTCCTTGTCATCCAACCCCCCACCATCATTCATTCATTACCATTATCTATCACAGTACAACAGGAAAACAACGATTGATTGTTTTTTTTTATCACTCCAATCAAAATTGAGTTTTTTTTAAAAAAAAACAATTCAATCACCCAGCCGATATCTAGTTGTTTATCTTTTTTGTATTCTTTGTTATATTAATTAAATTTAATCGAGATGTAAATCCAATTATCCAATTTATTTCTCCTCCCAAATCATAATAATAATAATAATAATAATTGATAGAATCTTTTCGATAGTTGTGTATGTCCAATCATTTTTTATTTTTTCTTGTTCTACTCTCCTCGCTCATTCACCCACCCACCATCAATCAATCATTAATTAAAAAAATATTATACAACATAGATCCAACAACAATAACAAAAAAAGCAAGCAAGCAAGCTTTAGTAAGCTTGATAGATTATCACCATCATATAACTATCAAAAAAAAAGTTGTATTATAATAATAATTATAATCGTATTATAACTTTGTTTGATTATTGTATCAATCACAAACCCCGTGTTGCTGTTGTTTTTTTTTTCTTTTATTGAATGTCAATCCAAAATCAATTTTGATTCTTTTTTTTCTTTTTTTTTCTTTTAAACAAATAATAATAATAATAACAACATTATCACATCATTTCATTACTAAAATTCATCTTGACAGTTTAAAAAAAAAAAAAAATCCAAAACACAAATACGAGATACTAATTAATAATAATAATAATAATAATACTTATTCCTTTTTTTTATTTATTATTTCCCTCTTCTTCTTCTTCTATCTCTTTCTTTTCTTTTCCATATCTATTTATATTTTTTTTAATAGCCATTGATTTCTTTTTTTTTTTTTTTTTAAAAGAAAAGGATTGTCCCTTTATTCCTTTTTTTTTTAATTTTCATACATATATTTTATAATATATATATATATATATATCTATCTATCACCCATTTAATATCATTTCCCAAACCACCAAAAAGTAGTTATATTATTTTAATTACAACCACGTAGCGAATTAACATGAATGATGTTTCACTATCGATGAACTTGATGGATAGGACGTCAAGTACTATCTATGTAAGTAACATTCGACACACAACTCCGGTTACCTCAATCTCAAACATTTTTTCCAAGTATGTAAATGAAAATAAAAAATAATAAATTGATCAATCAATTTTACTTATACTTTTTTTAATTTTTTATTTTAAAGATTTGGAACTCTCGAGAGATGTGAAATACCAGAAAACAAGTTTGGAAAAACCAGAGGATTTGCATTTATCGAATTCGAAAACAAAGATAATGCACATCTTGCCTTTTCCCAATTATCGAAACAAGAAATAATGTTGGATGGTAGAGTTTTAAAATTAGAGGTAAGAACGACAACAAATATCAAATTTATATAAATGCATTTTATTAATTTAATTTATTTATAAATTTTAGTGGGCCAAAGCAACAAAATTATACAAAGAGGATATTCAAAATCTTTCTGGCGAAACTAGAGAAAGATTTATGGGTAATTTTAGGTATGTCACACCAACTTTCAACTTTCAACTATAGTTAATTAATTATTTTTTTTCTTTTTTAGAAATCAAAATTCATTGGATTCAAAATTCTCAAAGAATAAGAGAAAACCACAAAAGAGATATCCCAATAGTCCAGGAGTACCTTATGAAACCATTGCAGCTGCACAAAACAGCCAACAATCGATTCCACCCCAACCACTCCAAACGTCACCATCTCAACAACCTCTTCAAATGCAATCGATCATGCCTCTAACACCCTATCACCAACAGCAACAACAACAACAACAACAATCGAACCATATTATCCAACCCCCTCCCTCGCTCGGACCACAATCATCTCCAAACCAAATGCTAAATGGTCACAAACTCCTCAACAAATCGTATTCGAACGTCAGTCCCATTGGCACTAGCAACGGCAACATGGTTGCCAACCTGTATGGAGCAGTGACCCCGACATCAAACAACTCGATCCAACCAAACGGCAGCGGCGGCTATACTGTACAAAAAAAGAATGGTGGTGGTGGTATGATGGTCAATGGCACAATGATGAACACTGGCGTGTCATTTGACGTTGTGTCCAACATTCAGGCACTCAACATCTCGCCTACTCAACTGTCCAACAAACCAATTGTTTATGGACTCTCGACGAGCAACGGCAGTATCAACACTGGCAACAACAACAACGGCAATGGATTCATTGGCTCCAACATCCCGACAACTCAATCGAACATGGTCGTCGGGCTCGCACTCAACACCAGCAACGGCAGTCTCAACTCGATGAACCACCCATCCCTCGGACAAAACAACAACAAGTCCTATCTTCTCGACACTTCACCAATTCTTACCGCTAATGGTATCACAGGAATTAATGGAAACAATAACAACAACAACAACAACAACCATCTCCACCTTCATAACAACAACAACTCTACCAACAACAACAACAATTGCAGCGGCAATGGCGTGGGAGGTGGACTCGGTCTCTCCTCCTCATCGCATTCTCTTTCATCTTCATCCTCGTCAACCTCTTCCCTCTCGTCGAGCAATAACTTGACATCGCCCAAACCATCGCCTCCCACCAGCAGCAGTAATGTACATGATTTCAACTCCGATTTTATAAAATTCACCGCCAATCCCTCTGCTTTTCAAACAACGACAATTGATTTTAACCCCATCCCACCGATTTCGAAGCTTCAACACCAAAACAGTCAGGATCTTCTCCCCCTCCCCTACAGCAACAACAACAACCCTGCTTCAAACAACAACTCAACTGGAAATGGAAACGGAAACCATCACCTCAATTTGAATCCAGCAGCAATATCGATGATTAACAATTTTGGAAACAATTCTTCCTCTAATTCCTCGTTCCATCACCATCAACAACAACAACAACAACTTCATCACCATCAACAACAAATATCGACAGACGAAAAAGAACATTTGTATTTGAAACCAACCAATTTCTATAATAATGTTTATAAGGAACCATCGTATCTTAATACCTTTAATTTCCCTCCAAATTACCCTACCATTGGGTATAGCTCCTCTTTCTATAGCTCCAATTAATATTAATTGGAAATTCCTCCCCCATCCCATCCCCATCATTGTCGTAAAATAATTGCACCAACTCTCCATGATCCGATCATTTCTTTTTTTTACTTTTTTTACCAAGAATCTTTTGTGTTCCAAACATTTTATGGAGATTTTATAAATATATTTAAATTACAACAATGATTCATTATCAAAACAAAAACAAAATCAGGACTAACAACAAACAAAACAAAACCAACAAATAATAAAGAAAAAAATAAACAAAAAAAAAAAATGTTCAAAACAAATATTTTTGTAAATAAATAATTATCAAAAAATTTTAAACATTTAAATCCCAAGTATTCTCTCTCTTTACTCTTTTATCCAAAATAATAAAATATAAAAACAAGATGAATAATTCAATTATTTTCAAAGATATTAATATCCCGAATTGTTTTTATTTATTACTTGGGGGTTCGTGATGAGACTTTTCTTTTAACCAACAGTCACTATAGTGTTGCAAAGCAAAACTAATCTAGTCTTGATGTTGAAATGTTATTTACCTGTGATTTGGTGGGACGCATTCTCAAATGTTTCAGAGCCAGACTTGGAATTGGTGCAGAAGTGGAGATTACTTCAAAAAATGCAATGAGGGCTGCCTCTTCCACCCTTGGTTTGTATGATAAAAATGCCTCATCTCTTTTTAAGTCACCAAATCACAGGTAAATAACACTCCGACATCAAGGCTACATAAAACTAATAAATAGCTTTAATAAAATGAAATTAAATCTAAAAAAAATTGTGATTAATAAAAGTACTACTATGAATAAAAATACTGGTAAAGTGTTTACCTTGCTTGTGTAGGTTCGCTGCCAAAGCAAATTCTGATAGATGGCTCATCATAGTCTTCATCGTCACAATCGCAGATGTAGTGGTAGAAAAGCTAACTATATAGTTAATCGTCTCCATAGACCAAATATTTAGCGATCACATCAAGATGTTGGCTATTAATAGTGTTGTTGTTGTATGTCTTGATGGGTTGGTAGTTGTTGAAGTTGAAGTTGATGCTATTATGATTTTTATTACTACTTATTATTATTATTATTATTTTTTATTATCCACACTATGATTGTTATGTGTTGATGGACGATCCACCTGATGATATTGTTCGAGGTGAGGACCGAAATCAAAACCATCAATCAGTGAAAGAATGATACCCATAAAGAACAACATGATATTTTCAGCCCAAAGACAAGAAGAGGAAGAAGCCTCTCAATCCACCCATACTAAACTCATTTCACTTTATATATTTGACTGTGGTTTCGGCTTTGATGGAGAAGAAGTTGGTTTGTTCTTTTTATGGTGGCTTTAGCAAGTGCCACCATTCCAAGCACAGTGATTTGTGGTACCGACCCAAACCTCACTCAAAGGAATTTGGTTTGGTTTGGGTATCTACAAAGGAAAAGCGTTTGTAGGTAACCAGAAGAAGAAAATAAAAAGAACAAATCAACTTGTTCTCCATCAAAGTCTAAACCAAAACTTTATAATCATTGGATGATACATCCGGATCCCAGACTGATGTTTCCCCACTACATCAATCACTTGTTGGTAAGCTATCACACAAAAATTTTGAATGAAACAAAATTTACTAAATGATTTATACTATTTTTAGATACTTTGGACTTGGAACATCTTCGTCCGCATCCCACACTCCCTTGATTCGCCAATGAAACAGTCCATCCCTCCCATTGTCTCACACGACTCTGACATGAGCCAAAGCAGCAGCAGCAGCCAGAGCCCAACCCTTTCACCTATGATGCGTGTGGGCCCAGTCTTCAGGAATGAACTTTGCGTTTTGTACAACATCATCTTTCCAGACACCATCAAATGATTTGTCTTGGTCGTCACAGCCACTCGATGCATCGAGTCCAAATGCATCGTCTCGTTGTTATTGTCTTTCCCATCGGCCTTGATGAGTACAGCACCTCCAATATGGGCTGCCCCACGTGACCTTTCCCAAATGAAATGTCTCTCTCTCTCCTCTATCACGATCCTCGCTCCAAACTGATCCAAAGCAAAGAGGCAGGTAATACCTCGAATCATCATATTACACTTGCCGGAAAAAGATTAAAAGATTAAAAGATTAAGAGTTGAACGAAGAAACAAAAATAAAAGTTTATATTATAATCTACTTTTTGAAAAATCTTTGAACTTTTTTTTTTTCAGAGGTCAATTTAAAACTAACCTTGATCATTTGTTGGTTACTTTATTACTTTTCTCTTTATTCATTTTGTATTTACCAAGGATAGATAGAAAGATAAATGTCATCTCTAAGTCATATCAACTTTGATATTGACTCTTTACAAGAGTATGATCATAGTACTGGTGGGGTAAAGTATCAAAAAGACAGAGTAAATCAAGTATCTTCTTCTTTTACTTATTCTATTACTCTATCTACCTTTTTTTCATTTTAGTTATTAGAAAGAGAAGGAGTAATGATGGGAGGAGGAGGAGATACAGGTGGATTTAATGATCCAAATAGAATAGTAGATGATACACCAATGTTTCAATTAGAACAAGTTCAATATAACCCAAAGGGAGTACATTCAATGACTGTTTGTTCGAATCGTATCATCATCTCTACCAACTACTCCAAGATTATTAGATTAGAGTTGGACAACCCATCAGAGATTGAAGAGATTGAGTTTGTCAAACCCGACGAACCAATACACAAGATCTTTCTCGACCCAACAGGTTCGCATTTGATTATATCGATGGCCAATGAAACAGTGTACCACTTGTACTCTGCGTGGAAGAAACCTAAAAAGTTGAATTGGAAGGGTGTGTCGTTGATCGAGTCGATTGCCTGGGGCAAGAGTGAAAGCGTGCAAGTGCAAGGCAACTATGTCACACAGATCAGTATATTGATTGGTACGAATCGTGGCAAGATATGGGAGACGACCGTCAGCAGTCAGGAAAAGGGTCTGTTGTCGACCTTTACGGGTGGCACTGAACCCGTGCTCAGACTGTTGTACAGTACCGACGACAATATCCCCATTACAGGCATGCGTTTGGATATGGCGCAGGGCAAGTACTTTGCCATCATCACGACGATGAGTCGTATCTATCAGTTGGTGGGTGGACAGACGCTGGAGCAGCTGTTTGCACCCGACAATATCCGGTTCGATGAGATCCCATCGACACTGCCCAAGAGCCAGCTGACATTCTTTAGCCAGGGTGGTATGGCGCTACCCAAGTCGTTTGCATGGATGATCGAGCCGGGTGTATACCACGGTGACTTTATCTTTGGCAGTCAGAATGCCGGAGACAAGTTTACGACGGCTATTGCGATACAGGATTATACGCGTCGCGATCACCGCGGGTTACCTGTTGCGCCACTGGCCATCGCACTCACCTCATTCCACTTTCTCTTTCTCTACGAGGATCGTTTGCAGGCGGTCGGTCGTCTGAGCGGCGCAGTTGTCTACGAGCACCCATTCAGTACCAAGAACCGTATCCGTGGTATGTGCGTCGACAATGCCAAAGGTACAACGTGGATCTATGGTGACAGCGTCGTCTACGAGCTCATCATCATCAACGAAGACCGTCATGCCTGGAAACTCTACCTCGAGCGTGGTCAGTATGAGACGGCACTCGAGTATGTACGCGAGCCATTTGCCAACCAAAAGCGCGACCAGATCAGAGCGACGCAAGCCGAACACTACTTTAACGACAAAAAGTACGAGTTGGCTGCCACTTTCTACGGCCAGACCAAATGTATTTTCGAAGAGATCACACTCAAGTTTATTGCTGCCGGACAACGTGACGCACTCAAGACCTATCTCTTGCAAAAGCTCTCTACTATTCGCAAGCAAGATACCACCCAAAAGACAATCATTTGTACTTGGTTGACTGAAATCTTTATCAGCAAACTCAATGCCATCAGAACACCCAACAACTCGTTTCAACCGACAATAACACTCAATCGCCTCCACAACAATCGCAACAATATCTCAAGGCACAAAACGAATTTAGACAATTTTTAACAAACTTTAAGGAGAATTTGAACCAAGCTACCAGCTTCCACATCATTTCGAGTCACGGAGCAATCGATGAACTCTTGTTCTATGCCCGTCTCATTGAAGACTATGAACGTGTCATCTCGTACCACATCCAACATCAACAATACGAAACCGCCCTCAACGTCCTCACTCAACTCAAAGTTTCACATCAAGACCTTTACTATAAGTTCTGTCCTGTATTATTCCATTTTATTCCATATCAAACCGTAAATGTTTGGATGCAAGCTACCTTTTTAAATCCAAGAAAACTTATTCCTTCTCTTATGAGATATGATCATTGTAAATTACCTCATGGTGAAAATCAAGTAAATATAGAAAAATAGAAACAAAATATTAGATTGATCAAGAATTAATTCCTTTTTTATTTTAATTTTTTTTTCTAGAATCAAGCAATTAGATATTTAGAATATTGTGTAAAAAATTTAAGAAATCAAGATAAAGCAGTTCATAATTATTTGTTATCATTATATGTAAAACAAGAAGATGATGGACCTTTACTTAAATCACTTTCAAATGAAATCTATTTTGATTTGAAATATGCTCTTCGTCTATGTATGAAGGAACACAAGTTAAAGGCTTGTGTTTTAATCTATAGTGCATTGGGATTGTATGAAGAAGCTGTAGATCTCTCGTTGGAAGTGGATATTGGATTGGCCAAGGACAATGCCGATCGTGTCAAGTTGGATGATGAAGCTCTTTGCAAAAAGTTGTGGCTTCGTATTGCAAGACACGTTGTTGAAAAGGACAACAACATCAAAGAGGCTATGGAATTCCTCAAACACTGTCCACTTTTAAAAATCGAAGATATTCTACCATTCTTCCCCGACTTTACTGTCATTGATGACTTTAAGGAAGAGATTTGTAAATCACTAGAAGATTATAATCAATACATTGAAGAATTGAAATTGGAAATGGACGATGCTACAAACAGTGCAGATTTGATTCGTCAAGATATTCAAGAACTTCGTAACAAATATGGTCTCATCAAGGGTGATCAAAAATGTGATATTTGTAATTATCCTGCCCTAACAAAAAGATTCTATTTGTTTACTTGTCAACATGTTTTCCATTCAGATTGTTTAATTTCAGAAGTAAGAGAGAGAAAAAAGAAAGAGATCTAAAAACAAAAAAATGGCTACTAATTTAAATTCTTTTTTTTTTTTCTTTTAGATTATGAAACATTTAGATAATAATTCAAAACAAAGAGTAAGAGAATTACAAATGACACTTGGAGCACCAGTTTCACCATTACCATCACAATTGGCTGCCATGATGAATAGTTCATCAATGCATTTACAAATGGGTGGTGGTGAAGAAATCAATCCAGAAGATTCTACAAAGAATGAATTGGATCGTATCATTGCCAAGGAATGTATTTATTGTGGTGATTTAATGATCAAATCAATAGAGAAACCTTTTATTGGTGATGATGAAGCTGATTTACTTACAAGTTGGGAAATTTAAACAAATAATAACAAATAACAACAAAATATCAACAAATACAATATTATTTCGAAATATACATATTAATTAAATAAATAATAATTCATTTAAGAAAAAACAAATACTCTCTTCTTTCTCTAGTTTATGGTTTAGTTAAATTTAATACAGTATGACTATGTTGAGAAGTATCAAGTTCTTCTTGTTGTTGTTGAGCTCCAGAGTTGAAACAATGTTTAAAGAATTCGTGATTTTGGTATTGTGGTTGTTGATCTAATTGTTGTTGTGCATATTCAATGTCGTCATTGATTGCCTTGATCAATTCATCAAGGCTTGAGAAATCGCACATTGGTCTGATGAATCCGACTGCAATTGCGTTTAATTGATGTCCATAAAAATCTTGTTCAAACTTGTTGATCAAGTGTATCTCTATCGTCTTTTTAGTGTTCTTGTAGAAAGGATTCCATCCAATACTCATCGCCATCTTGTAAATCTTGTTATCATTGACTCCATGTACATTTGCCCATCCATAATATACTCCAATTGGAATATCATTTAAAATTGATTCATATTCTTCAACTGGTAGATTTGCTAAAAGAAAGAAAGAAAGAAAGTAAGTAAGTAAGATAAGATTACAAACAATATCATATAAATATAGTATAGTATTACATACCTGTTGGAATACCCAATTGTTTACTACCTCTACCAAAACCTTGTATAACTGTACCCTTAAAGAATAATGGCGATATTGCCTTTTTTTCTCCAATTGGCGATACTCCTCTTTCTATTGGTGTCATAATATGATATTATATTATTATTATTATTATTATTAGTTATTATTATGTTGTTATTGTACAAAAGTAGTTATAATAATACTGTGTTTGTTTTCTTTTATTCTCTTTTTGTTAAGTAATATAAATAAATGTATTACAATGAATGAATGAATGATGTAAAATGCGTATGTATATCTATCTGTCTAAACTCTTCAAATGTAATGAAATGAGTTTGTTTGCGTTATATAATTATTATATATCAACTGATACTTTTAAAGTTCAAAGCTTCGTCAGTCTCTCAAAACACCACTACCTCATTAAAATTAAATATTAATATTAATTTAATTTTTGTTTGATTTTTTTTTTGGGAAAGTCGGTTCAAGAAGACTTGTTCGATCCGGAAGAGTTATCTTGTTCTTAACCAACTACAACTTTTGGCTAAAGGGTCGGTCGGTAATCGGGATTTTTTCGAATGATCATCATCATCATGACGACGACGAAGATGTATACATTCTAAAAAGGAATAATGTTATTAATATTTTTTAGTTTCTATAAATTTGATTTATTTATTTATTTTTGTTTATAATAAAACTAAACCAATATCAGCAGATTTCTTTGTTGGAGTAGAATAATTGTAGAGATAATATTGGAGGTTACCATCACCTGGAGCGAATTTCAAATCCTTGATGAATTGGTTGTTTTCAAAGATATCGAGACAGTTGAATACATCAAACTCGTTGTTTTTGGCGACAGTGAGAGCGTCTTGCATCAATTCGGCCACTGGAATAGAGGTGGCAACATTGTAAAAGCTGAAGGCAGCCTTGAGGTTCTTGTGCTTGGGATGGTTGATAATCGAAGAGGGAAGCGTGTAAAAGGAAAAGAGATCGGTGACGTTGCCTTGGGCATCGGTCAAGACCTGACAGTCCATGACATTCTTGAGAGGTGCAAACCAATGCCAGATCTCGTGCTCGTCAAAGGTTGGAGCTAGCGAGTACTTGGAGAGGTACTTTTGGACGAGTAGGGTGGCTGACGGGACATCCTTTTTCTCGAGGGGACGGAATGCGTGTTTGGTGGCTTCGGGCACCTTGTGCAACTTGATGAGTAGCGACATGGTGATGTTGGCTGGAATCTGGGAGAACCCAACCTCGACCAACTTTTTGGGATTGAGTGAACGATGGTAGTAACGACAGGTGGCCACTGGCTTGGGGAGCACAATACCGGCCGTGTAGGCTGCTTGCCATATGTTTTCGAGGTTGACAAGACGTGTAATCTCCTTGATCAATACGGGTGCAAGACGCTTCTCACGCAACTTCTTGTGGACACACAAAAAGTTGATCTCTACCATCTTGATGTTCTCGGTCTTGTCGACGACGACGGTGGCCGGGATGGCCGAGATGAAACCAACCATCTTTTTATTATCCTTTACACGTACTCCAATATGCCATTGCTTCAAGTATCCTGGTGGTTGTAATGCCCATTTAAGGAATGCTACTGAATAATCAAATCTAAACATATTATCATCATCTTCAACATAATTTTCATTTAACAATGTATAAACGTCCATCAACTAAAATAGAAGAAATAGAAATTGTAAATGTAACAGGTGTTAATCATCCATCTCTGCTATAGTTGTCTCTATATCTCTATCTCTATCTCTATCTCTATTTCTCTATTTCATACTTGAGCATGATCATTAACATCGATTGTAGACCATTCAAATTGAGGTGGTAATGATAATGGTTCCTTTCTAACATCATCCAATGTCTTTGTTTCGATTGGACCATTCTTTTCAATGACTTGATCCAACTTTGGTACTGGTTGAGTATCCCAGAATGCATGGTTTTGTTCTTGTACCTTGAGGTGCTTCAACAATGACATTAATTGTTTACTATTTTCAAGTGCATTCAACTTTGAGTCTTTATTATTATTATTATTGTTTGACATCTTTTCTCTATCTATCTCTTTCTCTAACGATCGTCTTGTTTATAAATAAATAAATAAATGAATAAAGGAAGTGATAAAGGATGGATGATGACTGTTAAGAGTGAATACTCATTAGAGTGAATCACCCAAGTTCAAGAGCACTTTGAAAAAAAAAAAAAACATTTTAAAAAATGGAGAAGTAGCTAGTTTGGGGAAAATCTATTATTAAACTATTTATGTACTTTATTAATTAATTATTTAGATTGTTATTGTGTTGTTAGGGGTTATTTATTTAATATTTATTAACCATGTTGATTACCAACAGTTTGACCTTCTAAAAATTGTGGGCTGTAGTCATAGCCACCTCCTGATGCGAATACAATGTCTGGACTGTCATCATTCTTCCACTTGACAAACAATTCACGACCATAGAGATCATTGTCATAGTCACCATACATACTGTACATCCAAACCAAACTGTTACCGGTGAACAAACCTTTGTACTTGTAAACTCCAAGTTTGAATTGACCTGTGAAACGGGGAACCCAAACTTCGGCCCAATGTGCAAGAGAGTTGGAGGTGTTGGCAGACGACCCAGTGGCGCTGACAGAGTACGTTTGACCGTTTGGACACTCAAGGGTAATTCTCTTCTCCCAAGCATCGTGTGGAACAATCAATACGATTCTACAGTATCCTTGTTGATGGAGTGGCTTCTTTCCAGAGTACAATTCCCATTTGATGGCAGCTGCTTCACCTTGCATGGCTCCGAGATGGAGGAAATTGGGTGCCTTGTCGTAGACTGTAAAGATTGGGTTATCAATACCACCACCAGTTCTAATGGGTTTGTCCTTGACATAGCCAGTTGAGGAGGAGGATCCACCAGAGCCAGTTGCAGCACCATATTGTTGACCTTGGTATGGGTTTGGATTAAAGATATTGGATCCTGCATTTGGTTGTTGGTATGGTTGTTGGTATGGTTGTTGTTGTGGTTGTTGGTATGGTTGTTGGTATGGTTGTTGGTATGGTTGTTGTGGTTGTGGTTGCGGCTGAGCAGGTACTCCACGAGAGTTTGCGTCTCTTCCCAATGCCTTGTTATATTCTTCCCAACTAATACTCATCTTTTTATATAAATATTTGTTTGTTTTGTTTGTTGAACTGAATGAATAAAAGAGAGATGATCGTGTCCTTTTTATAGCCAACACCTAGGTGTATCTATCAATCATATTATATTGATATCTTGGTCACTAGTGAGGTACACAGGTACACACACCCATTTACCGAAAACACACCACGTGTACATGCATGGCTGGCCAGTGTCCACCCATTGAATAGTCATCATAGGTATCATCATACAATTGTTACCCTCCTTCCTCTTCCTTCCTTTCTTTAACCTTCCACAACACTCGTTCTTATTTATTTATTATCTTGTTATTGGGTGGGGTATGATAAGGTCGTGTATCCACATCCTCCTTTCCACGGTAGTCATCCACCTCCAAGTTGTATTATAAACTAAAATATCTTCAATGTATGTACACATGTTGCTTCAAGGTTGATCTCATAGAACAATCGGTCGGTGGTGTCTTTTCACAAATGTAGGAATGACCATTTTAGGTGTGTAGGAATGGGATGTGGATGGATGGTTTAATGTGATACCATCATTATATTGGGGCGCTCACCAAACAACCAACCAATGATCGAAAATGATTTTGGTAGTTGTTGTCCGATGTGCCGATTCGTATCAGATGTCACATTTGCCCCACAAAATCCAAAATTGGTCATCATCTTTTGTCTTTGTCAAAAGTCGACAAAGAATGTGTATCTCCTCCTCCCTTTGATACACACGTTCACCAAAACCATCAACCGTCAATGATAGGTAGGTTGACCAACTCACTGTCGACAGTGAGCAATGAATGAATACAAAGTGAGTTGTTTAGTTTGTGTACAAAAGAATAATAATATCTTTTCACCAAAACATATTCTTTATCTTTGCTATAGTTCATAGGTGTTGCACCACTCTCTTTACTGTCTGTGACTGTTCACTATCTAAGCAACACGTTCGTCAATAATACATGTATCTGCAGTCGACTAGTTATTAGTATTCCTCTTGTTGATGATCATATGATTTGACTTGTTCTGTCTCTCTAAGATAATCTGTACACTTTTACAAATATATAAACTAAAGATATATATTTTGGTGAAGAAGTTCTGATCAACCAATAATATTACAACTTTGAAGTTTCAAGATGGGAGAAAAAAAAAAAAAAAAAACTACTTGGTCAGCTGAAATTCCCTTTGGTGGTGTGAGCCAGTCGAAAAGGGTCGATTAGTGTTGAGTAGTAGGAGGAGCAGTGCAAAGAGAAGTAGAAGAAGTAGAAAAACATATTCAATATATTCAATCATATCATATCTATCTATCTATTCACTCTCTTATCTATATATTTCTATCCATCTTTGAAAGAGAGGAGGAGGAGTTTGAGATAATTGCTATATATGACAATTTGTTATTTGTATAACCTCACCTTTAGATAAACAAACATCACATCATTGTACAATACTATAATTATTATAATATAGAGTATAGTATAGTATAGAGATGGATGCAGGAGGAACAACAAACAACAACAACAACAACAACAATAATAGTAATAGTAAAACAACAACACCATTAACACCTTTAGAATCATACGAATACTCTGAAGAAAATAACAATACCAACAACAAAAGCAGTAGTCTTTCTCCTACTACAACTAGTACTAGTACAACAACAACAACAACAAATACTATTATAAACCATAATAATAAAATGGAGAATGTTAATGAAATGATGAATGGTGTATCTCTAAATACAAGTACATCATCTTCATTATCATCGTCGACTTCATCATCTTCACTTTCAAATTCATTTGGTAGTAGCAGTGGTGTTGGTGGAAGTGGAAGTGGAGGTAGCAATAACAATAGCAATACTACTACCTCAACTACTACAGTCAACAAGAATTCATTTATCAGTAGTAGCCAAAATAATATTGCAACAACTTCTACTAATCCTGCAAGTATGTTTGTTCAACTCTTTCTCTCCCTCTCTATTTTAGTACGATTATTAAACCTGTCTCTCTTCTCTCTTCTCTTTTAGAAACCAGTTTAACAGGTAGTTTAGGAAGTAGTAGTAGTAATAACAGTTTGAACACTGCTACAGCTACAGCTACTGCGGCTGGTGCACAACCTTCAAATGACGAAAACTACTATTCAATGGCAAAGATCTATTTGAACAACAAACCAAACTACACATTGGCACAAGGTTTGGGTAGAGTCGACTTTAACATGAAATCAGAGGATCTCGATCAAGCTTGGTTTCACAAGGAAGCTACTAGAGATGTCTCATTGGCTTTATTAAATTCAAAACCAATTGTATGTTACTCTCTCGATAATATATAATTATTATTATTCTTTTTTTTTCTATTTTGTTTAAATTTAATATTGATAGAGAAGAAGAAGAAGAAGAAGAAGAAGAGAGAGAAGGGAAGGGAAGGGTTGGAATTTGGATAGAGTAGAAAGAAAGAGATAGAGAGAGAGGGAGAGAGAGAACAAAGAAGAGAGATTTGAAAATGAAGAGAGAGCAAATCAAATGATATCAAGTAGTTCAATTTCCATTCATCTTGATAACTTTCTCAAAATAAGAACATGTGTCATAAATTCGTCTGTCATCATCATTATCGTTATCAAATCGAACCAAACCACCAATAATAATAATAGTAATTGTTAACAAAATAGAAGGTTGATAGAGAGGAAACGGAAAAGTTGAGAAGAATGAAGGAAAAAAATCAATGCAACCAAAAATACACAATTACAATTGAGAACAATTAAAGAATGATAACAACGATCATCGATTTGTTTTGTTTTGTGCTTTTACTATAATCGTATCGACAATTGGATGATAAAGACTTATATATCTATTTAATTTTTAAATTTTTTTAGGGATCATTTATTATTAGACCAAGTTCACAAGCTGGAAGTTATGCAATGTCATGGGTTAAAAGTAATGGAGATATTGGACACAACTTGATTTATGGATTGTGTCCTGGATACTCGTTGAAACAGAATCCGGTGAGTCCAACCGATAGATTTTGGTCACTACAGGCATTGGTAGAGGGGTGTGATTATCTTAGTGAACCGGTTGCAGTGTCATCGAGTACCAATGCAATCACGAAAAAATCAAATGCAAAGACCAACAGTGAAGTCGTCGGTCGTATCATTGAACGTTTGGTTCAGAATGATCCATGTCTAGGTGAATTGATGTGGACACTTTGTATCATGGGTGAAACTGCCAATGAGAATATAAATCGTTGTGAAAAACGTACCTATGTAAAATATTGTGATGAAGAATATAATGCTCCTGAAATTATACCTTTAAATGGAAATTCGTAAGACACTAAATATAAATAATTATTGTGTAAAAAAGAAGAATCTTTTTAATTAATTAATTTATATTTTTATTTTTAGATTATCATTAGTTGCACAAAGTTTACAAAATAATATGTTTACACATTCATTACATGTCAATGGGTATGAAGGATACTTGAGAATGAGTTTCCAACCAAATATAGGTGACCAAGAAGCATTGGCACTTGCCGCCATGTTGCTAAAAAACAATTCACTTACACTTTTAAATTTAAATGTAAATGAAATCACCGATACTGGAGCAAAAGCAATTGCCTATTCTTTAAAACAAAATTCGTATGTAAAGAAATCAAAACAATCATTTAGAAAAAATATATATCTAACCTTTTTTCTTTCTTTTCTATTATTTATTTTATTTAGATCATTAAAATATTTATCATTATCACAAAATTTTATTGGTAAAGAAGGGTTAATAGCATTATCAGAAGCGATTAGAGTGAATCGTACATTGGATTTTGTAGATGTTTCCAATCAATTGTATAAAAGTAAAAATCTAATCAATCTTGTACATACCAATCCCGAAAGAACGTTGATATCGTTGCTCGAAGACACACTTAAGCGAAAGTGTGAGTTGTTGGGTATATCGCAGCCAATCAACGATATGCAGAATGGCAGCAGCGGAGCAGCATCTACAGCTACGCTTGGTACGACGACTACGACAACTATTCCTCAGACGATAACACCACCTTCGGGCATCCACAATGTGACACTTCAAAAACTACCCTACTTTCACGGCTTTTTGACCAAAGAGTCGGCTGAAAAGAGATTGCGCATGGTCGGCGGATTTGGCAGTTTCCTCTTCTACCTCAACCACTATATACCCAACTCTATCTTTTTGGCCTACACGGTCAAGGCTACAGGGTGCGACCCACCCGACGGCGTCAACCCACGCAACCACATTGACGTCATACACCGCATGATCCACCGAGTCCACTTTGGCTACAGGTTTGTCGGCGGCGGTCTCAACCAGGCTCAGCCCACTCCCACACTCATCCAATACCAATCACCCGAAGAACACCGCGACGAGATTCTCGAAGAAGAATTACTCTACAACTTCCAGATCAACAATCGAAACAATGAAAACACCATCACTCACTCGAATAGCTACAACTATGCCTACAGGTACCGTCCCAAGCGAAAAGGCTGCGGTATTGTCATCCCCACACTGTTTGAGTTTTGTTCGTGGGCTCTTGCCTCTAGTCCGCAGTACAAGGAGATTGCCGAGGAACTGCACAGCATCAACAATGTCATTGGCGAGAGATTCCAAGATATCCACGATCTCGTCCCATTGTGGGGGTCGCGTGACGTCTCTCCAGTTGTCGCCACACTCTCTACCAACAAGCAAAACGTCATTCGAAAGGGTGTCTATCCAACACTTGCCCAGCTCTATAAATTAAATCGTTCCAAACTGATCAACCCTGTCACTCGTGATCAATATAAAGTCATTCGTACAAGATTAAAAACAAAGGAAATGGAACAAAAACAAAATAGACAAAATAATTAATAAAAGAAAGAAAGAAAGAAAGAACAACACAGAAACAAATAATTAGAAATGTTATACTAGTAGAGGGGTAGTATAAGAATTTAATTTAATGTCAATTAATTCTGGATTATAACATTATTAATACATTTAATATTTAACTATTTTTTTAAGATTTTAAAAATGATCTTGATATTTTGTTCTGAGACTGATGGGAAATAGAAACCAAATGAAAGGGTAGTGGATATCTCAGCCATAGAAGGTTGTTCGATTGTCCGAGACGAATAAAATTTTGTATCAAGAATCCAAAGTTTAGATATTTTCTTAATTTTTTATCCTTATAGGAAGTTTCGGATCAAGTATACTAAACAGGCAAACGACTTCAAATCAAACGAATGACATCAGAGATACATTCAAACAGATCATATAAATACATCATTCGAATGAACTTTTAATCATCATCATCTCAATCAATTAATCAAATAACTACACATATACGCTCAAACATTAAATATATTATACATTCAAAATATGTTTAGATACTCAACATTTATATTATCAACAATAATCCTATTAATTGGATTATCATCATCATCATTATCATATGCTGAACAATCTTCTCTACCAATTAAAACAGCACCATCTACATTTACAGTTGATTTTAAAACTACAATTGGTACATTTACAGCAGATTTCCATCGGGATTGGGCACCAATAGGAGTAGATCATCTATACTCGCTGTTACAAGTAGGATATTATAACAACAATGCATTCTATGATGTAATCAAGACACCATATCCTTTGGTGGCTGGATGGGGTATCAATGGAACACCTGCAGTTGCCAAAAAGTACAATGTCTCCATTCCAAACGATCCCACCAAGCAAGAGAGCCAAATCGGTACCATTTCATTCGAAGGTGTTATTGGTAGTGATGGAAATGTTACCAGTCGCACTACAACCATATTTGTCAACCTCGCTTACAATTGGTGGATGGATGGAGAAGGCTACGCACCAATGGGTATTGTAACCGAAGGATTCCAATCTGTAGTTCAACAATTATATTCTTATCCATTCTCTATCAACCCTGACAATATCTACAGTCAAGGCAACGCCTATCTTCAAGAGAAATATCCAAAGTTGGATTATCTCATTTCTGCAACAATCACTCAAGAATATTATTATTGAAATAACAACAATATTGAATAAATAATAAATAATATTATCCCTATCTTTAGATATATATCTATCGATCTATCTAAATACTGATTTCATCTTCTACAAATATATATTATTTTTTTTAGAATATGCATAGAACAAAGAAAAGAAAAAAGAATGACCATCATTGACGAGGAGTTGACGCGTAATTAATATTAATTAAAGTAAAAATAAAAAAATCCAATTTTAATAAACTTGAAAGACATTACTCATCTTCTTCTTCTTCTTCCTAAAGACGAACAGTAGGTTAAAGTCTTAAAGAGAGATAGATAGATAGAAGGAGAGAATGTTAAAAAGATATATTATAGATTATAAAAATCTAGCACATGTACATCATCGTTGTAAATCATCGTCATCTTCTGCTTCCTCTTCATTATTGACGATACAACATCATCGTCATCATTTGATTAGCAACAACAACAAGAGACATTATTCACAGCAATGTTGTTCTGTACAACATAATCACAGTCATGGTCATAGTCATAGTCATGGTAATAGTCATGCTCATGCTAACGGGCACAATCATAATCAACAACCACAACAACAACAACAACATGACATTAATAATATAATCAAACAAACAAATACTCAACAATCTCAAATTAACGCTACTACTACTACTACTATGTCATCACCTGCACCTTCACCTTCACCTACATCTGCACCTGCTGCTGCACCTGCTGCTGCTACACCAAATGTACCAGCAAAAGCAGCATCATTTAAACCAAGTTTCTATCAAAGACCATTACCAAGTCATTTGATTGCATTTTCATCGGATGAAGGTAGAAAGATATTTAGAGAGGCTTTGGGAGATGGTCATATGGAGGGATACTTTTCATTGTCTGAACAGTTTGTTTCACAGAGTGATCCAGCTTATTGTGGATTGGCAACTTTGGCAATGGTACTCAATGCTCTAAAGATTGACCCAAAGCGACTATGGAAAGGACCATGGAGATGGTTTGCAGAGGATATGTTGGATTGTTGCACACCGATAGAATCGGTCAAGAAACGTGGTATTACATTTACCGAATTCACCTGTTTGTCACGTTGCAATGGTGCCAAGATCAAATCATTTAGAGGTGATGAAACCGACCTCGAACATTTCCGTCAATCGATTATTGACTCTTGTTCAATGAAATCACCTCAACATCTTGTCATTTCATACAATCGAAAGGTACTTGGTCAAACTGGGTCCGGTCATTACAGTCCTATTGGTGGATACCATCAAGATAGAGATTTGGCTTTAGTATTGGATGTTGCAAGATTTAAATATTCTCCACATTGGGTACCTGTTCAAGTTTTATGGTAAATTAAAAAGAAAAAGAAAAAGATAGAATAGAATAGAATACATTTAAATTTGATATTAATATTTATATTTTGATTAATTTATTATGATTTAGGGAATCAATGTTATCATTGGATCCAGAAACTAAAAAACCAAGAGGTTATTATTTAATGTCAACTGATCCTACTTATCAACCATCATTTTGTAGAGTAAAGAATACATTGTCATGGGCTGGTATTGCTGATACATTTTTAAATAATGTCCCCTCTATTTTAGGTAGTATGAATGAACCTTCAGTTGAAACTGTAAGTTAAAACAATAGATAAGCATTTATTTATGTATTTAATTAATTAATTTGATTTTATTTTTGTATAGGTTATTAAAACAATATTTAAACAATTACCACAAGAAACAGCATATGTATTATGTGCATATTCACATGAATTATATAATAGATTGAGTGAAACTGTTGGATCTAAATTATCTTGGAAAACATTCTTTCAAGAGTTGTCACATACCAACATTTATAGAAAATTAAACGATATGGCCAAGTCGGGAGATATCGAGTGGTCAATCACTCATCATCACGACAATTCGAGTGCTGTCAAACAAAATGAAATATGTAATGACTATCCTGTTGGATTGGCTACAATCATGTTCCTCTCATTACCAGCACAAATGTACAGCACTCTTCCACTCGTTGTTCGAGACCAACTTTCACTACTTCGATCAATCGATGAATTAAATGTCGAAGTTATCAATGAAATCATGAAAATTAGAGAGGAAATGTTTCAAGTTACTTTAAATCCATGTGCTTGTAAAGGAAATGGAATGAATAACAATTCAATGTTAAATGCAGCAACTTGTAATAATAATAATAATAATAATAATATTAATAAACCAATTTAATTTAATTGCCAGATTGAAACTTCAACTTGGATAAAAATATATATATATAATGTACAAATTTGTTATTATTGATTATCTTCTTCCTTTTCTTCTTCTTCTTTATTATTATCTTCTTCGTTTTCTTCATTTTCTTCATTTTCTTTTTCATCTTCACCAAATACTTGTTCTCTTGTTAAATTACCAAATAGATTAGGTTTGGTTGGGATATGGTCACCGTAGGAATAGATTTGTGAGTTACCAATGGCATCAAGAACGGGGACTGATTTGTAAATGTGCTGGGGTGGATTTGTCATATCACCAATATCAAAGGCATAGATTGAAATGCCTGATGCCAGGATACTGCTGAACCACGATCCCAACAAGTACGGAGAAAAGCGACGTAGTGCTTGTACAGCACGTAGCATTGGGTACAGAGAAAAGATAGTGATGGAAGTACCGAAAACCCTAGAACTAAACGTGTCACCATTCATCTCTCTTGCTTTAAAACCAATGTAATCTGCTATTTCAGTGATACCAACCAATGTAAAGGGTAGTGCGGTCGTAGCAATCGATGTCCTGTACCCCATCGCAGTCTTGCCACCACTTCTTAACAAACCATAGATAAATCCAACAACCGGGGTGGCTACCTGGCTCTTGACAAGTAACGAGAAATCTTCGAACCGTGGTGCAAAGTATGTACTCTGGTGAGCACGTTTCTTGATGATTTCATCGAGTCGAGGATCAGAGTCAAAACCGTTGCCAACCAACATATGGTTGGAGAGGGCAGTTTTTGAGAGTCTAATACTGGCCCGATGATACTCGTTGGCCATTGACGTCTTGTGTGAGATGTAGTACTCGAGGATAGGGATGGCACCGGCTTCCACTAGTCGTTTGTTGACCGACTCATTATCAAGTGCCGCCAAGCGACAGATAGATTGGATAAGATATTTTCGTGATGGGTAGGGGATGACGGTCGATCTAGACAACTCTACAATACGCTCCAACGGTAGCTGTTCAGGGTCTCTATTGTCCTGACACAGAGTCTCGACTACCTTTGAGATTGTAGAGATGGTTCCATAGTTGCCAGACGCCATTTCAAACACTGGTCCCATTTTAAAGAATCGCTCTAGTAATTCATCAGTCTGCTTTTTATGTGTGATTGAGAGCACCTCGATACAATCTAGTAGACGATCGATATTCTCGCTTGTACCTAGAGGCAACCTCCTTTTACCTGCCATATGAGCCAACATCATATCAAATCTATCGTTTTGTAAACCGGTGAGTCGGTTTGTAGAGATCTGATGCATTGCTTCTATTGCCGAACTAAATGTTCCCATGTCATCCAACATGTCTTCATTTAATATTAGTGGCATATTATTATATTGATAGTCTTCATGTATATAACCTAATAGTAATAGATAAAAGTAATTAGTTGAATTTGATCTGATCTTCTAATCAAGGCAAATGCATATGCTTGTTCTTTGCTCCTCCTTCAACATACAAGCTGTACATACACCAAGTACCCCAAAAATAGGTAACTTTGCATGCTTGAAGAATTCAAGGATTCTAGCTGATGAGGCCATTCATCTAATCTAATTGATAACTATTAATAAATATCACATCGAGTGATCACAATCACTTTTTTGAATTAACAAGTGGGTGTAAGTTAAATTTAATTTAATTTTTTGATGACATTGTTGTATTCTCGCGATCATTCAACTCATATGAGATGAGAACAAAAACATTGTATTAATAACTTAATCGATCAGAGAGAATCATGATGCGACCTACAAGAATACAATGTCCAAAGTTTGGTGCGAACGAATGGTAACTTGTCACACGGCCGTGATTTTGATGTGTTTTAAATCCAAAGCAAAGAGAAGAAGAAGAAGAAGAAGTCTATCAATTTCAATTGGGAATGGATTGGAATGGATGTGACGGCAATATAATATGATATCATCATATTGGACTGGAGATTGGGATGGCCTTGCCTCATTCAAAGACCCTCTAATATAAATAAGTACTCTACTCAAGATCTTTCAATCTATCTATTCATCAGTTGTCTACATTTCACCTGTGTACATTTCTTTCTCGTTCATTACATCCCCAAGATTTTGTTATTCTATAATATCTTAATTCAGTTTCTTATCAAATGTCAAAGAGTAAGCCAATGATCATAATATTTTATATTTATTTCCTCGTTTATGTATTTATTAACTTTCTTCATCTGTTATTTAATTTAACAAGGTCTCTCAATTTCAATTTGGCTCCACTACAAGAGCCCTGAACTTCCATATGTTTCTCGATCCCTCTTCCAAGGGGGAAGTGATTCTTTGATACACCACGTTAAATTATTTGTTCCTTTGGTGATCTCCAAGGAAAGCCTCTTGATTCCTTTGACTTATTTTTGGAACAAAATCAAGAGTCTCTCGAGCCAACTGTTTTCGTCTCAAGTGTTTCTTCGGCTGGTAAACTCATAGTTAAATTCACCAAACATTTCCTTCCACCCAGAAACCCATCGAAATGTGCACCAAACAATTCTCCATCATTCATCAGCTTTTGTTTTTTACTTGTTCTTGTCCTTTAATTTATATCTTTCCTATTTATACACACCAACCAACATGCATTATTTTTGTTTGGTTCATCTTTAAATATCAAGTAGTCTCAAGATGCAAAGAAGTCTTTCATCCATACCTTAGACCTCAAAAAAAATGAAAAAGACAGTTCAACTATAGTACAATTGTAATTGTACTTAGAAATGATGATTTACCGACAAATAATGGTGATGATTCATCTCTTCTATTAACCAACTGACCAGCCAATGCATTTTGAAACAACGATTCAAACCCTTGCATTGGATAGCATTGTGTTGTTCGATCCACAATCTCTTGAAATAGAAAACAACGTCGTTTAGTGAATGGTGGATCGTCGATCATCATGATATCTTTGAATTGAAGAACATCTTTGTACTTTTCTTTAAACTCTATGTAGAATGATTTACATGTCATCAGCAGACACACTAAATCCAAGTTATCATCTACAAGATTGACTATCTTTAATAATAATAATGTTGATATCTTTCCTAATTGTAAATAACATCTTGTTGAATTATCTATATCTCTCTCTGGTCATCTTTGCGCAAAGATAATATGAATGATATTTTGCTTTTTTTTTATTATTATACCTAACTCTATCCCACTACCTTAATTTATTTATTCATATGTGTGTGTAGAACAATGCATTTTCGATTAAATCATTTACAATATTATTGAAATGTGAATGAAAAATAAAAGGATTACCTTCATTGTCAAAACGAATGGATAACATTTGAGTGTGATTGTGTTGGATGAATCCACCATATCCAGTACTCTTTTCGACCATGAGTACAGTGTCACTGGAGAACCTTCTAATTTCAAAGTCTAGTGACTTTTCACCTGGTTTGTTTCGATGATGAATTGTTAGATACTCTACACTTGTTTGAAAGAATATCGTCGATACGCAGAGGTTCGGTAGACGACACCAAATCCAACTCTAACCTTTTTAAACTTGCTGGCAAGACAGACATGTCTAGTCCGATAAAATGCCCATTAAAAGAGTCAACCATGGTTTGCACTCTAAGGAACAAGAGTCCTAAAGGAAGACTGGGAACTTGGCAGTCGGCGACATGTAAAGAGGTGAGAGTGGTTGGCAACGACAGAGGTAGCGATATCAAGCATCTTGCCTCCAACGACTCTAATTTCTTTGGCAATCTAATTGTAGAACTGCCAAATTGAGCATTGCCCATTCCAATTACCAAATGTCTAAGAGAGTCTAGAAAATGGTATTGATCGGCGGTTCCTACATCGGTGGTCAACTTTTCAAGATTACTATTGTATCGATTGAACAACTTGTTGTGTATTGGTTTCTTGGTGCATCCAATAGTGACGTTTTCAATGTGAGATGGTAACGGTTCTTTGTCACACAAGTTTGAGATGACTTTTTTTTTCACCCATACCAAGGTTTTGAGAGACTTTGGAAAGTCGACTGTTTCGTAACGCACAGCGGCATATGTACCCAACTTGAGATACTCTAGTTTGGGAAGATCTTTGATGACGGGTGTTCCATCCACTACGCAGTCGTCGAAAAAATCCATCGTCAGATGCTCGAGCAACACTAGATTGTCAAGTACATACACTACGGGTACGTCGTCGCAATTTGACTCTATCTTTAATCTGACCAACGATGATGGGAATCGGAAATTGTCGGGTGGAGCATCATCGATTCTAATATCGAGTCGGGTCAGTGACGTCGGCAGTTGGTAATCCCAATACAAGAGACTGCAGTCTAGTCTGAGTAGTCTGATTGAACTACTACTCGACAATCCTTCTATACTCTCTAAATCGATTGCAAAGGCCCCTCTGCCGGTAGACTCGGTGTGCGTAATGACCAGGCTTGATAGATTGGGTGGTAGGTAGAGCTCACCAAACTCACCGCGAATGGTGAAGATGTCGGAGTGTATCGGGCAGATCGATAAACGTTGGACTCTCTTCGTCAGGCCACATCATCAATTCTTCCAACTCTGGTGGCATCCAATCACTACCAGCAAGGTAATTTAAATGACTATATTTAGCTGTGATGAGACGTTTGGTAGTTGTTGGTGGTCGACTTTCAAAACACTCTTCTTCAATAAATACATTGGTGACTGGTATGATATTTACATTGGTGGTGGCGGCTGTATGTACGGTAGGTAACGACTGATCAAATGTTGGTTGATATTTCATCAATACATTTGATTCTTCTTCACCCAATACAAGTTGATTGGCCAATGCATTCTTGACAAACGATGTGAATGATTTCATAGGGTATGGTAGTTGCGATCGGTAATATAGATGATTACAAAAATCACCACCTTTACTAGGACTTTCAAACATCTCTATATCTTTGTATCTTAGTGTATCTTTATACTGTTCTTTAAACTCCAAGTAAAATGATCTACATGTCATCATCAGACATATTAAATCCAAGTTATCTTGTATCTCATTGATGATCTTGAATAATAATAGTGTTGGTATCTTTCCATATTGTAAATAACATCTTGTTGATTTATTATCTCTATCTTCTTCTTCTCTATCTTTATCTTTATTTGTTGTTTTGGTCTCCATCATCAGATGAAAATATTTTATGTGCTTTTAAGTATGATTAAAAATTCATTATTTATTTATTTATATTTTTTAGTTATTTTTTCTTTTTTTCTTTTTCTTTTTTTTTTTTTGATTTGAGTATTACCTTTGTTTTAATAAAATAATTGTATACTTCGGGTTGTATTAATTCTATTTGTAATATTTGATTCTCTTGTTGTTGGAATTGAATGAATCCACCATAAGATGTACGATTCTCCATCAGGATGACGGTGTCACTTGATAATCTCCTGATTTGAAATTCTAATACCTTCTTCTCATCCATAAAAGATCTGTGTATGTTTAAATGAGTGACATTTGTTTGAAATAATATATCATCAATTCGGAGAGAATAGTCTGGCATTAACTCTAAATCCAATGTCTCTACATTTGGTGGTAGTACATTGTTTCCAATGGTAAAAGATTGGTCTATACATTGTCCATACTGCTTGTTTGGTGGTCGTGTGGTGTTTAACCTTAGATGTCTAATTGATGATGGAATAGATACTAGACCTGTGAATCGGTGTACATTTAATGTTGTCAATGTTGTAGGTAGTTGTTGTTGTCGAAGTAACAAAGACGGATATCGACTACACGACTCTAATGATACCAGATTCTTTGGTAGTCTAATATGTTGAGTGGTGTTGTCAAACCGATCATTTTCATAAGTTATCTTTAAATGTTGAATTGAATCTATAAAGTGGAATCGATCGGCATTACCTATATCTGTTTCCAATCTTTCAAGTTGTTTACAATGAGATAATAGTGTAGAGGGGAGGAAATTAACCTCATCAGAGATTGAAATATCTTTTAACCCTAGAGGTAAAAGTTTTCCATCTTTCTCCTCCCCTAGATTATCTATTGTTTTTGAAGAAGATAATTTCAAAGTTTCAAGAGATGCTGGTAGATCACTTGTTTTGTAGTGAGCGTTTGAACACAGCAATCTGAGATGTTTTAGTCTTGGGAGATTCTTGATATCGGGAAGGCATTTGCCATTCGTACTCTTTAGTTTAAGGGTCTCGAGTGACAAGAGATTGTCTAGAATGATGGTAGTCTCAGGAGATGAATTCCACCATGGTGTAGATGTGTGTGGGAGGTATTTGGCATAGGGTGATTCTTTGAGTGTGAGTTTGATGAGGTTGGTTGGGAATTGGAAGGTGTTGTTCATTGATACAATACCGCCAAGCTTGAGTGATGTAACAGTAGTGTTTCCAGACAGTCCGTGTATCAAGTTAAAATCTATTATTAATAGATCTAGGACTAGAGTTGTCACATTCCTCGGTATATTGATTTCGTTAAACACTCCTCCAAGACTGAGATAAGTAAGTGAATCGCCGGGTAGATTTATAACCATAATAGACTGCTCACCAGCATTGGACAAATATAGACTATCCAATTCAGGTGGAAACCAATCTTTGTCTTGAAATATAGTTTGTGTACATCCATGTATGATGAGATGCTTTGTTGTCTGTGGTGGTGGTAGTTTCTTTGAACAATCAGCATCTTCAATATAAACCTTTGTGATGGGTATACCAGTCGTAACTGTACTTTTAAATGATACCGTTCTGCCTTGAATCATTTGATCAGCCAAAGCATTTTGAAGCAACGATTCAAATCCTTTCATAGGATAGCGTAGTTTGATTCTATCTACCATGTGATTTAAAATACTTCTTTCTTTTGTGAATGGTGGACCGGTGACCATCGAAATATCTTTAAATTGTAGAGTACTCTTGAACTTTTCTTGAAATTCTTTGTAAAATGATCTACATGTCATCAGCAAACATATTAAATCCAAGTTATCTTGAATCTCATTGATGATCTTTAATAATAATAATGTTGGTATCTTTCCATATTGAAAATAACATCTTGTTGAATTATTATCTATTATATTATCTCTATCTCTATCTGAGAAGTTCATTTATACAAAAATGTTTTTTTATTGTTGTTCACCTTTCATCTTTCATACCTTTGAAAAAATTAAATATAATTAATAATAAAAATAAAACAAACTAAAGTACTAAGTTCACTAAAGTACTAGAGCACACTCAAACTCTTTTTCATATTTCAAATCAAATAATAAGAATTATTTTATTTGTATGATTTTTTTATCTCTCTACATGTATATCATTAAAAACACAATTTAGGTAGATTGATTGATTGATTGATTAGTTGTCATATTTAATATATTATTAGCGAGCTAGATAATGTACTATGTAGTATAAAGTATAGAAATGGAAAGAATTTGTAATTTAGAATTATTATCTGTATGTTTAAAGTTACTTTAGTTCCTTCCTTCCTTCCCTCCGACTGTATACATCATCAAAATCTTTTCATGTATAGTTTTTCATAGTATGACCATCGAGATACTCTCGATCGTCGTATAATACGATCCTTTAATTAAACTAAAGTTCATCAGATATTAAATCTTTGTAGTCAAGCATCAGAACAAATACCCTAAAAATAGTTCACTCTCGCTCAAAAACTTTAGCACTAAAACTAATCGTCGAAATCACTTCACACAAATGATTCGATTTGGTTTTTTGTTTTTACACTCCAAAGAGAGAGAGACCATCAAACTATAAAACATTGACCTTTCAACTCTACCAAATCATCAAATCAATCAAAGCAAATACCAACAATTATAACATTTAAATAGTTAGTAGTACAAACACACACAACTCTTTAAAGGTAGGAAATCAAATCAATCTAAATACTAGTATAAAAGTATCTTTGTCTTGTTCTCTATGCTCTACTCTCTTTGCACTTCTCTTTTTTTTTTTTTTTTATCGTTGGATTTTTTGATCTCGATTCCGTATCCAAGATCTCGGTCTGCACAACCACATACCCCAAAAACACAGTCATGCCTCCAGCTTGCACCACACCGCCCAATTATTTAATTATTTTTTAATTTTTTTGTCGTGCACATCAGAGAAGGTAACCTCACCACATGATTGGATTGATTACTCTTACTTTTAACTTTGTTATAATAACAATACCTGTATTGTAAGTGGAATAGTATAACATTGTAAACCATCGCCATCATCATCATCATCTTCATAGTCAAGTCAAACATCAACAACAAGCTAGCTAGTTACTTAGTAGTTTTCAATCAAATCGATATCTCTAATCAAATCGTCACACAACGATGGAATGGCCATACACAATACATATCTTATATCCTATAGAGTGGTGTGCTAAAGATAAAGATAAAGATAGTGACAGGTCGAGAGACAAATAATAGAAATTACTAGTGACAACCACTACCACATTCTTCTTCACATTCTTCTTTCTCTCTCTCCCCTACTCGCTTCACGTGTGGGTAGCAAACAATCAAAACTCAACTTTGAAGAGAGAGAGAGAGAGAGGGTGAGAGAGATAGATACAGTGTGCAGTACACTAGTGTAGCGTAGCTCGAAAATGGGATGTTGATAGAGATATTACTCGCAATAATAATTATTATTTTTTTATTATTATTATTATTTTATTACACACAGAAGAAAGAAGAGTGAGCAAGAGACAACCAGCAACTTTGGTTAATTGGGTTTTATTATTTTATTTTATTATTTATCCAACCAACCAACCCATATCACAACAACAACCTGTAGTTTGTAACACAGTCATTCATTCATTCATTAGTTAGTAGTATTATAATTTTATATTAATTTATTAAAGTAAGCAAGCAAAGTAAAGTAAAGCAAGCACTAACAGTGATTCTATAGCGATATTATATATTATTAAATTAATATAATTTAAATATTTTTAATTATTCTGGTTGGTCATTCTCACCACTACCTTTCACCTTCACTTGTTTGTTCATTTTACAACATCAATCAATCAATCTTGTAATTATTATCTTTATCTCTATCTCTTTATTTATTTGTAAGTTCAAAACCATGGTTATTTTATATTTTTAATCACGGGATAATAATATCAATCAAATCTTATTATAAAATATTATTTATTGTTGGTTGTAATTCACATAAACCCAAAACCATCATCTTCGCGAGACATACAGACAGGAGACGAATGATCAATCATATGATTCTTTATTATTTTAAAAGTTCACAACCCCCCTCCCCCCCCTACTCTTCCTGTTTGTGAACACAACCAACAACAACGGCATTAGCAGCCCTTACCACAAGCAAAGAAGTAGCAGTACTACAAAGAGTGCTTTCTTGCAAGCTCACTCGGTGCAGGAGGTTGTAATCTATCTATATATCTCATTTTTCAAGTAATTGCTTTTTTCATCACCTGTCAATCTTTGAAAAAAATTAAAAAAAAAAAAAACAATAGTAGCCATTCCCTCACTAACCAAACCCTTTTCTTTCTTCCTCTTCCTTTGTATTCACATCACTTTTTCTTTTATTTATTCACGCACTGATCATTTATAAATAATATTTATATATACATAATATTATAATATAAATTTGTAAATTAAATAATCCACAGTAAATAACCTCTTGTAGTAGTAAGTAGTAGTCACAATACATACATATCACAATACATACATAATATCAAATCACACATCCTTTCATCCTATCGCACACATCTCAGTTTCAAGTCTTAACATCTTTGCAACAACAATTCGAATCAAACAAACAACCTTCAATCAAAGAGAGACGACACCATCCATCAAGTAGCAAGGAATAGGAGATGTATTTGTACATTGAGTAGAGTAGGAAGGAACAGGATAAAATAATCCCTACATAGAGACAAACAAACCAAAATATCTTCTCTTCTATCTCCCCTCTCTTTGGTTGGCTCGATCAAGGTTCTGTTCACGTTTCTCGAGTTTTTTTTTTAATTTTTTTTCGCTCTCTTCCTCTCGCTTCCCTCCTCTCTTCAGGCAACAAGAAACCCCTCAGTAAAGTATAGGAGTAGTGTAGTAATAGTACTCAGTATAGACTTAGTAATAACCTATGGATCAGAGAACTATCTATATGCATCTATGAAACTAGGGGATTGTGTGTGACAAAAACAAACAATTGTGTCCCCATTAATTATTTGAATCTTGTTTGTTTTTTTTTTTTTTTTTTTTTTCATAATTTTTTTTTTTTAATTTTTTTTTGGATTGTTGTACTAACTTTTTTATTTTTTCTTCTCTCTCCCGTCCATCTCTTCACTTGTATAGTAGTAAAAATCAACCAAATCACCTTATATTATATAATTATAACTTTTCAAAACAACATAGAACAGAATGCAAGCAATTAAATGTGTCGTAGTCGGTGATGGTGCTGTCGGTAAGACTTGTCTCCTTATTTCATACACAACCAATGCCTTCCCAGGTGAATACATTCCAGTAAGTATATATAGTAGTCTTAAAAGTATCTAGGTCTCTTCTCTCTATCTCAACAACAGGGTTATAAGATATAAGTGTAGAATGGTAGTAGTAGCATACAGCAATATATAAAAACGTAGATTCACTAGACGATAAACGTAATTCAAGACAATCATACAAACGATAATACATAATGGACAATACATACACACATACATATGCTGCTATACTATATAACATAAACCAAACCTTGAAAGAAAAGATAGATAGAGAGACAAAGAGATTTAGATATTTTAAAATTAAAAAAAAAAAAAAAAAAAAAGATAATAATAGTTTTAGTTTTGCTAATAATATCAATCTTCCCTCTCTTCTTTACTTTTCTTTTTTTCTTTAGACTGTATTCGATAATTACAGCGCTAATGTCATGGTTGATGGTAAACCAATTAATCTTGGTCTCTGGGATACTGCCGGTCAAGAAGATTACGATCGTCTCCGTCCACTCTCCTACCCACAAACCGATGTTTTCCTTATTTGTTTCTCTATCATCTCCCCATCTTCATTTGAAAACGTTACAGCCAAGTGGCACCCAGAAATCCAACACCACGCTCCAAACGTTCCAATCATCCTCGTTGGAACCAAGTTGGATATGCGTGACGACAAGGAAACCCAAGACCGTTTGAAGGAAAAGAAGTTGTACCCAATCAACTATGAACAAGGTCTTGCCAAGATGAAGGAAATCAACGCTGTCAAATACCTCGAATGTTCTGCCCTCACCCAAAAGGGTTTGAAGAACGTTTTCGATGAAGCCATCCGTGCCGTCATCAACCCACCCATCCACAAGAAGAAAAAGTCATCATCTGGTTGTCTTATCTTGTAAATTACACACCTTTTAGTACTTTGTTGTTTCCTTTCTTCTTCTCCCCTTAACTTTTTTAAAAATAATAATTAATTAATAATAATAATAACAAATAACACAATAACACAATAACAAATCTATAATTATAATAATAATGACAAATGATAATAATACAATCATGGATCTTTTTTTTAAAAAATAAAAAACACTATACTTAACTGATAAACAAATCGGAAGAGATTATTATTACAATTAATTAAAATATAAATATATAAGAGAGTTTTATGTATTCATCAATCCAATCATCTCAAAACTTATAAAATCAATAACCCTTTTTGTGTTTTTTTTATTTATTTTTATTTTTGGATGATGAGGCTCGAAACCATCAGTGATGACTTCACACTCCTTTTAAAAAAAACTCAGAGTGAGAGATATTAAATTTTTAATTCATTATTTAGAGATAACAAAAGAGTTATAAATATTTGTACATTATACATAAACAAGAAGAAGAAGAAGAAGATAGAAACAAGATGGAAAATTGGATTTCATTCATTGATACAGTCAAATCAATCTCTATTGATGAATCAAAAGAGAACTTGCAAGTAGCTATTGCTCAATTTGATTTACCAGATTCGTTCCGTGAAGTTATCTCTAGTGCTGCTCTTCTCATTTTGGAAGCTTAGTATGTATTTCTATACACTACTATCTATCTATATATATATTATATATATATAGATTGATTGATTGATTGATAGATAGAAGGAGAGTGAATGTAAGGGGGGAAAGGATGAATGTTAACATTCGTCTCTCTCTTTTGTCTATCTCTCTATATGTTTGATTTGTTCATTATAACTTACACATTCCATAATCTTTCCCAAAAAAAAAACAGTAAAACAAACAAGACTGCTGGTCTCCAAGATGGTCTAAAGACATTGTCAGACATTGAAAAGAGCTGTCCAAAACAAGAGGGTAGAGTCAAGGTTTGCTTCTATATTGGTAATATCTTGTTGGGTTTTGTATGTATTATTGAAATGATTGATTTGATCTTGATTCATTGATTGATTTATGATTAAAGATTGTTTTTATATTAATACCTTTTTCTTTGTGTTATTTATAGTCAACATTATTCCCAAAGGATGGATCTATAAAGGTTGAATTACTTCAAGGAGCATCAGAGTATTACCAAAAGGTTATTGCTCTTGATCCAAAGCATATGGAATCATTACAAAACCTCAATCAATGTTATATTATTTTGGTATGTCGATATTGATTGTATATAATATAGTTGATATACTAATCTAATCTAATCTTGTTTGATTTACTTTTACTTTTACTTTTAGTCACAATGTACTGATGATACAAAGAGAATGTATTTCTCAACAAGATCAAAGGAATTGGGAAAGTTTATTGAAGATGTAAAGAGTGGAGCCGAAGTTAAATTGTCACCATCGTCGTATGCCAAGATTCTCCAAGCCTATCAATACAAGGAAAAGGGAGCAGAGTACTTTAAGAATGGCGATTTTGTAAAGGCTATTCAACAATACCACTTTGCAAAGAACTATATCAACGGTTTGATGGATCTCACCGACGACAAGACACGCGAGATTGACGATCTCAAGAACGTCCTCTTGAACAACATTGCCGTCTGTTTGATCAAGCAAAACAAGTTTGATCGTGCTCTTGTCCATCTCACAGAGGTTATTGCTACCGATCCCGACAATGTCAAGGCTTTGTTCCGTCGTGGCAAGTCTCACACTGCCATTGGTAACTTTGACCAAGCTCAAGAGGATTTGGCTCGTGCTCAATCATTGTCTCCAAGTGACAAAGAGATTCAACATGAAATCGATATTCTCAACAAAAAGAGTAAAACTCTTCGTGATCGTCAAGCTGCCGCTTATTCAAAGGTATTTGATGATTAATTAGAGAAATAGAAATAGAAAGTAGAAATAGACCATACCAATAATATTTATAAATAATAATAATAATAATAATAATAATAATAATATAAAACAAAAAAGAGATAGAGATATATACAGATGAATCTCATCATTCACCCTTATCACCATACCAACAAGTTAGTTTGATATCAACCATACAATACCATACCATACATAGATTTAGAATATTTAAATTGATCAAATTATTATTATGATAGAATAAATAATAATTTACAATTTTATTGGTTTAACGAATTTAATAATATAACCAATTCTAGAACAATCCAATATAATATATATATATAGATATATAATATATATTGTCTTTGTGTAGTGATTAATGTACATATATGCCAATCAATTTAAATTTAATTAATCATCATCATCACGGCAATTGTATCAACTATCCATTTATAGTGATTGATTGTGATTATCATATTCCTATTCTTTCATTTCTTGATTTAGGTTGTTTTGCTTCAAGATCAACAAGTTTAAAATTATTTTGTTGTTGTTGTTGATTAGAAGAAGAAGCAGAGGTAGGTGGTTGATTGTTGTATTGTAAAGTTTGTTCTTTCTTTAATTGATTATATTCTTCTAAATCATCAATATTTAATTCTATTCTTGTTGGTTTTCTTGATATCATCTTTTGATAGTATAGGTTGTATAAGTATCTATCTATCTATCTATCTTTGTACAGATTAGTTATATGTGGCTTGGTGTAAGATTGAAGAATGTTCGCCCGAAAAAAGCAAGTTCTCTTTGGCCATTTCCCCACACATCCCTCCCTCCTAATTTTGATATTTATATTTATATTTATTTTAATGATTTGTGTGTATATGTATTATAGTAGTTTGTAGATAAGATAGATAGTTTGTTATATGGATGTCATAGATGATAAGAATAAGAGAATGAAGAAGATACCTCCCTATCAACAACAACAACAAATACAACAACAATATGAACAAGAAACAGATGAAACCAAACAACATTATTCATTCTTAACCGATCAAGAGGATGTAAAGATTATAAGGTTGATTTGTAATTACCTGTCATTAGGTCAATTTGAACTTGCAAGAGCTTTGATACATCAAGTTAAAGATCAACAACAACTACAACAACAAATACAACAACCACTCATTTCATCATCTTCATCTTTATCTTCATCATTATTGATTAATAATAATAGTTCATCATCATCATCAGCTGCAACTAATAATTCATCATCATCATCATCAACAATATCAACAGGTACACCAACAATAGTTGATGAGATATCATCAATACTATTACATACAATCAAGAATGGACCACCTGGTTCCTGGTTGACTTCTGAGTCCATCCCCTCTGCTTCACATCTTCAATGGTTATGTTCAATTGAATTATTTAATTTAAAAAAGGTAACTACTATCAATATATATTCATATATATGGGTATACTAACTAATAGTTTGATTGATTCGGGTTGATTCAATTATAGGATGGATTTAAACAAAATGTTTGTCAACATAGTCTATTGTTGATAGAGTTTGCATTGATGATTTATACAATACTTGGGGAACAAGTAAATAACGATCGTTCAATAGCACCAATCATTCAAGAGTTGAGAGAATACCATTATATTTTATTATATCAACAACAACAAAGTCAACAACAACAACAACAACATAATGGTAATCAACAAAATGGTCAACAACAAAATGGACAATTTGGACAATCACCACAATTAACATCAATGGAATTATACCAACAATTTAATAATATCAATAATTTCAATTATAGTTTTAATAATATCAATTATAATAATAGTTATGGTAATGTTTATAGTAATGGTGGTGGTGGAGGTAATCCAACAATGTCAAGTCCACAATTACATCAACAAAATAATCATGTCAATATGATATTGTCTAGTCGGTTAAGTGGTAGTTGTCAAGCATTGATCAAACGTATCTTGATACACTCACCAGAGATGGCTAGTTATTTGGTACGTCATTTATCAGATCCTTTTGTAACAAAGTTACAGAACAATAATAATAATAAGGGTGGTGACGCAGATGATGAAGAAGACAATTTCAATCAATCATTATTGACTAGTAAGCATCCAGTTGCCAATCAATTGGAAATTGTTGTTTGCGAGGTTGTCAATCAATTATTGACAAGTGGTCATTACAATGAAGCATATCAAGTACTTAAAGTAATTGATATTAAAGATAGATCGGGTGAGGAGGATGATTCAGAAAAAATGTTGCAATTAGAAGAGAATAGTGACTCTGATATTATAACTAGATGTTTACAGAGGGTTGCAAATTTAGGTGTTGACATTAATTATAATCCTCAACAACAACAACAACAACAAGATTCATCGTCTACTTCATCGTATGACAAGTATCGATCAACATGTCACAAAATGCCATTCAAGAGTAAATTGGATCAAAAGGTGGCAGACTATAGCAAGACATTGGAAATGTCTAGACTCAAAGTATATGAAAGTTTGTTGTCAAATCGAACTCTATATCCATTACGTGTATTATTAGAATTTGAAGAAGAGATTTTAAAGGAAAAGACAGATGACTCTTCTACTACTACTACTGTTAATCTATCATCTTCATCGTCATCAGCAACAAATACATCGGTCACATTTGAATTCCCACAATGTTTTAATATTTTAAAACAATATCAATATTATAAACATCAATTGTCAGACTCTGCAACGGCCAACAAGATTATGGATGATTTCTGGTACTGGTATTACCACTTTATAAGGGTAAACAACAAACACTTTTTAGAGTATGCTATGCAGGTGGCTATTGAACTGGTCAAGGAGAAGCGATTCCAAGAGGTGATGATCATCATCCAACCATTCCCCAAGCTACTGCCACTCATTATTGTGTTGGGATGGGACTATTTCCGCGAGGATATAGCCAGTCGCAAGAAACTACTCGATCTCTTTAACCAGTACCCCAAACAAGAACACGAAGAGTTTGACGAGTTTTTGGTGCATGCAAACAAGCGATTGGCGTATTTGGTCGAGATGGCCGAATGGTGCTGCAACAACATGATGACTGTCCCCAACAGTCCCGGTGGCTCATCGCTCGTCATTGGCGACAACCCGCCAATCAAGATCCGCGACGGAGAGAACCAGGTGCTGCAAGACCACCAGTCCAAGATCACCAACCAGGTGGTCAACCAATTCACCAGTCATTCACTCGTCCATGTCATCAAGGACTTTTTGCCATTCATCAATTCAAAAGACATATTGGATCTCGTTGAAAAGGATCCAGACTTTCCCATCAACTATAAACAAAAGGATCAAAAGGTGTCATCAATAGGATTATCCAAATTAAATGATATGAATCTGATAAGAGGTTTCTATCTTTTAAAAAATATTTTGAAATTCTTTCATTATAATGTAAATCAATCAGAAGACGAGAATAATGAATTATTGGAAACTAATGGACACAGCAATGATAGATCATCGGATTTTAGACAAGAAGAATTTGATCAAGTTTTAGAAGATATGGAGCAATTGATTCAAGGTGTTTCAGATCCTCTTGTATCAATTGGTTTAATTGAATCTATTTATTTATCTATATTTATTTCAAATCAAAATTTAAAACAACAACATCAACAAAATCAGCAACCATTACAACAACAACAATTTGATGAATTAAATTTAAATGGAGAAGAAGAGATTCAAGCATCATCAAATTTACCAACATTTAATGAAATATTGGATAATTATAAAGAAATGGATAGATCATCAATCGTAGACATTTTAAATCAATTTGATACTAGTCTCAAACAAAATGAAGAAATCAAGTCAACTGAAAACAAAGCATTCTATATAACTCCTTCAATGTTGGGATCATTGATCAATTCATTATTACGTGTCATTGAATACATTAAAAACACAAATGATCTTCAAAAAGGTCAAGAAAGAATTGAAATTCTATCAATCAATTTAGAAAATTTAAAATATCGTTCAGAAATTGTTAATTGGTTAAAGTTAAAGGTAAAACTATATAGAAATATGAAATATATTATATGTTATTATTAATTAATTGTTTTTATTTATTATTTAGATACCAAACAAAATACCATTTATGAATTTAATAGTAATGCCAATTCAATCATTACTTATTTTATGTATGAGAACTAATTATCCAAATTTTAAAGAAACTATCAATTATTTCAAAGTTACAAAAGAAATTGAAAAAGAAGTCAATCAATATCAATCAATTCCATTATTATTTAATTATTTAAATAGTAGTATTAATAGTAGTGGTGGTAGTAATGAATCATCATCATCATCGTCATTGGAAGATTTAAAAAAGATAGTACCATTAATAACAGATAGTGATGATGTATTTATTATATTATGTGATATAATATTAGGATCATCTGATAAATTGGAAAAAGGTTTAATTTCCAATTTAATGAATATTGCTTCATCCAATTCCAATTCCTCTTCATCCAATTCCAACAACATTAAGATATATCAATTATTTAATGATATTACATCAAGAATATGTTGATAAATCAATTTATCAATTAATATCTGATAATAATAGTATAGAATATACAACCTATTGTACATCCTCATCATCCTCCTCTTTGGAACAAATAATTAAAAAGAAACAAGAAATGGTTACAAGATTAAATAGATTGATAGAATCTACAATAGATCCAATTAAAAAACAATTGGTAGAATCTAATGATATTCAAGCTATAATTGATTTGGATCAAGATAGTTTACTATCAAAATCATTCAAGTATATGATATCAATCAATAATATTGTCAATAATCTTCCAGTTGATCAATCTATATCATCTGAAGACACTGTCAAATATTTGGATATTATTAAAGTTGGACCAAAGAAACTATTGGAACAAATCATATTTAACGAACAAAACTATCAAAAAGCTGAACAACTATCTGAATATCTTCAAGTTGACCTTTTAGATTTTATCATTTCATCTTTACATTTTATTAATCCAAATAATAATAGTAATAATAACAACAACCAATCATCATCATTATCTCCTTCTTCTACCAACAATTCTATTTCTTCTACTTCAACTATTACAAGTACTACGGTAATTTCAAAATCATTATTGGAATATTTATCATCATCATCTGTGATATTGGCAATATTATTGTGTATGTTGAAAAGTCATCAGAGTCAAGGATCAAAGAATGAATTTATCAAGTTGGCGAAAGAGAGTGCCAAGGGATTACCGTCTAGTACACTTTCCAATTGGATTGAAGAGATGACAAGAGCTGTTTCATTGGTTGAGAGTGACCCACTTTTGGAACCATTGTTGGCAAGTACCGACCTAGTCACCAACACAGAGACACTGCAACAACAACAACCATTCTACTACAAGATCATCCAACAATTGATATCATGTAACCAGTTGGAAAAGGCTCTCAAGATTGCCGATGAATTTTTAGAGGATGGTGCACCCGACTGGCTGTTGAACCTGTTGGTACAGAGATCAAATGACAAACTATCAAATTATCGTTATATCCGTCGTATTCGTGACAAGAAACAAGCTAGACAGTTGATCAAAGATTTGTACCATTTTTGGGACGTGTCAACGTGCATTGATATGGTAGTCTATAGCAAATACTATTTGGAGAGAGAATTGATTGAAAAGGAGAATCTCATAGAGGAAAGCTCGACTTTTAATAACTTGGAATCAGTCGAGAGAAAAGAGTTGAAGGATATTGAGAGGTTGTATCAGTGTTTGTTGATATACCAATCGATCTTGGTGGAGGAGAGGAAATCATCGAGTGTGTCACGTCCGGCTAAATGGACGACTTGGCAAGAGATTGACCAGTTGTGTCGTCGTGACCCGGCTACTATGGTGCGCCAACTTTTGGATTCACGTCACTACGAACTCGCTCGCAAGATTAGAGACTTGTTTTCGGTGACCAACGTGCGTAATGAAATAGAAGAACGCTACTTGTTTTATTTATTGGTTGAAAAGGATGATGCGTCACTGGCACTGCAAACATTGGCAACTTTGGGATCCGAGGCAGCCGGCATCATCGGTACACTACTCCCCAAGCTGCGTCAAGTGTCTGTCAAACTCTTCCTCGTGCAGTTCCTCCTCTCCAACAACAACGCACTTGACTCGGACCGACGACAAGAGCTAGAGCAGCAAGAGATGGGATACAAGATACTCCTCCTCTTACCAATGGATTTACAAAAAGAATACGAGCCGTTTGTCAATTGGCCAAACCTCATTCTAGAGATGCTCATCATGAATGAAAAGATACCATTGGTTGCCAAGTTGTTGCATGAGATTAAAGACCTTAAAAACGATGACCTCTTTTGCTACTATTCTCGCAAGGCACTTTCATTTGCCCGGTATATGGCCAAGAATGAAATATACATGTTTGACGATTACAACACTCCAAATCAACCAAAACCAAACTCTATACCATCTGCACCAACTTCACCTGTCTCTCCTGGAGGTACTAGCAGCAACGGTACAAATACAACAACAACAAAGAAATTAAAATGGGTATTAAATGGTCAAGATACAGTTCAAGATGAAAAGACTAGACATGAACATTTCTTTGTTCGATCGCCATCGATTAGTTTAGCCAAAAGTTTATTTGATCTTTGTGAATCAAAGAAAAAGGTGTATCAAACAAGTTTGGAACTTTACAACTACCTTTCATCTCGTTTACAAACTACTGCCACTTATTCTGATGATAATCTATTAATCATTAATATGATTCAACAATTATTATTATATACAAAATTACAATTACTTAGAGATATTAATAGGTAAACAAAAAGAAAAAACAAAGACAAAAAGAAAAACAGAAAGATAAGGTTATTAATATCTTTATTTTATTTTTAGTGGAGGACCAACATTGGTAGCAGTATTAGATACATATTTGGGTAAAGTAGAATTATATCAATCATTGGTAATATCAAAATGTAATGGGAATATGTCATTGACTGATCTAAGTGATAGTCAAAAAGCAAGACAACTACGAGACAAATTAATTAGTGAAGATCGATTGAAATTGGCAATTGACGTTGCTACTAAATGTAATATTCCAGCAGATCCTGCGTGGGTATCTTGGGGCATGTCACTGCTGCAACTTGGAAATTACTCAGATGCACGTGAAAAGTTTAAATATTGTTTGACGAGTGGTGATGGTAACCGTCGTATCATGTCACCATCGACTTCACTACTCTCTCAAGAGTCGGTCGACAGTAGTTTGATCCTCAACCAAATCATCCAATTATTGGAAACACCACCTCTACCAAACCACAATAATATCAGAAACTTGTACAACTTTTTCAATCAAAAAGGAGTGACCAATGTTAAAATTGATGATAATCAATTTTATAGTTTGTTGACACAACAACAGCAGCAAGCTACCAGTAGTTCACCTCCAACAACATCATCATCATCACTATCATCGTCACAGGGGTTATCTGCGACAGTGTCACCTCGATCAAATGCAAATACAAATGGAATAGCAAGTGAACGATTAGAAGAGATTATATATTATATTAAAAAGTATGGTACGGGTAAAATGCATGTCAGCTTTTTGATGCGACGTGGATTGATGGAGATGGCGTGCAAGACTGTGATCAACGACAACTTGTCAGTAGCTATCTTTTTCGATGAGATTGTGCAGCACAATATCAACAACTCGACCATGGCCGATCTATTTGCTATTGTCAAGCAGCTCGACCCCAAGCTTACACTCTTCCAGGAGCATCTGCTCAACGCGTGCAAGATCATGAACGAGCGCAAATGGTATTCGCTGTTGTTTGAATTCCAACTCTACATGAACGACCATATTCGTGCCGGTCTGACTTGCATCAAGATGTTTTTGGGGAATACTGACAGTCCGCTTGCACAACGTGTCACCCACCTCGAGCAGGCACTACACTATTTCCACCTGGTAGCGGGTACACCACAAGGCCAGCGCAACAAGGCCAACCAGGTCATGAACGATATGGAGCTGACCAAGTACATACAAAACACAACCACTCAAATCGACGTGTGTCGTTTCCTCCAGTCCCAACAAAAGAATATCCAGAACCCATCCATCTACAAGTTGTCCGTGTTTGCCAGTAACAAGCAAAAGTCAGAGTTGGTCGAACAGATCACCGTACTCGGCAACTTTGAACTTGGTTTTAAACTATCACAAGAGTTTAAACTCGATATTATCCCCATCTACATCAACTCGTTGTCAATGATGTGCAGACGTAAAAACTACAACAAGGTCGAAGAGTATCTCAACAATCTACGCAACTTTATCGATCCAGAGGACTGGGACCAAATCGCCATGACCGTCATCGAAGTGTGTTCACTCGAGATGAAGGATCTCAAGATCCCCGAAAAGATGGTACAAAAGCTACACAGCCCACACAACTTTGTCCAAACTTGTATTCTATGTAACAAATTAAAAATGGCGTATCTCAAAGCCGTCCAACTACAATCACGTGAACTATTGCAAGTCATTCAAGACGAAGCTCAAAAAACAAATCAACCAACCATTTATAAATGGTGTCAAGAAGTTTTACAACAACAACTATAATAACTTTAATAATAATAATAATCATAATAATAATTGCAGAACTCGAGTATAGGTCACAAAATAAAAAAGAAAACAAATAGAATGGAAAATCATTAGGACTTTTCCGGATCACCAGATTTTTATAATAATCTCCCCAATTGCAGGTCTGACACTCCTCATTTTAATTTTTTAATTGTTTTTTGTTTTGAATCCCGACGGAGGATTCGCGGGTATTTTAACGGGCAATACCGAGCCACATAATATTATATTTGTTGCATTTTCACAGTCAACCACCTTCAAACACTTTCTACCAACAACGCAATACCACCAACACAATATCCCCATCCTTTTACATCCGATGAGAGATATTTCAGTTCAAAGGGGGTGAAAAGTTTAAAGAAGAAGATTAACACAAAGCAAAAGCTAATAATTCATACACATCAAATCAATCGTACTACTACTACTATTCTTTTAAACCACACTCACTCACATTGCAATTGAATTGTTTAAACATAAACAATCAACAGTTCTATACTTTATTTATTTATTTAAAAGAGAGAGATAAAATTTTAAGTCATGTTGACTCCAGAAGAAGAAGATGGAGCAGGATATATAATCAAAGGAGATGAAGAAACTCCAATGATCAAAGAAGAGGGGGAAGTCGGAGGAGAAGTAGAACAAGAGAAACCAATGCATTTACCAAGTATGATTAGTATTATGGCAATTGGATTCATTGCAAATGTAGAGTATGGTATTGTGATGCCTTCGGTATGGCAGTTTATCGTTTCGTTGGATGGTACAAATAATACGCTTGGTTGGGCACTCAGTGGATTCTCATTGGCACAACTTATATTCCTGCCATTGATTGGGTTCTGGGCCGACAAGAGAACGTTGCGTGAAGCGATTTGTGTCAGTTTGTTGGTTGGTATATCTGGTAATCTTGTCTATGCAATGTCAGTCTCTCCGTTGATGATTATCGCCGGTCGTCTCATTGCAGGTATTGGAAGTGCCAACATGGCACTCACCAACAGTTACATTGCATCGGTATCAACCAAAGAGCAACGAACTCGTTATATGGCCAAAGTCAACGGTATCAATGCCATTGGATTGGTGGCAGGTCCCATATTTAATCTTGCACTCGCCAAATTAAACTCTTCGTTTTGGATTAAAAATGTACACTTTGTATTCGACCCTTTACGTGGACCTGGTTGGATGCTCTCTGTCCTACTCTTTTTATGTCTCATTTCATTTATTTTCTTTAAAGAACCTACTTTTAATGAAAAACAACAAGCTCAAGGAGTAGAAACTAAATCAACTAAACCAACAACAACAACAACTACTCAACAACAATCGACAAATAATTATAGTGAAAAAACACATTTATTAATTAATAATAATAATAGTAATAATAATGATGGCGCAAACAATAATAATATTAATAATAGTGACTATAATTATAATAATTATAATAGTAATAATAATAATAATCAAAACGTTTCAAGATCAAATAGTAGAAATGATAGATCAACACCAACTAGTCCAATAACTAGTATGAATAATTATAGTAAGAAATATAATAATCAATCAAAGGCACAATCCAATGTAAATTCAATATCCAACATATCATCTGCATCCTACCATTTTTCAATTATTTATGGACAACAAATTCAAGGTGGCGATCATCAACAAGATCTTGCCAACCCTTTTCCAAAAAGAGAGGATACCTTTTTCAAGAAACTATTCAAATTGGTCAATGCATCGTTGTTGACCTGTTTCTTGATCAATTTTGTACAAAACTTTGTGTTTGGAGCTTTAGAGACACTTATCACGCCAATCACCCATCAGCAATACAATTTCGATACGCTAGATAATTCAGTCATGTATTCAGTCATCTCTGGTGAGGTGATTATATTCATTTTTGCTACAGTGTTTGCTGCCAACAAGGGTATTCAAGACAAGTATCTCATTCTATTTGGACAAGTCTTTTTGGGTGCTGGTCTTGCCATGTTGTTGGTCTTTTTCGGTGGCCCTGCTACTCGTCACGTTGAACTATGGAAATTTGCTCTATCAGTCATCATCACCACGATGGGTATCCCTACCCAAAACACCAGTATCTATTCTCTCTATTCAAAACTACTGAATCGTATCTATGGAGAGAATGAACCACAGGGTTTCCAAACTGGATTCATGATGCTCATGGGTAGCGGTGCTAGAATCCTCGGTCCACTACTCGCTGGTTATGGTTTGGATATGGCCAATAGATTCCCACTCTTTATCTTTTGTCTATCACTCTGGGTGTTTGATATTGGTGTAACTCTAATCTTTTGGAAGAAATTAACTTTTATTACAAAACCTGGTCAAAAGGCAACTATTGTTGCTCATTAAAAAAAAGGAAAAGAAAAGAAATACAATCAAGTTTCATAAATTATCAGATAGATAAAGATGTAATACAACAAAACATACACACACAACAATAAAAATTAATTTATTTTTTTTAAACAGATACTAAATAAGTTGATTCTGATGGACATATAGGTTTATCAAATTCATTGATAGAATCTGATTTTGTTGTCTGCATCATGTTGTTCCATAGACCGACGGCAGCCAATCGACCTCCATACTCATTAAAATGGAAACAATCAAATTCAGATACAAAGTTTCTCTTTACATGTGTCTCTGTTAGGAATGGTTGTACGACTGCTCTAAATTGAATATTTTTTGTTTTACTATCTTCATTTATATCATTTACAGCTTTAAGTATTACCTGATTTAAATCCTTTGATCTTTGATCCATTACTATATTGTTTAGAAAAAAATAATAATTAATTAATTATTTAATAAATATTTGACAGACTAAAAATATTTTGTAGTTTCATACCTTTTTTACCATCATCTGAAAGTGCACAAGTACAAGATCTCATGATCTTGTCACGCATGACACTACACATTTCACCTTTACCCATATTTGCAATCTCGGAAATATGATTAGGAATTAAAATTACATTTACAATCATTCTTGGGAATGACTTTCTCATTGATAATAAAGAATTATAATAATTATCTTTATAAAATGCTACAGTTGATGTATTTTTACCTTCACATGAATCACAAATCTAAAAATAAAGAAAAAGGAAAAGAAAAAAGATTAATAATCTAAAAAATAAATCAATGTAATTTAATTTTACATACATCATTGTTTCCAATATAATAATTTAATAATTTCCAATCTCTGATTATATCAACAGTTGGTTTGATTTCATCAATGTAATCTGCTAGATATTCTATTTGTTCTGGGACATCATTCAGGATTGCCGTCGACATTGCGCCATTTAATTTGTGGCAAGTATCGGGACTTCTTGCAATCTCTCTCATTGATGTTGGGAAGAAATGTAGTAATGGAAGTGATCTTCCAAATGATTGTCCTGTTGTATTCTTTTTTTAAAAAGAAAAAAAAATTAATCAATAGATTTTAGGAATGGTTATTGGTTTTAGAATATTTACAGCTCCAATGGCAGCCAAAAAATTTGGAATTGAAGGAGTCTTTGGATCACCTCCAATGGACCATGACTTTCCTCTAGACTCACCAACATAACTTCCAAAACCATGATATGTTAATCCAAATGCTGCCGAAAGGGAATCACCAACAGCCTACATTAAAAAAAAATAATTAATTGTTTTTAAAAAAGGGTAAATTAAATTTGATAGAATAAATATTTATAATGATATAATTATTTACATACCAAGACAACTTTAATATCAACTGGTCTAACCGAATAAATATCATTTGGATAGTATGTTGATTTTTTTAATACAGGACATGACAATGAATAATCAACTGGAGCAGGGGTACTTGGTGAAAACCATCCATCTGTATCTTCAACTTGTTCTGCCTGTTCTTGATTTGGGAAAACACCTCCAATTAATGAGATTACTATTATTAAAAATACAAAAATAACTTTCATCATTTCAAAAATGATCTTTGAAACTTTTAAAACTATATATAAAATAATATCTATCTATTTTGAGAATAAATTAAATATAGATTTTGGGGAAACAAATAAAATAAATTGATGGGGACAAACAGTATAGTATTATCTTTAAATGATGATAATGATGATAAAGAGAGTGTTAAATCACTCCCTCTATTATTATTATTATTATTTTAAAAATAAAATGATCCAATTACACAACACAACGCAACCCCTTCCGATTGTCACATTACTTTGAAGCAAAGAAAGAAGAGTGAGTAGCAGTGGGAAAAAGAAGCAGAAGACATAAATAGGGAGTTCTTATCACGTTTCGAGGGTATGAAAGCCGGCAAACAACATGCCATTAGATTTTACACACTGTAACAAATTCCACTCAACCTTTTCATCCTTCACACGTGATTCTACATACATATAAATATATATAGAATATTTATATTTACATATACGATACGGCATTTGATAGATTGATTGGTTGCCAATCAAAAGGGAAGTGGTGGGGTTGATGGTGTGTTTGTATTGTGCAAATTTGTGTGTAAATCACCATCTATCCTCCATCCAGTCTATCTATCTATAATATTATTTGAAGAGTGGTTAGTGACACTCCTTTATTTATATGTATCTAGATAATGTTTTAAGCAAGATGATGAAGTACTTCCTTCTTGCTTAACAAAACTGATTAAATTTGATGGTCATGATATCCCTTGGAATTGGTGATCCTCTTTTGCATTCATAAAGAGTAGTACTGTTCGTTGATAGTATACCAGTCGTCGTACATTTATATCTATTCCATTCAGCTCTATTTAATAAAAATGATCTAATAGACTTGCTTGATTGGGTGTAGTAATCAAGTTCGAGTTGGTTTGCATTAACATCATCTTTTTTCTTTTTCTTTTGATTATTGTTCATTGATTCTAATTCATGTACTAATAATTGCCATTGATCAATAGTATTGTTTAAAAGTTGGTCATTTTCAAGTCTCTTGTTGTGTATGACCAATGCTTTTTCTCTTCTTCTCTTTTTCTTTTTATCCTTGAGTGTTAGTTGACTGTTGATTTGGTTGTCATCTATCCTTTCTAGATGGTCAATATCTGACTCTATAGATTGACCCAATTCTCTAATATGTCTAAGTATTTGATGTTGATTAATCTCTTGTTCGAGAATCTCTTGACACAAACTATCATTTTCCTTTTCTGCTTCCTCTTTATTACTTTCGACAATATCAATTAAACTTGATAACTTTTCAATCTTATTATTTAAATCATATAATTCTATTTTAATTGATTTATTCATCTTAACAGTAAATATAAATATAATATTATATATTATTATATCTCTTTTCTTTTTATAAAACAATAATACAACAATACAAATATTTTGAACACACACAATTAATTATAATTGTGTTGGAATAATATTTATTTATTTATTTATTTATTTATTTTACTTTGTTAATCTTTAATTATTTTTGATTTAATTAAGAATAATTTAACATGATATTTATATTTAATTAATAATACGACTAGGGTAGTAGTGACTAATCCAAAGAGGATGACTGCAACAATAAATCCAATCAATAGATTCTGTGACAATAGTGGTGGTTCGTCAATAGGACCCTCCCATCGTTGCGTCATATTTAAACATTTGTAAATTTGGTCTAATGAATTCTCACCACGTTTACTACCACCTTTACTTTGACGAGTATTATAATTTGGATCAACAATCATTTGAAATGTAGGATCGATTGATATGGATTGACGATAATATGGAACAGTGATACCAATTTTGAATGTACTCTTTTTCTTGTTATTATTATCACTTCCAGCAGATACATTGAAATCAACCAAAGTATTTGAAACAATGACAGGTCTGTCACCATCAATTGTAGCATTATGAATGAATCTTGAATATAAAGCTTGATCATTCACACCAATTTGTAGCCATGTCATATCATACACTTGTTTGTTATTAGAGTACCCAATTAATTTGGTGAGACATGCATCTCTTTCTTCTTGATCATTACCATTGATAACATTACCAATCGATGCCAACATGATCAATTGTAATGGATTTAAAGGACTATCAAATGTATATGATGTCATATTGATAGTATACTTTACAGTATTAATATTATTTCCACCGTATTGATTGTTGTTGTTGTTGCCGCTCTTCACATAACCCAAGAAATCAATAGTTACATTTAAAGTTGTTTTTAGTTGATTTGGTAGGACTGATGTATAAATTAATGAAGAGGATTGATTATAAATTAATTTCCAGTCTAGTTGATAAGAGTTTACAATGATTGAGTTATTATCAAATGATAATTCACGTAATTCAATAATTGATATATCAGCTTGTGATTGGTTTGTTTTGAATCCCACAGAAGGAGATTTGATCGATGCAATAGGTGGGAATTCAATCAATGGCAAGAATGAACAATCCGCACCTGTAAATGTACCAACATTACATTTACATCCAATTTCATTATCACATTTACCTTGGTTACTACATTGTATTGGATATAATGATGATGAGTTGGAGGAAGAGGAGGAAGAATTGTTGGTAGGGTAAAGACTTGCAAGTTGACAAGGAGGAGATGAAGGTATGAAATTGATTGGGGATAATATAAGAGGATTTGATAATTGATCAAATACTTGAATATTACATAAACATCTTTGAGATGAAATGGGTGATTCAATCTTTGCAATTACCATTATTTCTTCATCATCATTTGTTGTTTGGTTGGTGTTGTTGCCACCAATAATGAATAGACCAAGTATAGTTGGTTGTTGAATAGGTGTAGAATCCATACAATTTAGATAAATCTTGGTGTTTGTTTGATTAGAGTAATCTTGTAGATTTAATCCTTTGATTGTGGTGACACCACCTTTAGCATCAACTGGTGTAATACTTGAAATGGTTGGTAAAGATTCAGATGATGCTGGTCCTAGTAAACTCAACATTGAATTGACATCAAATAAACTTGACAACTCTGAAGAGTCATAACCTCTAGTATTTAAATTATTATCTGTCAATCCATAAATTGACATTAATACTTGTTGTTGTCCTCCAAATGGAATAGTATTATTAAATTGTATCAATCCACTTGTTTTTAAACCATTTCCAACTATAATTGTATCATTATTAACATTATTACTATTATTGTTGTTGATAGGAATCTGGATTGAAAATAATTCCCAAGTATTACTAATTAAATAAATAAATGGAGAGTGTCTAGGTGATAGTCCTGATCCACTAGTATCAATGATTTCCAAACTAAACATCATTTCAAATGGATTTGTTTTACTTTGTCTATATTCAAATGATTTTAGTATTGGTGGGGACGAAGAGTTGGAGTTGGGGTTGGAAGAGGAGTTGGATGGAGGAGTTACAGGACATGTAACCGGTAGATTAGGGGGTATACCATTTGAAAAGCTTTTAAATGGATTGTAAGGGTATGAATCTCCATACAGATCAAAGGTGTTACAATTATTTCCATCATCACATAGTTTTAGATATGATACTTGGTAGGTTTGTGGCTGGCATGTTGTTGGTGTACTTGCAGAGTTGTTATATAAAATGGTACAGTTGATATTGACCATTGTCGAATTGGCACTATTTATAATTTGACTAGCAGGTACTGAATACAAAGTAAAATTAAATGGAATAGGATCACGAGTTGACATGACACCCAATTCAAAATATCCACCATAATAACTATTACCATCGGATACATTCTTTTTTGACATGAATCCATTACCAAACATATCTTGAATAGTAAAACTAAATATTATTTTTTGGTTATTATCATTTGCAATATTCATAAAATGTACAATTGGTCCAATTATATCTCCTTGTTCTAAATATATAAAATAAAAAATAGTAAATAAATATTAATATTATTATAGTTTTTCTTTTTTTTTTTTACGACATACCATTAATAATAGTTAAAGATTTTTCAAATGTTAAATCAATTAAATCATGATCGATCCAATCATACAAGAAATGGTATACAAGTTTACCAGATAATATACCACGAGGAATATCGATGATGATTTTATACAATCCAAGTGATTCAACCCAAGCACCTTGAAATAGGACCGGTTTAGAAAAAGGTGAAAATGAACATTTAATCCATGGTTTCCAATTCTTATCAATCATTGAATCATTCTTTAATCCAAATGTTAATTCAACACTATTATCTAAATTATTTGAATCTATAGAACTTGGTTTAAATTCAAATAATTTTAAATCCTCTAATTGTACTAAAATAAATGGAAAAGAAAGAACTAATTAATATATTATCTATATATATATTAATTGATTATTTATGGTTTAAACATACATTGATTTGGTAATAATCTACGTATTTTAATAAACTTTGTACCAATGATATCATTTTCAAAGTATCTTTTTGAATTACCAGCTTTATCAAATACTTCAATAAATCCAATAGGTAATCTGTTGCTGCTGGTTGATTGTAGTTGATTGTTATTATTATTATTATTATTGTTACCAATATTAATAATAGAAGTGAATAATGCACTTTTAGGTGACCCCAATTTAATATCAGACAATGTTAATACTTTCCAATCATTTACATTGATCTTTTCAACTCCAGATATATCATCAGATACAAATAATCTAATTGATATTGTATTATAATCAATTAAATCTACAATTATATTATTTAATTTTGGTGCTAAATTATCATATTCTATTTTAAAAAAAAGAAATAAAACAATTAGAATGGTATATCTAATAAATACTTTATAAATGTTTTTACATACCTAATTGATTTTGATTATTATTTAAAGAAGATGAAAATAATAAAAATGGATTTGATGATGTTGATGACAAGATTGATGAATTATAATTGATTCTATAACCATTTGAATTAACAAATGGTAATGGCAATTGAATTGATGAATCTGTTTTTGATTTTAATCCAAATGGATAATTAATTGGTAATGATAATCTTGGTGATTGGTTACCAGAAGTACCAGTTAACACTTGAATGTAACTTGATGGTAAAAATAATGAATTTTGATTACTTTGAATTGTAATCATAGTATTATTCCAATCTATATTACTCTGATTCTTTGTAATAATTAAATTAAAAGGATTATTAACTAAATGTTCAAAAAAAAATAGATTAGTTTAATAATTCATTCAATTAATTTAATTTACATACAATTATTTTTAAATAAAAAAGATTGATTTGGAATAGATGAAGTTAATAAAGATGTAATGGTGATATTAGTGACACCATTTGATAATTTCGAATCGAATAAATAGAATCCATTTAATTGGGATCCTTGAACTCTAGTCATTTTAACCTTATTAGTTTGACCTGATGAAGAAGATGATGGTAATAGGATCGATGTTTGATTTCTTTGGATCAAACACATTATATTTGGATTATTCCTACTTGATATAATACCATTCATACTATTCGTATCATTGTATCCAATACAATTTATATTCCCATTATCATCTAAAATAATTAAATTAAATTAATATTATAAATAAATTATCAAACAATGTCATACTTGAATAAAATAATTTTGGTAGTGTAATTGTCAAGTTTGAAATGGTATCACTTAGAGTGAACCTTAATATATCGGCGGTAAGGGATACTCCTCCAACCATCATATTGTCTCCAACAGGTACAATTAATTTAAATAACCCTCTTTGCACTTGACCTTTTTCAATAATAACTGGATGTAATTGACATGGAATGAATTGTTGGAATAAACAAGTTGATTGGTTACCAACATAATCATTTCTACCAAATCCAGGTGACTGATAACTTATATTTACATAAACTTGTATTTCATTTTGATCGATATTATATTGAAAATTAAAATATTCATTTAAACTCAAAGGTAAAGTAATTTCTAAATGACAAAGAGAGAGATAATATAAATATAAAAATATACTATCAATTATATATATATTTGTGTAATATATACTTTTACAATAATAAGTAAATGATTGAATTGGTTGATTATTTGAATTAATTTGGTATTTTGAAGTTGGTAGTGATCCTGACAATGGTACTTGGTAGTTGCGAATGGTCCATAATTGTTCAAGGGTACTATTGTCCCAAGATACCAATTCACCTCCATCAATCAATGGTTTAACATCACCTCCATAGATTGATTTAATACCTGTCTGCCAATCAATCGATGATTTACTTGTAAATTGAATCAATACATTGATTTGAATCGTACAAGAATTTGGACCATTTTGATATGATTCCAAACTTAAACTTGAAGAATCCCCCATTCCATTATTAACATTGATTCTAGTAATATTCAATGCATTTGCATTCGATATAGAAACTACAACAATTATGTAAAATATAAATATTAATACAAATAGATCTCTTATCTACAAACTATACTATATACTATACCTATGATAATAAATAATAGTAATATTATTATTAAACTTCTTCTTTCTCGATTGTTGTACATTTGATAATAATAATAATAATTATACAACATGATTAAATATATAAATATAAATAAATAATGATAATTGATGTTGTTGGTGATGTATAAGAAGCAAGAATTGGTAGGTATTGTTATTATTGATCGGATTAGCTGCAGCTACAACTTAATTCATTCAATCCAATCTATCCTCGCTCTCTCTCTCTCTCTCTCCCTTTCACTCCTCTCCATCCAATTCATCTTCTTTCTTTCATCTTCTCTTTTGATTTCACAAACCCTCATCCTCTTTTTGATTTGATTTGATTTGATTTGATTTGATTTGATTTGATTTGATTTGATTTGATTTGATTGATCTATCGATAGATTGTGTATATCTTCAAAAGTGATGCACATGTTACTGTATAATGTGTATGAATGGGGTTTAACCGTGTGTGTGAGGGATAGTTGATCGACAGGCACTGGTTCAGTTTGAAAGGGTTTTTTGACTTGAACTTCAAATTTTGACACCTTGCACCCAATTTAGAAACAACATATAATATTAATATGATGGAATGGTTAAATTTAAATTTCAACGAATTAAAAAGGTCTATTCAAACAAACGATCTGATTTTAAAATTGTTTGTTTAAACTAGTGAAAGAAATTGATAATACCTACATTAAAGATTTATCATTTCTTTCACATTTTTTGTTTATATATTATTATTATATTATATCGATGGGTTTAGTTGGAGGATTGTTGTTTAGATGGGTAATCTGCCAAAGATCCCCATGAATTTCCAATCTTCATTGCAACCTTTAAATCTACCTTTAATTCAGTAGAACATTCCATCATATGTTTGATTTTTTCCAAAATGTCTGGTTTAATTTCCAACATTACATTTGGTATTTCGAAAATCAATTCATCATGAATTTGAAGTAATAATCTTGCTTCTATTATATCATCTTTGTTTTGTTGTTGATTCGTTTGACCTTGTTGTTGACCTTGTTGTTGTAAAATTTGATTGACTTCTTTTGATTCTTGAATTAATAGTTGATTGATTCTAATCATAGCAGCTTTGATAATATCGGCAGCACTACCTTGTATAATACTATTCACAGATTGACGATCAATCTCTCCTGGTGTAAGATGTGGTGAATAGAATGTACGATGTCTACCTAGAAGCGTTCTAACATATTTCAATTTTTTAGTATCTGCTTTTGTATCATTAATAAATTTTTTTACTTTTGGAAACTAAAAATAAATAATAACCCAAAAGTTAGTATATACTTTAGGTTTTTTACATGATGATTGGATGGTATTGTACAGAATTTAAAAACCCAGTAATATAATTTTGTGCATCCATTCTTGAAACACGTAGAATTTTCGATAATGTGTCTGGACCCATTCCATACATGATACCGTATACGATACGCTTGCTAGCTTCTCTTTGGTATGATTGTACGTCGTTTATATCGATACCTAATCGATGGGCCGTGATCATTTTCAATACATCTGCGTCTTGTTGGAAGAAATGCAACAAGTGTTCATCATCAGACTGATGTGCCATTACTCTCAGTTCAATTTGACTATAATCCAATGCAACCATCGTGTATCCCGGTCTAGTTCTAAAACAATCTCTAGCATTGATATGAACGGTGCTAGCATTGGTAGTACCTTCTTCTTCATCATCTGATACATCATCATCATCATAATCATTTCCATCACCATCTTCTTTATCACTAACCTTTATATTGGCTACATTCCTTGGAATTTGTTGTACATTCTAAAAAAAATAACAAAAATAATAATTAATTTTAATTAGACCTTTTTTTTTCTTTTTTTCTTTTTAAAAAGCTTACAGGTGAAGAACTTGAAAGTCTACCAGTTGCAGTACCAGTATGATTCCATGATGTATATATATTTTGACCAACACTTATATACTTTTTAACAAATATATTGTTGAATTGGCTAAAACGTTTATGATCTAAATAGATACGACAGGCCATGATCAAATTCTCCATGTCACCATTCTTTGCTTTCTCTTCCTTTAAAGAGAGATCAATTTCAGCAAACTTTCTCAAAGTTTGTGCCTTGGCGTCTGGAATCTGTGGTATACGACTTGGTTTGATTTGATTAATACATGACAATACTACACCACGTTGACTCAATCCAAAATCATCCATTTTAATACCAAGTCCATCTCTTAATAAATGAAATTGTTTTGTTATATTTTCAAGAAGAGACTAAAAATAAATAAATACAGTAAATAAGTAAAAGGGAGAAAGGATATAAAATTAATAATAATAAATATTTACATCAATATGAACTTGACATGTTTTCAAAGCTTCACTACAAAATGATACACCATAATACTCCATTTCTAAAAATTAAAAAAAGAAACAAATAAATGTAAATGTATTAGTAATTTGAATTTTAATTATTAATTATTAATTAAAATTATTTAACATACTTGAAAGGATTGGAATAATTTGCATTTCTTGAAGTGGTTCCAATTTAGCGTCAGATAATTTATGTTCTAAAATTAATTGTAAAATTGAACCATTTCTAATATCATTTGCAAGGCATGTATAATTTGATACAGTCATAGAAGGATTAATATTATTATTATTATTGTCTGTATGTTGATCCAAATTTTTAATCACATTGGCCATTTCAAGTTTATCATGGCTATCTATTTGATACTCTACGACCAATGTTGACATATCAACTCTTTTAGATTCAGGTTTATACATCCATGCAAGTATCTTTGGATCCCAAATATTTTTTGGTGAAACTAATTAAAATAAATAAATAAATTAAATAGAAACATTAATAACATATAATTATATCCTATATATATATATTTGGTTTAACTTACAATAAGTATTATAGGCAAAAAATATTTTAAAAGATTCTTGACAATTAAATGAAACCTTTTTAATTGCTTCATTCTCCAAGATTCTAATTAATAGTTCAGTGTTTTTAATTGCAATTGGTCTATTTTCAAATCCTTGGTAGACAATGGGAAGAAAGTATTTCTCGAGTGCCATGTTTTTAGATGTGTAATTGGTATCGTTGTATGAAAGTATCCATAGTGCCACTCCAATAGCTTCAAAGGTTGGTTCGTGGGCGATTGGTGACGTGTCTGTTGACTTTCTCTTTTTCTGTTTTTCTAGGATTGGCAATCTAACATTTGTTTTGTTATTGTCGTATACGACACCCCATACAACCATCGATACTCTAAGAGTTGATAAATGTTTGTCTAAAGCTTCTATCTTGACCTTGTCATTTACTTGTGTGTATCCATCTGGTGCAGTCCATTTAGTTGATTCAATTCTTTTATCTTGTAGAGTCATAAATGGTTTCTTGTTTCGGTTTTCCTCCTCTTCTGAAACTCTAAAATCTTGTGCCAGAGTAGATTCATCAAGTTTTTTGTTTTTAACTGATTCATATTGAATGGGTGTCTTTGTCGGAGTTTTAGAAGTAATCTTTTTAAATCCATTTGTTTTACCTATTTCTGTTGGTGATTTTGAAGGTGTTGTTGAAGAAGGTGCAGATTTCTTTCTTTTTGTTGGTGTTGGTTTAATTGGAGTTGATATAGTAGTTGAAGTAGAAGTAGTTGATGTTGGTGAAGAAGATGATGGTGGTGGTGAAGATGAAGGTGGAGGTGGTTGTTGTTGTTGTTGTTTAACAGGAGTTGCTTTACTAATAAAACCATCATCATCAAATGATCCATTATTACTACCATCAAAAGAAGAGTCATTAGAATTGTCTCGAGCATATGCATAAAAGGTTGGTGTTGGTTTTGAAGTTGACGTAGTAGATGATGTATCCATCTCAAATGGAATTGTTTTCATTCCAATTGAACTCACATTTGATGATGGATTTGCATATTGGAGTGGTTGTCCATTTGTGGTGGTTGTCATCATCGTTGTAATTGATGGTGATGGTGCAACCCATCCCTCACCATCCTTTGAAAATTTTGTATTAAATCCACCATTATTACCATTACTAGTAGTACTACCATTCATAGATTGATGCATCTTGTAAATATTTCGACTTTGTTGTTGGAGCAATACTCCATCTTGATCTTCATCTCCAGTTGTATTTATACGTTGAATTGGTTGTATATTATTTCTATAACCAAAATTATTATTATTGTTATTATTATTATTGTTATATGGGATGGTAAGATTTTTAGTTGGTTGTGATGTATTGTTTGTTTTTGGAGAAGGAGGAGGAGGAGGTTTAGATGTGATCTTCAAAGAAATAGTTTTCTTTGTTGGTGAAATTATGGGGTTTGTAGAAGGAGTTGTTGGAGTATTTGTTGAAGTAGTTGGTGATGGAGCTACCATCGCTTGATCATCTTCACTTCCCAATGATAAAGTTGATGGTGGAGACATTGTACTAGTAGCAGCATTACTATTACTATTGTTGTGCGTGGCGGTGTTGGTAATTCCAATATTGAGTAATGATTTGATTGGTGAAGGTAAAGGTGATAAATCACCATCAGAATGAGATCTAGTAGGTGATGTCGTCGTCGTAGTACGATTGGTAGGTGAGAAACCAACACTATTACTTCTTTGTGTAAAATTATTATTATTATTATTATTATTATTAATATTGGGGGATAAGGCAACTTTGTTGTTATTGTAGTTATTTGGGAGGAGAAGAGATGTAGGAGAAGTAGTTGTAGTAGTAAAAGAAGAAGAAGAAGGTGAAGTAGTCATAGTTGTTGTTGTTGTTGTTGAAGTTCTATTAGGACTACTATTATTGTTGTTGTTAGTACTACTACCTTGCAAAGTTGAAGAAGAAGGGGATATAGGTTTGGGTAATGGAGATATCTTCAAAGACACAGTTTTCTTCTTTTGAAGAAGATCCAAGAACGCCTTTGATGGAGGTGGTGGAGGCAAATCATCATTACCATTAAATATAGAGTCAAACTCTGTTGTATTGTTTGTCATCGTGATCGTCTATTGTATTGTATTGTATAGTTGTATCCTATCTATCTCGTATACAGGTGCAAGTCTGTTTCTTCAAAAGGAGGTGTGTGTGTGTGTGTTGTATGAATGATGCACCCACTAATAAATTAATTTATAAAAGAGTGTGTGAGTGTGAGTGTGTTTGGGTATGATGATGGTGTAGAAGAAGGTAACAAACACAATGAATGATTGCTTTTAAATGAACATATTTGTGAGAGACAGAGAGATAGAGCCAGAGTATTATTATTTGTTATTATTATTATTATTATTATTTGTATAAAAGAGAAAAGATAAAGTGTTAAATTAAAAATTAAATAAAATTAAAATTGAAAAAGGTCAGATTATCATCATGACAGCAACACGTAGAAGACAACAACAAACTTCAACAACCATATCATCAACATCATCACCAGATAAAGATATAAAGAATATAATCAAAAAGAAAAAGAGTAATAATAATGAAGGAGGATTAGGTAAACAAGTAGAAGTAGTAGATCAAGCAGGAACAACAATGGAAATGGATACAGAAGATGAAGAACAATATGACGACGATGACCAAGACTACGATCAAGATGATGATCAAGATGAATCTGATTTAATTGATGATGATCATCATACACATAATGGAAATGGTCATGGAGAAGAAGAAGAAGAAGAAGAAGAAGAAGAAGAAGAAGAAAATGATGATGAAGAAGAAAAAGAAGAAGTTTCCTCAAAAGTTAATAATAACAATAATAATGGAACCAAATCAATTTATTATGATACCGATCATTTAAAGAATATTACTCCTTTATTATCTCAAAGAGGTCAATTAAATCATCGTATCAATACTGCATCATCGTACAATGGAGGAGATGGAGGTGACTTGGATTCACCAACAACAAACTACAAGAAAAAGGAATTTGATTTGGATGTTGACAACAATCATCAAAGAGAGAAACCAAACCATGGTGAATTTGACCATCTACCAGAGACATCCAATTCTTGGATACCATCTATTCTAGCTGTATTCCTCATCACTGTATTTTTTACATTTTGTGTTGGTATGGGTTCTCATGGTCCAACTTCAAGTTCAGGGTATGTAATCCATCCAAATGATGAATGTCCTAGGAATTTATATTAATATTATTATTATATTTATTTAGACTATTTAGAAAACAACAAATTGATAAGAGTATATTTAATAGACCTGAATTTAATGAAACCTTTTTAAAAGAGGTAAAGTTGTCGTTGGTGGATGGCGACAAGGTTGGAGATCATGTTGGTGTGTTGACACATGGTAATTGGATTAATCAAGAGATTGGACTGGCACCACTGATCGAGACGTACTCGACACACTATCGCAGCGTCTCCTTGGGACGACCCAACACTGCCCCACTGAGTTATCTAGTGTCATACCCCATCACGTACTATAGTTCGATGCATTCTCTGATGACAGCATTTGCATACTGCTTTATCAAGGATCCCATGTGCGTCAAATGGCTGTCGATGGAGAACTACCAGAACCCAGACTCCAACAACAAGGAGGACTTGAAACTAGACGTACTGTCAGTGTCTGGTAAATGTGATCGTGCCATCTTTATCATCGAGTACAAGCAGCCTGAACTACTCAGTATGCTTGAATCCATGTTGGACGGTACTGCCATGTCATCTCCACGAGACACCAACTCTTTTACTCTAAATCATACATTTATAGTTTTATCTGAATTGGGTCAAAATCCTTTGGAAGATGATGATGACACTAACAATAATAATAATAACAATCAACATAATGACAACCAACATGACAAATTACCAGCATTGACCCAAGAGTTTTATAGTCATTCTGAAAAACAAAAGATGGATGCTGTATTGGATATATCAAAGGTTCGCGAAGCATTGGTTAGCAAGATGACAGTGATTGCCAAGACTGAGAATCAACATCGTCTCATTACTCGATTCAAAACAATGATACCATTCATCGACCTTGAATTACCACATACCGAACAATGGCAAGAAATTGAAAATCATTCAACCAACTAACCAATCATTAAACCAACCTCGTATCATCATCCATCATTAAAACCTAAACAATAAAAATAATTTAATATAATATAATATAATATCATCAATCTTACCTAATTTAAATATAGTAATACTTGTGTTTGCTTTGTTCTTGAACCAATGAGACAGAAAGAGTCGAAAGATTCTGACTGTTATAATTTCTTGTATCATCTTTGAAACTAGCTTTTTGAGTTGTGTACATCATTGATTGATGATTATCTTTTACTCCGAATCAAAGATGATAAAAGAAACAACAACAGTCAGAATCTTTATGGACAGGTTTAGTGGTAATGAATAGAATTCTTATAGGATAAATAGATATAAAATATGTAGAAATATAAAGATCATCATTTAAACAAAGATAAATATAAAATATGTAGAAATAAAACATCTTTAGTTTTTGATGTTGATATACTACGCCCTGAAAAAATAAAAAAAAAAAAAAATTGTTTTTGCAGATTCATCAGTTTGTCTCTCTACCTTCAATATATTATACATAGAATACTTAAGTAAAGAAAGATCGATCATTGCTTGAACAAGAACATGTGGGGTGCAAGCATATTCAACAACGTCACAAGACTATGTGTCAACACAAATGTAGGTGCTGCAAGCGAATATTAATATACAACAAACAGTTAGACAAGCAGATTGAAATCAATGAACAAAACGAACGAACGAATGATCATCGCTTGATTCATATGCGAACGAATATACAGTCTGATTGATGTGATGACAGACATACATACAGATAGATATATATTACATTCAATGACAGATACAAAGATGGAGATAGATAGATAGATAGATAGATAAATCTAGAGTGAAAGACCAACAAGAATTATGATAACTAATCAAACATCATAATCAATCTTATCATATCATATAATATATATAATATATAATATATAGAGCGTCATTCAAAATCAAGTTAGAAATTTATACAAGCACAAGTCAAAGTCAGCATGCAAGAAGAGATTCATGTTGACCAAGACTGGCAAAGTAAAGTTTCACCCAAGAGCCAACCCTGGAACCGTTGCATATGTTACCAATACCGCTGTTTTAAGTACATTTAGAGGTACTCTCTTTTCACAAGCATACACCAAATCAAAGATCGATCCATACAACAAGAATCCACATATTACTATCATCGAAGTTGAAGAAGAAGAGTATTAAAATGAACGCAAAAATAAACAACAACAACAACAACAATAATATATAATAATAATAATAACAAATCAAAACAAGTATGCGATATATAGATTGGAAGATTTAAATCAATATTATAGATTTATTGGTACATTTTGGAGATGATAAAATGGTACAAGAAAACATTATTCTTGATTCCAATACCAAAAACTAGACTCTTTTTCTCTCTCTCTCTCTCTCTCTCTCTCTTGAGTCCAGAGAGCTTAGCAAGTAGGAGTAGATTAAATTGGATTGATGGATGGACTGGACAGGTTGTATCCAAGACATTGTCAATTATTATTATTATTATTATTATTTGATAATCCATTAATTAATTAATTGATTTGATTGATTGATTGATTGATTTAACCAACTGGTGTTATGTATATAGTTCCAATTGGTCATATATGATATTATTCGTTATTTATATATATCGATTCATTTGATTCGATTTGTCTTTTTTTGATGATTAATTAGTCGTTCGGTCGGTAGGTTGGTCGGGTGATATTGATTAGTTGATAAATGTATTCATTCGTTTCATTCATTCATCATTGGTTTGTTAGTTTGTTAGTTTGATTGTTGTTTTGTTCGTTAGTTCTTTGTTTATCTTATATTATATTATTATTCTTATTTGTTGTCTATTCGTTGGTTGGGTAGTAAGTTTTAAGAATCTTCTTCGATAATGAAATCCTCCTATAATATCGAATGATTAATAAGTTGTTCAATAGAGATAGATTGATCGATAGTTTTAAAGAAGAAATACATACAGGAGAATAAATAACTTTAATCAATAAACTACATGATGGACACTTTGCAACCTCTTCACCAGCCAATATCTCTTCTTCAGTGATAACGAATCGATCACCACAAGGACACGGGTAGTAGAATACTCTTTCCTCTTCGTTAAACTCCATATCTTCAATTTCTACTTCATCATAGAATGAATTGGCATGTTTAGCCTCCAACTCTGAAACGTCAACCAATACAATTGGTTCCTTTGCCGTCGACGTTTCTGGTTTATCTGTTGATGTGGGAGTCGTCGACTTGTCTACTTCATCATTATTATTCTTATTATCATCTTTATTTTCAATATTCTTTTGTTCTTCTTTCTCTCCCATCTTTATATGTATATATATCTTTGTTTAATTAATTATACTTGAAATGCATTTCGAGAGAGACGAATCGTCGTCTGTAATAATAAAAAAAAAAATTAAAATATTTTAAAAAAAAAGTGAGAAACTTATACAAATAGTTTAAAGAAAGTACAAGGATGCTTGGATTTAATGAACAAGAAAATGGTTGTATAAAAGGGTAAGTAGGGAAATAATTTGAATAATATTGATAATCCCAAGCAAAAGATTTAAGTATCCATCCATATCCAGTGGCCAGATTGAGAACCTAACTAAATAATCTATCTCTATAAATAATTATTTAGTTGAATAAATAAATAATAATATTATAATAATTAATATGTGTCATTTTTTACTTGCATGATTGATTTACATTCCAGCTGGATGATTGGGCTGGTCCTTTAATTAAAAATCTATATCCAAAGAAAACAATGATTGGTTATTCCACAAACATCAATCACAAGAGATAAAATGTATGGAATGACCAATCATTATTTTCAATAGAAAAGATATTCTATCCTAGTTGTTGTGGTGGTCGACCTTGATGGATAAATTATAATAACTATATAGATTCTTGGTAATATTAAAAATAAATAGCTTTAGATTAGATTGTAGTGAATTTATAATGAAGATTAATTGATTCATTATGATTATTGTGGTCATTATAATTAACTAATAATAATGAATAATGAATGAATAAAGTCCAGACGACAATCTAGATCCAACATCGAAACTATTTATATGAATCGTGTTCTCACCAAATTTCGTTACAATGTCAAGTGGACAGTCTCATCGTTCACGAATGCATCATTGTTGGCCGTGTTTATGAAAATGACAATCTGTTATTCAAGAATCTGTAGGCGCTACTCTGATTAGACTTTTGTTGTCTATTTCACCATTCATTTAAAACTTGCTAATACCTGTGTCAATACAAGAGCTGAATGAAGCGTCACCCCCTCCTACACTCCTTGACATTTGCTGAAGAGTGGTACCATTGTTGTTGTCTTTGGTCATTGTTGATAATGGTTGAATAATAGTTATTACTATGATTAATGATTACTAATTGATGGTATATATTTTTAGTTGCGTTTTAGTTGTGATTTGTGTTTATTAGGCATGAATTCATTGAAAATGTTGTCTACTGTTAAACGATGTATCGATACCCATGTATCGCCAACCAACTACAACAACTTACAACTATAATTATTTGAATGAATAAATTAATTAAAAACCTCTATTATCAAAAGAAGTAAAGATCGATCGATGGGTTGGAGAGTTTCTTTTTTTTTTTTTTAGGTTTAATAATAATAATCAAACAAATGTTGTTAAACGATAGTGGTGTTTACAAAGTATTAAATAATAGGTATTTGTTAAAGACTATATTACAATGGGTACGATCGAATCATTCAAGACAACAACTCGAGTCTTATCGATACCATGAACTAAACAACTTGCTGTGGATACTCGTCAATGGCTATGAAGGACTATTAAAGATGATCTTTGATCGAGGTGAATTTGAACAGATGCTACGTGTGTCACAAGAAGCTGTTAGGATGTTCTTTACCAAACTCAAAGATCGTCAATTGCTACTGTCCATCTACCACCGATACACCATACTATTTTGTTGGGATGATACAATAGAGTATGCTTGTAAAAGAGGTGATTTGGAGATTGTTGACATGTTGATCAAACAAACCAACCCTCTCGTATTACCTGTTAGTCCTCGATCACTAGATACCGCCATTCAATCAAACTCTATTGAATTGACAAAGTATATTGATAAATGGTTTAAAATTAATTCCTCTTCTTCCTCTTCAATGACCAAGACACTAGTATCAATCAATTGTCAAACATCTAAAAAGGAAATAATAGAATATTTATTTCAAAATAATAATAATAATAATAATAATAATAATAATAATATAAAGAAGAAGATGAAGAGAATGTTTAGTGGACGTGGTGGTGGTGATGGTGATGGTGGTAGTGATAGGTCTATCAATATGGATCCATTACTTGTACACCCAATATTGATTGATTGGGTATTAAAGAATTATACAAATTGTAAATGGACGTATACATCTAGCAGAGTTATATCTCGCATTATCAAAGAGATAGATAATACTTGTTCAAGATCAAAAGATGCGTTTGAATGCAAACAATACTTGTCAAATAGCAATATACCATTTAAAGATATATTCCAATCACTTCAACAAATCATTGCATGTCAATTGGTAAATATAGGTACAACTATAACTACAACTATTCAAGAAATAGAAGAAAGAATGTGTACAACTGTTGACAAGGAAAATGATCCAATCTACTATCCAATGTTGATTATTTTGGCATTGGACAATTGTAGAACAATTCTACAACTGTTCCTCAGATACTTGATAAAGACTGATCATCCATTCTTGTATACTTTGGCCAATGAAAATAGAGACTTTGTATTGTGTCCTATTAGCTATGCAGTGCCAGATGACGTTACTTTGACCGTCGATCAAGCCAATCTCATTTACTGCCAAATATTCTCAAGTCAATCGGCCATTCTCATTGACAGTCCAGAAATATTTGACATTCTCCAAGATAACATTGGTTTAGATCAAGATCAAAAAGATATGTGGATAGTAGGTCAAATATTTCCAATTGCAGTTGATCATTGTTACTTTGGTCTTGTTAGACACTTGGCACGTGAAATGCAAACAACTAGACCCTACAGATGGAATTTTAGTATTAGAAAAGATAAATCAATTCAAGAATGTATAGACATGTCAATATTGTTAAACGAGGTTGGTATCTATGCCACATTTATTCAAAGATCGATCATAACAAATACAACGCATCCAACTATACATTTGACAGAATATATATTAAAGTGTCTATCACATAGTTCAACATCCATATCATATGCTCTACCATTACTATTTTATTCTCAGTCCTCTGATTATCTAATCAAATCATATTTAGATCAAACTAAAGTATTGGTTGATTTGGACAATATTATTATGAGTCAAGAGTTGGCAGATTTCTTGACAAGGTATAGACAAGATACTTTAATATCCATTCTAAGTGGAGAAATATATTCTCTACATGGTCATCGTATTTCAATTGGTTGGAAATCTATAAAACTTTTATTAAAGAGTATATGTATTTATAGAAATATGGATCTATTTAGATTTATTCTAGATTACATGTACCTGAATCAAGATAGGAATAATCCAACTCCAATACATGAAATTGTAAGTTTGGTTTCAGAGTTTGGTCATCATTCTGATTTCATTCAACGTATCATTACATTATACACTACAATTGACAGGAACCAATTTACACAAATGCAAAGAATAGCTTGTTCAAATGGTAACAAGAATATTCTTGTTTATCTAATTGAACAAACAGAGTTTAATGTAAATACTGGATTTTTACAAGTCACTCGTACATCCAAACAACAATCAAATTATCAATTACACCAATCTCCCAACCAACTAACAGCAGACAATGAAACTCAATCACTCAATTCATTTCATTTTGCAGTGTTCCGACACCATCTCAATGTCATACAGTATATCTATGATTCAAAATATTTAATCAAACATTCTACCAATATTGTAACCATTAAAAAACATCTACTTGATTCGTGTATGACTGAAACAACCAAAAACTATATAAATAATTTATAAATAAATTATGGTATAGGAGTAAATAATTATTTATTAATATTCTATTTTGTAATTATTCAATTATTTCATGTTGTTGATTTAAGGAAATAATAAAAGATTAATAAAATACAAACTACAACAGCGAACAGTTAGTTATATTATTAATAATAAAATACAAATATTAATAATATTAATAAATATTGTAGTGAGGAGAATGATATTTCTCCATTCCGAACAAGACAGAGCTCTCATCTATAGAAAATAAAGAAAGTGGAAACTTGATAAGTACAATTGTAAACAATGAAATCTAATTTGAAAAAGTAAATTAAAAATTAAATGAGCTTACCAATTCTCTTTCTCTGTCTCTATATATTTGTTTATTCTCCATTATCACATCTTCTAGATATTGTACATAACTATTATCATCAATTGAATTTAGTTCATTGTATCTCTTTCTTTCTTGTTTTAATATTTTTTTATATTCTCTTAATTTTTGTATCTCTTCATTATTATTATCCATCTTTTTGGTACTTTCTATCTATCTATCTATCCTTTTTGAAAATAAAAAAAAAAGTAATATCATCATCATCGTCCATACTACCTACTCACATTTAATTTAAATTAAATTTTAGAGAATTGATTAGAAATAAAATGATAGAGTTTGGACCCCCCCATAATAATGAATAAATAAATATACTTGTTAAATAAATACTACTTATTAATAATATTATTGTTGTTGTTGTTGTTGGAGGGGGGTTAAATTAATAGTTATATTATTATTATTATTATTATTTTATTACCATTTCTATATTATATTATTATTATTATTGTTATTAAATTATCTGTGTGGTTGAGGAGGTGGAGGTTGTTGCATTCCACCGCCGCCGCCTCCACCGAAATTATGAGATGGTGGAGGCATTCGACCAAGATTCCAAACACATACATGCTCGTCCCATGAACACGATGCCATCTGTCCATCAATAAACATATTCCAATCCAATCCAACTACAAACTCTGTATGATGATCCATCTTTGCAACCATTGGATCATCTCTTGCTCTATCCCAAATAATTACACTCATATCACTAAAAAAAAAGAGAGAGAGGAGAAGTTGTATTAGTATATCATGATGAGTTGTTGTTGTTGGTATATATATGTGTGTGTGTATGTATGTTTGGGTTTAGACATACTATGAAGAAGAAGCCAACATGGAAGGAGAATGAGGAGAACATTTTAGACGACGGACGGCATAGGTATGACCACGTAAAATGGCAGTGGGACGATCGGGGAATCTAATATCCCAAATACGAATAGTTTTATCTACAGAGCCTGTTACAATCTCGCTCTCGTTATATTTGTTCCAGTCACATGTCAACACTTCATTGTCGTGTGCTTTGATGGTGTTGACAGACTGAGAATGACGTTGATCCCAAATCTTGAGCGTCGTGTCACCCGACACGGATGCAAAGAGGTGCGGAGATCGTGGTGACCATACAGTGCTATAGATGCAGTATCGATGCTCGCGAAAGGTTCGCATAGAACGGTCGGCACGTGGGTTCCACAGTTTGATCGAGTGATCCCACGACCCAGTCACAAAACAATCCTTGTTGACGAGATTCCAGTCGATAGCATACACCTCCTTTGTATGTTCCTCGTATGATCTGATTGGACGTTCACCAGAAGGTGCTTGTGTGTCCCATATCTTGATGGAGCCGTCACCCGACGCCGAAGCCAAGTGACACTCATTCTCCTCGCTCCAAGTACAGTCGTACAGACCGTCACGTGTATCGTATACTCTAAACATTGCAATGTCGCGATCCATCACATCCAATACATATTGACGTCCATTACCAATGATACCAAAGTGTTGACTAGTCGCACATGCCAACTTGTTCTCTTCAAATGGACTAAACTCTACTGAATATCCATTGAAATGTGTTCTAAATCTTTTCATCCCTATATAATCTATATCTATCTATATCTATCTATCTATCTATCTACCTATTTGTCTATCTTTAATCAAACTGTTTTCTATAAACACAATCATCATCATTATTAATATAACATCTATGGTATGATTGACAAGCAGTGTAGTAGTACTCACTTGTTTACTATATGTATGTACAATCGGGTAACCTCTTTGATCAACTCTAGAGTTCTCCTTTTAACCCGTCTCTCTCAAACTGACTAATAATAACTATTCTAATATATAAATAATGAAATAGAGAAAACTCAAGTACTAGTTGTTTTTTGATGTGAATTTCACATCGGTAAAAAATGGGAACCTTTGCGTCATCGATTACTTGGAGTGATCATATCATCATATCATGATACCATCCCCAATTAGTAGTAGTAGTAATTATAAGTTGTGTATACATATTATCTTTTATTATCTAGATTATATACATTTTGGTTCATGATCACAATTCACACAAATAGAATGAATCAAACTAATATTGAATCTACATCAAGTTCTACTATATGCTTCTTTCTTTTGTCCATTTATTGTGACATATAATGGATAGGTAGTATGATCCATATACAAGACATCTATCTAATAATAATAAGATGTACTTAAATATTATTTATATATATATATATATGTCTTGGATGGGATGTTAAACAAAAATCAAAAAAAATCTTGGCATTGCTCGCGAGCCCACACCAATTTAATTTTAAAGTGGGTGTCTAGACATTGGAGAGAAGGGGTTTGTTTGAAAGTTAGATTAGAGATAAGATAAGACACCATTTCATTCATAACATACAGATATATAGATACATATACAGATATAAACAAAGATGGAAGAATACCACTTGAAATGCATTGTTACTGGTCCACCATGTATGTTTGACTGATCGATCGATCAAACAATCTATCAATCGAGTTTATACTAATAGTATCATATCTCTCTATCTCTATCTATCTCTCTATCTATCTCTATCTAATACTCATATCGAATAGGTGTAGGAAAGAGTTCATTATTACTTCAATTCTGTGAAAAGGAGTTCTCTACTGAATTGGATACTACCGTCGGTGTAGAGTTTCAATCAAAGACAATGGAGCTTGATGGTCAATTCAAAATCAAGTTGGAGATTTGGGATACTGTAAGTATCATCTCATAGCTTTGTATATCATAGATTTTATACATTCACTTTAACTAACTATTATTACCCTTTCCCTTACATCCCCTTTTCAATTGATCTCTTCCCCTGACTTTTGTAATGACACATTTGGATCATACCTTTCTTTCATAATCATCAAGGCTGGTCAAGAATCTTTTAGATCGATTACTAATAATTATTATAGAGGTGCTCATATTGCTCTATTGGTCTATGATATTACAAAGTATGAAATATGAAGATATTACAAAATGAAATCATTGAACATATATTAATGTATTTGAATTGTTTGTTTTGTTTTGTTTGTAGCCGACAATCATTCCAATATTTGGGAAGTTGGCTTGAAGAGATTGCACAAATGTCTACTCCAAACATTGTCACATTATTGATTGGAAACAAGTGTGATGCAAAGGAACGTAGAGTCGTCACTTTAGAGGAAGCACAAAGATTTGCAAAGTCAAATGACCTCATCTTTATCGAAACTAGTGCAAAGGATAACACCAATGTAGAAAAGGTATTTGAAGATGCTGCTCGTCAAGTCATTACTCTTATCAAACAAGGTAAATTGGTTGTAGTCAATAAGAAACCTCAAATCTCTTTGATAAGTGGAACCAATAATAATAATAATAATAATCCAAATGGAACAAATAATGGAACGAATAATAACAATAATAATAATAATAGTAGTAATGGTAAAACTGGTAATGGTACTACTGGAGATAAGAAATGTTGTTAATATTAATGTTAATATTAATAATAACTAAAACAACAACAACAACAACTCAACAATCATTATAATAATATTTATTTGTAAATTGATTTAAAACAAACCAACAAGTAACCATATTCATAAATAACAATAATTTGTAAATAATAATAATAGTAATAATAATAATAATAATAATAATAATAATTAATTTTTGACCGATAATCAATCACTCTAGATATTTCTCCAATATCCACCAATCCAATCCAACCCAACCATCCAATCCAATCCAATCCAATCTTTACAACCTCCATCAATTGTATTCACTCTTCCTTCCTTCCTTCCTATTTGTTTATTTATTTAATAATTATTCAACTTTTAAAAATGTATGAATAAATGAGGATAGATAGATATCCAACCCCAAATCAAAAACAAAACAAATCAAAACAAATACTAATAATAATAATAACTATTAATACTAATAATTTTTTGTAAAATGTTTCCCATCCAAAAACAAAGTTGTTTATTGTAACAACATTTGTTTGTTTGTTTTCCCAGTTTATTTTCGATTTGATTTGTAAGAGTTGTTGTTGTTGTTGTATTAATATAAATTGATTAAACCATTCTAACCTTTTTAAGATCCTTCTTTGACATCTTTTTAATTTTAGCGGTATCTGTAATCTATATAATATTAAAAGAGAATTAGTCATATATAACATAATAATAATAATAATAATAATAATTAATTATCAAATTGAATTGAATTGAGTTGAATTGATTTTTTTTTTAGATGTACATACAACTTGAACTTGTTGACCACGAAGAAGATTTTGAGCTTTAATTCTTTGTCTTTCCTTGGCTTCGGCGGCATCATCCTTTTTAGTTTGGAGTGATCCAGCCTTGATAGAACGTTCCTTATCCTTGATTATTCTCATTCTGTTTCTCTCTGCTTCCTTTTGTTCCCAGGTTGATTTGAGACTCTTGACCTTGATTGATTTTGATAATTTTTCAGACGGTTGTTTCCATACTCTACCAGAGACTGGTTTGCCAATCACTGGATTGATCGATCTACGTATTTTCTTCATCTCTTCTTCCATTGCTTTTTTCTCTTCCAATGCTTTTATTTCTGCTTCAGTCTAAACAATCAATCAAACAAACAATCAAACAAACAAACAAATAAATAATAATGGTTAGTCAAATATGAATAAATAATGATAATAGTTGAGTTGAGTTGTATCATACCAATTCCTTAGCTTCTTGTTTAACTTCTGGTTGTGGTTGATTAAAAGTTGGAATGATTGGAGCGGCGGTAGTAGTAGTAGTAGTAGTATTGTTGTTGGTATTGGGAGTAGTGATGATACTACTAGTAGTTTCAATGATAACATCTTCCATGGTAACATCGACAGTTGTAGTTGTAGTGGCTGTGTTGGTGGATGGTTTCTTGGATGCAGCTTTCTTTGGTGTACCCTTTTTAACGACGGTTGATTTCTTTGGTTTCTCTTCTTCCTCGTCACTACTACTATCTTTTTCAGGTTCGACTACTGTAACCTTTTTCTTGGCAGCTACCTTTTTAGAGGTTGCTACTACCTTTGGTACTTCTTCAACTTCATCTTCAACTTGTACTGGTGCAGCAGCCTTTTTCTTTGCAGCGGCGGTTGCTGGAGCAACCTTTTTGGCGATTCTCTTTGATGCAGACTCTTTTGGTGGTGGTGGGATGACTACTGTGACTTCATCAACCGATGGAGATGAGATAGCACTTGAAAAGTCCAACTTCTTGTTTGATGATTCTACATTGTTGTTGGTGTTTGATTGTTCAGTGTCTGATTGTTGATCGTCGGTATCGCTGCTGACATCCACCTTTTTAACTTTCTTTGGTGTTCTTTTCTTGGCGAGTATATCTGAGCTTGAACTGAGGAGTTTCTTAAACTCTGTATTTGATAGTGCTGCTGATCTTCTAGTTTGTGTCATTTTAGATAGATAGATATGTATATAAATAATATGTGACCGACAAAATAAATAAAAATAAAGGAATCTATCTATCTTTCGTTCGCGTTACAACAATTGTTACTTTTTAAAAAAAAAAAAAACATTCGTTCGGTTTGTTTGATTTAATTTTATTTATTCAATTAAAATAAGCTTATTGAAAACTCTATTGACTAACTAATCATGGATTGATTCTAGTTCAAAAGTATGAGCAACAGGCGACCAATCTATTTTCTCATCTAGTTGAATATGATTGAATCGATTGGTATCTTTTGGGAGTGTACTAGCTAAACCACCCAAAAGGTTATAAGTAAAGGACTTTTAACTACTCGTTGCACTTTTGCGTTGGAAAAGTATTGACTGTTGTTGTTGTCTCTCAAACCTATCAAACTATGAGAACTTCCAAGGTAATCAACTCTTTTTTTGAACGAGTAGATATCTGTACAACCATCGTCCAAATTGGTTACCTTGGAAGTTCTTTGTTTTTGTGGTTGTCGTATATATATATATGTCGTATGTATGTCCTCCTCTTTTCTCTATCATTTAGAATCTTTTTGTACTCAACACATCATGTACAATAATAGCCCTCCCCACATACTTGGTAGGTGCGTGGTGTGGTTTTTAACCAATGGAATATGATAAGGTTATAACATTGGTTGGTATAGAAGAACATGGAGGACTGCTGATGCTGCTATTCATTAATGTTAACATCAACATAATAATAGTATTGTATTCAATAAATAACAATAACAACAACAACATGGATGACTCAATGCCAACCGTTTTAAACATAGTAACTGATAAAGGAACTTCAATCATTGATGGATTTGGTATGTACATCTCTTTCCTATCCTATTTCTCTTTCTCTTTTCTCTTTTTTTATCTAAAGAGTTATTGACACTTATCTCTCTCTCTCTCTGCCTCTTTGCATGCATCTGTCTCTGTCTCTATATATTATTTGTATGTTTTAGCATCGGTTCACCAGGACCCTACAAGTTGCGTTTTTGAATTTAATGTAATAGGTAATATGAGAGGACCAGAGATATGGTATACTGAAAAAGGAACACCAATGTCAAAGGTAGAATAATCACACTGCCAAGTGGAACTGTTACTTGCCGAAATAGTCTACCACTTGTCATTACTATCGGACGTTGATAAACTAAATACATCCTATTAAACCATATGGTAGTAGAATAGAGAACAAACAAACAAATAAATAATTATATCTATCTTTGAATGAATTATTTTCAAATATTTTTAAAGGTGACTCTTTGTGATCATCATCAAAAAAACCAAATAATGAAAGATCAGAATAGTTTTAAACTACTCAGACTAAGATAGTGATAGAGATAGAGACAGAGGAGATAGGAGAGAGACTATAGAGGAAAGATGAATAAACTAAACTCAATCTTTCAAGCATTGGAAGCACAAAACTACAAGAATGCAGTCAAGTTGTGTACGACTGCACTCACTAAAAAGGATAATAATCCTTTGATTCACGTGCTTCGTGCTATTGCCAATCTCAAACTAGGCAACACTCAAGAAGCTATCAAGGAATGTGACTCTGTCGCTTTCCTAGGTCACATTGAAGAGAATGTAATCAACAATATTAACTATTTCTATAGAACTGTTGGACAACGTATGTTTGATACACTGATATAAATATTTATATTTATAATGATGTATATACTTATACTACTATACTTTTTTTCTTTCTTTTAGTTGAAAAGATGTGTAAAGTATGGGAAGCATCACATTTGAAATATCCAAAGGAATCATCATTTGCTCAAGGTGTGTTCTTGTCCTATGTAAAGGTTAGAGATGTGAAACAACAACAACAGACCGTTGTGACATTGACAAAGAATTTCCCACAAGAACATAAACATAGTTTTTGGTATTTGGTTACATTGATGTCGATTGTCTATTCTAATCCATCGTCGGCCATCACCATCCAATTGGCATACAAGTTGGCAGAAAAGTTACAAAACGAAGGCAAGTTCAAGTCGAGTGAGGAATTGTTCATCTATGAAAGCATCCTAAAGTATCAAAACAAATACGAAGAATACTTGACCGTCATGCAAGGTAAATTGGGTCAACTTTACAACGTACCAACTGAAAGATTAAAGATTATTGGTTCTATTCAATCAACCCTTTCCAAACATTTAGAAGCTTCTGAAACTTTTAAAGAAATTATTACAAAATATGAGTATGTAAAAAAAAATTGAAGAAAAAGAAGATAAAAGAGACAAAGAAAACTAACTAAAATATATTCTTTTATTTACCTTGGTAGAAAGGATGAATGGTCATGTTATATGGGATATTTTGATTCATTGGAAAAGATACAAGAATCTGGTACTGAATTGGATTATGAAAAGACTATGGAATGGGTAAAAGAGATGCAATCAAGTTTGAATGATAAACCAATTCGTGCACCATTTATTGCAGAGTTGGAGGTTGCACTTCGTACAAAACGATCGAAACAAGAAATGTTGGAATTGATCAAGGGTTACTTTAAGCGATTTGGAAGCAAGCCAGTATACTTTTACGATGTTAAAAAGTATATTCAATCATTGATCAATCTTGAAAAGGATGCATTGACTGAACAAGAAAAGATTGATTTGATTGAATCACTTTTAAAGTTGACATCTGAAGATACTGCTGCTGCAGTTCGTATCTCTCAACTATCAAATGTCTATCGTATCCAAAGATTGGTCGGACTACAAAGATTAGATTCTTTAAAGGACGAAAAAAATATTGACAAACTTGTCAATGATTGGTTGGAAGAGTATGAACTCAACCGTAGAGCAGTTGGAAATGCACAGAGTTCTGAACGTTACCCAGGTGACGACTTGGTCTTGTTGGCTGCCAACGTGTTGAGCGACCGTGGACAACTTTTACGCGCTGCAATGGTGCTAGAGTACGGTCACTCGGTGTCGGCCAAGAACTTCCAGTTCAATTTGGCATTGATTGTCATCTATGGCAAGCTTGGTGCCACTTCCAAGATGGTCGACAATATCCACAAATTGACCATTAAAAACATCCAATGGGACAGCATTGGATACTTGGTGTACGACCAATTGCACGGCCACGGTGACTATGCCGAGCTCTTTAACAGCTACGATCGTGCCACCAAGTTTTACACTGAAAATGACAGCACACCCGATTTTGTTGCCACATGCTACCAACAAGAAGCGTACAGCAAGATTTGGGAGATCCAAAAGTTCCAAGACCGTGTCACCAACAGTTACCAACGCGCTGCCAACTCTGTCGAGCAACAACTCCTCAACCTGTTTATCGTGCACCACCGCACTCCTCAAGCAGCCACCCTCCTCAACCAGTACCGTTCCATCCCCGCCGACGTCTACTCGACTGCCATCACCGAGGAAAAGAGCAACACTCTCCACTTTAACCAAGACCTCGGTGTATTTGATAGATGGGACTACAACGACAAGCAAGAGACTACTCCTTCATCTGAAAACCAACACACTGTCATGTTGACCGCACAGTCCCACGAGGGGCGTGAAAAAAATAGACAAGAGCTTAGCAGTCTCTTGGATATGCGTAGAATCATATTAAAGTTGTTGGTCAACGCAAAGATTCATCTTCCACAAACACCTATTACTCCTGGAGCACAAACTACCTATGCCAATCCAGACATGCAACAATATCAACAAGATATTGATCAACTCGTTAAAATCTTATCAGTATTTAAGTATACATCAAAGATTTCTGATGCTCCAGCAACCATTAAAAATCTTGTAGATTTTGATCAAGCTTTAATGTCTAGCATTCCATCAATCTTTGAATTTTATGTAAAGATTAGAAATCACGCAAAATCAATTGATGAACCAACATTAAATCAATTTAAACAATTTATTAATCATTTTATTCAATTATTAAATGGTAAAAAAAAAATTATAAAAGAAAAAAGAAAAGGGAATAATATTAACCTATTTATTTATTTTTATTTAGAAATGACAAGATATTTCACAACAATAGTTTCAATTGATGGTTATTATTTAAGAGCATATAACAAATATTTGGAATTTATGACATGGATGGTTTATGTTTTGGGAGAATCTAGTAAAATTGTTCCACCAAAAAAACAGAAAAAGAGAGATGATAATTTATTAGAGCTTAGAAATCAATTTGATCAATTCATCAAACAATGTTCAACCCATAATCATACCATTGAAGCTCATCTTTTAACATTTAAATTATCAGCTTTGGATATTTCCAAATCACAACCTGCTGTTGAATACAACCTACCATCATGTGTTGATACAACCACTGTTTCAACCTCTACCAAAGAATCTATTAACAAGGCAATTCAACAAACTCTTGAACACTTTACTTCTCTTCATCAATTATTTTTATTTAATTTCACTAAACCATCAACTCCATAAATAAATTAAAAAAAAAAGAAGAAGAAGAATGGGTAACAAAAGAAAACAAACCAAAAGAAATAATAATAATAAAAAAGAAAATTTAAATTTTTGAAAATAAATAATAATTGCGTAATATACTATGATTTATTATTTTTTAGATTTCTTTTTATAAAAATAATTTCATACCAGTAATAATATCTGAATAGATTGAAGCAGGTTCTTCATCGTCTATTAACATTTTAAATGGAAAATCGACAAGATAGCCCTGAATTTGTTCAAGATTCGATTGATTGAGTGAAGAGGAAGGTAAACGACCGTCTCGAGTGTATTGTGAAATCTTGGTACAATTCTCTGGGATGTAATTGCCAAAGGCCGCCTGATAAATGTCAGTGTTTGATTTTGAAGTTTGACGCCAGAGCACATCGTAGGTCCATTGGTCGAGTGGATCCTTGATGGCACGACGGATATGTTCCGAGTCTTTGCCATCAATGACAGTGGTTGGTTGGAGACCGAGATGCGACTCCCACAGCTGGCATCGGAGATTGAGTGAAAAATGACTGGCCATGTGAAGTTGGCCATTCATTCTCGATTCGACAATCTCGCGATCCTCAATGACGGCACAAATCTCGCTGTCTCTTGATCCGTTGAGTGAACGATCGTTGATGTTGGCCGAGCCAATGATCGTGACACGGTCATCTACAATCATCAACTTGGAGTGAATATAGATCTGTTCGGTAAAGACCACCTCGCCATTGGTTCCCCAATTACGAAGTGAGTTGACAGACATGTATTGATTGACATCGACGTGTGGATACTTGCTATTCAATTCATTGATGATTCCTTGAACCGATTTCAATGTCCACTTTACAATCAATTGTGTCTCTTGTGTAAATAAATCCCCTTCACTATGAATTGGAATTAATATTATAACTTTAAATATTTCTTTTAAAATTATTGCTTTTTCAATTCTATAAAAATAAATAAATAAATAAAATAGATTAATATACATTTCTTTTTGTTTTTGTTTTTTTTTTTTTTACCTTTTCATAATAGCAAAAGCAATTTGATTATTTGGTTGAGGATTACCAGTTGAACTAATGAAAAATTGATTTTGAATGTAAATGTAGTATTGTGACATATTGATTAGATTAATGTATGCCTTGTAGATGGAGTTTTCCAAAGATTGTCCTGCTGACCAATCACTGACAGAACGAACAATTTGAACTTTGGATTCACCAACTTGAATTGGTGGAGGGAGAGGATCAGAGGTTGGAATGAGATAAGGATATTTCTTATAGTCTCTATTTGCATTCTTGGCATGATTCCATCTTTGGATAAAATTGGTTGCTACATCTCTTGCTGCCAAACCATCAATTGAAATAGACACATCGTGCCATGGCATTCTTGGTACATTCTTTCTATCAATAACACATGTCTTTTCATTTGATTTTGGTTTTAATACACAACTATTAATATAATCTGCTCCTGGAAATATTAATTCTCTATTATCATTTAAACTAAGAAAATAAAATTAGTATCAATATTATATATATTTCTTTTTTTTTCTATTTTTTTTTAACATACTAATAATTTGTAGTATCATATCTACCAAAACATAAATCCATACCACCTAGATATGCTAAACTTTGATCAATGACTACAATCTTTTGATGATGTGACCAAGAGAGTGGAAGGAGATGTGGATGACGGACAACCTTGATGTTACGACTGTGTAACTTTTCAAAGAGTGATTTAACGAATCTACTTCCAAGATCACCGGCAATAATGGTTTCATCCCAAATGAGAATATAAATCTTTACACCTTCGGCTGCCTTTTTGTAGAGGAGATGGTCAAGACGGTAGAGATGACCACGAACGTCTTCATCATCACGATCTTCACCACGAACCAAAGTAAGTGTGGGCGATATACACCAACCAGCAATAAATATTTCATTCTTTGCATTCTTGATGGCATGATAGATACGTTTAAAGTAGTCTTGACCATTAATGATATAGTCGACATTGATATCGTCACGTGGTGATGCATATGAATGGAATCTATATGATCCTTTGGAATTTGAACGAATGGAATTGATGAAATTGGCTGCTTTTGATGATGACAATGCAATAAAGGTGTGTTCCTTGTCGTTGAGTTCCAACACAAAATCGGTTGCGTCTTTACTTTCATCAATCTCTTTGTTACCAGTTCTAAATATCGTCTTTAAAATTGATCCATGTTTATGATGATTTGGATGTTCTTTTGGTAATACTTTAACACTTGTATTAAATAAACATATTACTTTTGATGGTACATTTTTCTTTAAACAAAAAAAAATTAATATTTAATAAATAGAATAAATAAATAAATATAATTATTTATACATACATTCAATCTTAATCTCTTGTAAGCAATTAAAAATCCATCTCTACAATCAAAATATCTAAGAGAATAAGCATATTTAAAAACTCCAATATATTTAACTTTATATAACCAACTTGAAAATGATTGCGTATTATTAATCTAAAAAGAAAAAGAAAAATTAGTAAAAGAATAATAATAAATATTTAATGGATTACATACTTCAATTGGTTTAACAAAACAAGCATAAATTAAATCAAAATAACCAAAACATCTTGGAACATCTGCATTGATTGATGAACGTTTTAAAAATAGATCATGTAATAAATGACTATTGACTTTTTGTTCAGATTTACTACTTTCTTTTACAAGTTGAGACGGTGTAGTTCCTGCCTTTAATGAATTATAATTACTATATGATTCTTTAAATATATTATTTACAATCTAGAATAAAAAAATTTAAAAAAAAAAGATTAATAAGAAACCAAAGAAAAGTAATACTTATCTATCTATGTCTACATACTTCGTCTGGTGTACCAATATTACCATAACCAAATTCATTTACGACAGTCAAGGAATCAACCAATTTTACCAATTCCATTAATTCCGATTTATAAATACCATCTTCTGATTTCTTTTTACACATTTTAAAAACAACTAAATAATAAATTAAATATTAATAAATATATTTGATTTGATTTGTTATTTCTATTTCTATTTCTATTTCTATTTCCTTACGTTCTGATTTTTCTTTATAAGTTCCTCTTGTCATAATTGAAACAATATCAATGATTTGAGATATGGAAGGATTTTTATGAGGTGGGACAGCATATTTCTTTCTCATATAGGTAAATAGACATTCGGTGAGTCCATCGATAGCAGTTCTCCAACGAAGAACGAGTGAAGAGGTGTTGAGTGAACTAAATGATTCGTTGTTTAGCTTCATGTCACTGTAGACATTGAAATTCTTGATGTGTTCCAATTGTTGTCTAACAGTACCTTCGACATCAAATTCTCCACCGATTGCATCCTCTTCATTGTTGCTGATGGTCGATGCATGTAGACTTTTGCTGCCTCGGTCCATTAGGCTCAACATTTCGTCATATTCTAGAATCAACTTTGTCAAAATATCAACACCATGTGGCAAATGAACCAAAAACGACAAACCTTGGAATATAAGAAACTCGGAGAAATCAATATTTGAAATTTCTTCTTTTTTAAATATATTATATAATCTATGTAATTCTTCTCTTGAAACTAAATAATAAATAAATTAATAAAAGTAATTAATATAATATAATGTTTATAATATTTTGATTGCATACAATAAGTTTTCTTATAAAGATATTTTTCCAAGATTGTACTATTGGTTCTTTGGATGGATGGATGATTGAGATTGTTGAGATTTTGTTGTGTTGTACGTCTCATAAATAATGGTGAGAATCCAAGTGCATTCTTTACTCTATGTGTTGTTGCTTGATAGAGACTCTTTCTACCTCGGTTGGTAGTATTGCCATTATTATTATTATTATTATTGTTGTTGTTGGTTGTTGTACTGGTAGTCGATGTGGTACTGGTTGTAAGTAGGTCGGGATTGGGTGCAGGGAAATTTGGAGTGGAATGATTAAGGTTGGAATTGGAACTAACTATATTTCTAGTGTTGAGTGAACTTATACTTGATCGGTGTTGTCTATTATGATTATTGTTGGTATTTGTTGTTGTTGTATTTGTATTTGTATTCGTATTGGTAGTCGTTGTATTGGTAGTTGTCATATTATTAGTTGTATTGGTAAGAGTTGAAGCAATGGAACTATCCTCTGTATTATCACCATTGATAGCACTAAGATTACTATTATTTTCGTATTCGTCTACATCGAATAATTCGTCGTCATGATCATCATCATCATCCTCTTGGATATCTATATCATCGGCTGAATAGACAAATGAATCTGCTTGATTGATACTTTGTCTTTTCTTGAGTGCATTATTATTTCCACTGGAATTGTTTGATGTTGGTAAATGCATAGACAAGTCATCTTGATAATTAATATGAAACTCTCGGCTGTGTCGACTACCATTTCTATTTTGGTGATGATGTTGATGGTGTTTATGATATATTTCACCTTGTTGATGATGCCTGTGACCGTGTGGTATCTTGTATTGCACGATATGATCGATACTACTATCAGTGTCGGTGTTTGTTAAATCATCGTCATCATCTTCATCTTGGTTATATATATATTCACCGTCGCTCATCCCCCCTCCTCCTCCTGATGCTGTTCGATATTCAAAACTATCTTCCATGTGTAGTATAGTGTATGTAGTATAGTTTCTATTTTATATATAGGTATATGAATGTTAAAAGTATATGAATAAATAATCTGTGTGTTCTATATATCTGTTGTTTTGTTGTTTGTTGTAATTATATGTTCTTCTTTAAAAAAAAAATGAAAATAATAATAATAATCGGTAGGGTAGCAGTAGGTAGGTAGTATGTAATATTATATTATATTATATTATGTGTATGAGAATTATTCTCAAAAAAGATAGAAAAGTTTGGTTGTTTGAACAATGGAGTGTGGGTATTTTATTTGTTTGTATGAACAAAAGAATCTGTCTGTCTGTTTGTTTGTTTGTTTGTTTGTTTGCTGTGTGGGTGGTGCGAGGAAGGGGGAAAAGGGAGAAACCTGTTGTTTAAATAATTATTAGCATTGCGAGTGAGGGAGGGTGATCTTGTTTTTCGTGTGAATCATCATAGTCGGCATTGATGGCGGGAGAGGGTCGCTACGATTTCTTTTGAAAAACATTCCGTGAACTCATCGAAGGTTGTCATCATTCGTTTTTGAGCGCTATGTTCAATCCTTCAAAGCTTACATGAACCGACTTGGACAAAATAAAATAAATAAATATAATAAATAAAATGTAATGGATCATTATTATTATTATTATTATTATTCTTTACTTTTATGATTATTTTATTTTAATGAATTCCTATATACAGACAAAACAAGGACAAGATCACCAAGATCTTGGTTATCATATCATATGATGATGATTATTATTAACTTTACTTGTTTCATGTAACATTGACACTTTTACGGAAAGGTGATTCTTTTTCCTTTTTAGTTGTTTCCTTTTTTTACTCTCTCTAATTTTACTAATTTTAGTATCCATTGGCTCTTCCAACCAAATCATCGGCAGCTCCTTTATGATCAGATAATTGTGGACGACTTTCATAAACTGTATTGACTACTTCTCTTCTTGCCTAAAATTGTATCAAAATAATTATTAATATATTCCAGGATATATTATTATAATTATTATAATTATATTATAATTGTATTTACATTTGTGTATACACCCTTTAAAGCAATATATTGTATCTTTGTTCTTGGAGCTCCAAAACTAGTTGGAAAGTATAATGTCAAAGTGCTAATATTATTAAATTTGGTTACTCTAGATATGATAGATATGATGACAATAGGAGTATCTTTTGTTAATATTTATGATTTTAAAATTAACATTTGTTGTTGTTTAATAATAGGTCAGTCATACTTTGTATTATAACTGATTTGACCTTCAAAATCTTCATGTAATTGCCATTCTTGAATTGGAGTGATAGAGTTTATATTTCCAAAATCAATGTTATCTTTGTTTAAATAGGCTTTCATCTTGTTTGGTGCTGAATCATTTCCTCCTCCAATCACAATAATACTTCTTATTTGTGTTAATGCTCCAAATCTAAATAAATAATGAATAAATACATTTATTAATATGTCCACTGCTGTCAGTAATAATAGTGACACTTACGGTATATTGATAATTAATTCAGGGTCTGCGTCACTTTCTACAAACTACCAATATCATAAATAAATAATAATAATAAAGTAAGGTATATATATAAATGAATCATAGAGGAGAGTTTATTCATTAGTACAACATTCAATTATTCATTCAATATGAACCAACAAATGAATTATAATAATAATAAACCAAAACCTTACTTACCTTTGATTCATCTAATCTTTCTTCCCAAGCTCTGAATAGTTGTCTTGCAGAACCCTTTGTTCGTTCATTCAAACAAGTAATCTGAGCAGTATCAATATATCGATTCAAATTGAATTCGATACCATCAACGTTGTCGTGTGAGTGATTAGGGTCATTACAATCATGATCTGCCATTGTTGTCTACTGTTACTTCTTTTATCTCTTTTCTTTTAATATAAATATAATATGTTGATCTTTCGTTTTAATAATATAAAAGTAAATTTAAAAAAGATAAGCAATTATTATTTAATTCAATTTTTTGTTGAATGAAATTTCAATATCAACAAAAGAATATTACTTATTAAGTAATAAAGTAATTATCTGTACTTGTAGTTAAAAAAAAAAAAGAGATAAAAGATAGTATTAAAAAAAAGGGTTTGATTGAATCTTTTTTGAAGCTGTTGTACAATAAGATATTATTAATATTTAATTATTTATTTATTTGTGTTAAAGAAAAAGTCGTCATCTTCTTTTGTGATGAATTGATCAAACAAGCACTCATCATCGTCATCATGATCATCAACCTTTTGAATGTTAACTAATCCCAACAACAACAAGCAAAAATGATTGGGTAATTTATCTTGGTATTTTTCATTAAAATCAAACAACATTTGGTGTATCTTGTTCAAATGTATTTGACATTGTTGGTGTTGGTGTTGTTCCTTCTTTGTGACAAGTATCTTGATTATTCTCCAAAACGACTCCACCATGTATAGATGTTCATCTCCCATATGCTTTGATTTATCCAAGATGTTTTTATCTAGAAATAGTGGTACTATTTTAGGATAATAATCTAGTACTACCTTTACCTTGTCTTGTTGTTGTTGATTGTCACATAATAATTTCCATTTATGAACGATAATTTGAACAAAATAACTATATGTTTTTTTAAAGGTCGGTGCCATTATTATACATTTATCCAAAGATGTTTTTGTCATTTCGAGTAACCACGTTTTCATTTCCTGGTGTCTGTGGTTGTTGTTGTTGTTGGTTCCAATTAAAAGGTCACATAGAATAGATTGATTTTGGCGCCACTCTAATAGAGCATTGTTAAAATCTTCGCCCACTTTTAGATGGTTGACATCATATTCTTCCAATACTCGACAATAATCATTATCACATTCGTTGGATACCTCGTAGATTTGATGACTTGTCCAAATACCTCCTTGCATAATGTGAATCATATCTGCTATTGCTGTCATCCTTGGTTTCCATGGCCGTTGTTGTGTTGATGTTGATATTGTTGGTGGTGGTTCGATCAATGATTGGATGAAACGGTTGAATAATCTTTGACTGTTTTGACAGATTCCTTCCTTGTCCACAGTTGCCTTTAACATGCGGACCATCATGTCGACAGTGTCAAGTTTGCATACACTTTCAATCAAGTGTTTGAAATATGGATAGACATTGTCAATCATACCACACAAGAAATAATTAAACAGGTGGTATTTTTTCTCGACTCTCTCAACTGATCTAACCGGTCCCCGATTAAAGTGGGAGATGACTGATTTCATGATGGATGGGATATAAATAGAAAAATAATTCCAGTCTTTCCAATCCTTTTCCCTTGGAATCTTCTGAATATACTCCATTTCTCCCGATTTGATGAGATGTTGTATCAATTCAAATAGATATCTTGCAAAATACTTCATACCAACCTTTGCTCCGACCGCTTGGATAACGTATGCCTTTTCCTTTTTTTTAAAGGTCCGTTTCAATTGTTTGAGCATCATTGGGAATATTCTAGAGGATACCTAAAAGTAAAATCAATTGTAGATGTAATATATGTGTGTAAGTAATTGACACTATATAATTATTATTATTATTAATATTTTACAACAACAACAACAACACATACATATTTATATTTTGTTGGGTCAATGTAATTAACAAAGTTCTCCCAACAGGGAGATCCACCAGATTGAATATCCAATTCCATTTGATCGAGTAAACGTTGTATTACTTGGTCATTTGAAAACAATTGTTTAGAATATAATTTGTATGTATCATAGTTTGACTCTACCACTATATAATTGTACCCATGACGGACCATGATATCAATGGCTCGTAATTGATATTGAACGTTACTAGGATCAGTGAGAAAGTAAGTCATAATGTTGTTGAAAATGTTTCTCGATGCATCAAGTTGTTTTTTGGTAATTGTCGATTCCATGACCTTGAGCATGATTCCTCTAACTACTTTGTTATCACGATGATCCCAAATTGTATCCCCAATAAGTTTTAAATACTTATCTAAATGATTCATTAATTAGTGTTTGTTTGGTTTGTTGCAATTGAATGAATGAATGATACATACGACCATTAGCACCAGCATTTAGAGTATTCAATATTGAAAACAATATGGTTTGTGTTTCATCGTTATTATTATTATTATTATTGTTGTTGTTGTTGTTGTTGTTGTTGTTGTTGTTGTTGTTGTTGTTGTTGTTGTTGTTGTTGTTGTTGTTGAAAAAAAACATCAAAACATTGAATATTGTATTGATATCTCGATTATAAGCAAAAGGACATTTAGAAGGTGTCGTATATTTCCTCAAAGCTTTATCGAGGAGATAGATTGATTGTTTTTTAATCTATATATATCAAAGGTTAGAAATATAAACTATAAACGAAGATAGACTAGACTATAGTCTATTTATTCAGAGCTTTATAGTTAGTGTTACATACATGAGATAATTCACAATTTACAACAAGATATAATAACCATGATAGTACTGTTTCTTGCTGTTCCAATGTTTTTATCATATAATTGTATTGTTGTTTATACTTGTTGTTGTTGTTGTTGTTGTTGTTGGTCTTGTTGGTCTTCTTCTTTTCTCTTTCTAATCCCAACTTTACTATTAAGTCTATAAACTCTGATGATGGTGTGACGAGAATATTTAAATTCATTGTTGTTGTGAGTTATTAACAATTACAAATATGAAGGTGATCATCATCTTTGTGTAGACACTACTTTGTGAACGATGATGATTGAATGCTATTCATAATAACCCCCGTATCATTTCCTTGGTTGCTTTGTGGTTGTTTGAAGGGGCAACAATGAAAAAAAGAAAGTTGTTCACAAGATGGGTAACCATCTTTGTTTTTTATTTAATTAATTATTTATTTATAGTTTTTTCACAAACAAATAGCTTTTATCTACTTTAGTGATATGGATTGATGACGCACATACGGTTATCATTTTCATCATGGTCGTCTGAATGTTCCCCAAATACTGAGATTAATTGGTACCCAATATAAAAAAAATGTTTGTGTTGAAAAATGTAAGTATAATATAATATCTATCAAAAATAAATCAACGCGATTAATTAATATGGTTTTATAGGGCTCACGGAAATGTTGTTGAGGGCGCCTATTCCAATGAAAACCAAAAAAGGGTCAGAAAATGACAAACATAGTTTTTCGGAACAAAAATCAAATTCGAGAAGTATTTTTTAAGCATTCGAGAAGGAAATACTTCATGTAGCTCTCTTTAGTTTCCAAAATAGTGAAACTACTAATAATGCCAATACCATCGCAATTTGAGAGTATCTGATCGAATGTTAAGTGGATTGTTCCTTTTGAAAATTCAACTCCTTTTATTTTTATTTTAAAAATATCTGAATAAAAAATAGTTGATCACTTAGGTATCGGAGGAATCCAAATACATGATATCTTTGGGGCCACTATTTAATGAAACTGTAGTTGAAAAGATGATGATCATCAAAATTCGATTCGTTTAAAAAGATTTTTTAAGAGATATAAATAAATGAATTCTTTAATTTACATATTTCTATTTACCTTGGTCGCATTATTACAAACATCAGTAAATTCAACTACAACAACAACACTATATGTCAATTTAAATTCAACAAGTACTAGTGTTGATTGTGGTATCGATATCACAGTTGCAAATGCATGTCCAGATTTACAAAGCGCATTGACATCTTTCACTAAAAGCGGTGTTATTGGTCCATTGATCATTTTATTGGCAGGTGGTGTCTATACTGGACCAGGTAATGCCAACATTCAGGTGTACAACCAAACCATCACCATTGATTCTGCCGATCCTCAAGGCCCAACACCAGTGGCATTTAACTTGACCACTGCAGGTGCTCCCTACTTTATCCAAATTGCACCACCTGCCAATACCTTGGCATCGCAGTACGACTCGACCTTTGTCACTTTGACGCACACCTATGTCACCGACCTCAAGCTTGGCGTTGATCAGCCTGGTGGCGTCATTTTTGCCAATGTCACATCTGGCATTGTTGGCATCTCTCTTGTCAACGATAACTTTTACAATATTAGCTCAATCGACATCATCAACGTTATAACACCACCCAATCCTCCAAATGTCACCATCACTGATTGCGAATTTAGAGATCTCCAAGCCGGCCATGCCATTATTTCGCTTGTCGGTGCCTCGCTCGCCTTGTCCAATTCGGTCTTTACGACAAGCTCTGCCCTCTACTTTGTAGCACTCGGTGAGCAAAGTATTGGCTATTTCGACAGCAACAACTACGCATACAATAGCTTTGTCAACAACAATGGCGCCATCATCTACGTGACCGAATCATTTGGCAGCTATCTCGAAGGCGAAAGATTCGAATACAACTATATTGGCAATGGCGCCCTTTTCCAGGTGTACAATGCATGGGTTCAAACAGACTCGCTCTTCTTTATCAACAACAACTCGACGGCCATTGCAGTATCTGGTCAGTATGCTTCCCTAAACATGACATACACCAAGATATTTTTCAACTTTGGGTCTGTCTATGGCCAAGTCTATGTTTCCGACGGCGCCAATGCAACTCTTATTGACTGTGTACTCGACAGTGGTGGTGCTTCCTTTGGTGGCGCCCTTGCCTTGAATGCTACCGCTTATGTAACACTCGAACGTATTACCTTGACCAACAACACTGCATCCAATGTTGGAGGTGCCATCTACGCAAACTCTGTCAAATCTCTTGTTATTCAAGACTCTGAACTAGCCAACAACCAAGCACAATCTGTCGGCGGCGGTGGTGCCATCTACGCCACAAATTCACCTTCAGTGGCCATTAGCAACACCGTCATCGACTCTAACAATGCCGCTGACGGTGCAGGTATCACTTGTCAGCAATCGTCTGTCTTTACACTCGATACTGTATCGTTCACCAACAATACCGATTCTGCTGCAGATGCCACCCAAATATCTTGTCTTGGTAATGGTTGTTTAGTTTCTGGCAATTCAGGTTCATGTAATACAAATGGATCGCCAACCACAGGTGCTACTGGCAGTACTGGTGGTAGTACAACAGGCAGTACTGGTGGCAGTACAACAGGCGGTGCTGGTAGTACAACAGGCAGTGCTGGTAGTACTGGAGGAAGTACTAGTGGTGGTAGCAGTAAAGGAGGAGAGAAGAAATTGACCACCGGTCAAAAAATCGGTATTGGTGCAGGTGCAGCTGCAGGAGTTGCTGCTATTGCTGGTATCATTATCGTTGTTGTAATTAAAAAGCGTTCAGCTGCCTATCAACCTATTGTTTAATCTATTTATCATCATTACTATACTATTCATAAAACAAATAAAGATAGATAATCTAATATATTATTACTCTTTTGTATATTCTAAAAAAGAAAAATTAAATTAACAAAACTAGTGGGTATGGGTGTAACAAGCAGGGATTAATCGATTTATTAATATATTTATTTAATTTTTTATTTATTTATTTTTCAACAAATAGCTACCGTCATCTACTTTTGTGATGAATTGATCACGCAGACGGTTATCATCTTCATCATCATCTTTGTCATATTCGTGAATATTACACAATGTCTCCAACAACAAGCAAAAATGATTGGGTAATTTATCTTTGTTTTTTTGATTAAAATCAAACAACATTTGGTGTATCTTGTTCATATGTATTTGACATTGTTGTTGTTCCTCTTTGACAAGTATCTTGATTATTTTCCAAAATGAATGGGTGATAGATTGATAGCCACCCTCTTTTATAATATACTTTGATTCATCTGTAGCGAATAACATTTCGTTCTCTAGAAATAGTGGTATTATTTTAGGATAATAATCTATCACTGCCTTTACCTTGTCTTTTTGATTATCACATAATAATTTCCATTTATATATAATAGTTGGAAGAAAATAAAGATAGGCTGTTTCAGTGGTGGGTGCTATGGTTATATATTCAGCCAAAGATGTTTGTGTCATTTCGAGTAACAACAAAGTTTGACTAGTTTCCATTTCTTGGTTGATGAAAAGGTCACATAGAATCGAGTGAGTGATAATCCATTCAGTTAATTCACCCTTATAACCTTTGGACCTCCTCGATGAGTTTTTATATTGTTTCTTCTTCTTTGTATCTATTGTTTGACAATATTCATTGACATGTATGGTGTATACCTCGTAGATTTGATAACTTTTCCAAACACATCTTTGCATAGAGTCAATCATCTTTGCTATTGCTGTAATCCTTGACGACCATGTTTGTCGCCTCATCTTTGATGTTGGATCCACCAATACTTTGTAGAAACGGTCGAATAAGCTTTGACTATTTTGACCACTAACCCCTTCCTTGGCCACTGTCACATCGATCATGTCACACATCAAGTGGACTTTACCAAGTCTGCATACATGATCAACCAAGTGTCGGAAATATGGATAGACATTGTCGATCATGTCATCACACAATAAATAATTTAGGCGGCGATCTTTGTGGTAATTGTAAAATTCCCGTCGATCAAAGCTGGAGAGGAGTGGTTTCAAAATGGATGGGAGATAAATCGAAAAATAATTAGAATCCTCTATTGAGATCTGCTTCATATACTCCACTTGTCCAATTTTGATGAGGTATTGTATCAATTCAAATTGATATCTTGCAAAATACTTCATTCCCACCTTTGCTCCTACCCTTTGGATAGTGTCCACTACATCCGTTATAATTCATATAATTGTTTGAGCATTATTGGGAATATTCTAGATGATACCTAATAGATAGTAGATTACCATTTTGGTTAATTAAATATTATTATTATTATTATTATTATTATTAGTAATTATTATTATTAAAATATAAATGGTTGACTTTTAATATGTGAGTGTTATCACATACATATTTATATTTAGTTGGGTCAATGTAATTAATAAACCTATTGAAAGAAGGTTTATTCCCAGATTGAATAAACCATTCTAATAGATCGAATAAACGTTGAATTACTTGATGATTTGAAAACAATTCTTGAGAATAGAATTCGTATCTATTATAGTCTGACTCTTCCACTATTGAAATATATTTGTGATGGGTACTCTTTAATCGGATTATTATATCAATTACTCTAAATTGGTATTGATCGTTACTAGGATCAGTGAGAAAGTAAGTCATAATGTTTTCGGAAATATGTATAGACGAAAAAGTAGACACAAGCTGTTTCGGGTCAATTGATTCCATGATCTTTAGAATGATCTCTCTGATTACTTGATTATCACGATTCTTTCGAATTGTATTCTCTATTAGTTTTAGATACTCTACATTTTGTTCTATATAAATAAATAAATTGGTAAGTGAATGGTAGTACATTTTCATGAATGAATGAATGGTACATACCACTATCAGTAATACCAGCATTTAGAGTATTTAAGATTGATATTAATCGAGGTTGTGTTTCATCATCTTCATCATCCTCTTTGTTGTATAATACCAAGAGATTGAATAGAATCTTTAATATATTTGTATTCAAAGTCCAATCATATTTAATAGTCGTAGTAATAGTGGCAGTGCTACTATATTTCTTTAGAGCTTTATCGAGTAAATAGATTGATTGTTTTTTAATCTATTAAATAATATGTTAGAAATGAACAATACAATATGTTAGATATAGTTTATTATACTATAAAGTACATACCGCAGGAGATAATGTAGATTCATCTACAACAAGATATAATAACCATGATATTATTTTTCCTTCCTGACCTTTTTCTTGTTCTATTGTTGTTGTTGTTATGATATCATTATATTGTTGTTTATAGTTGTTGTTGCTGTTATCATCACCATCATCATCATCTTTGTTGGTCTTATTCTTCTTCTTTTTCTTCCTTTCTCTTTCTATTGCCAACTTTTGTGTTTCGTCTTTGAACTCTGATGATGGATTATGCATTGTTGCAATTTAATTAATCAACAAATATAATATAATATAACCATCACCATCATCGTCTATTGCTATTTGATGTTTAATCATCCATCTATAGATTCTTGCAAGAATGCTATTAACAACCAAAGTACTAATAACCCACATGGTAGGTGTATGGTTGAAATCTTGGTTGGGAGGTTTTTTTTTTTGGGTTGGTATTTATTAATATTATTATTTATTTATTTATTAATATTTTTCGTCTGCATAATACTTGTAAGAAGAACCAATATAACTACGAGATAGGAAACTTTTAACCTGATATTTTGTATATTCACATTTATGAATTTCCAAATCAAAATATCGTTCTATTACCTTGCCCACTTGATCTAGTACATGCTTGACCTTTGCCTTTCTGATGATACTCTTCCACGTCTGTACACTCAAATCTTCACTAGAAAAACAATTGGCTGGCAACGCCTCCATGCATTCAAGTAGGAATATAGTATGTTTAATAACCATTGGTTTAACATAAATTTGGAAATCACTATCTAAAATTTCATGTTCCTAAAAAAAATATTAATATTAATAATAATAATTATAATTATTGATTAGTAAATCTTTTTTAATTTTGATTTAATTATATTATTTTTTTTAAATATGACATACTTTTAATTTTAATAATACATCTAATCTTTGATTTGAAATGGCAACTTGAACAACTGTACTCCAAGTATCCAATACAAGACCGTCTTCCCAAGTCCAAGCAAAATCAATAGCAGCGTCTACTCTGTTGGAACAGAGTATAGGAATTTGTTTGACAAATGATGTGAATACATCACGAGCATACCTTTCAGAGATGAGGTTTCTATCTCTGATACGCAAAGCCATTAAATAATTTGCACCTTGAATGGCGTATTTTAGAATAGTTGCGACATCATTTGGATCAGTGATGACTGGAATGCTAAAGAATGACTCCATGACATCGTTTCGAAGCGACAGTGCTGCGCATTTATAGATATCTAACCAGTATCGTTGGTTTACTTTTGTGATGTTGTGTTCTGGTCGTCTGAAAAAATCGTTGCCAATGGCTACATAGTGGTCGAGTAGGAATGGGTTGAGAACACTTGATTGTGTTGAATAGTCTATTAGTGGCAGTCTACCACACGCCAATATATTACGTGTACTAACATATTCTCCAGCGCCGATTGATTCAACCAGCATATGGTGAAGTGTACGACGAATAGTGTCAGTATCGTAAAACTCTTTGAAACTGTCCAGTGCATAGTTGAACAACTCTAGATTGATCTGCGAAGAAATATTGAAAATGAAGTTCATCATTGTCAAGTTTCGAGGTGTCGTATTACTGACAAAATAAGTTATCACGATCGGGCTATTACCATGTAACAATAACTTTACCGTAGATGCCGTGAATGCATTCTTTAAACCAATGTCCTCTTCCAATGCCACAAAATAAATAAACAATAAATTTAATTCTTTTTTTGTAAACCAATTGCTTGGGTTTGGATTATCTTCCCATTTTTCTACTTTGGTCTCTTCTTTTGTTTCCTTATTATTATTACTATTATTCTTTTGTTGTTGTTGTTGTTGTCTTTTTAAATTAATGTTGTACTGATCAATCATTTCTTTTAATTTGGAATGAAAGTAATCTTGTAGTTGAGAGTTGTATTTTTTCAAAATGGTTGGTGTGTACAGTTGATAGAGTTTGTCCATAATCTCGGCCGATTCACCTTCATCGTCTATCCAATCACTATAGCCTCTCCATATCAATGATTGAAATGTAAACTCTGGTTGTTGTTTGTTAACCGCCGCCGCCGTCGTAGTCAAAGTAGTGGTAGTTGAGGAGGGGAAATTAAAACTGATTCGATTGGCAGGATTATACTTTCTAGGACCGTGTTTGTACCCTATTGCTTCTAGATACTTTATTCGGTCTTGATCGCCACTAAGAACCGACCACCTGAGAATGTTATAGTTTTTCTTGACAAACACTTTGGGTCGTACCAGCGTCATCATCTTTTTAAAGGTGTCTAGGTCGATGTTGGGTTCCTGGCACAACCGTTGCACCGAATGGATCGAGTGACTGTTGTAAAAGTTAAAGAAGGCCAGTCCCTTGCGTCGGGCGTTGAGGTCGCCGTCGGGCTTGAAGCACGCGTCCACATGCTCCTTGACGACAATCGGAAAGATGCGATGTGACCTGTACGCAAAGTCAATGCTATCATACACTGCCGACCGACTGTCTACGTGTGTTTGATACGGCACCCCGTACGAGCTAAAAAGCATCGAGTTGAGTGATAACGTTCTATGAATACCTCCAACTTGATTAAATATACAACGTGACAGATACCTATTATCAAACACCAGTTTGAATAATTCATATTCTAATTTCTTCCCTTCGACACCAACTTTTACTAAAGAAGAAGAAGAAGTTTGGTTTGTTGTTGTTGTTGTTGACATTACTTCTTCTTTGATGAGATAATAATACAACTAAAAGTAGTGTATACTACGATTAACTTATTTGATGTCTTTGCTAAATTTTTTTTAACCCTTGAGAAAATCACATGAATAAAATAAATATCTTGTTTGTTATGTTTATTTATTTACTTTTGTTATTTAGTTTTTTTTTTCAACAAATAGTTATCATCATCAACTTTTGTGATGAATTGATTAAACAGACGTTCAACATCTTCATCATCATCTTGGTCGTCTTCATCATCATCGTTGTGGTCTTTATCTTTGTCACCCTGATATTCATGAATACACCACAGCTCATCCAACAACACGCAAAAATGGTCGGGCAAGTGACATAATATTTCTTCATTAAAATCAATCATCATTTGGTGTATCTTGTCTAAATGTATTTGACATTGTTGTTGTTGTTGTTGTTGTTCATGTACGAGTATCTTGATTATATTCCAAAACAACTTGGCCATAGATCTATGGCCATCTATTTGTTCCAATTGATCACTAGTGAATAACATATCCTTGACGAGTAATAGTGGGACTATTTTAGGATAATAATCTATCACTACCTTTACCATGTCTTGTTGTTGTTGTTTATCAATTTGACATAAAAATGCCCATTTATACATCATCGTTGGAACCAAATAACTATATTTTCCAAAGGTGGGTGCCTTTGTTATAAATTCGTCCAACGATGCTCGAGTTATTTCTCGTATCACTGTTTGTATTTCCTTATTGTTGTTGTAGTTGTTGGAATGTCGGGGGAAACAAATGTAGTATAGAATCCAGTGAATGCGAGTCCAAGCAGTTAGTTCAACATCCAAAAATTGGTTAGCCTTGTTTGGTTGTGATTCACGTTTTTTTGATGGGCACTCTAATATTTGGCAATATTCATTATCATATTTGGTGAATACTTGTATTTGATCACTTTTCCAAACACCTCCTTGCATAGTGTCAATCATCCTCTCCATTGCATAAATCCTTGATCCCCATGGAGACCATGCATCTTTTGCCAACGTTGATGGATCCATCAATACTTTGATGAAACGGTTGAATAAGAGTTGACTGTTTTGACTGATTCCCTCCTTGGCTGCTGCTACATTGACCATGTTGCACATCATATGGACATCGCCAAGTTTGCATACATGGTCAACCAAGTGTCGGAAATATGGATGGACAATGTCAATCATACCTCCACATTCCATCATTCTGGTACGAAATAAAAATTTGAGGCAGTGTTCTTTTTGAGAATCTTTCAATTGATCGAATCGATTGATGAGTTGTTTCATGAGGGATGGGAGATAAATCGAAAAATAACTCCAATTCGTCTCTCTATAACTCCAATACACTAAATCAATATATTCTTCTTGTTTAGTTTCCAAGAGATGTTGTACCAATTCAAATCGATATCTTGCATAATACCTCATTCCCATCTTTTCTCCTACCGATTGGATAATGTCCACTGCATCTTGTTTATCGTGGTCTGCTTTATACAATCTCTTGAGCATCATTGGGAATATTCTAGATGATACCTAAGTGTATTATATAAGTTGTTAAGGGTATTTGGATGTTAGGGTTTTTTGGTAAAAATTGTACAAGTCTACAAAACTACAAAACAACAACACATACATATTTATATTGAGTTGGGTCAATGTAACCAATAAACTTCTCCCAACCATATGCATATCCGTTTGATTGATTATTATACCATTCTATTAGATCGAGTAGATGTTGTATTACTTGTTCATTTGAAAACTCGAAATGTGGAATGCAGAATTCGCATAGATCATAGTCATTTTCCACTATTGATTTCCTTCCATATTTGTCTACCATCATTTCACTCGTTGATCTAATTACACCAATTGCTCTTAATTGGTATTGAACATTACTAGTATCAGTGAGAAAGCTTGACATAATGTTGTTGAAAATGTCTATCGATTTATCTTTCAAAGCCACAAGTTGAACTTGTTTTGTATCAATCGATTCCATGATCTTTAGAATGATCTCTCTGATTGCTTGATTGTCACGATTCTTTCGAATGGTATTCTCTAAAAGTTTTAGATAATCTAAATATTGTTCTAAATAAATTGGTATTAGTTTAGTTTAGAGTTTAGTTTAGTGAGTGGTGATACTTTGTGAATTGGAATAAATGAGATATATACATACTTTTAGTGAAACCAACATTTAGAATATTTAATATTGATATTAACATAGTTTGTGATTCATCACTATCATTCTTGTTATTATTGGTAGATATCAAAACATTGAATATAGATTCTACAATATCTTGATTATAAGTGTGAGCGGTGCCATATGTCCTCAAAGCTTTATCGAGTAGATAGATCGATTGTTTTTTAATCTGCAAAGCGTATCAAAATATATATGAAATATTTCATATGTTAGAAATGAGGAATGAGTACAATAAATACAAATATATATATATATATTTATAGTTAGTGTTGGTTACATACAGTAGATAATTCACAATTTACAACAAGATATAATAACCATGATAGTACTACTTCTTGTTGTCCCTTATCCTCTATTTTAGTTATCATAGCATCTTTGTTGGTCTTCTTCTTTTCTCTTTCTATTGCCAACTTTTCGATTACACCTATAAAAGCTAACGACGGTGCAACTAAAGTATTTAAATTTATTGTTGATGTTGTTTGTATCATAATTATTTGTTTAGCTTTTGGCAAAGATTGTGAACATCATCATCCATCCATCCACCTTCTCTTTCAACCAAGTATTTTTTCCAACAAAATTTAAAAGTTTAACACTCCAATTTTGGAGGGAGAATTCGTATCGATCATAGTTTGCTGTTCCACTATTGATTGATATCCATCATCTATTGTCTACCATTATTTCACTTGTTGAATGATGCATCGTACATCATTTCTGTACGATGCATATTAAAGCTATATATTAAATGAAAAAGTTAGTCTTTGAAAAAAAAAAGAAAAAAGAGTCAGCTCCTTGGTTATGGTAGTGTCATAGCTCACATGATAAAAATATTATAGCTATCTAGATAAAAGGTATACATACACATAGGGAATGGGAAAGAAAACAAAGAAGAAACCAACTTCTCTATCATCATCATCATCATCATCATCATCATCAAATGTTGTAAATAACAATAATAATAATAATAATAATAATGCATCTCTTGCGAATAGTAGTAGTACATCGCCATTGACTCAACAACAACAACAACAACAATCGAATAGCAGTAGTAAACCATCATCATCATCATCATCATCATCCTCTTCTTCACAAGATAACAACAACAATAGTAATAATAATAATAATGAAAGTAATAATAATAGTATAGGAGGAGGATTCCAATTAACAAGTAATGAGAAACAATCGATGGTACAAACGATTGAAAAGCTACGTAATTTCGATTACTCTCATCTATGGGCACTTTCACAAGTACAACCTAAACCATCGATGTGTGCACTCCGACTAGGTAACGATGAGTACTATCGCGAAAAGAATCGTGCAGCTATCGATTACTACAACACTGCTTTGGCACTAGGTGGTAGTAATCCACTACTCATTGTTACTATCTTGATTAATCGTTCTATTGCAAAACTTAGAGTACAAGTATGTAAATAGAGAGAAGAGAAGAGAAAAGAAAAGAATGAATGCCACTCATCATTCATTATCAACTGATCTCTAACAATCTTTTGTTCGTTCGTTCATTCATTTATTTATTTATTAGGATTACAAAAAATCGATATTAGATTGTACTTTGGCATTATCTATTCAACCGAATTGTCTCAAAGCATATATATGTCGAGCGTATGGATACTTTTTCACAAAAGAGTTTAGAAAGGCATTCTCTGATCACTTTATCGCTGTGCATCTCACTCATCCCAACCTTCCCTTGAACCAGGCAATGCGATTGCCATCATCGATCCTATGGAATATTGTAAGTGCTCAAAGAGGTAATCAAATGCAACCTGGTGGTGGAGTATCTGATAAAATGACAATGGAAAAGCAGTCATCAGATCAACCTTTAACTGCTACTTCCTCATCCTCCTCCTCTTCATCGAAACAGAAAAAGAAACAACCACAACAAAAGGAAAAGGAAAAGGAAACAAAGAAACAAGAACAAGAAACAAAAAACAAAAAAGAAAATGGTCATCAACATCAACAACAACAACAACAACACCAACAAGATCTTTATTCAATGCCAATGCCAATACCTTCACATCCCAATTCTAGTATATCATTTAATCATAAAGAGTATTGTATCATTATTAATCAAAAAGATTTACTATTTTTAAAACAAAAAGGATATTAACCATTTCTTTTTTATAGATTCCAAATAAATTGGATAAGTGATTTTAATTTATTAGCAATTGAAGAAGAACCATGTAGAGTACATTTACTTTTAAATTATACAAACAAATTGATTGAAAGAGGTAATAATAATAGTAGTAATAATAGCAATCAAAATAATACGAAAAATAGTAATAGTAAAAACAACAAAGAACAAAATCAAAACAACAAGGAACTTGGAGTATTGATCCCAGCTGGTGATTCATTTTACAATACCAATTGGTCGGAATTTGAAGAATACCATTCTCAATCAAAGAGTAATCTAAGTGAATCATTATCTTCAAAACAAAAGTTACTTGGAAACACAGACTTTCAAAGTAAAAACTATCTAGCTGCTCTTGGACATTACACCAAAGCTATTAAATTAAATCCAACGTATGTAGATTAAAATGAATAAGAATCTGATCATTCATACTAAAGATCTGTGTTTATTTTTAATTCTTTAGGGACCCATTTTATTATTCCAATAGAGGTATAACATATATTAAATTGGATAGATATTTAGAGGCAATTACAGATTGTTCGATATCGATTGATGTACAATCACCAACCAACAAGAATATCAAAGCATTCTTGAGAAGAGGTGCTGGATACGCAACGATTGGCGACTATGCTTCGTCGGTTCGTGATTACCGTGCTGCTCTAAAGATCGAGCCTGAAAGCTTGGAAGTGTTGGTTGGACTCGTCAAAGGACTCCAACAATTAGAGATACAGATGAAACATAAAATACAACTGAATCCAACAGATGCCAATCTACAACAATCTTTGAAATCAATCATTAGTGAATTGGGGATCCTCACCACTAAAATCAATCAAGCTCCTCCTCCTCCAACTCCAACTCCATCTTTATCAAATACTACTACTCCTCCTTTATCTTCAAGTAGTAGTACTCCAGCTCCAACTTCACAAGTACAACAACAAAAAAAACCAACACCAACACAACCAACAACACCCAACAGTACTGTTGTTGATACCAAGGTTCCTACCTCTACCACAACTGCCACTGCTACTGTCACTCCCACTACCACTGTGCCAACACCAACACCAGCACCAACATCTACAACCCAAACAGCAACAGCAACAGTAGTAACAAATAATAATAATAATAATACATTACCAACAGGAGAAACTAATCCAAAGAAACAAAAGACACAACCATCTCCACAACAACAAACACAACCGGTAGTATCATCTCCAACAACTTCACCAACATCTACTTCACCAACAACAACAAATCAACCATTTACATATATTCCACCACCACCAACACCAATTCCAACACCAAAAGTTGAAATTACCTATTACAAGGCAACATCAAATGAAGAAAAAGATGCACAAAAGAAAAACATTCAATTCTTTTCAAAATTGATAAACAAGAATATTGGAGATGGTGATCTAGCACTACTTGGAAGAGCCGAAGCTCATATTCTACTTGGAAACTATTCAAATGCTGTAGAGGATTTAAAAACAGCCGCCACTCTTCTTTTCCATTCAGGTCGACTCAATCCAGATGTACACAAACGTTATTTAGTCCTCACTACAATGATTGAAGCAAATAATAATAATAAATCAACAACTACTACAACGACTGCGTCAGAGTTGTTGGAAATATAGGGTCAATAATCAAATATTGATTGTAAATAATCGAATAATAATAATTATATAGATATAGATTAATCTATATTTAAAAAAACAGAATTTATTTATTTATTTATTTAAATAATAATGGAGACAATTGAAATCAAAATGGTGAAAAGAAGAGGAATAGAAGAAAAGATGGAAAGACCAAAACTATCTTCAGACGTGTCATAGATTGAAGAGAAATGTGAACTTGGGTAAATATTTGATAACATAAAATCTCTAGCAACAAAATTAATTGGGAGTGTCATATTAAAATCATGGTCACTACTAGCATTGGTTTCAAGATTGTAGATTGACAATTTTAGACTATCCTTGTTGTAGAATGCAGCAAATTTGGGGTCGGTGTATGATCTAGCCAATGCATCGATTTTGAATGTTTTGGTAACAACTTGTTTAACAGATCCATCAGCCAATTTAATATTGTAACCATAGAGTTGGGTTTGGCCTTCCTCTCCAACTTGATTACCAACTGCCAATATTTTGTTATTATAACATGCCATATGACTAGTTTCATAGTTGAAACTGACTGGTAATTCAGCTTGAATCACATTGACCACTGCAACATCTGGTTTCTCTTTTAAAAATGGTTGAAATGATACTAAGTATGTATTATTACTAATTGGTTCAGAGGAAGCAGGAGTAGGAGAACTAGAAGATGCATCTTGACTTGATCCTTGTGAAACTCGTTTTGATGTAGTAGTTGTAGTTGAAGTTGTAGTTGTATCTGATTGTGTAGAGGTGGAGGTCGGTTTAGATTTACATAATACATAATAGGTATCTGTTTTAGTATCAAAACAAGTTTTGAATGATTCCAATTTAGATGGATCTATTTCTAATTTTGAACTTGACCAACTAATAGGTTCATTTGAAAACTTTAAAAATGATAAATAGGATGAAGAGAATTCGGTGTCTGCTTCAGTAATACCAAATCCAACCCCAGTTGAACGAGCTGTATCAAAGTATGGCTGATAAACACTCTTTGCCTTTTGAATTGATTTTCCACTATCAACAACTGGTGATTCAGAAGAATCAGCCGGTTCCTTTTTAGCAGCAGCTCCAGCTCCAGCTTGAACCACAAAAAATTGTGGTGCATTTGGTGTTAATTTCATTTCCTTTGATCCATCAATCGTTGGAAAAGACCAACTTATACCATCACTATTAAATAATTTTGAATAAAATATTATCTTGGTCAAAAAAACAAAAAGATTAAATTAATTAATTAATTAATTAATATTTTCTTATCCTTTTTTTTTTTGATTTCATTTTATACATACATCACCATTTGATTTCATATTTACAAATCTATCGGTAGTACCAAAAGTAGAATTATTTTTAATCCATTTTAAATAATCGTCTCTTGGTTCCTCATTGATTTGAGTTGGTTGGATTTGCGATACATTTTGAAAAAAGATATTGGTTTGATCTTGATTTGATGCCAAAATATAAAACATTTTTGGGTAATCTAATTCCTTGTCAATATCATTTTCAACCTTTCCTGTACCATAAACCAATGCATTCTTTGCAAATAAAATTCCTAAAATAATTAATAAATTTCTAACTATTGTAAATTCCATTCTTTTCTAGATTAAAAATTGAATAAATAATTAATTGTACAAGTATGTTTTTCATTTCATTTCATTTCAACTATGAAAATATCTGACAAAGATGGATCATCAAGATGAATAATAATGATAATGAACCACACTTTATGATTTTCTTTTCTTATTCGTGTTTTTTTACAAACCAAAATTATTGTAGTTTTCTATACCCCCACTCTCTCTTTGTTAATTTGAACTTCCAAAATAATATTATTATTTTCGATGGGTTTTGAGGAGATGAACGAACAAACCAAAAAAAAAAAAAGAAAATAGCTTTTAAAATATATATATATATTTGTTATTATTAATAACCAAAATAATTATGTAATGATTAAATCTTTGATACTCAACAATTCTACTACTACGAATACTACAACTGCTACAACTAGATATATTGGATTATCTTGGAGGAGATACATGTCATCAATGACAAAGAAGAAACAATCATCACCAACAACAATCGTGCAAGCAAATAGTGTTGATGAGACGACGATTGTTAGATTAAATGTCAATGTTCATCCAAATGCAAAGCAATCTACTATTGTACAATTCACCGATGATGGATGTTTAGACTTGAGAATATCACAACCACCAATCGATGGTAAAGCAAATGATGAAGTCATTGATTTCTTGTCTGATGTATGTAACAAATAATAATAATAATAATATTAGGAACTTCTGAATCAATCTCTAATAAGATTATCTATTATAATTAGGAATTAAAATTAAAGAAAAGATTCATCACAGTCGATAAAGGTCTAAAGAGTAGAAACAAAGTGATCGCTATTGATTTATCTGAATCTTCATTGACAAAAGATACACTCTATACAACATTAAAAGAAAAGGTTGTCACTGATGAATGAACCATCCATCATCTTCATCATCATCATCTATGATGGTTCATTTGCTAAAGCATGTTATGGAATGTGTATAAACATGGATGAAAACCATGACAATATACCAATATGGAAAGACGAGTCCAACATGTGAAAATAGATATATTAGAATGGATCCATTTTCAAACTATAGGAATGTCCATCCAAGTTGTCGCCATCCTCATCATCGTCATCGTAGACAAGATAATAAATAAGTTGGTACTATTATTATTAATCTAGATTTATAAATTATAATGATTCATTTATTTTCTTGGTTCAACTCACGTTGTTTATCTCTTCTATCCATATCTCTATCTATATCTATATCTATTTAGGATAAAGATTTTAATAAAAGTGATTGAGTTGAAGTTGTACAAAACATGGTTTGAGTGCATGGATTAATATCAAAAGAGTCGATTGAAGAATGAGTGGTGGTTGTGATGAATGGAGTGACTGCCTTGTTGTATAGATCGAAAATGTTGGTTGTCATCATTGTATTCTCACGATTATAATCATATAGATAAACAAATCCATCCTCTGAACATGAATATAATTGATTTGATCTTGCTTTACTAAATTGTACTTCCCAAACTAAAATAATATTAAATAATAAATATTAATATAATTGTTTACAATATGTATGATATATATATCTTATCTTGGCTTACCATAAGATTGATGATTATTATTTTGATCGATAGCATATGAATTTCTAAAATCATATAATGTAACTTGACCCTCTGAATTACCAGTTGCAATGATATGTGATTGATCATGATGAACTGCTATACTGTGAATTGATGACACTTTGTTTGGAATATTATAACTATTATCAATTCCCATTTGTTGTTGTTGACCTTGTTGTTTAATTGTTTTAATTGGACCATTATCAGATTTAATACGTAGATCCCAGAATTTCAAAACTGCATTGGCTCCACTTGTAATGACTTCATTATTAGTCATAAATTTAATACTATTCAATGTTAGACCGTCTACATGTTCTATAAATATATATAAATAATAATAGTTAGTTATATTCACTTCTTCTACTTCTTCTTCTTATATTATCTTTGTTATTTCATACTATTTGAATAAATAAGATCACGAGTCTCTAATGAAAATAGATGCATTGCACCATCTGAACCAACACTAGCAACTGCATCACCCATTAGATTCAAATCAAAAGCATTCAATGAACCCTTGTGAATCTTTTCCCATCTTGCAGCTGGTTCTATTTCACATTGTAGATTCGATAGGAATGTGTCTCTTCCTTTACCACCTGTATTACTACCAATACCACTACTTCCATTATCAACCATCATATCACCATATTTAGATGGTAGATTGGTTACTTGAAACATGTATAAAGTACCATCAGATGTAGATGCCATTAATTTAGATGTAGATTCATTATTCTCTGATGACACTGCCACACTATTTACCCACTAGAAAGAACTAAATTAGTAATTCAATCCTCTATATATATAGACATTACATCTATAATCAAACATACCTTTAAATCAGTAACAAATGATGATTCACCAGATGATGATTGTGGAATGAGAAAGTATGCCAATTCAACAGGTTCCTCTTCTTGTTGTTGTTGATGTAATCCTTCCATTCCCCATAATGATACTCTATTTCTCTGTAATAACAGTAATAATCAGTTAGTATTATTGTGATTTGTATTTTGTAGATAGATATATATTACATTTTGATTCGTTCCCGTAGCAAATATATTAATGTCATTGAGTAATGGTTTATTGAAGCATCGTATCTTGTTGACCTTTTGTGTCAAATAATGTACTCTAGTTGGATTATTTACATATTCAAGTCCCATTCTCTACTACTGTATTCTATATTTATCTATCTATCTGTAAACAAACAGATCTTTGAAAAATGTAATACATAGAATTTTTGTCAAGATCATCAACCAACTCACACATTCGTCTGCAGCAATGAAATTCACAACAATCAACCAATGAACAACAATCAAAGAATAAATTAATTAATTTGAACAACAAAAAAAAGATACCTATAATATAACATTATAATATCTTTTAAATAAATAAGTAAATAAATATCTCAATTATTATTATTATTATTATCTACCGATGAAGAGTGATGATCATCGATAGAGCTGAAAGATGAACAAGAGCCGTTTTTTTTTAATACTTTTTTTTTAAAATTATTTTGTGTTTGTCCCATTCCTTTCATCCTCCACAGTGAATTCGCAACAAAGAGCCCCCCTTGTTGCTATTATTAATAATAATCCTCATCTTTTGGTTATTAGTTCTTCCTTAACATCATCATCATCATCACAAAAAAAGAATAGTAGTCGTAGTAGTAGTAGTAATAGTAGAAGATTAGCATCATCATACTTACACCTACACACACACAAAGATATATTCATTCATTCATTCACTCTTCCTCTCTTCCCTTTTATTTTGCATTCAAATATTATAATATCAAGAATTCTTTTAAGTACGATTTCTAGAGTATAGTTTTGTTGTTGTTGTTTCTTCCTTCCTTCTCTATTTATTATAATAACAAAAGTAAAATTAGTCAAAAATATTATTCTTTAAAATTGTAAGTAGTGTCTTTGATTCATTGATCAATCAACTTTTTACATATCTTACTTATTAACTTTTTACAGAGTAGTATTTATACATATATATATATAGTTAAAATCAATTAACAAACAAAACAAAAAAAATGGAGGAAAACAACTTGATCACTTCAATTGCAGCTACCTTTTTGCACCAATATTATACTGTCATGTCTACTGCACCACATGCTCTTGGTAAATTCTACACTGAAAGATCAACCTTTACAAGAAGAACTGGAGCTGGAGCTGATGCTACAGCTACTTTTGTTGGTGGAGATGTATGTCAAGTCTAAAAAGATAGATATTGTTGCATCTAATAATCAATATTAATTATGACTTATTATTATTATTATTATTATTATTTATTTTAGAAAATCCAACAAGAAGTAAACAAGTTAGGTTTTTTGGGATGTAGAGTTGGAGTTAAATCGATTGATGGACAAAAATCACCAAATGATGCTTTGTTTATCTCTTGCTCTGGTTTGATTAGTATCCAAGACGATGAGGAAAGATTGTTTTATCACTCTTTCTTTCTTGAAATGGTTGGACGTTCCTATTTCATTTTAAATGATGTCTTTAGTTTAATCGACAAGAGATTTGTTCAAAATCATACTCCTGATGAAGGTAAATAGATATAGATTTGAGGAGGAGGAAAGAATTCTTACAAAAGTGAACTGTTGGATTAATATGAAATGATTGATTTTTTTTTTTAGCCAATAAATACGTTCAAGAAGAAGAGGAAGAACAAGTAGTTGAGGAACCAACAATGAATGGTAATCATGGTGAACCATTAGAGACAGTTGTAGCCGAACCAGAACCAGTAGTTGAAAAGGTAGTTGTAGAGACTCCAGCTGCTGCTGCTGCTGCTGCTGCTGCTGCTGTTCCATCTGTTGCTGATACAACTGCAACTGCTGTTGCTACTGTTGTTCCAGTTACACCTGTAGTTGTTGAAAAGGAGGTAGCTACAGTTGCCGCTGTTGTAGTTGAAAAGGAGACCCCACCAACACCAACTCCAAAGACTACTGAGACCAAGCCAACCACTGCCACAGTTGCCAAGGCAGCTCCAACCTATGCAGAGATGATCAGTATGGCCAAGCCATCATCTGCCACCCCACAATCCACTACTCCACTTGCCAGCCCAACCAACCAGTCCACTGCCCCAGCTGCCGCTCAACCAGCCACAACTACCACTTCGACCACCAACAACAACAACAAAAACAACGACCGTCATCACCCAAACAACAACAACAACAACAAGGGTGGTGCCAACCAGTCAGCCGAAAAGAACAAGGATAATCACAAGGAAGGATGCACCATTTTCATCACTCCAACCGATCCCAACAATCATTTCGATCAAGACCAACACAAGCAACCCCTAAGATCACTTTTCACACCATTTGGCACCATAACAAATGTCAGAGTTCTCTCTAGTTATGCGTTTGTCGAATTTGAGAAACCAGAAACTGTTCAAGAAGTCTTGAACAAACGTTCAAAGTCTCCAATGACATTGGGAGACTCCATCACCTTAAAGATCGAGGAAAAAAGAAACCCTTTCCACAGTCGTCCACCATTTAAAAAGAATCAAAGATCTCAAGATAAACAACAAAATGAAAATATCAACAACAACAACAGTAAAAATAATGAAAACAATAATAATAATTTAAATAACAAACAACCTCAACAACCACAACAACAACAACAACCAAAAACAAGAGTACAATCACCAAAGCCAGTAAAACAACAACAACCACAACAACAACAACAGAACGATACTAAACCAATTAAAGTTAACTTGAATAAATAATATTTTGATTCTATTTATATTTAAAAAATAAATATAATATATACATGTTATAGTAATAATAATAATAATAAAAACAAATAAATATAAATTATTTTGGAATATCTATATTCCTTTTCTCTATTTATTTAACACAATCTAACTAACTATAAGTTACATGCTACTATTGCTAGTATTTAATTTTTTATCTTTCATATTTTGATGATCTTCTATTGATTGTCTAAGATTACGCATTTCAAAATATTTTTCTTTGTGGATTGCTTTAGTGTTGATAACTTGATTGTTGATGAATTTTGTATCGATAAAATTGAGATTGTAATAAAAGATGCTGGCTATTTCGTGTTTGTCAAAAGAGTCTGGGTCTTCCTTGTAGATTTTGAATGACTCTAATTTCTGAAGAACCGATGGGTCACGGTCATTGGGTGCCAATTGTTCGTAGGCCTTTAACAAACATGCATGGAGATCGTCTGAACAACGTGTCCAGAGTGGTGTATAGTGTTCAAGGAACACTCGTATCTTGTCGTGTGGTGTCAATTGTGCATTGATCATCAAATGAACCACTGCCTTTGAAACGGTAGCTCCCTTGAAATATTCTGGATGTTGGGAAATATAATGGTTGATAAGATCGGCTCTATCATTCTTTAATAATCTTTCAAAGAATAATCTATAAAATGCTCCCCATGTAATTCCAAATGATTGATTTCTAAAAGTAGTAGTAGAAGTAGAAGTAGATGTAGAAGTAGAGTTTGATTCTTTTTCTTGATTTTCTTCTTCTTCTTTTACGACATTTTGATTTTGTTGTTTAGTACCAACAACAATTGGAGTGATATGATTAATTAATTTTTTAGAGAGAGATTCATAATTATCATTATTTCCAAATTTCATTTCAATCACCTTGAATATAGTTGATAGGATGGCATTGTTGGGTGATTTAATAGTTTTGAATAACGAGTATGCTTCGTTGATCTTGTTGAGTGATAGGAGATGTTCAATCTCGCACTGTTGGAGACGGATGAGTTGGGGACGAATGGAGCGTGGGATGTGAAGGTTGGCGGTTGAGTAAAAGGGTAGTATTTCGGGATCACTCCAACGGCCAAGTGTGTACATGTGACGTGCAAACGACTCGATGGCGGCCACCGTGTAGATGAAATATTGTCCCTCAAAGTTTCTGCGCACCTGCAAGAGACGCTCGGTCTGGTTGGTGTTGCCGAGTGTAGATATGACGGCATTCCATACCAACGGACTAGATATAAAGGAGTGTTCGTGTTCGTGAGTTGTCAAGTGCGAAAAGGTCGAGTTGAAATTAGTCTGCAATCCAACGGCAAAGTCCTTGTCGTTGAATGTCATGACACGTGTCTCGGGTGGAAGGATCTGACGACAATCCATGTATGCTTGAATACCACCCATCTCGCGGATAGTGAGTGTCGCACGCAACAATAGGTCGCCAAATGGCAGTATACCAATGGAAAGGAACTGTTGCAACACAATATCGAAAATCTTGCTCACTGACGCCACCCCACTCGCCTTTTGAATTGCATCTTTCAACAACAAGTCATTATCGCTGATGCGAGGGATCGACAACATCTGCGGAGACTTGCTTTCACTGTTTATAAAGTTAAACATGATTGATAGACGGTTCTGCGATTCACCTTCAAGTTCTTTGTAGTTTCGATAAACCTCCATCTTTTTGTACGCGTATTTGTTAATGTTGACTTGCCAGTGTTGGAATAGTCGTGTATTCCAATTCGACTCTATTTCTAGCTCTTCCAAGCTCTTTTGTTCAGCTTCTGTCAGTGACTTTTTCTTTCGTAAGAGTTCAATGTTTCGATCAAACTCGGTTTGACGATCTTCGTGGTAGATTTCAAACATGGTCGAGGTTGTGTAATGGGGAGGTGTGTTGTAGTGTTGTGCGGAACGACCGAGATGCGCGAGTGCCTGACTGTAGTTGCCTTCGATGAGATAGTACGATACCATCGCATTGGTATAGTTGTAGAGGAGGAACTGTGTCTCTGGACGGACAAGTGTCAAGAGGAACTGTTCGAATAGATCGAGTACGAGATAGTTGCCAATCATCTCATTGTAGATGTAGAGCAGTGCAAAGTTGGCAGGCTTGGAGTTCATGACATAGGCAATCAACTTTGGAATCTCGTTGGGACGTTCGTGCAACATTCGCTCGAGAATGATCTGTGCCGATGGCGTAGAAATGACAATCTTGTTTTCGACGCACAAATCGTACACACGATACACCGACTCAAAGTCATCGGCATCGCGCAACGTCCTTATCAACTCGTCGAGTGGAACAGAGTGACGGTTGAGTGCATTTTGGATAAAGTAGTCGAGGAACCGCATATCCTTGCCATACTTTGAAAAGTAGGCAAAGATAGTCTCCATTGCCTTTTTCTGAATTGCCAGTACCGCGAGATGATCCTGTTTCATCTGTGCCTTCTCGGGTGTCAACGGCTCGACCGTGCGCGTGCCCGGCACGTAGGTGGTCTGCGGGCTGTAGTGAGCAAAGTCACGCATGCGTTGTGCAAGGCAATGCAACGATCGTCGAAACAGCGCAGCTACCTCTTCGCGGTCCACTACCATCGGGTATTTCTGTGTCTCGTCTCTAAAGATGATATGCAGCCAATCGTGCAGCTTGGGGTGGTCGCCCAGCAACACAGTCACAAACCGCTCGCTCAACAACGACGACAGCACCCATGCGGCCTCTTCATCGGTCGTGTGTTGCGAGTACGCCTTGATCAAGTCGATACGCTCCTCAACCTTTAGACACTTAAGTTCAGGCATTGAGAATCGCAACGCCGATTCTAACGATCGCTTTAGATAGATACGTGCAGTCTGTGTCTTGGAGTCGTTGACTGGCGAGTTTGATTTTGCCAACAAATACTTGAACACCAATACTTTGTGTGGTAGCTTGAGTTCCTTGTTTCGCTTGATCAGCTTTTGTACCATTTTCAAATCATCGACCGACAAAAAGTATCCCAAAAAGAATACAATCTTGCGATGGTCGTACAGGTTGTGTACAGAGTTTGGATTGTTTGGATTGGTTGAAGTGATCGTCTCCATATCTATCTTGGCATCCTTTATATATTTTTTAATCAACAGTTCCTCATACAATCGATGTAATCTTATCATTTGATGAGCCACTCTACCATTACCAATATGTACAGCTAAATATCTTTTCAATCTAAAAAAAAAGAAATAATAGATGAGTTGATTAGATACCAATCGTTTGTCTATTTCTTTTTCTTCTTCTATTTCTTCTTACTCTTGTGCAATCATATCTAGGTCACCTAATAAGAAACAATTACTTTCAAAGTCCAAGAATCCAATTGTCTTTAATTCTTCTCTTGAATATCTTAGTGCTCCATTTGCCAATATTCTTCTTTCTTTTGTCGTTGTCGTTTCTTCTTGTTTCCCTTCTTTATCTTGTTTATTATCATTTTTACCTTTTCTATTTTTGTCTTTTCTATCTTTGTTGTTTTGTTGATATCTCATTCTAAATGATGGATTATTCAAGTTATTATTATTGTTATTTGATGAAGAGGAGGTTGAAGTAGTCGTTGTGGTAGGTCTATCAATGATTACAGTCGAATAGAATCTACTCGTGAAAAAGGTATGATGATTAAATATACATGGATTGTTGTTGTTGTTGCTTGATGTAGATAGTCTGTTATATGTACTACTACTAATACTACTACTACTACTGCGACTATATGATCGACTAATAAAAGTGGTGTCACTTGTTGTTGATGTAGATGTCGATGTAGATGTTGATGATACAGTCGTCGCAAATGAACGAGCACCAATCAATAACGATCGACACAACGCACCACCACCACTATTGAGCATCATCATTATATAGTAGAACTATTCTAAACAAAACTGATGGCTGGTTAAAGTAAGTTGTTTGTTGCTTTGCTTTGCTGCTCTCTTGTTCTTCGAAGCTATACAATGCAGCAAGCAGCGTCAGTCAGCGTGTAATAACCCTCCTCGCTTAAAATGATCAGATTTGAATAGGTCAATTAATTTTGAACTTTTTTTTTTTGCTCACTGTTCTGTCTTTAAAATATTTATGATTGTGCAATAAAGAATATTTATTAATATTTGTTTAGGAATAAATATGAAACTATGTATATGTATGTATGTATATATATATTTGTATTTATACTTTTAAAGTCTAAATGGATCCATTTCAACGTTGGTCTTTTTAATAGAGGTAGATGCTTTGTGAAACTCTAGAGCAGCAAGACATCTACCAATAAAATAGGAATCAATGGGGTATCCAAACATTGCTGGTATCTCTTTACAAAGGGATCCATCAACGTTGACGATACCAGTGAAAAACATGATGAGGGTATCAGATGGTTGGTTGTAGTGGTATGATAAAGAGAAAGGGGCTCTCCCTTCAATACTGCTTTGGAGGTCGTAGAAGTGACAATTGAGCAAGAACGATGCATTCATGATCTCCAGCGAGGTAATCTTTTGTTCTTCATTGAAATCGGCCACGATGCCATCAAGTATCTCATCGGATACATCGATCATATTCTCCTCAATTTTGATAAAATAAATCATCAAGATATCTTCATTTGGAGAATACCTATATTGAATGTCACCCCAACTATGATCATTATGGGCTGTTGTAGTTTCCTGTGATAATGAATAAGATAACATTTGAAAAATATAATTTATATATATATATATATATATATTGTAGATAATTAATTATCTATTTAATTTAAAAATGGACAAAGAACTATTATTTTGAAGTGTTAAATAAATGTTTCTAGTCTTTTGTTTTTTTTTTTTTAAAGGAAGTATTTATAATTATTTATTTATTAATTAATCTTATCTACAAAATAGGTAATAAATGAAAACATGGATGTGGAGGGCATATAAATATCCAAATATATTTAAAATCCAGCTTCAATATCATTCAAACTACTACTATTATTATTATTATTGCTATTATTATTTCTGTTGGTGTAATGTCCTACAGCACCTCTATTTACAGCACTAGAGTTATTGTTATTGTTGTTGTAATTAATATGACTATCATCAAATAAACAAACAGATGCTATATAATTATTTCTCATAATCTAAATAAATAAATAATATCAATGTTAGTAAAGTGAATTGTTGAGATAACATAGTAATGCTTCTTTTGAATAATTCAATTTTACCTCAAAAATAATACCAGGATATCCATAAAAGAAAGTTGAACCAAATGGATTTGAAACTGATCCTCTATTGTTTACAACTGGTTTACCAGATTTACCATAGACTTGTTGTACTTCTTCCCATTTCATATCAGGGTGAATAGTTGGTAATGAAGGATCCATAACTGTATCAAGTCTTTGTAATTCTAGTCCTGATCCTGAATTATTCGAACCTCCTCCTCCTCCATTTACACCACCAGGTATTAATGGTAATGATGATGTTGGTGAAGTTGATAATGGTGAAATACTATTATTATTATTATTATTATTTTGTTGTTGTTGTTGTTTGTTTGAATCTATTTGTGCTACATTATTTTCACCACCAGCAACTGCATTATTGTTATTATTATTTGACTTTAATTTTCCACCTTCAGATATAGATTTCAATGCTTCAAATATAACTTTGGATGATCCATTTTGTACAATTTTAAATGAACATTTTGCATACCTATAAATCAAATTAAACAAATAAATTAGTAACCATACACTACACTACACTAACTATCTCTTTTGTTTAGTTTGATGACATACAAATTAAATTCATAATGAGTTGGAAAGTTTGTATGAAAGATTAATTTCTTTACAGTGTTTCTCTTGACATCAAACAAAACGTCGAGACCAAGATGGAAATAGTTGTAAAAGTAGTCTGGTGTGGTTGATCCTTCGACTTGATAGGTGTGAATTTTCATATTATCCTCCTCCTTGTGATATATTTTTGATGGAGGTCCCAATTCACTCAATACATCTTGAGGTGTCGATGAGAATGTTAAAATACAATTTCTTTTAATAAAATAAACTCCTTGATTTGGCTAAATAAACTTATATTGTTAATATATCTATATATATATATATATATATGATTGCTATCTTTGAGTAGCTACATACACAAATAATGATATCTTCTTGAGTTTGTGGATTTGGTATATTTGATAATGGATTTTTCATTTGTAGGCTGCTATATACAAAGATTTTTGATACAATGGGAGTTGATCCATCGGGTAACTCTACGGGCAATTCTGTACTTTCGCTATAGAGTGAATTGAATTTTGGTGGAATTGGGAAACTAAATGATAATCCCTATATTATAGTAAATAATATTAATTAATTAGTTTTGTGTACACACAAAGTAATTGTTGTCTAGAGTTGGTTGATTTACATACAGGATAATGTAAATGATAAACACTCTTTTTAGCATTGAAATCACCAGGATAGGAAGGACCAAACTTTGAATAAATATTTACAAATGTAGCGATATTGTCGCTACTGCTAAATGTCGATCCTCTGTACAATAGTGATAGCTTGGTGACATCAAAGATTTCAATGACACGTAGTCTCTGTGACGATGGTGCAAATCTTAACAATACACCATCATCAACTAATTTTAATACTATATCAATACTTAGTGGATCCTATATATATACACAAAATAGTAATCAATGTTTTGTTGTTGTTAATACTCACTCTACTTGTTTATCATCATCATCATCATCATTCATATGATATATATTGTTTTTATATTCTGTTTACATACAGCATCATTAAATATGATTTCAACCTTTCCAATTGATGCATTGTTATGTTTGATGATATTCAATGCCTCTGATATAGTCATACCAAGGATAAAGTCACCAAGACATTTTCCCGGTACTAGTTCTAGTTTTAAAAACATGTTATATGTTGACTAAGACAAGACTGTATAATATTATGATGTTACTGTTTTTGTTGTTGTTGTTACTGCTGCTGTTTATGTATGTTATAAATGAATGAATGAATGTAAATGTAATGTATAATATGCTTGTGAAAATGTATAATGTGCAAATCATGTGGGGTCTTAGAAATTAAAAATTAATTAAAAAAAATCAAATAAATTTATATGGTATGTGCATAGTCTGAACCTTGATTATTGTAATATAGTTTTTTTTTTTTTTTAATTATAGTAGTTAGTTAGTTGCATCAGTGATGATCAAAATCATTCCTTCTGATAACAATAATCAATATTGCTTTAATAGATCAGTTTCATTTTAATCATCATCATGTCATCTACATCAAAAACAATAACAACAACAACAAACAAACTTCGAGTTGTAGAAACCGAACAAAGTCTTGCTTTCATTTTGGATCAATCAGGCTGGTTGCACTTCTGTGACAGCATCTGATTTGATAGGTATTGGTTATAATACCGTTGCTTCTATTATCAGTGCTATCAATGATACCTATATGAGATACATTTTTCATGCATGAACGAAAACTCGGGAAGGGAGAATAGCTGGCCAAATGCGATAATGATTTTATCAATTTAAAAAGAGAAACAAAAAGATATTCGCATTTAGCCAGCCATTCTTTTACATCTCTATTGCTATACCTAATAATACCAATATTGTCTTGTTTATATTCTTTGAAGATGTGGATCTCCTGTAAAACGATGCCAACTCTTGTATTCGATGAGTCTTCAGACTCTGTAGAATGTGCATAGACTACAAATAAACCTACTTACCAATGTTGTGAGACTTGTCATCATTTGAGGATTGGCGGACAAAGGTTAAACAATCCAGCACCGAGAATAATGGATAGGCGCCTTGAAATGTTCGTAACAATTAATTTCCCTAAAGATCTGTCGGTACTACAATATCACAATGACTTGGTTCTTCGATTTGACAGCACTACTTGACCCAATCGAGCAACTGATACTCTTTTGGTACCTTAAAAAGGGAAATATGGTAGTAGTGTTGTCAAATCGCTAGGGGTGCTTTCGATGCGGGGAGCCAAAGACTGCCCAGTAAACTGCAATAATGCGACAATCCGTTAAAAGAAATAAATACTACTTTATATTTATAAATATATAATATTAAGAATAAGAATGAACACATGTTCATCCTACCTCCCAAAATACAGGTAGCCAAAAAATTAAAAAAAAAAAAAAGATAAAGTTCGTCTCGTTCGGTTTTGCTTGCTTTCTCTGACCATCCATCCAATTTGTGCGTGAGTAGTTTAAATTTCTTTCTTTCTTTCTTTGTATTACTCGGGATCTATACTTGATACACGTATTTGATCATTAAGAGAGAGAGAGAAAGAGTAAGAGAGTTATATATATATATATATATATAGTTCGATAGATAATAATGGCAGTATCTACAACAACAACAACAAACGAAGCTGTACCACAATGGAACAGCATCGACTTTAGCTCTGGTGGTAGTATTGTTAATGTCAGTCCTATCTTTATCGACAAGTAAGTTAAACTCCTCTACAACTTCCCTACCCTCTACTCTTTACTCTTACTTACTCTTACTCTACTCTTACTCTACTCTACTTGCATTTTGTTTATATAAATGATTATTATAGATATTTTATTACAAGTACATTGAATAAAGTAATCATATTTAATAATACAGAGAATATAAAGAGAGCAGAGATTGCGATGGAGTCATTCATCACATGTATGCATACACCAACCAAACAACTCAAAGCCGACCGCAACATGATCGTCGTGTCGATGATGGGGTCAGTCTCGGTCATTGAGCTCGACGCCACCCTCAGCAACATCGTCAAGTCAAAGGCTGTCAAGATTGCAGACATGATCACCAACATGGCCACTGATCCATCCAACCCAACCATCCTCTACATCACCACTCCATCTGGAGTATTACGTCGTAATATCTCTGATATTATTGATTCTTTGGATAATCAAACACCCTCTACTTCTACCTCTACACCAACTAAACAACAACAACAACAACAACATCCTCAACAACCATTATACCAAATACGTATTTCAAATCTTAGTATCAATACACCAGATGATGTGATTACACAGTTTTTAGGTCAACCTCAACAACAAACAAAAAAAGGTCAAAAACAACAACAAGAATTATTATTATATAAAGTATATCATGATACTACTACATCGGCAATTGTAACAGTCAAGGATGAGAAACAAGTACAGACGATTATTGCACTCAAGAATGGTCAACATGTTGGCAATAAAAAGGTGTCGATCGAACGTGTAGAGAGCCAGGTGGCAGCTGCATCGACACATGCTACCGATAGCTTGATCACTGGCACCTTTTTACGCGGTATTGGTGTGAGTAGCGACGGTCAGTATGTGGCTGCCTACTCAACCTCCAAGGCATACGTCTGTCACGTGCCAACCAAGGCAGTTCGCAGAATCGCCTCGGAGCACCAACTCACCACCCTCGAGTTCTCCCCTGAATCTGGTTCAACCTCTCTATCCTATGGTACAATGAAAGGTAGAATCTATACTGTCAATGTATCATCTCTCTTTGAACAAAATAATCAAAATCAAAATAATCAAAATAAGAATAATAAGAATAATAAGAAACAAGGAGATAAGGAAACAATGACAACTGGAAACTTTGATAGATCATATTTACATTGGCATCCAGGACCCGTTACAGCTATTGCATACTCGGGTGATGGAAAGTTATTGGTTTCTGGTGGATTTGAACAAGCGATTGTTATTTGGAAGTTGTCACTTGGTCAAAGAGTTGTAGTGCCTAGATTGGGAGGGACGGTCCGTTCGTTGAGCATCCAGGGTAATTTGGTCGCTGTCGCATTGTCGACCAACGCGATTGTGTTTATCGACGTGCTCGAGCGTACTGCTCACCACCGTATCACTGGTATTCGATACGGCGAGAATAACCCGATCGAGTCGTTGCACGCCGATGCGCTGACCGACTCGCTCGTCTTTAACGGACAAGATGGGTACGTGCAGTTTTACAACTTCCAGCACAGCGCCATCCGCCAGCTCACCGTCGCACCACCCCTCAACACGGTCATCCCCACCACCATCCGTGGCTCCAAGACACCTGCCAACTCACCCAACGGCGTCACACTCGACATCCACGTCAATGAACCCAAGGTTGCTTTAGTGGCCTTGCACGCAGCCGAGAAGATCATGGCCACCTATGAATACGTGCCAACCAACACGAAAACAAGCAGCAGCAACGTTGGCCACCACGACGACACGTTTGCCGACAAGATTGTCAAGTTTTGGGACCGTTCCAAGAAGCAGCCTACCTTGGCCTACAGCATCGCGCTGCCACACAAGGATATCGTCACGGCCATGCAGTTCCATCCAACCCTACCTATCCTCGCCACAGGCAGTGTCACTGACTTCAAATTGTGGAAGCGTGTGTTGGTCGAAGGTACTCCTATTTGGAACTGTATCTTTACGGGTAGTCAACAAGCTCTCAAGTGCTCAGCCATCTCCTTTTCATTGGATGGGTCAACTGTCGCCTTTGCAACAGGTCATGTTGTTAGTTTGTGGTCGGTGTGTGCTAGTCCTGCCTTGGTTGCAACGATCAGTCGTACGACATTGGATCCATTGGCCAGCGTCCATTTCCTCGCCAACCCCGCACACATCTTGCTCGTCTACAAGACCAAGGGTGCGTGCGTGTGGGATGTGACCACCAATGAAGAGGTGCTTGTCATCCCATCGACCCCCTACGCATGTGCCGTCGATGCACAACGCGAGCTTGTCGCACTCGCCTTCTCGGTCGAGCACGGCAGTTCGTCACACTACTCGAATGGCATGGACGCCAACGCAATCGTCATCCTCAACCAGGCGTACGAGCTCGAGCACATCTCGTTCCACCCCTCGCGCACCACCCATCTCGCCTTTGGCAAGGACCACGAGCACGGCCACGCCCTCCTCTACTACACCATCCACCACAACTTTATCTCGGCACTCACCACCTCGCCAGAGAGCATCTCGGCTGCCAACGCCCGTCTCCTCGAGGCCAACAACATCAGCATGATCCGTCGCGAAGAATCTGTCAACCAACGTATCGACCTCTTTAAACAAAAGTCTCAACCCGGTACCGAAGACGGAGGTGACAAAAAGAACAAACGTTCCACCACCTCTGCCACCTCCACCGCCAACATCAAGGATAGCATTTTGGAGGAGCTCCAAGAAATCGACCAAAACACCCTCTCTGTCACCAACCAATCTTCATCCGATCTCTTCAACTCTGCCTCTCATATTATTCCAGGTGTTCAATCAATCTATCAATCGTTTATGGATTCAATGTTGATCACCAAGAATTCTCAAGCCGACCAAAAGGATCAAGACATTGAAATGAAAGACGGTGGAGAAAAAAAGAATAAGAAATCAATTTTAAGAAACAAAAATAAGAAATCAGCAAATGTCAACAGTGCTACCAATACTACTGTTTCTACTGCTGTTGTAGTAGAGGAAACACCAGCTCAACCAAAAGTAAATAAGAATTTTAATAGAAATTACAAGTCTGCTAGTACATCTACAACCACTACAACTACAACTGCATCAACTTTACCAACAACACCATCACAACCATTGACACCATCGAAAAAAGAAAAGAAGGGTAAATTTAGTAAACTTAAAAATTTCTTTGACAATGATAATGAAATAATAACAGAAGATAATAAGAGAAAGAGAATAACTGATAGTAATAATAATAATAACGAAACTGAAAATAATCAAACTGAAGAAAAGGTTCAAGAACCAATCAAAAAATCATCTAAAAAGGAAAATACTCCAGAACCATCTCCCAATGTTCAAACTCCATCTAAAAAAGCTACTCCAAAAAAAGCAGCTTACAAAAAAATAAATAAATAAATAATTTAATATATAAATATAAATAGTAAAAATAGATAAATATTAATATTTGTTATTTAGGAATCAATCAAAAATAAAGAAAATGATTTATTTAATTTAAATTTTTTGAGTAATAATGGTTGTGTGACGGTTCATTTTTATATATTTGTTATTATTATTATTATTGTTGTTGGGAGGGAGTTGGTGGAAAGATGGAGGGAGAGGAAACAAACAAAATTGGTTTTAAAAAATTTATATGCCTCAAACCAATTTATATTATATTTATCCTGCCCCTTTATCCACAATCTATATGCCTATATATATATATATTTGTTTGTTTGTTTGTTGTTTTTTAAGCCTCTGTCCCAAAGTAGTAACTACTTTAGGATACGCCATGTACTTTTACTTTTGTAAGATACATGATTTAAATGACAATCGATGATGGTTGTGAACTCTTGTTGTCCATGGTCGACATCTCAGCACGTGATTGAGTGGTAGCTCTACGGGATCTAGTCAAACTACGGTTAAAGTGGAGGGTTGGTTCTTCATACTCGATATCCTTGGTCTTGACTTGAGTTCCATAGTAGAAACTCAAAAAGAAAATGGTGCCCTCAAAACAGGGGACGATCACGAAATTGGCAAACGACATGTAGTCAAAGGGTGGAGCAAAGACAAGTGACAAGATGGAAGCGGTACCACCAAGGAAATCCATGGCCACAAAGATACGACTGAGACCTTCGGCAGATTGAGATTTGAGGATTTCATAGACAGCTGGAATAAAACCACCAGCCATCAAAGAAGCAGAGATAATTGTAATGGTCAAAGAAATTTCAAAATCATAATCTATGAAATGATCCAACAGCGCATAGAGACCATATGCAATACCAACAGATACAGCTATAATAATTGCTAATGAAATATATAATTTCTTTGGATCAATTTTTCTAAATAGAAAAAAAAAAAGAGAGATAGATATTTTGAAAAAAAAAAAATCCAGGATGGTTAGAGAAAACGAATAATTCGTCAACGGGTTTGATGATGAAGAATGATCACATCCTATTTTGTTCGACAACTGCACTATACTCTAAACTATATACATACTTATCGTAATAACAATGTTGAAATAAAATGACAAGAATTAAAATTGAAAAGAGAGCAATTTGAAGGATAAGAGGAACGGCACTCTCTGTAGCCACAAGGTAAGGGCAAAACACGAGACCTCCAATATACCAACAACTAAAACAGAGAATAGATACACCCTCTGTACTCTTTCTAATATAATTCCATCTGATTTGTGGTAGTAATTGAATACTCCATAAAACAACTCCAATATATCCAAAGACATTTGCTGCGGCAGGACTGTCCATTTTATAATCTCTATATATTTAAATAAAAAAGTATATATCTCTTCTGTTTATAATGGTTCCTATTTAAAAGGGAATTGAGGTGAACTTTAAACTAAAACTATAATTTTTTAATAGTAAAATTTTAAAATGTTTGCTTGGTCCTATTGTCTCGTCTATTTATGCTTTTGAGGCCCACCTCGACTTTTTTCTTTGGATGGGTTCTTTTAAAATAATGGTTTGAAGATGTAGGAGGAAGATATGTGATGATGAGAGGGAATAAAATATCCAACACTGAAGAGTTGACTTACTCTTTTCGATTTTAGGTGTGTGATGTCATGAGGCCACCTTTCACCTATCAACCCCACCATGGTTTTTGAGAAATCCCAAGTCTAGATTTCTCTGACGATCGTTTGAAAATATCCGTGTCCACGAGCTTTAATAGACATTTTCAAACCATCGTGATGATGTGTAGTTGCGAATATAATGTCGAGTTGTAACCCATCCGTGTCACAAAGTTATTGGATTTTATTCGTTATCGCGCCGAGAAAGCATCGATTCGTACACTGACCGGGTATGAAAGCGTCGTATCTGTACCCAACCTTTGATATCTTTTATTGATATTATTTGTAATCACAAATAATCTTGTGTGTCATGAACTATGACTTTAGTTCATTGTTTGATCATTGTGTGATTCAAATAATATCTTTCTGATTGTGTTGTTACAGATACACATGCGATAATGATAGAGATAATGACAAAGAAAGTTCAAAGACGCTAAGTTTTATAAAACAAAAAAAAAATTAATGGGGAGAAAATATAATATTTTCGATTTTGTTGGTGATCATATAATTATAATTTTTGTTATCTATACCAAATGTGAGCAGTATCTTGCATTGTGGCCCAAAGGACAACTTTTGAGCCGCACCATGAAACTTTTAATACTCAGATTTAATTTTTTTTATTTAATTATTTTTCATGGTTGAAGATCATTCGTTTCATTGTGCTACTAAAAATCTAAAAGAATAAAAGAAGATTAATTCTTTTAAAAGAAAGTGTTGTAAAGAGTGATTAAAATGAAGAAAAGAGATAAAGAAGGAGTGATGAATGAAGCAGCACTTGGAGGTTGTTCAACACCAGTAGCAGTTGTCATTGGTTCGCCAGTAGTCATTGGTTCACCGGTAGTTGTAGTGGTCATTGGCATACCAGTGGTAGCAGTTGTCATTGGTTCACCAGTAGTTGTAGTGGTCATTGGCATACCAGTAGTCATATTCATTGTCATACCAGTGGTAGTAGTAGACGAATCATTTCCATTGATGGTAGATGAATTGGTCAACATGTGAATCAACGATCTGGCAGGTGTGAGTGGACACACTTGTTGAGTTCTGACATCAGTTGTCCAGAGGGTACAGTTGGCAGCGTCACATGTGTTTTCACATCGGTAGTTGGTGATACCAGTGTCGTTGCACACTGACTTGATGTATCTCTGTACCGAGATGGTCTCGTTGGTTTGTGGGTTGGTACGGGTGAGATTGCCGGCCCAGAAACACGAGCCGTTGACAAAGGAATCGACAATGATACGGTCACAGGTGACGTTGGACGACGACGACGATTGATTACCTTGGCTACCATTGTTGTTGGGATTCAAAGTGACAAACAAGATACGGGAGCAGTATCCTTGGACACGGGCTGGAGTGGTCTGGGTATTGTTGACGAGGATATTACGGTATGACTGAAGATTAGAGCTACTGTTGATACAAGTATTGAGAGCATACGGACCACCGAGTACACCGTAGAGCGAACAATTGGTAATTTGTCTCGACGAGTCTGTCAAACTGACATTGAAGCAATATTTCGAACTAGACAATCCTATTGGATTACCGATACATCCAGCTCCACTATAGACAATAGTTCTCAATTCCAAACCATAACTAGCAATCACCAAACTTGCCAAAATCAATAATACTAATTTAAACATTATTTTATAGATTGAAACAGATAATAATTAATTTTAATTATTTTTATGTATATATATAAATTTATATGTATGTATTTTTGTAAAGTTAAATGATGTGATAATAATAATAATACCTCCAAAATAGGAATAGGAATGAGAGTAGCGTCATCATCAATATATAAATAAAAAATAATTAATAATTAATTAATTATTAATTAATTTTATTTTGGTAAAAAGGGAGGTCTGCAAGTCACAGTTAAAATTATTATTATTGTAATAGTCTAGAATTATGTATCATCATCATCATTCCTTTCGCATCTATTCTCCTTGCTTTTTCAAGTTTTATTGATAAAAACTAATCTTGTTCAATAGTAATTTTGTGTATGACTTCTCGTCCAGTGCCTTCTTAAAGTTTATTATTATTATTTCTCATAACTTTGCCTCATTTTTTTTGTACCCTCTAATATATATTTATATCTTGTACCTAGATGAAGTGTTAAACCATCCTTGTTGGTCATTTCTTACTACTGTTTTCAAGATTTGAAATAAATCTTTTTTTTGCTTCATCAAATCAATCAAAAGTTATACAACGTTTACTCGATCTAATAGAATCTTTTCTTCAATCTGGTGTAAATCTCTATTGAGTGAACTTTGTTGATTACATTGACCCAATTCAATTTAAATATGTATGTTGTGTTGAATAGATTTTTTAATAATATTAATAATGAACAAAAATACTTATACTTTCATATACTACCAACAGTCATCATCACGAATATTCCCAATAATGCTAAAGCTATTATTATATAAAACGGGAGCTAGACAAAAAGAAAGGGCAGTGGGCATTATACAAAAGATAGGAGCAAAGATGGGAATGAGGTATTTTGCAAGAAATCTATTTGAAATGATACAACACTTTATCAAAACCGGAGAAAAGATTGAAATTGCACAACAATTTCTTCAAAAGAGTTCAAAAAGACATTGGAGGGATTGGAATTATTTTTCTATTTATCTCCCATCCATTATGAAATCAGTCATTGCTCAACTCAATCAAACTCAAAATCCCCAACAAAAACGTCGCCTCTTTATTTCTTGTGGGGAATGATTGAAGACTGTAATAACTATATAGATACTTGGTAAATATATAATTAGTTTGAGAGGTATATAATAATAATAATATATAGATATATGAATATATAGAATATATAGATAGTAATAATGACTTTAGATTAGATTGTAAATGATTATTAATTATAATAATAAAAGATGAATAAATAGAATGAGTAATATTATAGTAATAATGAATAATGAATATAGAATAGAATATATAATATAGAATCTCTTTATTGGATTATTCTAATCCTTTTTATAGTTGTTGATCCAGACGACTAACTGACGATGGTTAGTCGTTAGTATTTTATCCAAAATACTTTACATATTTGACTTGTCCTAACCAGGATTGAGTATATTGAGTTCAATGAGATATCAATGAAATATCATTGAGATATCATTGATTTTAAACAATCTAGATCTAACAAAGACGTGTATCCATATTTCCACCACTTGATTGACCCAATTGTATGGCATCTGGTCAATGTCAATATGATGTTCCTCATTTTAAAGGTAGTAGTGGTCAATGAAGGCATCAATCAAAACAGTCAACTTTTATTCGACCGTTTCATGCAATCATTGATGGATCCACCACCATCAAAGATGAAGACACATCCATGGTACTTAAGGATTAGAGCAAGTAATCAAATACAAGTATTCAACAAATGTGATAATGAATATTGTCAAAAATTGGAGATAATCTCTGAAAAAGAATATACAGATGAATTATCAGAGAATAGGTATAAAGATTTTGAATCGACACTAGTTAATTGGATTAAGGTTCATTCGATTTTATGTTCCATCTATTGTTTGTAAATGGGAATTATTATGTGATAACCAAAAAGACAAGGTAAAAGTAGTACTAGATTATTATCCTAAAATAGTACCACTATTACTAGAGAATAATACCATCACGGATCGCTGTGATGGCTACCAATACATGGCAAAGTCTTTTTGGAAAATAATCAAGATACTCGTCACAAAGAAGGAACAACAACAACAACAACAACAACAACAATGTCAAATGCACTTGGAAATGATACACCAAATGATGATCGATCTGGTTGAAAAAAGCCAGGACAACCATGTTTACTTGTTGTTGCAGGTATTGTGGAACACAGTTCAGGATGAAGATGGCAATACTGATGACCATTATGAATGCCTATTTAACTTTATTCCTCCCGTAAAAATTTCGATTTTTTACAAACTGCCTGACTTTGAAAAATTTATCACTATTTGCTTTATTGTTGTCAGACAGGTGGAGAACCGCTCGAACGGCTTGAAATTGGTTCCTTGACATCATATTTATTATAGGTTGGTACCCTTTACCATCGGAACGCCAATAATCTGCAATTGAAGGCATGTCAACCCTTCCCATTTCGAGTGTAATTGAGAAAAAAGTGTTGAGTATTTCCTTGGTCATGTAGGAATGAAAAAGACTCTTGAAAGCTTTATCCAAGCCTTTTTGCTTCATATATATGTTGGTCTGATCGATTATGAGCTGATAGATACTTTCATCAAACATTTTGGAAAAAGTTTGAATGATCGATGTAGGTTTGTTCTTTCCACAATAACCCGCCTGATAATTTTTGAATGTTTTTGTATGAGTAGAAAATCCTATCTTTACCCAATCGTTCTCTGAACTATCTCCACCTGTCAAAATAGCGTCTATTAGGTCACTTTTTTTCCCCTTTGCACTAATATGTAACTTTACCATGATTTGCTTCAACTTTTCCACATTCATATCCTGTAACATCTCTAAAGTATACTCTATTTATCCAATTTAAATAGGTTAGATTTGTTTGCAACCATTCAAATGCTATTAATATCTTACCTTCCCTGCCCTCTTCCATTTCGACAATTGATTCCCCTATCTCTTCCTCTCCATCTGATAGATTTTCGTTGATCTCTACCTCTTTTTGACCCTTATTTTTTGATGGTTTGGCCATGATAATGTTAATCTCTTTTTAAATCCAAATCTAATAATTAATATATCATTTAAAAGTACTCGTTGAGACGAAGATGATATTGCCAACCATTTTTTTAAAAAATTCGAATTCTTTTTTATTTTTACTCTGCAATTCTAACTACCAACCGATGAACCAACACCAATCTTTAAAGGAATTTTTATTTTACTCGAATGTCATCAATTGGACTCGTCATATCGAAGGTCCGGTCCAGCAACGTACCATCAATCAGCAATTTTGACCCTCTGACCGGTGTTGCTCCCTAGAACTCGAACTTTGTCAAAATTGAATCTCTGATAATAATTCAAACAAGGTTACCAATTACACATAGGCTGCAATATTGTCCCAAAGTTGGTTCATCTAAACAAATTATCACTTCATTATCTTCATCTCACGCTCCTACTATGCTAAAAATCTCACCCTAAAATCACGACACCCTATTTTTTACCTCTCTCAGCACAAAGCATCACCATACTACTTTTTTTTAATAAAATCCTATTTTTTTATTTAGAATGATAGAGCTCGACGAGATTGATCTATCCATGCTACTATCATCTTATAAAACCTAATTCTCTTTTATAAAAATCATAAAAACATGTAAAAAACTCCACGGGAGGCTCAGAGTTAATCAATTCATCACAATAGTAGATGATGATAACTTTTTGTTGAAAAAAATAAATACTTGGGGTCTCTCACAAATTTATATAAGTTTTGCGAAAAACCCAGCGCAGTTGTTTTGACTCACATTTGTAATAAATTATTTTTATTATTTTATATAGATATATTATTATTTTAATACAATGAACAAACAACAAAAACAAGAACAAGAAGAAGAAGAAGAAGATAAAGAAGAAGAAGAAGAAAGCAATAATTTAATATTATTACCAAACCTACCATTCTTGATACAAGCAAAGATATTTGGATATGTAAACGAGATTGGTTGGGACTTGGTTTGTTCGAGATTCTTTAAACTTGCATCATCAATCTTTACAACACTAGACTATCGATTGATAAAGAGAGAATGCAACGTATACGATCATCTTCTTCATCCTTATTGTGCTTTGAAAAAGATTAGTCATCTCGTCATATCAAATGTAGATTGTCTTCTCTTGGGCCATGATAAACCTACAATTGAACTAGGTCAAGGTGATAATGCATCTATTTATAGTGACTTTATCAAAGATAACGATGAAGACGATGACTTTGATGAAGATATGGATGAAGAGGAGTATTTTAAGATAATCGATGCAAAATGCAAGAGCATTCATTGTCATGGTTGTTATGCAAGCTGTTTGGATATGGACACTAGTCAACGTAAACAACGATACCCCAATCTTGTTAGTGTTTATGGTGGTTATTGTGACGCTCTCATGGAGTATGTGCAACAAATCGAAAGCTTGCATATTGTCTTTGATCAAGATTATGGTATAGATTGGGACATTTCAACTCTCATTAAAGAGTGTCATAATCTGGAGCGAGTCGAGATGACACAAATAGATCCATATGCTCGCCACGACCTTCTAGGTTCCTATCTTTTTTACTTTTTCTATAGTTGGGCCTATTTAAAGCAAATTATAGTTGTATGCCCTTCTTTGGAAATCGAAAATGATTTCAATATTACTTTGGTACTCCAAAGACATTTAAATTGGATTCAAACATTCCAAGTTACTGCGTGCTTGCAAGAATACTCAGAGGAAAATAAAAGGTCAATGATCAAAGACCTTCAAGAAACAATCAACAAGATGAAAAGTAATAGGCCCACTGAAAGAGTAGAATCATTTATTCAATTTTTTGATAAAGACGAATACCAAGTACATTCTTGTTCAAATCCAATACAACCAAAAACTTATTATTTCGATGATGACAATAATACTTTACAATCATTGTTATTGGATAATGACAAAGAAAGAAATGTAAAACTTTATGTCAATGTTCAATAAAAACTAGAAACCCCAAGCTATGAGCCAATTCACTTGAAAAATATTACTATTAATTATGATATTAATTACCACAACAACAAGATTCAATCACAAATGGGTTGTTATTAATAGCATTTATAACATTTGCAAGAGATAGATGATTGAACATCAATAATGATCAATTATAATTATAATATATAAACAATGAATTTAAATATTCTAGTTGCACCGCCACCGTCAGAGTTTATAGATGTCATAGTAAAGTTGGCAATAAAAAGAGAAAAGAAGAAGACCAACAAAGATGATAATAATAGATGCACAAGTAACAACAACAACAACGACAACAACAACAACTATAAACAACTATATAATGACATCGTAACAGAAAAAGGACAAGAGGAAGCAGTATCATGGTTATTATATCTCGTTATAAAATGTGAATTATCTACTGTATGTAACTATAACTATAACGGTTAATATCTATTGTATAGTTCATTTCTAACATATTAATTTGATCACACTCTATGTAGATTAAAAATCAATCGATCTATCTACTCGATAAAGCTCTACAGTTAAATGTTATTGGAGTTATAATATAAATATTGTAGAATCTATATTCAATGTTTTGATATCACCTAATAATAATAATAATAATAATAATGACAATGATGATGATGATGAAACACAAACTCTATTAATATCAATATTAAATATTCTAAATGTTGGTGTCACTGATAGTATGTATCTTTCATTCATTCAACAAACTACGACGTCCACTTATCAATTTGTGTTTAGATGAATATTTAGATTATCTAAAACTCATTGAGAATACCATTCGAAATCATCGAGATAATCAAGTAGTCAGAGAGATCATTCTCAAGATAATGGAATCGATTGATACGAAACAAGTTCAACTTGTGGCTACTGAGGAATCGATTGTCACTTTTAACAACATTATGACTAGCTTTCTCACTGATCCTAGTAGCGTTCAATACCAATTACGAGCAATTCATGTAATCCGATCAAAGAGTGAAATACGAGACATTGATGGACGCCAACATTGGATGTCGATAGTGGAGATGTCAAACTATGATAGATACGAATTCTACACTCCACAATTCAAGTTTTCAAATGACCAAGTTATACAACATTTACTCGATCTAACAGAATTGTCTATTCATTCCGGTGGAAATATCTATTGGGTGAGCTTTGTTGATTACATTGACCCAATTCAATATAAATATGTATGTGATGAGTTGAATAGATTAATGATAATAATATTAATAATGAACAAAAATACTTATACTTTCATATACTACCAACAGTCATCATCACGAATATTCCCAATAATGCTAAAGCTATTATTATATAAAACGGGAGCTAGACAAAAAGAAAGGGCAGTGGGCTTTATACAAAAGATAGGAGCAAAGATGGGAATGAGGTATTTTGCAAGATATCTATTTGAAATGATACAACACTTTATCAAAATTGGAGAAAAGATTGAAATTGCACAACAATTTCTTCAAAAGAGTTCAAAAAGACATTGGAGAGATTGGAATTATTTTTCTATTTATCTCCCATCCATTATGAAATCAATCATTGCTCAACTCAATCAAACTCAAAATCCCAAACAAAAACGTCGCCTCTATTATTTCTTGTGGGGAATGATTGAAGACGTGTATCCATATTTCCACCACTTGGTTGACCCAATTGTATGCCATCTGGTCAATGTCAATATGATGTTCCTCATTTTAAAGGTGGTAGTGGCCAAGGAAGGAATCAATCAAAACAGTCAACTTTTATTCGACCGTTTCATGCAATCATTGATGGATCCACCACCATCAAAGATGAAGACACAACCATGGTACTTGAGGATTAAAGTAATGGTAGAGATGATTGATACTATGCAAGGAGGTATTTGGACAAGTCATCAAATACAAGTATTCAACAAATGTGATAATGAATATTGTCAAAAATTGGAGATAATCTCTGAAAAAGAATATACAGATGAATTATCAGAGAATAGGTATAAAGATTTTGAATCGACCCTAGTTAATTGGATTCGCGCTCACTCGATTTTATTTGACCTTTGCAACAGCAAGGTAATGCAAACTAGTAGAGTTTTGTTACTCCAACAGACACAAACATCTTTGGATAAATTTATAACAATGGTACCCACCACCTTTGAAAAAGGCAAAGCCTATAATTATTTCCTTCCATCTATTGTTTGTAAATGGGAATTATTATGTGATAACCAAAAAGACAAGGTAAAAGTAGTACTAGATTATTATCCTAAAATAGTACCACTATTACTAGAGAATAATACCATCACAGATCGCTGTGATGGCTACCAATACATGGCAAAGTCATTTTGGAAAATAATCAAGATACTCGTACAGGAACAACAACAACAACAACAACAACAACAACAACAATGTCAAATGCACTTGGAAAAGATACACCAAATGATGATCGATCTGGTTGAAAAAAGCCAGGACAACCATGTTTACTTGTTGTTGCAGGTATTGTGGAACACAGTTTATGATGAAGATGACAATACTGATGGCCATTATGAATGCCTATTTAATCAATTCATCACAATAGTAGATGATAACCATCCCGAAAAAAAATGTTAAAAATGTCGAAAACATCTAAACATTTTTAACATTTTTAACATTTTAAACATTACAAGTACTACCTTAATTTAAACGTATAACTTTAGTATATATCAATCAGCAGTGCTAGTTACAGGAGTTCAATATAATGGATGATGTTTTAACTGTTATTTGTAAGATTTGTGCGAAAATTATCCCTCTTTGTGATGTCAAAGCACATTTACTTGACACATGCATCCCTTCTCTTCTCTTTCGTTATGGATGCGGTGGTACTCTCCCAACATCACAAGAGTTCGAGAAGCTAACACAATCAGATAAAGAACATCAAATATTAAAAGTTAAACATGCAACCTTGCAAGAAAAATATAAGCAACGCAAAGCAACAACAATTGTTACAACATCTCAACCACCTCCTCCAGTATTTAGATATGATTCACCAACAAATTCTATCTTCTCCTCTCCACCACCAACACCAAGTAATTCCTCAATTGCAATGGATAATAGTTTTATGGAAGAGACTTTTCATGTCAAGAAAGAGTTTTTAAAGCAAGCAGATATTCATACATATAACAACAGTAGCAACTTAATTAATCTAGATATTCCTGATGGAGACCAAGGAGTGTGCACACTTGGTAACCAATTTAAGGTGCAGCAGAAAGATGTGATATTTTGTACCAACTCAGTGAGAGGCAGCAACAGAATAGAAATCACTTGTTTCGACAAACAAATTACATTGTGTAAACCTGCACACATTACGGATGAATATTGTCAAACTCATCTCGTTAGACCTCTTCTGGCAAGACCTATATCATTAGATGATGTAAAAGAATCAATATCAAACCGCCCAAAAGAAGAGTTGGTTAAATGTGCATCATGTCCAAACAAATGCACGATGAGCATAAGATGCAAAGCGTCCTCACTCACTCCAATCAAGGATAATTATCTGTACTTTTGCACATATTCTTGTTTCCAAAAATACTTTGGTTCATCATCAGGTAAAACCTGGTCTGCTTATATCGAATCTAGTATGTATTATAATTTTTATTACTACTTATAAAGTACATACAACTGATACCTTATTCTAGAACAACCTAAAAAAGACAAAAAGGAAAAGAAGGAAACGAATAAGGAAAAAGGAAAAGATGATGATTCAGACGAGGAATCCAGCCATGAAGAAGATGAAGAGGGATATGTAGTAGAAGATGAAGAACAACATACAGATAAGAAAAGAAAAGCATCTACACCACCAAAGCCGACAACTAAAAAGGCTCCAGCTAAAAAGGCTGCAGCCAAAGACAAAGATAAAAGTAAAAGTTCTGGCAAGAAATAAACTAACAACTATTAATTATTGACACATATCTTCTTCTCTAGAAATTAACAAGATTATAGAGTACTTGGAAGATGAAATAGTATCGTTCATTGGACTTAAATTTGAAGATTTCCAAGATTTATATCAAAACACTATACGATTGCAAAAGACAAAAACAGAAACCAGAGGCACTAAATCAAAGTATTCAATCAGGGGCCAGTTGTTTATTACACTTTGTTGGCTCCGTCACTACCCAAAGAGAATTGTTCTATCTGCATTTTTTAAAATATCGCAAACTACTGTAGAAGAATACACGTCTAACACTTTGGATTTGTTATATCCTCTCTGCCAAGAGAATTTCGATTACTATTTTTCAAAAAGAATGGACAAAGAGCACTATTCAATTTATGTTAAAGACACCAATGAATCTTGCATGGTTACATCAGTGGCAGATGGATCAGAACAAAGAATTTCAGTTCCCATGGATTCCGAAATTGCAATGAATTTTTATAGTGGAAAGAAAGGATATTTCTCAATAACCAAACTTGTCTTTTGTACTCCCACTGGAAAGATTATTTTCATGTCTAAATCAAGACCTGGATCAAGAAATGATATTAACCTCGCCAATGAATCAAGAGCTTTCTATTCTAAACTAGACGAAGTTCTCGAGTTTATTTTGGGAGACAAAGGATTCATAGGTTGTCATGGCATGTATAAACACTTTTTGGTTAACGATAGAAATCCTAAAGCTAGTTTTAATAGAGGTGAGGCTGACAAAAGATTTAAAGCCATCAGAATTATCATAGAAAATGTGTTTGCCCATATGAAAAAGTGGGAAGCATGCAAAGCGACTTTGAGGATCAAATTTTCCGATCCTTCAAAAATTCTTCAACAACATGATCAAATATGGTCAGTTGTAGGATATCTCACAAATAAATACAAAAACATTAGAGGATTATAGTAATAAACTTCTTGTTAAATGTGAAAAGTCAAAAAACATGCACTCAAAACCGAGTGATCATTGTAGTTAAAAACAGTAAAGATAAACCATTATCTTTACACTATTTATTTGTTCTATTTTGGAAGAAACTGTAACCAATGCATAGGTCTCACTGTTATACTACATATTCTTGACTTTACATATGTAAAGTAATATCATCCCCTCATAAAATACTTCTTGCTACGGAAGCGAGTGATATCATCATATCTAAGGATCTGATGCACTCTGCATTCTAATCATAAGGGTGATTCGGTTGAATGGTGTATGATACGCAGAGTACCATAGTGTTGACACACAATCTACTAAAATGGGGACCAAAGTAGTGTATATCGGAGGGTTTTGGAAGAAATAAGCTCAGGTGAGCGGCACGGGCGATGTTGTTAGCTAAATACATATATTTATAAACACCAACCTCATACACATTTATATGGTGCATGTGCTCTTCATGGGGGTTGCTTTTTGGTCTAATCAGGCTACTTACAAACATGATTAGCGGTGGCATAACCGGGGACTCTATAATAGGAGAAAATTGATAGAAATTGGTTAAAATATAGTCCATGTATGCCCTGGATAGGATGGATAGGTAGAGCATATGTTCTATTAGGGTAGCACACAAGCTGGGGATTTTTTGTGGTTGTTTTGATGGAAAATAAATTAATTTTTTCCATTTTTGTTACTATTATTTCCAGGTGTTATATTACAATTATTTTTTGCCTAAAATAAGAAAAAGTTAAATAAAAATGTTGGTTGTACACTGTACTTGTTATAAATATGAAAATATACCTTTCTTTTGATTATGTTTTGATGGAGTATATGTAGTTGGTGGTTTGATATTTGTTCTAGAAGAGGTAGCCCTATTTGTGGGGTTTTGATGATTATTTTTTGTTTCTTTTGTTGGAATTGGTGTGTTGTTGATTGGAATGTCTGGTAGTACTATATCTGTATCATTATTATTTGGTTTGTTATTTTTTTTCTTATTTTTTTTTTTGGTTTGTTTTGGTGAGTGTAATTTTGGAAGTTGAGGTGATTTTGGTGTCTCGTTCTCTTCTACATAGTCCGAAACAACTGCATCATGTATATTTGTCATTCTTACAACACGTAGTATTTCAATTGTAGTAGTTTTTGATGTTTCCTGTTGTTTTTTTGGCTTTGGACCCTTGTTGGCAGGTGTTTCATGTCCAATCTTTGTTTCTTTGTTTGGAGCTTGATTAACGATGATTTTTTTGATGAAAAACTTTATATTTGCCTTCTTTAAAGCCTGTTGTACATTATTATTATTTCTTGTTGGTTGTTTGGTTGAATTACTGGCATCATTATTCGATGTAACTTTGTTGTTTTCTTTTTCATTATTGTTGTTTGTTTCTGTTTGTCTGGAACTTTCTTCTTCTTCTGGTACCTCCTCAACGGGTTTATCATCTTGGATTGTAGGATCATTGTCGCATGGTCGATAAAAGATTGAGTATTCTCCATTTTCCATTTTTGTTTTAAAACTATAGGTCTTGTTTAAAAAAGCTGGTTTTTGTGGGGAAGGATAATATACTCTATATTCACTGTATGTATCTGATGGTTCTACTTCTTTATACGCATCTTGTAGTGCATTGAGAGTTCTTTGAAGTTTAGATTGTGAGGTTGAAAGTGTGTCTGGAAAAAATCGAATTTTTTGAGTAAAAAAAATTCACAAAAAAAATATTTTATATTAAAATCAAAAGAAATTAAAAGTTGCAAAATCCAAAATAACATACGTTCATTCTCTTCAACATCTTTTCCAAGGGCCACACCAATATTTTCATAAAAGGCGTCAAGAGTTTTAAAAGTATTGCAACTTTGGATAAACTCTTGAAATTCTGTGATGGAGGGGAAATTATAAACGGTGGCTCGATAATGTCCTTTTTTTCTAGTGTCCAAACCATACTCGGTTAGCCTTTTGTTTAATATATCAACCATATTTTGTGTTGTTCTATTATCTTGATGATTTGAGTCGGGATGGCTTTGAAATCTCTTTACTGTTTGAGAAATCAGTGCAAAAAAAATGTCACAATCTGATTTGCCGTGGCTCGGAGAAAAGAATTCCAAATCAATTGGAATGCAATTGATAGTTTTACCAAGTTGCCAAACCTTATAAATCCATTCAAAGTTTTTAAAAGTTGGTCCATTATCTGACCAAATAATAAATTTTTTAATTTTTCCATCCTTTCCAAATAAATCCTCTTTCCTTGTACAACCAAACAAATCCATGAATTCTTTTCTTTGAAATAAATTTCTAAAGCTAATGTCAGCAAAATTACAAGTTTTGTCCAAAACCCTAGAAATATTTCTATATAAACAATAGATAAAAAGTTGAGTAAAAAAAATGAAAAAATGAAAAATATGGGTTAGAAAATTGAAGGTAAATTTGTTGAAATTATAATCTTTTTTAAAAATCCAAAATATAAATATATAGTATTTGGTGTATACTATTTAATTTCCATAGTAATTTTTAAAAAGGATAATAATTGATTAAAAAATTTTAAATACTTACCCAAACACATATTTTTTATATTGATTGCCTTCCTTGTAGTGCATTACAATGCCATAAAAAGATCTATGGACAGCATTGTAAAACTGTTTGCCTACTTCAGTTTGTGACTTGTTAATGTTGATGTTTTGTTTAAAATCTATGGTAAACATAACTTCTCCATTATTGAGGTTTTTTTTTTGATATTTGTATAAATCTCTTCGTTCCCCAGCTGCTTTTTTGTGTTTATCTTTATCGCCACTTGATATATTTGGATCTTCACATGTATTACACATGTCATTCCTGTTTTTTGCCCTCTTTATATGTGGAGGAAGGTACTTTTTAAAGGTATTTAAGCACATTGGAACAAATTGATATTCCTTGGCAAAATCTGAAACGGAATCCATCAATTCTTCACCTACAAACTGGCCACCTATATTATACATATAATGGTAGTTGTCTGAGCCAGATGTATAATTTTTTTTGAATGGATTGACTGGTTCTTTTCCAGGTCTTTTATTAGCCTTTTTTTCTGGTACTTTATACCCCTTTGTGTGCAGTAGGTAAAAGTAATATAGCTCCTTGATGCCCATCGAGTATGTTTTAACTACTCTCGTATCCGATTCCGGATTATTTACTGATTTTCTTTTAAGAACACAAACATCATGAGCTGATGACTTGAATACGCTGCTATATTCGGCAAAGTATTTAACCGATGCTTCTCTTTTTGCAGCGGTAATTGATTGCTTTTTCTTTAACAAATAATAGTTATTAACAGGAATGTTGGCATATTGAGACTGTAATGAAGGTTGGGGTGGGTTTGTGTTGGAGGTACTACTATTTTTATCTTTATTGCCCTTTTTGTTATTATTTGTTGGAGGAGTAGAGCTTTCTCTGTTGTTGATATTATTGTTGTTTAGTGGAGTTGTATTTGGCATTGGAGGAGTTGAGTCAAGAACCATTCGGTCAGAGATATTAGATGATCTTTTTTTTGACATATTTGAAATGGCAGAGTCGTCACTCGTATCCATTGGATCTTGATTCGCATTTAGATTGGAATCACTTTGGTTCAAGATTGGCGTTGATTGGACGTCAGATTGCAATGGTATCGTATCACTTACTATAGCCATCATTGAATCACCACCATTGGGTGTTGTATTGTCTATATTTATGGGGGTTTTTGGGTCTCTATTACTTGGCAATGATGTTGTAGTACTTGATACGAGAGTTGGCTGCAATTGGATCAAATTATATAGAGAAAATCAAATTTTACTACTATTAATATATAAAACATAGATATTTGTACTATATGATATCATTATATATTACATTTGAGTTACTGGTTGTAGATACATCATTATCTTTTATCATTTCCTTCTCTATTTCCCTTGACGAATGCCAAATTCTTGAACCTATAATCATACCATAATCTTCGAAGTTACTCTTTTGATACTTTATTCCATTGTCTCTCATATATCTAAGTATACTATCGATATAGTTAGAAACTACACTCTATTGTCTATCTTTTGGTTATACTGTTACATACTGTGCGAGAATAAACTTTCGGTGGAGATCGTTTTGTTTGTGCTTATAATATTCTATGAATGCTTTGCAAAGATATCGCTCAAAACAACCTTCTAGAGGGTCTCCTTCTATTTTAAGATACTCCGCGATCTTCTTTATCATACTAGCATTCAATCTATGCCCAGCTAGAGCGCAAACACTTCGTAACTTTTCAATAAACCTTTTACCTACTAATTTGCTTTTACCTATTCTGAACTGATACACATCTTTGCGGATTTTAACCGCGAATTTAGGTAGTTGTATATCTTCTTCCGTTCTTTTCATTTATCTATTTATTATCAATAATTTTTTTTAAATGATGTTCAAAAAGTACAACGATCAAAAATCACAACAAAAAATCGATTTTTTTTATTTTTCATATTATAAAAAAGTCGCCCAGATTGAGTTCGCACAAATATGTTTAAAAATGTTAAAAATGTTTTGGTTTTTTCGACATTTTTAACATTTTTTTTCGGGATGATTATCACAAAAAACTCCACGGGAGGCTCAGAGTTAATCAATTCATCACAATAGTAGATGATGATAACTTTTTGTTGAAAAATATATCAAAAAGTAATTTGAAAAAATAAATAAATACTTTTGTAATAAATTCCTTACCCATTTGTAATAATTACTTTTATTATTTTATATAGATATATTATTATTTTAATACAATGAACAAACAACAAAAACAAGAACAAGAAGAAGAAGAAGAAGAAGAAGATAAAGAAGAAGAAGAGGAAAGCAATAATTTAATATTATTACCAAACCTACCATTCTTGATACAAGCAAAAATATTTGGATATGTAAACGAGATTGGTTTGGACTTGGTTTGTTCGAGATTCTTTAAACTTGCATCATCAATCTTTACAACACTAGACTATCGATTGATAAAGAGAGAATGCAACGTATACGATCATCTTCTTCATCCTTATTGTGCTTTGAAAAAGATTAGTCATCTCGTCATATCAAATGTAGATTGTCTTCTCTTGGGCCATGATAAACCTACAATTGAACTAGGTCAAGGTGATAATGCATCTATTTATAGTGACTTTATCAAAGATAACGATGAAGACGATGACTTTGATGAAGATATGGATGAAGAGGAGTATTTTAAGATAATCGATGCAAAATGCAAGAGCATTCATTGTCATGGTTGTTATGCAAGCTGTTTGGATATGGACACTAGTCAACGTAAACAACGATACCCCAATCTTGTTAGTGTTTATGGTGGTTATTGTGACGCTCTCATGGAGTATGTACAACAAATCGAAAGCTTGCATATTGTCTTTGATCAAGATTATGGTATAGATTGGGACATTTCAACTCTCATTAAAGAGTGTCATAATCTGGAGCGAGTCGAGATGACACAAATAGATCCATATGCTCGCCACGACCTTCTAGGTTCCTATCTTTTTTACTTTTTCTATAGTTGGGCCTATTTAAAGCAAATTATAGTTGTATGCCCTTCTTTGGAAATCGAAAATGATTTCAATATTACTTTGGTACTCCAAAGACATTTAAATTGGATTCAAACATTCCAAGTTACTGCGTGCTTGCAAGAATACTCAGAGGAAAATAAAAGGTCAATGATCAAAGACCTTCAAGAAACAATCAACAAGATGAAAAGTAATAGGCCCACTGAAAGAGTAGAATCATTTATTCAATTTTTTGATAAAAACGAATACCAAGTACATTCTTGTTCAAATCCAATACAACCAAAAACTTATTATTTCGATGATGACAATAATACTTTACAATCATTGTTATTGGATAATGACAAAGAAAGAAATGTTGTAAAGCTTTATGTCAATGTTCAATAAAAACTAGAAACCCCAAGCTATGAGCCAATTCACTTGTAAAAATATTACTATTAATTAATTATGATAATATTATGAACAAACCACAACAACAAGATTCAATCTCAAATGGGTTGTTATTAATAGCATTTATAACGTTTGCAAGAGATAGATGATTGAACATCAATAATGATCAATTATAATTATAATATATATAGTTCTTGTGTTGCAAATGACAACTCTCCTGTTAAAATAATAATAATATATCAATTCAGTAGTCATTAAAATGTTCCTCAATTTAAACAATCAGCCATCAATCGAGTTTATGGCATTAGTTGTAAAGTTGTCAACAGAAAGAGAAAAGAAAAAGAATGTAAAAGATAACAACAAGAGCGGAGGTGTCGAAGAAGATAACACAACAACAACAATCAACAATAACCAGTATAGCCGACTATATAAACAACGGTATCTCGATTCAGATGAGCTCGAGACTACACTATCATGGTTACTATATCTTGTCTTGAGATGTGATTTACCAACTGTATGTAAACATTTACATTAAAACACATGACCACTCGCTCTTCTAATCTACTAACTATACTATATATATAGATTAAAAAGGAATCAGCCTATCTACTCGATAATGCTTTGAGAAAAAAAATGGTGGGTATCTGGACATACAGTTTTGGTCTAATAAACGAAATGTTCTCCTGTTTGGTATCACTATCTTCATCACCAAACAATGACGAAGATCTACGTGATCAAATAATATCGAGCTTGATTTCCCTGGTTTTTGGAAGCTCTCAGGGTATGCAGTATATCAAATTCACCAAATATTTATATCACACTCACTTATGATTAAATCTAGATATATATTGTAGTTTTATATGTTTTTTACGTGAACAAAGTACAAAAGATGGAATGATTGAAAAAGAAAATGTCCTCAGGATCATGGAGTCACTTGACTCTTTTGCAAAGTCTGGTTCAGATACGATAGCTTTTTACGAGATTATGATTAACATCCTCAGTGATCCCAGTCACCATCAAAACCAACTGCGAGCAATCAATACCATTGCAAAGGCTAAATTGTATAAACAAAACCAAAACCTTCATCCCATCTTGGAATTACTTCAATTTTGGAACTATTCTCGTCAGAGTAACGATCCACCCACAATATTGTTTTCACATGACACTGTCGTACAAGTACTAATCGATCGATTAGAACCTGATGCTCTATCAATCTCTACTACTAGTCTTGTACTTTCTATTGATCCAATTCATTATAAATATGTAAGTATAAAATTGAATCGTTTTTACTTGTTCTAAATGACACTTACATGTATTCTATAAAAGGTATCAAATAGAATAATCCCTTTGATTCTAAATAAATTCTATCAATTGGATACCGAGGATGCCAGACAATTTGCATTGGTAATACTGGTTAATGTAGGAAAAGCTTTGGGGCTGAAATATTTTTCGAAATATCTTTATCAATTGGTACAACACTTTATTAAAACTGGATCAACCATTCCATGTACTGAGTATTTTTTCAATTTTGTTATGGATTTGGATTTGGATTTTGATTATTATTTTTCAATTTATCTACCATGTATTATAAAATCAGTCATTGCTCGATTGAAAAAGGAAACAGAGGAGCAACAATTGCATCCTCCCATCGACAATAGTATTATGAAATTTTTAAACTGTATGGTCAAATACTTGTATCCATATTTCCAACATTTAATTGGTCCAATATGCAAGAATCTGGCCAATTTCAAAGGTAAACTAATGTACAACATTTTGGCAATAACGGTTGCTAAAGAAGGATTCACCCAAAACTCTCAATATTTGTTTGAAAGGTTTACAACATCGTTGGTGTCTGGATCATCGTCACTGTCTCGAAAATTCAAATCAAAGATCTATGAAATGTCAAGAATGATTGACTTTATGCAACGAGGTGTTTGGACAAATCATCAAATCCAAGAATCAATCCAAGCGTTTATTGAATGGGATAATCAATACCTTGAAGAATGGGATAATCAACAACTTGGAATACTGGAGGAAAGCCTAAGAGATGAGAATGTAGTTACCGACGATATTGCGTACCGATATAGCATTCAAAACCCTTGGAAATCTATGATTGATAACCATAGAGCACTATCAGAGGTTATCATTCGCAAGTGCAACAACGCCGACCAAATCGATCAAATATTAATTCAACTGCCAGCCCTTGAACAAACAACCCAATATTATGTGGTTTCCATCATTGGTTTAAAATTGCAATTCTTGTGTGACCATCAACACGACAGAGTCAGGTTACAAAAATTAATACAACATGTCAAATACTCACCATTGGTTCCAGATTTGTTGATGAGATTACATGGTATTCGTGATGATGATGTGATAATTAAACAAATGTTTGAATTATTAAATAAATAATTTTGATCATATATTTATAATAAAATAAATCTTTGATAATAGATGTGCTACTGCAAAAGAAAAATGTAACAATCTCCCACATTAAATAAATAGGATAGGCTATTAATAAAGCTTTAGCAAGGCACATATTTTATTGATTTGGTTGTAATTATCTCGAAATAGTGGGCACTTGAATTGATAATAAATATACCTCCAACAGATGATACGATTATCTAATAGTATTAGGGCTCCTAACTGAGGTAGTTTATTGACCAATAAACTGATTTTGACTGTAACCGAAATCGGTTCAGATCAGATCGGTTTGGATTTAATTTTAACAATCTTCAAACCATCCATAGTCGAATATCGGCTCAACGGTTTGCTTTTACAATAAACCGACAAAACCGATGCTATTCATACCCATCTTTGCTCCTTTTATAATGCCATGCATAATTTTTTCCAAACTATCACTTTCCGTTTCATATAATCGTTTGAACATTATTGGGAATATTCTAGATGATACCTAATAGATAGTTGGTATTTGATTTAATTAATTTAAATATTAATATTATTATTATAATTAATTAAGCTTTTAATTAGAAAACAACAAACACATCCATATGTATATTTGGTTGGGTCAATGTAATTAACAAACCTCTCCAGCAGCAGACATAACCGTATGATTCGATAGACAATTCTATTAGACCGAGTAAACGCTGTATTACTTGGTCATTTGAATACAATATTACAGAATTAATTTATCTTGATTAATAGTGTATTAATTAATTACACTATTAATCAAGATAAATTAATTCTTTAGGTTTTGAAAATTTGAACTGCAAACATAAAATTCAATCAGAAAGACAATAATTAAATCCTTAAAATAGGGACATACTCTTTATGGTGATCGAAAGCACAGTCGACCTTTGTTTTAATTGCCAGATGCAATGGTCGTTGGGTTCTGAAATTAGCTGCTACCAAATCAAGGCAGACAATGAATTAAACTATGGTATTGTCCATGCAACCGTCAACATTTACTTGGATTACAATTCTTACCCTCCCCTGGACTTTGGGTCTCGTGTCGATGTGGTCCGTACACTTGCAATGGATACTATCCCACCTCTACCTCCCTATGAACCCTACATAGGTTATTTTGGTTTATTTTTGATAGGCAACTTGTTTTGTAAGTAGTTCAAGTTATCTTTCAAATTAATATTCCATTCCAATTAATTAACATTGTCCTTTATATATATATATATATATAGACACCACTGGTAACCCTAACCCTGGTAAGAAATGTATAACATATTCAGATGGGATATCACTACACGTTCGATGTAGTATGTAATAATAACCTTTCACAAAGACATATTTAGAATTATTAATAATTAACTCTCTCTATCTATCTATATTATAAAAGGCAACAAAAGTATATCACAAGAAATGATGATAAATGCCTCTTCAAGTTGTGACGATTGTTTGGCAAGTTCTTTTGGATATCTCGAAAATGATTTGTTAAGAATATATATACGTACTTCCACTCTGACATATTCTATTCGTGTATGTAGTTTATATATATTACATAATAATAATAATAATAATAATCATTCTTTTTAATCATATTATTAGTATTTAGAAGGTAATATAACTAGTGGTACAAACTCTGAATTTAGATTAAAGTTATACCCATCCTTTGATATGATTGGTGATCCATATGATGCGCTTTCTGCTTTTGTTAACCGTACAAGACAATAGTAACTATCAACAACAATACAATACAAAACAACATCATGTCACCAGTTAACTGGTAGTACACGTGTCGCTCACTCACTCACTAACTCACTCTCTTTCTCTAAATATTATTATTATTATTATTATTATTATTATTAATATTATTATTTTTTTGATATTATTAGTAAAACAGGAAATGAGACGACACAAAAAGAATACGACCAATCACTGACGATCTATGTTAATGGTCAAGTAGTTCAAGCCAATGGAACTTCTTATAACGTACCTGATGGGAGTAGCAGCCGTAGCAGCAGTAGCAGCCAAGAACAACCATCATCTGGAAATAGGTTGCATGTGTCGATGTCGACCTTTATTTTAGTTATCTTTGTAACACCCATCATCATGTATTACTCTCTTTTGCTTTGATCAACTATTTTTCAATCTATTATTATCGTAGCATATATAGCGCTATGCTTTTGTAAAATTATGTATTTTATTATAATTAATAATGCAAACAATCTTATGAAATAAATCATCCATCTTTCATTTAGTCAAGAAAACAAACCACCAAGCAACAAACAAAGATTCAATCACAAATGGGTTGTTATTAATAGCATGCTTCAAAGTCTACATTTGCAAGAGTAGATGGATGATGATTGAACATCAATGATGATGTTGTTGATGATCACCATTATTTATTCAAACAAAGATGAATTTAAATATTATTATAGAAGTTGCACCGCCACCGTCAGAGTTTATAGATGTAATAGTAAAGTTGGCAATAGCAAGAGAAAAGAAGAAGACCAACAACAAAGATGCTATGATAACTAAAATAGAGGAAAAGGGAGAACAAGAAGTAGTACTATCATGGTTATTATATCTTGTTGTCAAATGTGAATTATCTACTGTATGTAACTATAACTATAACTATAACTGCTGTTTAGAAATGAACAATATTCTTCTAACTTATTATTTGATCGTACTCTATGTAGATTAAAAAACAATCAATCTATCTACTCGATAAAGCTTTGAGGAAATATTTTTCGGCTCTTACTACTACTACAGTTAAATGTTGTTGGAGTTATAATCAATATATTGTAGAATCTATATTCAATGTTTTGATATCTACCAATAATAATAATAATGACAATGATGATGATGATAGTGAATCACAAACTCTATTAATATCAATATTAAATACTTTAAATGTTGGTGTCACTCTTAGTATGTATCTTTCATTCAATCACTAAATGTTCACACATAGTATTCACTGACTAATTTATTTATTTTGATTAGATCAACATTTAGATTATCTAAAACTTATTGAGAATACAATTAGAAATCATCTTGACAATCAAGTCGTCAGAGAGATCATTCTCAAGATCATGGAATCGATTGACATGAAGCAATGTATAAGCAAGGATTGGGTTGAAACATTGGAGGCTGAAAATATTTTCAACAACATTATGGCAAGCTTTCTCACAGATCATCGTAACCATCAATACCAATTAAGAGCATTTGATATCATCGAATCAATGAAGGAAATTAGACACATTGTTGGGGGTATATACATCCTTGAATTAAAGCATATGAAATACTACAACAAATACGAATTCTGTATAGCTGGACCCAGATTCAAGTTTTCAAATGACCAAGTTATACAACATTTACTCGATCGAATAGAATTGTCTGTTGAATCTGGATATCCGATAGATCCCTATTTGGAGAACGTTATTAGTTTCATTGCTCCATCCAAATATAAATGTGTATGTGTATTTGATTTAAAAAGATTTGTTTACAACAATAATAATAATAATATTTAATATTTAAATATATTTTTCACATCACTTAGGTATCATCTAGAATATTCCCAATAATACTCAAACAATTATATAAAATGGAGATTGGTACCAGTGAAAAACATGAAGCAGCGTGCTCTATCCAAAGGGTAGGAGCAGTGGTGGGAATCAAGTATTATGCAAGATATGAATTTGAAATGATACAACACTTTATCAAAACTGGAGAAATCTTACAACTGCCTTTCTATTTTTTCGTGTGGTTCCCAAATATATCTATAGATTGGAGTTATTTTTCGATTTATCTCCCATCCCTCATGAAACAACTCATCGCCGCCCAACCCAATCAATTGGAAAATCCACATATCTACCGCCTCTTTGGCCGGATGATTGACAGTTTGTATCCATATTTCAAACACTTGATTTCAAGCGTATGCACAATTTGCCAAACTCACATGATGTCATCCATGTTAAAGGTAATAGTGGACAAGGAAGGAATCAGTCAAAACTGCCGACTCGTATTCGACCGGTTCGCACAATCGTTGATGGATACATCCTCTCAATTATCGGGACCAACAAGGTCTGTTGCAATGGCAAGGATGATTGACGTTGTACAAGGAGGTGTGTGGGCAAGTGATCAAATCTATATACTCACTCGGTTTGACGATGAATACTGTCGAGAATTGGAGAGAATCTCAATAGAATATAACCCTTACGGAGATGTCGAAGATAACGCATGTATTGCAGACCAGTGTGATGTTGCACTTGGGAGTTGGATTTTAAATCACTCAATTCTATCCGATGTTTTCATTCGTAACAACAACCACAGACATCAGGAAATTAAAAAGTTGCTCCTTGAAATAACACAAACATCGTTGGACAAGTTGATAACAATAGCTCCCACCTTTAAATATCAGGCCTATAATTATTTGATGCCAACTATTTTGTATAGATGGGAATTATTATGTTACAACAATGAACAACAACAAGACAAGGTAAAAGTAGTACTAGATTATTATCCTAAAATAGTCCCATTAATTCTAGTGAATCATCTCATTAGTAAAATCGAAATCCTCGTGGACCGTCAACTGATGTGTGAAGAGAAAACTTTTTGGAATATAATCAAGATACTCGTCGTAAAGAAGGAACAACAACAACAACAACAACAACAACAACAACAACAACAACAACAACAACAACTATATAAAATACATTTAGACAGGATACACCAAATAATGATCGATGTTGTAAATGAGGAGGGCTACACTAAAGCTATTGATCGTTTATTGTGGTATATTAAGCGTGATGATGAATATAGCTATCTGTCCAATCTATTCATCACAAAATTAAATGACGGTACCGGTAGAATTTGTTTAAAAAATAAATAAATATTAAATCTATTCCAAAACTTATCTTTTATAATCAAATATTCCAAAGAAATAGGTTGATCCAACTATAAAATTATTTTAGCAGAAACAATCCTACAAGTTGAAAATTGTTTTTTCAAAAAAGAGATATTTTTTTTTTATATCCGAAGTTTCCTCCGCATGAAAAAAGAGCTCCCTGGGATCAATCACCGAGTTTTGGATACCAACTTCTCTTCACATCATTTCATTGCAATCAATCCTTTAAACAGAGATACAAAGAAAGATAGATAGATATCAAACAAAGTAAAAACAATGAAGAAATCAATCACCTTTATCATGATCATGATCATGTGTATGGTTGTTAACATTGTTGTAAGTTTTACACATTAAACACATCACCCACATTCATTTATAACATTCAAAGAAGAATTAAAGATATTAACTCTTTTCTTTTAGAAAGGGCAACCTGATTGGTGGAATGATAGAGTGAATCAAGGACAAATATTAAGTACAACAGTTGAGCCTGAATCAAGTTTAATGGCCACTGTTGGAAATGGATATGCTAGTTATGTGGTCGGAGGTGATTTCATTTATATTGGTGGTATATTCAACGGACCTGAATTATCAATTAAAAATGTATCACATCGTGCAGCTTTTCCAAACTATCAAAATATCGTCGTAGAGAATAGTGATGTTAAACTTGAATATGCTGGATTGGATATTGAAAATGCTACCTATACAAGAGTATTCTCGTTTGCATCGTCGCCGTCGGTCACTGTTGAACAGGTATTCTATGCATCGCAAACTGACCGTAACACATTGATTCAAGAGATTACTATTGACAATACAAATGGTGACGGGTCATTTGTGTTGCAATTAAATAATCCTACTGATTTGGAGGTATCTGATGACTTGGAGATCGAGGTTGTTTACAGCGATGATACAGCCACCCAATACTTGGCATGTATCAAGCAACCAGAGGTCAACTTTACAACATGTGCTGCTGTTACAACGGCGACGTTGAATGGGACCGTAGAGGTTTCCGCAGGCCAGAAATACACAGTCTACTATGTCACTGCATTCTACTCCAACTTGGAAGACAGTACCGGCAACAACGACCTTATCAGTGTTTGTGCCGGTATCTTCAAACAAATCTATTCAGAGATTGACCAGATGTTGCAAATACACAAAGACGCATGGGCTCATCTTTGGCAATCGGGTATTGAGATTGGCGGGAATCTCGATTTGGCTCAGACTGCCAACAGCTCGCTCTACTACATTCTGTCGTCGATTCGGTACGACTGGCCGCACAGCATCAGTCCCGGCTCGCTCGCCTACGGAGGTCTGGGTACCGGCTACAACGGACACGTGTTTTGGGACGCCGAGACGTGGATGTATCCTCCCGTCCTCTTGTTGTATCCAACTTTGGCGGCTGCCAACATACTCCAATACCGCTTCAACCTCTACGACGGTGCCGTCGCAAAGGCTCAGAGCTACGTCCCCGAGTACAGCGGCATCATGTATCCTTGGGAGAGCGCTTTTAGCGGCCGCGAGGTGTGTCCCACCTTTGCGCCAACCGGTCGTCTCGAACAACACATCACCGGAGATATCTCGTATGCGACAAGACAGCAGTTCTACGCCACCGGCGATTTGTTCTGGCTCAAAAAACTATGCATTCCAATCGATTGTTGGCATGGCCGAATTTTGGGCCAGCCGTGTTTTATTCGACACTGACACACAGCAATACGTCATCAACGGTGTCATTCCACCCGACGAGTATGCCATCGGCGTCAATAACAGTGTCTATACCAATGTTGTAGCCAGTATTGCCTTGGAGTGGGCTATCGAAGCTGCCCAGCTCATCGGCAAGACCGAGTCGATTCCCGCCGGACTCTGGCAAACCATCGCCGACAATATCAAGATCCCCTTTGACTCGGTCAACCAGCGTCACCCAGAGTACGACGGCTACAAAGGTCAAACGATCAAACAAGCCGACGTCATTCTACTCGGGTTCCCATTAATGTACAATATGACACCAGAGGTACGTCAAAACGACTTGGCCTACTATGAGACGGTCACCAATTCACAGGGACCTGCCATGACTCACTCAATGTACACTATCGGTTGGTTGGAGCTAGGCAATACCACCAAAGCATCTGAATCATGGCCTCTGTCCTATGCCAACGCACAACAACCATTCAAGATTTGGACAGAGACGCCAACAGGTGGTTGTGTCAACTTTATCACAGGTGCTGGAGGTTGGTTACAAGCTTTGCTATTTGGGTATGGTGGTCTTAGAATCCATCAAGACCAATACTACTTCTACTCTCCACAACTACCACCCAATACAACTAGTTTAAAGATTAGAGGGTTCTCTTACAATAGTGCTACATTCAACATGTATTGGGACGATGCATCGGTAGAGATTGAACTTACCAGTCCTGTCTCTATCCACTTTTTCAATCTAGAGTATGATGGAAGTGTTCAAAGATTACATTTAAATCAACCTTTAAAGTTTGATCTTGGTGAATTTGCTATTACTCCTATCATCTAAATAAATAAATAAATAAATAAATAAATAAATAACTAAATAATATTATTTAAAAAAAAAAAAAAAAGAAGAAACTCTGAGTACCAAGTATAGTTTTTTTAAATTTAATTTAGTATTGGTTGACTAAGTTGTGAAACTAGAATGAATACAAATAATGTTGGTCAAGATCATGATGTCATTCCTCTGATTAATCCATTAATCAATAACACAACAATAAACGATGTGGATATGTTAAACTTGGTACACAAAGTATGCGATCATAATAATACTATGAAAAACAAAGTATGTATCAACGCGTTGACTAATACATCTGATCATCATCATCATCAAGTTATTTAATTAACAAACGACGTCTTTTTAATTGTTTAAAGGAAGCCTTTAAATTATTGATAAAGTATCTTGATAACAAAAGGGAGAATAAGATACATGACCTAAGTCAACAAACAAAGATTCAAATACGATCATTGATACTTGATACTTTTGAAAAGATACGTGACCCATTTTCAAATTTAAAGACAATAATAGAGATATTGTTGGCCAATCATTGTAAGTAGTAGGAGTGACGAAGAAGATAGATATACATTATTATTATTATATAACAACTAATTAAGTCGTTTGTTTTACCTTTTTCTTAGATAAAAAAAACAGTGAAGATGAAGAGATATTTAGAATTGGTTTGATTGAATGGTTTAATAGAGTATTAAAGGAACAAGACAATCAAAATAATTTTAGTTTAACATATAATATGTTTTCTGAATCTACTATTGATTGTGCATTGATTGCTCTGTCAAAGATTAAGCAACAATGTCATGCGTCATTGGTTTTGGAAACATTGGAGATATTGTGGAAACTACACTATAAAAACAAGTTAACCGACCTAAAAGATAAAGAGGTCACAATGTATTTCCCAATATCTAAAACAAAGCCATCCATACTAAAAGATGAAGAGGTCTCAATGATTTTATCAATCTTTAAACATTACGAATTTCAACAACAACAACAAGACCAACTCAAAAAAGATATTACAAAGATCATTTATAAACTACCTCTTGGAACCAAACTATTCTTAAAAACAAAAGAGTTTGAAGCATTTTTAATACAAACTATTGGTATTCTATTTGGTGGTGTATATGATGATGCGTATTTCCTTCCACAGTATAAAAATTATGATCAATTCTTGGATGGTTGGAATAATCTAAGCTATCGAGAAATTGAACATAACCCAATATTTAACTTTCTTGCATATATCAATTATAAGGATGATGAGACACTATGCATCATCATTTTAGATTACATCAAAATCAAATTTTTAAATGCAACTAAAAAAAGTTGGAAAGAGAAATTAATTTTCTTTAGGATAGTAAACTCTGTTGGTTCTAAATTTGAATCTCAGGTGATCAGTTCATTATTATCGAAATTATCTGATCCCATTTCATTCGAAAAGTATGTAAAAATTACAAACTATCAGAGTTTTAAATAACATTATCTAATCATTTCGTTAATTTTAATTAGACTTTTATCAATTGAAACACAAGACAATTCAATTCTTCATTGTGAATTATTGACATTTCTTTTAAGATTCAAGGATGACCCTGTCATGCAAGAACCTTCTATTCGATCCATCATAAACGAGGGTTGGAAGAATATTGTCAATCAAGAACCAATACAACCTCGTACATTATATAGTCTGTGTAAATATATAAAAGTTACTGGGACCCGAGTATTGGATCAACAAATCACTGACCAAGTATTTTTAAAAGGATGGGTATCAAATTATGACTATGTTGTCAGATGCTCTTTAAATTTAATTTTAGAAAAACCAGAAATAGTAAGCAGCACAGCTGTCACACACAAGTTTGATTGAATATATTTAATATATTAACCATTATTTTTATTTTATTTTATTTTTTCTTTAGGTCAGTCTACCAATCTTTATTGTATTTTTGGATAAATATTGTAAAGATCAAATGGATATTGGAAAGATTATCAGATATTTTGATAGTTTAGTGACCAACCAAAGAAAAACATATCTAAGGATTATTATCAGTCGGTTGTTATTTAGACCATTTAAATTAAATGTCGATGGTGCCATGACTGATGAATTTATTTTTAAGAATATATTGGGTTGGATATTTGATGGGTCTATTGGAAAGGACGTTCCCATTTATCTACCAGCAATCATGAAAAGAATAACAACTCAACCAACCATCAAACATATATTTCAAGACCAAATCGCGAGATTTTGCACCCAATTCCCACAGACAATATATTCATCATACATTGATCGTTTGATATCCCAAGGTATTGATTTATACGACGACAACAACAGCAGTCAAGATCGTAGTGGAACACTTTTGACCTGTTTATTTTCAATATGCACACAATACAAAACAACAGAGACACAAAAAGAAAAAAGCAATCAGTTATTTAAACGATTACTCGATTTGTTTATCGCCAAACATGACGAGGATGAAAGGAAAATAGCAATCAAAAATTTGATTGACCATGCATATTGTGCAGGCATTTCATTATCAATTGAACAAAAATCACAAATCATCGATTGGATGAGAGTTGGAATTCCTATTCCTCTATTGTATCGTCCACGAGTTGACGCACTTCAACAATACTCTGAATTGATTTATCAATTGGCAACATTGGGTGATGATTGTGACTATTATCTAGAAATTTCAATATATCATGTCGAGCAAATGTTGGAAGGTATTAAACGATTCAAAGGCTTTGTTTCAAAGTTGGTTTCAACAATCTCCCACTTTTACAAACTACTCGAAACCATTCATTTCTCTTGTCAAGCAAAGAATCTATGGTCCATTTATTTCACAAAATATTTAAATAACACCAACACTTTAAAATCATTACTATTCTTGACTCTACTCAATGAATGATTATTAAAATACACCTATAAAAGAATGAATATATAACCTAGCTAGGTATGCTTCTACAATAAGAAATAATTAGAAAACAAAATAAACTTAAATCTTTCTGAAATCAAATCTCTTCTCTCCTCGAGCTGAGTCATCTAGAAAAATTGTTCATTTGATGAAATAAACAACTAATATTAACCAAACCATTCAACCGATATTGATATGTATAATTAGACTATATTTGAAAGAAGAAGAAGATAAACAATGGGGATGATTATGTCTATGTTTCAGAAAAGTCATAGAGGTATGTTAAAAGTATTGCTTACCACTTTCAATTTAATCATCAATCTCTATCAAATACTAAACAATATTTCTTATTATGAACTATAGTTATCATCTTGGGTCAAAATGCTGTTGGAAAGACAACTGTATTGAATGCTATGATACATGGATATCTTGCTCCTCACCCTATTCCTATTCCCGTCTATGGATTTGCTGTTGAATGTGGAGTGTTTGTATTCATCTTGATTATAAAGAATCTATTCTATTCTATTCTTTGTTAACACATTTTATACTCTTTAGTTACAAGCAATTTAATTTAATTGTATTTGATGTTCCTCTCTTGAATATGAATATTCCTAATGCTGTAAGATCTGACATAAATTTTGTACAAGTAAAATACTATTATATCACCATTTATCTATTTAATTTAAATTCATCTTTTCTCTCTCTAACACATAATAATTACTTTTTTAAAATTCAAAGTGGAATGGAATGTACGAACCTCAAGAAGCAGTAATATTTATATTAAATGCAACTGAACCATTGGAATCAAAAGAATCTCTACACAGACTATTGACATTGGATTCATTAAAAGGTAAACCATTTTTAATACTTGCCAATTTTTGTGATTTACTACAACATGATCCATCAGAATCGATTATTAAAGATTTGGAATTGGAAAAATATGGTAGAGGTAGAGAATGGACATTAAGATCAGTCTCTTCGGCCAAAGGTGATGGTATGTTGGATTCATTAAATTGGTTAGAATTAACTTTAAAAAATAAATCAACAAATAAATAAATAAACAAAAAGAGTTAATTAAATAATTTTCCTATTTTTTTTTATTTAGGGGATTTTGTTTTTTAATAAGGGGGAGAGTAGGGTAAGTGTTTGTTTGTTATATGATTCTAGTATTGTTGTTATTATTATTATTATTATTACAAATATCTTCTTTTTTTAAAAGACTGGATAATAAATATTATTATTTTGATTATTATTATTATTTGATTTCATTTCGCTAATTATTAATTTTGTTATTATAATTGAAGATTAGTATTTGCAACTTCATTTCCATGAGTAAAAGCATAACCAGTATTATTTTTTGAAACCTTGTTTGACTTTATCCAAGTGAGAAAGGGGAGTTTACCACGAGCCTTTTTTTGCTTCATGTCGACCACCTTGAATTGTTCCATGCCTTGAGCACCGTTCATACCCTTCTCGGCCCATGCGATCTGGTCGGGCTTGCCATTGACACGCTCGAGTTCTTGGACGATCTGGTAGGGGTAGGGGAAGAAGTCACGCTGGATGATCTTGTAGAGACTGTCGGGCACGAGACAAATGATGGGGATACAGAATAGACCGAGCCAAAAGAGGGGCGATGCCCAGAGATGGTAGGCGATTTGGTAGACCTCACCTGTGGCAGATGCACCAGCAGCTTGGATCGAGGCGAGGATAGCTTGCCAGAGGAACCAAATGAGGATGCTACCCCAGATGGAAAAGTGGGTGAGCCAAGTCCAGTAACGAGTCTCGAGTGCGAGCTTGAGGTTGACAGTGATGACGACGAGGATAAAGATGGTTTGACCCATAGCCCAAATATCGAGTGTTTGACCGTTGGAGAGAACGTTGGCGCCATAACTATAGATACCATAGGCCATGAAAAAGATGACGACAGAGTGAGACCATCCTTCAACGAGCCACACCCAAAGTACTTTGAGGTTAAACTCTGAATCCTTTTGGCCCGACTTGTAGAGTTGGGGGTATTGCATGGACGACTGGGCAGAGACATCTTGATCGAGGATGGCATAGACAATGATAGGGAGACCGGTGAAAATAACGTTAAAGACGGCGATGGAAAGAGAGTCGTAGATGGTTTGAGCGGAAAAGGCGTTAAACAAACCAAACCAAAACTGCGTCATGGCAAACACCATGTTTTTGTAAAAGCAGTAGAGGATGAGGCGACTGTTACGCTTGTAATCCCAACGACCGTGTGCGACGACCAACTTGTAGAGGAAACGGAACTGGGCGATCGAGTAGTCAGATGCCATAACAGCCTGCATACCTTCGTTACCCGAGATACCGACACCAATGTGTGCTGCCTGAATCATGGAAACATCGTTGGCACCATCACCAATAGCGAGCGTGACGGCACGCAATTGGTCACGGACAACCTTGACGACTTGTGCTTTTTGGAGTGGGGTGGTACGACAGCAAATGACAGACTTGCAACTAGATGCGAGGTCAAGGAAGTTGTCCTTGAGTGACCCCTCGAGTGCAAAGTTGAGACAGCTGCCCTCGACGACGAGTGCAAAGCCATTGTTGGGGAATTCAACTGGATTGTCGGAAAAGTAGGCGTCATTGGCACCGTTGATCTGTTCTTCCACCTCTTCAACAGTCTTGCCGTTGAGGATGATGATCTTCATGTCGGATGTGAGTAAATGACACGAGAAACCAATATTGATGGCAGTTTCTTGTTTGTCACCTGTGAGTACCCACAATTTGATGTTGGCTTTGGCCAAGTTGGCAATAGCTTGTGGTACACCAACTTGGAGCTTGTCTTCAATGGCTGTGGAACCGATGAGACAGAGGTCGCGTTCAATGAGCTCGGCAACCTTGTCGACCTTGGCGTCACGGTCTTGGATGGCCACGGCGGCCTCCTTGTACAGCTCGTTCCACTTGACATAGGCGTCTTCTTCAATGTAGGCGTATGCGCAGCAGAGAGTACGGAGACCCTCGGCAGCAAAGTCTTGCAAAAACTCGAGTGTGACGGCTTGAATGTCGATCATGTCCTTGCGGAGCAGTGGTAGGACGGTGGTATCGGCACCCTTGGTGTAGATGACAATACGGCCCTTGGGATCACGTACAATGACAGACATACGCTTACGGTCGCTGTTAAACTCGAGGATGTTGAGGAACTCGTAACGGACAATCTGGCCACGTTGGTTGACCAGCACTGCAGATGGTTCACGGTTGTAAAAGGCGTAGCCGAGGTTCTTGGCGGCGGTAACCAAGGCAGCTTCATCGGGCGAGCTGGCTTCATAGACAATGACCGAGTCGTCGCGGTTGGGACGATCGGGGATGACGCTGTGACACACTGACAAGAGGGTAAGCAGCTGGTGGATGAGTTCGCTCTGCTCGGAACCGGCCTCGTTGAGGTGGTCGAGGAGACGACGGTCGCGGAACCCAAAGTTGGGGTCTGCGCCAGGTAGCGGCTCGCTCATAAAGTCGGGCACCTTGTTGATGCTGCCCGAGTACGAGCCCTTGCCGTCACCAAGCTTTAACGAGTCGACCGAGTCATAGTTATTGGTCCCGCTGTTTTGTGCAAGACTATACGAACCATAACTCATACGACCAACAGAGCACTTTAAAAAGTCCATTTGGTTACGTGTAAGTGTACCGGTTTTATCGGAAAAGATGTACTCGATTTGACCGAGTTCTTCCGACAAGTTGGATGTACGTGAACGTGCAGGTGTGTCTGATTCAGCATGATACATGTCAAGATCCCAAGAGATAAAGACAGCCTGTGCAACCTTGACCAATTCCAAAGACACATACAATGAAATAGGAATCATAACGGCAAAAGTAATCATAAATGTCAAAAAGTTTTTGGCTGCGTCTTGTGTCGACTTGTCGTTGAATCCCAAATACCAAGCATCCACCTTGTTTTGATTGGTCCATACAATACTAACAATCGTAGATATCACACAAACTACAAACATTACACTAAACAAATTAATTAAACCTCTGTTTACTAATTTTTCCAATGTTGATCTTTTTGATGGTGCATCAGTTGAATCTAGAAAAAAATAAAATTAAAAAAATAAATAAATAAATATTTCTTTTTCTTTTGTCTTATTTTTTTGTTCTCTTTTTGCTTACTTTGCATAATTTTAGTATCTTCACCAGTATAAACAACAGAACCATAAATCCATTCAGTATTACGTAATACACAACCACGTAAAAGGGTTTGACTATTGTTGAGAGGGTATTTGGTGTCGTTTGGATTGGTACCCAAAGCAATGGCACCGTGGAAAACGTAAATGACATTGTTTGGATGTTCGCATTCGATGAAACCTCTAAAGAGTGATAGATCCTCTTCATTTCGGAGGAATTCAAATGTTTGTGGAATGGCCTGACGTTGCTTGAGATTGGTTTCACCATCAAGATTCGAGGTTTCGATATAACATACTCCATGTTGTTCAGAGCTGTTTAAAATCACCAAATCTGCTGGGAATCTTTCTCCCTTGTTCACCTTTACAACATCTCCAACCTTGATCTCTTTCCATGGTATTTCAATAAATTCTTGTCCTCTTAGAACTTTTCCTAATAAATTATTTACTTTGTTATCTGATTGTCTACGTTTCTAAAAAGAAAGTAAAAAATAAAAAGAAAAGTAAAGTTAATATTAAATATTTGTTTGTTTTGTTTTTAATTTAATTTTTTCTACATACCCAATCTTCAATACCTTCTTTAACAGCAGTAACTGCTAATACAAAAAGTAGAGGTAACCAAGTAGTATATGGATTGACTGGAGAGATACCAGGGATGAGTTGAATGATGGCAATGACAAGGAAATAAAAGTTGGCAACTCTTCTAAATTGTTCGTACAAATTCTTTGGGATGAATGACCACACAGAGTACTTTGTCGTTTTGATACGATTATCACAAAACTTGGAGACGATGTTTTGTGGACCGTCGTTGATATAGATGCTACGACTGTTGCCAACGTATTTCTTCTTTTTGTGTTTTTTGAGAGGCTTGGCCGATTTCTTTGGCTTGCTATTACGCAACGACGAACTCTTTTTGGGACCTGTTGGTGAGGTTCCCTTGGCCTTGCCACCACTAAACGATGGTGACGAGGTTTGTCTTGTGGTGACTCCATTATTGCCAATACCGTCGCTACTATCGCTCAAACTACTCTTGCTGCCACTTCGGCTGCTATTGTGTGATGACATGCGTTGTAATTGTTGTAATTGTGAAGATGATGATGGTGGTGATGATGATGATGTAGTCGTAGTCGTCGTTGTCGTAGATGTTGATGTTGAACTATTATTGTTATTGTTATTTGGTGGTTGACTTATACCATCAGCTGATTTGGCCGATGGCAATGGTACATTATCATTATCCATAATGGTCGGACTCTTTCCAGACTCTGATCCGTTATTACTTTGTTGATCTAAAATCCAACCTCTATTTAATTCTATAGATTATTCAATTGATTGATTGAATGTTAATATCTAAATCTAAATCTAAATCTGCCTATTGTAACTGTAACTGTGTATCATCAAACAATGTATCCTGTCGTCTTCTTCTCTCCTCTACACAAATAAAAATAACAATATCGTATAGTATATTAACTATAATATTGTTGTTGTCTTTGATAGATAGAGATATATAGATATATGTGTATGTGTATGTGTATCTAATATACAAGTACGAGAAATGTGAAAAAGACTTTTAGAGTATGATGGATGGATGAATCAATTCTCTCTACACCTACACTACTACTGAGTTGTTGGTTGGTTGTTGGCTATTGGTGGTGGTGTGAGGTGGGTGTGATGGAGAACGATGAGAAATGATGAATGAAGATGGTGGTGTGTTGGCAAAAAAAAAAAAACTTTTTTTATGAGGGTGCGATGGGCTGTTGGTGCAGGCTTCTTTGTTGTCAGGGTGGTTATGAGATGCAGCTCAGCGCCCAACGACGAAAGAATGCAACAAACAACAAAGTGTGTGAGATAAAATTTTAAAAAAAAAAGGTAAAACCTCCGATAACGTGTGAAATTGGTCTAACAAAAAAAAAAGAAACAAGAAGAAGAAGTTTTTTGAATTTCGAGATATTTAGATAGAGAGAGAGGGAAATGGTACTAATATGGTCGCCTAAGTTTCATTCATTCTTCTTTGAATCTTTAACGGTTTGATATTGCCGATCGAGAATCAAAGATACCCACGAGGGTATACGCACTGCGATTGGGGGATTTTTGTAAAAAAGATCCGTCGACATGGATGTTGGGCAAAACAGATAGATAAAGGGGGCATGGATGGATGGATTGAATATAGCCCCATTAAAAAATGTCATCGCGTTCATATGATAGGTATTGTGTCATATCATCGAGTAAATACGTGTATGAATGAACAAAAGAGGGAAGAAGAGAGAGGAGGAGATGATGGATAACTAACTGTATTGTGTATGATAAAGATTTGAAGCTTACCTTCTGATGAACTGGCAACATCAATATTCGTATTACGATTATTATTGTTGTTGTTGTTGTTTAAGTCAATATCTACTAATGTATCTGTGGTATTGGTTGAATCAATACCAAGTCCTTGAAGAGACGCTGGTGGGTTCATCCCACCGCCTTCTCTATGATCCATTGTGCTATATCTTTGTTTTATAAAGATCTATTCTATTCTATCTATATTGATTATATATATGTATGTATGTATGTATGTATTCTTTCAAATATATGTAATAAAAAGAAAGAAGACTATAGTTGTTGATTCTGTTGGTTTGTTCAAAAACGGTCGAAGGAAGGGAAGGGAGGACGATGGTTTAAATTTTGTATGGTTTCAAATTTTTGTGTTCAAGATAAGATTGCAAAGAATGGAAAGGAGGTAGGTTGTTAAATTTAGGTTGTTTTAAATAAAAGACAGATGGAGAAGAGAGAGAGAGAGCAAGAGAGAAAGAGAGCAAGAGAGAGGAGAGGAAGGAGGCAAAATAAAGATAAGATAAAAGTGAGAGTTAGTTAGTTGTGTGAACACTCTTTCTCTTTTAATATTCTCTCTCTATAATCTTTCATTTTCGAGATCATCATCATGAATGTTCATTGTTTGTTGTGGATGATCAACAATCTCCGTACTATTATCAACCTTCCGTGCGAATGACGAATTGATTGAATGAAACTAGTAATAACCCCCATTTCTAAACAAACAAACAAACAACCCCCACCAACAATTTTCGTCTTTTTTAAACATGTTGGTAATGGTCATGGATGGTGTTTGTTTCTATAATACTAAGATAACAAATGGTATAATGATTATGGATTATTTACCTTTTTAAAAACAAAAACAATAACAACAAACAAACAACAAACAAACAAATTATGGATAAGTGGATAGGGAACGATACCATTATTAAATTTTAATCTATCTATCTATCTTCTATCTTCACTCCTTTTCTTCCTGTTCTACCATTTCCACTCTTTAATTTCCACAATCTGTCAAATCTATTGTAATGCCAACACAAACAACAACAACAACAACAACAACAACAACAAAATACTATTATTATTATTATTATTATTATTATTAACCATACCCTGTATGATTTCATACTATTTCAAAGGTACTACTATTATTTTGATTCTTAATCTATTCTAAAAGAGCTCTATAATTTGGTTGTTGTTGTTTAAACTATGATATGTTTGATTTTTAATATTTAAATCTACTTTTTCAGATATTATTATTATTATTATTATTGTTGTTATTATCCTATCCTTTCTGCTCTTCTCCTCCTTTCCTCTATTCTATTCTATTCTATTGTTGCTAGCAATATTTTCTATGGTACTGTTGTAATTAATAATTTAAAAATTACTTTATAAAGTGGAGTATATTTCCAACTTTGTCAATAAATTCCACCCTTCCTTCCTTCCTTCCTTCTTTCTTTCGTTTACTCTCTCTCTCACGTTCATTTCATTCCTACCCAGGTTTTTAATTAAATTTAATTTAAAACCTCTACCACACTGAATTTAAAGTATAGTGTGTGTGGAGGTGGGGATGGTGAAAACAGTGGGTGAATTGTGTGAGTGAACTGTTGTCATATGATTTGTTGATAACATATCTTTGTTTTCCATCCCATCGAAATCGATTCGATTCTCTCTCTCTCTCTCTCTCTCTCTCTATCGTTTATCCATCCAATCCAATACACATTTATATTTTTCTTTAAAAGATGGATAGTAACTAACTCAAAAACCAAACTAAACTATTATTTTATATTATTATTATTCATTCACGAATTTACCTTTTGTTTTGTTTTGTTAAATAAATAAATATTATTACTATACCTATTAATTAATATTATTAAAAGGATAGATAGTAAAATAAATAAATAAAATGAATAAATAAATAAATAAATAAATAAATAAATAAATAAATAAATATTATGTTGGTTGTTGGGGGTAGAGGGTATAATAGTATTAAAACTAAAATAGTGATTCTGATTTACAAACAAACTATAGTTTTTGAATGAACTTACTATTGTTACTCTGCTACTCTCTCTCTCTCTCTTATTGAATGTATGTGTACAGATTATATGTACGATACTCTATTTGCATTAAAAAAGACAACTAGGTTGTAAATGAAGATTTAATTAATAGATGTGTCTTTGAAAAACGACTTTTTGGGGTTGTCCCTTGAACCCTTAATTGGGCACTACTATCCCAACCTTGTGTCCAGAAGCGAGAGAGACAGACAGACAGAGACAAAGAATATGACAGTTGGCGCGTAATATGTAACCATCGAACACTCGAACTACATGGTTGTTTTTTAATTAAAGTTTCCAAAATAGGAAGGTTTCCCTGAGTATTCAAAAAAACCCAAAAACTATTTCGGCATAAACTCGAGTGCATGTTGTTGGATGATAACATGTTTAATTTCATAGTAGCTACTACTGCACACCATTTCGTTGAAGAACCATGGTTTCTTACTACCACTTCCACTTTTTATTTTATTTTATTACAACGTCATAAATCGATTTATTGATGATTTTTATCAGTGAAAGACTCTTTCTTGAAAGATCCAGACGATACATGAGATCGAATGACATAATGGGATAACCAACCAACTATATTATAATATAATTATTATTATTCAATTATCAATATGATTTACTTTAATTAATAAATATATTTATAAAAAAAAAGAAAGAATGATTTCTTTTCTTCCTTTTTCTTTTTTCTTTTTTTTTTTTTTTTATTATTTTTTTTTCCAAGACTACATGTTTGTTTGTTTGTTTAGATTCCCATTGGAGTAAACCAAATTTTAGAGAATAAACTTGTATCTTTTTCTTTTTCTTTTTCTTCTTGCTTTTGTTGTTGTTGTTGTTGTTTTGGTTTAGATGCTTGTTGATTCATCTGCATCCCAACCTTTGATGATGAATTTAATGTACAATTATTATTATTATTATTATTATTATTTAAAATATTTTGATTATTTGTTAGAATATTACCATTATTATTATTGGAGTTATTGGATTTAAATGGTGATGGTGAGGAAGGATTATGGGTATTTGATCTCTTCTTGTTTAAAGTGTTGTTGGTTGGAGGAGTCATGAACGAATGATTGTTGGCAGCAGTGGTAGGTGTGGATTGATTATTACCCAATAATTCAAATCTTTCCTGACTACTTGGACTAGCTATTCCTATTGGACTATCAAATGAACCAAGTTTCATAGGTGATGATACTCTAATTGGTGATTCAAATAAGTTGGAGTGTAGGTGTGGTTGTTGACGATTATTCAAACCACCAGCAGTAGTATTTAGAATAGTTGGACGTCTTCTATTTCCTACTCCTCCCTTAGTTGCTGATCTCTTTATAGTTGTCATTGGACTATTGACATTAACATTTAATGTTGGATAGTTATTATTTGTGTCACCAAGTGGAATGAATATAGGTGACATTTGCATTGGCATGATTCCACCACTTGACCCAATATCAGTATTGATACTAGTATCGGCCATACTAATATCCATCGACATGGATTGATTAGATGAAGATGTCAAACTTGACGCACATCCACTCTTACTAATACCACGTGATCTAGGTGGAGTAAGTATCTTTAACAATGGAGTTGATGATGGTGGAGGTGGATTAATCATTTTAAATGATTGTGGTGATGACGCTGATGATGTAGCTGGTTTGCTTATTACACCATGTTGGTTAAAATGCGATGACGTTGATTTATAAAGTGACGATGATGTAGATGACGAATACAAAGAGTTGTTTAGGTTGTTGGAAACTGGAATGGAAATGGGTGATGAACTGTGTTGTAATGGAGATGTAGATGGAGCAACTACTGCGGCTACCTTTGGTTTAAATGGTGATACAGTATCTTGATCTTGATCTTGACCATGATCATCATCAATCATCTTTTTCATTGTGAATGGACTTTTAGATTTTGGTGTTTTCATTTGTTGTTGTTGTTGTTTTCTAATTGGTGTCTTTGAAATGGTAATTGTTGACGTTGACGGTGATTGATCAGTCATTATACCAGTAGGTCTAGTAGTAGAAGTCATTTCCTTCATTTCAAATTGATTGTCACCATTTTCATTATCAACACTTTTGTTACTACTGGTAGTTGATAATGATGTTGATGTCTTGTTGGTATTACCATTCTTGTTGGGTTTAGACCCCTGCTGTGGTAGAGTAATAACCATTTTTTTATGGGCAATTGACTTTCTAGTACTGTTGGTACCTTGACCTTGACCCGGGAGGATGGAGGGTCTACCATTACCATTTCCAGAACGAATAGATTGTCTTCCAATAGTTAGTTTACGTGCAGATGTTGACATTCTAGGTGTTGCACCTGCACCACTACGATGGTGAGTATTAGATGGAGTTGATGGGACTGTGGATGTGGACGTCTCTAAAGTTCCATCGGGATTCGAAAATGTTGAATGGTTGACAGGAGGTCTAATTGATTTCCGACCACCGCCTGCAATTGATTGTCTGGCAATCGACTTTCTCGCCGTCGTTGTTCTTTGTGTCTCGTGAATAACACGACATGGTTGATACCCTTTAGTTGGTACCATAAAGAATCGATTCTTTAATTTCATTGAGAAATCTTTTACTCTATTTGTGATTGATGAATTAGTAGCGGTTGTTGTAGCAGTTGTAGTTGTATTATTTGTAGTTGTTGTAGAGGTAGAGGTAGTTGAGGTTGATATTTGTACATTGGGATTATTGGGATTATCAATATTATTATTAATATTTGCTTTGATAGGAGTAATTTTAATTAAATTATCATCAAATGAAGTAGAGTTGGATGGCATATGTGAATCCAATGGATGGGATCTAGTTGGAGTAGATGGAATTGGATTATATTGTTCATTGTTATCATTTTTAATCTTTTTATGATTGTTTTGGTGTTGGTTTTGATGTTGTTGTTGATATTGATTCAATGATCCATCATCCAATCCAAGTGTATAAATAATTTTCTCAAATAGTGATGTTGAAGATGAGGAAGATGAAGTTTCAGACTTAATTTCACTTGCATCTCTTTTCTTTTTACTTGCTGATAATGGTTGTTGTTGTAACTCTTTTTCTAAAATATAAATATATATATATAAATATTAAAGGGGTTGATTATTAGATTAAAGATAGGTAAGACAGGTTCAATTTTTAATTTAATTCTATCTTTACCTTTTTCAAATAATTTTTCAGCATGTTTCATTTGATCTCTGATGGAATAGGAAGTGGCCAACATTAGTATACTATCAATACCACCGATATCTTCAAGTGGAGGACGTAAAAGGAATGGGAGTAATCCCTCTGCACCCTTTTTCTTGAGTAGTATCGATTGAGATGACACTAGAATCGACAGAGATATTCTAAACAATGCAGCAATACCATCAAACATAATTAAATCCCATATACGTAAAATCATTCCCCAATCAGGTAACGTTGTAAAGAAACACATCCACCATGGTGTTACATATAATAATGGATCAATTCCATTGATTTTCTAGAAAGAAGAAACCAAATAAAACAATAATTAATTAATTATTTTGAAAATCATCTAAATTATTAAAAATTTTGATTGATACATACCAAATGATTACCTAATTGATAATTTTCAATTTCCAATACTTTTGCAAATAGTTTACTATCGGATATTAGTTGTGGCATACCTGATATGTAGTAACCCATAGTCTCACGTTCCAACAATGCAACAAGCATCCAAAATGCATCTTCCACCGATAGATACATAACAAACACACCTGCTATATAGGACATACCTTGACAATACCCTACTTTTTTGTTATGATAAGAGTATGCTTGTAATACATTTTGTAAATCTTTTTTGCTAAAAGTAATTAAGAATTGATTAATTAAATAATGGAACTGGAAATAATAATATTATTATTATTATTTTTGAATTTACATACCCTCTTTTTGAAAAGAATCTTTGATGATTTGGATAGGTACGAGGAATATCTAATAATATTTGTTCGGTATGTTCATTTTCACCTTGACCATAAAGTTTGGTAAAGTAGTTGTTTGGATACATGTCTTTGTAGTATTTCATATTCAACATTTTTCTCCAAACGATCGGTCTTGCATTCATAGGTATTCCCTTTGACGTTAAGTGTAGTAATCGATCTGCATTATCTCTGGTCCATTCATTCCAATGTATAACTATATTATTCCATTCTTTTTCTTTTTTCGTTCTCCTATAATTTTACACGCCAAACATAAAACATAAATATAACAATAGATTAGACATTTGATTAAATCAACCAACTAACTAACCGTGTCCTACATATGTGTATACTTACTCTTGTTCATTCATGTCTTGTCTTTCTCCAATTCCACCACCTTGATTCAATGATGGTGTCGATGAGGACGACTGATTCGAATCGGTAGCAACGAATCCATATCGATCCAAAGTGGCACCCTTTTTTGTTGGTGATTCTGGTTCATAATCATCAGGTCCAATCATACTATTATTATTAATGTTATCATCTTCTTCACCATCAATATCATCGTTGTCATCATGATCACTATCACCATGATCATGGTGTAGATCTATAGATGTATCTATAGCCATTATTTATAAATCTATTTTTGTTGTTGTTGTTGTTTGTCTCTCTATCTATTATTGTTTATGATATATATTGATCACCATAACGACTATGTATATCTCTCTTTCTTTCTTTCTTTCTTATCTTTGTATATATATATATATGTGTTGTGTACTGTTTAATGTTGACAACTTGATTATTATTGTGTTGTGGAAAACGGTGTGTTGTGGATCAAAGTTACAACGACATGAAAAATTTAAATTGACGCGGCAAAAACAGACAGATACTTTTAAATTTACAAAAATGGTATTTACTTTATTTATATTTATATATTTACAACACTGGTTATTATTTACGATGTATTAGATTATTGAATATTAATTCTAAATGATTGTGGAGTTAATTCTTGTTGTTTTGGAATGGTGATTAAAAGGATACCATTTTCATGTGTGGCTGTGATTTGAGTGATATCAGTGTCGCTTGGTAACTGGACTTCACGTGTAAATTTACCGTATAATGATTCTTGACTATTATATTTATATGTTGATGATGATGATGATAAAGAAGATGAGGAGTTGGATAAAGATGATGAAGAGTTGTTTGAATTGGATGCTTCTTGAATTAATGGTTCAGATGTAGTTGTTGATGGTGGTGAGCTGATAATATTAATTGGTAATGATGATGACTGTTGTTGTTGTTTGAATGGATCCTTCTTTTCACCAGAGATTGATAATATTTGTTCCTTTTTAATATCAATTGATAGATCCTTCTTTTCAACACCTGCCAATTCAACTCTAATCAAATAGGAATCACTACCATTTAATATATCAACTTTTGGTGAAAATGTTGTAATTGGTTTAATAATATTTGGTTGTTGTTGTTGAGGTTGAGGTTGTTGTTTTGATTGATATTGTTGTTGTGGTTGTTGAGCAACAGGTTTAGCTGGGACTTGTTGTTGTTGAACAACTTGGTATCTTGGCTTAACTTGTTGTTGTTGTTGTGGTTGGTATTGATGATAGTATTGTTGTTGTGGTTGATGTTGTTGTTGATGTTGTTGATGTTGTTGTCCACCACGATGAGAAGGAGGTAAAGAGATACCAAATAATTGTTGTAACAAAGCTTCGGCAGTTTCATCAACCTCTGCTCTTTGATTATTCTTTGGTTTGATGTTATCATAATCGAAATAACCATATCCTACATGATTATTGTTATTATTATTACTAACTGATGGCTTGTTATTATTATTATTGTTAACAGCGGCGGCAGTAGTAGTAGGGGCAGTAGCAGTGTGAGCTTTAGTATCCTTTGACGATGGATAAACGTATGAATAGACGGCGGGTACTCTTGGGGTAAATTCTAAATCCATTTCTTTTATGATTTAATTATTATTATATTAAGATATATAATGTGACGATAGGTGTATGATTGTATGATTGTTTGGTTGCTGCTGCTTTGATAATACGTAATTAATTATAACTGATCTTGATAGAGTTGTAATTAATTAACCTGTTGTTATTATTCTTTTAGTTTGATGAATGAATATAGAGAGTCATCTTTGATGCGTTTAAATAGCAAACTGTGACAACGAAGACAGAGTATTCTACAAACATTCTTTGATTACATCGAAATAATGACGTTACTCCCTTTGAGAATGAATCAATAGTATATAGAAAATGAAGTAGAAACCACCCAAAATTCAACTGAAAACTCGTGTGGAGTTGGAAGAAAAATATTAAAAAAAAAATAATCAATTTGGAATGGATGTGTGGGAGAATTGATTGTGATCATAATAATAATAATGCATTGTCGTATTATTGTGTTGAACCATTGGGGAGGAGGTGATGGATGTTCATATACTGAAGTGATCAGTGTTTGAAAATGAATGAATGAATGAATGAATGAATGAATGAATGAATTTGAATGGATGGTTATACTCAAGAACCATTTATTCAAGTTTAAACTATTGTTGTGAAAGAAAGAAGAAGAGAGTTAAATATGATGACCCCTATTATCTTGTCCTGTCCTACCAAGTCCGTTTCTTTATCCTGGGAATAATTATTAATTAATAATAATAATAATAATAATAATAATAAATCATAATAAATGTGATCCAATCAATTGAATCAATCTATCATTATTAATCAATATTATTTTATTTTATTTATTTAATTTCAAGACAACCCAAAACAAAACTAAAACTAAAACTATTTTAATATTTTTTTTTTAATTTTTAATAGAAATATTTTATTTAGTCAATGGAAACAGTAAGACAAATTAAAGATAAAATCACAGGACATTATATTCCAACCAAAGTGGATTACTTTAGTTGTAAGGAAGCTGGATACATTTTAGTGGAAGTGCCAGGTGTAGAAAATATCGAACTAAAAATACATAATAGAAGTTTAATAGTGACTGGTGAAAAGAAACCTCTCATCCCTCTAAACTCTACCGTCTATCATATCAAAAAGACCAAAGATCAAGAGATTCAGTATGGTCCATTTATGCGTCAATTCTTATTACCACAGAATCTTCATAGAGCTGGTATCACAGCTCATCTAGATAAAGGTATTCTCAAAATCACACTTCCCAAACAAGAACTTAGTTCATTTACTTTAAATATTGGTCCTCAAGCAATTCAAATGGATCAATTATTGTAAAGTAACTTAATTAAATAAAGTTGTAAATAAATAAATAAAGTTGTACATATAAATATGTTTGTTTTAAATTATATTAAATTAATAATTATTCGTTTATTAAATGGGGAGGAGAGGGGGGATGGGAGGAGAGGAGGCACCGAGTATAAATGATGTTGATTTGATTTAATATCAAACTATACATTGGGCTCGGAGAAATGAAATGTTATTTTTAAAAAAAAAATAATAATGGTCATCATTATTTATCAATATTATTATTATATGTTGTGAAATTGGTATATATAGATCGAGAATTGGTTAAATTTCTTATTATTATTAAATTATTTGATTTACTATTATTATTACAAATTTGATTGAATTAAACAATTACCAATATGTTGAATTCTAGAAATTGATCTTTCCATTCTATTTATAGTTGTATTGTATCTTTCACGATGATGAGTCATTAATATTCTATTATGTAATTGTTCAAATATTTCCAATGCTAAATGTTCGAATGATTCTGGACATGCATTGATAAATTCTTCTCTTGTCCACATTAATAGATCAGATCCATTTTGACACTCAATATTTGGTAATTCGATATTATATTGTAAATTTGATTTCATTTCATTTAAAAATTGTTTTGTATGATTTGGTTTCCATTGTCTTGGATCTAAATAAAATTAAATCAAAATTGTTAATTATTTTAATTTTTAATCAAAAAAAAGTAGATCAAATTATTATTTTAAAATTATTTGTGATTGATTACATACTGAGATCATTATAATTTAATTGATCAAATGATATTTCATTTTGGAATCCCATTTGACTTGAAATTGAAAGGATATTTGATCTTGCTAATTTATGCATTCTTTCTTTTTTTTTTTTTTGAAAAGGTTTAAATTTGATTTGGATATGGATTTTGATTTGGATTTGGTATTTATGGAAATAGTTGTTTAAAAGGTGGAGCGGAGTAATATTATTAATATTAAGATTATTATAAAATATTTTTGAATGATTGTGAATGAATCTTTGTAATTGTTTCTTTTTATAGTAGGTAGGTAGGTAGAATAAAAAAAGTGATCTTGTTGGGGTGTGATAGGATTAAAACGTCTTGGTTGTTGGTGGTAGAGGAGGTGGGTGAAGATTGGTGATTAATGTTCACAGGTTGTTTAATTATCAATTTATTGGTTGGACGGTGAAGTTAAATATATAATATAAGTTTAAAAGAGTGTGTAGCAAAGCAAAGGACAAGGACGTTAATTTAAAAACAAAAAAGACGGGTGTCTGTGCTAATATATATTTAATTTAATTGTGTGATGATGGAGGGAGAATTTTAAAATATAATTTGTGTGATGGGAGGATTGGTTGGGATTGGACAGTCTGTCGGTCGGCTGGTAGGGATCACACAAATGAATGAGCGGAATGAATGGCTGGCTGGTGTTTAGAGTTTGAAAGTTGAAATTTAAAAACAAAAAGTTAAACAACTATTGTTATTGTTGTTGATGTTATTTAATTTTATGTGTTGTTAGCAGCTCGAGGATAGGAGGATATATTGTGTTGAAATATTTATAAAAATTTAAAATATTTGTAGATAAGAGTATGTGTATCAATAGAGTTAGTGATGATGACCTACTGGTTGCTGTCTTTTTTTATATAGAATTTTGTATGCCTCTCCCATTTATGGTTAGCAAGGGTATCATGTCAACACCCTCACTCACTCACTCCTCCTCGTCGTTGTTGTTATTATCAACGACTTTGGTGTCTAAAATTACAATATCTTCATGGAACCACCCCACCACCAAACCAAACCAAACCAAACCAACTACACACACACACACAGACACCCACTGTTTCAATTGTGTCATCGGCACAAACACCACCCCACACATACACACACTTATTTTTAAACTCGGTGGTTAGCTCTCCATGCTAGTTAATAATAATATTATTATTAATATTATTGGAATGTACGACGGTATAGTCCAAGTCGAGCTCAAAGGGAGGTGAAGCGAATAGAATGAGTAGTAGTGGTGGTGGGTATGAATTGGTACATCATCTTGTATCTCGAGACTTGACTAGACTTGACTAGACTAGACTATAATAGACCTGTTTAATTCCTACGTACGCACGAGAAAGAGTGCCCGTGTGTCATGTATTGTTCTACTCTTCATCCACACGAATTAGTGGCCACAACCCACCGACCGACTGACCAAAGTATTGGGGTACTCTTAAGAGTATACTTTTTCTCTTCAATCAATAGAGTAGACAGGCATTGGGTTGGTTGTTGCGGGGTGGATGGGGAAAAAGAGTAAAAAGTTATTTTTAAATTCAATTGAGATATCTCTTTCCTATTTTATAGATCCTATTTCGTCTGCCAGTGTGTGTGTGTGTCGGTATTATTAATATTGTATAATATATCACCCCACACCACCATAAATGACTCGTCAATTAAATAAGGTGAGACAAAGGACTATCTTTTTTGATTCCATTTCCACTTTTTCAATTAATTAATTAATATACGTCGCTTCTCTGTCTCGGTCTCCCCGTTTAAAGTAGTAACAATCTCGAATTGTTTATACTATATTCGTCAAGGTTTGAGATTCAATTACTTAAGTATATTTTAGAGAGATTGTATGGTATCAACATGATGTCATGCCAACACACACAACATTGACATTCCAAACTGGCATTATTGACAATATTTTGAATCTTTTTGATCAAAACCAAATTATTATTACTGTTATTATTATTATTTACAAATATGATTATTTATAGGTATATTATATACAGATTTGGATTTGTTTATTTTTGTTGGTGTGTGTTGAGTTGGTTTAGTTGGTTTAGTTTGGTTGGTTAAAATTTATGATAATGATTATATTATTATTATTATTATTATTATTTACAAATCAAGATATCTTGTTATTGTCATTGTGTCACTAATGTGTTATTATATTTCTATTTCTATTTCTATTTCTATTTCTATTTCTATTTATATTACATATATGTTTTGTTATTTTCCAATTAAAGGTGGAGGTTTAAATAAAGTATTCCAAACCATATCTACAACACCTCCACCACCTGTACCACCACCTGCTCCAACACCACCACCACCTGTACCATCATTACCTCCAGCTATAGAAATAGAGTATGGGAATGGGTTGACAGTTGATGAAATCGGTGGGATATAGGATCGGTCTTGATTGACTATTGAAATGATTTTTAAATGTGTTTCTGTGAGTTGTTCCAATAGAACATTAGTATCCATCGAAGGTACCAATTGAAATGATATGATCCATTGCTCCCAACACACATTTTCATTGCTCGAAAAGAATGTTGTCTTTTGTCGTTTCTCAAAGAATGATATCGACATTTGAGCAGACTTTGCCTTTCTCTTGATGATCGATGACAGCAATTCTTCAGACTTGTCTTCAACGTGTTTCAAAGTAGGTGCATCGTCTATACGAACAAATGAAAACTCTGTACAATCCAACGTCACATCTTTAGGTTTAATATATCCCAAACATCTCTGATACAATATACTATGCATTAAACATTGTGCTACTTCTTTTAATTGTGAATATTGTAAATGCTAAATATAAATATATAAACATAAATAAACATAAATATATATATAACTATATAGTTAGTTATTGAATAGAATATATATCTTTCTTCCTCTTCTTCTTCTTTTCTCTATTCTTACAATTTCTTTTAATATATATTGTTGAGCATTCATTCACCACGATCTTTTTAAAGAATCTTCTTATATCTATCTATGTCTATTCTATTCTATTCTATTCTATATATATATCTATCTTGATGATAACTTATTACTTTCTACTTGTAATTAATTTATTTGTATTTTTGAAAATGACACAGCTGATATGATTTTTCAAGGAGTCAATTATAATTCAATAATTGAAATGAATATGTTTAGTTTAGTTTATTTCTTTTAAATTAGTTTGGGGGGTGTTTGACAGAGGATGAAAAGAAAGGGATCCCTCTTTTTCGCATAACTCTGAACAAACGGGTTTAAATTAAATTGATTCCGGCAGAAGTAATTTAGTTTGGTTTGTAATGATGTTTTATTCGAAGTAAGAGAATGTTTATGCGTTCATTACGAACGATTGCAACTTCTCTTGAAGAGTATTTTAAAGATAACTAATTTTTTCAGGGTTCCCACAAACATTGGTTGTAGGCTGAATATTTGTTACTCAATTTATGGTACCTCCACATGATGGTGAGTGAGTGCTTCAGTCACCCACATGATCATAATGAATACCACCTCTGTTGAAGATTTATGAATGGACAATAGAAAAACTGAAAAAAACCAAGACACCATTTTTGGAACTTGTGGATTTATGAGTACAATATCATCATGAAGTAATTTGTGTATATATACCTTGTCAATGATAAATTAAACAAATCAACGAGAATTTGTGTGGTGTATAGGTCAACACAGTTAGGTAGCTGGTTATCTGTCTTGATTGTTGGACAAATGTCTTTTAAATTCTGGATCAAATGATTTTTAAAGTATCAAAGTGATAGTAGGACACCTAACCTTGTCCATAATTATGATATAGGCTTAAATACTAGTGGGTGTGGTTGGTTGATCCAAGCAAGAAATATTTCCAACCCGATCTTTGATATGTTTCGTTGACAACGAGAAAATGGAGTTGGTAAAAAAGAAAATATCTTGGTGACGACCTAGGTATTTTTATGTCAAGTGAAGATACCATAAATTGAGCAACAAATATTCAGCCTACAACAGATGTTTGTGAGAACCCTGAAAAAATTAGTTATCTTTAAAATACTCTTCAAGAGAAGTTGCAATCGTTCGTAATGAACGCATAAACATTCTCTTACTTCGAATCAGCCATTCTCCTTTACAACCCCAAATTAATTCTCGCTTTGTGAAAATCAATTTAAACCCGTTTGTGTAGAGTTATGCAGAAAAAGAGGGAGTCCTTTCTTTTCTTGTACTCTGTCAAACACCCCCCAATCTAATTTAAAAGAAATATAAATACATACACATCAAAACTAATATTCGATGATCAAAGTACAAAAGTTAAAAAATATCTAAACATGATCGTGATCTTGGTCTTTTTCTTTCAAAGATTTGGATCATTCATTGTGTATCTAGCTAACCACAACCACAACCACATAATATTCTCGATCGACCGATGAGTGGTTGTGATCAACACACTCCATTAAATGTAGTAGTAGGTAGTATACGATATATATATATATCTATAACCATACATATACAACTACAAATAGAATATAGAAGAGGTTGTATAAGTTATAACTATCAGACTATCCCATCCCTGTTAATTGGGAGTTTGGTTTGTTGGTTGTTGGGGTTATAATAAAAAGAGGATCGTGATGATGATGGAAGAGCCATCATCAGCTGACCAAGAAGATGGTGGTGTTGGTGGTTACACATCATCAATGATCACAAAGATCAAGAATCATAATAACAGTAATAACGGTAATAATAAGTACAATACTATTAGTCACAACAGTATCAATCCAATACATCGAACTAGACAATCACTTGTTATTGTTGGAGGTGGTAGTCCTCCCAAACACTTTAATCGTCCTATTCCCCGTGGCGATGATGATAACTACATCACTAACAACTCCACCACCACCACCACAATGTCAAACAATGAAAAAAGAAAGTCACTACCAGCATCATTCTTTAAACAACATCTAAACAAGGATAAAGATAAAGATACAACACCTTCTTCAGAATCTCCCAACAAATCATCAAATAATTTATCATTTATGTTTAAGAAATTAAATAATAATAATAATAACAAAGATATCAATATTAATAACAATAATAATAATCAAAATAATGTAACAATACCACAACAACAACAGCAACAACAACTAACACAATTACCAAACTTGACAAATAATGAACCATTAGAGAGATTAAGAGAATCAAATAGAAAGGGTCTAGGTGATGTATTGTCACTTGTCAAACCATCACCCTTTGCATTAATCATCGATGCCAAGACTACTTCACTATTGAATCTAATTACCGATGTAGTATTTTTAAAGGTTTGTAATACAAGTTCGTTTGGATTGAATATTGAAAGATGATTATTAATATTTATTGATTTGGTTTATAATATTATTTAGACAAATGGAGCAGATAAAATATATAAATTAAATAATGGTAGATTGGATACTGATTGTCAATCGATAGTTTATTTATTAAGACCAACCTTTGAAAATATAAATATAGTTATTGGCCATGTGAACCAACACCGATTGGATGGATTAAAAAAGGAATATACAATCATCTATATACCTAGAATTAATTTAAAATGTGAACGATTGTTGGAAGAACACTTGGGGTGTACTATTACATCACTAGAGTATCCATTGGATTTAGTGGTACTTGATAATGACCTATTATCACTTGAACTACCAACACTATATTCAGACTTGTACCTAGACCATGATAAATCTCAACTTTCAATTATAACCAAATCAATTCAAAAATTACAATTACTCTATGGTGGTGGTGGTGGTAGAATCCCTCATATCAAAGGAAAAGGACATTACTCTAAATTAGTTTTTGATTCATTATTAAGATCAAATCAACACTTAACTACAGTTTCAAAAGAGATTGATACTTTAATGCTTATTGATAGACAAGTCGATTTAATTACACCACTTTGTACACCATTAACATTTGAAGGTTTAATAGATGACTTCTTTTCAATTAATAATAGTATGTTAAATTAAATATTAAATATTAAATATAAATATACAACATTATTTAAAGATTATTTTATTTATACTAATATTTGTACGTTGATTTAAAGATATTGTACAATTAGATGAACATGTATTGGAAAATACATCCAAAAAACAACAACAACAAGTTGTTAAAAAACCAGGACAGCAAAAAGTATCATATCCATTACATTCTGGTGATAAGATATACAGTCAATTAAGAGATAGAAACTTTTCATCGTTGGTTGGTATGAATGGTATTTTAAATATGATTACAAAGAATTTAGATGATCCTCAATCAACGTTGGATGGTTCAGAAAGTTTAACAACCATTAAAAATATCATTCGTAAAGTAAATGCACAGCGACTCGAGGAAAACTCACTCTCTATTCATATCGCACTCTCTATTCAAATTCAAACGATTACATCTGATAAATATTTCTCTAATATTTTAGTAAATGAACAAAGTACGTATACAACAACATACCATACATAAATATATATGAAATATATAATATTTAATATTTAATATTATTATTTTATTTATTTTAGGATTATTACATAATCAAGATATTCATCTAGTTGAAGAATATATTGAAGAATGTATTATGAGAAAGGAGTTGTTATGGAGAGTATTGAAATTAATGTCATTGTATAGTTTGGTTAAAGGAAGTATCAATACGAGATTGTATAATAGATTAAAAATGCGTATTGTTCAAATATACGGTTGTGAACATCTCATTACACTAAATAATTTGGAAAAGGTTGGATTGTTAAAAGAAGCGACTACTAGTAGTAGTAGTAGTATGGATAGTAGTCCAATGTCGTCTACTGATAATGGTAATAATAATCAATCATCAACAATATTTAATTGGATAAATGAAGAGTTGGAATTGGTAAAAGAAGATATAGATGAATTGGAACCAAAAGATATCGGATTTGTTCATAGTGGATATGCACCATTATCCTGTCGTCTCATACAACACGCATTCTCTAGGAAATTGGATGGATGGAAAGGAATAGAATCAATCTTGAAAGCGTTACCTGGTGGTCCAACATTTGAAGAGTCATATCCTTCTCCATCGCTGCCTCAACAACAGATAAATACAAATAGTACAACAACAACAACAACGACAACACCAAAAACGATAATATATTTTATTGGAGGAGTGACAAGAACGGAAATATCAGCTATTCGATTCTTGGGACATAAAATGAAAAGAGATTTCTTGATTATCACTACCAAGATTATTAGTAATGGCAATGCCTCATCTTCACTCTTTACAAATTTAATAGAGAATTTCAACAACAGAGAGAACCCATGAATAATAATAATAATAATAATAATAATAGAACAATAGAAACAATAGAATCATCCAATAAACCATATTCCTCTTCCTAGTAGTAGTAGTAGCACAATCTTGCGCAACTCTTAATCACTCTTCATTCGTGGGAAATTGGATGGAATCGAATGAATAGAACAAATCAAGAAAGGATGAGCTGGATTTAATTAATTAATTAATTAATTACTTTTGACCGTGGTGGGTGCTTTACTCCAAAATTTGAAGAATCGTATCCATTTTTAAATCCACCTCTATAACATATTTAAAAATAGTTCAACAACGATAATGATTGGAGCGACAACATCAAATATTTATTCTTCGCAAAGGATTGGAGTGGGGGGGTGATAAGAACGGAAATCCCATCCATTTGATTCTTGGGGAGGACATATATAAAAATGAATCTAGATTTCTTTTCCATCAGCTATGACGGGAATGCGTCATCATTACAATATTAATCGAGAATTGAATTTCAACCATCATAGCCATTCAACAACCTACCCTCTCTCTCTCTAATCATCTAATTTAATAATAAATTTAAATTTAATTCGTCTATACTCGCATAGACAGACTCACACATACATCTAGAAATAGATTGAGATAGAGAGAGTAATATCTGTTCAGTTCACATCATGATGATGCAGATGATGATGATGATGATCATCACACCCCACTTCACTTGAACCATTCCGGTTCCGATCGATGATGTATGGTATGTATAAGAAAAAGAAAGAATAGAATAGTGGTGGTCAATCCAACCCATCAACTCGCCTGGCAATTGTACACTTTTTTCTTGTACATTTTCACCACATTTATTCATCAATTTCCATTAACCACACTCATCCATCCATCGATCACTACCACCACTCTACTCTTTCTTGTTGTCCATGGATGGGAGATGATGAAAAACAATTTATATAATATTATAATTTAAAACTTGTTTTTGTTGATGTGATAAAGATATCAAGCGATAGAGATGGTATTTATAGTCTAATCCAATCAAATCCAATCCAATCAAACCAATCAATCGATAAGGGACAGAACCAACTTTTGACACCAATAGTGATCTCATCTCTCTGTCCATGATCATCCAGATCTAGCTTGTGCTCTCATTGTTTGTTTGAAGGAATGAATAATAATAATAATAATAAAAAGGTTGGCAACTGCAATATGTGACCCCCTCCCTATTATAATATGCTGATGTTCTCTCTGGGTACCGATATTTTCAATCTTTGATTGGGGTTTCCAAATCAATCAAACTCTACAGTTGTGCTTCCAACTTTAATAATAATAATAATATTCATTTATGTAGAATTTATAATTTATATTTGTTATTCTGTTGAGGACGTCACAAGGTTTAAATCAACATTCACACATATGATGTATTTTGTAATCTTTAATTTCATTCATATTAAATAAATAATAGTAGTTTAGATTTGTAAATTGTACAGAAATCACTAAAAAAAAAAGAGAAGAAAGAAAAAGAGAACAAGAATATATTTATATAAATATTGCTAAATAAAAAGGTAACCTTTAAATTAAACAGTTCGTCCCATTATCTAATCTCTCTGGAAAATCCGGAAATTCAATTTCGTTCGTTTCCAATCCTTTTTCTATTTCCTTTTTCCTTTTTGTCAACTACACTTAAAATAACAGTAGATATCTGTGGTGTTGTACATTGATTGGACAGATGGACATTGATCTATCAGTCGGCAAGAGTAATCAGTAATTTTTAAACCCTAACCAAAAAAGAACCTACCAGATTGTTTTACAACAACAACAACAACAACACTTTTTCACCATTTCACATAACACATTCAATACTGAGTACTCATTACTTTGAAATCAGTACGTACTTGGTACTCAGTACTCAATCTCTGTCTCGCTTGTGTGTCTATCTGTCTACAATCAACAGATAGATAGATTGATAGATAATCTACCAGAGGGAAATTAATTTGTTTACTTGACAATTTATTTATAGATTAATCCGACACACACACATGCATAGACGCCAGGGACGGCATTATTAATAACACCAATTAATTTAAGAACTTCAAGTAATCAACAAGAACTCCCTCCGCTTTATTGTTTTTATAAATATCCTTCCACCCCCTTAACTTTCGCCCCCTTTTTTAAAAACATGGGAACCTATTTTAAGTAGAATGGCTAATTTTACACTCTGGCAACACACGAAAGACGTACGGATAATTAATGGGGGATGTTTAAAGGTAATTACCTGTTTTGAGTGGAGGGATTATTCCATCCATCCATCCATCCATCCCTTTCACCAACATAAAAAGTCAATCCATCATCATTCAATACACTATACAATATCTATCTTATCTATCAAGTCAAGAGATAATAATAATAACTACAACTACAACAACAACAATAGCAATTATTCTCTTCATATATTCAACGAAATATTCAATATTGAAAGAAGAATTACTTTTTACTTTAAATTTTATTCATTCTTTTTACTTATTACTTCTTTACTTCAAATATAAATACTTTATCCTGTTTTGATCATCTGTTGTTACAGTTGGGTGTGTTCCAATAACAAAAAAGTAATATTATTATTTTAAAATTCAAGCTAAAATCCAATCCATCCCCTTTAAACAACTAAACTACAAAACCACCCCACCATCCCAACCATCAGATTCTCAACATCCAACTAAAATATACTAGTACTACAAATGCTATCTATATCTGAACACCAGATCATTCATTCATTCCTCACTGACTTTTTAAAAACATATTATAATGATTAACATAAAGGTGTGAAGAGAGGAAGGGATGAGGGGGGTGATGGTTATACCAACTCAACTCTAATTTATTCTTGATCAAAGAATGAATAATATAATAGCTCACTCATGATTTACCTGTTCAAACAAAATCTTCTTCTTCTTCTTCTTCAAAATTTTAGTACTGTACAGTATACATCATCATCGTCATCAACATCATCAATCATCATCATCATTAGATTCGATTTGGAACAACAGACGATGAAAATGGTGTTAAATCATTGGGATTTGTTTGGGTGTATATGCCTAGCTGTCTGTTTACCCATCCATCCCCATACATCATTTACCACCACTACTACTACTACTTACTACACACAACACAGTGTTGTATAATAATTTTATTATATTATATTTATACATATAATATTTAGGGGTTGGTTGTGTGTTTTCACAAACATTTTTCCTACACTCGCCATCTAATATCATATCTTTCCAAACCATCAACACATTCACACGCTCATGAATAACAGAGAAAATCATAAACAGTGTGTGTATGTGTATGTGTGTGTGTAAAGGAAGATGTCAGACAGACAGGCTGGTATACATTGGCAATACCACCACACTCCTAATTATTTACAGTGTAGGTAGTAATCAACAATTCCTTCCTACTCTCACTCTCACTCACTCTGAGTTGTTTGGATTTTTTTTGGTTGGTTGGTTGGTAGAGAACATACTACTACCTTAGAGGGATAGAAAGGGAGAGAGTCGTAATTTAATGTCTTTTTGGAACCCTTGGGTAGAATAATTTATATATTTTGCTTGCTTGCTTTGCTTTGTGTTTGTACTACTACTCCAACGAACCATTTTATTAAAACAAGTAATAATAACAATAATAACAATAATAACAACAATATTTTAAACATTATAAATCAAAATAATAAATAGCCAGAATAGTTACAATCTCGCTACTACTCCTCACTCACTCACTCATCCTCATCAACAACAACATAAAAAATATTTTATTTTATATATATTGTTGTATTGTTGTTACTGTTATTGTTGTTGTTGTTTGGTTGATGATGAAATAGATAGATAAATTATTATTATTTTATTTCCATCTTGTAGTTTTTCCATCCACCCCCTCTCTTTTCAATAATAATATTATCCAAAATCCATAAATTATTGAATTAAATTATTAAACTCTCTGTTATTATTATTGTTTATTATTTATTATTTAGATTTATAGAGACAAAGAGAGAGAGAGAGACAGCAGTAGACAGTAGACAGACAGACAGATATCGAGATTGATCAAACAGGACAAAAAATATTTATTATTTTCAATTTCAATAGCCAAGTCAGAAGAATAATTATAATTATTATTTATTATTATACAGGTAAATTCAAAGATACAAATATATATATATATGTCACTCTCAACTCAACAATAATAACAATAACAATAACAGTAATACCAAGATCAACAAATATGGAAATCGATAGATTGTTTTTTTTTTTTAATAATCAACACAAACTGGATTATCCAACCAACCAACCTACCTACCACAACCATCCATCCTTCCTATCTATTGATTGATTGATTTATTATTCACACACACATAGACCAATTTAAATTTAATTGATTTCAACCAACCTATCTATCTATCTATCAATCTAATAATCTATCTATCCAATTAATCATCATCACTCATCAACCTCATCAACCTCATCAACATCCTCCTTCCTCATTTGATGAAATACTATTTAAATACATTTATGATGATGATGATGATAATTATCTAACACATTCCATATTTTAAAAAAATATTATGATTTAATTCATTTTAAATTATTTATTTAATCCATCCCCATCCCCATTATATTCCATTATTATATTCTAGAATATAGATTATTTTATATTACAGAGAGATTGTTTGTTGTATTTTTTAACAAACAAAAAATCAATCCATGATTACTACAATGCAAATTACATCCAATAAAAATGATTTAATTGGATTAAAGTCACCGACCTCTATATCAGCCACTTTATCGTCGCCAACCAAATCATCGAAATCACCCAATGGAAACCATCTGATTCTCCTTTCACCAGTATTCAATCAAAAGAGTTCAAAAGGTCAATTATCTGAAATATTAAGAAATTCTTATCTTAGGTAAAAAATTAATACAAAAATAGACAATTTGAATAATCCAACACAAAAGAATACTAATAGTAGTTATTTTCTTTCTTTATTATTATTTTTAGACAATTATTTTATGATTTCCTAGGATTACAATTTTGTGTTGAAAATCTATTATGTTGGGATTCAATCGAAAGATATAAAGCTAGAAATGGTACACCTTCAGAAATGTATAAATTGGCTGATGATATTTATAAAAAGGTATATATCAATTTATAATTATAAATCTAGAGTATATTTATACTAATTAATATCCCTCCCTATCCTATCATAGTTTATAAAAGATAATAGCATGTATGAAATTAATATTTATAGTAGACAAAAAGAAATATTAAAAGAGAAATTGAGAAATACATTTGTTTTGCCAAGTTTTATTTATGAATTAATTAAAAAGAATAATAATAATAATAATAATGGTGGTGGAAATAGTAGTAATGAAAGTTCAAGTAGTCCAAATACATCATCTACAGGATTGTTGATTGGTAATAGTCATCATAGTCACCATCATCATCATCACCACCACCATATTAGTTGTGGTCATATTACCAACCATCATGTGATTAAAGGTGGTGACACATTTCCAAAGAGAAAGTCATCCAAGATGAAAATATGGAGTGAAGTGATACTACCAGCACTCAAGAATGGTAATGCCAATGCACTCATCACAGCTGGTATGTTGGGTAGTTCTGCTTCTTCAACAGCTGCAACAACTCAACAACCAAACTCAAACTCAAACAACACACAACAACAACAACAAAGTCACACCATTTCACCAAAAAGTAATAATAACAATGTAATGAGTCCAAAGATGAATAGAAAGAGTAGTGGATTCATTAATACTAGTAGTATACAAACACACCAAAATCAACATCACAGTACTCACAATCTCTTATTTACATCACAAAGTTGTCCAAATGGAATTACTCCCCACACCTCTCCCAACTCACCCAATAATAATAATCATAATAATAACAATACCACTTGTAATTGCCAACACCTTAATATTATTTCATCTTCATCTTCATCCTCTTTATCATCATCATCATATAGTGCTTTGACAGAGTCATCATTGACTTCATCTAAATCCGATATACTATCTTCATCATTCAACGGGAAATCTAATAGTATTGGAAACCTTGGTAGTATTAGTGGTGGATCAGGATCAGGTGGAGCAGGATCATTGGCCAAACGATCAAGTAGTAGTATTACCTTTTTCGACTCTTATACTAGTCTCAACGGCAACTCTGCAGGATCATCATCCACGACGATTACAGCAGCCGGTATATGTTCAGAGAATCTAGAAGATATAGTTGTCATCGATGACAACATTGACGAAATTAAATTCGCAAGTTTAAGTGCATCTACTCTATTTAACGATATTCAAGAGGAGTTGGAACAAATGATGATTGAAAATTCGTTGGGTGAATTCATGAAATCAAAGTCCTATCTCGATCGAGTAGTTGTACCCCAACCAATATCGACCACCACCTCGATGACTCCATTAAATACCACAACTACAACTACAACAACAACAACAACTACATCGACTACTACAACTATTAATACATCATCATTATCAACACCACCAGCTCTTTTATCAAATTCAAAATGAATCACGGCTCGTAAAAGCTCAACTTAATTGTACAAGTTTGAGATTTGAAGCGGTAAGACCTACTCTCCCCTCCCCTCCCATTTTTTAGTAAATATTATTATATCCATTAATAATATACAACCCAAACCCCTCCCACCCTACCTGTTCCAACTTTCTTTACTTTTAAAACTTTATTCATAAAAATAATAATAATAAAAAGTAATGATCAATGGTACATTTGTACATACCTATACCTAAATATAAATTTTTATATTTCCTAGTACTCTCTCTTTAAAGTTAAAATTTATTTATTATTTTAAAATTTGAAGTTCATTCCGCATCTCACCACCTTGAAAACTGATGGATGATGAATCTCGTGTGTTTTTGAATAGTTATTTTAATTATCTTATTTTATTGAAATACGTACAGTTATACTTATATATATAGATCTTTATAAAAGAGATAGATAGAGATAGACTAAAGAATGGAGGGGTATGTATATTATATAGAAAGAGAGAGAATGTGATAAAGAAAGATGATCATGATTATTAACAACTATCAATTCATTCGTTTCAATCATCATCATTCGCTATGATGAACCAATCAATCAATCAAACAAACAAACAAACAAACAAACAAACAAACAAACAAACAAACAAACAAACAAACAAACAAACAAACAAACAAACAAACAAACAAACAAACAAACAAACGATCATTCATTATGATGATAATCTATATATTTTAGAGGAAGAATGGAAATTATCAATTGGTTGAATGATACACTTCAACTCAATTATACAAAGATTGAACAGACGGCTACGGGAGCAGCTCACTGTCAGATTATGGATTTACTCTTCCCAGGAAAGATCAATCTTGCCAAAGTTAACTTTAACGCTAAATACGATTACGAATATGTAAAGAACTTTGGTTATCTTCAGGAGATTTTTGCAAAGATTGCAAAGATTGAAAAGGTAAGAAATGAGACGAGATGATTCATTCGATATGTATTGTAACTAATCAAGACTGTTTTGTTGTTGTTGTTGTTGTTGGTTATTAGTATCATATGGATGTTGACAAGATGGTTACTGGAAGACCACAAGCTAATCTTGAATTTTGTCAATGGATGAAAAAGTACTTTGATTCAATGAATAATGGAGAACCATACAATGCTCTTGAAAGAAGAGTACAAAGTAGATGTGCATATGAAGGTGACAAGGCATTGATTGCTGCATTGGGTCCAAATGCTCCTAAACCACCACCAGCTGCACCAAAGACTGCTGCTGGTGGTGCTGGTGCCAAACCATCTGCATCTGCACTTTCCAAACCATCTGCAACTAAACCAGTTGCTGCCGCCGCCGCTACAGTAACCAAACCAGTTGCTACCACTACTGTCAAGAAACCAGCTGCAACTGTATCTAAACCAGTTGCCACAACTACAACCACCACAGCTGCCCGTCCATCTGTATCTAAACCCCCTGCTACATCAACCGTCACTAGACCATCTATCACTCCAGCCGCCAAACCACAACCAACTGTTTTTAAACCAACTACTGCTGCTGCCAAACGTATGTAACATTATTATATCTCACTCACTAATAGATTAATATAATATATTAATTGGATTTGAATTTAGCAAAACCATCAGCTCCATCACCTGTACCAGCAGCAGCTTCTACAACTACGACACAAGTGATTGAACAAATAAAAACTGTAACAATAGTAGATCCAGAACTTGTAAAGGAATTGGAACAAACCAAAGAAGACAATCAAAGATTATTGGAAGAAAATACCAAAGCTAAAATACAAGTAGAAGAGGTCGAAAGAGACCGAGACTTTTTCTATGAAAAGTTGAGAGACGTTGAAATATTCTGTCAAGACAATATCAAACTCGAAGGCACTGCTGAAGAGGCTATTGCTCAAATCTTGGCCATTCTCTACAAAAATGCTGAAAATGATGGTGAAGAAGAAGAATTATTAGAAGAGGAACCAGCTGTACAAGTTGAAATTGTTGATGGTGATGGAGATGATGAACAACAAGAAGAACAACAAGAAGAACAAGAAGAAGAATTAATCCAAGAAGATGAACAAGAAGAAGAAAATATTCAAGAAGATGATGAAGATGCAATCATGAACAAACTTCAACAAGAAGATGAAATAATTGACGACGATTTAGTAATTGATGATGAAGTACTCGAAGAAATGGATGAATTCTAAAAACATAGACATCGTCAAAAAATTAATTAATTAATATTTATAATCCATCCAATCATCTTGGATTAAAATAATTATTTTACATATATATAATAATAATAAATAATAAAAAAAAGAAGAAATATTTATTTATTTTTTCGTCTCTCTGCAACAATACAATAAATCTAAAAAAAAACTAAAGTAAAGTACTACTTTTCAAAAAGATTAAAAAATGGAGGGAAAAAATTCAATTTTTTAAAATCAAAATACATCAACTTCTTGTTTAATTACTTTTTACTTTTTTAAGAAGAAGAAGTAATATCTTTTTATTTATTTATATACTTTTATATATAAGAAGAAGAAAGAATTATAGTTTAAATTATGTTTACTACAAGTGTAAATAGTAATCATAGTAATGATAGTAGTGGGAATGGAACGACTACGACTTCGTTGTTGTCATCAACGACTACAGTGACAGGGTCATCGTTGAGTAGCGGTATACTTGATGATGGAGACAATGAACAAATGTTACAACAACAATTCGAGTATATTGAAAAGCTTGAAGGAGATGTTGGACGATTACAAAAGGACAATGAATCATTAAATGACAAGTCTGACAAACACGCCGACACGATCTTGTCACTCGAGAAGGAACTGGCTATTCAAAGATCACGTGTCTATGAACTCGAAAGACAGAATAGTAACTTTCAAACAGCAACCAAAGAAGCATACATTGAAAAGGAGGAAAAGGAAAAGGAACTCGAAATGAGACTCGCATCAAAGAACAAGGAACTTGACGAGTTACTCATCAATATTCGATACATGTCGAAAAACGAACAAGAAGCTAAAAAGAAATACGACGATCTACTTGAAAAGACACAACAAGAACAACGAAACAATGACATGAAGATTAAATCATTGGAAAAGGAAAAGTTACGTTATCGTTCAGATGTTGCCAATCTCAAACACAAGAATAGTTTTGGATTGGAAATGGAGGCATCATCTGATTCCAAGGATCTAGTGATTGAATCGTTGGAGAGTAAGAATCAGTCATTGGTACAAGAGAATACATCAATCAAGAATCGTCTTGACCAAACTATCAAAGATCTAGTTGAAGCTGAGAAACTCATTGAAATCTTCCAACAACAAATCCTATCAAAACAAAAACAAGATCAATCTCAATCTCAACTTCAACACCAACAACAATTAAATGAACAAGAATCAATTAAAAAATCTCTTCAAAGTATGAATAAGAAATCAAAAAAGTATTTATAAATACTTTTAAATATTAATATTTTTCTTTCTATTTTTAGGAGAAGTAACATATTATAGTGAAATTAATCAAAAGAATCAAAGTAAATTAATGGAATTGGAGAACCAACTAAAAGGAGTTGGAAATTCTGAAATGATCAAACAAGAAAACAAAACACTAAAAGATAAATTATCAAGATTTGAGGAAACGATCACCAAGCTCAATAGTCTACAAGTACAATACAATACAATGGCAGAGGAAAAACAATCACTTGAAAAAATATATGGTCAAATTGATTCTCAAAATGGTGGATTGGAATCTTTCCATCAAAAGATTCGTGAATTGGAATCTGAAAATCAAACTCTACGTGGAAAAATTGGTGAATTAACTTCTAATCTTAAATTATCTGAATCTCATAATAATGATATTGAAACATTGGTATGTAAAATAGAAAAAAAAATGAAAGAGAATATATGATCATTTTTATTTATTGTATTTAAATTTTCTATTTTAGTTAAAAGAATCAAAAGAAAGTTGTAATTTATTACATACAAAAATATCAAATCAAGATGAATCTATTAATCGTTTAAACAAACAAGTTTATTTATTGAAAAAAGAAAGAGATGGTATTAAAAGAATTTTGGATGCTTTTGATGTTGAAGATAGAGTTGTCATTAAAAAGGAAAATGAAAATGGTGGTGGTAGTGGAGGTGATTCATCTCCATCTACTGTTTCACTTGCTCAAAAAATGGAAAGAATCAATGAATTGGAAAGAGCAGTATTGGAAAAGGATAGATTGATTGAGGAATATGAAACAACACTTTCAATGAGAAACTCTATACTCGATCAAAAGGATGATTCTATAAATTACAAGTTGGAATTTGAAAAACTCAACCAAGAGATTGAAAGATTGTTACAAGATAATGCAATTTTGGAATCAAGATTGGGTAGAGGTGAATTTGATCAAACTAAAACAAAGGTTTTACACATGACAAATAATCCAACTTCAATGTTATTAAATCAAAATCAATCAAATCATCAACCAAATTCTATTTCTGTAAGTAAATCAAAATCAAAAAAAAACTCTATATTCTTATTTATTTATTTTTATTTTTATTTATTTTATTTTCCTTTTAGGAATCAAAATTATTAGAAGAAAATAATGGATTAAGAATTCAAATCTCTGAAAATGATAAAAAGATGGATAGATTAAAACAAGTATTTAAATTAAAGATTCATGAATTTAGAGAGGCGGTTTATGCATTATTTGGATTCAAAATCGATATGGACACTAATAATTTATACAAGTTGCAATCAATGTATGCCGAAAAAGAGAGTGACTTTTTAATCTTTCAAAGAGCACAGTCCTCTTCCTTGTCCAACGATAAAAAGGTTGGTAGAATGGAATTGATGGAAACAGAATTCACAAACACTCTTGACAAGGAAGTAAGAGCCTATCTTTTTAAATGTAAATGTATACCTGCTTTTCTCTCTCAAATTACAATCGATCTCTTTTCAAAACAAACTTTCCATCCATAAAAAAAACAAAAGAAAGAAAAAGAAGAATTTAAATCAATCAATAAATTGTACAATTTGAATAAAACGGTTTAAATAAACATATGCACTCTTAGATGTGTTGATTGACATGTAAGCATGGTATGACATAAAAGCATTGACACAGTTTACAAGTTCTTGTAATGATTCTAGCTTAGCAGCTACTAACACCATATCATCAGCATAGTTTAGACTACTACATTTAGTACTCTAGCAGGTAGATTTTATAACCATCTATAGAAGAGAGAGAGATGATGAAGAAGAGGATACAAGAAGATGTTGAATAGTAAGGGTGACAAGGGACATCCTTGTTTGACACCAATGTTGCAGGTGACAGGCTCGGTAAGATGGGCATTTAATCAAGAATACAAAGCTTTTTTTCAATGATAAAACATTATGTTAATTATGATCAACAACAACAAATCATGCCAATACAATCACCACTTCTAAATCAACAAAATATAAATAATAACAATTTTGATGCAGTTCTGTCCACCATCAGCCATAGCATACATTCTCCGTCTCTTGAATGGATGCATCTATCTTTTCTCCGAACTGATGACTTGGAGGAACTGTCTTTACTATTCATAAAGATGGTAGTCAAACCGAGCCAGGCAACTACAGACCTATTACCTTCCTCTGTACAAACTGTATACAGCCATTCTTGCCTCGAGACTCTCAAGAATGATAGAGGAACCATCTACCAATCCTCTCCACAACTTTTCACCAACGCAGACACTGTGTCTCCAATCACGCACTACTAACACAACATCAATACAATACTAACAGATAAAGTAAATTCGAGTGACTGAAAATAGATAACAAGTTGAATAATATTGGCGTATCTAGAGTAAGATATAATGTAAAGTGAATCATAGTCTTCATTTACATCTATATTTAGTCACTACCCTGCCAGCTGGCTTTGTAAAAGAATCAGCACCCATTCATGTTAATGGCAAATTCGGTTCAACTTTTTGTCACAGCAGATGTCATTTATATTTATTTATCTTATTCAATAAATATAAATGTTATCTGCTGTGATAAATGTGGACCAATTTTATTACATTCTTTAAAAAAGTAAGGAAGAAGCAAGGTAAGTACTCTCATCAAATCAAATCAAATAAAAAAAAAAAGGTTTTTATAGATATATGGAAATCATTAAACTACACAAACATTAACCTTGTTTGATCATTAATGTTTGTGTGTGTGTTTGGTTTAACAACCTTTATTATGTACATGTACCAATTCAGGAACAAAAAAGTTGTGGTGATTCATTGAAGTAATTAAAGGGGACTTTAATTGATTCAATTCCTGCTTTAATTGTTCGATGATTGATTGTTGTTGTTTGATCAAAAGCTCCATTTCATCCTTTGAGAGTGATCCTTGGAAAAGTTCGCTCTTGAGCACGTCACAGGCAGAGGGACGCTCGTCAGGGTTGGTCTTCATCATCCATTTGATTAAATCGGCTTCCTTTGGATAACGACTTTGAAACGACGAGGGAAAGACACCTGCACGAAGGTCGGCCAAAACCTTTGACTTTTCCATCTTTGTTGAAAAGGGATGGTACAATTCAAACAAGATGATACCCAAACTAAAAATGTCAGTCTTTTCATTGTAGAGTCCCTTTTTTTGTTCTGGACTGCTGTAGGTCAATGTACCGACGGCACTAGTGTGTTTGCGATGCTCTGATGAACGGCTGAGCGAGGAGGATGGTGGTGTGGGTGGAACAGATGATGAGGAGCTAGAAATAATTGGTTGAGGGGTTGGTTGAGGCAGTGGGGATGCACTCGAAACTGTACCATTGTTATTACTCTGTGTACCATTATCCAATGATGATGCCAATGATGAACTTGCTGATGATGATTGTGATTGAGACTGAGACGATTGAGACTGTGACAATAACAAAGATTGTTGAGCAAGTAACATTTGTTGTTGATTCAATTGTTGTTGTTGAGCCAACACGGCTTGGATTTGGTGATGATTGATTGGCTGAAGGGAAGGAGTAGAGGTAGGGGTAGGCGAGGGAGTGGGTGAGATGGTGGTAGTTGCCAAGCCATAGTCACCGAGCGACACGAGAATCTCACCCTCGGGCGAGGAGGGGTCAGACGAGTCAGAGGAACCGCATCCGCCACCAGGCTGATCGGTGCGACTGAGAAAGATGTTACCGGGCTTTAAATCTCGATGGATGATGCCCTTGGAGTGAATGTACTTTAGTCCATTGCATATCTGTTTGAAAATAAAAAGGTTTTCCTGTTGGTTGATACGATCGGGTGAACGATTCTCCAACCACTGCGAAAGAGTTTGGCTATACAATTGCATAACGATAAAAAGAGTAGTTATGCGCTGGGTGATACCCGACATGGAATTATTCAATGATTTGGGTGGTGATTGCTGCTTGTTGCTGCTACGTGATGGCATGGAAATGGGTGGTGTAGTGGACTTGGGGAGAGTGGGCAAAAGATAGTTGTTACCTGCTGTCGACTCTTCTTCTTCACCGGCCGAAGAATCAGAGTTGTAGCCAGAGTCTGAATAATCATCTGACTCTTCTTGGCTAGACTCTGAATCTTCGTCCAAACTAAAACTGGTAAAGTGTTGTTTGGGTGTTCTAAACAATCCCTTTCCATTGGTCATTGAATCGTCTTCACTATCAGAATCATCCAAACAATAACCACCAGCACCATTCTTTTTCTTTTTCATAATCTTTAATGATTCTGGTTTGGTATTTCTTTGAAATAGATTCAACTCTTCAAATGATGGTGGGAATTGTAATCGATTTAATGAATCATCAAAATCTTCATCTTCTTGAACAACTTGGTCTTCATCATCTTCCAATAAGAAATGATCTTCGTCTTCACTTGATGATTCCTCTTCATCATCTTCTTCTTGATCTATATTTAATTGTACTTTTTTGTTGGTTTTAAAGTTTTTACTGTTTTTGATTTGATTACTTTTACAACCATTGATATTTGAATTATTATTGTTGTTATCATAGGTTTTTGATGTATCGATTTCAAGTGTTGAACCATCATCAGTTCCCCAAAATCCATCAATTATTTGATTCTTTCCATTATATTGTTGGTGTTGTTGTTGAAAAGATTGATTATTATTATTATTATTATTATTGTTATTATTATTAATATTATTATTGCCATTGGTAGATGATGAAAGAATGATTGGATTATCATCGGTTTCAAGCCAGGCAGAGTGATATCTGACAATATTTACATGATTCAGAGAAGCAAGAGTTTTAACCTCTCGAAGTACCTTTTCGAGAAATGTCTGTGAAGTATTCTTAAATGGAATCTTTTTCAATGCATAATTGAGTCCATCTAATCTATTTTGTACCTTAAATACCGATCCATATCCTCCTCTTCCTATTCTTTCACCTTCGTAAAAGTCTTCTTCATATCTTGATCTCTTTGGTCTAGAAAATATGGAAATAGAGAAATAGAATAGTTGTGTGAATAGAATATTTTTGAGATAACACTCGTCGTTTAGATGTTATAACATACATTGATTGAGGTGGTGGAGTATATCTGTTTAACTCATCGGATAAACTTAATGGTGTAGCTGTTTGTACAATAGTATTGTTGTTATTATTATTATTTAGATTATTAATATTATAAATTTGTTGTTGTTGTTGTGGTTGTTGCAATGATGATGTTGATGATGTTAATTGATTTTGAATCATTATATTATTCTATATACATAAATACAAATGGAGGAGGGTATTATAATTATTATTATTATTTGTTATTCTTGTTATTCTTGTTATTATTATTGTTATACAAAGAGAAAGATGATTAGAGATGAATGAATAATACAAGTTTATATTGTTATACTGATACTGCTTGATACTGCTGCTGATGACGTGATTATGATACTATTATTATTATTACTATTATTATTAATTATGATTTGATAGAAGTCTTTTTAAATATATATATTGATATAATTATAATTACAAAAAAGGATAATAAGAAAAGAAAAAACAAACTAGATAGATTATGATAATAAAAATATGAGGAAAACTAAAAGAGATAATAAGCAGAAAAAAAAGGGGGGAGGAGTAAGTAAAGCAAGCACACCTAGCTAGGTAATAATAGTATATTATTATTATTAATATATATGTGTGTGTATTTGTGAAATAGATATATATATGCAAAGTTGAATTGGAATTTTAATTGATTAATCAATGATGAAAGAAGAGATTGATGGTGGTGATTGGGGGGGGTAGTGGTGAGTAAGTGGGTGAACGAGTGTGATGTGATACTAAATTGAATGAATGAATGACAATGCAATCGAAAAAAAGTCAACTCATCGGGTCAACAACAACAACAAGCTAAATACTGCAAACAAACTAATAATGATGATGATGATGATGAAAAAGAAAAGGAACAAGCAAGTGATAAATCAAGTAAAAGTGAATCGTGCCATTTTTCTGTGTGTGTGTTTTGCGTGAGTCACTCACTGCCTGTCGACATATGTGAGCGAGCCTGGTCTCAGAAGAAAGGGTCAAGCTTGAAAACAAAGGTCAGATGAAAAATTAATTGAATTGAATTGTAACACTAACACTTGTGTCATTCAATTTCCCAAACGATTGAAAAATCGATAGATAATAGATAGAATAGAGATTTAAAAAAACAAAAAAGAAAAAGAAAAAGAATAATAATATAATAATTCCTGGGTGGGTGGGTGTATTATTATACAATAAATTAAATAAATTATAATATAATTACAGTTGTGGGTGATTGATATTATGTTGTTGCCTCTGTCAGTCAGCACTAGTACTATACTGATGGATATATATAATGTTTAAACAAAAACTTTTGTTGAATAATGTGACAATAAATTACAGAAATTTACAAACTCTAATCGAAAAAAAAAAAACTACTGTAATTTAAAATTCTCCAAAATACTGTTTTGGTATTATTGGCGGTTGTAGTTTGTAGGTGTTTTTGTTTTGACTTTGAATTTTTTGTTGTTGTTTTTGGAAACAATGGGTCCACCTGTCAATTTGAACATTAAATTTGAATTTGGAGCACAATTAATTGATTTTCTTAAAGAAGCCCCACCCACCCCAAGTTTATAAAAGGTAATAATCTGTCGTATGTCAAAAGACAATAATTCTCTATATGAATATTACTTTTTTTTTTTTGTTTTGTTTTGTTTCTTCTTCTTTTCAAAATTATAGATTAATTATTAAAAAATAATAATTATTAAAGAGTGAGAGAGAGAGAGAGAAAGTGTTGGAAATCCCATGGGATTGGTGTCTTTGTTGTCGATTGTTGTTAATTAATAGTTGTTCATTTTTTGATTCATATGAACGATTTTGATGATTTTCAATTGTATCGAAATTGTTTATGGAAATGGATGAGGAAGGGTGAGGAGGGTGTGATGGTCATGACGACGATTGTGTGTGAGGATGGGAGAGTGTTGAAATTCACAAGGTGAGGATTGATTTTAAAAAGAAGTGTTGGGGGGTTGATGGGTTAACAACACGATTAAGAATCCCGATACAGAGATAAAAGTCGTCTCTGATTGAAAATATATATGTATACAAATACAACTTTTTTTTGTTTTAATCTTGATAATCGAAAAAAATGGATAATAATAATAATAACAGTTGGATCGGATTATCCGACTGTTTGACCGATTGATTGATTGATTGATTTTGGAGTGTGTATATTCTGATCAAATAGCATTTATAATTGTATATATATATATCCTTACCTTTTTGTTTTTCAAATAATGTCTCCTTTACACGAGTGGATTGTGAAGATGGTATGGTTGGTATGTATAAAAATTATAGTTATTGTTGTTGTTGTCTATTTTGTTAATGGATTCATAGATGTGGGTAGGTGGATGGATGGATGGATAGATGGATGGAGGTGTTGGAGAAATAATAAATATTATATGGCCAGTTTAATTAATTAATTATTATTATTATTGAAGTGGGATATATATATGATTGTTGGATGACTACTTGTTTATTATTATTATTATTATTATTCTTATCTATTTTTTTTTTTTTATGCCTGTTTGATTATTTTAAAATAAATAAATAAATAATAAATAATTAATAATAAATAATAATAATATTAGTAAACGATTTTCTTTTCTTTCTTTTCTTTCTTTAAATCTTGATAGTAATGAAGTCAAGTGTATGATGGGAATGAATGATAATTTTCAAAGATGATGAATACAATTTAAATTAAAATTGAGATTTTGATGATGATGAAAAAATTAATTTAATATTTTTCCAGGGGGGTGTTCACTCTCCATCTTGGAGAGGAGCCGGCTGGCTGGCTGGTTGGGCACCTGGTGGTTGTTTTTGATTAACAGTAATCAAATTTATGACGACGATCTAAATCAAATCAAATCAAATTGTTGTTTCCCAAGGATATTGATATTTCCTTTGAAAAGACACACTATTATTGATTAATGATTATTATTATTATGGGGGAAGGGAAAGGAAAGGAGAGATTCCATTTGTGATTATAACTGGTTATATGAACCGACAACAATTGATGATTGAAAAGCTGTCTGTTTTTTTGCTCTCATACCTCGTACTACTAACTTCTTCTTCTCTTCTTCTACTTCTACTAACTTCTTCTCACTAGTACCAAACTTTAAAAAAAAAACAAAAAGAATAAAAAATGAAATGGAACAAGCAAAAGCAAAAAGAAAACAAAGATGGAGGAGGAGATGAAAAGTATTGCAATACTTCCTCCTCTTCATAGGGAGAGCATAGTATGGCGTGGGTGGTATATGCTCTCTCTCTCTCTGCTACACTATGATTTACACAATTTTCATCATCTCATTGAGCATGGATAGGATAGCTGGTTGGTTGACTGGCTAGCAGGCATGACACTCCTCTCTCCTCTCCTCTCCTCTCCACTCTTGTTAATGTTGATGTAATCTCCAAGGAGTGAAGTGATCACCACACACAATGGGGGGTCATACGATTTTATCTGCACCCATACCACTACCACCACGATTTCTACACACACACACACACACACACACACACCAGTGTTTTGAGACTGGTGTTGTTGTTGTTTTGACTGAAATGAAATGTGTTTCCAGAGAGACCATGCTGTGATTTTCCAATAATAATATCCTCCTCCTCCTCCACAGTATCAACCAGCAGTCATGTACATATGTATGTGTCATATAGTGTGTGCGGAAAAGGTTGGAGAGGAGTAAGTGGAAAAAGATGAGGTTTTTAGTTTCTTTCTTTCTTTCTACCGATTCCATGACATGACATGACACGATATGGCAAGTGTCATAATTTGGCGCGTAAACTTTAACCAAATAAAATTTATTATTTCTTCCATTTCTTTTATCTCTCTCTCTTTCTTTTTTTTAAAATGGTATGGGTGGTGGTGGTGGTGATGGTGAGTGTGAAGATACACATATATATATATTTGTTTGTAGTCAATTCCGTGATATGACACACGTTGACTGGGCAAAAAGTCGCTCCATTGGAAATATAAATATTAAATATTTTGATGGTGTCTATTTTAATTCGTATAAGCAACATGTGCCATCCTATCATCCATCCATTCACACAAACAAACAAAAGATGGTTGCTATCACCAACAATAAAATGTGTGATAATAGAATAATAAAATTATTATTAAAAGATTTACTAAAATTACAAAATTAACCAACACCCTTCCTCTATCCAACATTTATGTGATCCATTTAGGATATATATATATACATAATATGTATATATGTGTGTGTGTGCGTGTGCGTGTAAAAGTGTGAGATAAAGATAAGATGATCGGCAAAAGTAAAGTAAAATAATCATCACTACTTTGGATTGGGAAAGTAAACTATAATTAAAAATGGAGTGGTGATGGATGATAGGATATACTATATGTGTTTTGATTTCATACCCAAAATTAATTTTGGTTGTTGGAAAAAAAAAGAAAAGGAAAATTGATGTAAAATGTCAAATAATAATAATCTAGAGTTTACTAATAAATAATATATTATATTATATTATATTATTATTATCATCAACATCCAATCCATAGTACCTATGAACATAATAATGGTATCGCGATATCCTTTTCTTTTTTTCTTGAAAGTTGGAGGAGGATGATAGTTGATGGAAAAAGAAAAAAAAGCAACAACAAAAGGAAGATGAATATTTTTGTATGTTATGTACATACAAACACAACAAACAAACATACCTATAATATTATTTGTAAAAAATTTTGATATTATTATTATTATTGTTTTGTGTGGGGGGTTGATGTTTGTTGGATTATTATTTGTTTGTTAAATATCTGATCTTATTGTTTGTTGTTGTTCAATATATATGAATCCAATTTGTTGTACAATATGATATTGATTTTATACTATACTATAATACAAGATAAGTTGAGTTGAGTTGACTGACTATAACAATTAAATAGATTATTATTTAATTATACTATGTTTTTTTGGCAAAGTCGGCTTTCAAAGACAGGGGGTGGTGGGGTGTGAACTACTCTTCCAACTCCAACCAACAATCTGATCTACTATAATCTAAAACTGGATAGAACAACAACAACAATTGTTTTGATTTGACTACCTAGATTGCTTGCTTACCCTACTACTATTCTTTAAACAAACAATAAACAAACAACAACAACAATAATCTAAAACAAAAATGTGTTGATCCATTTCTCCTTTTTCCTCCCTTGTTCCTGTGTTTCCCCCATAACAATAATAGCAAACCGTCTGCTCTGCCGATTCAATTACAAACACAATGTGTTTTAAGGATTCCAGTTCTTTTTTTCAAGAGTGTGTGTGTTTGTGATTGTTGGTGTGTGAATCTCGTATATCACTAATGGAAAGAGAGAGAGCGAGAGAGAGAGAGAGAGAAGTTTCCAGCCAACTAGTTGGCAATACTGCATAATAATAATACTGCAGAATGATCCCCAAGAAATGTGATCTACTATCGTCTATTTGGTTAACTTCGAATCTCTCTATGATCCTTCTCTCTATTCTTTCTGCCTTGTTGTAACTAAAACACACAACATGCAGGTACACAGTCTACTATTTTGATTGATCGATTGACACCAATCATGATGCACTAATTTTATTCTTACCTATTATTATTATTACTATTATTATCTATGTTATTGTTTTTTTTTAAAACTCTCTATTTTCTTAATTAATATAAATATGGTAAAAAGAAGAAGATAACTATTTGTTGATGATTACAATTGTAGTTTGTTACCCTAAAAACTTTTCTCTTTTTTTTTTTAATCTAGATCAAACAAGTTGTGCTATTTTTTAATGTTCTCAGGATGGCTGGTGTTGTTGAGTAGAGGTCGTCTTGTTGCATTAGTATTTTTTGAGTAATGAAAACAAACACAAATTAAGCTTTTTCGAGCGAACATCCTGCCGAGTGTTGTTTGGGCAAGGGATAGCCCTCCCAGGCTTTAATGGGGGGCGATATTTTGGTTTTTCGTGTGAAACCCACCACACCACAACAGTAGATTCCATTTGGTTTTTTGTAAAAACAACAACAATGATAACACCACCATCGCATCTGAAAAGAGATCTTGTTGTGAACTTGATTCAAACAATCAAAACAATGCGGAAGTTGGTAAATATTTAGTAGCGCTACCACCACCTAGCCAATTCCCGCGGGATATCCCTCCCCTAATATTCCAAATAGGGAATATTTATAATTAGGTGAGGTGAGATCCTAATTATAAACCATCTTTTTAAAAGGATTTATTATTATTATTATTATTATTATTATTTTTTATTATTATTATTATTATCGAACTGTTAAACTTGAGTTGATTCATCAATGTTCTTCCTTTTTCTCTTTTGGTTAATAATTTAAATTCAAAAGGTCGTTAAAGTATTTTGGATTGCCAAGGTATTGAAGTTTGTGTGTTAGTTGTCGGTATTTGGGAGAGTTTAGTATATTTGAAAACAATTGAATAACCGAATCAAATTGAAACTTGCAACTCACAGTACCATCCAAAGAGGGCAATGTTTCTTTTTCTTTTTCTTGTTGATTATGATAATATTGATTGATTCTATTCTTTTTACTTAATATTATTATAAATGCTTTGAGACATAAACTAAATCAATTTGAATGAGATTATATTTAGTTAGATATTAGATATTAGATGGACAACGGTTTGGGTTGTAGTTGAGTTTAAACTTACAATGTAAATTCTTTTTCTGAAATCATTAACTTTTGGTCAAGTGTGATGGTCTTTCTTTTATAGGTAACAAATGCTTGATGACATATTTGTGTAGCTATAAATTTCAATTTGGTTGAAAAATATTGGTCTCTTTGTTTGTTTTTATCTTTTTGATCGAGTTCCAACAACGACATAGCATTGTTGATAGCAAAATAAACCTTTTGTTGGTAAACATTAAACCAAGAATATGACAAAATGGCCATAAACAAAAACAATCTAAATATATTTAAATGTCTAATTTCAGCTGATGCATTTAATGATGAATCAATATAAAGATTATGTCTATAGAAAACAAAAATAAATAAATATAAATATTAGAATTAATATTTTTACTTGATCGATTTTGATTTTGACATACAATTTAACTTTTAAAAATTTGGAAAGGAAATTTAATAAATTGGTTTCCCAATCAATTGATTGTAAATAATTAAATAATAAAATATCCATTACTTTTCTACCACCATTTCCATTTAAATTATGACCATAGTCACATAAAACTGCCAAAGATTGAACATTAATTAAATTTCCACACCATGGTATATATGAATCTAAAATTAATTGGAAAACAAAAATATAAATATTTAATATACATTTTCTTTTTTTTTTTTTAGTTGAGTTTACCATAACCAATTTGAATTAAACCTTTGTTTTCTTCAGTATTACATGGAAAAAATTGATTTCCTTTGAGAGGATTTGTTTTAACACCATATTGATCGATTGATTCTTTAGATGATAAAAGATATTTAAAAAAGATTGCATTTTTATAAGATGTAGTGATAAAGATATAATCATCCATGTATCTCATCATTTCATTGAGTGTATTTGGTGTAGTGTCATTTGCCATGATATTGGGAAGAAGAAAGTTGGTATCCAAATGTCCAAGTATAATATTACAAAGTAAAGGTGATATAATACATCCTTGGGCAATACCTTGAACTTGAAAGAAATATTGATTACCATATTTAACAATAGTTCTAAATATAAATTCTTTAAGAGATCTTAAAACTTGATGTCTTGATATTATTTTTCCTTGATTCTAGAAAATATAAAATATATAAAGTTTAATTTAAATATTGATTAACTTATTATTATTATTAATTTAATTATTTTAACATACAATAGAGAAAATTTTAATATTTTTAGATTCCATTTCTTGTTTTAATTGTTTTTGTTTTTCTTTTCCAAGTTGTGTTAATTCACCATCTTGTCCACATGGAAAAGCTATATTATAAACAAGTTTAAATAATTTACCCTTTCTTTGAATTTGATAAACAAATGATACTATTCTATATTTTGTCTGGGAAAATAAAAATAGATTATTAAAAGGATGAAATATTTTATAGTTTCTTTTCAACAAACATTTGTAATAACTTCTTTTTCAATAATTTGATAAAGTTTTGAAGGTTTTAGAGTATCAAAACATTTGTTAATGTCCATTGAAACAACATATAATCTTTTGTCTTGTTCTTGTACATCTAATTTATCACGTAGTTCTAGGTATTTATGTTTGATATCCAATAGTCTTTTATGAATTTGTTGAGGTGTTGTGACACAGGTTGATATCAAATGATTCTTTTCCTTTGTTTCATAACGTAGTACAAAAAAGGCATCTTTTAATTCATCTGCTACTGATTTTGTGTATTTTAATTGTACCATCGAAGAGGTAGAGGTAGAGGTAGAGGAAGTGACATCACCGACGCCACCATCTAAATCACTAATCTTTTTAATATTTAAATGTTGTTTAGATTTTGAAAAGTTAATAATTGGACGAAGTGAAGTTGGTTTTGGAAGGAATCTTAAACTTGGTATCGAAGTCTTTTTAGATTTTAAATATTCATAATTTAATTTCTCCTACAGAAAAATAAATAAATAATTTGTTTAATTATACTCTATCTTTCTTCATTATTCTTTTAATTTGACATACTGGAATTGGATAATAAATATAATTTTGTAAAGCATTTAATTGTAAATGAGTTAATTCAAGCCAATGTTTCTTTAGATAGAACCGAGAGACCTTTGAATTGGAATCATCTGTACAATAAAAGTGGTTGGATATGATTGATGGAATCACCTCTTCATACATCCACCATAAAAATCTATTTAAACTATTTAAATCTCTTAAAATAAATTCTTCAACCTAAACAATAAACAAATGATATATTAATTATGAGGTCAAAGGTATATATATATATATTATATAATATATGTAGCATACATTAAATAAACTTGTAAAACTAATTAATTCTATTTCATGTCTTGCTTTTAAATAGATTTTGAGTGTTTTTTTAAATGCAGTCAAGTTGTAATCTGATCCCCATACTTGAATTGGAATGATTCTTTTGATAATGACTGCAAGGAATAAATAGATATTACTAATATCAACTACTTTACTAATATAACTTCCTAAATTGATTTGTGACGCTGATACTGGTGGTGGTGGTTGTGGTTGAGGTGGTTGTATCTTTTGTTCTTCCATTTTCTTATCTTCTTTTTCATCTATTTCCTCTTTTTCTTCATCATCCTCTTCTTCTTTAATAGAATCAAGACTTATATTAACAGATTGTGGTGGTGATTGTGCAATATCAGTATCTGATAAATCATCAAAAAATCTTCTCATCTCTTCATCATCTTCTTCCACTTTGTTCTTTTCTTCATCTTTATCTTCATCATCATCTTCTTTTAAATCCATTTCATCGTCTAATTCATCTGATCCATTTGATTCTTCATCATCATCTGATTCGCTACTTTGATATAATTCGGATTCTTCACTTTGATCCTTTTTCAATTGTTCTGATTCACTTCTTTCCAATACTGCGTGTAGTATGCTTTGATAGGGATAGTTTTTAAATTTTGTGAGGATTCTTGTAAAGATGGGAACAAGAAAGGTATGACATCTTTTCAACTTTACACCTTTTATCAATTTAGCATAGTAGTGTTTATCATTCACTGTTGTGGTCGAGGTAATAATATTGTTATTATTATTATTCCTCCTACCGTGGTCACTACAACATCGTGGTAACCCTTTTCCAAATGTACATTGTCCATAGTATCGAGTTGGTGAACAAAAAAAGATATTCCAAATAAATGATCTAACATATTTCTTTGGATTATTTACATTTACTATAAAATAAACATAAATATTAATATTTTCATAAGTAGTTTAACATGTAACATGTCACACATACGGAAAGGTATTGATTTAGGTAAAACTCTTTGATTTGAAAATTTCATATGAAATTGACTGTGAATCTTTAAAGATTGATCGATTATAATACTATTATTGTTATTATTATTATTATCAATATTATTGTTATTGTTGGTATTATTTACAGAATTGAATCCATTGGTCCAATGATTTGAATAATATTCTTTGTTGAGAAGTTGGTTCCTATCATTATTATTATTACTATTGTCATTATTATTGTTATTTCCAAATTTCATTGGTGATGATATGGATCGTTTGATTCGAGGTGGGGGAGGAGCGGGTGGATGAGGATAGGGCCGAGTAGGAGGTGGAGGAGGACGAATCAAAGGAGATGAAGGTCTCATAGACGATGGTGGAGTACCAAATACAAATGGAAACGAGTGGTGTCTTTGATTATCCATTGATGGTGACGGTGATGTTGGTGGTGGTGGTGGTGGTGGTCCCATATCAGATGTTGTTGTAGTAGTCGTCGTAGTTTGAACAGGTGTAGATGGTGTACCTTGTGATGATGGTGATGGTGATGGTGATGGTGTGTTTATAAATGTTGAAAGTATCGGGGCGGCAGTTGTAAGTATTGGTTCATCCATCATTAATTGATTCATGTGATCAATATGATCATTAATATTAATAGCATTATTATTCTTTTTCTTCTTTTTTGCTCTTCTATGATGCATATTCTTCTTCTTCTTTTGGTTGTTATTATTATTATTATTATTATTTTGTTGTTGTTGATGTTGTTTGATTGGTGGTGGTAGTTGGTAATCATCACCATCCTCACCATCATCATAACCATTGTTATCATTATCATTATCATCATCTTCATCGTTTGAATGCATCCGTTTTAGATCACGATGATCTTGGGGTGGACCATCATTAACTGATGATACATCTTCTTGATGTACAGACAAATTTGGTGATAATGATATTGATATCGATATTGATGATGAAGAAGAATCTTGAAACATCATCTTTGCTTGCTATATAGTCTATCACATATTAATTGTACAAGTATATAATGGATAAATGAATGAAAAAACAGATATATAATAATAATAAAACTCGTTTGACTGAAATTTAATTTAATTTAATTTAATATATTCACAGCTATCTTGTCTTGTGTGAGTGAATGTTAGTCTGATTTATTGACATAGGCAAAAGTTTGAGAACCGAGGAATGTAAGATAGGGTGGTACATTCGGTCGAGTAGGAGCAAATTGTTTACCATTCCAATACGATTCCTTGACATATGATTGTTGGATCTTGCACAAGAATAGATAGTGTCCATGTGTATGATCGTTGGCATTCAATGGTAAAGATGAAGATGAAGATGAAGATGATCCTTCCGAATCCTCTTCTTTTGTATGGCTATTGGTTGTTGTTGTAGTAGTTGTTGTTGTTGTATTGGTGGTGGTATCATCCTTTTCTTGACCAGTAGTAGTAGTCGTAGTATTGTTGGATGTACCCATCGACACGGAATCAATTGGTGATAATATACTTGTAACTTTACAAACCATATGTGCAACACAATTAGATATTGCAATATTATCATTATCTATATTATTATTATTATTATTATTATTATTATTATTATTATTATTATTATTATTATTATTATTATTATTTATATTATTATTATGATCAAAAGGTAACCAACCAGGTTTACAAGTAGGAATATTTAACTTTCTAAACTTATTACCATGTCTTCCACTACATCCACCTATTGCCAATACTTGATTTTCCATTCCTTTTACTGGTACACTTAATACTATAGTATAGTATAGTATAGTAGTATTAAAAATAGTTAAATTATTATTCATTCATTTCTTTCTTTCTTTCATTCATTTCATTGATAATTACCAAACTCTTTTGTTTTAAGTAGAATAGAGGCAGTATATCTATTCTTATTCATTGAACACATGAAATTACCATAGTTGTCTATTGCAGTTAGCCATGATATCTTTAGAGAATATGCAGATATATAAGTCAGTCAAAGGTATTACATAATCAACAACAATAATAATAGCAACAACATACAGTCATACAATTTGATTGATTTGATTGTGTATCATTGACAGTTAACAAGCAAACAGGATTAGTGTACAACAATCTACTACTCGATTGATCATTCAATGTGATGACTCTTTCTCTTTCCATTACAGATAAAGTAGTACTTATTAATTTAATATTATTTTAAACTGAATTGAGATTAGATTTGTGAGGATTTTCATAGCAACTCGACTCAGACGCAAACAAAGAAAAGTTAATTAATGAATATATTTATTTATATCATTCATGTTTTGTAAGAGTACGAGTATCATCATCAACAATCATGGGTGTAGACAATCATCATTATTATCATCATCTATGATATTAAAAGGATTCTATAGTACTAGTAGTACTCGAAACAAGAGTAACAAGACACCCAGACCAGAGAGTCATGTAGAGATCAAGAAACATTTTAAATCAATTAAATTACAATCACCACCTAATGGTTTATTGGTTATAAACAAAGATGCCGGTTATACAAGTACTGATTTAACAAAAGTATAATATAGACAATATTGAAACTTGATAGAGATAGAAGTTAATGTTAACACTAACTGTCCTGTCATACTATGATAGATAATACAAAAGCTATTTTGTGACAAGGTAAAGGTTGGTCATGGTGGTACTTTGGATTTAGATGCCGATGGAGTTATGGTCATTGGTTTGGGAAGTGGTTGTAAACTATTGAATCGATTCTTAACATCTGACAAGAAATACTTTGCTACTTGTGAGTTTGGTAGAGTATGTTAACTAATAATAATAATAATATCATTGTAAACCAGATGATCGGTCTTAACATTCTTTATTTTGTTGTTTAGGAAACAACTACATGTGATAGATCTGGAGAGTTTATAGACAATGGATCAAGTTCTTTTAAAAAATATGATCATTTAACATTGGATATGATTAATCAAAAGTTGAATGAACCAGAGTTTAGAGGATCGATTGAACAAATACCACCAATATACTCGGCACTACGAATCAATGGAAAGAGATTGAGTGATCTAGCCAACCAAGGTGTTAAAGTGGCACCATCGGCACGACAAGTAACAATATACGATTCAAAGTGTACTCGATTGCAAGGTTATCAAGCTGATTATACTATGCATGTAAGCTCTGGCTTCTATGTAAGAAGTTTTGTGGTTGATGTTGCTAAAGCTTTGGATTCTACATGTTACATTACACGATTACGTCGTGAACAAGTTGGACCATTTACATTGGATCATTGTCTAAGATTAGAAGATTTATTTACATTACCACAACAACATCAACTAGAACAACAACAAAACACAGAAATACGAGATAAATTAATATCTGAAAGAATTCAAAAACACATGAAAGATATGGAGATATTACTCAACAATTATACAAAGATTACAAACCCATCAATTAAATTATCAAACTCTACCATCATCATTTAACAATAGAATATATAGGTTTATTTAGTTTTTTTTCAAAATGGTATATAATTTAATAATATTATCAATATTATTAATATATTTATTGGTTTATTGTTGTTATTTTGATTTTGATGTTCTATAGAAAATTATTATTAATTATTCATTATTGTTTTAAAAAATGTACAGGTTATTTAGATTTAGTTAGTTGGTTTGTAATAAGATTATTATTGTTTAGTATCTTTTAAATAGTGGGATTGGGAAGGCCAGTTATAGTTTCTGGCTTTTTCCATGAACAAGTGATCTTGTCCAATCTCTTCGAATTTACTATAGTTGATGGAAATGCAAGAAAAGTAGATAGAGGTGGTGGAGGTGAAGAGGAAGATGAACTAATTAATATTTGTTAAATTATATTTTATATTACTTTTTTTTGAATCTTATTCATCCAACTCTTGTTAACAAGTTGGAGAGTAGGGAGAGAGTGCGTGTACATACTTTTCTTCACCCATTTCCTTGATATTTTTGTAGACTAGTCTGACACCCAAACCACTGACGACAAGGACATTGGTAGCCACAATGATATTTTCAGCTGGCATAATAGCAAAGAATTTCTTAACCCAAGACATTTTTTTATGAAGTTTAAATTATTATTATTATTTATAAAAGAAAAGAAAATATATAATATATTATTATTTATATTTGTTTGTGGTATATGTATTTGTGTAGAAACTAAAACTTTAAAAATGAGTTTGAGTTTAAATATATATTTTTGGTTGTTATTGTTGATAATTGATTATCTTAAGAGATGAAGGATGGAAATACTTGGATTATCTCATCTCTTATTTATAGAAATCCATTTTAGATCAAAAATAAAATTCGATTTTTCAATTATTATTTTGTTTTTCTAAAATTAAATTCCAAAAATGGAAATTTTAGCACTCGAAATTTTTTTTTTCCATGGCACCTCTGCAGATGATAACAGATCTGACTCCTCAAACGAGTCAAGTAATGAGACTTGAGTGTACAGAGACGATATTTTCAGATACTGCACCCACACATTGTTTGCTGGTGTTTATTTGCAATGGTTTGTGTAGAGTGAGACCCTTTTACCAACCCATATCCACATCTTCCACATCTTTCTACACACAAACCGTTTTGTCAGCAGTACGGCTGGTATCCATCAGATCTCCTTTTTGATCGTCTTTTGCATTGTACTAACACTTAATTTTATCAAAGGATCTGATCCAAAGGAGTCATTCGTTTGTGATGATTTTCTTATTCCCTTATTTTCTTTTAAAACAATGTCAAGTATATTACAACCTCATCTTATGTTCAGGAAAATCACAAACTTGTGATTCTATTTTTGTTTATAGTCTGGCTCTTCATTTAAATCCAATAGATCAGATCGATTAGAGTAGAGATTCTGGACAAGAGTTAACTACTGGGGTTCGAATCAGGAATTTAATATATAATGTTATTATTTTTAAAGATGGATAATCTATCGAGAATTATTGACCTAATTAACCCATTCAACTCGATATTGAACATTTAAAGCTAAACTAAATGGTTTAGTTTTAGTTGTTTAGGAATTAAATTCCTTTAATTTATTTTCAACATTTGCTTGAAATTTCTTTTTCTTTTGTATCTTTTTAAAAGTAATGATTGAAGTTGTGATGATGGCCACTGCACCAGCTACACCAACGACTACTCCAACTGCAATTCTCCAAGCCTTTGAATCGTTGGATTCGCATCCATCATTTCTCTTTTCAATTAGTAATGGTGAGAAATCAGGATCGAGAATACACTCTTGACATTGAGGCAGATTGATACCAATCAATGCAATCGATTCCTGTTCATTGCTAATCGATTGAGTTAATGATAAGAGTTGTGTTTGTGAATAGGTTGGTCTACCATCTGAAAGTGCGACATCAATAAATCTACCATTAAATTGAATATTATCTTTGACGACTCTTAGATATTGAAGTGATGATAATGAATCATAGGACAACGATTCAATTTCCTTTTCTTTACAATCATATTCGATGGATTGATTATTAATGACTATGGTTCTAAATACTACTTGTAGTGTTGCAACATTTGAAGAGTATTGCCAATTCGTTATATTAATTGCCAATTTAATAGAGTTTGCATTTATGTGAAGTTGTTGGTCTCCAAATTCAATATCCCTGGCCACTGACGAGAATGATATAGTTGATAACACCTGAACCGATCTAAAGATGATACTATTCACGTCGATTGGGATTATATTTGGATTGGTTGTATTTAATTGATAATTGACAATAGTTGTTATATTATTGGTCTCTGCATTTACGCTCCAAGTATAATTTGATATAAATAATTCTTTTACAATTAAATTATTCAAATCCAATTCTTGAATTGATACAATTTCAAATTGAAAATCAATTCCATCAATATCAAATGATACTGTTGGATCTGTTGTATTTGGTTTTATAGTTGTATTTATAACTAAATTAAAATTAAAAAATAAATAAAAATGAATTAATATTTTGATATAATATATTTTTGTTTATATTTATATTTACATTTAGTAAAACAATTATCATCTGGATTATAAGTATCTTTACATTGACAAATACCATTATTGTCACAAGTACCATGATTATAACAATTGGATGTTAATCTTTGACATTGTTGTTGGGGTGTTTCGGATCCTCCAGATCCTGTTGTACTGCCACCACTACCACCACTATTATCACTACCACCTGGTCGACGAAGAAACAATATATTTTTAACAGATGTGTTAAATCCATCAACATGTAATTGGACAGATGATAATCCATATTGTGGTGGTTGATCTAATAGACAAGTGATTGATTGTTGTTGTGCAAGATCGACGGTACATGTTAAACTGTTATTGACCATGACAAACAACTTGGTTTGTCCATTTGGTCCGAAATCACCAATTAAATGGACCAACTTGGTATCTTCCGAGTCATAATAACCCGATGATATGACTGGATATGATTTTGAGCAATCATCATACCATGCAGTACTCTTGCAAATGCATTGGCCAGTGTCAGTACACATTCCGTTTCCATGACAATAGGATGTAGTTTGATCACAAATGTATTTGGCCGTCACGAAATAAGATTTAGTGAAAAAATCATCAGATACAATGATTTCAACTGGTGCATTGATCGGGTTGATTAAATTACAAATAATGGTAGATGTAGTGGCAGAGACTACTGGGCATTGAGTGAGAAGAGAGAATTGGTCTAAAACTGTGACGGTAAGTGTAGATGGTGTTGTTCCAAAATACCCATGCAACGTGATTGCATCTCCTTCATTGGCGGGAATAGGTGTAACTACTCGAATCATTGGATACGGTAACTCAATTTCGAAATTCTTGGTCTCTGATAAATAAGTGTTGGACATGTTGACTGTGTATGTGTGAGCTGCCGTAAGTTTCTTCGAAGGTTGCCATTCGTATGTATTGGGTAAGACAGTACCAAACAACAAGCATGGTTCATTGTCTAGAGTGACTGTATGAATCATGGTAGGATTATAATTTATCAACTCGATTGACAATACCAACCGAGGAGAAGATGCTCCAACCTGTTTTCTAAGACTGATTTCACCCATTTTAATTCCAGCTTCGATAACTGTGACGTTGGCAGTTGGTGCTCCAGAAAATGTTGCAAACTGCAATGTCATTTCAGTGCCTATGGTTGGAGGATTAGCAAATGTAGCTAAAAGAGAATGATTTGGAATCACACCGGTTAGATTATAGTTGGTAGTTTGTATATCCCCATGTCCCAAGTTTTGTCCAGTCAAGTTTGCTCTTCCCAAATTTGTAACAATTGGATTTTGATCAATTGAAACTAAATAATAGTAGAAGATAAAATTGATTTATGTTAATTAAAATTAAATAATTAAATAGTTAATTATTATTGAGTGGTTTATATTACATACCATTACAAACAAAATTGTTTGGAGGAGATAAAGAAGTAGAGATGGTTGTGAATGGTAAATATCTATAACACCAAAAACAATCTGGAATCGATTCTACGAGGGTGTCTTGAATCAGGAGGCTATGTTGGCAATAGTCTTGGTTGATAGGACCCATAAACTGAGTGTTATTAGAAAAACTGAGTATATCCATACCTGGGTGATTGGCAATAGTCGTACTATCTAATAAAGTAAATACATTATTATCAAGATATAATACTTTTACTGTGGCTGGGATCACTGGTATATTGTCAAGTAAACCTCCAATTACTTTTCTATAAATAATAATAAAAAAAAAAGTAGTACTTTAGTATATTGTTTTTGTTGTTGTTGTTTTGTTTAGATTACTCTACTACTTACATAGTATACAAAGAGGATGGAAAACTACCAGAAATAGGGAAATCGGTAATCACAACGTTAATTAGCTCCAATGAATACAGAATGGGATAAAGTACATTGGTAATTGGTGAGGGGGAATATGTTGATAATGGACCACTCAGCGTTAAATAATCTAATTTCTGGGGATACCCAATAAATAAATTACAGGTAGCATCTATATTTGCAGAACCACCACATTTACTTTAAATAAAGATAGTTAGTTAGCCTTGTTGGATTAAATCATAAATAGAGATATGTATTTGAACATACATATTTGATGTGCTGATTGGATCCCAAATATTGTAATAAACTGTTGTATCTGATTCTGGACTTAGTTCTATTTCTCTATATTAATATTATATTTGTGTATGTAAGTGTTAAATAGGTTCTCTTTTTGAATAATAGTATGTTTATATATAAAAGTACATACACTGATCTAATCATTGGAAATGATTTTGAAGTGAAATTGAGAATATGAGATCCCGAGGCGGTACAATTTGATGTAAATTTAAAACTGGCCAAGTTTGGGAAATAGACAGTGTCGTCAATGTAGATGAATTTAACGGGTGTTAGGATATTGTAGTATAGTACTGCAGAGTTGTTTAAAAAGCCTAGGGGAACTCTGATTGCCGAATCAGGTTCTAATCTGAGATTGACTAGAGAGAGCTTGGGAAAATTTGAAAAGTCGCTTGGTAGATACTGGATACTGGTATCTTGTAAAGTAAGGGAGGTTATAGACTTTAAAGTCTTGATATAGTCCATAATATGGATCGATGAGTTGGCAACTATAGTCGATGGTGCTACTCTTGTATTTAAAATATTAAATGTTGAAAGTTTGGACATATTCAATACAGTATTGGGGTCTGGAAGTCCCACATCTACAAATGGATTTGGTACATTTAATTGACTAGAAACAAAAACAACAAAAAAATAGATTAAAAAGAATGATTAAAAAGAAAGAAATTGATGAATGTTTTGTTGTTATGTTGTTTTACACTTACACTCTAGTGATATGATATGATCCATCAACAACTTCACATAAAAATAATGTTCCAGGGTCACAAAAAGATTGATTTTGAGGTATATTTAATCCATATTGTCTAATTAAAAATATTGCAGAGCTTACTAGATAGTTTGAGAAACAATAATAAAAAAAAGTTTGGTGAGTACATTTATGATTTGGTTGTCATGTTGTAATTGATTGAATACCTACATTCTTCTGCTGGTAAAATGTTTTGTGAAAATGTAAAACTGCAAAGGTGTAATGATACAAAAATGAATGTTAATAACACAAATCGATTTGTGATTATAACATTCATTTGTTTGTTGCTATATAAATAAATAAATTCTCTATCTCGATCTCTGATTGGGTGTGAATATGAATATGAACGAGAATGTATGAAACATCTGAATGTCTTTTTCTTCTTCTTCTTGAAGATCAAAAATAAAAATAAATAAAAAGATCAGAGAAGATATTTTTTTTTGCGTATGTTGGGCCCAATAAAATCTGGATAGGTTTTTCGATGAAAGATTTATTCCAATCTGGTACAATGATTTGATTAGATCTCATTTTTATATTTTATAGACTATATAATAAAATATAATAAATAAATTAGTAAATCAATTTATAAATATCAAGTTGAGTGATATTGTCAACAACATACATCGGTAGGTTTTAAATTATCATTTCTTTGCATGGTTGAGTTGTCTCGGAGAACATCACTTTTGATCCAAGGTGATATTTGGTCAACCTCTGGTGTCAATGATATCGTTTGTTTTATCGTTTGGTTGTTGCTATTTAATTGACCGTCGTCATCATCGTCATCCACTCTTTTATAAAATAATATATATGGTGTATCGCTGTGGAATCTTAATGGAATGTTGTAGAAAGAGTTGAAATCTGATAATTGTACATTGCTATCATTGAACAGACACCAATCTTGTTCTTTTGAATTTGATGGTTTGGCATAGGTGAAATAGTGTCCTGAATTAACACTTGATCCAGAATGAAATATAACTGCATATAATTGATATTCTACGTCTTTAATTATTATTTTCTTCTTCTTCTTCTTTTTCATTTCTTCTTCTTCTTTCATTTCTTCTTTTTCTTCCGTTTCTTTTTCTTCTTCTTCTTCTTCTATTTCTTGATTAAAATAATGTTTTGGTATAATTAATTTTTCTGAATATTCAACATTATTTAATAGCTTTGAAATTGATTTTGTTTGTTGGTTATAGTAGAAACGTTTAATTGCCAATATTAAATGTTTGGGAGGAGGATATTGCATTTGTACAGTCTTTTCAGCGTCTTGTAAAGAATCACATTTTGAACAATGATATTTTTCATTGCCATGTAATAATTCTTTTGAAAAGAAATAATCAATCAATGAACTGACCGATGTTGATTTGTTATTATTGTCATAACCACTAGTATTCTCTCCATAATGAGAAAATGAAAGAGATAATTCTAAAAAATCCTCCTTTTTCTTTGATATGGTTTTACAATGATTACATGTTACACTTTGTACCAAATGTCCACTAAATGTATCAGTTATTATTGTTGGAACTGTTTTCTTTTCTTCTTTATCTTTCTTTTCTTTTTCCTTTTCTTTTTCTTCTTCTTCTTTCTTTTCTTTCTTGTTTAAAGGATCTAATTGTTTTAATAATTCATCAATTTGTTCTAAAAGGAAACGACCAAATTCAAATGAATCTTGTTGTTCTCCAGACATGTACATTGGTGGTAGAGTTCGAAGGAATTGGGTTGGTGAGACTGCTTGTTTAATCGACATGAAGAGATACCCAAATAATAATTGTAATTGTCGAATGATTGGAGGTCTATTCATAATTTGTTTTATAGATGCTTCATTCCACTCTTGAAATTTATCCAATACTAATGATCCTCCAACTGTTGTATTGTTATTATTATTATTACTATCTTGTTGTTGTTGTTGATGTTGTCCAACAGTTGAATTGATAAAATATTTTCTAATGGGGACGGTCATGTAGAGAGATTGAATAAAAGAGTTCATATAACATGTGTTTCCAAGATTATTTAGTCCACCACGATCGGGTAATCCGGTACGACCAATCACTGTCTTTTCATAAAACACATTCTCCAATACACTCCAAGCATTCTCTTGTAACCTTTTCTTTGCTTCAAAAATCGATGGACGTGGAATATCTGAAGCTGACCTTACCAACATCTCAGCCAATGGAGTATATAATTCTGGAAACCCCATATGATGATCCATTAATATCATTGATAATTGTACAAAATTCTTTCTAATTGATGATATTTTTGAAATTGTTGTAATCATATTCTTTTTTTTTCTTTCATTATTATTATTATTATTGTTATTAATATTATTTTGATTAAAATATTGATTTGATTCTTTTAATGCCATTAATAATAATTGTTTTCTATCTTTTGTTTTTGTTATATTATGTACTAATGTTTGAAGTGAATGAGGTATTGCTTGTACATCATTACTATCATTATTATTATCAATGTCTTGATCTTGATCGATTAATTGTAATTTCTTTTGATCATTATAATGTTGTTGTTGTTTTTCCAATACATTTAAAAATTCAATCATTGATGGAAACATCCAAATCACCTGATGATATGCTTCAGGTGAACTTTGATATCCCAATAACATTTTCTCTACAATTGAAAATGCTCCAACCATTAAATCAACTAAAAACATTTGTTTTAAAACAATTGAACAACATTCAATTGTAATCAATGCCAATAATTTTACTTTTTTTGCTTTTATCAATCCGTTTAATGTTTCTAAAATCCAAGTTGCTAAAAATATAAAAATATAAAAATAAATAAATAAATAAATGATTGATTGATTGATTAGTTTAGTTGATTGAGGTATTGTTTGTATTATTAATATTATTAATTAATTACCATTAATAGGGGTCAAAGGGAATTTAAGTAGAGTTTGAATAGTTTGAAATAATTCAATGTCACTAACATTATCATTATTGACAATGAATGGAACAAATATTGGAATATATTCAATTGGTGATAGATTCAATATATTTGATAGTGAAGGTGAAATTGAATTAATAATCTCTAATTCTATGTCTTTTTGTTCTTCTTTTTGTTCTTGTTCTTGATTCTCTTTCTCTATCTCTATCTCTTTCTCTTTCTCTTTCTCTGTCTCTGTCTTTGGTTCTTGTTCTTTTTGTTTTTCAATTTCTCGTTGTTGTTGTTGTACAATTAATAAAGCATGTTCTTGACTATTTAATCTATTGAGCATAAAGGATAGGGTGTATTCCATTTTTGGTAGACTATAGTTATCCCATAGAATTGAGAGTATACCCAGATATGACGTCATGTATTCGTCATAGGTAGCAGGCTCTATTGACAGAGAAAGATTAGACAACCACTCTAAATACACCTTTATAAGAGGTGTCTGTATTCTCTCTCTCTCAAGGTTTACAAGAATTGGAACATATCTATTGATAGTAACTGCCATTTTTGCCAATTTAAACTATACAGATTAAATTATAGATTAAATTAATAAATAACTCTCTCTCTTTCTTTCTTTCTTTCTTTCTTTCTTTCACATTCACATGCATGCTACATACAAGTAATATATTTGATATAGAGTTTCGATGAATAGTAATGATAGCTTTGGCAGTCCCAGACACCATTTGAGCATCAAATCCTTGAAATGGGTTTAATGGATCAGTATACCTATTATTATTATTATTTGGTTGTACAACGACTAGACGACAGTCAATCACCAACATAAAGAGAAAATCAATGTAATCAGATACACCAACATGATTTGAACTAGTCTCTGCAAACAACATCTTTTTGTGAACAGTCTCTGATCTTTGTTGATTAAAGTAATTTGATATTTGAACCAATGTATCTATTGGAGAAGATGATGAACTATTCATAATTCTCTTTCTTTGATCGACCAATTGTCTAATAATACAAATACACCATTTAAAATTTTGTTTCTATAAATTACACATCTTTTATGTTAATAATCATCAAAATATCATTAGATATACATATATCCATATATACTAACCATTTCAATGTATTTATAAACTATATCTAATACTTCAATGATTGATTGGTCTGTTTGGAATGGTGTCCTATCAAACACAGCCTCAAAGAGTCGTCTCTTTATTTGGTCATCATGTTGTGATAGAATGATACCATTTATTAACTTGTCCATCTATCTCTCTTTCTATCTCTCTCTCCTCTCTCCTTACTATTATTATTATTATTAAAACTACAAAGAATAAGAAGACAATATTGATGAAAAAGAATGAATGAATGAATGAAGTTGAAGTATACTTTTAATAAATTTATTAAAAAATAATAGCTTGAGTGGGTGGTGAAGATCAGCCATTCATTCAATAGTTCAAAGAGAGAGAGAGATGATACATTTCTATATATTATCTGATTTGTATTTAGATGATACTAATCAAAGTGGAATAGTTGATGAAAGACTATTAAACTTGTCAAATCAAGATGGTGATAATATTGTGTTGGTTTTGGCTGGCAATATTGGAGTAATAAGAACAAAGGGTGACAATATCATTGATACTGAATCACCACTGTATAAATGGTTAGATGCAGTCATTAGAATCAAGAGTATCAATAGGATATACTATCTACCCGGTCCATTGGAATACTCATCTAAATACAAAGGTGCCACTGGCACTACTACGATTGGTGGTACTACATCTATGCAAACAATCAACAAAGCAATGCACCAATCACAATGGTTTACATCAAAGAAGTTGGTATGGATGCAAAACAAGACAATTGATGTCGGTAAATCTTTTAAATTGGTTGGGTGTACTATGTGGCCACAAATACCTTCGTCGTTTAAAGAACCCGTTGCATTCAAGGGATTCGATTATCGGTATATCTGTCCATCATCAGATGAACCATGTGGCCATTCCTATATGATGAGTAATCAAAAGGAATGGAGTAAAGATGATATTAAATGGATCAATGATACAGTCAAATCAATTGTTAATGAATCGTCGTCATCGTCACTATCTTTATCATTAACAAATAGTGATAGTGATAATGAGTGTAGTATAATAATGCTTACTCATTATTCTCCATCTATTGATACTTCTATATCCCCCGAACTACCTTATAAAAAGTATGTTTATTAAATTTATATATATATATATACATAACACAGATTTGTGAATATAATACTTATATACCTTTCTTTCTTATTTTCTAGGTCACTTTCAATTTGTAGTGATTTAAGATTTGATAGTTTTATGTCATATTATGGTGACTATATAAAGTATTGGTGCTATGGGCATACTGGAGCTAATCCATCTCACAACCTAGTTAACGATCAAGTACACCTAGTCTCAAATCAACAATTCGACGGATCAGCTTTCAATGGCAACACCAATAGTACTAGTCATTCTCCAATCAATACTTTTAGTTTAAACAAACCTTTTTTCTCTATACCAGGTCATTTGGAAAAATTAAATGATCAGCAAGGACAAGAAAAAGAAACAACAAATGATAATAATATTAATAATGGATTTAAATTACCAACACTACCAGCTTCAAAAACAACAACTTCAACAACAAATCAATTTAAACTACCTGTTGTCGATAATCAAGATAAATTAAAGAATAATAATAATAATAATAATGGAAATCAAGTATTGGATTCAATTTCAGATTTATTAAGTAAACCAATGAGTGAAGAAGAAAGAACAAAACAATTAACAATGCTCATGATGAAAGGTAATCAAAATGACAATGACGATTTAAATAATAATAGTAATAGTAAATTCTTTGGAAAATCATCGGCACCCAAAAATATAGAATTAAATAACAAAAAGGATAATAATAATAATCATCAACCAAAAGTATTTACAGCTGAAATGTTTGAAAATGATTTTGCAGATGATGATGAGAGTGACGATATATTTTCAACAACACCTAAAAGATCAATTGATGAAACTACAACTACCCCAACCACAACAACAAATATTAATATTGATAATAATAATAAGGAAGAAAAGAAAAAGAAAAAGTTTAAATTTTAAAAAAAAAAAAATCAATCTAATCCAATCCAATCCAATTGAATAATATAATATATATATATTTTTGTTGTTGTTTACAAAGGAAGGAAAAAAGATTTTATTTTTGATTTTATTTTTGATTTGTGATTTGTGGTTTTTAAATTTATCTACCAACTCTGCACAATTCAACATCAAAGACGAGGGTGGCGTGTGGGGGGATATCTGGCTTGGCACCTTGAGCACCATAACCGAGGTGGGATGGGATGGTAAGTCTACGCTTGCCTCCGACCTTCATACCGGCAACACCGAGATCCCAACCCTTGATGACTTCACCAAGACCCAAAGAGAAGTCAAAAGTTCTCTTGAGCGATGAGTCAAAGGTCTTACCGTTGGTCAACTTGCCAATGTACTTGACGGCAACAGTCTTGCCACGGGTGGCTTCTGGGCCAGAACCGACGATCATGTCTTGGACAATGAGACCGTTTGGATTCTTGACAATCTTTGGTTGTTCGTTCTTGGTTGGGGTGGCAGCTTTGGCTGGAGCAGCAGCAGCTTCCTTCTTGGCTGGGGAGGCAGTTGGCTTGGCTGGAGCAGCAGCTGGCTTGGCAACTGGAGCAGCTTGTTCAGCCTTGGTCTTCTTGATTGGTTGTTCGGCGGCGGCGGTAGCATTCTTACGCTTCAATTGCTTGGCAGCTTCTTCAGCGACGAGTTGCTTGAACAATTCTTCGTCGATTTCTTCGTCGTCTTCCAACTCCTCATCTTCGTCTTCGTCGTCATCGCTACCCTCGAGACCTTCAAGACCCTCTTCGTCTTCATCTTCCATATCGTCTTCGTCGTCTTCATTGGCGTCCATTTGCGAGACAAAGAAACCAGTGACGTGGATTGGTTGGCCAGAACCCAATACTTGGAATGAAACCTCCTTGCCCTCTTCGAAAATAAGGTCCAAGGACGAGTGTTCGTTCTTGCCCAACACCAATGAACACAAACTGTATTCTTGACCGTCGTACTTGACGACGAGGATGTTACGCTCGGTTCCCTTGGCAGCGGCAGCCAAACAGGCACCAGTTACATGAGTATCATATGGTGGTGTGAACTTGACAGCTTCCTTTTTAATTTCCAATCCTACATATCATAACACATATTCATTAGTTTACTCTTACTATTGTTGTTTACTATAACTATATGCTGTGTCTCTCTATTTCTTTACATACCCCAAAACATTTTATAAGTATATTATTTAATAGATATAAATGGAACTAACAAAAAAGAATAAGTCAACAAATAGATCTTAAAGGTGAGAGAGGAGGAGAGGCGACCCGCAGCAGTCTTTCTCGTTTTTTTTAAATTTATTTTTTTATTTAAATATTTTTGACAAAAAAGGAGGGAGGGGTTAAAGTATACAGAATTCGGAAGTTAGAGTTATTTCTTTAATCTAATTAATTAATCTTCTTTCTTTCAAAAATGAGTAACAAAAAGAAGAAGAATAATAGCAATAGTATAATCAATGATATTCAACTTGGTTTGGATGAAGATGAGGATGAAATAGAGGATGATGATGATTATGACACAGCAGATAGAGGAGGAGGTACAACTACTAGAAATACTACACTTTCTGCTGCGATTAATTGGATTGATAATGAATTTCCTGACCAATTATTAATACAACAATATGAAAAGGGTAGAGTAGGTGGAGAAGGATTAGGAGGATTAGGAGGATTAGGTAATAATAAGAGTCAATTTAAAACACCTACAACAACACCAAAATCAAGGTCAACAACCGTTACACCTAAAGCTCCAATAATTCATGGTACCTCGACCACCACTACTACAAATTCAATTAGGAAACCAACAACATTATCATCGTCGTCTTTGTTGTTGTCGTCGTCGACATTAAAGAGTGGTGTTAGTAGTAGTAGTATTTCTTCATCTATTAAATCTGAACAAATTATAAAGAATACACCTCCATCTTTTCAAAATGATAATAATCGTAATGGTAATAGTGGTAATAGTAATAGTAGACCAACATTGGCAGTTATTTATAACAAATTGAAATTAGGTATTGCTTATTACGATCATATGACATCAACCTTGTCAATGAGTGAAAGTTGGGAAGACGATTCTTTTAATTGTTTAACTATTTGTAAGTGAGAAGAGAGAGAACATAGATAAATTTAATCTACTTTACTAAACCCTCTTTTCTTTTATTTTTTAAAAAGTAAAACAACAAATTAAACCAAAGATGATTATTGTACCTTCAAGAATGCCACAAAAGTTTATTGATCAAATCAATTTAAATGAAACACCTGAATATGAAAGTGTTATCTATACAGCCAAACAATCTGATTTTGATTATGATCTTGGAAAGACTAGATTGTTTAATCTAAAGTTACCATGTCAAGATGATTTCCATGCAAAATCTCACTACCTTGAAACTCAAGTTGATTTTGAGTGTCAGGAAATGGTTAGTCTTGTCATTTTATAAAACACAATTGAATATTAAAAACATTGTTCTCCTTTACTATTAACATTTACTTTATATATATATTTAGATTAAAGCAACAAGTGGATTATTATCTTATTTATCTAAATTTTTGGCATTGGACGAATTTGAAACATTAGAGAATTTACAAATCAATGAAATTCAACATATTTCTTTGTTTGTTATCAAATCATATATATTATTATTTAATATTTTATATTTATTAACTTTTTACTTTCCTAATGTTTTAATATAGAGATCAATATTTACATATGGATATAAATTCATTATATTCATTACAAATATTTTCAAATGAACAACATCCAAGTTGTTATTCATTTGGAAATTCAAAAGAAGGTTTAAGTTTATTTGGGATATTAAACAAAACAAAATCAAAAATTGGTAAAAGAATGTTAAAGTATGTTACATCAATACATTTATATGTGATCATTTATATTATATTTACTTTTTTTTATTTTATTTAGATCATGGTTTATGAGACCATCAAGACAAAGAACTATTATTGAAGATAGATTAGATGTAATAGAGTGGTTATTGGATCAATCACAATCTACAATCATTCAAGAACTATTAGTTTCAATTGGAAATATTAGAGATTTACATATGATATTGAATAGATTATCACTTTCTCAATCACCTTGTAATGATTTAATTTCAATCTATAATGTATGTTTAAAAATAATTATGTCTATCAGACTATAACTTTTCTCATATTTGTTCAAATTATCAACTATCTTTTCTAGACTCTTTACAATTATTTTCAAATTATAACAATAATTGAAAATTCACCTGATACACCCAATTTGATTAAAGGAACACATATAGCATTGGATTCAATTAAAGATTTGTTTGAACATTTTGAAAATACATTTTCATTGGAACATATATTAAAATTCCGTCAACTTTATATTAGAGATGGATTTGATCAACAATTGGATAAATTAAGAGAAGTTTTTAATTCAATGAGTTCAATTTTGGTTTGTACAATCCAATCAACTATAAATAGAAGAAATTGAATTGTATTGCTAACCTTCTTCTTTTTTTGTTTTTTAGACAAATACAGGAGAAATAGAAAAAACCAAATTTTCAAGAATAACATGGATAGAATCATTTCATTTTGTTTATTATCCACAATTGGGATGTTTAATATGTATCCCTATTTCTCATACAGTACCAATTCAAACTCAAAAAAATATTAAAGGTTTAAAATTTTTGGTATGTCAGACAATGAAAGGAGATTCAAAGTTTTCTATATAAATATATATATATTTACTTACTTTTTCTATTTAGTTTCAAACATCACAATATATTTATTTTCAAAATGAAAAAACAAAAGAATTGGATGAATATTTTGGTGATATTCATCATGATATTATTGACATTCAATCAAGGATTGAAAGATCAATCGTTGACAAGGTACTCGAAAATGTTTCACAATTGGTAGCAATTTGTAACTATTGTTCCCAACTCGATTGTTTTATTTCACTTGCTCTGGCCTCCAAAGAGTTGAATTTTGTCAAACCAACAATCAACAATGAACATCGAATCAATATTGTAAATGGAAGACATCCTCTTCAAGAAATTTGTGTTCAAACTTTTATTCCAAATGATACTAAAATTAATACAATAGATAATATTGATAATAATATTAATAATAATAATAATGGTAATTATAAATATATATACATTTCAACGAAAATTCATGTTCTAATATTTATCTTTATATTTATTTAGAGAAAAAACAATTTCTATTTATTACAGGACCAAATCAAAGTGGTAAATCAATTTATTTAAAACAAGTTGCAATCATTGTATTTTTAACTCATTTGGGGTGTTTTGTTCCTGCAAGCTCTGCTGATATTTGTTTGTGTGATAGAATATTTACAAGAGTATCATCAAGAGAAAGTTGTATGGTATCAGAGTCATCATTCATGATTGATTGTAAACAAATATCACAAATGACTAGATTTTCAACTTCAAACTCTTTATTAATTATTGATGGTAAAAAATAGTAATAGAGTAAACTAAAAACACATTCAGATTTTATTAACATTTTAATTTTTATTTAATTTTCTTTAGAATTTGGAAAAGGAACCAATCCAAAAGATGGAATTTCAATATTATATTCATTGATTGAATTTTTATTATTTAAAGATAATGCACCAATTACACTAATGTGTACTCACTTTTATGAATTGTTTGATTTGTTTACTCCTGAAATGAACAATCAAATATTATTTAATTCAATGGAATTTATTATTGATGATAGTAATAGTCTTGGATTAGATATTTCAAATTATATTCCTCTTTACAAGTATGAAAATATATATATTCACACCATTCAGTATTGCATTCTTTTTTTTACTTAAATATTTTATTTTTTATTTTCTAGATTGATTAATAAAAAATCAACTCAAAGTTTTGGTTTAACATGTGCAATGAATGCAGGAGTTTCAAAGGATATATTAATACGTACAATGGAAATTATCAAACATCAAATGAAATTTAAAACCATCAATTGCAACTATTTTGAACCGTTACCAACCACCGAAAAAGAATCCAATCGTATACAATTTTACAATCAATTGTTGGATTCATTTTCACATATCGAAGATAATTTACAATCTATTACTCCATCACTTGAAAATCTTTTAAATCTAATTAAATCAAGAAATGATATTGAAAATGATAAAGACACCAGAGAGGAATAAAAACAATAAATAAATCATTCATTTATAATGCCGTAAATTTTAATTTTAATTTATTTTGTAATATATATTTCTTTAAACAATAAAAAGAAAGAGGAAGAAGAGGGAAGAAGAATTTTTAAAGTTGTGTAATTATATTACATGTGAGTACCTCCATTGGCAGAGGAACTGGTTCTAACCATCCAATTCCAATTTTGCATACAATAAGAGATAAAGTTAACTGCCAAGAATGGAATAAATGCAATTACTGTGAAAACAATGTCAGAATCCATAACAATTCTTCTATTTAATCTTTCTCTTGATTCTTCATCGTCACTTGTCTACAAATAAAAAACAATTAATTAATAAAACTGTATCTACCTACTCTACTCATTTTGATTGTGATATAACATACTGGACTAATAGAGAATGATAATAATTGATCATGAGCTTCTGCTTGAATATTTAAATCTGGTTTTGACATGGCATTGTAACTCTTTTTAAGAATACTCCATCCAGTCAATGGATTCTTTCCAAGTCTGAATAAATGGAACAACACTAAAATTTGGAATGATAAACCCCAAACAAACCATACCCATAAATTATCTAAATAATAATAGTAAATAAAGAAAGATTATTAATAATCAATAATCATTCCTTCTTATTTCTTCCTTTTTCTTTTCATACTTGGATCATTTGAAGCATAAACTAAATCCTTATCCAATTGTAAAGCAAGGATTGAAAGAACCCATTGAGCAATGATATCAATGATGAGTACCCATTGTGGAACACGAGTTGAATAGAAATGAAGGAAGAAACCAATAGATGTACCAGTGAGGACTTGACCAACAGTATGGAAACCCAAGATGGTACGTTCAAAACAAACGCAAGCCATCAACAAGACACCTGCAACTCTAGCAAAGAGTGGATAAAATGGTGCAGAATCAATTAAAAAGGCACCTAAAATACCTCCTGCCATGGCATCACCAGATGGCACTAAGAAATTGAAAATAGAAATAGAAAAGATATATATATGTTAATCAAACTACTAGAATAAAAAGTTTGAATGAAATCTCATTCATTTCAATGTTTGTGTTGATTGATACATACTACCATAATAACTACCAACATGAACACCATTACATTCACATGGACGACGTTGACGAAAGATTGCATAGAGACCAACACCAAGTACCAATGGATAGGCAGCACGATGAAGCATGTGTACGATGGTGATACGCATCGATACATACTTGTTCTTGAGTGCTGGATAGACCGATGGAGAGGCACCGACCAAAAACATTGCTGGTAGAATCAACAACAAGCTGGTGACAGTGTAGGCAACGGTACGTGGATTGACAAACTGCATGATAAAGTTTGCCATCAATGGTAGTACATTCTCATTGTTCATCATACACTTGTTGAAAAAGTTGTCTCCATTTACATTGGTACAATTGACTGTATTCATAGCTGATACTTGTGATACAGCCAATAAACTGATTAAAAGAAGTAATAGTATTACACTTTTCATCATCATCATCGCGAGGAGGTGTTTCTAGCTAAACTAACTAAATCTCTTGATGATTCTATAATATTATAGAATATATAAATAACTTTAAAGTTAAAGAAGGGTGGTGGTAATTAAGGGTGATTGATTAAAACTGACTTTTATAAACACATAGTGTGCTTAAAATTGAGGTGAGGAGGGTGGATCGATTGATTGCTCGTCTCTGAGACTGAGAATTTTCAATCGAGCTTTTTTTTCCAACCGTCGCTTCCTTCTTTGCCCTGTCTCGAGAAATTTAAATATTCCATTTTTCGAAAGTTGGGAACACTGTGGAATTCTGTAGAATCAAAGTCGATTGTAAAATATCGTATTAAATTGTTTAAAGGTTTAGGTTTATTTTTGTTTTTTGTTTTTGGTTGTTGGAAATATTAATATTATTTACAAAATAAATTGAATAAATAAAAACAATCTCAATTATAGATATATTCATTCATTCATTAATTGAAGATCATCGTACTTAATCGCTGGCGAGTGTAAGGTGAGTGGATAAGGTATGTATGTGTTTGTTTGATTGGTTGGTTGACTGGCTCGACTCAAACAGTTGGTTGATAGGGAGAGGTGGAATTATTATTATTGTTATTGTTATTGTTGTTAGTATTATTGTTTTGATTACTCCAGTTATTGTTGAAAGGTGGTACTTTGAGAGTTTGAGCAAGTCTGCTAATCTTTGCCAACAATTCTTGCTTGTTGGCTTCATCGTTTACTGGGAAGCCGTCATTTCCTCCTCCTCCTACACCGCTACCACTGTTGAATTGATCGGGGAAACCTCCTCCTACACCTACACCTACTCCTACTCCTCCTCCTACACTAGGTAATGCTGCACCACCTCCTATTGTGTTTCGGTTCATGTTCAAATTGGAGTTATTGTTACCTCCCATCATATTGTTCATGGACAAACTATTCATCATTGAGTTGGCACCACTACCACCGGCATTGAAATTTGAGTTGTTGTTCATCATGTTCATATTCATGTTATTGTTTGATGCTCCGAATTGGCTCATATCACCTCCTCCCATGAATCCACCTGCTCCTCCAAATCCGACACCATTGCTCATCATATTCAACATACCACCAGCATTACCCATCATGGCTCCTCCAGAATTCATACCTAAACCACCATTATTCATATTGTTGTAATTGTTGTTATAGTTTTGGTTCATATTGTTATTGTTGTAGTTGTTGTTGTTCATGTTATTGTTATTGTATCCACTATTAAATCCACCAGATCCAAAGTTGTTTTGGTTAAAGTTTTGATTATTGTTGAAATTTTGGTTACTATTATTATTATTATTATTATTGTTGTTATTATATCCTAATAAAAAAAAAATGGTTAGTTTGTTAAATAAAAAATTGTATTTACTATATATATGTATACTTACTGTCATCTCCACCACCTCTTCTTGAATTATTTTTATATTCTTGGTTACGATCTGATTGATAATTATTTCTCATTGGTCCACTTCCACCTCTATTATTATTATTGTTGTTATTATTATTGTTATTATTGTTATTGTTGTTGTTATTGTTACGACCTCCACCACGACCACCTCTATGTTCCTTTATCATTCCATCAGATGCATCAATAATGGTTGGAGTTTCCTTTGGTGCCCAACTACCAAGATCAAGAGATTGGCCTGCTAATTCTTGTCCATGTGCTTCCTTCATTGCCTTGTCACATGCTCTAGTATCATAAAACTCAACCAATCTAAAAATAATAAATAATAAAATAAATCAAATTAAATTAATATTTTGATTTGATATTTGTTTTGTTTTTGTTTTTTTTTACTTACAGTTGTCCATTCTTGTATTCAGTTACATCCTTTAAATCACCATAGGTACTAAAGAAAGTTCTCAACTCATTCATAGGAATAGTATTATTCTTTACTAAAATATAACCTGAAAATGCACTCTCATCACTTTGATTCTTTGGAATTGAAAAATGAACATCAATCTAGAAAAAGAAATAAAAAAGAAAAGAAAATTAATCATTTGTATAAAATATTATTAACAATAATATTATATAAATTGTTATGATATACTTACGGATCTACCTTGTAAAATAATACCTTGGACATCATTTTTGGCTGCCTCTGCTTCTCTAATATCATACTAATAAAATAAATAAATAAATAAATATTTTGATTCCTTTCTTTCTTTTGTTTAAAAGTATTTTGTTTTGTTTGTAACTTACAAAAGTAATAAAAGAAATACCTCTATTCTCAATGGCAGAGAATTTCTTTCTGATTTCACCGTATTTGGAAAACATGGCAACAATTTCATCTTCCTTTACATTGTAGGCAATGTTTCTAACAAACAAGGTACGACCTGGTTTTTCTTTTTCTCCTACTACTTTACCTGTTGTGATTATTTAAAAAAAGAGAGAGAGAGAAAGATCAAAGGTTGTTTTATGTTTAAATCAATTCATGAATTTTTGGATAGAAATATTAAAATCATGTGATAAATAAATATATATAGAGGTAATTAATTAAATGGTTAGTTGATCAACTTCAAATCAAATCAAAATCACATGACAGATGGACAAAAGGGTGTTTAAAAAAAAAAGGTAGGGTATTTGTTGCGTTGGATCATATATCCTCATTATCATCCTAATGTGTGGGGGCTTGTTGTTGACAAGTGGTAGGGCACACTCGCTTGCTCGCTCGCACAACATTGCAATAATATTGAATAGAAATAGAGAATAGAAAAGAAAGAAAGAAATAAAGAAAAAAAAAAAAATAGATCAGATGATTTTTGAAATTAGTATTACATACCATTTGCATCTTTGTACAATACTGGTCCTTCAACTTTTGGTCCTCCATTATTGTTATTATTATTACGTCTATTATTATTGTTGTTACTATTATTATTATTATTCATATTATTATTCATGTTATTATTCATATTATTATTCATATTGTTGTTCATGTTATTATTCATGTTATTGTTCATGTTGTTAAAGTTTCCTAGACCTAATCCTACTGCTGCTCCTCCCATCATGCCGCTGCCTACGCCGCCATTCAAATTACTATTCATTTGATTCATGTTCATGTTCATGTTATAATTACCCATCATATTGGTATTGGCGTTGGAGGAATATCCTCCCATGCCTCCTCCTCCTCCGATGCCGCCATTCAAATTACTATTCATATTGTTGCTGTTGGGCATCATCATTGAACTTAAACTATTCATACCTCCTCCACCTTGTAAAAAGTTATTGTTATTGTTGTTTGGACTGTTGTTGACATTATTAGTATTGTTATTGTTTGGACTATTTGATAATGTATTATTATTATTAATAGGACTATTAAGATTATTATTATTTGGACTGTTATTATTATTATTATTATTATTCATCATCTTATTATAAACGAAATGATTCTCAAAGACTGAGATAGATATTTAATTAAATGTAAATGTAGTAGTAGAAGTGTATAAAGTCTTTTCTTATCTTAATGTGAAATCGTAGTAGTAGTAAAGATATAGATAGATGTTTGTTCTTCTTCTTTCTTCTAAGGACTGTGGACAAACAAAACAACTAAACTAACTAACTAAACTAACTAAAGTATTTCTTTCTTTCTTTCTTTCTTTCTTTCTTTTTTCACGCTAAAGTAAATTATAATTGAAATGGATTTACAACAGCTGACATATTTTGTGTGAGCAGTTTTCTTTCTCCAACCCAAAAAAAAAAAAATTCAAAAAAATTAAATAAAAAACCGAAGAGAACATGATACTTCTTTACTCTCCGGAGTGGATTGATGGGATGGGTATGTTGGGGGTTACTAATAATAATAATAACGACAAACTTAATCTCAATCTTCACGACACGGAATAAATAACAATTTTAAATATATTTTTATATTCTATAGAATAATAATAATAGAATAGAAAATAAAAGTAATGTAATATTAAATGGATGGATAGATGGATGGGTGGTCTCCAATTATTTTAATCCTGTAGGCGGGGCAGTCTCAAAGATATTTATTATTGTATTTATAATAAACAATGAAATCGATTGTCGCGTGGCATTAAATTATGCGTGCATGTATCACGACGATGATTAATCAGAACCCCCTAACCGACAAGTAAGAATCCTACATAAGGTATCTCAACGCCAGAGAGAGAGAATATTATTTATTTTCCAAAGACCTATCATCTGACTGGAGCAAATTCATATAAATTTTAAACTTATTAGTGTGGCAGAGCGGTTTGGTGTATAAAATAGTTTGGTGTCCAAATTAGCTGAAAAAATGGGCTCATACCCATTTTAATAGAGGTTGGCCACCCATTCTCTTCAAACAATTTTTTTTCAAACAATTTTGAACACAATTTTTTCAACCTAACCAACTCACTCCTCTCAGCAGAGGTGATTAAAACTTCATTCTCATACATCATACTTTCAAATATATCTATTTATTATCTATACTATTAAAAAGTAAGTAAAACAAAAAAAAAAAAAGAATAGAATAATAATAATAATTGGATAAGATTAAGAGACTATATATTGTTGTCTTCAACAACATATAAGTCATGAGGAAAGGTTGAAGTTGTGACTTTGTTGCAAGATAAAATTAAATAATAATGGGATTGTTAAGATGAATGAATGAATGACTAACGACCAACCACCATTCTTTTATTAGTGAGAAGAACATTAGCCGGTCCAGCATCCTCCACCTCAACCTACTCCCCAAAGGTATGTACACATATTATAAAATGATTTATCAATCATTTAGATTCTGTGTGAATATGAATATTAATAATATTAATCATTTTTATAATGAAAATAGCTTGACCCAGGAAAAGCTGCCCCATCAGGTAACTCTGGTGAAGGTTACAGACGTCCAGGTACCGCTGCTTCTGGTCCACAATCTGCCACTGCTCCATACGTCCCAACCACCGACATTGGCAAGCAAGCTCCATGTAAGTAACACACAATCAAATTGTAATATATATGTAATACTTTATCAGTTACTAATTAATGAATTACTTTTATTACCATTATTTGTAGCTGGTCAAACCTCAGACTCTTTCCGTAGATTCAACAGCGCTTCTGGTCCACAATCCTCACAAGCTGCATACACCCCAACCAACGACCCAGGTGTCAGCTCCTCAGTCTCTGGTGGAGGTGGTAACGACTACTTCTCTCACCACAATGACCAAAACTAAATTATTATAAATATATGTTATATTATGTCTTAATACAATCAAAACCCAAAATAAATAAATATACCTCCCCCCTTTGTAATAAATAAATCTAAAATGCGTTTGCAAGCAAATGCCCCTCTAGTTCCACTTGAGGTGATGCCATTTGTTTGTTCACTCATCATATATTTATATGTATATATATATATATATACAACCAACTAAACATGCATGCAATGTATATATCCAAATTCAAGAAAAGAACCTCTCTATTCTAGAGATGAGCTTACATGTGTGTCGTGTAAGCATTGACTATAGTTATACAGTTAGTTGATGACTTTGACAAGAACGAGTATTACAACAACAACAACAAGGTAGATTGGTTGACATATGAACTACTCTCTCTGTCTCTTTCTCTTGCAAGAGAGGAATGAATGTATGGTTATAACATTCAAATTAATAATTCCATATGGTTAACACTATCCATACTCATACACTTCAAATGGTTGAATGTAATGTCAACCCCCAGTTGGCAGTCAGATGGATAGGTGTAAGCGAGTAAGTAAGTAACACATCTGTTAATATAGATTAAATCTATTTGTCAAGTTAATGGTATGGTTGATATCGTATCGGACAGTTTTGAACACCATTCATCATTCTTCACAACATCTATACGTATAGATGTAATGTAATATATATATATATATATTACATCGACCATGGTATGTTCACACATCGATTTTCTTTCCATCCTTTGGAGGAAACAAAAAAAAAACTTGGTAGAGAGAGAGAGAGTACAACTAGCAAGTAGTTATACAAATTATTATTGTAGGTATAGTAAGGATAACCACCACCACCCTTGTCATCCACATCCACATCTTCACACACACACGCACGCACGCACACGCAAAAGCACATTTAAAATTATCTCTTTCACACCACACACTCTCTTGTATTATTACATTTACAACAACAACCAACAACACAACATTCCAGTTGCAAATCTCGATTGGATTATTTTTTGTGGTATCCACATTTGTGAAATCAAATCTTCATCATACACCAACACATATGTATCCTGTCGTACAATATACCTAAATAGGGAGAGTGGATTTTAAATCACTACCACCACCTCGACCACCACTTGGTTGCTTTCTTGTCAAGATCACATCTTTGGATATTATTTTAAAAAAATAATGAATGGTTGTGTTTTCTTTCAGATCATCATCATATGATTACAATACATAATATTTTATTCATTATCTCTGTCTCTGGTAATAATAATAGTAATTTATTATTGATGATTTCCAACAACAATAACAAGAGAGTAGTAGTAGCAGGAGGGAAAAAAGGTATGGAGTTTGATGTTGTTCACGACCATTCTTATTCCACACACACACTCACACATCCACATCCACACACATCAATTAGCAGCAGCAGCATAAATCAATCCAAGAAGAAATACAACTAGTCAAGAATATTGAATTTTAAAAAAAGATAATAATTATTTAATTTAAATTCATATAATTGGTGTAATCATGTAAATGCGAATCAATGATTCTCTTTAAATAATAATAATAATAATAATAATAGTGATCACTATTATTATTCTTGTTTTATTGTATTGATTGATTGATCATAATAATAATAATAAATATTATTATTATTATTATAGCATCAACACTCAACACCCCCACTACTACTACCACCACCGCATCTAATCAGTCTCATGGATCGAATCGAATCGTTTCACTTCGTTTTCTTTTATTATTGTTGTTACTATTTTTAAAATGAAATAAAACAATCACTACTTGAAAAAGGCTGGATTTGATTGTAGTGGTGCTGGGTAAAAGAGTAATAGAAATAATAGTAATAATAATAATAATTATTATTATTTAAATACCGCCGTAAATCTATTGTTATGACATTACCATTGAATCATATCAATTCATACATTTAGACACTAGTAACAATAATAATAATAAAATATAATGCCTGCCGAATAGAATAAAAATAATAATCATCATTAATTAAAAATTAAGATTATCATTTTTTAAACAAAAATGTAATTAATTAATACAACAAAAGATTGTCATAATTTCCTTTTACCATTATTAATATCACCACCACAACACCCTCATTCATTATCATTATTGTCGTGGAGTACGATAAATATATTCCTTCCTTCTCTTCCTCTTCTTCCTAGCCACTCTGGAAGGGAAATAGCTATTTGTCGCATTTCCAGGCTCGGTAAATACATCATTCACTATTATGATCCCATACATTCATAATCATTCCTACTATCCAAGTATAGTATGGCAAACTTGCAACCATGTCAACACGCACACTCCACTCACACTCACTTTTCCCAAATCTCAATTCCGCATCTCCATTGTTATTGTTGTTGTTGTTATTTTATTCTTTCTCAACACCCCTCACCTCCTCTTACTCCTTATAGACTAGTATATACCATATGGTTCATATTGTTTGAACAACAACAACAACCATAACAATAGAACAACAGTTTCACACACACAGGAGTGAGTGTTATAACATCAAGTCGTTTTCATCAAAACTACTAGAAACAACAACAACAACAGGAAATATATATATAAATATATATAGCAATAATAGGGATAGTACCGAGAGAGAGTGACCCAGTTGCCATATTTGTTGTTGTTTTTAAAAACCAATTAATTTAATTGTTGTTGTTGCCATCCATCCATCCATCCATCAGAAATAATAATAATTAATTAAATTATTTTCTTATTGGAACAACATTGGATAAAAAAAATCAAAAATGTAATTACCTTTTTGTTGCTCAACATCACACATCATTGTCGGCACCAAAAAGTCTAAAGTCTCTAGAAACTTGGATTGTGGTTGGACAAACCAAAAAAAGGGTCATTGTTGTGTTTTCCTTTTTTTGGTCAATTTTACCAATCGTGTCAAAGCGATGGTTTGACATACAAACAAAAACTAATAACCCGCGGGAAAAATGACCTTTCAATTGTAAAGATCTTCTTCTAAAATTATAATTGTTGTTTTTTTTTTTTTTAAAAGATTTTTTTATTAAAATTTACAAAAATAGTATTCTCAAGAAACATGGTCTTATTTCTTTTCCCTTTTTTTTTTTTTTATTCTACAAAAATGAAATTCATATTTTCTCAAAAAATAATATAATTAATTAATTGTCTGTCAGTATACACTAATATATATTTTATTTTATTTATAAAATTTTATATCATATTATTAATAATCCCGACGTCGGGAAAATTATAAATGGTTTATTGATATTTTTTTTCCAAAAATGGAAACTTTAAAAACTTTCCAACTTTTTTTTTTTTTTTTTTTTTGTTTGGTTTTTTTTATCCATTGTCCAATTGTCATTGGACGGGACATGACAAGGTATCCAGACACGACAGTTAGCAACCGTCACACACCGAGATTTATCTTCACAATCCTAACCCTAACCCCATCCATCCACTTGGTCTCTCTCTTTGAATCACCCCCTATTCCTCCTCCTCCTCCTACACATCTTTCACTATTTCCACCAAAACCCATCTCCACATATACACACATGTGATACACAATCAAACCACTTCTTGGTTTTTTTACTTACTAATATAGTTATATATTTTTTATTCTATCATAATAATAATAATAATTAGATTTTTTGTACCTAGGAGTATCCAACACCTTAAACCTCCACCCACCCACCACCCTCACCCTGCTCGACCATTAAGGGAATCCCTACCTGACCCACCCCCGCTCCTCCTCAGTGACTGCCGACGTTTCCAATCGACACTTTGGACCTTTTTTTTTATTGATAAAGTAACCTCCTCCTCCTCTCTTTGATTCCTTGCAAGCCCATTTGAAGAATCAAAAAATTCACCCCCTCTAGCAAGCAATAACCAACTAGGGTGTCTCTTTAAAAGGTGATCACCTACCTGGACCAGTATCCACATCCTTCAAAAAACAAAAACAAATATCAACTCTCTCAAATATTAATAACAAAAAGAAAGTAGTTGTCAAACGTACCACAGCAGTAGTAGTATTATCATCATCATCATTTTAACCTGGTATAGACATATTTATTGGTTGATTGCTTGGTAATTGGTCACTCAACCACTCACTTGCATTTTAAATAATTATTTATTCAATATACAAACACACAAACACACAAATATACTACTACTCTATCCAACAAAGAAAAAAGGTAATAGGAACACCCAACACCTTTTTTAAAAAAAACAATATATATTGACAACACTGATTACTGATACCCTACCAACCAACAACCAACCAACCCATCACACACACATATTTCATTCCATTCATAAATTAAAATTATAATAGATTTCCACCATCAAGATGGATCTAGCCAACAGACACAAACAAATGAATCATTTTATTACCCAGCAACAACAACAACAGTCAGCCGCCGCAGCAGCAGCAGCCGCTGCAGTGTCTCCATACACATACCATTGTGGGGGTACATCGTCACCACAGCAACAACACTCACCACTCTTTAATCCACCCCACATGTCCACAGAGTATGTGCAAGCAGCATTCAACAACAATGCCAATTATGCAGCTGCTGTTTCTGGTCAACACCAACAACAACAAATGCTGTTCCATCAGCAACATCAAAAAGATCACTTGCAACAACAATTAAGTCATTCAGCTAATCCACTAATAGACTCTTCAAGTGATATTAATAATTATCTCGTCGATCCATCCTCTTCCATCATGCACAGCGGAACTGCCACAGTGCCACCCAGCCAACACCAGCAACACCACAACGGCCACCAACAGCACCAGCAGCATCACGGCCACTCATCGTCGCTACATGACAGCAACCCCGGCCTCGGCGTGCCACCCATTCCATCGACATTTCCCAAAAACAATGGTGTATTCTATGGAATCGATCATAGTTCTGGACAATTAAAATCACCACTTGTTCATAACCCACAACAACAACAAGGTTCATTGCCACCACTACCACAACAACAAAGCCATCTCATTTCATCACCATTATTAAATTCATCATCTCCAAATTTAAATCTTGGACAACCTCAACCACAACAACATTTACTTCACCACGTACAATTAAACAATAGTAACAATGCTATACCATCACCTACCTTGTTGCATCATTCGGGCAACTCTCATCCAACCCCTTCCCAACAACAACAACAGCACCATAACCAACCAATTCCTTCACCACAACTTCACCATAGCAATAGTCTTCCTCCAACACATCCAAATTCACATGCCAATCACCAACAACAACAACAACAAACAACCACTCAACTACACCAAAAACTAGAAAACAATCTCAACTTGTTTTGGCAAAAACAACTCAAAGAGGTAAAGAAGCTTGATGATTTTAAAACTGGACATGAATTACCATTAGCAAGAATTAAGAAAATAATGAAATCTGATGATGAAGTTAATGTAAGTAAAAAAAAAAAAAAGAAAAGAAAAGAAAAGATATAATAATATTTAAATTATTTTGATTTGTTTATTTAATTATTTTTAGAAAATATCAGCAGAAGTACCATTTTTATTTTCCAAAGCATGTGAATTATTTATATTGGAGATTACTCTAAGATCATGGGTTCATACAGAAATGAACAAGAGAAGAACATTACAAAGAACAGATATATCAAATGCTCTATCAAGGTCTGATACATTTGATTTTCTAATTGATATTGTTCCCAGAGATGAAATTAGACAAACTAAAAAATTCTATGTATGTAATTTAAATTAATAATAATAATAATAATAATATTGATTGATTGATTAATTTATTTAATTTAACTTTTAGGAGGAATATAATAAAGGAGGATTTATTACAGCAGAGTATATGCAATTTTTACAACATTTGGCAGACCAACAAAATGGCAGTGCAATTATGGCTAGTCATGGAATGGGTATGAAGAGATCAGTGTCAATGGAGAATTGTGAGTCTGATGACATGAGTCCCATGTCGAGCAGTCCCAAGAAACGTAGTTTCTCACACGACTTTACAATGAGTGATTATGCGCACCAACAACAACAACAACAAAACCAAATGTACTATTATCAGCAACAAAATGCTTTAAATGCACATCATCATCATCAACAACAACTTCATTCTTCTGCCAATGCAATCATGGTGAATAATAACAGTAACAATAACAATAATAATAATAATGTTCAACCTGCTGGTTCATCAAGTAACAATAACAGTAGTAATGGTACAAATACACCAACCGGTCATCCATCTCCTCCATTTCAACAACCTCCTCTTCCTCAAACACCTACCAGTACCAACAATGCCGTAATGAATCTACCAAATATTTTAAATAGTAATGGTGGTGGTGCAAATACCAACAACATTCAAATGGCAAATAATCACCAACAACAACAACAACAACACCATTTAAATACTAGTCAAAATAATAATTCTTTTTTACATCAATATTATGATGCATAGAGAATTGATTGATTATGACTAGAGTATTATTAATTATTCAAAACAAAACAAAACAAAAAATATTAATATTAATAATAATAATAATAATATAAAATACCGATTAATAAATAAACCAACCTAAAGATAAATTTGTAAATATAATAATAATATATGTGTTGTTTTACAGGTGGGAAATAAGTTCATGTTCAAAGTCATACAAAAGGTCTTTGTATATTGCCTTTAACCTAAAGTAGTATTTGAAATCAATCTTGGTCTCTTTGATCATCTTGATGATTCTTTTTTTAGGGTCAAACTTGATCGGTTTGATAGTGTCTTCAAAGTGGGCCAATTCATTCGCGTCTTTCAAAAGCTTGGGTATCGAATCAACATTGTCAATGGCTTCCTAGATGCTGACATAATAGGGTTTGTGCATCAACAGGTCATGTCGGGGGTTGATTGTTTGATTTTTGGAAGGAGAATAAATTCGAGATAATACTTTGAAATGGAGGACAGGTTCATTATAATACTTGTGTTGTTATCGATGGTGCTTTTTCTTTTTTCCATGTTGTTGTGAAAACCCAAGTGCTCACTAATCTTTTTCTCTATAATTTCATTCATTCTCTTTTCCATATCTTCCATGGGCTCCTTTCTAAATTCATCCATATCTTCCTTGAACTTTTTAATATATTCATTGATTCCCTTTTCCATATCTTCCATTAACTTCTTTTTATATTCATCCCAATCTTCATCATCATCTTCCATATTTTCCTGAATTGACATTTCTATTTCCTTCATGAAATGAATCGTTTGGAATGGGTTGTAAAGATATATATATATAGTATATATTTATGTATATATATATAGTATATATTTATGTATATATATGTTTTTGTATGTATGTATAACAATCACAGTAAATAAATTAAAAAAAAAAATGATGAACAAAAATTGTGACCCAAAGAAGGAGTGAGAAAAAAGGATTAATATTAATAAATAAATACCAATATAATTTTATAAAGAGACCAAAAAAAAAAGGGATGATAAAATTAATTTAGATTTTTATTAATAAATTTAATTTTAAATTTTATTTATATAAATATAATTTTATTGACCAAACTGTATATTTATAAGTGCGATAAAAATTCTTTAGGAGTAGTTTTCGAAATTCCATATGAATTTCACATACTTTCATCAACCGACTTTTTTTGAAAAAACGACCGAATTTAAGTAGTTTTGTAAAAAGTACGAGGTATCATCATTCGTTGTTCAGTTTCATTTCATTTCATTTTGCGTTAGTCTAAAGATATCTTTCTTTCAAAAGTAGTAATATAATTTGTTTATAGTACATCTTCTAGAGATAGTATAATAATAAGATGATGTTAAGAAGAGCAGCTTCAAGATTACCAATCAACCAGATTGTCAATCAATCCTCCACCACCGTCGGTAGATTATCTACTTTATCTTTTATCAACTCTACCACTTCTACTAGCAGCAGTTCACTCACATCATACAACAACAACTTTTATACTAACAACAATAATGTATGTATTACATAACAATCTATATCAATATTACTTTTACTAATATTAATTGTTTGTTTTATTTGTAGGTAAGAAACTATTGTCAAAAGAATAAAGTTGAAGATGAAGATATGCCAGAAGCATTATCATCGATTCAAGGAGAAGATTCGATCATTGAAGAGACTGAAAAGGTTGTAGGTGTGGCCGACAAGCACAGCTTCCAAACCGAGACACAAAAGATCTTGCATATTGTGGCCGAGAGTTTGTACACTGAAAAGGAGGTGTTTATCAGAGAGTTGATCTCGAATGCATCCGATGCCATTGAAAAGGCTCGTCACTTGCAATTGACATCGCAAAAGATTATGGACGGCGATTTGCCATTTGAGATCAAGATTGCAACCGACGACGACAAAAAGACACTCATCATTCAAGACACTGGTGTCGGTATGACCAAGGAGGAGCTCATCAAGAATCTCGGACGTATTGGGTACTCTGGCACTGGCGACTTCCTCAAGAACCTCGGCGACAACCCCGACAAGGCCTCTGTGATTGGTCAGTTTGGTGTGGGTTTCTACAGTTGTTTCATGGTTGGTCACACGATCAAGGTGTACTCGCGCTCGGCTGCTGTCGGCAGCAAGGGATACTTGTGGGAGAGTGACGGTGCCGGCTCGTACTCGATCAGCGAAGCTGACGGCGTGCAACGTGGTACCAAGATCATCATCCACCTCAAACCAAACTCGTACGAGTTTGCCAAAAAGGCAACGGTCGAGGCGATCATTAAAAAGTACAGCAACTTTGTTGGCTTCCCCATCGCGTTGAATGGACAGGCTGTCAACACCATCAAGGCACTCTGGACACTCAACAAGTCCCAAGTGACCGACGAAGAGCACAAGGAGTTTTACCAGTTTATCTCCAAGTCGTACGACACCCCCAACTACAAGATCCACTTTGCCACCGACACACCGTTGACTATCCGCTCCATCTTTTACATCCCATCACAACACGTTGAAAAGTATGGTATGGGACGTATGGAACCAGGCGTCTCTCTCTTTTCGCGTAAAGTGTTGATCCAGCAAAAGGCCAAGGGTCTGTTGCCCGACTGGATGCGTTTCGTGCGTGGTGTCGTCGATTCCGAGGACATCCCATTAAACGTGTCACGTGAACACCTTCAAGACAATGGTTTGATCCAACGTATCTCACAAGTGTTGGTCAAGCGTATCCTCAAGACACTCGACGACGAGAGTAAACGTGACCCAGCCAAATTCAACGTATTCATGAATGAATTTGCCGGTTTCTTCAAGGAGGGTTTGATCACTGATTTCAAGTGGAAGGATGATATCTCTCGTTTGTTGCGTTTCGAAAGCTCACACGAAGACTTGGAAGCAGACAACAAGAACACATCACTCGAAGAATACACCAAGCGTATGAAACCAGACCAAAACCAAATCTTTTACATTACCGTACCCAGTCGCGAGGTTGCACTCTCTAGTCCCTACTATGAGCCATTCAAAAACAAGGGTGTCGAAGTCTTTTTCCTCTACAACACTTTGGACGACTTTGTCTTTTCCAATATCGGTCATTTTGGCGACAAGAAGATCGTCTCTGTTGAATCTAAAGAAGCTGAAGAGTTTATTTCAAAGGACCAAGAAAAGCTTAAAGACACACTATCACAATCCGAAGTATCCGACTTTTTGAAATGGATCACCGATGTTTGTGGCGACAAGGTTTCAATGGCCAAGGCTACCACCCGTAACACTTCCACACCCGCTCTTATCGTAGACCACGAGTCTGCCACCTTCCGTCGTATGATGAAGATGATGGATCCATCCAAACAACACGATATCCCCAAACAACAAGTAGAATTCAACATGAACCACTCAATCGTCCTCAAGTTACATGCTCAACGTCAAATCAACCCAGCTATCGCCAAATTGGTTGCCGAACAAATCGTAGACAATGCTCTCGTCACTGCCGGTCTCTACGAAGATTCCCGTACAATGGTTCCACGTTTAAATTCAATCCTAGATAATTTATTAACTCAATCTCAACAACATGTTAATAAATAAATAAATTAAGGTTAAATAATAATAATAATAATAATATTGAAAAAACAAATAATATTTTAGAGTTTTAGACAGAGTCGGAGACCAAAGACTAGGTTCCCAAAAAAAAAAAAAAAAGAGATATTTTTCAATTTCTTTTTAATAATGTATTTTTAAAAATCTAAAAATACATTATTATTTCTTTCTTTTTTTAAAATATTTATTGTGTAATTTGGTTTTCAATATATTATATCTTTATAAAGAAAGATATCTTGATAATAAATATTAAACCTGTTTGTCAATAACAATCATTAATATTACCCCCAATGAAGTGAAATTTAATTGGCGGAGGGTTATGATGTCCAACCGCTTAAGCGATTTTTCATGAAAAAATTTCATTGTGTCCAAACAAGCTCACACACCCCTTTTGCAACACAAAAGATACCCACTCACACTACACTCTTCTTTAAAGGTCATCTCGATCAACAAACACCTTAAATTATAATAGTTTTAGTTGTTGTTGTACGAGTAGAGAGAGATATAGATAGATAGATAGTAGATATACATCTAAAACGACGAAGCAGCTGATACAATTTAAATTGTATTGTATAATTTACAAACTAGACGACAACACGTATAGTAAGAGTAGATAGAGTAGTTTACTATTAGTTTAGTAGAAGAAGAAGATAGATAGATAGATAGAATGGCATCATCACCTGAAGACGTAAGTACTAGATAGTAGTAGATTTAGATTCCCTCTAATAGTCTGGTTGATATATACCTCCCTTCTTTAGGTAACACCAGATCAATGGAATAGTCCAGATAAAGAAGGAGAATTAAAGAAACAGGGACACATTGTAAAGAATTGGAAAAAGAGATGGTTCCGCGTACAAAAGGATATGTTGTTTTACTTTAAGGAGGCAAGCGAGGCACGTCCTATTGGTGTGGTGCCGTTGCGTACGTGCAGAGTGTCAGAGAACAAGTCATTGGGTAAGCAGTATTGCTTCGAGTTGGTGTCTCCGCGTATCGACAAGACATTCTACATACAGGCAAATACACACGAGGAGATGGCATCGTGGATCAAGGCTGTCGAGAAGGGTAGCGAGTATTCGACAGTTGGCACGCCATTCAACCTCAAGCACATTGTGCACGTCGATTTTAACTCGGCAACGGGCTTTTCGGGACTGCCCAAGGAGTGGGAGGTCATCCTCAAGTCCAATAACATCAGCAAGGCTGAGGTGCTCGACAAGCCCAACGAATGGCTTCGCGTGCTCGAGTTTGAGGCTGCCCGTACCGGTGGCGACAAGGGCAAGCCCGAGGTGGTCAACGGCCTGCCCGCCGCAGCTGGTGGAGGTCCCGCCTCGCAAGCTGCCGCACCGTCATCTGCACCCGTACCTCTGCCCGACGAGTCCAACCACACACTCACGGACCTCGTCTCTAAAGAGGATCCGACCAAGATCTACAAGAACATGACCAAGATTGGCGAGGGCGCTGCCGGCGAGGTCTTTGTTGCCACGTCGTCCAAGAACAACAAGCGTGTTGCCATTAAAAAGATCGAGATCAACAATGACAATGCCAAGCTGCTCGTCACCGAAATTGCCATCATGAAGACATCGCAGCACGAGAATATTGTCAACTATATCGACAGTTACATTGTCAACGACCGCGAGTTGTGGGTTGCCATGGAGTTTATGGGTGGTGGCTGTCTCACCGACATCCTCGAAGCATTTGACTCTGTCAAATTGTCCGAAGTACAAATCGCCTACTGTGTCCGCGAGACACTCAAGGCACTCCAATACATCCACAGTCTCCATCGTATCCATCGTGATATCAAATCAGACAATATCCTCCTAGGAAGTGACGGTGCCGTTAAAATTGCCGATTTTGGTTATGCCGCTCAACTCACCCAAAAACAACAAAAGAGAAATACAGTAGTTGGTACTCCATATTGGATGGCTCCTGAATTAATTCGGTAAGTGATAAATAATACAAAAATAGAAGCAACAAGTCGTATATAATTAATTAATTATTATTCTTTTATTTCTATTTAGTGGACATGATTATGGTATCAAGGTAGATATTTGGAGTTTAGGTATTATGATGATGGAGATGGCAGAAGGAGAACCTCCCTATATGGATTTCCCACCACTCCGTGCACTTTTCCTTATCACTACCAAGGGTATCCCACCCCTCAAGGAACAGACCAAATGGTCCAAGGATTTTATTGACTTTTTCAGCAAGTGTTTGGATATTAACGTTCACAATAGACCAGACGCTTTAACTCTTCTCAAACATCCATTTATTGAAAAGGCTTGTGATCCATCTCAATTTAAACCTCTTATTCAACAAGCAAGAGAATCTTCTTAGATGCAATATAACCCACAACATACCAACCAACCAACCACCTCTTTAAACACACACACACACATAATCACATTCCTTTTATAAATTGATAGACATGAATATATCACATCCATCCCACCAAATCCATACGATCGCGGATCCGGACTACCTGCCCATTCATATTTATTATAAATTTAAATTTATTTATTTTGAAAAAAAAAGAAAAAAAAAGAAAAGAAAGAAAGAAGGTGTACTACCCTTTTATCGATCGATTGCCAGACTATACACACCAAATTACCTACTTAACTTAGAGATTAAACAGATCCATAACAAAATAAATTGTATTAATAATTATTAAAAATTAAATTTTCATATGATTAAGTGTTAATAAATGTTATATCAACTTGATAAAGTTTTTTATATTTAAAAGATGAAAATAAAAACTAGTTTTTCCCCTCTCTAAATTTTATTTAAATACAATACACCCAAATGCAGATCTTTCATCAAAAAAGTAATTCTTTTTTTTTGTCTTGGGGTTTGGATGTCCAAAACTTTTATTTATTTTTTTCTTCTATTTAAATTATTTTTTTACTATTACTATTAACAATGGAAGAAAAGATGGAGGAATCACCTCAAACATGTCCCACTACAACTTGTACCCCATCAAACCAAAAACAGGTTGAAATCACAGAAACTGGTATGAAATGTTTACTTGTTTGAAGTTTCTAATCAATGATTCAAAAGATTTTAAACTTTTGTACGGCTTTTAGTTTCCACCAACATGTCAGAAGAGGGCGTAGAGGAAGAGGTAGAGGAGGAAGAAGAGGTAGAGGTTCCACTTAGTTTGTTTTTTTGGAATCAATAAATATTTATTAATTAATTATTTATTTAAAATGAATAATTTTGATTTTGAGAGATGGGATGGGAGTGAGGGAAACAATCGTAATCGTTTTTCCATTTAATCATTAATACAACAGATTTTGTTTGTATCTTTATTTTTGGAAACGAGCACTGCTGCTGCTACCACTACCGCTACCTGTGCCCGATCCACTTGAAGAGGATGATCCACTGCCAGATCCAGAACTGCTACCTGAACCTGATCCAGATGAAGCAGAGGCAGATCCACTGCCAGAGTTGCTACCTGAACCTGATCCAGAGTTGCTACCCGAACCGGATCCAGAGTTGCTACCTGAGCCTGATCCAGAGTTGCTACCTGAACCTGATCCAGAGTTGCTACCGGAGCTCGATGTACCTGATCCTGATCCAGAACCGGAACCACTGCCAGAGGTGACTGGAGTAGATGATGAGGCTCCACCTGGGATCCAGTTTTCATCGATACCAATACCACAACCAGAGTTGGATGGATCGTCGAATTGCTTCATGGTTGGGGTTGACCAACCGCCGAATGGAGAAAAGTCATTGAAGTTGGGACTGCCATCATAGTTGGCGTACCAGAGTGGGAAGTTGGAACCACCTGAATAATCACCCATAATTGGTGACCATTGACTTTCTGATGTGTAAATACCAACAGATACTCCCTAGAAAAAATATAAAATATTAATATATCTCCTTGTTATTTTGGAAGAAATGATTTCTTTCTTTCATTTATACATACACTTAAACCTTGAACCAAACCTTCAAAGAATTGTTGGTTGGCACCTTGGTCACCACCCCAGTATGTACCTGGACCTTCAATGTCTAACCAGATCTTGCCAAAGTTGACACCATTGCTTTGAGCGAATTGGACGAGGGATTGACTTTGACCTTGTGGGTTACCGCAACTGAAACATGGGAACAAGTAGAGATCGACAGAGGTCATACCACCAGCCCAAGCAGCCGAGACAGATGATGCACAGTTTGGATCAATACCTCCAGATGACATGTAACATCTTACAATTGCAAAACTAAATATAAATATTAAATAAAAATGTAAGTTGATCGGTTGATAGATAGAATGCATAGATATATTAATTAGACTTACGTGAATCCCTTTCCGACGAGACATTGGAAACCAGCTTGATCTCCACCTTGTGACTGTTGTAATAATAACAATGTGGTTAATAAAAAATGTAATTTGGTTTGTGTGTCGCTCTATCAATTGATCATTGTCGAAGAAGTCATATTAATAGATCTATTTATAAAATTGTTTGATACATACAAGATCGACACCATAAGTAGCAGCAGCTACTTTAATGAGAACGATTAAACAGACTAAAGATAATAATTTATTCATTCTGTATATATATATGTTTGATAGATAATAATAATGATCTACATACGACGTTGCTCCGAATTTAAGGCTTGGCAATCGCCGCTACCCAAACATAAAAAAAACTAAAATAAACCTTTTGAGAAATAAAATCAGGAGGAATTTTTTTCGGGTTTGAATATCTTGTAGAAATATCTTACGCCATGCAAGTATCAGAAAATTCGGGTTTGATTTTTTGTAGGACCAGGTGAAACTTAAACATAGGGCTTTGGACAGTTCCCAAGATTAATTGAATCCCTACCATAAAAGATTCTCTATCTACTCTTCAAACGGGTGACGTGGGAAATGACGTGCTTTTGCTATAATCTACAGATCACCATCGTTTTACACTTTTTTATCAATAAAAAAATATAATATTATAATTTTATTCTTAAAATCTTATTCTCAATACTAGTATTATTGATTGGCGATATCTCTTTGAAATAATCAATAATAATTTAAATAAATAAAAAATTTGTTGAAAAAATTGGTGATAGAGTTTGTGGGTCGGGATGTATGTTTTCAGGAGCGAATTTAAGTTAAGGTTACTTTTAATCACTTCAACAGAGTGAATACAAATAGATAATGAATGTAGTGTGGTGGGTTTTTATTAATTCTATTTAGTAGTAGATGATAAGATTGACAATGAACAACAAAGATAATAATAATAATGATAATAGTAAAATAGATGATCCACAAAGTAGTTGTGTAATCAGTAGAGTATTTAAAGATAGATATCTACTCTATTCGATAGTTCAAAGAATAAGAAGAGAATGTTTGGTATTGGGTGCTATGATGCCTATTGAAAAGAGTCCACCACCTATTAGATATCATTGGGTTCCTCGTGATCCCGTTCTCACGATAGAGTATCGACAATATAATCTCCTTATCGATTATATAAAGTCAACACCCAAAGATGGACACAATTCTATCTTTTGGTCACTAGTAGGACTTGGATTGGAGTGGAAACAAATGACACATCAACAACTATCACAACTCTTTCAACTATTCTCTGAGCAATTTAAAAAATACTTTGGGATTAGTGCAGACAATCCAAAAGACCAAACAATCAACAACATTTTTAAATTCCTAACAACTACAAAATGGGAATACCAGTCTTGGAAGATAATCATTGATTTTATCAATACTCATTGTATAATTTATAATAATAATAATAATCAAGAGGAAGGACAATCAACATCAAAGAAAAAGATAATAACAAAAAATAACAAAAGAAAACAACCATCAACCAAACAAACAAATTCAACAACAACAATCCTAAAGATATTTTTAGAGACCAACTCGTTAGAATCATCACCTTGGATATGGGTTCTTCTTCGAGAATATTTGTTGTTACATGAAAATGTACAAATATTGGATGATATTATCCAAGAGGTTGGAGTCAAGGCACTATTGGATGCAAAGGATGATGGAAAGAGGATAGACCCACCAAAAACCTCTAGAGTAATGGGAACCTATATTGGAGCGAACCTAGACTCGAAAATGATTCATAGGATCTATAAGAAACCACTTGATAGTGCCTTGAAATCTCACAACAAAGATTTTGTTTCAAAGGCATTAAAGGGTGACCCTCAAAAAAATCAAATATATGATATTCGTACCTTCATTTACGACTTTCTCTCGGGAGATATCAACCTTGATGACGCCGAAAATTTATTACAAGATCTCAAGTCATTGGTGGAATGTATTCATATATTACATCCAGATATGGGTAACCTAAATGAAACCATTCACGAGTCAATCGGGTATCCAATGTCATCACCACCATCGGTTCCCTATTTTATTTTATGGTTGTTTGGTTATTGGACATCCACAACAACATTTTTCAAAGTAGAGGATGAAATGGCCCACTTAATCGTTTCACTGTTCTCCAGAATCGAAAACAACAACAAGGATCAAATGATCAAATATTTGATTTATAATCTTGGATTCTCAACCATTTGTGCTCATGGGTCATTGGAATTGGTACAACTATCCTATCAACATGTAATGAAAGGGTTGTCAGATAGTGATGAGCCAGATAGTGACGATCCAGATCCCTATTTTATTCGTTTTCAATCGACCGATATCAAAGTATTAGAATTCTTGGTCGGTATTTTAAAACAACAAGATTTGGAATACAATGAACATGGAAAGTTTATTCATCCCAGGTTTCTCCTTCATTTCGATATTGTCTCATCATTGGACGGTTTTATATCTCCAGTTTTTAAAGGAGAGTTGTTGGAATACATGGTCATGCAAGTGTCAGAGATATTGCATACGCAAACATATAAATGGGAAATAGATAACGACTCTATCAAAGTCATTTTAAGAAACGGATATTTCAAAGTGGCAGATGTGCTGTTGGCAAAAGCAAATATTGTCTTTTACAATAGACGATCAATTATCAGAGTAAATAGTGTGGAGATGGCTAGCCATTGTGATCCCGAATTGGTTGAACCATTGTTTGAATCAGACTCGCCCGTTTCAGATATCGCTCTTGCCATTGGATTGTTTGACTATTTTTCAGTATTGGACGAACCCATTCGGTTCAGGAAATTAGAAAGGATGTTAGAGATGGCAATCAATTCATTTCAAGCTCCACTCATCATTTACATGTACAAACATTATAACAAAAATCCTTTAAATTTTGACCCTTATCATCATCCACCACCTTGCAACATGGATCGATTGGTCAAAGAACATCAATTCCTTCTTATTAAAGAATTGATTGATAATGACGTTCCAATGGTTATCAATGATTCAGAGACATGGATGATAATTGGAAGATATGCATCAACCGAGTGGATTGACATACTCTTAAAATACACCAATCCAACAATACTAAGGTTTCGACAAATGGAGTTTTATCGACTCCTTGAAACAGGATTGAACTATAATTTAGATTGTGTTAAAATAATAGAATATATTAACAAAGTTGTTCTAAAAAAATAAATCAATAACAAAATAGGTAGTACACAAATTCTTTTTTTTAATGTGTGCGGGGTTTGATGAGTGGGTGGGAGGTGTGTTTCATTGTATAAATTAATTCTCCCTCCTCTCTCTATGACTACTGCAGCGTATACAAATAGATCATGATGATGATGATGGGTTAGTTATATTTGATTATCAAACAAGCATATTTATCTATATCTATTTACTTTTATTTATATTTTTCAATGAACAACAAAGATAATAATAATAGTAATAATAATAATATTAATAATAATAATAATGATAATAGTAAAATAAATGATTCACAAAATAGTTGTGTAATCAGTAGAGTATTTAAAGATAGATATCTACTCTATTCGATAGTTCAGAGAATAAGAAGAGGTGGATGTTTGGTATTGGGTGCTATGATGCCTAACGAAAAGAATCCACCTATAAGATATCATTGGATTACTCCTGATCCCGTTCTCACGATAGAGTATCGACAATATAATCTCCTTTTAGATTGTATAAAGTCAACACCCAAAGATGATTACGATTCTATGTTTGAGGCACTAACAGAACTGGGCTTGGAGTGGAAACACATTACACCTTTACAACTATCGCAACTCTTTCAACTATTCTCAGAACAATTTAAAAGATACTTTGGGATTAGTTCAGCTAATCCAAACCAAGAAACAATGACCACCATTTTTAAATTCCTAACAACTACAAAATGGGAATACCAATCTTGGAAGATGATCATTGATTTTATCAATACTCATTCTATAATTTATAATAATATTGATGATGATAAAGGACAACAATCAACATCAAAGAAAATGAAAAAGAATAAGAAAAAAACAAAAAATAACAAAACAAACAAGCCTTCAACAACTACAACAACAAAACGACCACCAACCAAATCAACAATACTAAAGATATTTTTGGAGACAAAAACAGAAGATGGTAAAAGTTCTTGGATATGGGTTCTTCTTCGAGAGTATTTGTTGTTACATGAAAATATACAAATATTGGATAATATTATTCAAGAGATTGGAGTCAAGGCACTATTAGATGCAAAGGATGGCCGAGAAAGAATAGACTCACTAAAATTTTCGAGAGTTGTGGGAGCCTATGTTGGAGCCTATGTTGGAAATAACCTAGACTCGAAAATGATTAATCGGATCTTTAAGAAACCACTTGACAGTGCCTTGAAATCTCACAACAAGGAATTTGTTTCCAAGGCATTAAAGGGTGACCCTCAAAAAAATAGAGTCCCTTTTATTCGTACCCACATTTTCGACTTTCTCTCGGAAGATATCAACCTAGATGACAAAGACCATTTATTACAAGATCTCAAGTCATTGGTGGAATGTATTCATATATTACATCCAGATATGGGTAACCTAAATGAAACCATTCACGAGTCAATCGGGTATCCAATGTCATCACCACCATCGGTTCCCTATTTTATTTTATGGTTGTTTCATTATTGGATGTCCACAGCAACAACAACAGTTAAAGTAGAAGATGAAATGGCTCGTTTAATCGTTTCCCTATTCAGCAAAACCAACGACAACAAAAAGAATCAAATGATCAAATATTTAATTCATAATCTTGGATTCTCAACCATTTGTGCTCATGGGTCATTGGAATTGGTACAACTATCCTATCAACACATAATGGAGAGTTTACCAAATATTGATGAGTCGGAGCATCATTTTGTTCGTTTTGAATCGACCGATATCAAAGTATTGGAATTCTTGGTTGGTATTTTAAAACAACAAGATTTGGAGTACAATCAACATGGAAAGTTTATTCATCCAAGGTTTATTCTTCATCCCGATATTGTCTCATCATTGGACGGTTTTATATCTCCAGTTTTTAAAGGAGAGTTGTTGGAATACATGGTCATGCAAGTGTCAGAGATATTGAATACACGTAAATGGTCGATTGATAACGACTCTATCAAAGTCATTTTAAGAAACGGATATTTCAAAGTGGCAGATGTGTTGTTGGTAAAAGCAAAAATGTTGCACAGTTTGGGTTACGGATCAAAACAAATTGCAAAAGTAAATAGCTTGCAAATGGCTCGCTACAGTCTAATTTGTGATCCTCAAAGTGCTGATCCATCGTTTGAATCAGACTCGCCCGATTCAAATATCGCTCTTGCCATTGGATTGTTTGATTTTTACTCGGTGTTGGATTTACCAACCCGACTAAGGAAATTAGAAAAGATGTTAGAGATGGCAATCAATTCATTTCAAGCTCCACTCATCATTTACATGTACAAACATTATAACAAAAATCCTTTAAATTTTGACCCTTATCTTTATCCACCACCTTGCAACATGGATCGATTAGTCAGAGATCATCAATTCCTTCTTATTAAAGAACTGATTGATAATGAAATTCCAATGGCTATCAATGATTCAGAAACATGGAGGATAATTGGAAGATACGCATCAAGGCAGTGGATTGACATACTCATGAAATACACCAATCCAGCAATCCTCAAAAATAGAAAAAAGGTGAAAGAATTCTTTCTGTTCCTTGAAACTGGTTTGGATTCTAATCTAGAGGCTGTTGAAATAATAGAATATATCAGTGAAAATTATCCAATTTATAACAAATTATTCTTTTAGAAAATAATAAATTAAATTAAAATTTAACAAGATTTATTTATAATTATTTTAAAATATTTTGTTTAATTTTAGTGACTACAATACTAATAATTACTAACCAAGCAATGACAATAATGAATTGAGCAAGATCAAATAGATATCTTGGTGCGAATAATCTCCATAAAAATAAATTCTCTCTTTCCTTGATAAGGAATACCATTAACTTTCTCATATTGGTAAAGTATAAAAGTAAAACAATCAAAAATACAGTGATTTGTTTAAAATTACTTTTCAATTCTTCTTTTACCAATTTTCCATCTTCTTTGTTAATAATATTATTAATATCAGTTGGCAAATCTGTTGTTGTTGTTGGAGATGATGTAGGAGAAGAAGTAATTGTATAAAAAGTAATAATAATTGGTAAAAATAATAAATGGATAATAGTTGATGAATAGGTATTTAAAAATATCATAATTCCAGCTCTTGTTTGATTTAATCCTTGGAATCCAATAAATGCACAATCTAAATGCAATTGACCTAATGCATAATCGTGTCCAGTAGTATGGAAATGTAAAAGTGAGGAAAGGAATAAGGTGCTGATTGTAACTACCCATAGTACCACTTGAAAGACAGAGTTTACATTCATTCTATTACCATTTCCAATGTTGTTTTTAAACCATTGTCTATTTATATTGACCATATATACAGTGAAAATGATCAATTCAGACAACATCCAAAATAGACCAACTGTATGTGATGATCCCAAAAGTGTACACAATAATAATATGATTGGTGTGATAAATTGAATATATCTTTGTAAAAATTGGTATAATTGTTGTTTTGATAATGATTGTTGAGTTATTTGGTGTAGAGGTAATAATTGTTGATTATTTTGTTGATTTTTAAAAAGATTAAATATATTTCTACCAATTGAATAAAATATTATTCCAAATATGATCCAAACAGGGTATGATCGAATGATCCAGTGTAATTGAACCAAATGTCTTATCGAATTTTGAGTCCAATAAATTATTAAACATATTAAAATATATAAATGTTGTGATTTTGTATAATATATTATATTATTATTATTATTATTAATTTTAATATTAATGAAATATGTTAAAATTAAATAAGAAAAATATAAAAATGGGATGATCCATCCCCAAGTGATAAAATTATTAAATGATATTTTGTAGATTGATTTGAGAGTTGAATAATTTGATTGAGTGATTGTATCAAGGTTGAATAGATATTTTTCGTATTTCTTAAGGTCACCCCTTCCAGCATAGAAAATAGTTTTCTTTAACAAGTAGAACCAGAAATATTGTTGCCCAACATCCAATGCATAGTACCACCACTTTTTTAAATCATCAAGTTGTATTCTTGGTAATGTTTGTGGAATGATCGCCATGACTGCAAGAAGGTATAGAGGGTTGAAGAAAAGTCGGAGTTGTCCGATAATATGGTCATAATGATGTTCCAATCTACGAATATTATCAAATGCCTCATCGATTTGACGATAAGTGATATTGAATGCCAGCATTGCAATCGATACCATATACCAAATACGGACTGGATGAAGAATGAAAAATCTGAATATTTCACCTTCCACTATGTTTCTTGCCCAGAAAAATAGTTCAACACCACGGTTGTATGCAATAACAATTAGATCAAAAGATTCTATTGATTGTAGAGTTGCAAGCAATCTTGATGACAATTCGGTCCAACTTCCAACCTTGATGTGGATGAAAAGATCTATTTTGGAAGAAAGGTTGAATCTAATCGATGGCAACAGTCTAATCAATGGTAAGAGTACAGCCATTGATGAGTGGAATGCAAACTTGATTATGTTTTCTGCTCCATTTACCAAAGCCAAAAAGAATACCAATAAATGCTCTGGACACATAGTCACCAATACACAAATATTGGTCCAAACAATAAAGTGTGCCAAAAAGAGGAATTTAAATTGTAATACTTGTCCAGATTCCAAAAACCAATAGTGTCCAATTGAAGTGTACACTGACATTATTGTGTAGGCCAAAAGATTGGTGATTGACAAGAAGGAATCTTTGTTGATTTTCTTTTCAAGTTTCAAGTCTTGTCCCTTTGCAAAATAAAAGAAAATGACAGTGCAAGACAATACAACCAACATTGATAGTCCAACCACTTTTAAACAAAATACACCAGTTTCCATGAGAGGTACATTAAAAGTAGCCCATTTGGAAACTAAAAATTTGTAAACGTATGTTTGATATTTGACATATTGAACGTAGATTTTGGATGCCTCTGAATCACTAACCATATCTCCACCGTCAGATAGACTTTGAATGAGATTGTTATATTGTTTTTCAGTCTCTTCCAACATGGAATTAAACTTTCCAAGTTCTTTAGAGTTGGAGGCCAATTCAGACGATGGGACAGCTTCAATGTATGAATCTACAAATCTCTTGATTGACCATGTTGATAATCTTGTTGCATCCAAAAGCATGGCCCATGAAGTCCCAGGTGACTGTGATGAGCTTAAATCATCGCCATGATTTTTGTTGGTGGAGAGAAACAACTCTGGAATAACAGTACCCAAACTATTGTATCCAATTGGAACACCCATTAAAAGGGAAAAGGTTGAAATAAAATCGATTTGATTGACTGTTCTAACCTTTGCCTTTGGATCGGTATTAAACTTGGTGTGTGGAATGCTTGCATCAATCACATGACCCTTTGAATATAAAAATAGAGATGCTCCAGTCTCTAAATCACTCGATCCAGAATGTCCTCCAGTTGATGTCATTCCATGATCACTCATTATAATTAATAATGTATCATTATCAATTCTTTCAATTATCTAAAAATAGAATAAATAAATTAATAAATTAATAAAATAATTTTTTTTTTTTTTTAAACATACATCTTCGAAATATTTGTTATATTGATTTAATTTTGTACCCATTGATGTATGTCTTGGGCCGTAGGTATGACCAACATGATCGACTCCCAACATATGGCCAAAAAGAACGTCCCAGTCATTATCTATTTCACGAATCACTGGTCTTGGATCGACTGGTTTGGCATCGTCAGGAATAACATTTGGATTAAATTGGTTGTTGGTGGGACTGTGTGGAAGCATCTTGTGAGTTTGGTGCATCACTCCTCGATCGACAGTATGGAAATCATTGACTAGAAACGAAGAGAATGGGTAGGACTTGTAAAAGGTATCTGGAAACATTTTGTCCCAAGTATCATCACCAACAAATACTATCTTCTTTCTTGGTTTGGATTCGGGTTGGTCACGGTGCGTGAATTGACGGATCATATTGTCTTCAACGATTCGGTCACTTGCAAAACTGGCACCAATATCAATAAAAGTTGGAAGGGATCCAGTTGATATACCTTTGATTCTTTGTGATGTGACTGTTGGTGGATCTGAATAAAACTTGTACAACAATGTGTTTTGTGGTTGCTCGACGTGTAACTTTTGGAGACTCTCTAATCGATTGTAAAATTTAAAGCTTGATGACTTGATAGTGGCTTGGTCAACTGGAGCAAGAAAGTCATAACGAAGAGAATCTACCAAGATGACAACACTCTTTTTAAATCTTGATGGCATCCAACATGACCTGTCGGCAGATGAGGAAGTAGAAGATGCTCCCTCTTCTTTTTGACTATTTGCAGTAGTGTTGGAATGAGACCATTTCCATTCGCTTGGTGCATTGAAATCTGATAGTAGTGACCGAGGAGATGAAGAATGTGGTGATGGAAGTACTGAACACTGACTGTTGAGTGGCAACTCGAAACGAACAAGAAAGAAACCACTAAAAAAGATGTAACAAGTAGCTGATAAAACAACCAAATAATACATCATAAAAATAGTTGCATTACATTGTCTTTGAACTTTTCTAGTATTATTCTTATTATTGATCCAATTTTCAATTCTATTTTGAAATGGATAGATTTGTTTAAATATACCAAAATAATTACTTGTTGATATTATTCCATTGTCGTTGTTGTTATTATAATATTGTTTTGATTTATATTTATCTTCAATTTCTATTTTTTGTTCTTCCTCTACTATATTAATTTCTCTTTGGTGAATTCGATTTGAAAGGAATTGAGTCCATTCTCTGGTTCAACCAACTCTCCCATTTTAATAATTCTCTTTCTCTCTTCTCTCTCTCTTTTAAAAATAATTATAATTGCAACATATGTTAACTTTCAAGATGATCAAACGTGAAGGTTTAAGACTGTTGTTCCAAATTTCTCTCTAAGTCTCGGCGGCGCCCAACAAAAAAAATTGCTAGCAAAAATTATTATTATCTAGATCACTGTGATCACTACCGTGGCAGGTATCGGGCCCAATTTGCGAGTGATCTTGGATCAAGTTGCCTCTTTAGTGAGTTTTTAAAAGGAAGCCCAACCACAAGAAAAACGCCCAGCTGAAACACATGACGGAAAAAGGGACTACAAAGAGGCATGGCCCCAATGCAACAATGCATAGTTTTTAGAAACGAGGCATGCCGTTTCAAGAAACGAGATCACTTTTTTTAAGAGACATGAGCCCACCAATGCACGATTTCTTTCGAGTCGGAAAGTCAGCACATCAACTAGCCAGTGATCTGTTTGGTTTAAAGAGAGAGGAAGAGAGGGATGTGAGGTTATAAGGTTTGTTTTTAATCACTTTCATCTTTGTTTGTGTGTTGTATTGTAACATTGTAAGAGTAGGAATAGTTAGTAGAACTGAGCCTGGCTGGCAGGTCAGACCATTGCACAAAAATCTCTCGTTCATGCCCTATGTACAAATAAGTAGTGATAGGATTTTCATACCTATGACAAAAGTGAGTGAAAGTACTCTTGGTTGTGGAAATAAGTATAATCTTAAGATCTTTTTGGTAATCAATTTGGTTAGAAACAAAAGACCAAGAAAGAATCTAAATGTAATGAATAATAAGGTTGTAATAGAAGTAGTAGTAGTTATTAGTTTGATATGATATTGCCTGGGGTTCTAAAACAGTACACGAGTTGTGGGGTTATGATAGAGTGTAGTAGATTTATTTTGATGTTACCTTTAGGATAAATTATATGTACCAGTACATATACACAGTACTACAGATAAATATAACAAGAAGATAATTTAACAAGTGAAAATAATAGTAGAATAATTTAAATCTTATTTTATATCAAGCAACGAATAAAAAACAGATTAAATTTTTATTTTTAGATTAACAACAACTCCCCTATACTATTTCATGTTCACCATTGAACTAAAAAAAAGAGACAACATCAACACCTACACTCCAACAGTTTAGAGAAGAGATGAAAAGAAACACTTGGAAGGATATTTTAACAACTGAAGAGATTATATTATTTATTATTTTAAAACATTTTGTTTAATTTTAGTGACTACAATACTAATAATTACTAACCAAGCAATGACAATAATGAATTGAGCAAGATCAAATAGATATCTTGGTGCGAATAATCTCCATAAAAATAAATTCTCTTTTTCCTTGATAAGGAATACCATTAGCTTTCTCATATTGGTAAAGTATAAAAGTAAAACAATCAAAAATACAGTGATTTGTTTAAAATTACTTTTCAATTCTTCTTTTACCAATTTTCCATCTTCTTTGTTATTATTATTAATATCTGTTGACAAATCTGTTGTTGTTGTTGGAGATGATGAAGGAGAAGAAGTAATTGTATAAAAAGTAATAAGAATTGGTAAAAATAATAAATGGATAATAGTTGATGAATAGGTATTTAAAAATATCATAATTCCAGCTCTTGTTTGATTTAATCCTTGGAATCCAATAAATGCACAATCTAAATGCAATTGACCTAATGCATAATCGTGTCCTGTGGTGTGGAAATGGAATAGAGATGAAAGGAATAAGGTGCTGATTGTAACTACCCATAGTACCACTTGAAAGACAGAGTTTACATTCATTCTATTTCCATTTCCAATATTGTTTTTAAACCATTGTCTATTAATGTTGACCATAAATATAGTGAAAATGATCAATTCAGACAACATCCAAAATAGACCAACTGTATGTGATGATCCCAAAAGTGTACACAATAATAATATGATTGGAGTTATAAATTGAATATATCTTTGTAAAAATTGGTATAATTGTTGTTTTGATAATGATTGTTGAGTTATCAGGTGCAGAGGTAATGAATATTGTTGCTGTTGTTCTTGTTGTTTGTGTAGAGGTAATAATTGTCGACTATTATTATTTTGTTGATTTTTAAAAAGATTAAATATATTTCTACCAATTGAATAAAATATTATTCCAAATATAATCCAAACTGGGTATGATCGAATGATCCAGTGAAATTGAACCAAATGTCTTATCGAATTTTGAGTCCAATAAATTATTAAACATATTAAAATATATAAATGTTGTGATTTTGTATAATAGATATTATTATTATTTAGATTATTATTATTGTTATTATTATTACTACTATTAAAATTAATGAAATATGTTAAAATTAAATAAGAAAAATATAAAAATGGGATGACCCATCCCCAAGTGATAAAATTATTAAATGATATTTGATAGATTGAGTTGGGAGTTGTAAAGTTTGATTGGGTGATTTTATCAAGGTTGAATAGATATTTTTGGTATTTTCTAATATCACCTCGGCCAGCATAGAAAATGGTTTTTTTGAATAAGTAGAACCAGAAATATTGTTGGGTAACCTCCAATGCATAGTACACCAACATCTTTAAACCTTGGATATCAAATCTAGGGAATGAATGTGGAATGATTGCCATGACTGCAAGCAAGTACAAAGGGTTGAAGAAATGTCGGAACTGTCCAATAATATGGTCATAATGATTTTCCAATCGACGAATATCATCAAATGCCACATCGATCTGAACATAAGTGATATTGAAAGCAACCATTGCAATCGATACCAAATACCAAATACGGACTGGATGAAGAATAAAGAATCTGAAAATTTCACTTTCCAGTGCTCTTGTTGCCAAGCAAAATAATTTAATGCAGCCATTACAAATAATGACAATTAAATCAAACAATCCCTTTTCTTTTATAGTTGAAAGTAGTGTTGATGGTAAGTTGATCCAACTGCCAACCTTAATGTTGATGTAATGTTTTTTGAGTGATATCTTGAATACCCATTTTATCGGCTGGACCAGTACAACCATAATGGAGTGGAGTACAAACATGGCCATGTTCTCCGATCCATATATTAAAGCCAAAAAGAATACAACCAAGTATTCTCTACACAAAGTCACCAATACACAAATATTGGTCCAAACAATAAAGTGTGCCAAAAAGAGGAATTTAAATTGTAATACTTGTCCAGATTCCAAAAACCAATAGTGTCCAATAGAAGTGTACACTGACAATATTGTGTAGGCCAAAAGGTTGGTGATTGACAAGAAGGAATCTTTGTTGATTTTCTTTTCAATATGCAAGTCTTGTCTATTTACAAAAAAATAGTAAATGACAGTACTGGACAATACAACCAACATTGATAGTCCAACCACTTTTAAACAAAATACACCAGTCTCCATGAGAGGTACATTAAAAGTAGCCCATTTGGAAACTAAAAATTTGTAAATGTATGTTTGATAATTGACATATTCCGAGTAGAGATAATTTGCTTCTAAATCATCAACCTGACCCCCCCCTTTAATGAGATTATTATATTGTTTTTCAGTCTCTTCCAACATGGAATTAAACTTTCCAAGTTCTTTAGAGTTGGAGGCCAATTCAGACGATGGGACAGCTTCAATGTATGAATCTACAAATCTCTTGATTGACCATGTTGATAATCTTGTTGCATCCAAAAGCATGGTCCATGAAGTTCCAGTTGATTGGGAAGTAGAGAGAAACAACTCTGGAATAACAGTACCCAAACTATTGTATCCAATTGGAACACCCATTAAAAGGGAAAAGGTTGAAATAAAATCGATTTGATTGACTGTTCTAACCTTTGCCTTTGGATCGGTATTAAACTTGGTGTGTGGAATGCTTGCATTAATCACATGACCCTTTGAATATAAAAATAGAGATGCTCCAGTCTCTAAATCACTCGATCCAGAATGTCCTCCAGTTGATGTCATTCCATGATCACTCATTATAATTAATAATGTATCATTATCAATTCTTTCAATTATCTAAAAATAGAATAAATAATGTTAATAAATATATTTGATTGTTATTAATTTTTTTGTTTTTGTTTTGACATACATCTTCGAAATATTTGTTATATTGATTTAATTTGGCTCCCATTGAATGGTGTTTTGGGCCATAAGTATGACCAACATGATCGACTCCCAACATATGACCAAATATAATGTCCCAGTCATTGTCAATCTCAGTGATAACTGGTCTTGGATCAGCTCTTCTGGAATCATCTGGATTAACATTTGGATTAAATTGGTTGTTGGTGGGACTGTGTGGAAGCATCTTGTGAGTTTGGTGCATCACTCCTCGATCGACAGTATGGAAATCATTGACTAGAAACGAAGAGAATGGGTAGGACTTGTAAAAGGTATCTGGAAACATTTTGTCCCAAGTATCATCACCAACAAATACCATCTTCTTTCTTGGATTGGATCCTGGTTGGTCACGGTGCGTGAATTGACGGATCATATTGTCTTCAACGATTCGGTCACTTGCAAAACTGGTACCAATGTCAATAAACGTTGGAAGGGATCCAGTTGATATACCTTTGATTCTTTGTGATGTGACTGTTGGTGGATCTGAATAAAACTTGTACAACAATGTGTTTTGTGGTTGCTCGACGTGTAACTTTTGGAGACTCTCTAATCGATTGTAAAATTTAAAGTCTGATTTCTGAGCAGTGGCATCGTCAACAGGAGCAAGAAAGTCATAACGAAGAGAATCTACCAAGATGACAACACTCTTTTTAAATCTTGATGGCATCCAACATGACCTGATAGCGTCTGTTACAGGACCTTGTTCATGGTTGCTGCTGGTTGTAGTGTTGGAATGAGACCATTTCCATTCGCTTGGTGCATTGAAATCTGATAGTAGCGACCGAGGAGATGAAGAATGTGGTGATGGAAGTACTGAACACTGACTGTTGAGTGGCAACTCGAAACGAACAAGAAAGAAACCACTAAAAAAGATGTAACAAGTAGCTGATAAAACAACCAAATAATACATCATAAAAATAGTTGCATTCCATTGTCGTTGAAATCTTTGTCTATTCTTATCATTCTTATTATTATTATTATTATTATTATTATTGATCCAATTTTCAATTCTTTTTTGATAAGGATAGATTTGTTTAAATATACCAAAATAATTATTAATTGATATTATTCCATTGTTGTTGGTGTTATTATTATTCTTATAATATTTATCTTCTTTTGTTGATGTTTCCTCTTCTTCCTCTACTACTACTATATTTATTTCTCTTTGGTGAATTCTATTTGAAAGGAATTGTGGGGAGATGATCTCATCCTTGGGTCCTAACATTTTTTTTGTTTGTTTTTTTAAAAAAATTGGTTGTGATTCCTTTTCCGAATATCTTTCTTCTCTTTCTATCTATCTCTCTCTCTCTTTTTTGGTCTATTAGAAATAGAAATATTATAATAGGAACATTTTAAGTTTGGAGATTTTGGCGGTCCAATACTAATAAAAGTTTGTGTAGGTCATTTCAATATCAACTATTATTTTAATCCGATCGTTTAGATCAACAGTGACAGAGGCAACGTTCATTCCCAATGTTTGACCAATCCAGATTGCCTATTCTGTTGGTATTCATGTTGGAGGAGCAGCCTCATATGTTTAAAGTTTTTGTCGTTTCGTGAAATGTGGACCAAAATTCCACTTTTCGTCACTGTTGGTGTTTTGTATTGCGAGTCGAAAAGTCAGCTCAGCACTTCATCCTGTTCAACTTATAAAACTTTGGTTTGATTGTGTTTGATATGAGGTTATACTGCCCATCATTGGAATAAACTATTATTATTGTAATAGCATTCGTCAGAGGGAGGTCATATGACATTGAACCTGAACAAAAAAAGCTCTGTGTGCGCACCAATATAATATTAATACAGAAAACATCTGTGCATTCAATTTCGATCATTGATATCATTGTACAAGAAAAAATACGAGTAAATTTGGTGGGATAGATTATTTCTTGTCCCTAAAATTAAAAAGCAATAAGATTAAAAAAATTGTATTATATTATTTGTTCATTGATAATACTTATGATCTTGAACTTAAGTATACATTGTAGTACTATTGAGGTGAGAGATAGATAGCTATAATTATCTCTCTTTTGTAAAATATAATGAATAAAAAAAAAAGTGAACGAATTTTTAATTATTTATCATTATAAACAAACACACCTCCAAAAAAAGAAATGTTTGTCTCTGAGATGAATGGTTTGATTTTATTGTATTATTTTTTATTTATTCTTATGAATACAAATAATTAAGAATGTGAATTCATTACATATGTTTATCTATCAAACAAATTAGTTGATGTATTAGATTTAAAATGAACAACATCAAAGAAGAAAAAGATAAAAGAAATAATAATATTAATAATGATAATAGTAAAATAGATGAAAGACAAAGTTGTGTAATCAGTAGAGTATTTAAAGATAGATATCTACTCTATTCGATAGTTCAAAGAATAAGAAGAGAATGTTTGGTATTGGGTGCTATGATGCCAGAAAAAATACCGTCACCGATACGATATCATTGGGTTCCTATTGACCCCTTGCTCGTCATCATTAATCGTCAATATAATCTCCTTATCGATTATATAAAGTCAACACCCAAAGAAGACCACGATAGTATATTTATGGAACTAACAGATTGGGAGTTGAAAAAACTTACACATTAACAACTATCACAACTCTTTCAATTATTCTCCAACAAATTCAAAAGATACTTTGAGATTAGTGCAACCAAACCAAAAAAGAAAACAATCACCAATATTTTCAACTTTTTGACAACTACAAAATGGGAATACCAATCTTGGAAGATGATCATTGATTTTATCAACACTCATTGTATAATCTATAGTGATATAAAACCATCCAAAAAGAAACAAAAAACAACCAAAAAATCAATAACAACTCCAACAACCACAACAACAACAACTACAACAACAATACTAAAAATATTTTTAAAAACAAATCAATCACCCAAGTTACCTTGGATATGGGAATTGATTAGATCATATTTCACCAATGTAAATGTACAAATATTGGATGATATTATTCAAGAGATTGGAGTAAAGGCACTGTTGGAGACAAAGGATGATGGAAAGAGGTTGATCCCACCAACTACTCAATATTTGGTATCATATGTTGTCAAAACCCTAGACTTGGAGATGATTAAGAGAATCTATAAGAATCCTCTTGAAGGTGCTTTGAAATCACACAACAAAGAATTTGTTTCAAAGACGATAAAGAGTGTTGATATGAAAGGTGGAATCCAAGCTTCTCACAATTACATTTTCCCCTTTCTCTCCAGACAAAATATCAACCTAGACGACGAAAATTTATTAGAAAATCTCAAGTCATTGGTCGAATGTATCCATATGGTACATCCAGATATGGGTAACCTAAATGAAACCATTCACGATGCTATTGGGTATCCAATATCATCACCACCATCGATTCCCTATTTCATTTTATGGTTGTTTCAATATTTGATATCGACATCATTAACATTCACACATGAAGATAAAATGGTTCGTTTAGTCATTTCGCTATTCCCTAAAACCGACGACAACAACAAAAAGATGAATATGGTCAATTATTGTGTCTCGACTTTTGCATTCTCAACCATATGTTCCTATGGATCATTAGAGTTTGTACAACAATCTTATCATTATATATTGGAAAATAAGCAAGTAGCCAAAGGGTATAACCCCTATATTTAGATTGGATTCAACCGATACAAAAGTGTTGGATTTCTTGATTGGTATTTTAAAGAAACAAGAATCGGATATGGATGATCACGGTCATTTAAAATATTTTAGTATCGATCTTCACCCCGACGTTATTTCATCACTGTCCACTGCTTTATCTCCATCCCACAACGGGCCACTCTTTGAATATTTTGTCAATCATGTGACCGAGATATTGGATATCTACTCCTATGAATGGGACTTGGATAAACGGGATATGAAAGTTGTTTTGTGGCACGGGCATTTCAAAGAGGCCGATATATTGCTCAAAAGAGAAGTATTGTACCGTATCGACACCAAATTAACCAAAGTAAATAGTTTGACGATGGCTAGTTATTATAAAAATCGCGAAACCGTTGAACCATGTTTTGGATCAAAGTCAGACTGTGATGCAAACATTGCTTTTGCCAATGGTATGCTCGAGTATTTTTCAACACTCGATACAATTACACAGCAAGGAAAAATATCCAAGATGATACAAGCGGCAACTCATACCTTTCAGGCTCCCTTGATCATTCTTTTATATCAACGCTACAACACCCTAAATTCACAGCAGACAATGGCAGACCAGCATCGGCCACCACTTTGCGATATGGACATATTGGTTCGAGCGCATCGATTTGTTCTTTATCAAAGAGTTGATTGATAATAACATTCCTATGGTTATCAAAGATCAAAGTACTTGGCAGGAAGTTGGAAGATACGCATCACTCGAGTGGATCCAAATACTCATGAAATACACCAACACAAAATTCATGGAATTTTACTTATCGCTTCGATCCGGCTTATGTTTTAATCAAAACAAACATTTAATATATGATTACATTTCCAAAAATATTCCAATTTCTGAAACTTTTTTACCGATATTAATTCAATTTGATGAAAATTTTAAAATAAATATCTTTGTTTTTTTTTTTTTCGTACCTCCGGTTTGAGAAATATCTTCTTTCATTTCACTTATTTATTTATATATTTATATATATATACTATCCATGGTTATAAATAATAAAGAAGAAATACTTTCAAAAGTATTTAAAGATAGATATTTATTAAAATTGATTCTATCAACAATAAGAAGAGAATGTTTGGTGTTTGATGCAAGAATGCCGATTGTACAACTTGATGATGAACAAGGTGAAGATGAGAACACTCCACTTGGCATAATGGACCTTTATACAAAGTGTGAACGATACGTCATCCCAATCCGATACCAGTGGCTCAAGGTCGATCCTTCAATGGCCGTCCACAACAATAACCATGCCTTGTTTCTCGACTACATCGGTGCAACCCCAAAAGAACAATACAATGGTATCTTTAAAGAAACGATAAAGGCCTTGCCAAAGATAGTCTCTCCTCTTTACACTGCTCGTCTATTTCAACTCTTCTCTCAACAATTTAAACAACACTTTCAAATCAATCGAAGTAATCCAACAAAAGAGTCAATTACAGCCATCAACAATTACTTGACTTCAACATTATCACCATCTCAAGATTTATGTTTAGAAACTTGGAAAATAATTAATAACTTTATCAACTCTAATTGTTTAATCTTAAATGATCGAGATGATGGTGACAATCAACAACAACAACAACCAGTACAACAACAACCATTAACAATGGTTCAACGTTTAACAATGATGATGAACAAAAACAAAGAAAAACAACAACAACCTCTTCTTGCAACAACTATACTACAAGTATTGATACCACATCGAGAAGGTGTACTTGACGCATACTCTTATGTTTTAGAATTGATTAGAGTGTGTATCAGATCGAATCAATTAGAAATATTAGAGTATATCATTCAAGATATTGGAATGGATGGATTTAAAAGGATACCAGTTGATCAATTCAATGTACAACTCACCGATCCAACTCAAGTTGATATTGTATCGTTTATATTTAAACAATACGGATTAGCATTTGTCAATCGAATCTTTTCCGATCCATTTTACGAAGCACTGTCAACTCACAACAAAGAATATGTTTCATTGGTTATTGCCAGCAACCATACAAAGGACCATACCAATTTACTTGTATCAATTCAAACCTATTTAAATAATTTTCTGTATATTAAACTTTCTCCAGCTTCATGCAAAGGAAATATACTAGAAGGTTTGGGAACATTGGTTGAATGTTTGGAATTAATTAAAATCAGTGGTTTATCCTCTAAAAATATTCATAATACTATTGGATATCAATTAGTATCACCACCATCTCAACGATCCATTTCATATTATCTTTTATGGTTATTAGAATATAATATACAAGTTCATAAAATAGCTCAAGTGAAACAAAATCCATACCAAGGTGGTATATCTAGTCTTGTCATTACCCATTTCCAAAAAAACAGTAATAATAATAATAATAATAATCATAATAGTTTAATATACCTTTTAAAAACATGTGGATTCTCTTCTATTTGTACTCATGGGTCATTGGAATTGGTTCAAGATTGTTATCAATATTTGGTATCACCAAATCGAGATCGAGAAATTGATCTTTTAGATACTAAACATCATGGTATCACTTTACAATCTACAAATATTCAAGTATTACAATTCTTGGTTGGTATTTTAAAACAACAACAACAAAAAAAACAAAATGAACCAACAATTGGAATTAATGTAGTAGAAACATGTTTTGTTATACTAAATTTATTAAAACCAACTAAAAATATTAAATGGGAATTGGTTGAATATTTGATAATGGAAGTGACCGATTTATTTGGGCCAGATCAATTTTGGACATTATCATTTCAAACACTTCAATATATTTTATTGAATGGTCGGTTTGATTTAATGGACAAGTTATTAAGAGTACGTCCAAGTTTAAGAGAAGAATTGTTCACTCGAAACATTGAAGTAAATAGTTTAGAGATGGCACAATACGTTAGGGAGGATTGTATAGTTCCCATATTCTCTAAAAATCATCATAGAAATGTTTTATTGGTAAATGATTTATACAAGCTATCATCGGCATTAAACAAAGAGAAATTCCTGTCGATGGCAATCACATCACTTCAAGCACCCATCATTAAATATATGTACCAATACCAAGGAATCACCAATCCTCCCAAATGTAATATAGATCAACTAATGAGAGCCAAACAATTCCAAGTTGTAGAATCCCTAGTCGATTGTAATATACCGTTGGAGATTATCTCTATCGATACTTGGAAGATTGTTGGAACTTATGGATCACCCAAATGGATCGACTTGCTCATGACATACACTAAAAACATAATGCAAAGCCCGTCTGATCTACAAAACTACGTAGATTCTCTAGTGAATGGTCTTAGATGGAATATAGATCAATCAAATATATTAGATTATTTATCAAATCATACTATATTAAAGAGTAAAATTAATCTAGAAATTCTATCAAGTAAACAACCTCAACAAACTAGATTTCGTGTTGTACACACAATGTTTTAAATTAATTAATTAATTAAATAAATAGTAGTAGTAGTTTTACAATTTTATTATTACACAAGCAAATGAATCTTTCAAAGTTGTTAAAATGACATGATAATTGCAATGAGAATGGTAGAGAAAATAGCAAAAGTGGTAGTTATTGCAGAATTGCTATCTAAACTATTACCAGAACTCTCATCTGATTCTTCTCCTTGTTGATTGTTTGGTTCAGTTTCACCACTTTGTGAATCTTGTGAATTGGAAGAATTGGATGAATCATCTTGTGATGATGATGAAGATTCACTTGATGGGTCAATAGTACTTGATGATCCAGTAGTAGTAGTTGAATTCTTTCCAGGTGTACCAGTAGTGGTAGTAGTGGTAGTAGTACTAGAAGTGGTGACATGAGTTGCTCCAGATGAACCACCAGATGAAGATGTACTAGCGGTAGTGGTAGTAGTAGTTGATGGAACTGGAGTACCGGTAGTAGTAGAGGTAGTCGATGTGGTGGATCCAGTGGTGGTAGTTGTGGGTGGAGGTGGAACAGCTGGAGTACCAGTAGTGGTAGAGGTAGTCGATGTGGTGGATCCAGAACTACCAGTAGTCGAACTACCAGTAGTAGAAGTGGATTGAGAACCACCATCAGAATTGTTAGAGTTTGTAGTTGTGGTTGGTGATGATGATGTGGATGGAGTGGCACCAGTATTGGACGAGGTTGAAGTAGATGGGGTGTAGACTTGGTTGCATGAAGCTCTGATGAATTGTTGTGTCCAGTATGCGACACCGTTGACATCAAAAGCCATACCAAAACCAGCATATTGGACATTGGGATCAATCATATTGGCATAATGCTTTGGACTGTAATAGTAGGAACTAAATACCATATCATCACTAGTCTGACCAGACGCTACATTCTCCAAAGCATAAAACATATTAAAACTACCATAAGCTCCCATACGGTCGAATAAACTACCAATTGGATCATTATGTGTCATTGTTTGAATACTATAAAAAGAAATGGAAAAATAAATATTAATATATATTATAATAAATATTAATTTATAATTATTTGATTCATACCTAGCTTGATAAACTGAATGAAATTGAGCAGAGTTCATTAAACATTGACTCATTCTTAATTGTGGTGAACCGACAGATGCACGAAGTTGATTGACCAAATAAAGTTGGTAATCTGGATTAGATGTAGTTGCCAAAGATGACAATACACAACCGATTAAAATAAGGAATATGGGTTGAAGGAACTTCATTTTTATACAAAAGAAGAGTAGGTAGGTAGGTATGAGGGTTGGATAGATATATAATATTACAATATGAGAAAGGGTGGTATTACAACTACAACCTCTAAACGTTTTACAACTACACACAACGTTTAGATAAATATGTAAGGGTTAGATAAATATATTTGTACAGTTAAAATAATAATAAAACAACTGTATTGGTTGGCGGTAACCAAGCAACCTAGGCAAGGGAGTGATGGTGATTTAGCAGTTACATTGTTGTAGTTGTAGTTGTTGTTGAGAGGCGGTCCATCTTTTTCTTTTTTTGATTAACTGATTCTCTTCTGGAGCTAGCACTACTCCACTCCACTCTATCGTCTATAGATGGGTAGTGAGTGTAGTGGGGGTGATGGCCATCATCCCAAAGGGTGACCAACCAACTGAAAAGATCAACAACAGGGGGCGCGCCCTCACAACAGTCCCCAATGATTCTTTTCCAACGTTTCCCCATCAGTCGTAAATTCGAAATGATTTCTGATCCATAATTATTGTAAAATTATATAAAGGGACATGACAGACGTCAATGTCAAAAGTTGTAGAGAAACCACATATCATTTAATGAAGGAGTAGTAGGTACATACCGTCTCTAAATAGCCTGTCAAAAATTCAAATATTTTTGGGTGGTCGTTGTTGATAGGTGGCAGTTATAAAAAAAATAATTATTTTTTTTTTCCAACCGTTTTTTTTTGTAGAGCCAAAAATACTATAGAATACTATAATATTTTTATGACCAATAGTCATCCAGATGTCTATAGGTCTGACTCTGTACCAGTCATCATACCCCCTCCTTATTATCAATAGAGCCAGACTTGATTGATCTGATGAACGAATGAAAAAATTAAAAAATAAATAGATGGTTGGTTGAGAGGAGTGACAACTTACAAAACGAACCCGTCCGCATGTGTTGAGTAGTTGGAGTCACGATTGAGGGTTGCGGGTCGCTCCCTCCATCCATCTATCCAGATAGATCCACATAGTTCTAAAGATGTTGAAAGAAGAGGGAATTTCGAATTTCAACTGAAACAGTCCTCCTTGGTTTTAACATCATGATTATGATAATGTCTTGCATTTGTTTTGTTGTGTGTAAAAAAAGGTATAATCTACAAGGTGTACATTGTTTTATATAAATAATAATATTATTATTATGAGTTATTACTATTTAATCATCCCATTCTCCATTATCAATGATTTCATCGTCTCTTTGTTGCAAATCTCCACTTTCAAATTTATTCTTGAATGATTCTATATATAAAAGATTGATTAAACAAGGATAGTTAGTCTTTTAAACTTTTTCCCTTCTGTCTCTTCTTTCCTCTTCTTACCCATTAAAGAAGCATTAATATGATCGGTTGCAGTGATTTCATAGACAGGTGTTTCATCATCTTCGTCTTCTTCATCATCTTCATCATCGTCTTTATGTATTTCATTGTAGTTTTGTTCTTCTTCACCTTGAGCGTCATAGGTGCCGTTGAGCATCTTTTCAGCCATTGCTTGTTTGATACTTTCAACTATGGTTTGTTTGTTGTTATCTGTTGTCGTCTCTTCAACCTCTGCAGTTGTCGAACTAGTAATAGTAGTAGTGCTTTCCTCTGACATGTCTATCTATCTATCTTTATCTTTATCTCTATCTTGTAATAACCAGATATTTAATAATAACAACTATGACTTTGGGTGTTGCTATTAATACAAACTCACACTAAAAACAAATTTAATTTAAAAAGGCAGTGGGATTGTCCCTTTGATACACCGAAAATTCACATACTAAGTAACATGGTTAATGTATCTGCTGTTGCTGTATGTCTTATTTATTTGAACCTTTGTAAGATGGATGAGGAGTATTTACACCCACCAATGAAATAAAAGATATGTGGAATCCATTGATTGCATCATACAAAAAGATTTGGTGGAACTAATCAAGATTCGCAGACAGAGTTTTTAAAAGGACGACGATAAAAAAACAAAAAAAATCTGTGTGACAGCGTAACGGCTTAATTATTGATTGATCGATCATTCTCATTCAATGAACGCTGTGACAGATAAAACCAAAGATAAAAGATAAAAAAAAAGTTATAATTAACATCACACAACACAACAAGTACCCACGCACACCTCCTCACCCGCGCACCACTAATACAACCTTTGTCCTCATCATCGTCATTAGCTAAGGAGGGTTTCAGTTTTGTTTGTTTGCTTTGTTTGTAGGTAGGTGATATCACTCGTACTACATATATATATATATATATATACATATATTTACATATACAAGTCAAGAAGAGAGATAAGTTATCATTATCTTCTTAAGAAACAACAAACACATACATCATCAAACAAATTTGTATATATTTATTTATTTATTTATTGTAATTTATAACAGAACTCTGTTGTAGGAGATAGAATAGAATAGTAGAAGTAGAAAATGACAACTATTCAAGAGGAACAACAACAACAACAACAACAAGTTACTCAAGAAGAAGAACCAGAAACTTTACAAAATGCATTGGCAGGATTGAATTTACAAATTGGTAATGGAGAACCATCGTCTAGTGATTCCCTCAATACAGAGTTGTTGATTGGTGCAGCTACTACCGTTGTAGCCTTTGTCTTTGTTAATAGACAATCATCACTTTTCAATCTACTCATCCAAATGCTTTCGACCAACAAATTCACTCCCGTCTTTCTCGAACGTACCAGTTCATTTTCAAATATTCCATTTCAAGGATCTCCTAATCCATCATTGACTGATTCACAATCCAAACAACAACAACAACCAACTCAACAACAACAACAACAACAAAAAGGATCACAAATGTTTTATGTATTGCAAGAAGCTATCAATGTAGTATCCAAGCAATACAATACCAATTTTTATATTCATATTCTTGAAAGTGTAAAGAAAATGATATTATTTGAAAATAGTAATAATCAACCAACTATTCAATCTCAACAACAACCAACTATTCAATCTCAACAATTAAATAATAACAAAACAAATGATGGTTTATTATCTGGTTGTTTATCATTTATTAATCATATGATGTCATCTGCTCCAACTCAATTTGATTTTGAAAGATATCGTCAATTATTAAGTGCTCAAGGTGTAAATGAAGCTATCAAGGTATGTAATACAAATACATATATATATATATATTATTAGTATTATTGTATTAATTAATGATTCTTTTTTTTTAGAAATATATTAAAAATGTTGATCCAAATGTTAGATTGGAATTATTACATTATCAACAACATAAATTAACAAATATTAAATTGGGTAAACAAATAACTGACAAGTATGTAATCAATCAATAATTAAATATTTATTTGTTATTTTTTTTGATTTCTAATCATTTTATTTTTTTATTTTTCCTTTTAGACAATCAATTGATCATTTATTAGTTAGATTATGTAAAATATCATTCCCAGGACAATCATTTAATCCAGGTGAAGATTCATTGACAGATAAACTAAAATCATTGGGTTTTGGTGGAGAGGTGTACAATGATCATTTTACATTGTTGGGTACTGGTATTCTTGGTCTTCGTAATCTTATTTATTTTGGTGCAAGATATTCTAGGATCTATCAAGAAATATTGAGTGTTCAATTATCTCGTACTCAAGAAGAAGCCCAATATTCATTTAGTCAAGTTGGAATGTCACTAACTAATGTCATTTTAGAAATTTATATTGATGGTATGAATAGTAATCAAAAAACAAATACATTATAAATTAATTAATTACTTACACTTCTTTTCTTTTTATTTAGATGAAAATATTTATGAAATCATATTTGATCAAGATGATTGGTTTGAAGAATTATTTTCCATTTCATTTGAATTATTTGATGAAATTTGGGAAAGAGAAGCAAAGAAACCTGAAGACTTTTTAACTGTACTTCATAAAACAAGGTAAATATAAATATAAATACATTTAAAAAAGATAGATAGATAGATAGATAATAGAAATAGTTCTAATTTTAATTTTTAATTTTTAATTTGTGTGTAGAAATATACTTAGTAGAATTAAATGGACAAATCCAGATTCTATTCATGGATTCCAAGTTACATTGGGTAGTGTATTGGATGATATTTTCACGGTACCTGAACATCCAGATATGGAGGATGAAGCACGTCCTCGTCTTGGATTGAGTGATAGTATTTTGGGATTGCCAACTGGCAACTATAGTACACACCACAACAACTCTCATCGATTCCACAAGTTTTTAAATGAAAGATTGGATAAATTCAAGACTATTGGTAGAAAGGATAGTAGTGGTAGTAATAGTGCCATCTCTTCTAGTGGTGGTATTGACAATAATAATAATAATAATGACGAGACTGCATCCAACCACTCCAACACCACCTCACCAGACTCTCCCAAACATCTTCGTAACCAAACAAAGAGTATGAGTTTTAAAAAACTTTTTGATTTCAAGTCATTCAAGGATAATCATAGTAATAATGGAGATGACGACTCGTCTCCAACATCGGCAAGAAGAGAGAGTGAAAGAGAAGAAGAGACATCATCCAATTCATCATTTTCATTCTCTAGAAAGGGTACTTTGAAAAAGAAGGAAGCTGCTCAAGCATTGAATGAAAGTCAAATCATTGAAAATAATCCAAACAATGCTACTACAACGGAATCTGGATCAGCTATTCCAGTTGAAAATGGTACACCTGTGGAGAATGGCACTTCTGGTGATGGCCAAAAGGAAGGATCTAGTCAATTAAAGATCAATGTTGGTAGTTTAAAGTCGAGTGGTACAGCCATTTACAAGACTGTTAAAAAGGCAATGCACAAGATTGAGAAAAAAGGAAAGAATATCAAGAAAAAGGTGAAAAAGTCGAAAAAGGATGGCGATGCTCAGCAACAACCAGACCAGTTTGATGAAAATGGCAACAAGATTGAAAAGGAAAAGAAAAAGAAAAAGTCAAAGAAACATGTCACCTATGATGGAGAAAATGACACTACAGTCACTGTCCCATCAAACAAGGAATTGCCAAATGTAGAGTTTCAACCTAACTTGGACCTTGATTTCAGTCAAGGTGATAGTTCATCAGATTCAGATGACGATGATGAAGTTGATGATGACGATGACACTATAGAAGAGGTTGAAATTGCATACACTGAAAGTGGTTCAGATGTTCCAGATACACCAAAAAGTAATACTACCAATAATAGTAATAGTAATAATAATAATAATAACAGTAATCCAAACTCTAATCCATTGGCAAATACTTTTATTACAATTTCTTCAACTCATCCAACTATTTCAGTTCAACCTGAAATTAATAATAATCAAAATAATCAAAATCAAAACAATAATGTACCAACAGTATCAACAACTATTAATCAACAAATTAATCAACAACAAATTAATAATAATGTAAAATCTTCACCATCAACCGATTCTTTATCATCGGCTTCACATTTCCATATTAGACAACAACAAAAACAACAAGAATCACCACAACTTTCATTATCCACGGGAAATCCTGCCAACGATGGCAGTGGAAGTGAAATTTCACCAAGAGTTAATGGCGGTGGAAGTGATAATGGTGCTCCAGTGATCAAGGGATCTACATCGACTGGTGATATCCACGGTTTGGCAGGTGCCGATCAATCACTTTCCAAACGTAAATCAATGTATGGAAATGATTTTGTAAAAGGACCATTTGGAACGATAGAGCGTCGTAAATCTCCTTCTTCAAATCCAGTTGTCAAATCTACATCAATCAAACACCTTGTCAACTTTTTCGAAGCAACTCATACCGGTCCTGCTCCACCAACCATTCAAAGACAAAAATCTTTCCGTTCTGATCGTAGTAATTTAACTGTCAACACTAATCATACAACTAATAATTAATTCATCATAGAATAATCGAATGCAACAGAATAGAATAAATCACCAATTAATAATTCAATTCATACATTCACCCACCCACCTAATTGCCAAAAACAGGTGTGAAACCAAAACGAATGATGTCATATATATTTAACCCCCACAAAGGGATGGCCACCAAGGTGTGGCTCTATCATATGGAGAAAATATTAGCACTCCCAAGCAACAGTATTGTCCACCCCCACGCTCACAGGCAACATGCTGTTCAATTGAAATTTGAATGAAAATTGATGAATGTTTTAAAAATCCATCACGCCATACGAACACACAACGATGTAGTTCACGTGAACTTCGACTGAAGAAAAAAAAGTGTAGCAATTTTTTTTAAATTATAATTATTATTATTAATAATTCTCTTTTTTTTCTACAACCCTTCAGCTTTCTCCGGCAGGTTTTACATTACATATTGGATCAGTGCCGTATTAATTTTTAAACAAGCAGAATTACAAAACTAATACTCCATTTTTATCATATTAAATTTTACATCCAACATTCATTCATCAAGATGTGTCTCAACCACACAACATTCGGGAAACCAAATCCTTACAACAAAAACTTGACCATAGTTTTATTGAACTCAAAGAAATAAAGAAACCATCAAAGACTAAAGTTGGTTCTTCAGCATCTAAAGATGAAAAAAACATTATTAAATCTCAAGTTCGCCAAAGGAAATTGCTTGTCAAAGAATGATTTCAAAAAAACAAACCCCAAAAAACCAACAACTATCAATCCACTTAGAAAAAAGTAATTATTATTTACGATACTCTAGTACTACCTAATCTTTCAAAAATATTAATATAACTTTTTTTTTTTTTGAAAAGAAACAAGTACCGTGGACCTATCCAAATCATCACCGAAATTATTATTCCAATATTATCAGCTTTAGCCAAGATTTATTTCGGTTGGTAGAATATTTATCTTCTGTGCTTTAATTTTACAATTGCAAGGTTTTCTTGTATATATTTTTCTTTATAAACCTTGTTAAATGTTTTTAACCCTAATTATCTGCAATTATTTCTTTATCTCGGGTTGATCCTAATACTTTTAGTTACTCTGCCTTGAATATTGATATATTTGATTGATGTAAAGCAAGCTGTTAATATAAATTTGGACCTGCAATTGATCTTTTCCGCTGTCACTACCTTCCAACTTTGCGAATTAGATTGACATGATTGATGGGTCTACTGACCGAACACAGCTATCATTTAATCAAAGTAAATACTTTTAACTACTCTACCTTGAAACTATGATAGCTGTGTTTAGATGGATTTTGATTCTTGATACATTTGTTTGATTGTTGGTTGCATAATGGAGTGGACCTAAAAATGAAGTTTGGAATCGATAAGTGTAATTTCCATTTAGGGAAGAAATGAAACTAATGGGTAAAATGTTTATACATCATCTCTGTCACTACCACTAGTGCCCAACTAAATCTGTATATGACTGTTCAAAAATTTAAACAAGTATAAGAAAAATGTTTACAGCATATCGTAAGATATTCATATCACCTTATGTAGAGCAGAGTTTACAAGAGCGACAAGTTCTTTCAACCTTTTGGTTCCAATAATACAATAGGTTGAAAAGGCTTGGAAACTCTCTTTCCGATAGATGGTTTAGATGAGTGATTAACTGCCTTGAATCTTGTTTGACAGCAAATCTAGCTTTGACAGTTCGAATGACACGGTCATATTGATGGGGGTACTCATCGAACACTGAGAGGTTGTTTTTTGGTTTTGAATATGATTGCAAGTGATATGATATCTGACAACTAAACTCTTTATCTATTTTTTTCTTTATCGTACGCTAAAAATATTAATAACTGAACCATTAAATTAACACCATCATATAATCAATTATTTATATTGTATTATTTAACACACATTTATTTATTTATTAATTTACAACATTGTTGTTTTTTTTTTGTTTTTTAACACTTTGAAACAAAATAATCAAACTTGTCAGATAGACCAGCCTTGTTTAATTGTGATTTAACAAACTTGGTAGCCTTGACGAGAACCAAATCCCACTCTGCTTTGCGGGATGCGAATTTGTTCTTAATGTGAGCAATGATAACGAGGGTAGTCCAAACATCCAAGAGAGCTTCCAATTCTTGTGGAGCATTGGGGATGGTGACAGAGGTGACGGATGATTTGATCCAACTACCATTGGCCTTTTGTAATCCCAATAGAGTGTGAAGGGCATCTGACGACACTGGAGCCGATGGAGATGAGTAACCAAAATAAGAAGAAGAAGAGTGACCTGGTGGTGGTGGTGGTGGACAGGCCGTACTAGTATTGTAGGAGGGTGGTGCAGGTGGAGGTGGTGGACCAAAGGACATGTCACACATTGAGGAGATTGGCATTTGACCAAATGAAGGGGGTGGGGGTAGACAGGCACTAGTGTTCATTGACATGGATTGGGACATGGATTGGGACATGGGAGGGGACATGGAGCGAGATGGTGCGCTAAACAATGCAGTAGAACCGCCACGACCACCACCACCAAAAGAGAATGAATTTGGTGCACGTGGTGGAGGTGGAGCACCTCCTGGAGCAATTGGGTATGATTGAGATTGGAGTTGTTGTTGTTGTTGGTTAAAGTTAAAGTTGACTGCACTTCCATGGACACGTGCATGAAGTTGTGGTTGGATAGGAGCAGGAGTAGGAGTAGGTTTCATGACTTGTACTTGAGCCATAGTGTCGGTGGTGACCTTGTCAGATTCCGATACAACAACAAAGCTAGTGTGTTTGGACACGAGATGGTATTTCTTACCAAGCTCTACAATCTTGTCCTTGTTGATTGGTTTGCCGCCTAGACTCTTACGTTCCTCTTCTTCAAGTTGTTTGATGATTTCAAAGGCGGTGAGGGTGTGTAAAGTGTTGGTGTCATGTTTGGCAGCGGTGAAATCAATTTCCAAGTCAAATGACAATTCGGTGCCTTGTGGACCGTCACATGTGATTTTGATGGGACACGAGCTTTGAGTTGGCATCTTGTTTAACAAGGCATAGATCATCATTCTTTCGTGATTGAAAATAGGACGGATGACCTTTGGTGCTTGGACGACATCCAAGTCACCCCAGTGTACCTTGACATTGGCAACAGTTGGTTCCATGGCAATCGACAAGAGACGCATCACTTCAGTTTCCATATCCTTGTTTTCCTTGATGAATCCATAGTAACCCATACAAGCCTTGGATAAACCAACCACCAATTCCTTATCAACTCCACCACCAATACCCAAAGTAAAAATACGTGTAGTATTTGATTCCTTTCCAACATAATCAATCATTTCATCTCTTTGACTAATTTCTCCATCAGTCACTAAAATAAATTTAAAAAAATAGATTAGTAAATAATAATATTTAATATTTAATATTTAATATTTATCTTTTTTCTATCTCTTTTCTTACAAATAAATAATTGACGAGGATATTTTGAATCATATGGTAAAGCAAGGATAGATTTTACGGGTGGAAGTAATTCGGTACCACCAAGGTTAGCATCGATGGTTTGAATGTAACGAGATGCTTCTGCAAGAGTTTCATCGTTGTATTCAACCGATGATGGGAAGAGAGACTTGAAACTACTGCCAAAGAGGTAGATGTTAAACTTGCAGTTTTCAGTGAGTGAACGCATTAAAAGTTGTAGAGCACTTCTGGCACTGTTAATGCTACCGCCACTCATACTACCACTGCAGTCGAGCAGATAGATGATTTCAGAGCGTTGGTCGATATCTTCGGGTTCGAGCTTAAACTGTGGGTAAAAGTTGATGGCCAAGGCACTGCTGCTCTTATTCTCCTTTTGGTCGACGACAGTCTCGACAAAGTAGGTTGGACGATTGGCATCAAACTCTGGTGTAATCTCTACAATCACATTGTGAGCTGGACGAGTGGTGGTGTTGAGCTTGAGAGAGGCGGTCTTGCCGTCACGGGTAGTATACGTCTTGAAATTGTCGGCATGGATCTTGGCAATATTGGTGGTCAGAGCAACCTTGATTTCAAAGTTGAAGTTAAAGTTGTAATTGGGGAACATGAAGCGATGCAAGCAGTAGTGCAGGTCTTGGAGACGTGTTCCAACCTCTGACACGATGGTGAGAGAGATGGTCACCTCGTCACCGGGTGGCAAGTTACCAATAGAGATTGAAAAGAATCCGTCGGAACTCTTCTCGGCTAAAAAGGCTTGACCACCGTTACTAATGGCGTCAGAGTAGGTGTTGAGAGCTTCCTCCTTTTCTTGAATGACACCTGATAGCACCTTGTCTTGATAGGTCACCACAAAATTAGAGACAACTGCAAAGGGTGGTAATGGCAGCTTGTAGACGGCTTCAACTGGGGTAGTGGCACTGTTCTTGTAGCGTTGGGTGTAGACACTGACCGAAGCGGCGTCGCTCAACTCTACCTTTACATCGAAATCGGTCAATGCAAACGTCGTGTTGCTCGTACCCACATACTTGGTCACCAAACCAACCTCTGGTATTGGTGTAGATGCCAACCGTTTCTCCATACGTGTGTAATGGTAGTAATAGTTACCTTCCTTTTCCAAAGGTGGTACGGTTGGTACAGATGACCCAAATTTGTTTATTAAGTTTGATACAAACATAATTATAATAATAATAGTATTTTAAACAAAGTAGATAGTATAGGATATAGTATTTAAATAAAGTACAAAATTTGAATAGATAATTATATAATTACAGAGAGAGAGATACGATAAAGATAAAGATCGATGGGATGAATGATTGAATTTACGTGCCAAAAAATGCTCTTTTATAAAAAAATGAAATCCAATGGTTCGCTGAATTTTCGATTCTTTGATGAAAGCTTGTTGAACATGTCCACTTGGGAAATTTTAGTTTACTCATTAACTACTATTGTCTACTCGTAAAAGGCAATGACCATTATTGTATTAAACTTTTATAGAATGTCAAGAAATTGTAAAGAATAATTAGAGATACATTTCATTTTCAAAGCATTAGATAATTCAAACTATCAACGAGGAGCTCGTTCAAAGTCATCTCAATATATCATAAAGAATGGAGACATCATAGTTGGTTCATCATCATCATTCATTGTTTCACAAGTTCAGTCTGCTGAACTTACAAGTAATGGTTTTGAAATGGATGAGTAATTCGCATATTGTTGGTAGTGGGAGAGATAGAGATAGAGAGAGTGTGTGGTTGAAGATGTATCTGTGTGAATATATGTGTGCGTGTGTGTGTGAACAAAGAGGTGTTATGACAAAAATAGAAATAATTCATCAATCTTTCAACATACAAAAGACAAGACATTACCCATATAAGATGCTCTACAAGCTAGCTGTGAAGAAATAAAGTCAAATAATGGAAGAAGAAGAAGATGGCAGTTGGTTATGGTTGGTGGTACAACATGTTACGCGTATAACTTACGCATTCGATCATCAATCGCGATGATTTGTACAATCCAATCAAACCATCTAACAATCAATCAATCAATCAAACACATCACAACGATGATGATCGTCAGTCTCAGTATGTATGTTGTTAACACACCTACACCTACACCCATACCAATACCCATACCAATCCAATTAATTAATTATAATTTATTTATAGAGTCACCTCCAACCAGCGATCGATACATACATATTATTATTGATAATGAAGAATATTACCCTTTTGGTTTTCCATCACTTTTTCCAATTTTTTTAATATTGAAAGTTCACCAACAGCAACCCCCCCCCCCCCAACAACGGAATACAATATACATACTTCTATTATTGGTAAGTATAATTTAAACCCAACACACCCCCATCACTACCGTCACCATCAAAACCAACCAAATGTTTACCATGACACTTTGAAGTGGAAACAGGAAACAGGATAAATATAAATATAAATATAAATTTAAACATATATTAGTTAGTTATATATATATATTATAAATATATTTATTTATTTATTCATTCTAATTATAATTTTTAAAAATCATTTTTTAGAAACAAGAATAATTAGTACTTGTTTATTATTTAATTAAAACAGGTAAGAGGTCAAATTCAGGAGTGATCATATGTTGGTTCAGTCATCAATATTTATTTATATATTTATTGACTGATATATCAGTCGACAAGTTAACTAGCCAACACACACATCTCAATCATATCATATGGTTATATTGTTTCGGTTGTTTGAATGAGAAACATTGACAATGAATAGATTTACAAGATAGTCTCAGTCAGTCAATCAATCACATCTATTTATCTATCTATTTTTCAACCGATTCATTTAATTTCCATTCCTGTACATTCCATACGTATTCTTACTTTTCAACAGTTTATCCACCACGTCCACCACCACCACCCATTGATGCCCACTTGTCACCAACTTAAAAGAAAACACACACTCACTCACACACTCACACAACACCACGAGTCAGTTTTGATGCATCGCATTGAATTGGAACACCTGGTTGGGCATGCTAATGGTCAAATTATTAAGGTGATTCATACAACACAAAAAAAATAGATAAGAGGAGGAGGAGGTGGAAATGGATTGAAGAAATTGGTGTCCAACACTTTATTATTTAATTGGCAATTTATTATTTTAACAAACAAGCACCAACAAGCATAAAAGAACAAAAAAGATGAAAGGGATGGTTTAAGTAGGGGTGTTTTGTTAACAATAATAATAATAATAATAATAATAATAATTGAAATTTATTTATAAATTCAATTTAACAAGCAAGGAAGGATTGTTGATAGACTAGTGTAGTGTCATCATCATTATTGTTGTTGTTATTATTGTTCAAAGATGTTTTAAATCTATTATCATCATCGCGAGACACATCATATATAAATATATTAAAACAACAACAACATAGACAGACATAAGGTTAGTTATAATAGTAATAGTAATAGTAATAGAATAACAATAATAATAGCCGTGGTCAACCATAACCAAAAATAATCAGATCAGATAAAGGAGTAGGTGATAAGAAAGAAAGAAAAAAGAACCGACTGGATTAATAGGGGGTAGTTCAATATTAATATTAATATTTATAATTATTACAATTGTTGTGTGTGTGTAATCATTCATTATTTAATTGTGTGTTTGTGACACATTGAAACGGATTCAAAAAAAAATATGTGGGTGTGTTGTGAGCGATTAAAACAAAAGGGAGGAGAAGAAGTGATTTGACTTGACTGATCAAGCTTGAAAGATATATATCATGTGTCATGGTGGTCAAATATCAAATATGATGCATGAATATATAGCTGGAGAGAGAAATAGTCTCGAGGGTGTTGGGTATGATGGTCAGAAGAAGAAACAAGCAATAGTTTCGTGCGATTATTGTTGTTGTTGTTGTTCCTATTCTTGCTACTGTTGTTGTTGTTGTTGTTGTTGTTGTTACTACTGCTACTACTGGTATTGTTTGGTGTCGATTTGACACTCCTTTAACTTTAATTATTATTATTATTATTATTATTATCATATTTTTTTTAAAAATATATATTATAATATTAAATTTGTGCCATTATTATTATTATTAGTAGTATTATTTTTTTAAAATCACCAGCATCATCATCATCATCACCATCAACCTCGCTAAATTTAAAAGATATCATCACTAACATCCAAGACTGTATTTTTACCATCAAAACAGATATTTTTTAAAAACCCAAAAACATTGTATCACTATAGTAGTTATTTATAGAAAAATAGAAAGAGAATCGTAGGGTAGGAAATTGTTTAATTATTATATTACGAAAAAAAAAAAAAGTAGATATTATTTATTTAATTTATTTATTTAATTGGATTTCTTGAACATAAAAAATAACAAAGGTAATTACAACAAGAAATAGAGTCGTAGTTTGGTCCAAACTCTCAACTCCCATCATTATCACATCTCCATCAATCAATATCAATATAACACCAATCATTATCATTTTGATCAATCAAAAAAAAAAGTAAAAAGTACCTCCTCTATCTATCTATCCACCGATCATCACAGATGTAAAGATTTATGTAGAATGATTAGTTTATTATCTTTCCATAACCTTGGTCTGGAGAGATGGATTTCCACTCTCTCTCTCTCTTCTATCATCAATCAATCACAATCATCATTTATTATTATTTTTTAAATTGTAAAAACAAAGAGTTATATTTAAAAAATAACAAAAAGGTAAAAATAACTAACTGCACATGCAAGAGTAGTTGGTAAATTTATAATTGTGACATGGTTTATTTGGTTGGAAATGGATGGACATTTCGAAATTTATTTTGATATATGGATGCTTGCAATCACAATAGATGGTGTCAAATACATTTGGAAAATCCAATTCATTTTCTTTTAAAGAATTATGGACGGATGGACGGATGGATGGATTGATTGATCAATCCAAACAAACCAATTTTTTTAAACTACAGGTTTTTTCAATGATTCATCAGACACCAACTTTACCATTTCTGATACACGATCGTCATTCATAGAGACACCTCATCACATCTCCTCCATCATCATCATAATAATCCATGCATGGAATTCTATTTTTAATCATCACCCCCCATAATTTTCATCTGCAGAATTAAAATTATTATATATCATTTTTTGTTTTTAAATCCTACTACACATACCATCGACGATCCAGCAATCATGATTATTATTATTATTATTATTATTATCATTTTTGAATCAACCAATAATCATAATCGTCATCTTCCCCCTACCTCACACACACACACACTTTATTTATTTCCACTTTCCTCATTTCGGGATACTGGTTGACTGGTATAAGTACGCACACATATTATTTCTTTTACAACCACAAATCACAAATCAAAAGAGTGGAAAACGGTGGTGTTGGGGTGACTAGTCAAAGTTTCCAGATTTCTTCCAAATTTAACCCACTTTTTGTCATTTTTTTTGTTTACAATACACAACTTTTAGCAAGCTATAACAATTTCATCATCATCATCCATCACAAAAAATATATAATAATATAATATTATATATAGAGAGGGTAGGTAGGTAGGTAGGTAGGTATCGTCGTATGTGTTCATTCCACACCTGCGCAGTACACACACCTCACTCACCACAACAACAAACACACGCACTTGACGAAAAGTGGGCATAAATTTTATCTATCCATCTGTCTATTTGTCCAAATTTTTTTAAATTTTTTTTAAATATATAGTGCTATTAGTGATACATTGTTAAATGGTCTAATGATTTTTGCATTATTCGTGTGGTTTGTGTTTGTGTGTGTTCTGCAGAAATAGTGGTGGTGGTGGTGGTGGGTAGTGCACAGCAGTAGCAGTTTTATCATTATGATAATTATTTATAGAGAGTGAGAGGAAAAGAGAGAAAGAGAGTGATGAAATCGTGATATGGTTGGCTGGTTGCAGCTTTATGATTCAATTTCATTTTTCCATTTCACTATTTATTCGTTCAACTAAACGTTTATAATAATTTCATTCATTCATTCATTCATTTTTATTTTTAGTTTATATAATATATTATATTCTTTTTTTTTATTTTATTTTCATTCGAATTAATAATAATTTTATAATTTGTAAATATACTAATTTTAATCATCATTTCCAAAAAAAACTCCATTTACTCAACTCATTCATTCTTATATCTTTTAGATTTCTAGAAATTATCTTTACAAGTTTTAATCTAAACAAAAACAACTCAACACAACACTATCTATCTGTACTGTGGTGTGAGAGAGAAAGAGAGAGAAGAGTGTGTTAACACACAAAAACATCAATCAATCAACATTTCAACAACAACAAAAAATTTGATTTGAATAATTAATTAATATTCATTTATTAAATTAATTATTTTATCTATCATCCCTCTTTTACAAACAACCAAACCAACAAAAAAAGGGGATTGATTGTAATATATACAAATCCCAACTTTTAATTTACTTTTATTAGAATTTCAAAATATATCTAATTAACACATTCAATATATATATATATGTCAACTATGGAGTTTGATTCTCGTGTTAGAGATTCTCCGTTAATGTAAGTAGTTTTTTTAAATTAAATATATTACTTTCTTTTTATTAACCATACCAATTTTTAATTTAGGAGAATATCATTTAATGGAAATGGATCAAAAAAATCATCAAATACCAAACAACTTAGTCAATCTACTTCAAGTACAAGTAAATATTAAATTAGATCTATTTTACTGTTATTTTATTTATTTATTAATTTTCTATTTTATTTTTCTATTTTTTTTTTTAGAGACTACCGATTTTCAATTAAGTAGATCACCATTAACATCATCAAATGATGATGGAGGAGGAGCACATGAAGAAGATATTATTAAATTATCAAAAGATTTGATCAATACATTTGGTATATTACTTGGCGACGACGACCAACCACCTCCTTTTAGTGATGTTATCTTTAAGGTGAGAGACCGTCGCTTTTTTGCAAGCAAGATCATGTTGGTATCGCGTAGTGAATATTTCAAGGCAATGTTTATGTCTTCAATGAAAGAATCGTCCATCAAGGAGATTACACTCGAAGGTGTGGAACCAGACGTCTTTTATGTCGTCCTACGTTACATATGCATTGGTGTGTTGGATCTAGACATTGACATTCGTATCATTGGTTCGATCTATCAATATTGTGACTTGTTGGGTTTGAATCGTGGTAAAGATTTGGCATTGGGTATTATGAATAGAGCAGCAACGTCGTTTATGGACAAACCAGACCTTGACAATGCCATGTTGCTCTGGGACTCTGCCAACCGCAACATGATCAACGTTGAAGCCATCCATCCCAACCTACGTGCCTTTATCGTACAGTATGCACCCCTGGTGCTCTACTCTGATGTATTTTTAACATTGTCCGAAAAGACCATTTGCGATATGTTGAGAAACGATGGTCTGCGTCTCGAAGAATTGGATATCCTCGAGTGTATGGTGGAATGGTGCCGAACCAATAGTGGATACATCCTCAACAGTGTCCCATCATCTGCTGCTCAAAATAATAGCAACAAAAACAACAAGAGAAATAGTGCAACCTATCATCTCAACGATAGGAAAAAGGATATGGATGGAGATCAATCTAGTTGTAGTAGTCGTTGTAGTAGTCGTCGTGGATCAATTGTTGAAAAGGAAACTGGTGATCTAAATAGAAGTGATAGTCATACAGACGATGATTCCGACGACGATGAATCTAGTTATAGTGAAGATTTTGATGATGAATTTACAGATGATGATGATAAAGAAGATTCTGCCAATGATGATTATTATTATTCTGAACAGTATGTAAAAAGAAAATAATAATTATTATTTATTATTTGTATTTATTAATTAATTAATTTAATTTTCTTTAGAGGAGATCAAAATGAAGAATGGGATGAATCATTGGATAAAAATCTTTTAAACAAATTATTACCATTGATTAGATGGGAGAATATGAATATTGGAGATGCATTTGAAAGATTGGATAATTTAAAGATTGTTCCTGAAAAGGATATCACTGGGTTGTTGCGAGGTATCATGAAAGCCAATCGAGGTGAACCATTCCAATTTTTGGGTTATCATTACAAAAGACCTCGTAACATTAGAAAACGTCCCTATCCCATTGAATTTTTACTTGCCATTACTCAACCATTTGATACTTCCAAAGTTACAAATGAAATCATCCCTTTGAACAATTTTGGTGGTAATGAATTTGGTCCAGAAAATTCTTGTCAATTCCTTTATCGTGTTAGAAAAGATATAAAATTACCTGCAAATTTAGAAAGGTAAATAGAAAATAGAAATAATAATTTATTCATTATTCTAATTTAATTTATTTATTTTTATTTATTTTAGATTTACATTTAAAGATAGAGAATTTTTCGTACAATTAAAAGAAAGAGAAAAAGGACAATTAGCAGTTTATTTAGCATTTGGTTCAAAGATATTAAAACCTTTGGCAATGAGTGTCACTGCCAGTATCATTGGATTGAGATTCCAAGAGTCGATCGAATTTAATTATAAAAAGTTGTTTGAAGAAGGGTTCGATAGTGCTTGGGGTTGGCCTCGTTTTGTATCACTCGAAACTTTACAAAAGGATAAATACTCTCATTATGGTGATAGTTTCTGTGTTTTGGTCGAATTAAATACTATTTATAATTAAATTAATAAATAATAAACAAATATTTCACATAATAATAATATCGACTGACTGATGAGACACCATTCCTAGATAATAAAGTTTGTCTGATCACCTTTATTACCCTGGGTGAATGAATTCATAAAGTAGAAGGAGCGAAGGGTTTACAAAGATCTTAATCTCCTGAATGCCACGTCTATAAATTCATACCTTTTTTTTAATTTCTTCATTTCTTTTTTGTTGTTTCTAAAACAGATATAAATAAAGATGGTCATCTTCTCTTCTCCTACAATTGTGGTTAAACAAATATATATCTATCTTCCTCCTCCTCTTTATCAACTTCAACAACAACAACAAGATGTATTTCAAAAAAGTTTTAATTATCTTGGTCATTTCAAGTATAATTAATTTGACAAATGGTGAGACTTGCCAGGGTCCATATGCTTGGCAACAGAGAGATTGTGTCAGTCTTGGATCAGCTTGTAATAATACCAATTCTACATGTATCAATTCATACTGTAAAGAAGATATTGTTGGTTCAAACGTTGGAGTTTGTACTGAATACATCGCTGCTGGAGGCGCTTGCACAGATTCTCAATCTTGCACACCTTGGCTCTCATGTACCTTTTCAGTTTGTGTAGCAACAAACTATCTTCAAAACGGTGATGATTGCACAGAAGACTATGAATGCTATAGTCCTATGAAATGCACAAACTCCAAGTGCACTCAACCTGCCAGCTGCATCCCGGTTGAGAATAGTTGCCCACCAGGTCAATTCTGCACAGCTAAAAATGGAACATGTATCCCTATTCAGACACTCGGTGAAAGTTGCAGTGCAAGAGATGAATGTGGTATCAATCTAGTGTGTAGCCCCGTCAACACTACCTCCAGTATCTGCATGGAACCATTCTCTCAAGGTGTAGCCGGCTCCAAATGCTCCAATACTGGTAGTTATTTCACTGTTTGTGATATTTCTCAAGGTCTCTATTGCAATCAAAGCAATGTATGTGCTCAAATCCCAGATACTCCATCCAACAGTGTCTGTACCAATGATGATGATTGCAACGCTGTGGAAAAATGTCTATGCTCTGGTGGTGACCAAGCTCAAGGCAAGTGTGTCTCAAACTTGGCAACCACCAACGAAACTAGATCCGAATGTATAACAGTTAGCCTTGACTATGCCAACTGTTTAATTGAAAACAAATGTTCGGTAGTCTATTTCAATGTTGTCAATACCTTGAGTTCCAAGTCTTGTTTTGCAAAGTGCACCTCTGAAATGTGTGCCAAGAGTGTTTGCGCTGGTCCAGCTCAAAACTATCCCGAACTACAATGTGAAGAAACTGCTGGTAATGAAAATATTATGACTTGTTCTAATTCCTCAATCATCGAAACTGGATTGATCTTTATCTTTTTTGCTATTTTATCAACCCTTCTCTTTTAAACTTTTAAATAAATATAAATTTTATTACAATAGTAATAGTTTATTTACTTGATCTATTCTTTTCTTTTGATCGTTTGATCAATTTGTGTGCATTATCGATGGCCATTGTAGAAATGAAAAGAGTCGGATTGAATGATCCACCATTTGGTAAAAGACCAGCACCTGTGAGGTACAGATTGGGTACCGATTTCAGTTGGTGGTCGGTACCAACGGGACATAACTTTCCATCATATTTGTAGGCACCGCGAGCTATTGGATCGTTTCGTCATCATCGTCTCCAATTGGATAGAGGCTTCCTTCGTGGACCAATCCTCTTGAGGAATAGGTTGAGAATCTTATCCCACCTATCCAATCTTAAAGAGCCTGAATCAGTCTCATTATGATAGGTGTATCTATTCTTTGTGTTTTCGATGCCCAACCCAAGAAACTCCCGATAATGATGGGTTAGGATTTCCCCCAACACCGAAAAGTTGAAATAGATATAATTGGGATATGAAGTATTGCTCAGTGAGGATGGGCCACCTGGTACATTTTTGTTTAAAAAAACCTGGGTGACATGACCATTGCGACCGGGATGAATCACGGACAACTGAGCATGCCATTCGTTTAGTGGCTTTGTTCCGTCCTTGAAAACACCTGAAAGATAAAACCCTTCCATATTGTCGTGGTTATCATCTAGTGTTTTCAAGAATTCAAGCAATCGAGATTGGGTTTGGTGGTTGTTCTTTCTGATTCTGAAGATGACCGATGACGAGCTATGGGAAGAGAAATCCTTTCCGACTATGTCACTCAAGTGTGGGAATGATTTCAATATGAGGTCGGTAGCTGGAAAGGGACCGGTAGCTAAAATTAGTTTTGTTTGGTTATCCAAAACCAATGGATCTTGGTCGTCGTTGATTGTGACTAAAAAACCACCATCTACGGTTTGTGAAAGTTTGGTCACCAAAAATAGAGACAGTTGTCTCTTTGGCAAAAGTTGAACGAATTGCTTTTCGTCAATGACGAATTGTTTTGTTCCGTCTGATGACTTGAGTAGATTGGAACAGGATTTGATTACCTCGTTGAATGAGGCTATGTCATCTTTTGAAAGATCCACTGGTCGATTCAAAATATTTGAGACCAACTGGGATTTTGGCATTGAGTCCCAGGTACTGCATGGGTAGAGAGCGACGGCATTGGCAAACTCAGTCATGGCATGACTAGTATAGTTGTGGAGGATGGTGCGTTTCTCGACTGTTGATACCAACTGTAAAATCATTGTGACGACGTCATCAATGTTATACTTGGAAAATGCATGACGGGTATTGACAATGGAACCAAATTCCTTCTCAATGTCAGACTTTAATTGGTGAAACATGCAAACGACATTGCAATTGGCCGAGTCCAATAGTTGAGCAGATAGTTCGACTTGGAAATCCTCGAGGATACGATCGAGTCTATAGACTAAAGAAGCTCTTTGGCCTGTTCACTATGAGCAAGGATCTCCTCAAAGAGCTTTTGGGGGAATCCTCGAAGCTCATTGTTCATAGGATCGGGGCTATAGGTGGGGAATGGACACTAACACGTCCATACGGTGCTACGGCCACCAAGACGATAGATACCACCATGTTGAAAACAGCCACTAAGTCCATCGGGTTCTATCTCTACCTTTGCTTCTTTCTCTGGATCGGCGTCGTAAGGTGTGTTTCCATTGCGAATATGATCGCGATACTCCAAAGAGCCTTTCTCGAGCATAATAACGGTACAGTCTTGATAGTCGGTGCTATTATATTGTATGTGCAAAACTGTATCCACATGGACCTGACCCTACGACAATGCACTTTAGGTTGGTGGCCCTGGCTTTGTCGAGTTGAATCAAAGCTCTGACTTGGTCAAGATACTTGACAGATGGGTCGTGTTTAATGGAATCATTGGTGGTTTGTGAAGAAGCCCTACATTTATAAATGATGTTTTACAAAGTAGTTCAAGAATGAAACAAAAGTTAATGAACGATGATCACAAGAGCGGTGAAAATTTTTTGAAAAAAATAATTAAATAAAAATTATATGTTTTTAAATAAATATAAATATATTTAAATTTAGAAATAATTTACAAATCAAAGATCCTAAATTTTTTAAATCTTAAATTTAATATTTTTTAATTATATCCTTAATTCTATATAAAAATCTAATATTATTCAAACTATGATATTTAATAGTATCATAAACCTTTTATTTCATGAAATACCACTTTATTTCTCTACACCCGACCATGCTTCTTCTTTGCTACGAACAAGAATTGCATTCTTTAAAAGACCTGGCGCAATCAATGTTGCGATTTGATTGAAAAAAAAAAAACTCTATTTAATAATTCCATCTGTAAAGATATATATTTATTTAAGTACTACATAATGGGTGGGGTTTTACTAACCATCAAAATATATATGATATGGCAAATATTAATTTAACGACTCTATTCATTGTTACCAAAGTCACCCCTTTTTTTCCATCACAGAATTCTGCATTACACATTTATAAATGTTAACCCCCTCCAATCAATGTAAAACACATCAAGGAATCCACTATTTATTAAAGGAAGTCGAACAACCGAATTATCCTACCTCGTTTTTTAATTATTAATTTAAATTGAACCCGTGCAATTTCCATTTTAAAACTAGTTGATTGATTAAAAATGGAATGATTAATAGTGACTTTTTCACTCCTTTATCCCAACTAATATATTCGTTTTATATATTGTTGTTATTGTTACCTGACAAAACTCATTTATTTAGTTTTAGAATTTATTAGATCGTTGACTAATTTTAAAATAGATTGTCTTTTGTTTGTTATATATTGTGGTGTTGTAGTATTATTTAATGATTCTTCTATTTCTGTTGTTATAGTATATCTGTCTTTGGGTGTGTCTAATTTTTGTTTTATAATTTGTGATGATAAATACTCTACATTTGACAATAGGTACAATCCACAATCATATCCATTTGATTGTTTGGGAGCTTGACGTATTTTAAACATTGATGACACATTCCATTTCATCGTCGGTGGTAGTAATAAAGGAGACAATGTTTTTGCAATTAAACATGCACATTCTCTATTCCCCTCTGAAGAGTTTGGTAATGAGTCATAGTAATAATAACAATTCAACGCTTTGATAAATACCAACAGAGACCAATGTGAACCACCAGCAATGACATTTGGATCTTGATTATTATTAATTGGTATAAATACAATATCCTTTGAATCTAATTTCAATCCACCAATTATATCTTTTAAACCACTGACACTAGCGTCTTGAATAAAGTGTAACATAAACACTGTACTTGCACTCATAAAACATATTCTATCTAAATATTCTTTAAATGATTCTTCTGATAAGTATCTAAAGTAAAAGAGAATGAATAAGTAAGTTTGAATTAATCAATTTAATCAGACTTCATACTCAAAAAAGAATTGAATGATTGCATCATTTAACCATTGATATCTTTGTTTTAGAATATCTATATCTGATTGATACAATGATGTATCTCCATATGATAATACTAATGGGTCTGATGACATTTTGTTAATGTATGTATGTATATGAGCACTTCTAGATGGCTGCTTCTTTGAAGTTGCTGTTTTTTTTAAATTAATTTTAATTTCCTTTTTTTTCATCAACACACCCATCAAACAAAAGATCTTTCTTGTTTTTCTCAACATAATTTATTTAGTTTTATTCTTTGTTGTATAGATAGTATTTGTATATATTTTGTATATATCTAAATAGAACAAATAGAACAATGACAGACACTGAGAAATATGATAGACAACTTAGATTGTGGGGTGAAGATGGTCAAGCTAAATTAGAAAAGTCTCATATCTGTTTGATCAATGGTACCGCTACTGGTACTGAAACTTTAAAGAACTTGGTATTACCAGGTATGTTAAATCACATAAACATCTTTGATTATATATAAAGTTAATAACTCTCTCTTTCTCTTTTCTATACTTTCTTCTTTTTCTTTATTTTCTATTTATTTTTTTAAAGGAATTGGAGCATTTACAGTAGTTGATGGTAACAAGGTTGGAGCATCAGATTTGGGAAATAATTTCTTTTTGGATACTACTTGTTTGGGACATTCTCGTGCCCTCAAAGTATCAGAGTACTTGAGAGAGTTGAATGACCGTGTCAAGGGATCGAGTTGCGAGGAAGACCCAGTAGCACTCATCTCTGACAAGATCACCTTTTTCAAAGACTTTGATTTGGTCATTGCCAACAAACTCCCCGAACAATCTTTGATCACTCTTGCTGCCTACCTCTATGAAAACAATATTCCACTTTTAATTGTAAACTCTTATGGTTATATTGGTTATCTTAGAATTGTTACTCCTGAACATCAAAGTAAATTGAATCAAAAATAGAAAAAGAAAAAGAAAAATATATTAATAATTCTAATTCTCTCTATTTTTCTATTTTTTTTCTATTTTTTTAGTAATTGAATCAAAACCAGATACACCATTGGATGATTTAAGAATTTATAATCCATGGAAAGAATTGGAAGTTGAATCTGATAATGTTGATTTATCAAACATGAATGCACAACAACATTCACATGTACCATATATTCTCTTGTTGGTCAAGTTCCTCAAGGAATGGCGTAATGAAAAGAACAATGGAAAGATGCCAGAGACCAGAGCTGAAAAGGATGAATTTAAAAAGTTCTTTATATCAAAATCACACAATAGTGATGAAGAAAACTTTAACGAAGGTGTAAAGGGTCTATTCAAGTACCTCCAACCACCCCGTGTACCATCTGAAGTTGAAGCCATCCTCAATGATCCAAAGACCTCCAACATTAATCAACAATCTGATGATTTCTGGGTTTTGGCTGCTGCCCTTAAACAATTTGTTGATCAACATAAAGTTTTACCTTTACCTGGTAATATTCCAGATTTAACTTCTGATACTATTACTTATGTTACTCTTCAAAAATTGTAAATATAAATAGAAATAGAAAATAGAAAAAATAGAAATACTTATTTATTTTATATTTACTTTAGATATCATGATAAAGCAAATGCAGATTTGGAAGATTTTAATACAAAGGTAGAATCTATTGTATCAAATACCAATAGACAACCAATTCCATCAGATTCGATTAAAAAGTTTGCAAAGAATTCAAGATTTATTAATATCATTAGATATAGATCATTAAATGATGAATATACTATTCCAAATACTTCTGTTATTCGTAAGTAAAAGAAAAAAAAACAAAAGAAAAAGATTAGATCTAATTATTATTATTTTGTTTTTAATTTAATTTAGAAAGTGAAATTGAAATGGATAATAATTCAAATGTAAATTTCTATTTGGTATTACGTGCAGTTGAGAAATTTAATCAAACACATAATAGATATCCAGGTGCTAGTGATGAAGATGTTGATTCAGATGTACCATTGTTGAAATCAATTCTTGCCACTATTCTTTCAGAAATCTCAATTTCTTCAACTATTGTTAAAGATGATTATATTACTGAAATGTAAATAGATAGAAAAAAATTAAAAAATAGATAGATTATTAATATTTTCCCTCTTTTTTTTTTTTTTCTTTAGAATTAGATATGGTAATAGTGAATTACATAATATTGCATCTTTGATGGGTGGTATTACATCACAAGAAGTGATCAAGTTGATTACACACCAATATGTACCATTAAATAATACCTTTATTTTTAACGGTATCAATAGTACTGCCACTCCTTTCAAACTCTAAAAAGATAAAGATAAATATAAATATATATTAATTAGTAGTAGGTTGGAATTGTGATCATCATCAAATATCCAAAAACAAACAAACCAACCAATCAAAAACAAATATCATATAGTTTTAAATGTCATTACTCTTTATACCCCCTCTACCATACATGATCAGAGAAAATAAATCAAAAAAATAATAATAATAACCCAAACAAACAAAAAAATTCATGCATAGCACCATTGCAAATCAAATCATTTTCCACCAATCAATTGAGTTGGGTTTACAGACCCCCTCCTCTTGATGAAAACCAAAAAAAATCAAATCAAGTGGGTTATAATATCATATCATATATGATGGGTAGGGTGGGTTTTTTGATCAAGCTTCATAGGGAGACTAAATCAAATCAAATCTGATCGGAGAAGGAGGAGGAGGAGGGAAATTTTTGTATTTGTATGGGGGTAATAAATAAATAAATAATATTATTATTATTATTTTTTTTTGAACCTATCATCACATCTTGATCAATCACAATGATTTTTAAATTCATTCTTTGTGTCTATCCAAATAATAATAATAATAATAATTTTATCTACTATTATAAATCTTTCTCTTTTTCAAACAAAAAACTAAAAAATGTTTAGAGCTTTAATTCTTTTAATATCCATTTTATTCATTTCTTCATTTGCAAATGCTGGTACATATAAATAAATAATAAAAGTAAAGAAAAGATTCAATATATTAACGACTTGTTTTTCTTTTTTCTTTTTTCTTTTCTTATTTTTTTAATTTTCTTTTTCCTCTTTTAGATTATTTAACATCAGGAACATGGGATAATACAGCAAGTCCAGGAGTAACAGCAGCTCAAAAGAATAATATTACTGGTACATCATACTTGAAATTTATTGATCGTAGTGATGATCAATGGATGATTGTTTACACGGTCAATCTAAATTCACTAGGTAATGATCCCGCTATTGACCTTTCCAAAGTAGAACTGGTCACTCTTGAAGGATTTGCCAATAGATCAGCCACTGGTAACGACTTTAACGTAACTCTTCCAGCCTCTTCATTGAGTAGAAATGCCACCCACTTTTACATTAACGGTACCGTCACTGAACCATCAAGCTCTAATTTTACTAAAAAGTTTGATTCTATCAACAACAAGTTTACCAATGAAACCACCCCACTCTACTTGACCCTCTATTCTATCAACTCGGTTGACAATTCTACCATCATCCTTTCTCGTTCTCAACAAGTTTGGGATCCAATCCACAACAATAATGGAAATTATTTAATTCCAACAATTATTATTCCAATTATTGCTATTATTATTTCTTTATTCTAAAATCAAATCAAAGTTTTAAAAAACTAAAAATAAAAAAAAAAAATCTAAAAATTCAATGAAGGTCTAAAAGTCCGTCGGGCGCGATTGTCGAAATTTTTTGTGATTTTTTTTTTTAAACAACAACGTTTCAACAACACACAACCATCATCAAAAAAAAACGAACCATTACAATTACAATTGTTATGTTTTAGATATATCTTTCTATCTATCTATCATGAAATTTGGAAAGTATTTAGAGAATAATCAAGTACCTGAATGGAAGGACAAATATGTATCCTACAAACAACTTCGTAAAAATATAAAGAGATTTAAATCTGAAATTGAATCTATCATTAAATCAAATAATAACGATAGTAGTAGTAATCATAGTAGTAATAATAATTTAAAAGAATTGGAAAATGAACAAGATAATAATAATAATAATAATATTTCTGGTCAATTAAAAAGAACTTATTCAAGTATAATATTAAACAAGAGTAATCTTTTTAATCCATTACCAAGTACAACACCATCATCACCAATACCTCGTCAACAACAACAACAACAATTACCAAATCCAGTAGATTTACAATTATTATTAATTAATCAAAAACAAATGCAATCACATAATGATTCATCGCTGTATAATCAATATCAATCGAATCAATTTACAAAAACCACTCTAACAAGATTACAAGAGATTCAAGAAGAATTTATTCAACTTTGTATTGGTGAAGCTGAAAAAGTGAATGGTTTCTACAAGGAAAGAGAATTGGAAGCAATCAATCGTTTTAATCAAATTTATACTCAAGTTGAATATTTAACAAAACTTCGAAATCAATCCAAAGGAGGAATTAAAAAAATAAGAATAGTAAGAGTGAAAAGGAAGAATTAATGAATCAAATGGAAGAAACTGAAGAAACTTTAGAATCTCAAACCATTTCAATTCAAATGGATCAATTGGGTGTTGAAGATGATGAAACTGAATTGGAAGATGGTGCAAATAATAATAATAATAATAATATAGATAGTAGTAGTAATAATATAAATAGATCAACAAAAAATTATTTAAAAGAATAACAAAAGATGTTCAAGACAAGATTATAAATAATTATTTCTTACCACTTGAAAATAAGGCAAAAAATTGGATTAAATTGGAAAAATTAAAAAATGATGAATTTACTTTAAAAGAAATCATTTTAGAATATTATAAATTTTTAAATCTTCTCAAAGTAATTAAGCTAAACAAAATTTAAAATATATATTATATATATTAACTTTTTACATTTTAGAATTATAAAATTTTCAATTATACAGGATTTATAAAAATATTAAAAAAAGCAGAAAAGAATTTAGAATTAAATTTAAATGATCGTATATTGACTAGATTAAATCAATATGAATTTAAATCTTCAAAATTGATTGATAAATTTTCAAATCTCCTAGAGGTAAATCAAAATATATTTTTATATAAAATAATTTATTAATTTTTTCTTTTTTATTTTTATTTTGTAGAAAATCTATTCACAATTATTTACAAATAATAAAATTAGAGATGCAAGAAAACAAATGAGAAATAGACATCCAAATTCAAATGCAAATGTAACTACCAATATAGTGGTGAATAGACCAACGATTGGAACATCAAATAGATCATCATTTTTCTCTGGTATATGTGTTGGTTGGACAAGTGCCATTTTAATACTCATCTATTATATATTGTATACTGGAGAATATGAAGATTTTGTTAGATTTTCAACCGTTTACAATCTCTATAGTACACTTGGTCTATTGATACTTTGGTGCTTTATGTTTGGTGTGGATCTTTACATTTGGACAAAATCTCACGTTCACTATAGTTTTATTTTCGAAGTTAGTAAAACAAAATTAAATTTTGCCAAAGTATTTCAATCGGTAACTGTCATGGCTGTATTATGGATTACTAGTATTGGTTTTTATATGTGGTTAAGTCTAAGTCAAGATGGTGATGTATTTTTCCCTTTTCCATTCTTTCCTCCTGCAGAATACCTACCTCTTGCTCTATTGGGAATTTATCTTATAATGTTATTATTCCCTGGTAATTTCTTTCAATTAAATTTAAGAAAATGGTTTTTAAAAACTTGTCTTACAGTCATTATTGCTCCTTTAAAACCTGTCAAGTAAGTAAAGAAAAAAATAGAAATCATATCATTTTAATTTACATTTTCATTTCCTTTTAGATTTTCACATTTTTTTATGGGTGATCAATTATCATCATTGGTTTTAGTATTGGTACAATTTTCACAATTTATATGTTTTTATACAACAGATGTTTATCATTCACCGACTGATGCTATTTGTTCAAAGAGGGCAAGATATATAAATCCATTTATATCGGCGGCACCAGCAACTTGGCGTTTTTTACAATGTCTAAGACGTTATAGAGATAGTAATGGAGATTTTGTACATTTAAGAAATGCTTTAAAATATTTCATTTCAATCATTGTAGTTTTCAATTCAACGATGGATTCATTTTATTCAACTTCATGGACAAGTCCATGGAGAATTATTTGGTTGGTTAGTGCAGTTTGTAATAGTTGCTATAGTTATTGGTGGGATTTGTTTATGGATTGGTCCATTATTCAAATTCGAAATGGTTCGGTACAATTACGTAAAAAGAGAATGTATAGTCCAGATTTTGTCTATTATATTGCAGTCGTTAGCAACTTTGGTTTTAGAATGACTTGGACCATGACAAAGTCTCTTCCACAACTTGCCACTTTTCTACCTAGCTACAAATTGGTCGTTGTCATTGGTATTGTAGAAATTCTTCGTCGTGGTCAATGGAATATCTATCGTCTCGAAAATGAACATATCAATAATTGTGGTAAATTTAGAGCTACTCGTGATCTTCCTTTACCTTTTATTATTGATAATAATGATGACATTGATGATGATGTTGAAGAATAAAGAAAGAAAGAAAGAAAAAAGGTTGTAAATTTATTTCTTTTTTAATAAATGATAAATTCCAATTGATCCTATTAATACAATCATTCCAATAATTGAATAATTTAAAATTGAATTGGATGAAGATGAAGAGGTAGAAGGAGAAGAAGGAGATGGAGAAGATGATGAATTGGATGATTCATTTGTTTTAGTAGTAGTAGTAGTAGAAGAAGAGGTTGTATCTGGTGCAACTGGTGTAATATTTGATTTGGTGATTTCATCTTTATAGGATTTACTAAATCTTTTTATAGAATCTGAACATTCACCAATGTATAGATCTTTTAACATTTCTACAGCCTTTTCAGAGTGACCAGTATCTACAAAATCATTGGTAGCGTCTTGTCCTGCTACATCGACAATGGTCTCTGCTCCTCCTGGGTGATCATCGGCAAACTTGGTGCAATCGTAC